TTCTAACTTTAGTTTTCTGGGTCGAGCATGAAGCATAGCCTCAAATTTATCTCGCCAAATACGTAGTTTAGCTACATATTCTTCCAAATTCATTTTGGAAGAAACAAAATCATGTACAAATGCAGCCTTCAGATGTCCTGGATACAGGCTATTAGCAAAACGAGCGATACTACTAATTGTTGTGTTTGTAAGTTGAAGCGTATCGTCAGGATTTGTTAAACGTGAAAGCAATTGCTAACAAAAATACAAAAAAAAAAAAAAATACGGTAAATAAACACATATAAAAAATGGTATACATGGCTAATATTTTGTATTATTAATTACTTACTCGAAGACCATCATTATAAAGGACCACAACTACACGGTACATATCTTCATCTGGTTGAGCCTTAAATTTAATTTGTATTTGATCAACCGTTGTTTCCATAGATAGTGCAAGTAAAGGATAGCCTGTCTTTAACATAGCCATAATTTCATCTAAAGGATGTGCAACACTATGCAAAGTAGCAGATACAGGAGTCCCAGAAATGGATCTATTAGCATTACTATTTGCGGCAGCAGAAGTATCTGCTATCATAGGAGATGATGTTTTAGACTCAATAGATTTATTTCCAGGAACTGATTCAGGGTTAGTTTTGTTTACAGTAGAAGAGTCCGTAATTGAAACATCTGTATTAGAGTCATTTGTGTCAGGAACTTTATCTTTCTTTTCCAAATCGTTATCAGTTTTAATTTGAGCATCAAGAGCAGGCTCCGTAGTATCTTTACTTTCTTCAGTTTTTACCTCTTCCGATTTATTTGGCTCATATTTGCTTTCAGATGGTTCATCAATATCCATAGTATTTTCTTTATTATCTTTATCAGATAAATCTTTAACAAGTGATTTTGAATTTTCGTCTTTACTGTCTTCAGCTACCTTTTCATCTATTTCGGTGTCTTTTGTTGATGCAATAACAGGTTCAGATTTAGATATTTCTTTGTCCTCATCTTCTTTCACTTTCTCGTCGTTGCTTGTATTGGTAGCAGTATTATTATTATTATGATTAGTAGTAGCAGTAGCGGTATTAGATAAAGTTGAATTACTGGATATGTTTGCAGCAGGACTTTCTGTTTTGACTGCTGGATCCACAGATATATTTGAGATATTTGCCATATTTACACGTTTTAACATTTCTTCTTTAGCTGTACGAAGTTGGAAGTATAAAGCCTACAAAAATTAAAAAGTCAAAAAAAAAAAAAGGGAAATAGTATTTTAAAGTAAAATAATATTTACCTGAGGGAATTGCTTAGCAATACGCATTAAAATAGCTCGAGCATGTTTGGCTTCTCTTTGATGTAATCCCATTAAAAGTTGCGGAATAAACGTAATCCAATACCAAATGGGCCAATCTCCCTTATATCCTTCGAACGCACGAGATACAGTACCGTTTTCATCATCCAAACTAAGTAACCAAAGTACTCGCAAAAGGTATTTTCTTGCCTTTGCGTTTTTATATATACCAGCAGCTTGTAAGTAACAGCTAACGGCGTTATTAGCCCAGCTTAAATCGTTTGGGTTTTCTTTAAATCTTTTGTCGTTGTACTTGCCCCATTCGGCCCAAGCACCAGGTAAAGATAGATCCATTTGAACTGCATTAACAAATGCTTCATTAGCTTCATTATAATGTCTAAGCTTAGAAAGGAATTGGCCTTTCATGCCAAAAAATTCAGCCTTTTGTTGAACAGTAAAGAAGCTCAAGTTAGTATTATTGATGATGTCTAAACCAGCTGTCAATTGTGTATGATCGTCATAATAACATTTAATTTGTTCACGCATTTTAAAGAATACTTCATTTGTATCAATAGTTGGTAATGTATACAGTTTAGTTAAATTATTGATACATATGTCATTGAGATGGTGCTTTCTGGCAACATGTGCAAATCGATTGAGAATCCAACCTAATTCATGATAGCCTCGATACGCAAAAGCATTCCCACCTTGTAACGCTGCTTGAGATAATTGAGGGGGTATCATGGGAATCAATTGCATGTAGGTACGATTAATAGTATTGAAGATATGCTGGCGCCAAGCAACAATATCACTCCACATATCTATGTCATCCCAAGGGTTAGGCATACGTTCACGCCAAGAGCCTAAAACATTGCGTAGCTCAGTAGACCTTTGTTCGAAATTTTGAATATTTGTATTGACTAAATTAGCAAAAATTTGACTTGTTTCATGTAACTCAAGATATTGTTGAAAAATTTGTAATAGAGGCAAATGGCTCTGTGATACAATATGTGGTAAGTTATACCATTTTTTTAAGGATATCTGAATGCCTTCTTCGCAAACTTTATTGAACTCAGCAAGTCGATCATCTGTTAATTGAGATTTAATTAGAACTAAAAATGCTTCCATAGCCTTAAGTCGAGGTGTAGGTGTAGCAGAAACTTGTGAAATTGCTTGTTCTAAGACTTCACGTTCTATAGACCAGTTAGATAATCTCCATGCACAATCTAGCAAAAGGGTCGTATTATTATCATGTTTAGCAAGGTCAATAAGAATATCCCATTGTTGAAGTTTTTGTGAACATTTTGTCCAATGATCTTCCCACAGTAAATACTCAGACTCAGAAAACGGCAAGACACCGCTACGAGCCTTAGTTTGTGCATTTTCATACATTGTTTGTGCCTGTGACCACATACCACTTTGTTCGTAAGAGACAGCTACATTTGTCTCTGTGTAGGTGCTACGACGTCGCCATAAACCATAAAACATATCCCTCTCTTCTAGCTCATCGTATAATTCACATAATGCATCTAAAGTACGTTCTTTACTATTGATGTCATCTTTTGATGATTCGTTGACACAACCCGTAGTTGTAAATTGTTGTAAAATTTCAATTGATGTATGCCATACATTATATGTTTTACCAAGATATTTGACTAAATGTGGAGGTAGTTTAATTCCCGAACCTGTTTTGGCTATACCAGTTAACAATGCTTGGATAACGTTTGGACGTAGTTCTACTTGCTTAATATGGTATTCTTTGGCAAGTAAATTGATAATGACCTTTATCATATCATGCTTTTCAGTTCCAGATAAAGCATTCCAGCATATGGGAAATAAATCAATCCAAAGTTTGAATGACGTATCGTCATCCAGGTATTGTAAGTAGCGAGTAGTAGAGATAGCATTATTAATATCATATTCTTGCAACGCCTTCAAAAAACTTTGATGCTGATTAATAATCTCATTGACTTCATTAGGCACATCCATTTCTGTTGGCTCTAATGCTTGATTCCCAATTGACTTAATTGATTTTATTTTTAAAGTGTGAGGTGCTGATATTTGAGGATTAATTTTGACTGCACCAAAAAGCATATCGAGCGCTTGATGGATCCAAAAAGTATCAGCTAATGATTCCCAATTTTGAATGCCCAAAATATAATTCAAACGTGTATATAAATTATGACTGATACTTCGATCAAATACACGCATGAACTGTGTACGAATATAAGGGTTTTTATTGCTTGTACCAAACAAGAAAGCTTGCTCTAATCGAACCGTCAATTCTGAACAAGCAAAAGAAGGATCACTATATATCTTAATGACTAGGTCCAAAAAGCTTTCAGTAAGTTGAGTATTATTTCTGCTTTCTATAGTCATCATTTTAACTAATAAGCCTGCCTTTTCTTTTATAGTAGGGAAGGTTTCTGTTCTATTTAATGTCCATTCCTTAACCATACTCATAATTGTCTGTAGTAATACTATATCTGGTGATTTTTCAATTAACTGTGTAAGACAAGTTAAAAAGTAGCGACGTTGATCACCAAGATAAGAAACTCTTTCCTTTAAGACTCCAAGACCAAGTATTAAGAGATTAACTATCGATTCCTGAGCAGTTGAAGATGCATGTGCTGATGTAATATACTCTTTAGTCAGTTTCTGAAGCATTTTAACCATAACAGGTACAAATGGATCTAATTGTTCAGGACGACCCGTACTAAAGGCTTGAAGTAATTTAAAAATACCAAATATGTTGTGCATACTTGTCATGCCATCAGCAATAGTGGACTCAACTAGCGAAACAAATCCAGAGACATCAGGATGCAATGTTTCTTCACCCTTTTCAGGATTAATTGTTGAATTGATTGCACGGAATATATGCGACAAAACAGGTTCAAGAGATGTGTGAATACGCATATTATCTGATTTAATACTTGCCTCTAACAGTCGGAAAAGCTGATTCATATTCATAATAAACCATTCGTTAGGCTTATGAGAGATATCAATATTTAATATTTCTAAAGCATTACACACGCTTGAGGCTAAAATATCATTCAATTCTTTAACTATTAATGTACGCTCTAAGTGGATAAATTTTATATTGACATCAGGCCAAACAGAGGGATCTAAGAACTGTCTAATAAGCTCTAGCGCACGTTGAACAAGTCTTTTCTGAATTATATCGGATGGATTATAAACGGTACAAGCCAGACGAACAAGATAACCAACTATATTTTCACGCAAGGCAAGTGATGGCACGTAATCTTTACAAAGATTAGCAGTGGATGATGTAGATATTGCCAGAGCTTTATTATCTGTATTCTCAGACTTCAATTTTTTATTCGATGATTCAGCTAACGGCTCGGCAGTTCTTTTACCTGAAGGAGTAACACTAGTTGATGTTTCCTCCATATCTTTATTTGATTCATTTTTAAGACGTCTTCTCTCCCAACTTAATAATAATTCAGATAATTCCACACTAAGCAACTTATTTTCGGGAGTAGCGTTTTGAAGAAGACCAAGTTTTGGTAAAGCATTTACAATTTGAGGTAAGAAGTGTTCCTGGTATTCATAAAACATATCTGAATGACGCACCAAGAGCTGGTATACATTAACCATTTGAGCTATGCTATGAGTGTCTTCTACAACAACTTTACGAGTTAAACGGATCCATGTTGGAATCTTTTCGTTACCCACTAAAGGTACACGTTTAGGCAGAACAGGTGTAATGATATCCAACCCCTGTTTAACTAAAGGACGGGCCTCTGATGAATGAGCACGAAGAAGAGCAGCATAAATTTGAATAACAATTTTGCTGGGTGTTTCAAAGGCTGTAATAAAACGAGCAATTAGAACGTAAGCGGCTTGTTTGCAAGTAGCATCTTCAAGTCGCAAATAATGCCAGCCAAATTTGATAATTTCTTTACGCAAATCAGTTACGTATTGAGGCGCATATTGAACAATCATTGCCGTCAGTTGTAAGAGTTCAATACGGAGAGAATCTTCAGCATACTGATCATCTTGATCTAAATCTGTTCCGAGTTGTTTCCAAATCTTAAGGTCAAGTTGTTCTATAATCTTTGTATCAAAAATTTCAACACAACTTTCAGACGCTTGGAAGAGTGCGACTAAGAGAGCTGGATTAACGACATGACGAAGAATCATCATACGCCAATGAGATGTAACTGATGCATCATTATATTGCTGTAAAAATCGTTCTAAAATAAGCCGCTTTCTCTTTGCTGAATAACCTAAAGCAATATCACGCAAGAAAAACTCACGAAGGAAGGCAAGATCCATAACAGATTCGTGTGCAAAAAGAGTAGCGATTTCGTATATAACATCCATATCATCAGGGTTTACACGAAGATAAGATATAAAGATTTGTGCTAAATACATGGATTCATGTGTCATTTGAAGCCCTTGATCATCATCCCTTTTCATTATTTCAAATCGTGAGGGGGAACGCCATAGTCTTAATAAGCTCTCCATTAATTCAGAACTGCGTAACCATTCTGAGTCGTAGGCGGCAATTTCATGAACAATTCGTATCCCTTGAAAATGCATAGCTGGATTATCAGTTACACCTAATGTTTTTTCAATCAATGTTGGAAGTGACTTAATTACTTCATCGCGGAGTGGTCCAGCAGTCTCTACAGCAAGTATATCTATAAAAAGACGATTGTGACGAGGATGATCTAAATGTTCATAAAAATAGGCAATTGTTTCTGCAGGATATCTATTCAAATATTTAATCAAATTAGGACGGAAGGGACTAGAGATCGAACGACGAAGATGGCCCTCCATATCAATAACTGCTGACACTAGACCATCCAAAAAAATATGTGCGGCAGCAGGTAATAAATGAAAGATGTTCAAGATGGCTACAATAATTTTGACCTCATGATTTTCGTAAAGGTTTTTCTCAGAGACCTCGTGAAGCACTGCAGGATCTGCCCATTGTCGTAAGTGATCTAATAATTTGTTACCAATCTCCACTTTGAAATAATTGGTTAATAGTTCTAATAAACGAGCAAGTCCTTCTAAACCTGCAACACTTAGTGTCTTGTAATTTGATAGTGTTGTTAAAATAGGTCGTAAACCCTGCTGTAATAATTCCTTTGGTAGCTTGTATTGTTGTGCTAACACCTGCTTCAAACCACGATGTGCAGCATCAACGACTTCTGGAGATTTAGAATAAAGTGATTTAAAGAAAACTTGAATGATACGAGTACAAGTACGTGACTGACGTTGGTTTGTAAAATCAGAACATGCCATTGCAGCCGATAAAAGCTTAATACATACAATACGAAGATTTATCAAAGAAGACGCGTTCTTGTATTGTGAGCTACGGCTTACTAATGCTTGATCTTCAGCATCAGCGATTGCTAGTGCTTCATGAAGTAAACGTATTAATTCATCATTAAATTCCAAGAAGGGTGGTCTTAAGGTCAGACAATAAGTAATAGCATCAATATGACCAATTTGCATGGCAAAAGGAAGTGCTCGAAGAGGCTTTGCAAAAATAGGTGCTAATAACCGTTCTCTTACAGGCGCTAGAAGCTCTGTCACCTCATTACCCGTTAGATCCGCCAAGAGTTGAAATGATGATTGTACTATTTCACGCACCGTTTTATTAGAGTTTGATAACTCTGCTAAAAGTAGTCCTATCAAAGTTTGGAATAACTGTTGGGCTTCAGGTGACTCATCACCTTCAATACCATTACATACTTTAAGAACATGGGCTAAAGTTTGTGTAGCTTCAGCAGTATTGGCATTAGCCATCTCTGGTGAAGCATCTTTGAGGACAAATAATAAAGAACGAATGAATTCAATTTCATGTTCGCGCATCCATTTTGTCCCCATATCCATTTGTGAACTAATAATAGAGATGCCTAAACAACCGCCGTGCTTAATGAACCATTCCTGTTTATAACAGCAAGCACTAAATTGTGAAGCAAAGACACGGAATATAGGTAATTGCCAGACAAATTCTTTACTGCCTAGTATTTTGACTGCAAAATTATAACAAAATAGAACCGATTCTTCCGCGCGTTTTCGAAGCTCGAGGTCCAAAGATGTGATAACTTTAACAATAGCATCTACTAAAATAGTAGTATTAAGACTAACGCTTGATAGCTTTTCATCCATCATGTCTGAAAGAGGTTTATTATCCGTTTCCTTAGCTTCAATTGCTTCGCCAATGTGCAACAAAATAAAATGACGACATATATTTTCGAATAAGGATTGAGCATCATCCGCAATTTCAGGTAATATAGTGGCTTTCATGATAGTGACAAGCATAGTGCATAATGCCTCTTCTTGAGCAACACGCTTTGCTTGATATTTGGTATATCCATTACCAACAAACCGCTCAGGCTTTAATCCATGTTTCTTTAAAGTATTTCCAACGATTGTATTTTCTCCTTCATGTTTGTCAGCTTCCTCCTCCTTGTCAGATGTTTCTATATCTTTTGATTCTTCTTCTTCTTCTTCTTGTTGTTGTTGTTTGACTTTATCTTTTGTCGTTACCTTTTCTGTATTAGTTGTTTGTAAAAGGTGCCGTTTTACACGTTGATATAATGATTGAGCTAGATTCGTTGGTCCTTCATCTAAATCAAGCATCAAAATGATATTTGCCTTGAGAAATTCATATGCATGCTTTTTATAGAAAATATCAGCATCATGCTTCTCTAATGTTTTACAAGCAATTTCAAGACATTTATCCAATGAAAGAGCCTGCGGGGTGCTATTGGGATCAAAAACGATCTCAACAGAGATACCGCTCTCTATGCATGTGTTGTAGTTTAACTCGGGAGGATTAATAAATATACGTCTGTTTTTACCACCTAATTTCCCTAAAATTCTCATAGCAATATGAGAATGTTGCTGATTATAGGGCAAGGGTTTTACATGTTTCCATAGAGCATTCATTAATTCTTGCATAACTGGAGCCATGATCTGATTTAAAAATTCTGGATTTAAATTGTCATGACAAAGCTCCAAGGTTCGTAAACCTTGTGTTACCAGCTCATTATCTGCTTGAAGTGCAATCACCAATGGCCTCATTAAATAAGGTAAGAATGGTAATAAAGCGCTTAAGCGAACAGGTACTGCTAAACATAACTCCACAAATAAGTTGCGCATATCAGTACGATGTGCCAAGACCAAAAGTGAATTCAAGTTTTCGAGTAAAACTTGAAGTAGAGGATGAATCTCTTTATAAAGCAGCTCAAACCGACCACCGCCAATACTTTTAAATAATGCTCGTAGTAGCAGGAAATAATTAGCAGGCTCCTTTGCTTTAGATGAAAGCTTAAAACAAGATGTGACAAGGTTAGCTAGATAGGGTTGAAGGATCTGCTCATTAGCATCTGGGAAAAGATTAATCGCCATGAAAGCTAAGCGAAACAAATGGAGCATCAAAGCCGAATAATGCACATCCTCACCACCTAAATGATCAAGTCGATCAATCAAAAAACGAAGTAAAATCGAGGTAAAACCATGTGAGGAAATCTCGTTCATCAAGAAATTTTGAACAATATGGACTAAATCTGTGTTGATCAGCATACGGTCAAAGAAAAATTCCATCTGTGAAGCAAAGATTTCTTGAAAAACTGCAGGATCAAGCAGTGTATAAACAATACTAAGGGTATCCATAATCTCTTCTTCAGTTGAAAGTTTAGTGCCAATCTTTAATGATAGCTCATTTGCTCCAATAGAATTTTCTTCGGTACTTTCTTTATTTTTTGATAGTGAATAATAATGATCAATATTATAATATTCAAAACACTTGAGACTTTCTCTAAATAATCGTATAAATATATAGACATCGTTTTCTGAAAAGCCTCGAGCAAATTGTGCATAATACTGAGGATTTATTTCATTTGTAGGTGGCGAATTAGAATGCCTTAAGCCAATAAATAATGGCTTCAATCCGATAGTGAGATTTTTAAAAAGAAATCTTCCGTCTTTAATACCATCCTGCTGAGGATCAAGTAAATAGGAAGCAGTATGAATGGAGCGTGCACTATCAAAATCAAACTCATCATCTATTGTCTCTATCGATATCGATGTGTCTCTTTTAGCATCGTCTGCTGATTTTGTCTCTGTCATAGGCTTTACTTCTGACTTTTGATTCTTTTTGTTATGCTGGTTCAAACATGATTTAAATTGCATATTAAGAGTAGCAAATTTATGAGCAAATGCATCCAAGATACGCATTAGTAAGCCACGTCCTTCTGCTCGATTGGGGATTTTAATAATACAATCAATCAAATTAAGTAAGAGTTTCCCACACATTGTTTGAATACTTGGAGCAAGTGTCGGATCATGAAGATTACGTGTATACATATAGACTGTTCTACGAAGTTGACTTGGTGAAAGCTCAGATCGAATATGATGAACTAGATCTGCAAGCATACTATAAGCTAAAGGCCTACAAACCATAAAATGAATACTATGATTAGCTAAATGAACGTATGCATATTACCTTAACGTATCATAAGACGTTACACCTGTTCCAATAAGCACTTTCTCATTTAACAGCAGATCAATCTTTGATACAAAAGACGTTCTAAAATCAGTAGAAAGAATATGCCGTGTGGCAACTAATAATTCCTTTCTAGTGGCCGAAGATTCGGGAGGGCACTCGCGTAAGAGTCTCAAAACAAACTCAGGGATTTGATTTTGAAATGGCCGTAAAAATGCGGTATAACTTCTCAAGATATAGGCTAAAAATGACATTGTCTTTACTTGGGCAACAATAAAGTCGTTGTATACAGATCGGTTTTTAATTTCTGAACTAACACCAACAAAAACTTCGCCACGAGCCTGCGCAGCACTTGCAGCTTCTGCTTGAGGTTTTGCCTGAAGGCTCAATATCTAATAATCTAGAAAGTTAGTTATTTTTTTATCAGGTAAAAAAAAAAAAAAAAATCAATTTGATGTACCTGAAAAATCAAGGGTACAAATTTAATAATATTTTCAGTTGCATATCGACGATGTGTCTGAAAAAGTAAGACGGTAATAATGGGGCATTCGGTTAATACTTTAAAACTAAACATACTTTTTTGTAACGGTTTAGGGGGCATTTCAGGTAATTCTGTTGCAGGTGGTGAATTCGGCCGAGGTGAATTTGATAATAATGGATTTATACCAGGCTATTAATAACAATAATAATAAAATTTAGCATAAAGACACATTAATTATAATTCTTTATTTACAGTAGCAGATCCAATTGGTGTAGATGGAGCGTCAAACATGTCTTTTACTGTTTGTTCCATATTTTTGAATATTTCTTGAACAATATCCAGAAATGGTTGAACCTGATCTTCTAATAGTTCTCTATATGTCCGATGCAAATCGATAATAATTTTCACGCACACAACAGCGTTGTCTTCATTTTCTACTTTTAAAAGGTGCATTAACATTCTACACAAATCTGGTGCGTATCCTTTCAAAGCTTCTGTTTGTGGTAAACGGTGAATAATTTCCAAAATGATATTACGAAGTTTCTAAAATAACAGGTTAACATGCTTTTTTTTTTTTTTTTTTTTTTTTTTTTTTTTTTTGTTGTTGTTGTTGTTGTTGTTGTTGTAAACGTACTTGCTCAGGGATATTACTTTGAAAGACAGGATTTCCATTTTGCAGAATGTCAATAAAGACGGGAATTAGAGTTGCTAAAAACCTTGGATACTCTAAAGTTTGAAATATTTCTACCTGATCTCTGAGTTCATTAGCAATCGTTACTTTTAGTCCAGGAGCTAGAAATGCCATATAAGTAATATATATATATATATATATATATATATATATATGTACATGTGTATATGGTTTACTATTTATTTACCTAAATTAGGATCACTAAGTCTATGCGCGTAGACTTGTAATGTTGTCATTATTATATTAGAGAAGAAAAGCTTAGTAAATTATTAAAAAAAAAGGAGCTTTTGTTTAATAACCCTCTGGAGACGTGAAATGAAGCTTTTAAATAATAATAAAAAAAAAAATAGAGATAAGGTATCTTAAATTCAAGAAGATTTATTGAAATGCAAAAAGGTTAATTACTATCAGGATATATGAAAAAGTTACAATCACGTGATGTGACCGCATAATTATAAAGATTAGTCACATAGCCCAAAAATGGTAGTAAAAGAAAAGAGAGAAATAAATAGTTTATTAAGTTCAAGTGCAAAACAAGTAGTAATAATAGTATGTATACAAAATATGAATATGTATATGAAGTGCATAATATATATAATAAAAGAATTGTTTATAATATATATATATATATGTATATGGATATATATAAAGTGTATATAGCATATAATAAATAGTTATAAATAGTCATATAAGTATAGCAATATAATTTAAAAAAAAAAAAGAAAAAAAGAAAACACGAATCTAATAAAATTAGAATGCCTAAACAACCTCATAGCGCTTATTTTTTCCCCATCCTAACATCATTTCAACTCCCAAGAACAAAATTTTCCAAATTTTAAACATACAAGATATAAAACCCATTGCGCTTTTTGCCTCGTCTTCTGAGTATGAATGAGCAAGATTTAAAGCCATCCATGTAGTATCAACTAGGCAAAAAGATATCTGCATTAAAGGTGATAGTTGATCTTCTATAGCGTTTTGTTGACTGTTTGGTAAGGTGCCATACGATGATCCAAGATTGTTTTGAACGCGTCTATCAATAATATCTGCTAGTGACTGATACGATGATGAAGCGGAATGATGAGATGTCATTGTAGACTTTTCATCATCAAAATAATATGTTGTTGTATTTTGAAGAGGTTTTGAATAACTACAAGAGCTAGAGTCACTACTAAGGTTACTATGATCACTACTACAATCACTATTGTTATCATTTGGATTTAATTGCTCATCATTCATTGTTAATAAAGTTGAATTATCCAGGGAAGTGGTAGCAGTATTACTGTATATTAACTTTGGAGTATTAGCAGCAATGTATTGCATCTCAGTAGATCGATACCTCTGAATAATATCAGCAGACATTATTTGTCTTTGTGATGCTTCTTGCTTTTGTATATCAAAAATTTCTTCTGTCTCTTCATCTTCTTCCTTTACTACTTGAAGTTGATTTTGAAATGAATTACTGGTACGGTGCGCAATAGGCATAGTTTCAGTAGAATGATTCAAGATGGATTGATTCTGAACATCTTTTTGTTCATCTTCATCAGGATTCACAACATGAAGTGTAAGACCTGTTGAATTATAACGACCATGACTCATCCACATATTTTCATCTATAACATAAGATTGCATTCTTTTATCATCATCTTCATCATCAAGCGTCATGAATTCTGAAGCATCCGGTGCAGAAGCAGCCATTACTAAGACACCTTCATCACCTATAATAAATGTATCATCATAATCATAATCCTCTTCATCATAATCATAGTTCATTGATTGCTGTGGTTCATGTGTTGCCATTTGATGAGGAGTATAAATAAAATCGCCTTCGGTTATCATAACTTTGGGTTGAATAATAGGGAATCTTAAAAGAATTTGTTGAGATTTACTAAATACGCAATGTATTAACCAATTTTCCAAAAAGCTGTAAGGAGGATTTTTTCGATAAGAAGGGCTGTTTTGACGGGAGATTTTATGACATGTTGTATAAAATGTCCTGTTTGCCAAATGAAAGGCTTCATCATCTTGCTGAGCTAAATCGAATGTTAAATAATCATCATTTGCTGTTTGTGGTATATCAAATGCTTCTTCTATATAGTTATATTGCCCTTGTTCAGTATTGCTAGTATGTTTTTCTTCTTCATCAGTATTTTCTTCATCAATTGTATTTTCTTTCAAGTTTATAATTATAGGAAATTCAGCTTGTTGATCATTACTATTCATAGTTATATTTACAATAAATAAGATGTATAAAATAAGACTATAAATATTTAATAAAAAAAATAGCTTGGTATTTATTTATTATACAAAAAAATATATGTAGACAATATATGTGGGTAAATAATTATATACGGTAAATGTTATATAGTAGAAGAGAGAAAAAAAAAAAAAAAAAAAAAAAAAAAAACTTCCCTCTACTTTATTGGGAAGAAATCTCTGACTTTTTTTTTTTTTTTTTTTTTTTTTTTTTTTTTTTTGTGCAACGAGCCTTTTTGATGACATTTATATGAAGAACAAAGATGTTAAAACAAAGTGTATGCAAAAGGATGTACACTATAAAAATCTATTCAATGTCCCTGAAAAAATACATGTCTCTATGAATATGTAAAGCGCCCTTTGAATTTTTTCAAACAGAATCTTGAAGCTTGTAACACAATGGATAAAATTGATACAGATTTATTAAACATAAAACTGGCTTATGGACAAGTTTATGGGTATAAATACAAAATTTTCCACAAGGGAAAGATCCGGTTTAAAATGAAGCTATCATTGTACTTGATGAGGGAGTGTAGAAAAAACCTATCTTGACCAGTAATGTTGCTTAAGAGATTTTATGGCAGGAATACAATCACATTCCAACAGTTTTTGCAAACTAAGATACAATGGTTATCAATAATTACAGGTGTAACTTTCATTTCGAAGCGTGAATTACAGGTCTGTTTAATCTACAGTACAGTGAAGCTGGGAAATATTGGTTAATTTAGAAATTTGAATGGTGATTATAAAAAAATAATTTGAGGCACACTAAAAAAATGATTGGCAGAAAACCAAAAAATGATTGGTCATTTTTAAAAGTTGTTTTGAGCGTTTCTGATAACTAAAATGAAGCTAAAAGTGGCTACGAAATCCATAAAGATCACTAACACGTACATTGTTGCAAGCATGAGCGACTCTCTCGGATAAATTTTCTTCAGCCATCAGATTCTCGCGCTTAACTTCCTTTTTACAAGAGCCCAGAATTTCTCAATTGCATTCAATTCACTAGTAAATATATGGAGTTAAATACATAAATCAACACACGGTTTCTATCAAAGTTTAGATCCGAATTCTTCATTTCATGAACCATTCATATTTTGTTTACATATTGAGTATTCATACTTGATATCGCACAAATGTAGCCTTATGTTGACTTCGAAGCAACGGTGTCAAATAAAAAACGTAATAAAAACAAACAGATACAGTAAATTAATCAGCTTTGCTGAACAGAGAATATATCAGAGAATGAATAAAATTACAAGTGTTAAACACATTCTCTAGTTTGTTATTTATTCATTTGAGAGCATATACAGAGAGATAAATAGCAGTTATTTGATTCAATACCCGATTTAAAACACACAGATCCAATAGATTGAATTGATCAACTCTTTCAAAGACAATAGACGCTAAGATTATATAAAGCACCAATGAAAGAGTAACAGAAGTTTTGTTTAATAATGATATACTAATAAAGAATCAATAATACTGAAACAATTTCATGTAATTATATAGATTGAAAGTTATCAAAATCCAACCTGTTATCAGAGAACTTCCTTTTCAGGAATAATGATTAATTCGCAGTAGCTCGTATATATCAATCGGTTTGGAACTTGTATTTATTTTCAACGTCTTTTTTTCCTCTTTATCCACATAATCTACACTTAGCTTACTTGTGAAATCTAACGTAAAAATTAAAGGGAAACAAAGAGACACTTCAATCTCTTCAAAACAAGACGGAGCAGTCTACTGAAGGTAAAGACAGCAGGTGCCATATATATCTATATATGATTCAGTAGCTCAAAATTCCAATGAACACAAAATATATATCATATTCAAATTTTTTTTAGAACCATATGTTGATGACAATTCAGTTGATGACTTTCAGTCTATTACAAAGTATAGAAAAAAAAAGTAAGTCATATGGGCAAATTTAACGCTGTAAAACAGCTGCTTTAATGCATTACATTCATAATAGGTAGAGAAAGTAGTCCGCGTAAAGAGGCTCAAAAGCGAGTTAAGGGAAAAGGAAAAGCAAATGATATGCCGCCTTCTCTCCATATTCTGGACTCTGCCTTTCCAAACTTGGGCGAGTCTAGCAAGTTTAATGAGCCTCAAAGATTTATTTCCTCTACTGCTGTGTCTGTTTCTTCTTCCTTGGACAAAAATGAAACAAAAAAGCAGGTGATAACAGTAAAAGCAACTGTGAAGTCTATATGGAATCCAATGCACATGCAAGCTTTGTTTGAGCTAGTTGATGCAACCAACATAGTAGTGACACATACATTCGCTTTCTCCAAATATATATTTCTACAAGAGTTGAAGGAAAATTTTAAATTTGAATTGGACAAATATATCAGAAAGGATTTTTTTGTGAAAGTTTTTTTGAGCCTGATTGATAGAAAAACTATACCTGGAAGGCTTCAAAATAGAAAGGCAAATTACAGGACATTAATTTCAGAGCATAAAGAGTCATATTGTAAAAGTGCGAAATATACACCCATCGGGCTGCCGTACGCTCAACAGAGAGCATTATATGAATGTACAAAGATACAAACTGCCTATGTCAACAATATCAAAGTTCATTTTGGTAACAGATTAAGGGGGATTCTAAACAAGCTTTTCAAAAAAAAAAAAGAAGTTGGTTAGCGATCTGCGTGAAGAGTTAAAGAAAAAGAGGTTAAATAATGAAGTCATGAATAAAGCATTGCGAGAAAAGGTTTATGATCCATGTAACCAAGTGAAAAGTGCTATTGAAAAGAAAGTGATGCCAGAAGCGGCAATCTTGGACGATTCTGCAAAAACAAAAATCAAAACTATCTTACAATGTTACCCAGATACCTACAATTTCAAGAAGGATTCCATTTTTTATGACGTAAACGTGAACCCAGAATGTCACTACAAAGCTTTCATGAAGATATCCGAGCTATTTGTTTCAGAGAAGTTACGTCAATTTTCCTGCTTTCCTTTACGAACCACATTTATCCCTTGCTATATGACCTTAGATTCAAATATTATCGACCACCCTATTTTAAAGAACAAGACAGCATTCAAAATGGACAACAGATCTCAAATTTGGGGGAGAGATAGTGAATCTAAACAACAAGGCTTTCAAATTTGTTCTATGACCAAGATGACCTGGCTTTGGTGAAAAAGCTTAAGCAAAAAATTTGGGCACGACCCCATTTTAATTATTGATAATTGGCCTGCCCCAAATGTAAAATTTCAAGAATCAACAAGAAATAAGGGACTCATAAATATGCTAAAAAAGAATGGATTTAAGGTTCATCTTGTCGATGAATTTCGTACCTCAAGTTCCTGTCCCAATTGTGAAAACAGACTAGAGAAGTTTAAGCTCGTTGCTAATCCAAGACCATTTCAGCGTGAAAAAATGCCTACTGTATTCTGCCATGGTTTACTTCAGTATGCAATACAAAGTTAAAAACCTTTAGTTAATTGATAAATAATATAACAAATTTGTTTGTAGTTGTGAAAATATACATTGCTTAAATGAACACGAATATAAAAGAAGAATATGGAATCGAGATCTGATGGTAATACTAAATTTTAAAAAGATATTGACAAACCTTAGCAATAATGGCAAGAAACATCTTTTGTTTTCACGTCAAAAACAACAGTAACAATTATGATTATCCGCGTTAGTTATCGCTTTCGCTATTTCATGCAGGTAAATATTGCTCTGAGCTTACTTGAAAATATTGGTGAGCCAATCGTTTTTCGGTTTTCCACCAATCATTTTTTTAGTGTGCCTCAAATTATTTTTTTATAATCACCATTCAAATTTCTAAATTAACCAATATTTCCCACCTTTACTGTATTTTCAGTTATATTTGAGAAGATTATAAACTTTTTTGAGAATTATATTTTATTTTTGGGAAGTCTTCAAAAAAAAAAAAAACGAGAATTAACCCCTTTTTAGTTTAGAAAAAAACAGCGAGTTTTTTAGAATTTAGGTTTTTTGACGATCTCCTTTCCTTTTAAATAAAAATGGACTACGTTTTATTTAATCTCAGTCCTCCGTGTCCATCTCCAAGTCCATTTCCACATCCATTTTCTCCGTGTTCACTTTTTCTTTTCATTATTACTTGTTTATAATGCCTACAATAACTAGAGAGCGAGCAATTTGTATGTTATTTGGTGCTACATATAGCGACGAAAATTGTAAAAAATATGTAAAAATCATTGACGAACTAGAAGGCTTGGATATTTGCTACAACGAAGATCCCATGGAGCCTATTGTTATTTCAACCTTCAAAATCAATGCATACCCATTAAAATACAGCACATATAACAGTAAAACAATGAGTCCGACGTTAGAAAAAGAAGAAGATGAAGTTTTTAAAAAGAGCAACTTAGGTACAAAAAAAAAAAAAAAAACTTTTACTGCTGCATAATTTAATTAGAGTTTATTCTTTACAGCCAACCAGGCACAACTTGTTGATTTTGTTAACAGCGTCATTTTACCATACGATCCTCTTAATGATGACATTTATGAATGTAGAAGAATGGAGACAAAAGAGATTTTGGCGTTGCTAATGAAACACACAGATTTATTAAATAAGAAAACAGTAAGCAGCTTTGGTAAGTGGCTCAAGTCAGCAAAAGTAGATCTGCTTAAGTCTCCTGACAAGAGAGTTCTCACTAGTGACAACGAAAAAGTACAAGTGAGAAATTTATATGTTATGAAAGAGAAATTCTTAGGCAAGTTAGAATTTAAAAAAAATCAGATATTTAAAATAACTAATACTTCTATAGTCGATACTGCCAATAATATTGCCAAATATTTACATAATTACCAAACCAATGTAAATGCTTTAAAAAAAATGGTTACAAAGTTGTTGGATACGCGAGAAAATCACTAGGAAACGAAAGCAATGAAACTCGCCTCAGATTACTTCGATTGATGAGAGATTGTCTGAAAGGCCGATCGCTTGTTGAGCGTATTTTTGTCTCTTTCTCCAGCAAAGCAAATGAACCAATGAACAAAAGAGACAAACCAAAAACAGCTGTTCTTGACGAGTTGGAGGTTGATGGGGACACAAATGGTAATAAGCATCAAAGTCAAAGTTGTTAATATAAAAAGTAACCAGAAATTATAACTTTTATTAGATTTGATCAGTTTCATCTCCACAAATAAGAAAGTATGCCTGGTGGCGATTGATCACGCTGGATTAACTACCAACTGCGAAGATCTCAGAGATTTCCTTGAGTAATAAGATTTAAAAAAAAAAAATCCACTATTAAAAAAAATTATAACGGTTTTTGTAATTCTCTAGAAAAAATGAAAATCTGGCAATGATAATAATTGATAACCTGCCTTTTAATAACAAGGTCCACATCTACGAAAGAGGGGAGTTGTTGCTTAATAACTCGAAACTTCTTCAAAATTTTAACTGTAGAAATAGACCTCAACAAAGGTCGAAAAAATAAACTTTCTACTTTCAAATTCTAATGCTTTAATCTTGTTGTGTCCCAGAGACATCTCCTTTATTACAATAATAGACTTCACACTATAATTAATATCGTCATGATTTATGCACAAGTATTGGTGAACTCTGATTTATCATGTTATGCAATAAGACAATGAGAATTAAACTAGAGTTAAAGTTACTATTTTATTAAATCAATGATAAGCTCTATATAAATATTTTATTCATATTTGAGACAACAGGTATTCAGCTAGGTGAGACCGGTGTATATTCTCAAGTCGGTGAATACATGTTTGATCTGGAAATAGATCAAACTCACCGATGTGAGGCAATTAAAACCAAGTCAACATTTGAGACATACTTTAATATTACAAATCCTCGTAAAATAAAATATGTCTCAAATTTGCTATTTAGACCTGAAGAACAAAATAGGAAATGTTATTATGCTAGAATCTTCTTGAATCTTTATGTAACAGCGAATTCAAAGATATATAAAGGAATAAAATTTTAATATTATACTATCAATCGAATTTGAGCTCGGTCAAATAATAAGAAAGAAGGGGGGGGGGAAAAACTAAATATAATAAAGTAAATAAAAATTTTTGAAGGGTGGGCATAATAACATTTCCTATTTTGTTCTTCAGGTCTAAATAGCAATTCTCAGTCGAAAGAAATTTCTCGAGAGAATTTCTTGAGACCGTCGGAACAAAACAGGAAATGTTATTATGCTAATCCAGAGCTTGAAAGGAATCAGAAGCATCAAAAAATTCGTCTTGACTGGATAGAATCGTCGATGTAAAGTCAACTTGCGCCATTTGATTCCGCTGGTAATGACGAACAAATGTTTCTGATGAAGCCCAGTTACCAAGAGCCACAATGCTGTCTCGAGAAATACCTAGATCTAATGCCCTAGAAGATGCCAACAATCGAATAGAGACCCCAGGTTCATTTGTACACAAAGAGATGAAATGACGATGTAACCACTTAGAAACAGTCGATGCGGATAACGATTCTTTTATATTGTTGAACTTGACAAAGAGAGTCGAATTGTCTGGACGAGCTTGTAGTGCCGGATGATCTTGGATTGCTTTAAAGCATTGAACGGGACATAATTCGTAATCCTCGGTATGTGGGTGAACCGTGAAAGGTTTGATAATACGGCGTTTACTGCGAGTTTCTTTCGGTGCGACCACTTGAAACTGAAGATGACCATTCTCTAGTACGGAACACGATGCATAGGGGATACGAACCAGGTCAGACGGACGGAGAAAAGCAGCCATTGCCAGGAGAAAAGCCAATTTCTGTTGCAACAACAGGATTGGAGTAGAGGATTTGGAAGCAATAGATCGAGCATAGGCAAAAGCTGGAGACACATCAATAGTTGGCCGGTGTATAGATACTGGAGGATCTTCCTTTGACATATGGTCTATATAAGAGTTAATCAGTTCACTTTCGCTAATACTTTTAGAGTTGTCATGGAGATGAGCCACCGCTGTACGTAAAGACTTAAGAGTGGAAGCCAGTAGATTATGCTCTTGACGCATGTCAGCCAGAAAGTTTACTAGATCTGTAGGAGTGTAAGCCGTATAAGAAATCCCATTATTAGTAGCCCAGGCCAGAAATCGTAACTGACTCTTACGGTAGCCCCGATTAGTCCCATTGTTTGCCAACTGCCTTACTAGTAGATCCTCAACCGCTTGTGCATTGAGGTTTTTACGCACTAGTTTATTCCTGATAATGTCCACACGGAGAGCATCCAATTCCGAGGTAACAGTGGGTGTGGAGTCTTGGGGGATGTCGTTTGCACCGATTGTGGGGGCAGGAGCCATGGATCCGTTAGTGCTAGACGTTGAATTAGAGGAAACCAAATCGCGCTGGGCCAGTATGGCACAACTAGAGTGACCCGGGGAAGTTTTTCTCGTATAATCTTGTGGAGTACCCGAGTGATGAGGTTCCAAGGTGGATTGATGTAAGGATGCGGAAACTTCGTCCATGGGATGGTAAACGCATCCGTATGGATAGCGTCCGGATCGGGAAGCCAAGACACGTACTTTGGTAACAGTTTGGTTGTCCTGTCGGCGAAGAGGTCGATCGAGAACGGGCCCAACAGTTGATTCATCTGGTGGAAAATCGATGGGCGAATTTGCCACTGATTCTTGAAAAATGTTCGACGAGATTCCATATCGGCTATAGTGTTGTGTATTCCACTGATATGTTGTGCTTGAATCATTATCTTATTGTGAAGGCACCAATTCCAAACTTCGGTCGCCAGTTCCAGTAATGGGAGAGAACGTGTCCCGCCTTGTTTGTTGATGTATGAAAGACTGGTGGTGTTGTCTGTCTTGATCAGCACTGTAGAGTTCTCCGGAATAGGAAAAGTCTTGAGAGCCAGGTGGGCCGCTTTGAGCTCTCTCCAATTGATTGATTGCTCCGCCTCCATTGAAGTCCAATAACCATGAGCTCGATGCTGTTTCCAACTGCAGCCCCAACCCGTATCGCTCGCGTCCACAAAAATAGTTTGAGTCGGTGTTGACGGTAGGAATGAACGACCATTCCATTTCTTGAGGTTGTGATACCACCATGAGAGTTCCTCCAGACTGGCTTGATCTAATGGTCGAGGTTTGTCCCAATCGGCATCCGTCTTGACCGTTTGATTCTTGTAATACAGGAGATGTCGAGTATACAGTCGAGCTGGAAAAATTGCAAACGTAGCTGCCTGTATTCGCATCGTCAAGCTGTGTATTACTCGAGGAGTTTGACGATTGGGCTTGTCCAACACTTGCTTGATCGATCGCCGGATGTCGCGAAGTTTCTTGAGAGGGAGAGACGCTGTCATCTTTGTGGTATTCAATACAAAGCCGAGGTGTTCTAGTTGTTGCGTGGGTGTTAAGACCGACTTCTTGAAGTTGACGAGCCAACCTAGTTGTTGAAGAAGAGAAACCACCTTTTGAGATTGTTGAAGAGCTAATTCTTTGCTGTCTGCTACCAAGAGCCAGTCGTCCAAGTAAGCAGAGATCCTGATGCCTTGACAGCGTAAGTGTTGTTATAGAACAAGCTCTGGATATAATCATAAGTAATATTATAATAGATGAACTACATAATACAGGATAAAATATAAGCCTGAATATGAAATAAAACTCTGCATATAACATCTTGTAAATAATATAAAACTTATTGACATCCAATTGTCTAGATGTATCAATTATAAGACATCGTATCATTTCTAAATATTTATTTTTATAACCTTGATAAAGGATTCAGGTCGTCTTTGATCCAATAAAATAAAACATAAAAGATATCAGGAACATATACTCAGATTAAACAATAAATTTTTTATTTAAAACTTGATCAGATCATTATAACACCCAATAGATAATCCATAGATCAGTCTCTTGAATCAACAAGACGTATATCCGAATACTAACACTGTTTCATGACTCATGTTCTTTGACGGTTATTTTTATTTCTTTGATTCAGGATTCATTAATATAAATACAAGCAGTTGTTTAGACACAAAATAATCTTGAACTTCTTCTTTAACTTTCTCTTAACATTCTTTATTTTTATTAAATAAAAACAGTCTCAAACTATACTTCCTTTTGTTCTCTTTTTCTCTTTTTGTTTTATCTTTTATCTTTATTTACATTCCATCACAAGTGTTCTAAAATGGGCTTGCAGACTTTGGTAAAGACATAGGGACTTGAGGCTAAACCAAAAGCGATTGTACGATACTGGTAGACTTGACCCTTCCATTTCAGACGTAAAAACCGTCTTGAGTCTGGATGGAGACCTATATGAAGGAATGCGTCCGATAAGTCGATTGAGACTAGGTAATCGTTTTGATGGATCATTAATGATACTTCTCGTAATGTGTCCATTTTGAAATGAGGAGCGTGAAGGTATTGATTGAGGCGCTTGAGATTGAAGACTGGGCGAATGCCTCCATTTTTCTTGGGGATGACAAACATGGAGCTGTAAAACCCTGGTGTTTGTTGAACCGATTCTGGGGAAACAGGTTCTATTGCTTGTTTGGATAAGAGTTCTTGGATAGTCTGATCGATCAGAGGTATTTGATCTTGAGATAGAGGGTGAATGGATGTTGGATTTATTGTTGTAGGTGGAGTAGTATGAAAATGAATCTTGTAACCGTGTTGAATTATGGTGTCGACGAATGAGTTGATGGGAATTTTTGTCCAGTTTAAATAGTATTTGCTGAGACGACATCCTACTGGGTCGAGTGTTGTAGCTGTAAGTATTGATGTGGTTACTGACGAAATGGGTTGGTGTTCTTCCTGTAGTTGTAGTTGTTGTTGTTGCCACTGTTGCTGTTGTTGGGACGAGAGCTGCTGCTGCTGCTGCTGCTGCTGCTGCTGCTGTTGTTGTTGTTGTTGTTGTTGCTGTAGTTGCTGTTGGTGTTGTTGAGAAAACCACCCTGCTGCGAGGGTGGACCGGCTCGAAAAAACTGCTGATTGGAAACGTTTGAGAAAGAGCTGTTCAAGCCAGAATTACCATTTTGGAAGCGACGACGTTGGCGTTTGTTGATGGTTGCTTCCCGAGTGGCCTTTCTTGCCGCAGTCTGTTGAATCAGAGTGTCGTGGAATACATCCAAAGGGAGAGTGTAGTTAACTTCATTTGTAGATTTCATGGAGAACGAAGGATCAATCGCACGAAGAGCAATGTTATTACGGGTTTGAGTCATTGATGCACCGAGATGTAACAACAATTTTCGGATATCCTGAAGCATGGTACAATAATGTTCCAAGTTTGGATTGCCAGCTTCTGATGAGACAAGTTCATGACTAAGAATGTCAAGGGGACGATAAACTGCAGATAGCAAATATTGGAATTGCTTGATGGAATTGTCTTCGTAACGTTGGCCTTTATTCATAAGGCGCTCCGCTGTTGGGATGGTAGCGGGTGCTTTGTAATCCAAATGGGCCATGGGAGGGTAAGACTCAATGATCGTCTTACGTTCGGAGTCAGTAAGTAAAGGTGAAGTGTTCAATGGAGCATTTAAATTCATCAGTTCAGAAAGACCCTCTGAAGGAGACCAGTCGTAATGGGGTCGGGTACCCATTGAGTGTAGAGGTAAGATAGCAGTGTCATCCGCTGACTGCATCGAGGTAGTGGTAGCATTCTGTAATTGTTCTTGTAGGGCAACGATCTGTTGCTGCATCATGTGAAATTATTCTTCAAGGGAGGACATTGAAAATATTAGTAAAGAAATGTTAGGAAAAAATATTTGCAACTTTATATGAAAGTGTGTGACAAATAAGCTGGTAATGACCGAGCGAAAAAGAAGATTGATAGTATAATATTAAAATTTTATTCCTTTATATATCTTTGAATTCGCTGTTACATAAAGATTCAAGAAGATTCTAGCATAATAGCATTTCCTATTTTGTTCCGACGATCTCAAGAAATTATCTTGAGAAATTTCTTTCGACTGAGAATTGAGTAATCATAAAAATTACAAGTGCTGACACTCCTGCTATACAAACTCACCATAAATAGAGTAACTTTCTTTATTTCTAATAAGGCAATCAATTCACAATCTGGTCATTTTCTAGAATGTTATCTATTTGTTTTTTATTTATTTTTTATGTGAACAATTAAGCTCGGATTCTCCAAATCTGAACACACACATCCATATGTAGACCCCTTATAAAGGGAAAGGAGAAACTAAACTTCAAGACGATAAGCATAAGTATCGTTAATCATCTTCCAAACTATCCGGATAGGTTCTATATTGCAAAGGATTGTTTTTTATTTTTTTTAAACAGATTACAATTGGTTCCATGGGATCTTCGTTATAGCAAATATCCAAGCCTTCTAGTTCGTCAATGATTTTTACATATTTATTACAATTCTCGTCGCTATATGTAGCACCAAATAACATGCAAATTGCTCGCTTTCTAGTTATTGTAGGCATTATAAACAAGTAATAATAAAAAAAAGGATTTCTTTTTTTTTTTTTTTTTTTGTAAATTATTGTATTTTTTCAGTAAAATTGAGAAAGGCTCTGGAATAAAATGATAAATTTAAAGCCAGATTTGATAAAATGTTTTCACTGAAATTGAGAAAAGAGAGCTAAATTGATAACAGCCAAGAAAAAAATCGATAAAAGTTCAGAAAAAAATTGAGAAGGTCTTCCTTTTAAAATACTAAAAAAAACATTATATTAATGAACACCGATTTTGAAATGAATAAATTAAGCCTCCAACAAGAGGAAGAGGAACAAATTACCGAGATTTATATTAGCATGATGTCTATGATGAGATCTAAATGGGAAACCACTATGCCTTCCTCAGATGCTATGGATCTCGATGAAGAAGTTAATGAAGAACTAGGAGCTCTTGACTCAGAAGAGAATAACTATAACGCAGATAATAGTGAAGATGAGAATGAAAGTAACGATAAACTAGCAAAGCCCACTGTTGAAGAATTTGCTAAGAAACTTGCCAGCAACAATACAATAAAGAAAATGTGAAAACTTTGAAGTACAGAAAGTACAAGCAGGAACAAATCAAAGAGTTTATCTGCTTGATAACAGAGATGGTTCCTGCAAAAGACGCAGCTTTACGAACTGGTATCGTTTTAAGTTCAGCTTACCGTTTCCGAAAACAATAGACGGAAGAGGGGAAGATGCGTAGACAAAAAAAAAAAAAAAAAAAAAAAAAAAAAAAAGAGAGAGAGAACGTGTTGTTGGAACTGTTTCTGATTTAAAAGAAGAGCACACAGTATTTTTAACAAAAATTATGGACGATTTTGCAACTATTACTATTATGCAAATGTGGGAGATGTTGCACCAGGAGTTCTCTGAATTGTCTGTTAGTAAGTCTTCCGTTTATAGACATGCCAGAAATAACTGTGCTTTGTCTATGAAAAAATTAGAGAAAACAGTTGAATCTGTTTTGATTAGCAAAAAGATAGAGAAAGAGAAATGAACAAAAGACAAGTCTGTGAAAACTTTGTATAGTTTATTAGACAATACAAAAAATTGTACAACCAAAAAAAATTATATGGAAATTATCGAGGGCTATTTATATGTTTTTACAAGGTGAGTGTTATTAAAGGAAATATGATTCAGATGGACAAGTTCTACTATAATAAAGTGTTTTACATAAAACATTGTCTCCGAATAACTCTGCGATCAATAAGATATATCTTTATTCTTTTTTTTTCTCCCTGAGTTGTCGCTGTTCCTAGAAGCATAACGAATTATTATCACTGGGATGAGCGACACATTAATATTAATTTTCAGTGAATATGTCTAACTGCAACAATACCAATTATTCATGAATTACTATCGTTATCATTGTATAAGATTTCATTGCTTAACAATATTCAATATTATCAATGTATATATGATATGTATGTATCACTCAAGAACAATAATGTAATTGAATACACCAGTCATAATCCTGTTTGAATAATGTATATAATTATTATTATTGTTCGAACATTCTAACAATGACTATTATTAAAAACTGAGTGTAGAATGAATATTATGCTGTGAAGTACAATATACTAGTTTTATACGAATAATCTCTTTATTATGTAATAAATGATAGTTGATTTCTGTTAACTTAGTTATAAAGACGACTTGTCATGGCTGTAAGATTTATAACTTAATTCAATAAGATAAAAAGTCATAATAGAACATATAGTGCACTTGTACAATAATTCTGTCTATAAACATATTTAGTATATTTACCCTTGTATAGAAAAATAATTAATTAATAAAAGTCCTACATTTAAAGATATACTTCTTCTATTACTGTTCTGTTGAATATAAATTTATAAAAATAACTTTATACAAGTTAAACTGGGGTAAACTAAAAATAATACAAACATGCGTAATAATTGATTCTATTGTTGTGTATATAATGATGTATTACATAATATCTTATAATAAACAGACCAGAACCATGAAGGTCCGAATGATATTATAGTTATTAGTTGTACACTTTATGCATACAATATTATTTGATTTCAGTTTATAAGACATTCTTGTGATGAGAAAAATAATATTATAATAAATAGTGTAAGGAGTTATTACTGATAAAGATATATGAATTATAGATTATACTTATTAGTTATATATACACATTATTATTATAATATTGTCTCATATACTAATTTATAAATATAATCATATACTATCTATACACTATACAATATAATGACATTCATTCAAATAGTATAGTAAGGAATGAATATAATACAAAGCATCTTCCCTATATCATTCACAAGTATGAACAAACGAGACTTCATTATTTGGTTTCAAGAAAAATAACCGGCTAGATCAAGCACCAATAATTTAATATTTATTAGAGTTAACTGAGATTAATTCTCAGTCAGGGCAAAGATTAGAGAGCTCAAACAAAACAACTTTAATCATTTTATGGGAAATATTCTTCTTTCATTCTGTTCCTGACGCGAAGTAACTCATTCCCCACAAGATATAAATGAGGATCCATTTTGCACTCATCTTTTAGAAATTCAGTTTTTTTATTTTTATTTTTATTGATAATAAAAGTTTTATACAGATTTATTCTGTCTTATTCTTTTGTTATCTTTATCTTATCAACAACTTGGAAAAATGGACTTGGAGAAATGGACTTGGAGAAATGGACTTGGAAAAATAGACTTGGAGAAATGGACACGGAAAAATGGACACGGAGAAATGGACACGGAGAAATGGACACGGAGAAATGGACTTGGAAAAATAGACTTGGAAAAATAGACTTGGAGAAATGGACACGGAGAAATGGACTTGGAGAAATGGACACGGAGAAATGGACACGGAGAAATGGACTTGGAGAAATGGACTTGGAGAAATGGACTTGGAGAAATGGACTTGGAGAAATGGACACGGAGAAATGGACTTGGAAAAATAGACTTGGAAAAATAGACTTGGAGAAATGGACACGGAGAAATGGACACGGAGAAATGGACTTGGAGAAATGGACTTGGAGAAATGGACTTGGAAAAATAGACTTGGAAAAATAGACTTGGAGAAATGGACACGGAGAAATGGACTTGGAAAAATAGACTTGGAGAAATGGACACGGAGAAATGGACTTGGAAAAATAGACTTGGAAAAATAGACTTGGAGAAATGGACACGGAGAAATGGACACGGAGAAATGGACTTGGAGAAATGGACACGGAGAAATGGACTTGGAAAAATAGACTTGGAAAAATAGACTTGGAGAAATGGACACGGAGAAATGGACTTGGAGAAATGGACACGGAGAAATGGACACGGAGAAATGGACACGGAGAAATGGACACGGAGAAATGGACTTGGAAAAATAGACTTGGAAAAATAGACTTGGAGAAATGGACACGGAGAAATGGACACGGAGAAATGGACACGGAGAAATGGACTTGGAGAAATGGACTTGGAGAACTGAGATTAAATAAAGCGTAGTCCATTTTTATTTAAAAAGAAAGGAAATCGTCGAAAAACTTAATTTCTAAAAAAACTCTCTAAATTAAAAAGGGGTTAATTCTCAATTTTTTTTTTTGGAAACTTTCCAAAAATAAAATAATTCTCAAAAAAAAAATTATAATCTTCCCAAATATAACCGAAAAAATACTGTAGTAAAAGTAATAAATTATTACTTTGTCTGTAATACTTGCAGCATCTTGGTATATCACTTATAAGACGTCATGCCATTAGTTTTAAGCTGTTTATGTTTTATAACCTTGAATAAAGGGATATAAGTCATTTCTAATCCAATAAAATAAAAATATAAAAGATATTAGGAACTTGGATTCAGATCATTATGTAATAAAGAAGAAGAGGCCCTTTATTTTACATAAATAATCTTTTTATTCTCAGCAGCAGAACGCCAACTTACATAATTGTTTGCTTATTTTAGAATTTGTTACACCCGGGAATGATCATTTTATCAAATGGTATAATACACCTTAAAAGAGCCCTTAATGATGACATAGATGCAGAGGATATTTTTACAAAAAAAAAAATACCTTATTATAATAATTGTTATAATAGCAGTATAATACTGATAACAAGCAATAGATCTATAAATAGTCTTTATGATATGTAATGGAATAATACAAAACATCAAATCATAAAGTGGTATAATATATGGCAACTTTTTTTTTTTCTTTTTTTTGACTCCACTAAAAAAAAGAAAAAAAAAAAAATAAAGCATTTTTGTGGTATGTTCCATAAGGTTACTTTTTTTTTTTTTTTTTTTTTTTTTTTTTTTTTTTGTTATTGTTATTGTTGTTGTTATTTACATTATCTTTATTTATTTTTTTTTTATCTACTCACACAGTATAATGACAGACATGAATCAAGATGCTTTACAACAAAATGAAATAGTTGAAAATGGACTTTCTACACAACAATTAACAACTGATATACCTAATGAAGATAACAACAAGATTTATCATGATACTACCACAAATTTAATAAAACCAATTTCAGAATTAAATAATGAGGAAAGTGATTCTGAAGTAAATATAACAGAGGAAACACAGGATTTGTATAATTTAATAGGAGATATTGAACAATCAAGTCTTCAAACATCTTCTAATGACTCATTGTCTTCTGATGAACAAACATCCTCTATTGAACAAACGACATTGAATGAACAAGAAAACAATGAACTGATAAGAACAGTAACTGACTTACCAGCAAGTTCACCTAGAGGTCAAAGTATGAGCAGTGCAACAACAACAACAACAGCAGCAGCAGCAGCAGCAGCAGCTTCAAATCATGCTAACCTCTTACCTCGCTCACACAAAGTTTGGGAATTGGATAGACAAGTCACTGACTGTAGACGATGTCATCGACGCTTTAATTTTCTAGTCCGAAGACATCATTGCAGGTAAAGGACTAAAATAAAAATAAAAAGTCCTGCACATCTCCATCCTTGTTAAGAGTTGACTGATATGCACGTTATTTATATGAAAAATTCTATTTTTTTTTTTTTAGGCGTTGTGGACAAATTGTATGTGATAAGTGTAGCTCAAATAGACTAAGATTACCAGTTGAAGAGCTTATAGAAGATCCTATGGTATCACCATCCCAATATCCTTTATTAGCATCTCAATTTCAACGAGTCTGTGATAGTTGTTATCGGGAACCTATTCGACAAGGATTATCAGAATCATATGAAGCAAGAAAAAACATCTATAGAACTTCCATCAGACGTACAGCCAGTTCACAGAGTTTAATGATCGATTGTCCTGTTTGTGGTGAATCATTTTTGGGTATGAAAAAAGATGATCAAGAGAAGCATTTACAACGATGCTTAAATGTAGGTAGTCCACCTGTACATTCACCAAGATATATAGGTAAATTATACATACACGAAAAGAAATATCATATCTTATTTATTTCATTTTTTTTTTTTTTTAATAGTATATAAATTATCAAATGAATCATCTCAAATTGGAGAAGAATGTCCAATATGTTTTGATGAATTTAAACCAGGTAATTTTTTTTATAATAAATAAGTCATGTATGTAATGAATGATTTTAAATCTATTTCATTATAGATGATAAAGTATCGAGAATGATTTGTTTATGTTCATATCATCAACATTGTTTAGCATCTTGGCTGAAAAGGGGAAAAGGATGTCCTGTTCATTACGATTCCCTTCAAGTTTAATTTTTTTTTTTGTATTATTTATCGTATAACAATTGTGTTGTATATTTTAGAATATATAATAAAGATAGCTAAGAGTAGCTCCAAATTCGAGCAGTATTGTCACCCGAACCAGATGCAAATAGGGGTCTACCATCCATAGCAACAGCAACAGAAATAACTACATATTATATATAAGTAAAAAAGATAATGATAATGATAATATTGTACCTGAATTCTTATGTCCTTGAAGCATCATATGAGGTTGACCTGTGTTTGGATCCCAAAATTGGATTGTACGATCCTTTGAGCCTGATACAATCCATTTACCATCAAAACAACAAGCAATAGATAACACAAAATCCTTTTTATTTTAATTTGTATTTGTATTTTGTTATTGTTTTTATATATAGAGTGCTTGAATGCATGCATATATTGTATGTATATGTATATTTGTATATTTATTTACCTTGTGGCCTGTAAAAGTTCTTTTACATGGATTTTTATCACTATTATTTGGACCAAATCGTGTTCCTAATTTCCATAATTTAATCGTCTTGTCTAAACTACCACTAATAAGCTCTGTACTATTTGGCATGAAAGCAACAGAGTAAACACTATCATGATGACCTTCTAATTGTTCCATCAATAGTCCTGTGTGGGTGTCCCAAATACGTACCATCTTATCTAAACTTCCTGTAGCTACTAAACGACCATCATGAGAAAGTGCTACACTCGTGACACCTGGATCCTTTTGGCCAGCATCTGTAACATGTAAAACATGTTGACAAGTTCCATCTGCCATATCCCAAACTCTTGTTGTACGATCCCCTGAGCCTGATACTAAGATACGGCCATCTCGACTAAATTCAAGTGAATAAATATCTTGTTCATGTCCATGTAATGTGTTTCTAATTCGTCTCGTTTGTATATCCCAAATCCTGATTTGTTTATCTTCTGCACCTGTAGCAATCAATCGACTGTCTGGACTAAAACTAACAGATCGAACATAAAGATCATTTTCTTGAGAGATTGTTTCATCATAAAGTGTACTAATATGGGTTTGTCAGTCTATATAAGCATCTATCATGATTGCTTTTCTATTTTTTTTTACCAAATCTTTTGACTACTTGCAACGTCATAAATATAGGTATATCGATTACATCCAGCAGCTAAATATCTTCCATCCATACTAAACTTGACACAACAAACAACACTTTTATGGTCAAAGGAGTGAATTAAATTGATTTTTAATGATCTTGGGATTGTAGGATTAAATCTAAATACATGCAAAAAAACAATGAATACTCTTTTATATTCTATATCTCCATTCGAAATTCCACTTACAACACAAACCAATCAGCTCCCTCTACCTTCATATGGTCAGGAACAGTGCTAGGATCAATATCAGTTAAAGTAATAGACGATACTGATTGAGGATTAGCTGTTGATTGTTTAATAACGTGTTGTATTAATTGATTATAAGAGGTTTTGTAAGTTGAATTGTTTGTATTTATGATACCAGTAAAATGACTTGTTCCACCAATATTGGGTGGTGGCTGTTGTTCTGGGTTACTTTGACTTGTTCTTTTCTGTGGTTGTTGTTGTTGCTCCAATTGTTGTCTTAATCTTGCAATCTCCTCTTCATATCTATAGTAAAACACACACATAAATAAAATTAAAGATTCATTTATATTTAAACTTACTGTTTTTTCACTTTTTGTTGATTTCTTTCTAGATCTAGTATACCTTGTTGAAATTTATGCATTTCTTTAATTTGATGAGCAACTATAGTATAAAACAGTTTTTAGATTACTTTGATTAACGAAAAGAAAAGAAAAGAAATACAATACGCTTGCTTTCATATTCATCACGTTGATTTCTACAAATATAGGCTTCTTGAGTTAGTTGATCAAAATCAGCTCTGATTGTGTCCAATAATTCTGATATTCGTGTGGAATGAGAATTGGGTACCATAGAATGATGATTATAAACAGTCATTTATGTATTTTCTTTTAAACAAAAAAAAAAAAAAAAGAAGAAAAGAAACTGGGTATATATTTTTTTCTTTAGTTAAAAAATATTAAAAAAAAAGAAAGGAACACAAAGGAGAAAAAGGCACAAAAAAAAAAGCTAAGGTTGTATTGTTTGGTTATCCAATCATGATGCATACTGCATAATTTGTACGGAGGTTCAAAAAGTAATGCACAGTTACAGTTTTTTTTTTTTGATCTAAAATAGGAAAATTGGATAACTACCAAAAAAGTGCAATTATTTTGAAAGTAAACACATATTTAATATAAAGTAAATAGAGAATATATTCTAATATTACAAATAATAATAAAGTAGTATTAGCCAAGTAATATCACTTGTAGATTTTATAATATAATAACATGTCCTTTTTTTTTTACAAAGTCAATGATGTTACTTCTTTAGTTGCAGTATTTTAGTACAAGGTTTCAATATTACCATTTATGGTATCCATATAAAATGGATTGAGTCTACTATGGTGAATGGTTACATTTGCCATGTTTCTTTCTTGTAACAGAGTTCAAGTCCTTACCATTATAAAATCTATTCTTTCGAGTCATTTTTCCTTACCTACTTATTCTTTAAATATAATTGATTAGTTCTAGTATGTTGCATGTTACAAAATTAGAACCACAAAAGCCAGTTACATATATTTATATAAATACATACATACATACATATATACATTTATATATATTTGTATACATACATATAAAAGATACTGTGGAAGTCAAAAAAAAAAAAAAAAGCTAAGGATGAAACTGTCAATAAGAAGGATAAAAAAAAAAAAAAAAGACAAGCCGGAATTTGAGTATTGCATATGAACCAGTTGATCTAAGGTATGACCTATTGCACAATTTACTGTATACGCATGTAACTTGAATATTGATTCATAGTGTAGTATACATATAAAGAGGCATATACATACATAGACAGAGGAAGATCAAGGCACTAGTATTAAAATAGACCTGGTAGTCGTATTTAGTGATGAGGTCTGGAATTATAGAGAAGTGGTATAGATAAACATTTCAAGATAGAATTGTAGAGAAACTTTGCTTTTAAGTTATTAGTGGATACTGACTTATATGTTTAACTCTTATCCGTCATGAGGCTTAGACCTTTTTATTTATTATAGGGATATTCATCTGCAGTAATGACGGTAAATATTTAGTTTGCAATATACCAACTATTATTAACAGTGTTAAAAAAAAAATAAAAATAAAAAATTACACCACTGCAGCAAAAAAAAAAAAAAAAAAAAAAAAAAAAAAAAAAAAAACGGTTTTCCTTCTTTTTAGGGAGAAGTACTACAGTTAAGATAATTTTCTTAGAGCTAATTCATTCCATCTATTAAGAAACTTGAAGTTTGTATTCTCTCTTTTTTATTATCGTCCCCTCCTTCCCTATTTTTTTTTTAATTTATTTATACCATGCATGTGCATGCATTTACATATATCGATCCTATTAATAAAGTTAATACCCAATAAACGGTTCAACTAAACAGCCTTTAAAACTGTATTTACGTATTTTAACCTCATAATTTACAACCTTCGACAAGCAATTGGTAACCCTTTCTTTTTTTTGAATTTTAATACAGTGCAATGCCTATATAATAAAGAGAGGATCTCAAAAGATTCTGAATCTTTCATATTAGGTCTATTATTCTATTAAAGCTTATGTGCAAATTGAGATATATTGAGCACTCAGGATGTCTCAATGCCTAGGCTTTATTGAGGGAAATACATATACATAAATGTATATATGGATTGCTAGAATATATTTGACATTTCATTGGGAGAAAAACACTTCTGCAATCTATACTCAGATAAATATCTGTCTTCATAACTTTTTTTTTTTCTTTTTTTAGTACGACAAAACTCTCTAACTTATAATACAACATTATGAATACAGCTATCATAACCTTAAAGAAACAATTACGTAAAGATATGACAGCTCGATTAGAACAACTGTCAACTATAGAACTAAAACGACAATGTAAAAAAAAACAGATACATTTCTTTTATTGCGTGTGTGTGTGTGTTTTTTATAAATGTTTAATTTTTCAATCGTAGCCGATGAAGTATTTCAAAAGTTACAAGAGCTCGATTGTTTCAAAAAAAGTCAAAACATTAGTATTTATATCAGCATGCCAACCTGTGAAATCATGACAACCGAGATTATTCACCATGTTTTGACAACAGGTAATCATTACTTTCCAGACTAAATGTGTAAAATGGATATACCTATTTTATATATTAGGTAAGAATTGTTTTATACCTCGTTGTACAAAATCAACCATGGATATGGTAAAGTTGGCAAGTCTAGAGGATTTTAATTCACTCCCTATGAATAAATGGAATATACCTGAGCCAAGATTAGATGAACCGAGAGAAAATGGTACGTAAAAAAAGAAAAAAAAAAGAGTCTGTATGGATAATTAACATTTAAATAATATACAGCTTTAGATGAAAATGGATTAGATTTAATACTAGTGCCTGGTGTTGCATTTGATAAGAATAAGAATAGAATTGGACATGGGAAAGGGTACCAAGATAACATATATTATATTTGTATACATATATAAATAGATGCTTATGTACGGCTTTAGATATTATGATCGTTATATTAAAAAATGTAATGCTTGGGCTGATGAGCATGGTTCCCAACGCCCAAAGACAGGTAAGATGAAACATGAATTTATATAAATTGATACTTATTTTTTTTTTTAAATTAGTGGCTCTTGCTTTAAACGAACAAGTAGTTAATGAAGATATTATTCCTGTTGAAGAAACTGACCAAAAAATAGATTGTATATTAACTCCTAAAAGTATTATATGTTAAATGTATGTATATTATACATTATTGTACTTGTTTTATTGTATTTTTAAATATATATGTGTTTGTATATATTTATATGAGGGGAGATAATATATGATATCTTATAAAGGGGCTCAGTTTTCTTATATGATAAACTTAAAATGATGAAGAGCCAACCTATATCATTAATAAACAAGTAGTTAGTAAATTCAAATTCAAATTCTATCTACTTCTTCTTCTTTTTTTTAACACTTTACTCTATCCTTAATATGTTGTAAGAATTGTTGGTAACTCATGATATTATCAGTACGATCCTCAATTAAGTGGGATAAGAACCATAATCTAAGATATGGATCTCCATCTTCCTTTACTAAATAAAGTGTAGGATAGTAATTGCCACGACGCATCTCTCTAATCTTGCCAATCAACGTATTAACCTTTCTATTCAGTGGTGTTTCCAAAATAGGCATCGTGATTTTACCACCCTTCAATCCTTCATAAGATTGAACATCAAAGAGATCAACACAAAGCTGAGGTACTACGTTACGTCCAACCCACAAGTAAATGTTTTGTCCATTCTCTAAAAGATAACAGCCGTGAACTTGGAGATTTTCGGCTGTCAAGTTGAGTTGAGGTGGGAAAATAACTCCATTTTCTGAATATTCTCCAGCATCAGCAGGCATATTGTGTAAAGAATAAAGATTGGCATAAAGATAAGGAATCAAAAGTTGTATGGGCATCGTATTTAACAAGTTCATAGCATTGGAACGCATGTCTGTAGGGATTTGTGAACTTTGACGTAAACCATCATGTTTAATTAGACCAAGTGCTAACAAAGGTAAAAGTTTGAGATTATCAGGCGCAGTAAGTTGAGGCGTAGATCCTTGACTTGAGCCCAAGACATGGGTCTTATAAACACCCATCAAATCAACTACCTTATTCACAATCGCATCACGAGCATCATCTAATTTGGATGTCAATCCTCTCTCAACTGCTTTTACTGCTAAATAGGCTGTGATAGCTTGTTGATTGGCGCTAGCATATAAATCAGACATCGAATTAGTCACAGGTAAACACATAGTAATAACACGGATACGTCTTTCACCATTGCATGAGGTGTGTAATAATGCTGTTTGGAAACAGACAGTAGGTACCTTCAAATCATCTTCCATACTAACTTCAACCACATAATCTTGATCACGAGGAACATTAGGAAGAGCGAGAAGATCTGAAGATCGAATAAAGAAGTTACCATGGAAAGCACTCATACGTAAGCCACGAGAGGCACGAATACGAATGACTGCCTCTAAACCAATTTGTTCTGCCAACAATTCTGAAAATTCGTGAGCAAATTTAAGAGCATCTTCAGTACGACTTGCGTTAAAGCCAGGATAATAATAGGTTTGTCCACCTGTATAATGTGGAACACAGCTAAGGGTAGCCACATCCGAATATTGTCCACCAAAAATAACCATATCACAAGCAACTTGTGAGCGAGAACAATCAACAGCAAATGACTTATAGAAAGGTGATGCAGCATTCAAGAGTGTAGACTCCTTAGAGGTACCAAGTAGTTTGACATCTTCACGAGGTTTCAAAGCACCAACGCCTGTGTTGGGTAAGGTAGATTGCAAACAAATAATTTTACCACCAATAGGAGACTATTTTTTTTTTTTTATAAATATAAGTCAAAAAACGAAAAAAAAAATTGAATAAATAGGTTTACCAATAATTTAAAGGCTGCTTGAAGTGCAGTTCCTAAAGCATTATTAACATTAACTGAATCTTTAAACATATCAGGCAATTTCTCCAATAAAGTCTTAATATTTTGCATGCTTTCAGTCAAATTAACTAATAAATTTGCAGGTTGAGGCAAGTAGATATCATCCAAATCTGAGACAACTAACATTTGAGGTTCTTTCAAACTTGCATTCAAATTGTAAAAATGTAATGAAGAATCAACAGTAATAATACCAACATTGGTTCGATTCTCAGCGTTAGGTAAACGATCAAGTGAATCTAAAATAGTTCGAGCAGCGGTCGCGACCATACCTGATTGAATAGCTGAGTAGGAGACATCAATAACAAAGATAAATGCAGGCGCCTGAGGAGGACGAACCATGTATTCTGTAGGAGCAACAAATTCAACACAGCCATAGTTCAATTCAGGACGTTTCCAGCGATCAGCAGGTTGTTGCGTTTGGTTATCATAATCAAAAGCTGCAGGTACGTCATTCAACAAAAAGCACATATTACATTTCCAACGTTGACCACCTTCCACAAAGGTCACGAAGGGGTTAATATAAGTTCTACAACGTCTACATCTAGCGATCACACTATCCTTTACAACAGGTACTTGTTCCTATTTTATAAAGTTAGTTTTTTTTTTTTTTTTTTTTTGAGAACTTAGTCCCCCTCCTTTTTCTTTTCTTTTTCTTTTAAATACTTACATCTCCTTCCTTCAAACTTCTATAAGGTGCCAACACGAGTGCAAAAGGTAATCTTGATTTCTTTAATAAAGATTCGGTAGCGGGAATAGCATTAATTGTAGCGCATTGATACGAAGGGTCACAATTGACAAAAGGGGAATCTGTAACAGAAATCTAAAAAGGATAATATAAATATAATGTTATTAATTATTTAATATTGATATTTACATTAGGAGGTAAGCAAATGGATGGACCCGTGTTCCCAATATCAGCAATCAAAGGACGAGCACCTAACAAAGGAACAGAAGGAGTTATCTTTATAAAAGATGAGTAACATGAATACTATTAAATAAAAAAAAAAAAAAAAAAAAAAATTAACTTACAGAAGGAACATTAGACATGGACATGTTTCCAAATTGGGATGTCATTTGGTTAACAGGATCTTGATTATACGCGTTATAAGGACGTTGTTGATTTAAAATAGGCTGTTGAGTAGGTTGAGCATAACTAGTAGCAGGTGTACCCATAGGAGAGATGAATTGAGGTTGTTGGGCTTGCTGATTAGCTATAGCAGGTGAGGTAAATGATGGTTGCTGTTGATAAGTAGGAGTTTCACCAGTATAAGCCTTTGTAATTTGTTCAGGATACATTCTCTTTCTTCGATGATGTTCCATATGTTGAAAAGTGGGCGACACGGGTGTTTGTTCCTGTGGTAATTGTTGTGATTGCTGAACAGGAGATTGAACTGCAGAAAGAGGACGAGAAGATGGTTGAAGAGGGGATTGGGGTCTCATCAAAGGTCTTTGTTGGTTAGGTACAAAGCCAGGACGAATGTTTTGAGGCATGCCCGGTTGAGGAATTGAAGGAGATTGGAATCCCGGTCTAGGTTGAGGACGATAGCCAGCAGGTGGCTGTTGCTGAGGCCTAAATCCCATAGGATGGGGTTGACCTATTGGTACTTGACCTTGTGGTGGCCTTTGTAAAGGTTGAGATGCAGATTGCTGTTGCTGTTGCTGCATTTATTAAATAAAAAAAAAAAACAGTTTACTTGAAAGAAAGAAAAAAAAATTATAACTTTAACCGCTCCCTCAAATAAGCCGAATTTTTGGGAAAATATAACAAAAAAAAAAGAAGATTTTTTTTTTCTTAATATAAATATAAATATACACAAAATATACATTCTAGTTACTTTTATTCATTATTATGAACAGAGGAATATATTTCATTTTCTATATTAGTATTGACTATTTATGTATATGTTATATTTGGTTTTCATTTTGGTATCTTTTGTTTATATTTTACGTGGCAGCAGCAAATGATACACGAAACGTTTATAATTGGATAATATTCAAACAACGCGCGAAATCGCTGAAGAAGAAATGTCTTTATAAATAACAACAACGCAGGATGAATTATTAAATGATGTATGCTTATGTTGATGTTTAGAAAAAAAAAAACAACACTGATAATATTAAAATTGTATGTGCTTTAGTTTTATAAGAATAGTATTCATTGCTTGTTTTAACATACTGAAAATAAGCTTTTATTGCTGTATTAAAATATCATAACATTATGCCAAGTTGTTTACATTACTTATTGCAAGCATCTTTAACTAATGTAAATTCAGAATCTTTTCGTTTATTTTTTTTTTCTTCTAATAAATATATATACATTTATATTTATACTAAAATACTAGGTAGAATTTCAACTTGAGTTATTATTATTCTATATCTAAATATCAGTAATAAAATATTTTATTCAACAAATAAAAGACATTATAGTTTAATCAAAAATAATCTTTGTAGGCTTTTTAACTTCTCCTGTGGTATCCTTAAAGAAGGCACCATATACACTATGAGTCTTCTTTTTAACAGTTGTACCAAATGCCATTAATTCATCGGGTACTTCCATATTAGCTTGCTTCAATACATTTATTAATTCACCTGAATGTGCTTTATCCTCGGGTGTAAAGAAAGTATAAGCTGTACCTTTCTTACCACCACGTCCCGTACGACCAATACGATGAACATAAGCTTCAATTGTAAGAGGAAATGTAAGATTGATGACGTATTCGACATCAGGGATATCAAGACCACGAGCAGCAACGTCAGTAGCAATCATTAAAGGAAAAGAACCATCCTTAAAGGCATTTAAAGCGTCAGTACGTTGCTGTTGGTTTTTATCACCATGAATACCAACAACCTTGTAACCATGGTATTCTAATGATCTTTCAATACGCATTGCTTCCTTCTTATAAAGTGCAAAGATCAAGACACGGTTTGTACGAGACTTGTGCACCTTTTTCAATAAATCTAAAAGATGACGCTCTTTATCTCTAGGGTTTTGGATCACTTTAACAATTTGTTGAACATTCTGAGAGGCAGCAAGATCAGGAGAACCAATAGTAACACGCATAGGATTATTTAAGAAATCACTAGCAAGTTTACGAACACTTTCAGGCCAAGTAGCAGAAAACATGACTGTCTGACGATCTTTAGGAGTATAACCCATAATAGCTCGAATATCTTTTTCAAAACCATCATCCAACATACGATCAGCTTCATCCAAAACCATGAAGGAAACTTCAGATAAATCACATGCTCCTTCATTAATAAGATCAATTAAACGACCAGGTGTAGCAATCACGATATCGACACCCTTATTAAGAGCTCTACGTTGAGGCTGTTTATCGACACCACCATAAACACAGATAGAGGAAATACCGATGGACTTGCCAGCAGCTTCAGCTTGTTCGGCACTTTGCATGGCTAACTCACGAGTAGGAGAAACAACTAACATGCTGGGTTTGCCTGACTTCTTACCCTTTTTCAATTTAGTGGCAATATGCACCAAGCCTGGAATAGTAAAAGCCAGTGTTTTACCTGAACCTGTTTCTGCAATACCGATAATATCACGTCCTGAAAGGGTGATAGGCCAAGTAGATGCTTGAATGGGTGTAGGTCTTTCAAAATTTTTGACAACGTCTAATATATTGTTAGGAAGATTGGCGTATTTGAATTCTAAGATAGGTCTAAGTTTAAGATCACCAGTAATTTCAATAGTGTGTTCTTTATAAAAATTGTCAATGACACTTTGAGGAAGTTCTGACAGCTGTTTATCTTCTTCGTATTTGTATGTGGCAAGAATTTCAACATTCTTTTTAGTAGCACTTTCAGGTGCCTTGTTGACAATGTCCATTTTTTCGGTTTTCTGAGAATCAGAAATGGAATCTGCTTTTACATTCTCTTTATCATCTTCTTTTTTATCTTTCTTTTCCTTTTTATCTTTCTTTTCCTTTTTATTTTTCTTTTCCTTTTTATCTTTTTTGTCTTTCTTATCCTTCTTTTCTTTCTTCAATTTTTTATCTTTTTTAAGGGCAAGAACATCGTCTTCTCTTTTTCTTTTTTCAGCCTAGAAGAATATGATAAGCTTTACGTCTACAACTATAATATATTTGCACTTACTCGTTCAATCTTTGTAGGAGACATGATCCAATACAATTAAGAAACAAATAAAAAAAAAAAAAAAAAAAAAAAAAAAAAAAAAAAAAAAAGCACACAGACAATAGCTGATAATAATAAAAAAAGAGTGACTGTTAATCTCGAATTGTTAAAATACGCCACAAATAAGGGGATAGCATTCACCAGCTATCAATAGGCTACGAATAATCATACTGCTGTTTGATCAACAATCATATTTTGAGCTCACAAACTATTTCCCAATTCAAGTAGAATGAGTATGAATCAAAAAATGAGGGGTAGTTGTCACTTTTACTTGGTACATTATCCAAAACAATATATATAAAATATTTGTTTATCATAAACACGAATCATATTCATGGTCTTGAATAAACTTCATAAATGCTATAATGACCATTCATTTAAAGGAATATTGTTTTTTAATAAAGACCTTTTTATTTTTTTTTTTTTTTTTTCTGAAAGACTATGCTGTTACTATCACTTGGTGGCGTTACCGTTTTAATCTCCGAGAGACTTATATAGAATAATGTGGCGCCTTCTTTGATAACACACGCTTGCTTTTTTTTTTTTTTTCTTTTCAATCATATTTCAAGATGCCTGCTAATGAAAAGAAAAGACATCAATTAGAAGACATTCTGTCAGATAACATATCCATTATGGATACAGAAGATATATCTTTCAGTGAAAATCCTACTGTCGTAGATGAAGAAGTAAAAGAAGGTTTTTGTGTTGAATGCAAAGATCAAGACGTATGAAACATTTTTTTTTTTAAAAAAAAATAGAGAGAAAGAGAGAGAATGCTGAGATGTGTTAATTAATTTCATCAATTAGGCAGATGTATATTGCATGCACTGTAAAGAGCCTTTTTGCGAAGTTTGTTTTGGTAAATTATTGTATTTTAATATTAGGAGAAAAGAATTAATTTTAGCGTAAAGGTATGATTCATAGAACTGGTAAACGAGCAACACACAAGTCAAAGAAATATTCAAGCTATATTCAAACAAATAACGAAGATAATGACGATAGTACAATGACTGATGATAGTGAACATGTTAGTAAATTCTTGTTGAATATCTGAAGTGTATAATATTAATTAGATAATATAGACAAAGTCAGAAGAAAAATTAAATATGCACATGAAACCAACGGAAATTAATGTTGGAGAAATTATGGAGGCAAGAGCTAAATATATTCCATTACGTTTAAAGATGGAAGAGAGAAAATATTTAAGATTGTAATATTTTACTTGATTTTAGCTATTCCTTATTTGAAGTTAATCCTTTCCCTTTTTTTTTTTTATTTTTTTTTCATTAAAGGTTAGAAGCAGCTTTAAATGTTACAGACTACACAGAAAAAATTGATGCTACATCAAGTACTGGAAAGGCTAAAAGAGTTGTTAATCAAATCAAAGAATTATGTGCGATTTTGACAGGTATTATTTTGGGATGTGATTACAAGCGTGGTCAAGAATTATTTGCAGATAGAAGTTTTGAAGAGAATGAAGAATTCTTTCAGACTATATTCGAAATTGGACGTCGATATAAGATTATGAATCCAGAAAAAATGAGAAGCGCATATGGTAAATTGATGTATCTTTTAGCTGTAAGTTTTATGAATGTATATACATATACATATAATATTATATTAAATACATGTATTTAGGATTCAATGATTCCAGAAGTAAAAGAGATGCTTGGATTTGATTGTGTTGTTCCAATTAAAACTGTATATAGTTTTTTGAAAGAAAGACACGGATTGAATGTTTTACATGAAGATATTGTTTTACTTGCAACCATGGAAATTATACCTGATGGAAAAAGTCGAACACAAATTCAAGCTGAAATCAAACGTAAGGAAAGAAGTATTGAGCAATTAAGTAGGAAATATCAATCAAAATATCTTTCTGCTGATGACATTCGCCATTGTTTATACAGTATTGGTGATAATAATGCTTATTTAAGAGCGAATCGGTAAGTTGATTCTATTATTTTTTTTATCTATAGGCTCTATAATAACTTTTTTTTTTTTTTTTAATTCAGGGATCCATGTGAGAAAATGGTTCGCTATCTTGAAAGGTACTTTGACCCTAAAGATGATAAGGACAGTGAATTTCTGTTATCTATTTCTTCAGGAGCTGAGGGACATCGTTTGAGTCATGATCATGAAACACAATATATTTATGTAAATCAAACTTTGAAACTTTGGCGTGAAATTTTGAATGACATGTTTAAACTTTGGTCTTTAGCAGATCAAGACATGTTGTCTTCGTCAAATCCTTATAATATTGCTCAGACAGGACAGGGATTACATCGTATTCAACCCTGTCCTGCTGTTTCGAGAGAAATGCATCGCACGTTATTTAAAGCACAGAAAAAGGCAGGAACTTGGATTGGCAGCAGTGTGATTCATTTAGGAGATAAAAATGTGCCTAATGCGCTTATGTTTATTGATAAGGTAACTTAGAATGAAAAAATAAAAATAAAAAAATACTAATAATTTGATTTCTGTTAGTACAATCAAGTTGCTCGTATCCTAAATCCAATTTGTATTACAATTGATAGACTTGATGATATATGTAAAGATGAAGGAATTTATAAATTTATAAAAAAAAAGTTTGGTAGTGTGGATTATTGCAGAAAGACCATTTTAAGTAAGATAAAAAAATTAGATAAAAAAAAAAGTGAAAATACTAAGTATTATATATAGCTGATTTTTTCCGATTTGCATTTGACGGCTCAGGAGCTGATAATTTTTATGATGCGGGTAGTTGTATTGATGGTAGACTTACTTCTGCTTGGAACTGTAAGTATAGAATAAATAAAGTAATAAGAAGCGAACTTTAATTTTCTTTTCTTTTTTTTTTTTCTTAAGGGTGTTCCCAAATCGAAAAGAAACCTTACTTTCCAGTATTTTTACTAGCTGTAAGTAATTAAAATAAAAGCGTGAATCTTTATTTATGCTTACGTATTATATGATAGGGTTTCTCTGGATTCGATGGTGGTGGATGGTAGAAGAAGTCTTTATAATTTAGAATTTATATTAGAAATATACATGTATATGTATATATATACTAATAATAATAAAAAAAGAATGTAAATATCGACTATTTAATGATATATATCTCTATGTAAACATGCATAAACTTTGATAATAATAATACAAATTTAACTTGACATGTATATTAAATATGCACGTATATAGAAGCGAAATAGTCTAGACAGATCTGGGATAATGATATACAGTTATTATTAGATTTATCTGTACAAGTGAAGGAAAAAAAAAAAAAAAAAAAAAAAAACGCCTCCCCAGAAATAGCATATATTTAGTAAAATATTGTTACTTATTTTATTGCGAGTAAAAGGTTAAATTTATAAAAAGGTTTTATAATTTGTTTCCCGTAACACTTGTGCTGATCAATTTTTTTTTTTTTTTTTTTTTTTTTTTTTTTTTTTTTTTTTTTTTTTTTTTACCTTATTCATTATTGAAAAGATATTTGTTATGATATATGTGTTCATGATACCTAAATTAGATGCAAAATCTTGGGTTTAATTTTGATACATATATGTATGTTTGTATATTTGTATACAAAATGACACATCTTGAAGGGGCATATCGGCTGCTAAATTTATAATATGAAATGGCTTATATTTCATTCCATTATAAAACAAGTAGAATCCAATAGAGCTAATATTCCTTGATTTAGAGTAACAATAAAATGAAACACAGTCTTCTGTTAGCAGCTACATGCAATACCGCAGTTATGATAAGATATTGAGCACTTTTTTACTGCGGATAATGTTCAATCCTCTTTTTTTTTTTAGGAAAAAATTACTATATATGGTTTTCGTGCTATCTATAAATGGTCGAATATGTATTTTATTTTGTTTGTCATTTTTCTTCCTGTCTTGTATATCTTTTCAACGTTATTATAGAAGTTTTTAAAGTTATTAAACTTATTGAAAACTTCAGGCTGTAAATGGTATAATTGCATACAATTCTTTATATATGTATATGATTTTTTAATTGTTTATATCAGGAACAGTATAACATGCAGAATAACGCTTTAAGGTGAATTCTTATACAAAGTTAAATATGGATTGCTTTTTTTTTAACTAAAACATGTATATTATATACAGTATTTTGCAAGCAATATCACCCATCCTTATAACAGGCTTATGTGTTATATATCTGATATACAAGAAATACTATGATACAAAATATGACATTTCCTCAGATATTGACTCTATTAAGATTTCGATAAAGAAAAGAAAATTGATTTTATTATTTTTTACAGCGATTACTACTTTAGGTTGGCTGTTTTATCTTGTTAAATATATTCTCGGGTCTGATGAGAAAAACTTATATAGCATCATGGCCTTGGCTTCTTTTTTTGCCACTTGGGTATGTATATATGTTGATTTATGTTTCCTATATATATATATTTATATATACATATATATATATTTATACTTATATACATATATAAAGGGTACTTTGCTAGTTTTGTCGTTCACTTCACCTAACCTGAATCATTACAAGGATCGTGTTTACAATTATATCTTTACATTTATTTACACATATTTGGTTTTATATTCAGCTTATCGTACACTGATTTTAAAACAATCACATCCTTGGGATATTTTAAATATCATGATAACCTTTATATTGTTTTGTATTACTGGAAGTACACCACAACCATATCATCCAAGAGATCTTCAAGCTGCAAGTTATGAAAAAGTTGAAATTAAAGATGGCAAAGTATACCGTAATGTAAGTTATTATTGAATCAGTGGAACTATAAATATTAAAGATGAAGGGTGCAGGAAGAAAAAAAGATAATGAATAAATATGCATTTTTTTTTTAATATATATGTGTATACAGAATCTTTTATTGAGCCCTGAATCAACAGCAAGTATTTTTTCATGGTGTGCATTCCAATGGGTAAAATAAGATGAAAGAATTATGTATAATATAATAAAAATACTCAATATACTTTATTTATTTAGATGAATCCTTTAGTAGTTTTTGGTTTTCGTAATATTGTTACTCGCGAAAATATCTATGCACTTACCTTTCAACACCTATCTCGAACAGTTTTCGAAGACTTTGTGAATACGAAAAAAATGGTTGCACATACGAAAATCTTTAAACGAATTTATAAATCAAATAAAGTAGAGGTTTGGTGGCAGTTTATATTTTGTACCTTAGCTTGTTTAGTTAGTTATCTGGGCCCTTATTTTCAACAAAAATTCTTGGAATACATTGAATTAGGTCAAGAGCAGCGTCCAGCTATTCAAGTTGCTTATTTGTATGTCATTGGTATGTTTACTGTAGGTGTAGTCAAATTATTGTGTAATAACGTTCAGTTATGGGTGGGTCGTCGTTGGAATATAAGAACCTTGATTATGTTGGATGCAGAAATTTTTTCAAAAACTTTGAAAAGAAAGGATATGTCTGGAAAGCTTGTTAAATCAGAAGAAGAGGAATCAGACACGAATAAGGGGGAAGAAAAATCATTTAGTAATGTTGGAAAAATTACAAACTTGATGAGTTCAGATGCAGATCATTTATCTGACATTCCAGCTTATATTCATGTTCGTATTCTGCATACTATTTAAATAAGATATCTAATTAACAATTTTTTTTTAATATATAGATGATCTACAATTCTCCTGTAGATATTGCTGTATCTATTATTTATCTATATAAATTATTAGGTGTATCAGCCTTGGTTGGTTTGGCTATTATGATTCTATGTTTTCCAATTTCTGGCTACCTTACTAAAGTGATGTCTAGAAATTATACCGCTCTTAATGCTGCTAAAGATAAACGAAATGATTTAGTCAATGAATTACTACAAGGCATTCGTATGATAAAATATTTTGCTTGGGAGGACAACTGGGAGAAAAAGATTCATGAAGCTCGTCATGACGAGATAAAGAAACTGATCAAGACAATTATCAATAACATATGTAATAGTTTCATCTTCTTAGCAGTTCCTGTCTTGGTGACAGTTGGTACATTTATTTGGTATACTAAAGTAGCTGGCAACGAGTTGACAGCAAGTGTTGCCTTTGTTAGTATTACACTTTTCGATATGGTGCGTGGTCCCTTAATTTTCCTACCAGAAACATTTACTACGCTCACTGAAGCTTATGTTAGTTTAAAACGTATCTCGAATTACCTGGAGGAACCTGAAGTTGACGAGAACATGAATAAAGAACCTATTGATTTCCCTGAAGGTGTTTCTCCACAAACTGTATTAGCTCGTGTTGGTTTTGAAAAATCTATTTTTCAATGGCATATGAATGCTAACGATTCGAAAGGTACTCTAAAACAGCAAGCCTCTTTAGCAGCTACAGAGTCAACATTAGACCGTGCCAGCTCGCAAAATGAACAAATGATATTTCAATTAAATGTGCCTAGATTTAATTTCCCTACAGGAAAACTTAGTTTGATATGTGGTCCTACTGGTAGCGGAAAGACTAGCTTCCTTCACGCTCTCTTGGGAGAAATGGATATAGTTTCTGGATGTGTTTATTTACCTTCAAAAATTACTTTGTCGGGTGTTGAAAATGTATCCAAAATTGATCCTGAATATCCAAACTTATATTTAGATAAAGTTGCGTACGCTGCTCAACAACCTTTTCTTCGACATGCTTCTATCCGTGATAATATCTTATTTGGTTTACCTTATGATTCTGAACGTTATAAAAAGACACTTTATCAATGTGATTTAATTAAAGATATAGCAATTCTACCAGATGGAGACCGTACTGAAATTGGTGAAAAAGGTATTTCACTTTCAGGTGGTCAAAAACAAAGGTAAATAAATAAATAAATAAATGAATAATAATAATAATAATAATAATAAAAAAGGAGGAGGAGGAGGGGGAAGAGCATAATTATATGTATTAATAGTTTAATTTATACTTGAATAGAGTTTCACTCGCCCGTGCAGTTTATTCTTATGCAAAAACTGTTTTGTTAGATGATTGTCTTAGCGCTGTCGATGCTCATACTTCAAAACATATTTATGAAAAATGTATTATGGGTGATCTTTTAAAAGGACGCACAGTTATCTTAGTCACTCATCAGGTCAGACTTTGCCTACCTGGAGCCAAATTTTTAGTTAAAATTGAAAACGGTAATGTGTTAGGATGTGATTCGATTGATAATTTGAAAGCAAATGGACAATTGCAAATGCTTATAAAAGATGATATTCAAGAGAATGAAAATGATATTGAAGATATGATTGATTCTGATTCTATTACGGGAATAGATCTGGATTTGGATAATAAAAAGGAAACCACAAAGCTTGTTAAAGAAGAAACTGCCGAAAAGGGTCAAGTAAAATCCAAAGTTTATTTCACTTACATGGCTGCTTGTGGTGGATGGATCTTTTGGATTGCTATTTTGTTTGCCTATGTGTTTGCTAGATTCTTAACCTTTGGTGAAAACTGGTGGTTGAGAGTTTGGGCTGCAGCATATGATCAAACTAATGATATTAGTCATATAACTGAACAAAGTGCTTCATTTATGACTTTACCTAATAGGGAACCTGGTATTCAAGAAGCCTTTCATTCTTTAGGATCCATCATTCAAAAGCAAAATGTATTTAGATCCTGGGTTTTTGAAGAAAAATCGCCTGTTAATGTAGATTATTATATTGGTATCTACGTTGCTATTTGTTTAGCGAATATTATATTTGATGTTGTAAGAAATATTATGATTTTTTGGGGCTCTATCCGAGGTGCTCGAATGCTATTTAACTCCTTATTAAATCGTATTATTCATGCTCCTATGCGTTTCTTTGATACCACTCCTATTGGACGTATCTTAAACAGGTTTGGTAAAGACATCTCGACAATTGATATGCAAATTGCACGTTCATCCAATCTACTTATTGAGTGTATAACGGGTGTTGTTGCATCTACTGTAGTTATCAGTATCATTACTCCTCAATTCCTTGTTGTTGCCATCATCGTTAGTTTATTATATTTCCTTATTGGCGTCTTCTATCTTCGGATTTCCCGTGAGTTAAAACGTCTGAATTCTGTCAGTCGTTCTCCGATCTATTCCCATTTTACAGAGACATTACTTGGTATTACAACAATTCGAGCCTATGGTGCAGAGGAGCAATTTATGAGGACCGTTCATGAAAAAATTGATTCATTTGTTGCCCCCTTCTATTTGCTTTGGATGAGCAATCGTTGGCTTTATGCTCGAGTTGAAATTGCAGGCTCCTTCGTTACTTTATTTACAGGCATTTTTTTAATTTTTAATATCAAGTATTTAGATGCCGGTATGGCTGGTATTTCCTTGTTTTATGCTCGCAGTTTCTTGGAGAATATTTACTGGTTTATTCGACAATATACCTCTGTGGAAATGGACTTTAATTCGGTTGAAAGAGTACATGAATATCTTGAGTTAGAACAAGAACCACCTGGACAAATCGAGAATCACAGACCACCTGCTGCATGGCCAACAACTGCCTCGATCGAGGTAAAAGATTTGGTTGTTCGATATGCACCTGAACTAGATCCAGTATTACATGGTATCTCATTTTCTACCAGAGCGCATGAAAAGATTGGTATTGTAGGTCGTACTGGTTCTGGTAAAAGCACGATAGCCTTAAGTTTCTTCCGTTTCTTAGAAGCATGCGGCGGATCTATTTCAATTGATGGCATTGATATCTCTACCATCGGTGTTCAAGACTTACGGTCAAAATTGACAATTATCCCACAAGACGCTATTCTGTTTTCTGGCACGATACGGTCTAACCTTGACCCCTTTGAAGAACATTCGGATGAAGAGGTGTGGGAGTCTTTAGAACGTGTTCATCTTTGCAAAGCTTCAGATCGTTTAAAGGGATTATCAACACCAAGTACTGTATCAACTGCAAATGAGCAAGCATTATCAGCCATTACTAACTTAAACCAACAGGTTAGTGATGGTGGGCATAACTTTTCTCAAGGTCAACGTCAATTACTTTGTCTAGCTCGGGCCTTACTCAAGAATAGTAAATTGATTATCATGGATGAAGCAACGGCTAGTGTTGATTTTGATACGGATTCCAAGATTCAGACAACAATTCGAGAAGAACTTAAAGATTCTACTTTACTTTGTATTGCACATCGACTTCGTACGGTCATTGATTATGATCGTATCTTAGTTTTGAATCAGGGCCAGGTTATAGAATTTGACACACCGTATAATTTAATTGTTAAAGATACTGGTCTCTTTAGATCCATGTGTGAACAATCTGGAGAAATAGATGTCCTGTTGAAAATGGCTACTGAAGCGCATACTTCAAAAATGAATGAAGAGGATGTATCTGACGATCATACTAGAGTATATTGATAAAGCTTACATGTACAATATTTATAAATTATTATTAGATAGACATATTATAATGGTTTTTTTTTTATATAAGATAAAATAAAATAAAATAAAATATAATAATGTTTATATAGATGTATATAAATATATAGTAAAAGTGTTTTTCAAAACCGTATTATGAGTTTATATATGTACGTATGTATGTATGTATGTGCTGATTTATTTAGACAGGAACATAAATAACTCGAAGTATTTCGGTAACAATGTTTGATGGTATATTAGTATCCATATCTTCTCTTTCCATTTGGTCATCACTAGTATTGATTGCTAGTACACGTAAACGATGATTGAATACTTTTTCGGCAGCAATGGTAACTAAATCGGGGGTTATAAAATCTCGTTTAAAAAGTACAGCAAGTGATTTTGTAACAGTAACCAGATCCTGACTGCATCTTGCTGTTACTCCGCCTTTGATTCGAGGATGTGTTCTGATACCGACCACAATATCTCGAATATAACGAGTGATATCAATATTAACATGAACCTTAGCTGCGTCCTCGGCTAAATTTTTTATTTCCTCGTGTCTCATTAAAGCATATCTTCTATAACTGGACTGTCGATAAAGTGTATTCGTTGTACTTGAATTTGAAAACATATCTTCTTCAAAATTATAACTTATAAAAAATCGATCCATCTAAAAATAATGATAATAATAATAAAGAATCAATATATAACATTAATATTTTTTTTTATTTATTTTTTGTTTTACCAAGTGAGGCAAAATAGATAATCGATTATATCCCTGCGCTAATACGACTATTACCAAAAAAGATGGCTTTGGTACATTGTATTTGATATTGGATATCCTTAGTTCCTTGGTAGCAATGAGCTCCAATAAAAGTGCCTGGACAGATTTATCAGCAGCATCTAGATTTTGCATAATTAGTGCTTGAGCCATTTTTGTAGACATGGTAGTAGTCGTATGAGATCGTTTTATATCTTCATGTTCGGACCAATAAGATCTATCCTTCTTATGGTGAGTTATTTCTTTTTGTGATATTGAGTGTGCATAATTTGTTGTATGTGTGAGTATCATAGGCCTGTTTTCTCTCTTTTTTAAATTAAAATCAAGTGGATTAATAAGTGATGTTTGATGTACAGAATCGTCATCTCCTAAAAATGAGAGCTAATAGGTTGTATTTTAATATAACATCAGTGTTTATGCATTTCTTTAATACCTTGATGCTCGTATTCCGGCTATTAGTCATCTGGCCATTATTACTTGCATGAAATCTTTCAGAACGTTTCGAGTTAATTGTCTGTGTAGAATGAGTAGCCTTATGCAAGTGTGCTAATATGACTACGTTAGTATAACTTTTTTTTTTAAGATTGATTAATTATACCAGCAACATTATCTTCTTTTATATTAAATAGTACATCAACAAGATCATTTTTTGTTTGGTGCTCATGACAATTCATGTCTACAGTTGTGAATCCAAATAGACAACGACTAATCTATTGATATTATTTTTAAAATGAGTTGTTAAATTCACTTTTACATTACCTGTGTGGTCATGTGAGTTACTTCTTCTACTCGATTAGGAGGAGCTGTTAAAATCAGATGCTTATCTCGACCTGAAATTAAACATAATAAAATTGAAATGAACAAATCCTGATTGAAAGAAAAATTGGCCTGTTTTCTCAGGATTGCCATGCGAGTTTTAATCCATTCTTTATGTTCTTGAGACATGATTATTTATATAACAAAAATGCTTTTATTTCATTTCTTTTCGAATCAATTGGAAATTTAATTTCAGACATAATAGATAAAAATGCTGGCAGGTGACTAAAAAAAAATGGACAACTGTGTTGAAATATTAAACAAAATCTAGTTCTCTGTCAACACATCTATTGTAAAATGACTCTGAGCATCTAGTCCAATCAAGACATTCTTTTGTGAAAAATTATTAAAACGTTAAACAAGTTTCAGTCATTGTTGAATAACAGTTGCCAAAGTAGTTGATGCTCTAAAAACTTTAACATACAAAAATGATAGTAATCGACAGAGTGAATAAGTTCATTGACAAAATGATTAAAACCGACTAACGGGAGAAAATGGACATCTAAATTCACTAAGGAGTTGGGAACTGATCTTCAAGTTGTTCAAAGATGATGAAAAACTACAGACAAAAAAAAAAAAAAAAAAAAAAAAAAAAAAAAAAAAGGAAACACCCCACAAAAAGTCTGTTATTTAGTAACGATAATAAAAGCATTTATCAGGAAGCATCATAATCACACAAAACAATAGGTTAACGACAATCGGCAGCAAACCATAGGCGATATTATTAGGAGAAAAAAAACTGCTCAACTAGAAGAATTCAAAACCTTCAAGTTGCGACTTAATCACTTGAAAAATAACATATGCATAACGATGAGGAGGAATTGTGTGGATAACTTACGGAAGAAATATAAATAATTTATGAAATGAAAGGAATCTGATCATGGTTATATGAAAAAAACTATGAACTTTTGTATAGATGAGTCCAGCCTCTACAATTAATATGAGAATTAATTAGGCTAGATAAGCTAGTAGGATTCCTACAATAGCAAAAGCATCAAAAAGTAAATCATCCTATACGGTTATTAGGTGCTATACATTAGCTTAATTTTCTTCTTATCGCATTAGAGAAGCCATTTCAGAAACTAGAAAATGTAACGTTGTGTTACTAGACAATAGCGGTAATGAAGCAGTTGAAAAAAGATGAATCATTGTCCAGAAAAGCTGAAGATAACAGTAAAGTTTATAAAGGCACTGTTATTCAACAAGATGTTACATTTATTTTAGTTTATAAGCAAACTTGTTGACAATACAGATATGATAAGAAGTTTGAAAGAAAGTTATTTGGTATTGGATAATGATTCAATTCATAGGTCGCAGCCTTTAAGACGAAGAATAAAAAATAAAAATAAAATGGCTACTATTTTATTCTTTTGGGGTGAATCCTACTGAGAAACTTGAGTATTATCAAATGATGAGAAAAGAAAACTTATCAGTTGCAATTACTGATACTTATAATCAAGTTCTTATGGGTGATTTTTATGATTTTTCTAATCATTTTAAACATAAAATCATCAAATTCCATAATAAAGCACTTACATGAGCCTATTTTCAAATCATATTGTGATCTTTTGACAGATATCAAACAGTTAAAGAATAGTATAATTATGTGTCTTTTTTCTCTTCCTTGACTCATTAAATTCAGGCATAAAGAAGCCAATAACTTATTTCGTAGTTACAGCTTCAAAATTATGGTTGAAGTTCCTCTTTGGATTAGTACCTCAACATTTTACAGGTACGCCCTTCTTAGGTTGCCCCATTTGTCCTATCATATGCAAGTTAAATACAGCTTCCTTACTAGAAAAAAAAACCAGTTTTTATGATAGCTCATATTACTTCCCTTCGACTTTAGTATGAAAACCTTTCTTTTTTCTATAATTTTTGTTCTATTCCTTTTGTTTATTATCTTACGAATACGAGTAAACGAAGACAAACAAATGTTATTCGTATAATTTTAAACAGTTGATTTAGTTACTGGCAAATCAGTCAGCTCTGTTGCATAGAATATACTATTAGTAAATTGTATCATCTGAAAGAAAGGAAAAAAAAAGGCCCCCTCATCTTCTTTCATCCGCAGTGTAAATTTTGTGAACAGTCTTTATTCCTTTCTTCAATTGTTATATTGTTTAATAGAACCAGTTCTAACCGTCTCTTCCTCTAGCTTACTGTAAATTTTATTAAACTGATGACATTCTAAAAAGTCTTGTCAACTTCAATCCGTTATTAAGGTCATCATAGCTTTGCATAATATCATCTTCTGAATCGACCAACATATTGTAACAATTATTCTCTGTCACTTAAGATTGTACACGAGTTGGTTAAAAAAGATGGTTTTTTTTTTTTTTTTTTTTTTTTTTTTTTTTTTTTTTTTGTATAAAAGTGACTAAGGTGTCGTATATTTTTAGGCAGTCAGTAATTTTGTTATGTAAATAAATAAAGTGTCTGAAGACTACGAGATTGGATGCTTTAAGAAAAAAAAGAAAAGTATGTCTTACGGGAGAATTTGATGAGCATCCTGTGAAAACTGAATTTTGCCAATTCTAAACAAGGATCTCTGTAATATACCTAACGGCGCCCCATTTCCCCCCTTTTTTTTTCAAGTGGATCCATAAACTGTAAAAATGTATTTTCTCTAACTTGAAGATTTTGTTGTCTTTTTCTTTTCTTTTTATTTAAAAAAAAATAAATATAACGGGTTAACAAATAAAAAACAGTATATTTATAAAGTTATCTTATTTCTTGCTATATACCTTACGAACCTGTTTAGAATCTTGTATTTACTTACATTATTAACAGCAAAACTATAACTTGTTTTTCTCTACTATTTAATACTTGACTCTTTTTTTTTTATTTATTTACTCTGGGATATTACAAAATGTACAACAAAAATGCAAATAAATGTGATAGATATGTATGTTTTTTTTTATTTTATTTTATTTATTATACAATGAATTCTAGATGCATTTATATATTACTTGAATAACAAAGCTAATAATATAGATTGATTCTAAAGATATTCATAAAGAATTAAAAAAGATCAAAGAAGAATCTACAACTTCTAAATTAAGGAATAAGCAACTAAATAACGACGCTTATTTGAACAAAGCTATTAACAATAACCATAACAAATTACCATTTCATTCACAAGTAAAATTATATATCATTTGATCATCTTTATCTCGATAATAATATTAATATCTATTTTTTTTTTTTTTTTTTACATTATAGTTGAAATTAACAAGAGATAAAAAAGAATGTTTGTATAGACAAAGTAAACCAGTTGTTAAAATCGATCAGCAACAAATAGTTCAAGATTTTTTTGAGGATAATCAGAGACGCTACCCTGCAGAGAATACGGATAATCTTATTGAACCTGTCCCCATTTTGAAGATTAGACCACCAAATAGAATTAGACATTTGTTTGTTAAGCAACAAGATAGCATGACTTTATCTAAAGAACCTTTTACTACATCTTCATCCAGTCCCCATACTCATCTTATGGATGAACATAATACGCAAAAATACATCAAATTATCTGTTGAACAATTAGACATAAAGAAACAAATGATGAGAGATTCTACTAGAGACATGAAAGATATACAGATTAAATGCACAAAGGAATCTGAAAACCAGTCTGTTTTTTATTCCAATGCTAATGGCTCTGCTTTGAGCTTTGAACACGATATAAACAAGTTACAATATGAAAATGAAGAAGAACTTCATATGAAAAAAGTAATGCTTGAAACATCATGTATTTTGAAACAAAGTGAGCGTCTATCTGGTAATGAAGAATATATGAATATAATTTACGCAAATATATTTGATGAAGAGACTCATTACCTCGTCAACTTGAAAGATATTGAAGAAAGACAAAGAGAAATCACTTGGAGATTGCGCAGTCTAATCATTGACTGGATTGTACAAGTACACTACAGTCTCGGTCTACTCTCTGAAACTTTGTTTTCCGCCGTTAACATTATAGACCGATTCTTGTCTCACCAATCAGTAGCTCTGAATAAATTTCAATTAATGGCTATTACAGCATTGTATATAGCAGCCAAAGTTGAGGAATGTGGTGGTCATCCCTCAGCTCAACAATTTGCACAGATGACAGATGGAGCATTTGTGGTTAAAGATATCATACAAGCAGAGATGCATATTTTACGTATTATAGACTATCAACTTTGTTATCCTAATATGCTAATATTCCTAAAGCGTCTATACAAAAGCGAAGCTTATTGTGATGAGCATACAAAACTACTAGCAAGATATTTTCTAGAGGTTTCAATAATTGAGCATCGATTGATTGGTACGAGAGGATCTAAATTAGCTGCTGCTGCCTTGTGGATGTCAAGGAAAATGCTATTTAAGGGGAATTGGAATCATCATTTAGTTAGACTATCAGGATATAAACGTAATGATTTAAAGCCTATAATTGAGATTATGATTCAGTACCTTTCCAAGGCGACACGCGATACACTATTTACTAAATGGTCCAATCAGTCATTTTTAAAGGCGTCTATATTTGTTCAAGAATGGATTCATAAGTATTGTGATATTCAAACTGAAGAAAGCTAATACGTTTTGTTTGTGATAATATTATTAGATTCTCATAAAAATTATCGTATAGAAAAAAAAAAAAAAAAAAAAAAAAAAAAAAAAAAAAAGGCAAAAGATTAAAAGAAAACTATCATTTAACATAGCTGTATCAAACAATTGTATTATTCTGAGGCTATCCATACTTATAAAGCTCGTGTTATTTCAGTTTGAATGTATTTTTCTTGTATAGTACTACCAGTAATAGTAAACAGCTTTTTATGGAGTCTATTATTTCAACTTTACATTTACTAGGCATTCTTAAAGGATACAATCAGTGAGAACATTTCATTTTTGTACAGTTCAAACCCTTTAGTGACCGAAAATGAACGTATTTTTATAAGATTTATTATAAATGTATTCAAGTACAGCATCAAAAGAAAAAAGTAATTAATACCATTAGACATTCTCTTCACTTTGTTTTATTATTCTCACTAAGCTAAACATTAAATAAGTCGCATAATAAAGTCGGTCTTAATGATGGCAATATAAGCAAAAACAATAAATAATTATCGGGTTTGTGCCTCGCAGTAAAAAATTGCTTTATACCCAGCATAATTAGGTATTGAACTATGTATTCTCTACTTTTATTAAATAAAGTGTCAAATGGTAATCACTTATTATGATAACTTGAACATTACATCAATATAAAGAAAAAGCATGTCATACACTTGGCTCTTTTTTATTTTCAGTATGCATTTTTCTAAAGCCGATTAATTACAATTGGCTAATCAAAAAGATTACTATGCAACTTCAGGATATTTATCTAGAGGAGACGCTATCGCTATAGCGATAGATAGGTTTAATATAGAAACAGAAAAATTTTTTTATCAAATTAGTCACCTATATACATATGTGTGTGTGTGTGTGTGTGTGTGTGTGTATATATGTTGTGTGTATATCGATACATGTAACCAGAGTAGCTTTATCTTTGGATTGTCGAGAAATACATTAATATTCTGGTTTTAGGAGCTCTACTTCTGGATCAGAAAACCTATAAAAGTGGATCAAGAAGGCCTTCGTTTCCAAGAAAATTTCATAAATTAGGATAAAGAATGATTCACTCGATAATAGAAACAAACACACTAATTTGGAGACTTTGAATGTCTATCTGCTCAAAACTCTACTCATAATTTCACTAAGCATGTATTGATAATCCTTTAATACATCTTTTTTCTTAAGAAAAAAAATGTAAATTATGTTAATACTTTAAAGAATCTGATTAGAAAAAAAATAGAATGAGATAAATAGTGTTCTTTCTGAAGAGTATAAAGGAAAATATAGTGTCATCATGAGAAATAATAACAAATAAACTGAAGGAAAAACATTCGGCAAATCAAAATAGTAACAGTAATAATAAGCCACTGAAATTCAATATCTATTTTTTTTCCCTGTTTATTCTTTTTTTTTTTTTTTTGTTTTGTTTTTTTTGTATAATAAAATGGGAAAGATTCAAAAGAAAGGTATAACAAATTGATGAATTTCAAGATTTTTCATTGTTTTACTCATAAAATGATTAGTTGTTGAAGGTCAACCAAAATCTATGTCTAAATATGCAAATGCTGAATTTGAGCCAAAGAATGGTAAGACTTTTATAAAATATGTAATAGCCTAATATTGATTTTTTTTTCAAAAACAAAAAAAAAATAGCAAAGGAGCGTATTGAACACGAGCTTCGATTATTACATGTTCGTAAACAAGCTATTACAACTACCAAAAATAATGCACCAGCAGTACATAAAGTAAAAAAGGCAACAACAAAGAAGAAGGTTAACTTAAAGAAACAAAAAAAATTAGCCCGAGCACTGGCTTTTGCAGATAAAGAAGAAAAGAAAATTGAAGCAGCAGTGGCAAAAGCAGAAAAACGAAAACTTGGAAAGCAACTTTGGAATTAATTTTTTTTTTTTATTTTATGTTCCAAGACCTCTATTCTTTCCTCGAATAATTGCTTCGATAGGCGCAATAATACCATCACCTTTAGATCCCAATGCTTCACCTTGTTTCCATCTAAACAAAAATATAAATAAATAAATTGTCCATTATTTATTTTATAGTATAGTATAGTTAGACTTATTACCCCATAGCTGCAAGCATTCGATGTCCAACATTATTTTCATCAATAGGCGCAGCATCAGAAGCGACAACTGTTCCATGAAATATGCGAGTTTGTGATTGTTTCTTTTGAACTATACTTGTTCCACCACTATTATTCTTTTGTTGATATTTACTTATTTTTTCCTTTGTTTGATATTTTGCAGCAATTCTATTTCTATCATTTATATTTGATTGTACAGTTAAAAGATAACGATTTAGATTGCTTCGATCTTTCGGTATACAAGTGTTCTGAGTTTTAGTGATAACAGTACACCTAGAGTCGCCAACACCAAAACTTTGAGATTTGACTTTATAAAAGTTTGCAATGATATGAATTTGCTTCCGAACTTTACTAGGCATAGGACTAAATTGAAGACTTGAAATACTTTCATCTTGAATAAATTCACGAATACGCCTATTTTTTTTTTTTTTAGTAACTGTAATATATACATTTATTCGTAACTTACTCGTCTATTTTCAAGATTTGATTCGTTAATTCTTCTTTATCACCTTGATATTTGCTGTTTCCTTTTTTATTTTTGTTTTTATTTTTCCTTTGTTTTTTGGCTTCTTGTTTTTGTTTTTTGCGAAGTTCCTTACGTTGCTGCTTTTCATACCATCTTCTCATACCAGGCTTTAATCCAGGTGGAACATCTGCTAAAGCTGCCTTTAATGTTTGTCCGAATATCTCAGGATCAACCAATGTGTTATATTCATTATTTTGTGTCTTATTAACATTGGAGTTTTCTTTTGTAGGTTGTTTTTCCTTTTTCTTTTTACTCTTTGTAATATGTTGTTCTTCTTCTTCAATAAGATCATCTTCAGATGAAGAAGAGAGGAGATGGTTATCAAGCATAGAATAATCATATATTTCTTCTTCATCAAGGTCATCTTCTAAATTAATATTATTTTCTACAGACCAAGTTAGGAGATCATTCAAATCTTCACCTTCTTCCATTTCAATATTTTCAATATAATCTCTCATAATAAGCATATCTTCTTCCAATAAATCATTATCTGTACTATAATGATCTATGTCACTTTCTTGATCATCGTCATATTCACTTTCCTCCAAATCACTGTTTTCTTCTGAACTATCATTTTCTATTTGTTCACTATAATCAATAGTCTCGGTATATACAAGCTTAGACTTAGTCTTATTGTTGTTTATGCTTAATAAGCTCTGTAATTCATTTTCAGCTGCCCTCTTTTCGTTTTCATTTAATGATAAATTTGATAAATTGTTACTAATAGTCTCTTCTTCATTTATATCATCCTGCTCAATCTCTATTATATATTTGTAAATATAAAGAAATGAAACTGAATTTTACTTATTGGTCCCTACCTTTATTACTTAGATCTAAGGAAGAAGATGACCTTGTAAACAATACCTTTTTCAAATATTTTGATTTTCCTTTTGTACTACCAAAATTTACTGCGGAAGCAGAAGATGATATGCCAAAACTTCTAGAGGCATCTTCATTTTGGTTATCATATAAGGGTTTACGCAAATGCTGATTCACTTGATTATTTCTCTTTTTATTCTTTTTGTTTTTTCCTAAAGATGGATTTTAGTCAATTCATATTATTCTCCTTTTTTTAAAAAAAAAAAAAAAAAAAAAAAAAAAAAAAAAAAAATATTAACCTTTATATTTGCATTGCATTGTCTCAGTTTCTGAATTTTCTTCATCACTACCGAATTGACCATATATTCTAAAATCATCATCAAAATCGTCCACATTAGATTCTAGCTTGTAAACATAGCCTAGGGAAGTAGGGATCAGAGTTCTATTACGGCCTCTGCCTCCTCCACCTCTACCATTTCTTCCTCTACCATTGCCTCTGCCATTCCCTCGACCATTGCCTCTACCTCTACCATTGCCTCCTCTATTCCCTTTTTTACTGTAATTAGGCATCACAAATTTTTAATGAAAATCTATTTTTTAGAAAGAGAAAAAAAAAAAGAGAAGAAAAAAAACCTCTTTTTTAGTATACTGCTTTATGTTGCTAAAGATGAACAGCAGTCGTATGTGACGGACCTTCAATATTGATATTATATTTGGTTTAGTATGCACTTTACTTTTTTTTATTTTATTTTTATTTTTATTTTTTTTTCTACAGCAACGAAATGTCATCAATCAAATCCGATCCTCGTAGGGAAGATGCGATCGTTCCGTTTCATCTCCCTCGTAAAGCTGAAGATGAAAAAGACTGGTCACAACTACTTGCTACTTTAGTTTGTAAGTTGCAACATATGTTCTGACATTATCATCAATTAGATTAATTTTTTTTTTTTTTTTGAATAGCTATGGGTAGTATTATGACACGAGTAAGTTATTGAATAATTGGTTGGTGTACAAAAAAAAAATCTAAACTGAAATATAGAACCGTTATAAAATTATTCCTTGGATTGCAGCTTATTTTGGTCTTACAGCCACTTTAAATACCAGAAAGACATTCAAAGCAAAAGATGCCATGACTAACAGTGGCGCTTTGTAAAGACAAGAGGTTTTTTGTTTTGTTATATGCATTTGACTAACTTTTTTTTTTTTTAAAAAAAAAAAATGATAATAGGCTTGCTTTGGTTTCACTTTTTACTTTTTATCTTAATTTCTATCTTGTTCACAAAAAATCAATGGAAGCTGTTGAAAATGGTGATATTAAGCTTATTTAAAGGCACATTCATGTCAATAAAATAAATGCGTATGAACAGAAAGAAGAGAGGCTTGTAAAGATGCATACTTTTATGTATACTTTTTTTTTGGAAATAAAATAGAATGTTACACTTTAATAGTAACAAATGTGCGATAATAAATAACGAACTAATAGTACATCATTAATGGCGTTTCTTGATATAAACTTTCATTCCATCTTTCATTGGTAAAGTTAATGAAAATTCGTAAGTGACAATTTGTCCAGGAACCAACTCGAAGGTATAACGTTTTAATAACATTGCGACGCAAACCAACGCTTCAAGTGTTGCTAAATTTTGTCCTAAATATTACAATTAGATTAATAAATGTACCTATTATATATATTATACTCTACTCTTACCTAAACAAACTCGAGGTCCAACATGGAAAGCAGGCCATTTACTTGGAGATTCTCGATGTAAATGCCCTTCTTCATCAATCCATCTTTCAGGATAAAACTCTTTTGCATCTTGTCCCCAAATTTTTGTGCATCTACCTTGTGCATAAGGACTCCAACTAACATAATAACCAGCTTTGATAATCGTACCATCTGGCCAAACATCATCCTCTAATGCATATTTTTGATTAGCAGGTACAACAGGATGTAATCGAAGGGTTTCATAGAATCTAATAAATAGAGGAATTGAATATACTATAATATAATATAAAAACGAAATAAAACGTTCATATATATGTATATATATATATCTTACACGGCATGAAGATATGGCATTTTATCAATAGCTTCATAAAGCTTTGGTGGATCATGTTCAATATCATCTGTAATATGATCACGAATTTCTTCCAAAATCTTTTGTTCAATGCGTGGATGTAACATTAAATTATAGAATAACCAAGACAAGGTTTGTGCAGTGGTATCTCTACCAGCAATGATAAAATTCAATACGGTATCTCGAAGTTCAGTATCATTTAACTTTTCTCCCTTATCATTTGTTGTATTCATGAAACGAGAGAGTAAATCTTTATGTCCCACAACACCATCAGCAATCTCTTTACGTCTTTTGGCTATCATTTCAGCAGCAAATGAGTCAAGTATATGTAAATGATCTTTTGTACTCATTTTCCAGGGTGTAAGAGAAGAGCTCAGATGTTCCATTAAAAACTGTAAAGGATTAATAAATCGTCGAGCACCTAATCTTTGCATATGATCAAATGAGACGGCAAATGGGACCTTTTCTTTACTTAAAAGTGAGTTCAATTGAACACCAAATCCGAGACTATAATAATATAAATAGATGAGAAGAACGCTACTTATTATGTCTAATTATTATTATTTCTTTACAAAACAAAAGAATCCAACGTGAATCTAAACATGATATCTTGAAGGTCAATAATTGATTTGTCTTCAACTGCTTTGTTAAAAATGTCGTTACATATTATTTTGATTTCCTTTACAAAGACACTAAATCACAAAATCAGTTAATCTATAAAAAAAAATAAAAGTAAAAATAAAAAATGTTTATCTCGTACTCTGTAAATTCGTCTCTAAAATTCTTTACATTAAAAATGAAGCTTGCAGTCTTTCGTTGGTATTTCCAGTTTTCTCCGTTAGCATTAAAGATACCATTTCCAAGTAGCTCTTTCAGACTACTGTTAAATTTTGGACCCTTTAAATAATTTTTGAAGTTTCCTACAGAAAAAAAAAACCCCCCTTATTGTATTAGTATCATCATATATTGGGTTATTATTGACTTATTACCTTTTAAAAAGTATTCGATATTTTGAGGATCAATTGTGTTTACTGTAGTAGGATTGCCAACTACAGGGAAAGTACTAGTAGTTATTTATAAATAAGAAAAAAAAATAAATAAATAAACCATGTAATTATATACATATATATTTTACAATGTCAGTACACCAAGCTTTTCATACTGATCTATTTGATAATCATGAATACGAGAAATGTTCTTCAATAAACTAGTTAAATGTCCAACAACTGGATATCCACTATTGTAAGCGATACCCTCAGGATGCTCATAAAACAAAGGTCTGTCATGATACTTTAGTAAAAGAGGTACAATAACAGAGGAAGCTACTGCAGTGACAATACCAATAGTTTGTAATTTATGATGGTCGTCTGAAGAAGGCATAATATTTTTTTTTTTGTGTATAAAATAAGAAAAAAAAAAGAAAATAAATACTTTTAGATATTTTTTTTTTTTTTTAGCTTCTTATCTTTGCACTACAATCACCAATAATGTAATCTTTTTTTTACCCTTTTTTCTTTTTTTACTGTTACACGACACCTATGGCAGTAAACCTTTTCTTAAATTTAAGCAGTCATCGTTTTTTTTAAAAAAAAAAAAAAAAAGCTTATTCGGAAAATGTTGAAAAATTGAATTATGAAAATGACACAGCAAGTCATCCATTTATATTATTAACAAGCTTGAAGTCGTTCCATTGTCAAATTGAATATTTCCTAGACTTTTTTGAATTTACTGAATCACAAGACTTCGATGATAAATTAAATTGGAATATCTCTTTATAGCGAATTGTTAGATTTCTAGGCTCTTTTAATTTATCATTACCGAATAAAAAAGTTAATGTATGCTAGTGAGTAACCATTTGTAACACCTGATAATAACGAAAGCTTTACAAGTCATTGTTATATAAACATACCTCGTGTTTTTTTGTTTTCATTTGCTCTTTATAGATTATTACAAAATGACTTATTGAGTACCAAGAGTATACAGTCAATACATCTTTAGAAGCTTTAAGAACTTTCTTTGATTTAAAATGTTAATAACAAGACAAATATGTATGCATAATTTGTAGACTTAAGGATTATATATGCATATATGTATATACATTTTTGATTAGATTATAAGTTTAAAAGAAGGATAGAGGTAAATCTTCGTTAGTTTTTTTTTTTTTTTTTTCAGAGACTACGCAATGGTATAACTTAGAAGGACTGAGTCGAAAGCTAATGCTTCGAAGCTATTAAAAAAGGGATACAACACACTAATACGAAAGAAGAAATGAACACATGCAGTTATTAATATTGTATAAGAAATCAGAAAAAAAAATATTTAACTATGTGAACATTAGAACTATGATTATGTAATTTCTTATTATAGAGGCTCATAAAGTATGTTAAATCTAATACAAATAGATGCACTTTTATTACTCTATGATATATTTATTCTGTCATTACTATCTGTTTAAGAATATCACTACTGAAACGCAACATAATGCTCTTTAACCATATTAAAATGCTTGCGGCTATCTTTTTCTTATTATTTAAAAGATACCTTATATTTTCAACTTGAAAAAATTTTTATCTTTATAATAAGAGCGACATATTCGATAACACTATTTCTTTCATAGTGCCTGATGCTTCTACTTTTTAATAATGTTACTGATTATGCTTCGTTTCTATCAAATCTTTATTTTTGTACTCAATAAATGTGAAAAACATTTTAATCACAGTCCGAACCTTTTTTTTTTTTTTTTTTTTTTTTTTACGAACTTGAGTATCAAATACTGCAAACTCATGTAGACTTTTTTTTTTTTAATTATTTCATTTTATCCTTTTTTATTATTGTTATCATTGTTTCTTCCGCGTTTTATTGCCAAGTCTAAATAATGTCATCTAAAAGGTAAACTTAGTTTTTTTTTTCTTTTTTTATATATAATTAACAGGTTTCCTAATTCCTTTATTTTTAAAAATAAAAGTAAATTCCGTTCAGATTTTATTTGTCGTGTAAGATATCGTAATGTACTTCCACCAGTTCCATTTGCACCCAAGATGCTTTCTATACCTTCTTTAGTTGAACGTCATATTCCTTATCATTCAACAAGCTTAGTTGAAAAAACACCTTATTCGTTAATTATGGATCAAAGTACAGCCATTCCTTTCGATAAAGCTGTTGTTGATTATCTAGATGCTATGGAAACCAATCCCGAAGAAGGTATTAGAGAATAAGAGTATTAAAAACACGTATACATACATTCATACCTATTTATTAATTATTTTATAAAGTGACACGACCTGTTGAAGAAGTAGCAGAAGAAGACAGGGCATTACTTACATCACCTAGAGATGCACAACAAGGTTTAGCAGGTTCACAGGTGAGAAAGCCTAATGTAACATGGCTTCGTCGTTCAGAATACATTGCACAAGAGGTCAGAAATACTCCTAGTAGAAAAGAAGGAGTTGAAAATAAATTTGCCATGTCTGCTACAACAATAAAGAAACATAAATATAGCACACACGAAGAGCAAATTGCAGGCATTGAAAAGACTTTTAAACAGCTTCCTGGTGATTTACAACACCCTCAAACAAAGGCAAAGGCAAAGAAGATTATGCCTTTATTGCCAAATATGGAATGTTGGGAGAATATCTATACTGTATGCCAATTCAGTACAGATCCAGCTGATGAAAGAAGATTACAAAAGAGAAAATTGAATGGTATAGATCAAAATCAAGAGAATGATTCAAAACGCCCTCGTATTTCAGAAACAGATGCAACTGATCGTGGCATTTTGAGGCCTATGTTGAATCCTGATGATCCTGATGATGCTTATCTTGTTTGGTTTTTGCCTGATGAAGAAAGTTCAAAGAAATTAGTTGAACAAAAATTGAATCCTTTAGCAGAATCATTAGATGAGGTTAGTTTTATATTGTTATAATCACTGTCATGTAAACTAATTTTTTTTCTTATCTATCAATATAGCCCTTAACGTTTCATTCAATTCGCGATTATGAATATAAGAACAATGCTGCGTCTAAATTCAAATATTTGATGATTACTATGCATGATGATGATCTTGGTGTGAGAGCTACTTATTGTCCTATTAAGGGCAAAATGTCTATTCATAAAAAGAGAGCTCAAGTAAGTTTTTTTTTTTAAGAAAAAAATAAGGGTTTTATATATAAGGATATGGATATTTATTGCCTGTTTTATTAGAGCGCAAGATTTAAGCATGAAGAAGATTCAACTACTACTTTGAAAGTTTCTTATGTTAAACAGTAATAGGGGTAAAAGTGATACCGAATTAATTTCTTATTGTCATCAATTAAAAATGTGGGGAAAAAAATAGAGTCCTTATAAAAATTTATTTCATAATATAAAGTACTATTTCCCTTTTTTTTTCCTTTTTATTTTATATAAACATGGCTATTCAATTTCCAAAACATTTAAAACCTATTGAACCACAAGGCTCTAATCTTTTACAAGAAGAAAGAAATAAAGCTACTTTTAACTCTAAAGAATTGACTAAATACATTTATGGCGAGGATTATATTGAGAAAAGAAATTGTATCCTTCAAATTCTTAAAAATGATCCTATTCTCAACGATAAATCTCATCGTTATTACCATGGAAGAGAGTTTCGATTTAAAAAGTCATTAGCTGCTGCAAAACGCTTTGCAGAGCTTGTAAGGTAAAGAAAACCTCCTTCTCCTGCACTGTATATCTTTGATTTTATCTTATTTTATTTATTTATTTGTTTAATATGCTGAATTCTATAGAGAATATAATTGGACTGATGAAGAGTATGGAATTGCTGAATTTCTTTTTGATGAACCAAGCCCTGTATATATTTTATAATGAAAATAATAAAAGAAGTAAGTTGTTAACGGTTTTGTATTATTATTATAGTTTCGTCTTCATCGTAGTATGTTTATGCCCACTATTTTAAATCAAGGAACAGAGGAACAAAAAAAAATATATCTCGAACCTGCAAAAAGATATGAAATTATCGGCTGTTATGCCCAAACAGAGGTAAGCACACACACACACACACACACATAAATATATATATACATATATAATATCTTTTATAATAGCTTGGGCATGGCTCCAATGTACGCGGTTTAGAAACGACTGCAACTTATCATCCAGAAACGCAAACATTTGAACTCCATTCTCCCACATTAACCTCTTCAAAGTGGTGGATTGGTGGTCTAGGCACTGCTGCTAACTATGCTATTGTTATGGCGCGGCTTATGAGTAATGGAAAAGATTATGGACCGCATCCCTTTATTGTTCAGATAAGAAATTTGGAAAACCATGAGCCTCTTCAGGGCGTTACGATAGGTGATATCGGCCCTAAATTTGGTTTTAATACAGTCGATAACGGCTTTATTCTTTTCGACCATTTCCATATATCACATATAGCCATGTTAGCGCGTTATTCGCGTATTAATAAAACTACTGGAGAATATATCACTCCACCTAATTCTAAATTGACATATGGTACAATGGTATTTGTTCGTGCAAATATCGTACTAGGTATATATATATATATATGTATATATAAAGGAGCAGCCTATAAGGAAATTAGAACTAAATATTATTTATTAGAATCTCGCTATGTTTTAGCTAGAGCAGCTACAGTTGCGATCCGTTATTCTGCTGTTCGTGTTCAGGGCTCTAACACTACTAATCCAAAGAAATTTATCACAGCCGATGGCTCTATTAAAACAATTGAAACACCTGTTTTAGACTATGTCATGCAGCAATATAGGCTGTTCCCTATTATTGCACAAGCTTACGCCTGTCATTTTACTGGTCAAGAGATGTATCGCATGTATTACGAAAATCAGGAAAGGATGGCACAAGGTGATTTTTCTTATTTAGCGGATCTTCATGCTTCTTCTTCTGGTCTAAAAAGTTTGACTACGACTTTAGCTGTATCAGCTATTGAAGAATGTAGGCGTGCCTGTGGTGGTCATGGCTACTCTTTATCTTCTGGTCTAGGACAATTTTATCAAGATTATTTACCAAAGGCAACAGTAAGTTTTATTATTATCCTTCTTAGGGAAACACCCTCACTTACATGATAATTTATTATAGTGGGAAGGTGATAATTATTTGTTAACACAACAAACTACACGCTATTTGCTGAAACTAATGAGATCTGCTCTTTCGGGTAAACTACAAGATACTACTTTCTCTTCAGACTATATCCTGGAATATCTTGCTAACCCTCAAGCCCGCTGTCCTTTTAAATCTGTACAAGATCTTAATAATCCAGAGGCTTTATTAGCTGCATTTAAATTTCGTGCAGCTTTCTTGATTGAAAGAGCTGTAGATGCTATTGATCATGAACAAAGGAGTTGGAATGATATGCTAGTCGAAATCTATAGAATCTCTCGTGCTCACTGTCAGCTTTTGATGGTCTCTACCTTTATTAAAACCGTCTTTAATAAGGATCAAAATGGTGTAATGAAAGCTAATATGAGGCAAATACTTCAACGTGTTGCTATCTTGTTTTGTTTATCTACCTTAGAACAGGAGGCTGCTGATTTTTTGACTTCCAGCTATCTGTCACCTGAACAAGTCCTCTTGATTAAACAGTATATGATCACTGTACTTAAATCAATTCGTGATGATGCTGTTGCACTAGTGGATGCCTTTGATTTTCCTGATTATCTCTTAAATTCTGCTTTAGGGGAGAGTGATGGACGTGTATATGAAAAATTAACAGCAATGGCTGAAATGGACCAGCTTAACCAAACTAAAGTGGTTAATGGATATGAAGAATATATTCGCCCACTTATTCATAATGGAAAGAATAATTGGAAAATTGATCGAAATGGAGTTGCAAGACTTTAATATAAATATATTTAAATACATGTTTATATAAAAATGTATTATGTATATGTATTATGTAACTTTAAAGTTATTTTCTCTGGTAAAGCATTAAAAAAAAAAGAGTGGGAAAAAGAAAAAAAATGAGTATATGATCTTCTTCATGTATGAATGGAATGCGCGATTGAAACTATTTTTTTTTTTTTTTTATTATCGTTATTCTACTTTTTTGCTTTCAATTGCTGAAGTTGTCGCTACTGAGTCCGTTGCTGGTGCTTCGGTTGCTGTGGCTGCTGAGTCTGTTACTGCTTTTTTTGATGGTTTCTTTTCTTTTACAGGATCAAATCCATACAAAGGAATAAAACTTTCAATGATGCCACAATCCTCGAACAAGTTAGGGAATAACCAAAATCCACGAGGTAAAATAGGATATGTAATAATATAAAGAATAAGACGAATGAGAGCAATAGCGAAAAAGAGACCGATCAAACAAAGTACACCTACACTAAGATACCAAACACCTAACCTCAAAAAATTAGGCCAGAGAGGGAAAAGGACACCTGCCAAAATAATAGCCACTAAACCTACAGCTCCCAAATATAATTTAACCTTTGAACCTTCCCAAATCCACATGTAATAACCATCCTCTTTAAACTCTTGGACGGGATTAGGCTGTAAAATACGTGGAGATCCTTTGTTGCCAATAGGTTCACCACGATCGACACGTAAAATAAATCCAAATTTACCCAATTCATTTAATACATTAAAGGCCTCATCTCGACTTGTAGGAGTCTTTTCGTTCTTTACAACTTTGGCATAATCCTCTTTTAATATAGCTTCGATACCTCTTTTACCTAACAATTCATGAATTTTAATATATATTTTATCAACTTATAATATTGTAGTCTAACCTTTAAAATATTCAAATCTTCTTCCATTAAATACACCTTGTCTAGCTTTAAGACCTGATTTTTTAAAATTCTTGAGGTAATTAGCAGTATCTTTATATATAGCAGGTGCTTTATTAGCATCGTTTACTTGAATAGTTCGTGGTCCTGTTGATTGACTAGGTCCATGATTGCAATTAGGCCCGTGTTTATGGCTCATCTTGTTTAATTAATATAGAAATATAGAAAAAGTAAAAATTAAAAAGAAAAGTAGCTTTTTTTTTTTTTTGATTATTATTATTATTATTATTATTATTTTATTTATTTATATTTAATCCAATCAAAATTAGCCAAATGATTATTTTATTTTATCTTTGCAGTAGACGAAGGAGCCATTGGTCTAAAAGCGAATTTTGTTCTAAAGATATATGTTAGTTAATTTTATATAGAAATGATAAAATTAATACTCACTTGCAAGTAGAGCATACAGGTGACCATTTACAAAAGACTTTATAAATATGAGTAAAAAAGAAATATATATATATATATATACATATATACACATTTATATATCCTATACACATATTTAAAATAACAGAAACTTACTTGACAGACAAACTGAACAAACAAATCCAATATCGACAATTTTTTTATGACAAAAGCATGCAGCTCTGAAATCTACTTGATCTTGACTTGGTAGATTAAGATAATTACGTGAATATCTATCAGGCAGAAATGCCATCATTAAATACTCTAACAAAGCATGTGGATTCTCTACTCTAACATAAACACCTCCTGTTATATTGGATGCTTGCTGTAAAAACCCTGTTTCGTCTCCATATATTTTACATACATCTAAAGGAATACTCTTTATTATAATAAGACATACGACATCACTATTACTCAAAATCTAAAAAAAAAAAAAAAAAAAACTTACTGCCTTCTGCGCTGAAAAAATACAATTCATAAGTGGGATATATTGAAATGCTGAAACAGGTGATACTGATAATATTAATATTCTTGGTTTAATATGACCCTCATCATCTAACTTTGTAACTCTATTAATATAACATAGTGCCATTGACAAGGCGCCTGTAATTGTTGGTGAAACCCCAATGTCTTTATTCAAAAATTCGGTATTCGTACTCGAAAGTAACTTTTGTAGATTCGAAACGATTTGTTCAGTTACAACTTGAAAATGTGGATACATGTTTGCATTTCTTTTATTTCCATTTACGCTCATTGTCGGTTCTTCATCATCAGGTAAAGGGTATAATATTTTACTTTAAAAAAAAATAGATTTAGAACGATCTCTTCAAATTTATATATCCAAATGTACCTTTGACCAACATGACTTGCTATAGCAACTACTTTATTATCATACTTTAACGCTAAGTGAGCATTAATAAAAATTAAAATTTGATTTAGAGCTTGATCGAGCGAAAGTGGATTTTCTGCCTTTGATGATTCTTCCCAAGCGAATGGATTTGTATCAATAATTATAATGAGCAAATTGGAATCGTCTATTTAAAAAAATATAAATACATAAATAAAGATAAATATATAAAAAAAAAAGAATCTAATGGTTCATACTGAATACCTTCACTAACTGAAATGTTTTTCATTTTAAAAGATGACAGCAGAATTTGCTGTCGTATTTTGAGTTGAAAAAAAAAATATATACGTGTGTATATAAATAATATGTATCGCTAGTTAAAAAGTGAAAAGTATCCAATCAAAATATAATCTGTAACTTAATAATCAAAATGCGCATAGAATGTAATATGCAACAGCATCTTAATTCTTCTCGATTGTTCATTTTTTGATGAAATAAATAGTGTATTTATAATAGGATATTATTTACGTGATAGAGATAGTTTGCTTACATAACTCAGAATCAAAAGAAATGAATATGGTTTAATATAATCTTTAAATGCAAACTAGATTATACATTTTCTTTACATTAATGAATTATGAAGAAAGGGACGGTATTTATGTGAATAACAAACCTAAAAAGTATATATTCAAATAAATACTGTTCTTTACTTCATAAATACTATAAAATTTTAATTTCATAATTTTTTTTTTAATTGTATGCTATTAGTCTGCTAATAAGTATGATTTGAAGTTTACATTTTAGTACTCGAAGAATAAATTTATTTAATCTTACAGCAAATCTCTACAAAAGTTATCATTAAAATATGTTTATTTTGAGCAATAATAATAATAATAAAAAAAAAAAAAAAAAAAAAAAAAAAAAAAAAAAAAAAGTGTAAATTTTCTTTCGGCAGCTTTTTGGTACTGACGTCAGTTAAATAAGTTTTTTTTTTTTTTATTTTATTATATTTCATTTCACTTTTGCCTTTTTATAAATATATATTTTTTTATAAAGAAAAAATACATACACACATATATATTACATATATATATAAACATATATACTCATCTTTATAATTAAATTAAAGAAAACTGTCTTATGGGTAACTCGTATAGTAGTTGTTGTTCAAGCTGCTTTGGAAGTAAGGAAAAATAAAATAAAACAATGTTGAACGTTTTATTAATGTTTCAAAATCATTTAAAGAACGTAATCGAGCAGGACTTTATGAGCCTTTATTGCAAGAAAATGAACGACAAGCTATTGCTGAATTATTACAATATCTAGAAAGTATGTTCATATTTAATCTCTCATATCTTTTATGTTAAACCTTTTTTTTTTTTATGTATAAAGATCGAAGTGATACCAATTTTTTTGAGGGAGAGCCTTTACAAGCACTTTCAACATTAGCATTTTCAGATAATGTAGACTTACAGAGATCAGCTGCACTTGCTTTTGCTGAAATAACCGAGAAAGATGTTCGTCAAGTTGGCCGTGACACTTTAGACCCAATATTATTCTTATTGCAATCTCATGATGTGGAGGTACAAAGAGCAGCGAGTGCAGCACTAGGAAACCTTGCTGTTAATAGTAAGTTATTTTGAATTATATTATAATGTTAAGAGTTATTAAGGTATGTTATTTAGCTGAAAATAAGCTTTTAATTGTTAAACTTGGTGGTCTTGAACAACTTATTCGTCAAATGGGTTCACCAAATGTCGAAGTTCAATGTAATGCAGTTGGCTGTATTACAAACCTTGCCACTCATGGTATATATGTTTATATGAAAGAATAAAAAAAAACACACAAAATTAATTGTTACATTCTTTAGACGAAAACAAGACAAAAATTGCAAAGTCGGATGCCTTGCGTTTGCTAGTTGATTTGGCAAAATCAAAAGATCAAAGAGTTCAAAGAAATGCTACTGGTGCTTTATTAAACATGACACATACACGTATGATTATTTTTATATTTATTAATGTAAAATATTAAATTTATATCATTTTAATAGAGGAAAATAGACAGCAGTTAGTCAATGCTGGCGCTATTCCGGTTCTAATTAGTTTGTTAAGTTCACCAGATGCAGATGTTCAGTATTATTGTACAACAGCATTATCAAATATTGCAGTGGATGGTAAGATAAATATTTAGATATACATAAGTTTAATATGCTTACATTTTATTTTATACGCTAGCTGGAAATCGTAAAAAATTAGCACAAACAGATTCACGGCTTGTACAGTATTTAATTGCATTAATGGATACAAAAAGTTTGAAAGTTCAATGCCAAGCTGCTTTGGCTTTAAGAAACCTTGCATCAGATGGTAATAAAGATCAAATAAAAAAAATAAAAATAAAAAAAAATAAAAAAAAATAAAAAAAAGCCATTCTTATAAATTTTATTAGAAAAATATCAGCTTGAAATTGTTCGTTGCAAAGGCCTTCCTCCTCTTTTACGTTTATTGAAATCTTCTTTTCTACCTCTTATTCTATCTTCTGTTGCTTGTATTCGTAATATATCCATTCACCCTGCGAACGAGTCTCCAATCATAGACGGAGGCTTTGTGAATCCTCTTATTGAATTATTAGCCTATGATGACAATGAAGAAATACAATGTCATGCTATATCTACGCTTCGAAATCTTGCTGCAAGTTCTGAACGTAATAAGAGAGCTATTGTTGAAGCAGGTGCTGTAGAACGCATCAAGACATTGATCAATAAAGTACCAGCTAGTGTTCAAACCGAAATGACAGCTGCTATTGCTGTTCTGGCACTTAGTGATGATTTAAAGCAAAGGTTGTTAAATATGGGAATAATAGAAGTTTTAGTTGAATTGACATCTAGTACAAATATGGAAGTTGAGGGTAACTCTGCTGCTGCTATTGGTAATCTTAGTTCAAAAGGTAAATACTTATATATATGTATATATTATTTTATAATTGGACTATTAGGATAAATTAAACTCTTTTTTTGTTTAATAGTCAAAGACTATACACCATTTGTCAAGGCATGGAAGTCTCCTGCTGGTGGATTAGAAAAGTTTTTAATACAATTCCTTTCTGAGCAACAAGATGTAGCTTTTCAACATATTGGTGTATGGACAATTGAACAATTTTTAGATGGTAGAGGTAATAATTAGGTAGTTAACTAATGTGTATCTTTGCGATAACTGTCATATATATATACATAGATGAAAGATTATTAAGTCTGATTGCCGAATCAAAGTCTATTGTTGAGTCTGTCAAGAGAATTGCTGATGAAGGACAAGTACCTAGAATGGATAATAATGATGAAAATGAGGATAGTGACATATATGCATTAGCTAAGCGTGTTTATCATATTCTACAACAAATTGGAGAATCAAATAACAGATCTCAAAAGAAGCAGCGTTAAACTATGATTTAAATTTTCACTATTATTATGTAATACTATATTTTACATGATCCCCCCTTTTTTTTCTTTTTTTTTTTTTTTTACTTAAATCAAGAACATTGGTAATTATCTTCATTATTTCTTTTGTAGCACTAATCTTGAGTAAAACTAATAAAAAAAAAATACATACACAGTTAAATTACAATATACAAGACATATAATGAAGACAGACAACTTACTATAATAAGAGCCTAAATGCAAAGACAATTGTAACACCAAATGATAAGATATAATATATGAACAACCTCGATTCTTATTATAAGCTTCTATAATCATTCATCTTACTTTAATAATAATACAGTTCTTTCAGTAATTAATCTTATCTCGTCCTATATTAGAAGATATAAGCTGCAGCATATTTTCTTTAATAAATAATCGCATACGATTGCAGGAAACATACAACTTTTATTATATGTGGAAAGTAAAATGATCATAAAAAAATCTAAAATATTTAAATATTTCACAATATAAATTACATGAAACTATTTGTTATTATAACATTTTATACAATGAACTAATGGCTTGATTGGTTATCTTACTATTAAAGATAAAGTAAAGCATATTTTCCAAAAGACTTTCTGTTTCCTTTATTTTACTGATTTAGACTACATAATTTTAGAGACTTTTTAAATAGTCTTTTATTAAACGAAATCTTTTCCATACTAATCATTGTTTTTTTTTTTTTTTTTTTTTTTTTTTTTTTTTTTTTTTCTTTATCTATAGCATAATGGCATAATAGTTAGTAAATAGGTCTGTGTATATAATATTGCACAAACTCGCATTTTTCTTTTTAATGACCAAATGTTGTATATTTGGGTATTTTTTCTTCTATTAGATGCACTTTTAGATTATGTCATTGATATACCTGATCAGTAGGTAGTAATAACGAAAAAAAAAAAAGTGCAGTCTTTGTATTTTAAAAAGTCTATATTTATTATTGTTTGATCCTGCCATAGTACAATTAATAATGCAAAGTCAATCTTTAATAGAAGATAAAATTTAGCTAAAAACAAGTATTAACATTCATTCTATTTTATTTTTAATAATTAATTGAAACTGCCGTTGTCTTGTCAAAAAGAAAGAAGCCAATATCTTCAAAGAAAAAAAATAACACCAAAACGATGCTGATGGGACTCGAACCCACAATCTTCAGATTCGAAGTCTGACACCTTATCCATTAGGCCACAGCACCCTATGGTGGGAATGAATTTTTTTTATAATTGAGCAAAGTCATAGAAATTAACGAGTCACGTGACTTTTTGGTGGTTCCGGACCGCTTTATGAATCTTTATAGATCTGAAATAAAATTAAGTGAAAATACGTTGAGGTTTGATGTATAATAATATTTATCAAGAATAAATTGTATAAGTAAGTTTAATAAAACTATTTTAACATTGTATGCCGAATATTTATATTTTTGAGAACAATGGTAAGAATAATTTTATTCGTGTTGCTTATCAAAAAAAAAAACATTAATTAATATTTAATGTGAGACGGATAGATTTGGGTGAGCGAGCGTTTCATTAATTGTCAGAGATACTTCTAATAGAAATCAAAAGGTTTGTATTAATCTATTATTATGATTAAACAGCAAGGTTGATAATTGCTTTTCTTTTTCTAAAATAAAAAACTGTTATTCTATTCTGCAACATGATATAGATTGCAGGAAAGCTATATCAGCTTTATCCAAATAATTTGAAATCTATCGAGCAACTTTAGTATAAAATAAGGCGTATTCCTAAAGAGGTTTATTGTTATTGTTATTGTTATTGTTGTTGTTGTTGTTTTCCCCAAAATGTTTTATCTTATGATGCTAATATTTTTGCTTTTTTTTACTTTATGTCTCTATTTTCAATGAATGATACTAATGCTAAAAGTTCTTGTTTAGATGTTACTTATAGTATCTCCATTGATACCTCAGTTGTAATATATATGCAATGATGAACTTGATGATGGATTTCCTATTGCATTTATTCTTAGTGTGTGTACACTTGGCTATTTTTGTTACTTTTTTCAAATATGTGATAAAGTTGTGATGGTATATAATAAAAGAAAGGAAAATAAAAGGAAAAAGACAAAAAAAAAAAAAAACCAGAAAGAAGACTTGTTTATTCAATGAAAAGAATAAAATAAAATAAAATAAAATAATAAAAGAATTAAAGATTAAAGATTATTTTGTGTCTACACAACTGCTTGTGTTTATACTAATGAGTCCTGAATCAAAGAAATAAATATTACCATACAGAAGATAAGTCATTAAACAGTGTTAGTATTCATATATACACGTCTTATAGATTCAAGAGACTGATCTATGTATCATTTATTGGGCGTTATAATGATCTGATTAAGGTTTTAAATAAAAAAAAATTATTATTTGATCTGAGCATAGGTTCCTGATATCTTTTACCTTTTTTTATTTTATTGGATCAAAGACGACCTGAATCTTTTATCAAAGTTATAAAAATGAATACTTAGAACCGATACAATGTCTTATAGTCGACACATTTAGATGATTGGATGTCATTAAGGTTTATATTATTTACAAGATGTTATATACAGTAAGATATGATATTTTTTATTATATGTTCAGGCTTATAGTTTATCCTGTATTATGTAATTTATCTTTTATTATATTACTTGTGCTTATATCCAGAGCTTGTTCTATAACACATGGTTGACAAAGTTTTCTACAATTAAGTAACCACTAGTTCATACCATATCTCCTCATAGGAAAAGTTAACGAAAAGTGCTTAACCTAAATCACTATTATCAACCAGGTTGAAGTTAGAGTACTATAGCTCAAACGTTGATTATGGTATGGAAACAAAGACATGCGGTACTAATAAGCAGTAAAGTAATGCTCAATGTCAACTGGACATATGTTGGATTACAGAGCTTGAAATCTTAATGAGAAAAAAAAAAGACCTTAGTCTTATCACTTCATGATCCCAATCTATGACTTTATACCTATGTCCTTAAATAAATAAAATATTTTAAGGTCTTATAACATTCTATCTTAAATATATTAAGATGCCCTAACTAGTTTCATACGAAATCAAAAAGGTAAAGAAAGAAGAAAGAATTATGATCTTTCAGCAAAACGTGGATATTCAGTTACTACTAATTTTTTCCTTCTAATCTATAATGATGAGATAATTTATTTCTCCCCTACTTTTTTTTTCTTTTGCATGTAAAATAAATGCTTAAAAATTATAGGTAGTGTTAAATCAAGTCTTTCTTCGTTTCAAAGCAGAAAGCTTTTATTTACAAGAATAATCACGAAAGTGAAGACTATTTATTCCCAACTCTCAGTTTCCAACATGTTGATGTATTTCATCACCTATTTACTAGCCAAAGCTTCAAAGAGTATCCTACAACTAGTCTCAAGATAAAAAAAAAGGGACGGAAGGCATTTTATTAAAAATGGTTAGATAAATAAAAAGTAGCAGATGTTAAAAAAAAAAAAAAGAGTTGAAGGAAAAGCAGACAGTATTTATCATTAAAGAATTCGTTATAGAGAAGACTCAGCAACATTGTTGAGCACACTGTGTTTAGAGTTTTCTACCACAAAAATGACCAAAAGAGCTTTTTGAACAGCCATATAAAAGATACTTGCTTGCTTTCTATAAAGTAAAAAATGAGTATTGAGATTCCCTATCAACGTGATATTTATGTTACTATTTTAAACATAATCTCCATTCATAGAGTTATTCATATTTCTATGGGTTAATTCAACAAAAAAAGTTGCAGAAAGAGTTTTAAGTGACACAAGTACTCCAGGAGTAAAAAATATTAAAAGACCAAATAGACCAAGCTTTTAAACAAATTACATTCTTAAACCGTGCTTTGTTCGATAGAGGTATAGAAATTGACTTTTTATTATCATATACATGATGCAAGTTTATTGTTTTTACTTGACTTAATTAAAGACAGTGTCGTTTATCATGCATATGTTTTCCACCACTCTCACAGTATTGAATCTGTCGAAGACTTGAAAACAGCTTGTAATACTAATTACAGTTATGTAGCTGTAGTACAACAGAAACTAGCATGATTGTAAACATATTCAACAAGACTGCTATTTATATTTATTTATGGAGATATCGTTTTCTTATTGCTTGTTCTTATAAATGTGAAATAAACTGTGTAGCTACGCCTGTTACCTTTTATGCTTTTTAAAGCTTATGTGTAAAAGGACGCCATTATGGATATACAAAATAGCTTATAGAATATGCCTAACACAACGTATAAGGTTTTCTAGTTACATACCCGTTATCTTATAACTCGTAGTTATTAATCAAGTATTGACATGAATAATAATAAGAAAAAAAAAAAAAGGTACCAAAGCTATGCGTACCTTTTATATGTAATCAATTAAGTCTACAGTTAGTTTATTTTGATATATACATATAACCTTATTTATAATTTGATGAGAAAGTAGAAACTACTACCATTTCAATATGTATTAATACTCCAAGTTTAATTCAAAAATATTGTTTATTACAATTAATATCCCCTCCAAAAAAAAAAAGATAAGAAAATACTTAAGGGACTTGGGCTGTCAACGAAAATTGACAAAATATTATTCCTTATATGTATGTTCCTTTTTTTTGATACTGTCTTTATTGACACAGAGTACTCTGTTATTGAAATGATGACATATGAATAGTAAGTATTACGGAAGAGGGAGAGGAAGAGGAACATTTGTCTTTTTATATTATCGTATTACTGCATCATACATGACGAATTACAAAGTTTTTGTTAGTTAGTGATGGTAATGTGCGTGTGTGGGTGGGTGGGGGGGAGGGTTGCGCGTGATGATGTAAGCCTAACATATTGTTATAGTACTATGAAATTAAAGTAACTAAAGCTTTTTTTTTTCGGGGGGAGGGGAGAAAGGTAAAAAAAAAAAATTAAACGAACTTTCTTTTTATTGTTTCAAAAAGGCAATTGTAAAAATGGTATATTCATATTTTTTTTTTCCACATGGAAATTATAAAGCATTTCTATAAGATCAAAAAAAAAAAAATTATTTCATCTTTCGTTCATTATCAATAAATTACAAATATAGTCATTTGTTTGTTGCACGAAAAAAAAATATACATGTTTATAATTACGATAAGAAGATATGATAAAGTATGAATAGGGCATGGGCTCTTTCGATGTAGTACACACCAGTTAAGAACAGACTTCAACTTTTCCTGTTTTGTGCTATATTTCAAAGATATCATGGCCTGATGTAGTATGCAATGGAGGAGTAGTAATTATACCATTTTTGTCTTTATAGTACATAAAAGGTCTGATGGTGAATGTCATCAGATATAAATTAATAATTTGAGTGTGTTACTACTCTTCTTCTTATTATAATAAAAGGATGATGGGTCTTTATTGCTATTAATCTTGTAATTCTATATATAAATAATGGTATACATATAATAATAATAAAAAAAGAATTGTACATTCAAATGAAGGTATAAATGAGATATAAAAAGAAAAAGTATATATGAATAAAGTAGTACATCTTAATGAACAATAGCTACTTGATGTCCATCTAAAGCTTGAAGCTCGCTTCTGATACTAACTACACTTGCTGTATCACTACTGCTACTACCATCACCAAAGCCTGAATAATCTACTAACACAATACTTTCTCTATTTTGACGTCTTTGTTGTCGTTGTCTTTTAGATAACGATGCATTTGAAGAAGAACTTAATCTGTGATTAATTTTAGCTTCTTCTTCAAACAATTCAATCGACCCTATTTTAGCTAAACTCATTTTTCTTCTATACAGCATAACTTGTTTAAACATATTCAAAAGTGGTGTAGACGTCAAGAAGAGCTTCAAATGACTCATAAAGTTATAATATTCACATACAGCTACTAGTTTATCTCTACAAAATCTATCAATAGGTAACCATGACTGTTGTTCCACAGAGGATTTTTTTATTGAACTTTTAATAACAGGCAGACGCATTCTAAATTCACATATTCTCAGCTTATTACAACATGCACATTTTGTTTTAGGTACTGCTAATGTATTAAAATGATAGTGATAGGAGGATACTGATGAAATATGACTTGTTGCAGGTGATATATTACTCATATTAGAGGATGAAGATGTAGTTGTATAATTTGAATGAGTATCATGATGATGTTGTTGATGATGCCATTCTTGAATCTCACATTGACCTTTAGAAATAGCATCCAGTAATCTCTTCTTAAACCAAGCAGATTTCCACCAGCCTTGAAAGAATAAGCAGGGTTCAATATCTTCTATTAATACTCTTTTAAAAAATGGAGACATTGGTAAAGGATTTGTTGTTGTATTAAGAATTTTTAAATGTTCTTGAAATTCGGATAAGATAAATCCATCAATTCGAATAGTTGAATTATCATGATGAATGGCTTGGTCCATTGATACTCGAGGATGACTAATACTTGTGCGATTTGTTAAACGAGTATTGATATTAGTGTTAGTGTTAGTATTAGTATTAGTAGTAGTGATAGTTGTAGTAGTAATAGAAGAAGGCTGTAAAGAATAACGATGAGAAATTGTACAACTTGCATGCGTGCTTTGAGATACAATGGAGTCTAATTCTATTAAAAAGTCTTTTATCTGCTTTAATCTTATTTCTCGAAAATCCCATGTATCCAAGATAAAACCTAATTTTCCATTTGTCTCTCGATTCATTTGAAGTACATTTTCTTTGTTAGTAACCTCTTCCATTAAAATTTCATTAAGGATTTCAAATAATGAGGTAGTAACATCAGCTACATCTTCTTCTATTGCTTTTTTATCTTGTTCAACCATAGCTCGAATATTTTCTTCTGTTGATAAAACAGAGGCAAGAGAATTAAGATCTCGTTTTAAATAAGCTTGTTTTTCTACTTGAATATCCAATTGTGATAAAAGTTGTTTACAATTTGTACAAAAGTTAGAATGGTCTTCATCAAAGAGTGTTGTTGGTTGAGAATTATTTATCTGTGAATCAGAAAATGATATTTTATCAGTAGTAGAGGAGGAAAAAGAAGAAGAAGAGAATCTATTGTTCATAATAAAATTGTCATCTATCATAGTATTATCACATGATTTATGATTGTCATTACGTCTCCATTCAAGTACAGCTGTTTGTCTTCTTTCTAATTCTCCTTCTTCTAAATCATCATTATTTATATCTGTTACTATTATTGACTGTCGTTGTATTTCATTTTGACGAAGATAATTTAAACATAAATTAAGAGTTGATTTCACTTGTTCATCTAATATTGTATTGCCATCATTCAAATCGGATAATAACAAAATTGTTTCTTTACTATTGAATTCTGATTTTTGTAATTTTCCAGATAAATAAGTTATATATTGGTCTTTTTGAGAAAGACCAATTAACCATTCATTCCTATCATGTTCATATTTATGATGAATTGTCTATCATGTATAAATTAGCATTCCCTTGCATATATATATATATATATGTATATGTATGTATACATTTATATTATTATACTTTACAGATAAATCATTTTCTAATTCCTTTACTCTAGATTCAAGCTTAGCTATAATATCGTCAGCTTGTAATAAAAATGGTAACACATCTTCGCTAAAGTCTTGTTGCTCGAAAATATTTGTTTCTTCTTCGAGATGGTCTATAATAGAGTTCGAATCCAAGTTATTTAAACTCATGATGTAACGAGATTATTTCGAATTGAGTTGTAAGAAAGAAAGAAATATAAAATAAAATAAAAATAAAATAAAAAAATACCAAAAAAAAAGTCTGTGTGATGATGGTCCTCACCCTGAAATTTTAGAATTTATTATCTGTGTATGTAAGTGAGTATGTCCTTATGATATGATTTTATTGTTTATCAACATAAACAAATGCATGCATGTATATTTTAGTTAAGTGACTACTAAAGAAGTATAGTTTTGTGATTTATTCCATTCTTTTCTATATATTATCTCAGTTAATGTTATCCATGAAGAATGATCAACTATAATCGTATTTATGATATTCAAGAAAAGATGTAATAGTTTCGTATAATAATAATAATAATAATAATAATAATAATGTGGGTACATGTATATTACATGTATAATAAACAATTACATAAAAAAGAGAGATAGGTGTAATATGTAATGAAGAAACAATGTAATAAAAGCAAAAAAAAAGGGGGGCTCATTTTAACTAAAAAAGGAAAATTTATGGATGCAATCGTCATCATGGTGAACAAATAACAGGAATAGGACCAAGTATTTACCCGTTAAGAAGTTGCAGTGGTAGTTGTATTTTATTATGAACAAATACTCGCCCTTTTTTTTGTCAAAAAGGATATATCACAATAATGACCAATTGTTTTCTTCAATTGTAATACAATATTCTCATTAATTTAATTTTATAGAAGAAAAAAAAAGTTATCAAGTCTTATGCAAAGTTATTTCCTTTTTCCTTTTTCCTTTTTTCTGTTTCTTTTCTTTTCTTTTCTTTTCTATTTTTCCTTTTAATATAGATAATGCATTTAACGAGGTATTTTTGTAATTTCTATTTTCTTTTTTTTTTTTTTTGGTGAACTATAAATAACTAGTAACACATAATATCATAAAAGTATTTGAATATGTTGCGTATAAAACGAAAAAAAATAGTTGTGTGAGGATTCATTTAGTTTTTTCTGACGATCTTGCATTCATTCACCGATGAGCATTTTATATTTCTTGTATTACTATTTTTTCCGGGAAATAAAACGTTTTAAACTCCGTATATAAGGTTTTTTTTTGGGGGGGAGGAGAGAGAAGAAAGGGAAAGAAAAGGACTATGTTATTGTTGTAATACAGTAAAACTTCATATATAAATAAGCTCATCTCTCTCCTCTTTTTTTTTTTTTTTTCCTTTTTCTTTTGTTGTTTTCTTCTTCTTCAATATATTTCTTCTCTCCTTTAACTAGTACTAATTTTAACAAAGAAAATAAAAATGAAGTCTGTTATTGCTGCTATTGCCGCCATTGCTGCCTCTGTTGTTTCTGCACAACAAATTATCACCAGTCAACCTACTACTAATCAAGTTCTTACTGCTGGTACAACTGCTCAAGTTGTTTGGCAACCTGTTGAAGGTACAATTTCCACTATTGATCTTCGTCAAGGTGATGCTAATGCCCTTACCTTTGTTCAAAATGTTGCCACTAATGTTCCTGCTAATACTGGCTCTTATGCCTGGAACATTCCTGCTACCCTTCCTGCTGGTACAGATTGTAAGTATTTTTTTTATTTTTAAAGGAAATGATGATAGAAGGGGGATGATGGGAGTGGTGGTGGTGGATGATATAATTAGATTAGATTAGATTAACCTTGTTATTATAGATGCTCTTTCATTTGGTCAAAGCCCCAACGTTTCTTACACGCCTTTCTTCACCATTAAAGCCTCTACTGGTGGTGAAGCTAATAATTGTAAATTATAGATTATTCTCTTTTTATCAGATATTAATACTGACATATATTATTATTTTAGCTTCCTCTAGTGCTGTAAGCTCCAGTTCTGCTCCTGCTCCTGCTCCTGCTTCTAGCTCTACTGCTAAGGCTACCACTACTGTTGCTGCAGGTACAACTGATGCTGCCACCAAGCCTACTGATGCCAAGCCTGCTGCCTCATCTACTCCTACCCCTAACACCAGCACTACTAATGATGATGCCACCTCTACCTCTGGTGCCAACAAGAACATGGCTGCAGTTGGTGTTGCTGCTGTCGCTGGTGCTGTCGTTGCTGCTTTGATCTAAATTACCCTTTCTCTGGAAAATAATAATAATAACAACAACAACAACAAAATATTTATATAAATCCTTGTACTAGTTTCCTCATGTGTTTTTTTTCTTAATATAATTTATATACAGCTTATTCTTATACACATTAAAATTGATTAATTTTGTTATCTAAAACGTGTCTATTTCTCTTTATGTGTATCAAATGATGAGAATTTGTTTATGTAGGTTGCACAATACAAAACCTTTTTTTTTTCTTCCAAATGTGTCGTATATTTTCAGAAAGGACTGCCGCACTTTTTAAAAAAATAGTGTCGCACAATTCAAGAAAAGAATGTCATACCTTTTTTTTTTTTTTTTTTTTTTTTTTAAAAAAAAAAAAAAGATATCACATATATAATTGTTTATTAAATAGGATGGCCTGCAAGGCAATCATCAAAACGTCTAGTGGAATAGCACGCAAAACCTTCAAAAGATGACCGGGGCAGCTTGGCTGGCTAGCATCTGCAATTATTTGAAGAATAGTATCTTTTTTTTTTTTTTTTTTTTTTTTTTTTTTTTTTTTTGAATATAAACTTAACAACTAGACCAAAATTGTTCTATTAGGTCGAGTTCTGGAGGGTAAGATAGCAAGTAAATTCACTTTGTAGCCATGCTTTTTGATCATTTCGCCAATTATGTTACCTCTATGTATGGGCGCATTATCTATGATGTCCCTTCATTTCAGGAAATTTGTCCATCTCAGCAAGAACATCTTTAATAAAATTGATATAGTGATTAGTTATCGTGCCCTCATGTTTACTGCTCTCTGCCACCGGCTAGCTTTCTTTTCTTTGAAGAAGGCATGAACTTTCTGAAGCTAATTTTAATCAAGCCTTTAGCAGAAATGACATCCAAGATGGAAAATTGAATTGGCTCTCTAGCCGTAAGTACTTTGACTTTGGCAGCCTCTCCTTTTGGTGCCCAGCCCCTGAGTTCTTCTCAGGTTTGCATTAAACCACGACTCATCGATAAAAAAAAACACTATTACTCATACAGTCAACGCCCATCTCTTTCACCATTTCTACCCATTGCTTTCTCGCTTGGATTCGTTCTGGAATGTTTCTTCCTACCTGGCTCCAATTGGACCTTCTTAAGGGTGAAAATGCACAATCCAGCCATATAACAATAGAGCATTCTTTTCGAAATGGTCAGGTACTCAAAGCTGTTGTTGTATAGATAATGATGTATCTCCAAATATACTATAATATACAGATCAGAGTCATGAAGGACCGAATAATATTATAGTTATTAGTTGTATACTTTATGCATACAATATTGTTTGTTTTCAGTCTTGTGATGAGAAAAATAATATTATAATAAATAGTAACGTTACGAAATAATGATAAAGATATACGAATTATAGATTGTACCTATTAGTTATATATCCATATTATTATTGATATACTAACTTATAAATATAATCATATACTATCTATACACTATACAATATAATGAAATTCATTCAAGTAGTACATTAAGGAATGAATATAATACAAAGGATTCTCCTTATATCATTCACAAATATAAACAAACGAGATCTCATTATTTGGTTTCAAGAAAAATAACCGAACCTGCTAGATCGAGCACGAATGAATAATTTAATTCTTATTAGAGTGAGTTAACTGAGATTAATCCTCAATCAGGGCAAAGACTAGAGAGCTCAAACAAAATAACTTTAATCATTTTATGGGAAACATTCTTCTTTCATTCTGTTTCTGTTACGAAGTAACCCCGTTCTCCACAAGGTATAAATAAGGATCCATTTTGCACTTATTTTTAAGTTTATTCTTATTCATTTTATAATAAAAGTCGTATACAAAGTTTTTACAGATTTATTCAGTCTTCTTTTTTTGTCTTTTCCTTATCGATAGTTGTTGTTCATCTGATCCATCAACTAATCAATGGTGGTAGTGGGATACTTGTTAAAGAAGTCAGACGCTAAATTCTTGGTTGCCTCTGCTAATCCTCCTTCAGGTTCAATCATTCTTGGGTGGCCTATAGTCTAATCTTGAATCATGAGTCTGGGTCCTCTTTCCAAAACTTGTACCATCTCTGTACAGTTCTAGGCTAGACTGCCAGATGAGCTCTAAGGCTACAGCTCTCACACTGTTTCTAAGATGAGCATCGACTAAATGAACAGCATCTCGTCAATAATGCGATTGCCTTTTAACGGTTTTTTTTTTTTTTTTTTTTTTTTTTTTTTTTTTTTTTTTTATATATATATATATAAAGACCATTTCTCTTATAGTTAGATGAGCTTCTACAGATTAATATCAACTTTTAAAATTAAGAATACTTTTATTTATTAAAGGAATCCGTCCATTTATTTATATATGTATTTATGAGAGTAAGAAAATAGTTTAATTGTTTAGTGTACTATTATTTCAGTACAAACTTGATTGTAGAGCTTGAATATTACGCGTTAATTTTTTTTTTTTAATATAGCTATAGAGATAACAGAACCCAGTTTTAAAGAGAAGAAGATTGATTCGTGTCTATTAACCAGGGTTAAAAAGAGAGCATGAAAGAATGTTTAAAGTAGCTAGAGTTTAGAGGAGGCCATTATAACGAAAAGAGTCAGAGTTGAATATTTAGAGTGGCCAGAGTTTAGAGAAGACCGTTATGAATAAAAGAGTCAGGATTGAGTATGTAGAATAACTAGAATTTAGAGAAGAAGACCATTATGAATAAAAGAGTCAAGATTAAAAATGTAGAGTAGTCAGAGTTTGGAGGAGACCATTATGAATAAAAGAGTCAGGATTGAATATTTAGAGTGACCAATGTCCAGATAAGTCCATTAAGATTGAATATGTAGAGTAACTAGATTTTAGAGAAGAAGACCATTATGAATAAAAGAGTCAGGATTAAATATATAGAGTAGGTAGAGTTTAGAGGAGACCATTATGAAGAAAAGAGTCATAATTGAATATTTAGGATGGACAATATCTAGAGGAATCACTAGGATTGAATATTTAGAGTGGCCAATATCCTTAGAAGCCCACTAGGATTGAATATTTAAAGTGACCAATATCCTTGAAGCCCACTAGGATTGATTTTATAAGGCGACCAATATCCTTGAAGCCCGCCATAAAAAAAAATAAAAGATAAAGAAAAAAAGGAAAAGAAAAAAGGAAAAGAATAAAAAAAAAATGAATAAATAAATAAAAAAAATATGTGCATATAAAAAATATGTATATAAAAATAAATAAAATATACAAAAAAAAGAAGAAAATAAAGTTTGAATACGTAAAGGGACAAATATTTAGAAACTACTTCCTAATATGATGAAAAGCAAGCAATGACTGATTTGTTTGCACTAACTAAATTTTAGGGAGCCTATTATAATTAAAGTTTGTAATAACCAGCATCAGGAGGGAATTATTATGTAAAAACACATGCTTCTATTCTATAAAATAGACAAAGTACAAAAGTGTATATGTGTGAAAATATATGCATTTATTCTATTAAAATAGGCAAAGTACAGTCCAAAAAAAAAAAAAAAAAAAAAAAAAAAAAACGATTTTATTAAAAATAAGGAGAGACCACGAGAAAGTTTGCTTGTACATAAACAAAGAAAAAGTTTTCAAAGATTAATATCCAGTACCTCTTTGTGGCTTATTATTTATCTTTCATATCTTTTATACACAAAAATGACTATAATAACTATTAAAGATATTATATTGAATTATGTTAAAGAAGCTTAAATGCTTTCTTTACTACTTGAGGATAGATCATTAAATGTGTAACTTTTGTTTTGTCAACTATTGTTTTATTTAAACGGAATTACAGCAAATCTTTCATTTTGCAGGTACATTTTCATTCCAATGAATAAAAAACTTGCTGGTAAAAAAAAAAAAAAAAAAAATATTTGTAAAAAAACAGATACACTTGGAGTCCCCAAAGTAAAATAGTTTACAAATATTTGCACTCAAAACACTGCTTATTTTTAGATCATTGTTTACTAGGACTAGCATATGTGTTTAGCACTTCTTTATACATATAGTGTAGTTATCATTTATCGAGAGTGATTTTTTTTTTAATAAATAGAATTGTAACTTGTTAAGAAAACCTCTGCTTTTTAATAGCTTATCATTTATGCAATTATGAGAGTGCGTTAAATTACATCTTATTTTTTTTCCCTACAACATATATACCTAACTTCCTAATTGTGCTTTATTTTCGGTCTTTTGGTAATTGGGTTTTTTTTTTTCGTCTTACAAACGTTTTCATTAAAATATACATACAAAGCAGTCTGATTAGACGGCACAGATCAAGTCCTCAATATAATAGGTATTCCTTATCTATTCTGGTTATTTTATATTTTGCTTCTGTGTAGTAATTGACAAGGATATGATTACATATTCTACAAAAAAAAAAAAAAAAAAAGAGTATTGGCAAGGAATAGGCTCACTTTGTTAAACAAACCTTAAGGTAAAATAGAAAATAATCATTATAACTACTATTGCTTTTTATTGATACAGTTCATATAAATGCATACACTTATATTAGAAAAGAGAGTTTATCATAGAGATATATGGTTTATATTTTAATATTTAATATCTTCTAAAGCTGGTTTAAGACACATCATGCTGGAAAATGAAATTGATTGATATAAAACTTGTTCCATGTAGAGATATGCTTAATATGTGTCTATTGTGGTAATAATATCGTTTATTATTATCTGTTATTTATATCATATATTGATAAGCTTATATAATATAATGTTCAAAACTTACTACAAGTAAATGATACTACACAATTAAGTTTACCCTAATTAGAATACTTATATGTATATAGCATTTAACCAACAATAATATTATCATCAGTATCAGATCACTAACAACTATTGCTTGTAATTTTATCAGATTAAACTATCTGTGTCAAGTCATGGTGCCTGAATAAACAAACTATATCAAATAATATTGTATGCTGGTGTTTAATTTAGCTGAATCAAGGTTGTACCTTAAATGTCAAATATAGATTGGTTACTATCTTTTCCCTTGGATCAAATATTTCTAATATAGAATCATAACATCGGTAAAAGATGCCTGTTAGAAACTATAAAAGAAGCTGATCATTTTGAAAAAAAAAAGCTTGGAATTATCAAATTTTCGCTTAAAATAAATAATATTGCAGATTTTTACAGATTTTTTTCTGTTTATTGTTTTTACTTTCTTTCTTCTTTCACCGATCTAACTAACGTAATAGAACTATCATAGTTTGGGAGGAAAGATATTTGATAAATTATGGAAAAAAAATATCAAGTAATAATAATACAATGATAACGAAAAGGTTGATTTTTTTTTATTGTGTTTGTGTGTATTTTGCTGGAAATAGCTTTGATGGCCCAATGATAGTTGCTACTACTAGAGATAGTAGAAAGCAGTAAGAAGATAGATAACATCACTATATCAATTTAACTGGGCGAAGAAGAAGTTCAAATGGGGAAACTATTTGAACCGTCCTGTCAAATTTTAAAGGCCTTTTCTAATTTTATTCTTCCTTTTAAATATATACACTCTTTCTTAAATCACATGGCACAACTGTCGACTTTTGTAATGGCACTTTTTTTTTATTGATATAAAAGTGTGCTATCACATTAAAGTGACTGTTTATCAAAATACAACTGCCATTTGGATGCAGAATAACGATAAAAACCTCGCAAGTCACTATAAAGAAGACTATTACAAGCTTCAGAAATCCTTGAAGTGAGAGTCTCTTTCTGCAGAAGTTTCTCCTTCTTAAGCTTGCTCTTGAAGACAGACCAGAATTGCTCTGTTGGATTCAATTCTGGAGAATAGGGGGGGGGAAGATATATATATATATATATATGCACAGCTGTAGCCTCGATTGACAATATATCTTCCGATATCTTCATGCTTATGGATTGGAGCATTGTCCATGACAATGTAGAAATTTTTTAAACTCTTCATGCTCATCCATAACATCAAGAACGCCCCCTCCCAATAAAATTAAAATAATGGCCAGTGACAGTACCTGTAGCTTTGATAGCTTTGGATGCACCAGGCAATTTTCGTTTTATTTTTGAGTGAGCCTCATACGACTGCCTTACTTTTGACGTTGATGATATCAAAAGGTGAAATAGCCCCCAATAGTGTCGTTGTCTGTGCCCTTATTGTGGGCGTTTCGACTATTGCTCTGTTTCAGAATGCATTTCAAAGTCGGTGATATTGTCTAAAGGGATACGCTTCCTCATCCACTTCCATTTTCATCCATGGCACCACCCTTTCCGTCTTCAAAAAAAAAAAAAAAAAAAAGATAATTCACTTAATAAATTATGATGGGGAAGGGAAAGAGGAGGGGTGATAGAAAGGACAATAGTTTGTTATTATGGAACATCATGTTATTATAGATAAATAAAGACCTTTTTGTTGTTGTTGTCTAACTTGTAACTTTTTGTTTACTTTTCGTAATATACACATATTTTTATTAATTATACTGGTAACCAGGAGTAGTAATTTATAAATGAGAATACTTGTATAGTCCTAAAAGAAAAGAAATATTTTCCCCCTTTTTTTTTTCAAACATAATACATAACAAGCCTTTATTATAATTTCGTCTTTTCTTTTCATATATAAAATTGTCTTTTTATTAGTTTTCAACACCTTGTATCAGAGTAATATTATCGCCTTTCAATAAAAGTCGACCTAAAATAAATAATATAAGATTATCATTATCATTATTATTTGTATCAACTTACCAACTTTAACTCGAGTATTATTCTTGATGTCAATCTCTTCACCATCATCAAGAACCAAATTCATGAATTCATCAAAACCCTAATAACGCGTTTTTTTTTTAGTCTCACATTGTAAAAGTAATTTCCACACTTACAATAATTTGGCCTTCAATTCTTAAATCTGTTTTATCAAATAACCAAATCTGAACTCTGGATTTCTAATATAGAACAAATAAATAAATAACATGTAACAATACTAAATAGTTTTAATGGTTATATTTGTATTTACATTTTGAAGGTATCTGAAAATCAGATTCTAATTTAAAAAAAAAAAAAAATGTAAATAAAAAATAATTCAGTGCATTATTACATCTTTACATTTATAATTGTATACTTACGATGGGTTGAACCATAATCTTCTGTACTTTGGATGACATCTTTTATATATGTATATATGTATATATATATTTTTTTTTATTAATAATTTATGTGAATAGTATATAAGAGAAAATGTATTGCTATAATTGTATTTTCCAGGTTCGTAAGACTATGAAAAAAAAAAAAAAAAAAAAAAAAAGTGAAAAACGAAGTCAAACAAATTTATATTCCGCCAAAAACGTCATGATTTATGGAGGAGTTTAGTATCATTTAGCTTTAGCATTTACTGTTATATTATATTACATAATAATAATAAACGTTGAAAAAAAAAAAAAAATACATAACTATAAAAGTTAAAGAAAATAGACAGGATATAAATAAATTACATACAACTATAATGACTGCTATAGATAGATAGATACTCAAAAAAATGAATTAGATAGAAATGATTAAAACGTCCTAATGTAAATAGAGAGATACACTATGTTAATTATACTGTTTATTAGCATATATTCCACGTGATTGTATTATAGATCCATCATACTATTTTGATTGGGTCCCCAACTATGGATATTCATAAATAGTTAATATTAAAAAAGATAAAATAAAAATAAAGAATTTACTTACACTCTTATGGTATGATCATCACTCGCAGACACAAATTGCATAGGTTCAATAGGACACCAACTAACACAATTCACTGTATTTTCATGTCCTTCTAGTTCCTCTAATAATGTTCCATGATCTCGACTCCAGATATATACATGATTATCTAATTGTATATATAATAGTATGAGTATTAAACTATTACATGCGTGTGCGTGTGCGTGTGCGTGTATCATTTTACCTTCACTGCCACTAATTACAAATGATTCATTATGTCCTCCCAGGGTAGATCGAATGATATAAGTAATCTGCTTTTGACCTGAATATTTATGTACTATCTCTCTTTCATCTAAATCCCATAAATGTAACTCTTGTACGTCTTGAACATTGACCAATGCATATCTTCCATCTTTTGTTAATGTTAATGACGTGATCGTACCTTCTTCAGGTATCTTTACAATTTCAGTGATACGTAATCCATCTACATCATAAACACTTATACATTTATCTAATCCAATCGTCACAAATCGTTTCCCGTCTTCAGTTATCTTCATATCCGTCGTTCTCTGAACTGGCCAACGAGTCACGGGCTGTGTGGATTCATCAGCATCCCATAAACAAAGTATCTTATCACAGGCACCTGAAATAAAATGTCGATTATCAGGTAACCAAACACAACTTGTCACTTGATCTCGATGACTTTGAAAGGTATGTAATAAGGTACCACTAAAAGGGTCCCATAAACGAATACCAAAATCCGTACCACATACCAATAAACGAGTGTTATCTGGAGACCAAGCACAATACGATCCACTCACTTCACTCTTAAATGTCTGAATAGCTTCAAAGGTCTTCATGTCCCAAATAATACATGATTTATCTTTTGAAACTGAAGCTAAATAATGTCCATCATGCGAATAAGCAACATGCCAGATCTCGTCTGTATGCCCTCGAAGGACCTTGATGGTCGTTGTAGGAAATTGATTTTTATCACACATATGATCTGAAAATAAAGAAAATTTATTATCTTGTCTCGGATTATGATAGAGACAGGACCTCTTTTGCCATTCAAGTGATTGATTAATCAAGTATAACAATCGTTGTTTTGGTATCATGGCTGTAGGATCAACAAAATGTTGTATCTCTGTTAACAATTGTTCTCTTGATGCCCCTTGTGTGCCATCCCAGCAGGCTTGCTCCATCACGTCGTCTATTGAAGAACAAAGTACTAAACTTGTAAGTAAATGTAATCTCTCTGTATTTTGACCTAATGGTGTAATTTCTGTTCTAAGCACATATAATGCTTGCATCGTTTCACCCTTTTCCAGTAATTCCAAAAACTTTTGTTGTCGAATTAGAAATTGAACTTTAGGTAGATTATTTGTTGAAATAAAGGGTATTTGAGATAAAAGGGATTCCGCTACTTGCCATTCACCATGTAAAATACTCGACCTAAACTTTAAAATAATACTTGATTCTAGTGAAATGCCTGACTCTGTCTCTAGTGCAGTAGCAGCATTGCTGTTCATTATTACAAAGTCATTTAATATTTATATTCTACATGTGTGTGAATACATTCAATTTACTATGCTTACTTGTAACCAAGATCGAGTAAAGCTTGTAATATTAATCTCACAAGTTCTTCATTCTTTATATTATTTGACACTGTCTTTTGTTGGTTCGAGTTCTTTTTTGATATTTGCATAATACTGACTAAAAAAGAAAAAGGTAAAATAATAATGATAATATGTATATATAAAAAAAAAAAAAAGCCAATCAAATAGGATGAAAGAAATTATTACGTGGATAATGTGTTCATGTGATTTTTTTAATATGATAAGACTGCTTTCAATAAAATTAAGTAATTTTTTTATACACATGTATATAAAAAAAAAAAAAAACGTCAATCAATGACATAGAAAATTCTTCTTTTCTTCTTCTTTATTGTCTGTACTTTGTTTAAAACCAATTAAAATTTACACAAATACAAATAATTAAAAAAAAAAAAAAGAAAAAAAGAAGAAAAGAAGAAAAAAAAAAAGAAATAGCAACTATGTATGATGTTCGAATGATAATCCTTAATTCCAGGAATATATTTTTTTTAAGTGCAACGTTATTTTTATACATTCTTGTACCTGAATTTATTATAAATGACAGAGAAATGATGATATACAACATAGTATGCATGATTCTAATATTATATAATGTATTGAATAGTAGCATAAATCAGCCTTTTTCTTTTATTTTTGTTTTTCTTAAGAAAGAAAGGATAGTTGGTTGCTTGTTATGTATTTTATTAGGACGAATACGATTACTTCTTTAACATTATTATTAATAATATGCAAGTCCTTTTCTGGATTCAACTGCACGCGGTCATTTAAATTATAAATCAACCGACAAACAATAGAAGACAATGTGGAGATAGGAGAGGGGGGGGGCTTGTAAAAATATGAAAAAAAAAAATGATATAAATTTGTATAATTTTTTTTTTCAACTTGTAATTATTTCTTCTTTTTTTTTTCTTTTTTGTTTTTATCTTTACAAAACACACCCCCCACTCAGTTATATTAATTTAAAGATGTCTACTCCCGGATCTGGTAACGCCACTGCTGGTGCTAAGCTTTTTAAGACTCGTTGTGCTCAATGTCACACCGTTGAAGAAGTGAGTTTTATTGTATATGCATTTCTGAAGTGATTATAACCCTTTTTTTTTTCTTTATTATCATCCTTAGGGTGGTCCTCACAAGGTCGGTCCTAATCTTCACGGTATCTTTGGTCGTAAGACGGGTCAAGCTCCCGGTTACTCTTACACCGCTGCTAATGTAGAAAAAGGTATTGTTTGGGAAGAACAAACTCTTTTCGATGTAAGTATTTGTATAAAAGGAGAATATCGCAACCTGTACTTATTATTACTCCCTATTTGTTAGTACCTTGAAAACCCCAAGAAATATATTCCTGGTACTAAGATGGCTTTTGCTGGTTTTAAGAAGCCTAAGGATCGTGCTGATGTTGTTGCTTACTTGAAGGTAAAAAAAGAAAAGGAAGGACAAAAATTGATTTTGACTTGTAAATACTTATTTTTTCATTTATTTATTTTTACATAGGAATCATGTTAAGCTGTATTTATAAAACCTTTTTATTTATTTTCCCCCTTCAATATTTAAAAGAAAATATTGCTTTTTTTTGTACTATTTTTAATACTTTAGATACTTTTTTTTTTTTTGTAAATGGATCTGTTACATTAAAATAAATTGACCATTTTAATAAGAGAGAGACTATATAACATGGATTGTTTAAAACTATAACTATAAAAATAGATATTTTTACTTTTTTAGATTTCATAATAGTTGCGTATTCGTAGCTGGAATAATTTTTTTAACAATAGGAATCTGGGTTTTAGGTTTGAGAATTATACTAAACTGAAGTCTACATTGTTATGCAAAACTACTTCACCTCAACAAATTAGCTGAATAAAGTCATCAACATCATATTATTGAGAGCAATAAAGAAATACATCTTTTATATGTTCTAGTCAATTTCAAAATCACAATAATAAAAATAGAGACATAAATACTAAGAAAAGTGACCAAGGGCAACATGGATGACTTGTTGTAAAATGAAGAATGATAGACAAGAGAGGTTTTGCGTTTTCTTGTAGGGAGTCTAATAGAATAGGATTTCACACTGATTAAACAGTTTTTTTTTCCTTGTCTGCTGTTGAATGGCGTAGTTGTAATTTCGGGGTAGTAGTAGTAGTAGTAGAGGATATTTATTAACGGGAAACACTGGGAGAAAGTTAGATGATAAAGTGTCAGAAGAGGTAATAAAATAGTTCAGTCAGGATTAAAAAAGCTATAGCTCCTACTACAAGTAAATAATAAAAGGCATTTCATAAGATGAAGAAATAAATGTAGTAGACTAACTTGAATTGAAATAAATTCATTTATTCTTATTAATTATTTCATTAATAAAACTTTATTTTTGCTCAGATATCTTAAATTGCTAACTTTAAAACATTTCAGGGATATATAAAACTAACTGTTTAATCATGTATTTTAAACGATAGCACATCTAACGAAACGAAATCCTTTTTTTTTTTTTTTTATTATATACAAGTCTCTATTACTAATAACAATTTTCGAAGCTTGCATGAAAGTTACTTCTTGTCAACGGAAAGATTCTTTGTATAAAAGTTATCAGATTGTAAAGTATAAAATAATTCCCCCTTTTTTTTTTTTTTTTTTTTTTTTTTTTTTTTTTTTACTTTTTCTATTTAATCTATAACCTTGGAACTGCAATTATGAATCTTTAAGCTATTTGTACTTTTAGTTTTCCATGTAACTAATATGCATCATCCTTTTCCCTACAAGCAAATGAACTTGATTCAGTTTGACAAATAAAATCATTCGTTATTTTATAAAGAACATCAATATGCATATTTTATTATTTTATTTTATATACGTGTTTTTAATTGAATACAGAACTCAATCTTTTATTCGTTATAACAGCGGCATCATCAACTAGGATAAAAAAGATATTAAGCTCAGTCAGTGTTTATTATCTCCAAGTTTATAAAACTTACTTCTCATTGAATTCCTATTGGATGTTCTATTGTTGTTAAATGATTGTCTTTTTATATCCATCGACATAGGTCTATTATTGTTTGTAGGCTTTTGCTGCTGATTTATATTATTCTCCTTTAAAAAATCAGTAGGGCCATCATAAGGACGTATTTTAGCTAAAGCATGTGTGACATTATCAATATAAGCCTTTTTAGCTAATATATGTAAAATAATAATATCCTTAATGAATCTACTTGATACGGCAGTGTGTTATTATTATATATATATTATATACCTGTGGCAGGATGGTCAAAGATGATCAAGGCACGAGTATCAGATAACCATTTAATTTTATATCCTCCTCGACTACTTTCATAGCTTCTAAAGATATCATGTAAATGATGTGTCTTGAAGGCAGGAGGAAAGTCATAACAATCCAATATAACGGTAGGCTCTTCAGCAGGAGGAACTTCAACTATATTTTAATTATTTAGTATACACATACACATATACATGTACACATATATACATATACATATTATACACACCTGGTGAATCTTGAAAGGATTCAAAGAGACGACTGGCTCTTTTACTTTTCCTTTTATCATCCTCAGTCATACTATATCTGTCATATTGTTTAAGAATACTTTCCCAGTCTTCTACTTGTTCATTACCATCTTCAAAGGTTGTATTCTTATCCTAATAATAATAATAATAAATATACATGTTGTATATAGATGTTAACATGTACCTACATAATCGTTTCCATCATCACCAAAGAAACTATGACGATTATATCTATTATTTGAAGACATGGGACGACGATGTATAAAGGAAGCACGTTTCGTAGAACCAGAGGAAACAGTTGCCTCAGGTTGTAATATAACATCTTGATTCATAGATGAACGATATTTATTTGTAGTAGCACGTCTATTATCATCTTCTTCATTACGACGATGAATAGGTATATAAGCTAACATGCTATTACGTTTATTAGTCTTGTTGTCATCCATTTTTTTTTTTAAACAAAAGGAAAGAATGGGGGTATAATAATATATAATGTGTTGAAGCTAAGGTGAGAAATAAATAAAAAAAATTACTAAATGAGAATAATTTGAAGTTCTTACAAAAAAAAAGAAAAAAAAAATTATTGGATAATTGAAGAAATAAGATATCCCATTTTAGGAAGTGACAACGGATACTGCTTGTTGTATAGTTCTGTGTGAATCTGTAGTTGGAATAACTTATACCAGCATGATTTCTTTACTAGTAAAGGTAGAACTAGTTACTACCTTCTATACAAGCCTTATAGCATATATGTCTTTCTTTTTATATCTTTTACAAAGTATTATTTATAGAAAAAAGATATAAAAATACTACTACTATTAGTTATCACTGTAAAACATTGAATAAACGGGGCAATAAATATACAAAAACATTTTATTTATTTATTTTGTTCTCTTTACTTTGCCTAATGATACACTTCTTTCATGATAGGTAAAAAAAAAAAAAAAAAAAAAAAAAGTTACTTACAACGGTCAAAAGAAGACATCATTACAGACATAGTGTTCTTCTCATTGGAAATGATAATAACAATAAGTATATGCTTATCGATCGATACACTCTATATTCTTTGATCGTTGCTGTAGGGAATGAAGATAATTCTCAACAGACAGTCTAGTGATCATTAACCTCCTCTCTCTCCCCTCCCCACCATTATTTAACTAACTATACGCTCAATAAATATAGTGTATCTCTATTGATTTTCTGTGATTCTCTTTGTCGTCAGGACAAACTTTAACATCTTCTTATACCTGTTTGAATTGTTTATTTAATATACATACATACATGCATGTATTCTTTAATAGCATCACATAGGGAATAAAATAATATTCAAGACCAAAAATTTACTTGTTTCTATAATGTAGTCTATTTACACATGTCTTTTTTTTTTCTTTCTCTTCTTTTTTTTTTCTTTTTTCCCTTATTCTCTTTTCTTTTTTTTTCTTTTTTTATTTATAATATTTTAACTCCATGTATATATTTCCTTTTTTTATAAGGGATAAAAGGTGTAAATTTAAAAGCTATTACATATATATAAAAAAAAACAAAAAAAAAAAACAAGAGAATCGAACCAAACGAATGATTTTTTTTAGTAAGGTGCATAGAAACCGCCTCTTCCACGACTATATACATGTATATATAAAATAAATGAATAAACAAAAATTCATATATACTTTAAATTAACTTACCCTCTACCGCGATATCCGTACATTGGAGAATGTCCATAGTAAGGCATACCACGGAAAGCAGCGCGTCCTCTACCTCTGCCACGAGCAGAGAAGCCTGGAACATTGGTACGTTTAGGCATAACCTTTATTAAACGTGCACGGAATAAACTATTATCTAAAGCAACGGCTGCATTTACAAAACTAGGTTCAGCAAATTCAACATATGCATAACTATAAATCAAAGAGAAAAAAAAATTTTTTTTTCCATGTTAATTACTTTTACATTCATTTTTTATATTGCAAATTAGTTTTTTTTTTACCCTTTAGGATGACCAGTAAATTTGTCACATAAAATAGTTACTCGATTAATTGTACCGCAAGATTGGAAATGTGCTTGAAGTTCTTCAGGTGAAGCCCCATAATCTACCTATTCAAATGATTAAAACCAAAGATCAAATATACAAATTTTACATACGTTGCCAACATAAACTGAACGACTATCAACAGTTTCTTTATCTACAAGAAAAAAAAACAAAGTGTCGTCAGAAACAATAATTAAAGTAAGTAAAAAAAAAAATTTTTTTATTGTTACCTTCTTCAGGATGCATTGCTTTTTCAACTTCAACTTGCATGTCATGTAACTTGGCTGCTTCATCTTCCATATCTTTAACACGTTGCTTCATAGCTTCCAATTCCTTGAAAAAATATATATATATATTTAGTTCTCTTTCTTTTTCTCTTTTCATTTTTTTTTAAAAAAAAAGGAAAACATAGATCTTATATTTTTATTTATAAATGAATATAAATATATACCTTGTCTACATCACCGATCTCTGTTGAATCAGTTGTAGTAGTATTTGTAGGTTCGGTAGCTACTTCTGTTTTCTTTTGTTCCTCAACTTGAGTATTATTAACAGTTTCCTTTTCTAATTCACTCATCTTTAAAAAAACTATATTTTTTGGTTTATTATTATTAAATGAATATAAATATTTATATAAAAGAAAAGAACAAAAAACAAAAAAAAAAAAAAAGTTGTTTAAACGCGATTGTCAATTTTTTTTTTCTTTCTTTTCGAGCGGACTTGTTATCCTTTGCGTCATCAATATTTAAGTAAATATTTCTTTTTTTTTTTCTTAAAAAAAAGGCAAAAGCGGAAAACAAAAATGAAATCATGATTCGTTTATGTACAAAAGCAACAGTAAAAAAAAAAAAAAAAAGTTTATTTCAAATAAAAATATGAATGATAGTGTCTGTGTGTATGTATGTGGCGAAAGAGTTTATTATTATTATTATTAATACTATTAAATAAGATATATATACATATACATATACATACATATATATATTTATATTTATATAGATATATAAAGACATATTTACAACTTGGCAACAAAATGGCTTCTATTTCGTTTAGCCAATGCTAATTTTTCTTTAAACAAATCCTCTGCACCTTGCCAAACAGCAGATTGAGTTCGATTCCTTAGTTCCAACATAGTTGGTAAAAGATCATGCGAAAACATATCAGAGCTCTCTCTTGGTAATAGCGTAGGTAGATGATCAATTGAGATGACATCTAAGGGTGTAGGATTCGCTGTCTTGACGGGGACAGTCGGTTTATCAAAGGTGGTATTGATACTGTAGACAGGGATAGGATTATTAGGATTAGTCGTATCGCAGCTCACATCGCAAATGACAGTTAACTTTCGAGTAGGGCTATCAATCATAGCCTGTGTGATGAAAGGTGGTATCCTTTTATTCAAATAGATACAATTCACAAAGATATCACTTGCCAAGATCTCCGGGAAGGGACCCCCACGTTTCGTTTCTTGAATATCCCATTTGAGGATATGAGATTCAGGTATACCTGCTTTACGAGCAAAATCGACTGCACCAGAGCCACAACGACCCAAGGCACCCATGACCATGAGAGTAGGGTATCGGTTACCATTCATCGATAAAACCTTGCCTAATCTCTGTTTTGTATACTCAATCAACGCCCGTTCGTTAGGATAAGGATTTATTTTACCAAGCTCAGATCCAGGCTGAAGTCTTTGTTGACACCATGTATCTAAACTGACGGCGGCTCCAGCAAATCCTGCCATAAAACCAAATGCTGCCACACGACGGCCTTGTTTATCATTTAAAAATTCTAAATCTAAAATCGTGCCCTTTCCAGCATCAAAACGATACAGTAATTCTTTCCATCCTGCCTGATTCTTAAAGCAATGCGCAAAGAAGATATGCGTATGATGAAGAGGGGATTCATCATTCTCTGGAAGTTCTTTGAGTCCTACAATATACGCCTCAGCCGGTGCATCTGTTTTCCAACTCAAAAATGGAACAAGAGTACAACCAACCCTATTAAATAATAATAAAAAAGGACAAAAAAAATGTAAATAGGTATCATGAATATTTATTTAATATACATGTTATTTTATTTTTCCACCTCTTTTATTACCTTGCATATTCTTCATCATCAAAGACACGCTGAGATGATCTTTCAACAGTAATCTTAAAGCCTGCATCAATTAATTTTTTAGCAGTGATAGGTGTTAAGGCAGCACGATGTTCCATAGGCTTTGTTTCGGCACGAAGCCAAAGATGAGGTCCTGTAGGTGTCATAATGCAAAAAAAAAGATTCGATAAATGTGGAGAAGAAGTATTGTATTTGCTTCAAAAAAAAAACAACAACAACATTTGGATTTTATATATGCAAAATTCATACTTGTCTATTTTTTTTTTTTGTATCTCAGACAACTTCCAAGAATAGCAACTCAAAATAGATTATAATTATCTTCATCAACAATATAATATAGATTGAATAATAATAAAAAAAAATCAGTTTAGTAGTTTTGATTCACAGTAGCTGATAGCATGACGTCAAATCATTCAATAATAGGAATAATAAAACACTTGGTATTTTTTTTTTATTTCCTTGTATGTTAAATGTATAATATAAATGTTTATCTATTGTTAGATTATCTAATAGGAACGGATCAGCATCTTTTTTTTTTCTTTTTCTTTTTCTTTCATATTGTTATTATTAAAAAGATGATATGCTTTCTATATATGTTGAATTCTATTGTTTTAGCGGCTGGTTTTGTTAGACAATTGAACGCTTTGTATGAACAAAGTGCACAAGACTGTTAAAATGCTTAACAAAATACAAGTACCATAGGTATATCGAAGACTCACTTGATAAGCATCAAGTACGATTTGGAGAACATCGGGAGGTAAAAGGTCACGTACTTCTGTCATTGATTTACGAGCAATTTCAATATACTATATAAAGAATAAAAAAATAAATAAGTACCCTTATATATAAATGTACACACACACATATATATATATAAATATATATTACCAGATCAGCGTTAGGCCCTTTGATTTTATCTGTTAAAATATATTTTACGGCTCCTTGAAAAATGGCAGAAGTTAAAGAGATACCAATAACACCACCAACAGATCTAAAAAGATAAGACATGGATGTGATAGTTGCCATTTCTATAATATTGATGTTATATGTAAAAATAGATATAAAGTTGAAAATATATACATATACATATATATATATACACTTTACCTGAATGTTCAACACAAGAATGCATAGCTATTAATGTCGTTGTAATGATAGCACCAAATGATAGACCATCTCCTGTTAAACAGGCAAACATGAATGCCTTGGATGTCTTGTTGGGTACCCAAGCTGTATAACCAACCATAGAGATAAAAGAAATAAGAGCCATTACGATTGTAATCTTGCGATATTCACCTGTACGTGACATGTACATACCAGCTAGGACAGAGCCAATAGAAATGGATGCAACTTTAGGTAACACATAAAGCCCAGCTAAAGAAGGACTGAAACCCATTAGGGCTTGAAAGAAGAGAGGTGTGATATAGACAAGAGCTGTAGTAGCCATGACACACCAAAAATTGGTAAAAGAACAAGCTAGGGGGGTCCTACTTGAGATGATGTTCCAGGGCATTAAAGGATACAATGCATATTTAGCTTCAATAATGCAAAACAGAATGACCAAAACAAAACTACATACAAAACAGCTTAACACGAAGGGATCAGACCAAGCTTTAATGTTACCTCCTAATGAGGTAGCAATCAAAAAGCTTACGACAGCTAAAACAATGATAATGGCGCCGACATAATCAATTCGTTTAAGTCGTTCTTTAAATGTTGTTTCTTTATCCTCTTGTAAATTGTAATTTGTTAAGAGTTGAGTGGCAATATAAATGGTTAAGAGTAAAAATGGCAAGTTAATATAAAAGCAGAAACGCCATCCTAGTGTATCAGTTAAAAGACCACCTAAAGGAGCACCTACTACAGATCCTACCTAAAATATATATGTATATAGATTTATAAATGAATAGATATTAAAAAAAAGAAAAAGAAAAGAATAAAATCCTTACAGCATAAGCTATATTGCCATAACTCTGGAATCTTCCTCTTTCTCTTAATGGCACCAAATCAGAATTAATTACTGTAGTCATACTATTGAATACATACATACATACATACACGTATATGTATATATATATAGGTAAATGGAATTGTTTTGTTATATTTATTACTATCCTAGGTTGTCATACCAATTGATACCTCCGCCACCCACTCCAGCAATGGCACGAGCAACAACAAGAGCCCATAAATTAGTTGCCATACCACAAAATAATGATCCAAAGAAGAAAACACAAGTTGCAAATAATAAAGCTGACTTTCGACCAAAAACATCCGAGATTCGGCCATCTTTAAGTGTATATATAAGTATATGTATGTATGTATATATATATAAAGATGTATAAAAATTATAATAACTTACATAGGGGTTGAAGAGCAGTATAACTTAACATATATGAAGTTGCAATCCAAACAATTTCATTTGATCTACGGAAAAATGTTTTGCTTAAATATTTTATTCATGATACACAACAATAGCCTTTTTTTTTTTAACCTTTTAAATTCAGTTCCAATTTGAGGGTAGATGGTAGCAACTATAGATGAATCTAAAGAAGACAATATAACAGCAATATATAGACTATATAAATAATGAATTATGAATGTTAACACACATATATAGTCATGTATGTATATTTTATTAAACTTTACCCTGAGAAAATGGCATAAATTGAAGCACCGTTTAATCTCTTCCTTAATATTTCATCGTTATCTTCAGACAGTGTATTATGCTTTACACTGGATATATCCACTTCTTCCTCATCATGAATCCTTGCAGTATCGTAATTAGAAGTGCTAGCATTATCTAATAATGGCGATGCTTCATGCCGTTTCATTTTACTAAGAAAAGATAAAAAAAAAAGAAAGATAAAAAATAAAAAATAAAAAATAAAATAAATAAATAATTTTTATCTGGAATACATGTATATTTTTTTTTGTGACACTTTTATTGTTGTGTTTGTTACAAGTACAATTTTGAGATACAAATGTAACATGAATAGACTCTTTTTTTTTTTTTTTTTTTTTTTTTTTTTTTTTTTTTTTTGACAGAGTTCTCCGATATGGCGGGGAGGAAAAAAAAAATCTACCAAAGTATAATTCCAAAAAAAAAAAAAAAATACACATTTTATCTTTTATTGTAAATGTCTGCTAAAATAAATCCTACAGCAGCTCCTTATTATACATTACTTGATCCACCATTGCCACCCAATCCAATTCTTTCTGATGTTCGCATTAATAAAAAAATCGACATAAACCACAATGAAAACCTTTCATCTTTAAAATCTTTAGTTGAGCAATTCAAGGATCGGAAAAGTTTCTGGATTGACGTTGCCGTGTTGGATCGATTACATTATAAAAACATGAATCAGCAACGCCCCTTTCATCGTTTTAAACGATCGATGGAATTAAGACGTCTTTTGAAACGATTAAAAGCATTACAGATTGATAAAGAGCTTGAACGAATTTATTTATCTTTTTGGAATGCGAAAAGGTAATGATGAAAAAAAAAAAAAAAACCCAAAAAATCATGTCAAGTACAATTATTAATAATTTGGACAGTTTAGATAAATGTACATCGAAATGGAACTTTATTCCTAGTAAGGAATCGGTTCAGTATACTTTACATAGATTGATTGGGGCGGCCTTACTTTTAGATAAGGTAAAGTATAAATGAACTAATAATATAAAAAAGCTAAAGAGATTGACCATCTTCTTATAGCTTAGAGTTACTCTAGTAGAAACCTACAGAGCTAATTCAACTTTACTTATTTTGGAACACTTTGTTTCATTAGCACTTGTTTATATGGGAATTTGTAGTCGGTTATATAAAATATGTCACATTTGGGTCAATCAAATCGAAGAATGTTATCATTTATTATATACTTGGTCTGCTACTTTTCCAAGTGGATTAAAACAAAAGGAACAAGCAAGATTTGTAGCCTTAAATAATCTGGAATGTGATATTGACACTTTGAAAAATGTTAGATCTAAATTTGCAGAAAGGACGATGCAAAACAAGTCATGTCTGCAACACAAAGTGCATTTGGAAACTTATATAGTGAATCAAGGAATCACTGATAAAGTAAAAGAAATACAAAAACAAGTTGGCTTAGATGAGTATGGGGGATTAGGAGGAGATTTAGAATTAGAAGATTTAGGAGGTAAAAAAAAAAAAAAAAAAAGTTTTTATATGTTGCTTATATAGAAAGCATTTATTTATTCTATGTGTATATATAAATTAGAGGTGATCGAACGATAAGATGATTAATTCTTCTTTTCATTAAAGTCACGGCCAAAATTAAAGTACTATAAAAAGAGATGTTATTAAAAAAAGATGAGCCTATTTCAAATTTATTTACCTTTTCACGGAATAAAAAGTGACCAGGTCGTTTGGGATCTTCGGTCCCCTTTTCAATAATTTCTGCCTTTTCTTCTTCTGTTAAAGTGGTATGGTCAATAGATGCTGTTGATTCAGGCACCCAATCTTTAATTTTTTCCATTGTAATTAATCGACGTGACCATTGTCCAAAGTTTTGTTCACTGTTCGATATTAATTTCATACAAGGATGTTGAGGCACATCGTCGTTTGAATATTCATCAACTATAGTGGGTAACCAATAGACTAATCGACCTCCCAAAAGTAAATGTTTTGCGGCAAAATTTAAGAGATCAACCAAAACTTCTGACATTTCGTATGGTTTTGTAGGTGGATAATAATCCTCACGGGTATGCATTGGAACACCGTCATATGTTCTCATTGTCAATTCTTTACCATCATGTCTTCCCAACTTTTTAGCACCTGCACGAACACCGTAAGGAGGGTCAGTGACGATGGCATCAATCCACTGTTGTGATCGCCAAGGATGATGACAGATATCGAATACAAGTGTGTCCAGCACACGACCTTGTAAGTTATATTGTTCAATATTTGAATGTACACTTGCGTTTCCTTTACCACGAATTTGTCTTCCATCAATATCAGATCCCAAAGTAAATGCTCCAAAATGAGCACAAGTAAATAGGAAACTACCCGTACCTACAAATGGATCATAGACAAGTTTACCAGGAGCTGCTAATGCCTGATTGGCCATAACCAATGATAATTCAGCATCCATGGATGTTGTGCCTAAATATTTTCTCTTTTTCAAATTGTACAAATTGACAAGATCACGACTTCCTGTAGCTATCAATTCACCCATATAGATATGAAGAGGTAAAGGACGCTCTGTTCCATTTTCAGCGCCAAAATCAGCCAAAACATGGAATTGAACGTCAGGTGATTTCATATCAATAGGTCCTTCAAAACCTAAATAAGAAAAGGAGTTGATGATGTTGATTTGTTCTTTATAAGGAATAGTTGATCCAAATGATGAAACAACAAATTTGAAAGAACAAGTATTATAAGCAGGCCAACGATCTGAAGTCTTTTTTACTTGGTTATGAACTTCTTCGTATGTATTACCCTCTCCCCAAAGTTCAAAAATATGCCTAAAAAAAAAGTAAGTGTACAAGTGTATATGAGAAAGTGTATTTTTTTTTTGATAATGTGTAAATATATTTTACTTGATTAAGATGGCTCTTTTCACCAGCTTTTGTGCATCTTTATGTGAATCTAATTCAACTTTGAAAAATGGATTCTTTTTTTTTTTTCCATTACAATTAATATTTATTGACTCGCTTATATTTTTAAATGGTTCCTTACGTTAAGCTTATACTCTTGTTCATTATATTTGATATTGACTTTTTCTAATTTAGCAAGTGAAAGAAGTTCAGGAAGTCTGAATTCATTATGAAACTATAATATAAAAAAAAATTAAATAGTGATTCCTTTTTGTAATCATATATGAATATAAACCTGAGCAAATTGAATTAGATAGGTAGGCATTATAAATGATCTCAAATTGCTAAATGTCAAAATGTACAAGCTTTTAGTTTATTCATTTTTGCTTGGCGGAGTTTCAGCATAAACAAGGAAAAAAAAAATTAAAACAAACGCTTAGACCAAGCCACAACTTTGAAAATAATTAATCCAAAAAAAAAATAGATGATTTATAAAATAGCATTATAAGACTAAAAAAAAATAACCTTCACAGTTATAATATTATTCTCTCTACTTTGTATGTACGAACATGTGAACATACTATAATTGTTTACAAAAAACAAAAAAAAAAATTGACAACAATTTAGTGTAAATCATGTGAACATTCGGAGATTAGAATCAGAAACAATCCAATCAAATACTTTTATTTTTCATATTTAAAAGAAAGTGAATTAGTTCGTTGTCTTTTCTTTTTTTTTTTTTTTTTTTTTTTTTATATTTATTTCTTTCTTTATAATAAACATAAAAATGGCATCTTGGTGTAACTATTTTTTTAATATTATTATTTTTATTATTTCTTTTGCATTAATAAGAAATATATTATAGTTTCTCAACTTACAAGCACAGTTACAAATATTGCTGGTCTTACAGAAGAAGGTACTGTCAAGACACCAGCACAAACGGCTAAAGATGGACAATATTATAGCGAGTTAACTCCTAAAGACTATGAATGGACATTAGCTTCTGGTTCAGCAACAGAAAACCAAATCTTTTACATGACTACTAAAACAGGTGGTTTTATGTTTGTTCAATTGATTTATTCTGCTATTGGGTAAGTTAATAATATTGTATATAAATGTATATGCGTTGTATGCAGTTTATATTCAATTTTTTTTTTAAATCTTCTATATATATATATATATATATTATTGTTAGTCTTTGGAATCCTACTGTCTCCTTTATTTGTCGTTATTATGACCCTAACACAAATACCAATATTTTTAAAAACTTGAACCAATCTTATGTCTTTAAACTTTCTGATGATCGTCGTTCAGTAAAGACAGAATTCTTTAATATTACGTTGGATCCTACTTTGAGTACCTTTAAGATTTCCATCACACATCCAGATGTTATCGTTGATTTAGATTTTAAACGTATTGACAAAGGATTCAAAGTAGGAGAAGGCAAGACTTATTTGGGAGGACAAGATCAAAGTACAGCTGCTGGTATTGTCTCACATAAATTTTGGCCACGATGTGATGCAAAGGGTACGATGATTATTGATAAGGAATTGCATGAAATAGAAGCCAAGGGTATGTTTATTCATGCTATTCAAGGTATTCAACCCCAATTGATTGCTTCTAAATGGAACTTTATCAATTTCCAAGCTGAGGATGCAGCACTTTCGATGATGCAATTCACGACTACTAAACAATATGGTGCAGTTGAAGTAAATCAAGGGTCAATTGTAGTCAAGGATAAATTGATGAGTGTATGTGTCGATAATCATGTTGAATTATTAGACCTAGAAAAGGATAATGAAACTGAATATGAGATTCCTCGACGTGTCCGATTAACATGGAAAGGACAAACACTTCAAGAAAAGGAAGGAGATGAAGTGAAGGATGTTACTGTTAGTATGACGGTTACGGTTAAGAACTTGATTGATAAAATTGACATCTTGTCTGAAATTCCATGGTTCCTTAAAAAGCTTGTACAAACATTTGTTGTCAAGCCATATATTTATCAATGGATTGATGAAGCTACAGCTGAAATTACAATTGGCGATGAAACGTTTTCTTTCCCTGGTCAATGTTATCAAGAGCTTGTTTTTGTATCTGGTTTTTAAAACCCTTCTTTCTATGAACACCATTTTTATATAATCATATAAAAAAAAAAGAAAAAAAAAAAAGAAAAAAATACCCTTTTGAACTTCTTCTTTTTATTACTTTCTTATTAATAATATTAATAATAATAACAATAATAATAACAACAACAATAATAACAACAATAATAACAATAATTTTTTTTTTTTTTTTTTTTTTTTTTTTTTTTTTGCCTTTCTTTTCTATAACACATTATTCTGTCATTTGTTCCGTGATGGAACCTATTTTGAAAAAAAAAAAAAAAAAAAAATTAGGCACGCGTATTTTAAAATCATTTGATAAACATTTTTTTTTATCACAACTATTATTACTATTACTGCTTTTATATCCAATGATTACAATAAAAAAAAATAAAATAAAGTTTGCATTAATGATGACGTCGTTATTCCCTATTACATTTGAATAATAGTAGTAGTATTATTATATAGTACAATAGCTTGTTGTTCACTTTTTTTTTTTTTTTTTTTTTTTTTTTTTTTTTTTTTTTTTTTTTTTTTTTTTCATAAAGTCATTTTTCTTTTAAATAAATAAAATGTCCTTTCGTCCTCCTCGATCATTACCTATATTAACACTTTTTCATAATGTGAAATCAGAGAGATCAAGAGCAGCTTTGGCCCTACTTCAAAATAAACAAAAGAATACGTTGGGAGAAGAAAGATATCGTATTGATGTTATTGACGAAACCCAACAGGCACCTACGGATACACAATTAAAACAAATTGCAAGTTTTCTTGATAGTTCGACACCTTGGAAGGATATGTTGATGTCTAATAATAAAGAAATTACAAATGCTCATGATGCCATTCATGCTCTTCAAAAAAGGCCTACTTTACTTAATTGTCCCATTTTAGTGGATTGGGATAAAGGAAGAGCAGTTATTGGCTCAAGTAGTTTAGAGGCACTTGAAAGATTAATCAATGATAGAAAATAATTGTATTTTATTTATTAAATACATATGTACAAATATGAATAAGGATATGAATATATAACATAAATATATACATACATACATACATGTATACATGCATACATACATACATGTATACATGCATACATACATACATGTATACATGCATACATACATACATGTATACATACATACATACATGTATACATACATACATACATGTATACATACATACATACATACATACATTTATGTTTATGTTTGTTTTCTTCTTCTATTTGGATTAATAATAAACTTCTTTCTTAATGATGAATTGTTATTGGTAGAAGAGTTTTCAGTGCATGAACCATCTTCTGATGGTGGTGGTGGTGGTAGTGATGATTGTGGAATGACAATGATATTACCTCTTGCTTTAATTTCGGGGGAGGGTTCAACTAGAAGATGATGAACATGTCCCAGTTCAGGTTTATGATGAGTACACATAGGAATATGCTTGACCCAATCATCATCCAAGACGTCCTGCAACGTGCAACGTTCCTCTGGATTAGGTTTCAAGATACGTTCGATGATGGGCCGAGATTGAGGAGGTAAAAGATGAAATAACTTTTCAGCACCTTGCGGAGATGATACAAAGGATTTATAGGAAGCATCTCTATCAGATCTCGGCACACGCCAAGGGAAACGACAAAGAGACATACAGATAAAGATAATACCACAGGACCATAAATCTGTTAAACGAGCATCATAATCAGGCTGAGTAAATTGTTCAGGTGCAATATAAGGATCGGAACCACATACGCCTTTACTACGATGTGTCCTTGTTTCATGAGGGTATCTATGAACGATAGCACAACCAAAATCAATAATCTTTACCATGCCACGTTCGTCTAGAACCATATTATCGAGTTTTAAATCTCGATGCGCTAACCCCATGCTGTTCATATAGTCTAAACCATTCAAGAGTTGACGCCAACAACACTCTATTTCTTCACCTGACATCTCTCCACTCATCACAATGTTAAATAAGTCGTTGGGTGCAAATTCCATGATTTCATAGAATTCACCATGTTCTTGAATGATATCAAACGTCTCGATAATATTCATGTGGTGTAATGTGGAGCCAATACAGAATTCAGCTGTTACCTTTTTGATATATTCTTTATAAGGTTCATGGAGGGACCGTTTCCTGAATTGTTTTACGGCATATGTTTTTCCGTCTAAATTTTGACGAATCAATCGAACTGAACCACCTGCACCTTTACCCACAAACTGGCCTATTATTATAACAAATAAAGTTTAATATCAAAAAAAAAAAAAAAAAAAAAAAAAAAAAAAAAATAAAAATAAAAATAAAAAATAACGAAAAGGGAAAATTGCTTACCCCATTTGCCATATTTGCCTTCTAAATCTCGGTTAAATTCATTCCCAAAAGAAAATTCTCCAACATTGATAGAAGATGAAGAAGAAGAAGCAGAAGAAAATGATTTATGATGTAGTATCGACTTTTTATCAGATTTGAATAAATTCTTTAAATCTTTAAAGAAAGTCTTCTTTTTTTCAAGTCTATGAAAATGAGTATGATGATATTCTTTGTTATATTCTGGTTTTTTAAAGATAAATTGTGATGGTGTACTAGATCGAATTGGTAGCGATGAAACATGAAAGAAAGGAGAAGAATTTTTATCAGACTGATTTAAATGTGTAACATTTTGAACAATTGTATTTTGAGGAGATAAAGAAGTGGTTTCAGTTGCTGGCGATAAAGAAGAAGAGGAAGAAGTGAATGAAGAAGAAGAGGAAGAGGAAGATGATGATGATGAGTTCAAAGTGTATTCGTGACCAGGAGTAGTTGGAATTGTATCTGGGGTAGCGTTGTGAAATTGATGGATAGCTTGCTTATTTTGAAATATTTTTGCTGGTGAATTAAAATCAACAGTGTTTAATTTATTTTGAAGAAGGTGAATTTGATGCTCGTTGTTAATAGTAGTAGTTATAGAATCAAGACTCATATTGAAAAATTAATATATATATTTATATAATGTATATGTATAAAATGGAATAGAATAAAATGAAAGAAGAAGAAGAAAAGGGATTGATTTATATAATTATAGTAGCATGTATCTTCGCTCCCGATTAAGGAATTAACTTCCATTGTTGTAAAAGTAAAGCCGAATATATTAGTAGCTGCAGGCATTGATAATCATTTTTCATTTACCGATCACAGGCCCATTTTCTTTAACAAAATTCGAAACATGTTTAATATTTGTCCATTTATGAGCAAATATTTTTATACATGAATATTTTTTATTTTATTTTATTCTATTTTTTTCTTTGCTTTAACAAATACTAAGCTTGTCTTGCTTTTTATTTTATTTTATTTATTTTTTTCATAATTCTACTGCGGATATCTCGGATAAATAAAGGAAAAGACGGAGCGATTTTACATCCTAAATTGCACGTCTTTTCTTTTCCCCACACATGCACCCCCTTTCTCTCTATTGTTGAATTTCCTACCCTTTTATTTCTAGTTCGGAATACGGAGATAAAAAGAAATGATTGCCTTATTACAGTGCGTCCACCCTCAATTGGACATTTTTTTGAAAATATTGGTAGGATTTTTAAACTCAATTGACCACTTTTTTGAACTTCAGTTGGTCAGAAATTTGAAATCCAATTGGTCATTTTTTTGAACTTCATTTGGCCACTATTTTGAAAATTAGTTGGTCAATTTATTTGGTCGTTTTGAGATCCCCTTTTACATTATTTTCTTATAGTAACCTAACATGCATTTTTTTTTATGAAGACAGTAATGGAAACATTATTAATGACAGAGGTGAACAAGCACCTACGCTTGTTGAAGAAAGTTTATTCCGTTTAAAAAGCTTGACTGATCTTCGAAAATATATTAGAAACAAAGATGCTCAACTGGAATCGACAACCATGAATGATACTGTAATAAAAGAAGTTGCTACTAAAAAAGAAAGAGCTCTTCAATATAACGTTTATACTATGGAAGATCGTAGGCGGTATTTTTATTTTTTAGAGGAGAAACTTATGAAACCTAAGGAGGCAGCCAAGGCAGCGAACGTAAATTATGACACGGCACGTAAATGGAAAAAAGCTTACGAGGATGACCCAGAAAGAAATATCCCTATTGAAAAAAAAAACAAATCTTGGTTCAAACAGGCCTGTTAGCTAGCTTAAAGAAACACATAAGACTCATGTGGTACGTTTTTTTTGATGAGGATGCTTCGGCAACTATTCAGAACGTAGTAGAGAGTCTAACTGCAAGCTTTACTGGCCTACAAATTAAGAATCAAAAGTAGCTGAGTTTATGAGTGAAGAGTGCAACCTAAGCATTAAAGCTGTAAGTCGCCACCCTCTTGGTAGAAATAAAGAAGGGACTCTTCAGGTCCGTGCTAGTTGGATCGATCACTGGGTTAAAAATGTCATGGACTATCTTAGCAATTGTATCTTTGTTGATAAATCAGGGTTTGATATTAATATGCGCTCGTAGTCGTGGATGGTTCAAACGTGGCACTGAAGCAGTTATTACAACTCCTTCGGCTAGAGGTGTCTCTCACACTGCTATTGGCGCTATCTCGGCTATCGGCGTTGTTAGCTTGAGTATGGGAGAGTCAGGAAATGTTAAGAGGAGAAAAGCTGTAGGGGCTACGAAGAGAAAGGCACCTCAAGATAGGTTATCTGTTCCTAAAGGTACTACAGGTGGCCATTATCTTCAATTTCTTAACGATGCTATGGATATTATGGATGACTTTCCTAATATGAAAGGTTATTTTATTGTCATGGATAATGCTCCTATTCACTCGCCTGAACTTAACCCAATCGAACAATTCTGGGCTATTGTAAAAGGAAAGGTAAAACGCAATAAGCTTAGTGATGTAGAGTCACTTACTACACGCATAATTGAAGCTAGTGAAGCCGTACCCGTTGAGCATCTCCGAGCCTTTATTCAACATTCAGTAAACCAATTCGATAACTATCTTAATAAGGTCGCTATATAACTTCGATATATTTATAATTAATAAAATTCAAAAAAGTGACCAACTAATTTTCAAAATAGTGGCCAAATGAAGTTCAAAAAAATGACCAATTGAGGGTGGACCCACTGTAAGCGTGGTCCCGTTGTAAAATAAAAATGGGATTAAGCCCCGTTTTGACTCAAGCGTGGTCCCGTTGTGAAAAAAAAGCCACAAATCACCACCAATTTAAAACTTAACTTTCTTAACGGGATATTAGTATTTTTAAAACGGTTTGCTAGTTTCATTGTAACGATTCTAGTCTAATGTCTTAACGCGAGTTTTTTATAAATTGAAATGGGTAAGTTTTGCTTTTTTAATTCGAATGTTATTTCGTTCTTAATTACTATATTTTAGACAATTGCAAATCTCGACGTACGTACGATCAGGCCTTCTTGTATGCAAAGGGTGAAACGAACAGAAGTGGTCATTCTAAGAAACGAGCATTGATGTTCGCGGATTTTTATGATGTTGTACCTGTCGCGATAACTGATGAAGATGGTAACGAATTAGATGTAATTTTGTCACCAAGTCATATAGACCAATTTCAAACAATGCTTGCAAAACCTACGCAACTGACTCTAAGACGTCCAACTCAAGATGTATCTCCTAATAATATGTTTAGAACTTGTGATACTGTTAATAGCATCGGTGAATTTGGAGCGATATCGCAATACTTAACAAAGCGCCACTATACTGAATTGAACAAGGATATGATTGAAACACTGAGCCAAGACTGGGAGATTAAGCCAAGCCAACGTTTCATTGCGGCAAGAGCGCTAATTGGATCTATAATAATCGATACTGAAAACCATCGTGGTCTTCTTATTTTAGCATTGGAAGTTTATGGCCGTGACCCTGATATTGATAGCCACGCCGAACAACGAAGCTCTACTGGATCCACTCGCCAATCGACATCTGTGCCGTCTTTGGGCCACAACGATTTCGAAATATGTACTATGCACCAAACAGAAGGAAGTAATATTTCCATGAAGCTTATACTTGGTACTCACTCCTTTAACGCCCTTGTAACTGCTAGTACACGTATTGACAATTTGGTTGATCAGCCGGAATGCGGACCTAACACTGTAAATTTCGTTGTGCCTCCTCGATTCCATTTAAAATACAAACTATACCTTGACTCGCAATCATGGTCTGACTCTTTAACGCTAGATAAAAAGACTAACTTGAATTCAATTTATACCCACTCCCGACTTATGCAACTTCGACAGCTTAAAACACGATTTCATAAAATTGATACTTACTCTTCTTCGCGTTCTTCATTATTCCATGGCTATTTACAGCAACCTATGACAGTATTCACGTATGGTAAAAGTACTACATCTATTAATTCTGGGGCCTTATCTTCTAGGTTATTAGCTACTTTAGCTACCTCAGTTATGAGGGATGGTGAAAATGCTCGTTTAGGGAAAAACAGCGTTGAAAAATTATTGTCCGAATTTACCAAAGAAACAAAGGCTAAACTTGTTTTTCTACGAATACTTCAACTTTTTGACGACGGTGATATTATTCCTATTATTGGAAATACTGACCTGAATTCTCTTGCTGAGGAATTAGCTACCTTGTTAGCACCGTATATATCTACCGCAAACAAAAAAAGTGTTATTCCTTCCCTCGCCGACCATTTAAAATCATATTGATTGTAGTAACCCACTCTTTTTATTAAATGTATACCTGTTGCACTCCCTCTTCCTCTTCATGTCATGCAATACCTTTTATTATCATTGTTTATTATTAAAAGCTATTAGTTAAAAAATAAAATATAGTACAGTAATACAGGCTTCAAACTCGACCAACCCTAAATTCTTAAACATGCTCGAACATTTAATAATAACAAAAGATACGTGGTACATTTATAAGAAATAGTAGGTGGGTATGGTGCATCTCAGCTATAACCAAAACAATTTCCGACCATTTTCAAAATGCATCTCCTCCCTCAGTTTTTATTTTTTTGCATTTCTGTCACAAAAATATGAATTTAGAGATGTTTAAGAATTTAGGGTTGGTCGAGTTTGAAGCCTGTATTACTGTACTATATTTTATTTTTTAACTAATAGCTTTTAATAATAAACAATGATAATAAAAGGTATTGCATGACATGAAGAGGAAGAGGGAGTGCAACAGGTATACATTTAATAAAAAGAGTGGGTTACTACAATCAATATGATTTTAAATGGTCGGCGAGGGAAGGAATAACACTTTTTTTGTTTGCGGTAGATATATACGGTGCTAACAAGGTAGCTAATTCCTCAGCAAGAGAATTCAGGTCAGTATTTCCAATAATAGGAATAATATCACCGTCGTCAAAAAGTTGAAGTATTCGTAGAAAAACAAGTTTAGCCTTTGTTTCTTTGGTAAATTCGGACAATAATTTTTCAACGCTGTTTTTCCCTAAACGAGCATTTTCACCATCCCTCATAACTGAGGTAGCTAAAGTAGCTAATAACCTAGAAGATAAGGCCCCAGAATTAATAGATGTAGTACTTTTACCATACGTGAATACTGTCATAGGTTGCTGTAAATAGCCATGGAATAATGAAGAACGCGAAGAAGAGTAAGTATCAATTTTATGAAATCGTGTTTTAAGCTGTCGAAGTTGCATAAGTCGGGAGTGGGTATAAATTGAATTCAAGTTAGTCTTTTTATCTAGCGTTAAAGAGTCAGACCATGATTGCGAGTCAAGGTATAGTTTGTATTTTAAATGGAATCGAGGAGGCACAACGAAATTTACAGTGTTAGGTCCGCATTCCGGCTGATCAACCAAATTGTCAATACGTGTACTAGCAGTTACAAGGGCGTTAAAGGAGTGAGTACCAAGTATAAGCTTCATGGAAATATTACTTCCTTCTGTTTGGTGCATAGTACATATTTCGAAATCGTTGTGGCCCAAAGACGGCACAGATGTCGATTGGCGAGTGGATCCAGTAGAGCTTCGTTGTTCGGCGTGGCTATCAATATCAGGGTCACGGCCATAAACTTCCAATGCTAAAATAAGAAGACCACGATGGTTTTCAGTATCGATTGTTTTGATAGCAAAAAGTTAAAGAAAGAGAAAAGACAAAAGACAAGTCTGTGAAAACTTCGTGTAGTTTTTTATTAAAAAATAATACAAAAATTTTACAAGGAAAAATTATGTGAAAATGTAAAGGGTTATTTATATGTTTTTGCAAGGTAAGTGATATTAATAGAACTATGATTTGGATAAGCAAATATTGCTATAATAAAGCATTAGTCATAAATATTTTCTCCGAATAATTCTGCCTACAATAAGATCTATTTTTATTCTTTTCTGCCTGAGCTGTCGCTGTTACTAAAAATATTAAATTATTATTTCTGGGGTAAGCGACGCGTCAATATTAATTCACAGTGAATATGTCAGCTATAGCAATACCAATTATTTATATGCTACTATTATTATTATCCTATAAGATATTATTACATAACAATATTTATCTTTATAGCTCTCTATATATAATATGTATGACTTATAAATAATTATGTAATTGAATATAACAGTCATAATCCTATTGAATTATTATTATTACATAATATAATGTATATAATTATTTTTAATGCTCGAATACTCAAACAATGACTATTATCAAAACTGAGAGTAGAATGAATATTATGCTGTGAAGCGCGATATATTAGTTTTATTTGAATAACCTCTTTATTATGTAATAAATGATGGTTTATTTCTATTAACTTAATTATAAAGGCTACCACAATCACAACAATCCTTTTCCTACTTGGGTATCTCTATTAGCCCTGGTGGTCTCTTGAACACAGCTGAATTAGTGCAGAACAATATTAATAAGGCGCTTCAAACTATGAATCAAATGACGTCCCTCGGTGTCAATCACAAAGGTTTTGATCGGCTTCTCTCTGTCCGTTTTTACACTCAAATAGTACGTGCTCAGCTTGAATATGGCCTCGCTATTAACTCGGTCTCTGCTACTCAAATCACAAAATTAGAAGCATGTCAAACACAATGTATCCGAAAAATTTTTGGCGGTAGTACTCGGTCCTCAACTAAAGTTATGTTGCACTTGGTCAACCTGCCCACAATGAAGGAACGTGTTCACCTCCTGCAAGCTAAATTCTTACTTCGGTCTATCTACTCTCCGAACGATACTCTTGTTTCCAAGTTTTTACCACATATACGCCCCTCTTCAAGCCATTCTCAATGGTATAAGCTTTCGAAAACACCTATTTGGCAACGGTATACTGCTTCATTTGACGATAATATTTATGATCCTCGTGCTTTTGCTGGTATCTGTAAAGCATACCTGAAAGATAATCTTAGTGATCGACGAAACAGTAAGAATGCCGTTCTCTTGTCTGCCTGCCGTCCTACCCTAGGTATCGATCCTATCCTCTGGTTACCTATGTCAAATGCAGAACGCAGTCGAATAGTCCGCTGGCGTCTAGGTTGGTTACCTGGTGGTGCCCCTAAACCATGCATATATCATCCTAATGAATTGTTCACAAGATCCCATGCTATATGGTGTCTACATATGCATCGAAGATTGCAAATGCCGTTGACTGAACCCGACCCTTTGTCCTTCCTCTTAAATAAGCTGCCAATTAAACAAAAACGCATGCCACCAATCGCATCAGCTTCCAACTCATCTGACTTTCCCGCCTGGAAGAATTGTTGGCCTGCTATATCCCTTCTACTTTTTGAACTTGACTATCTCCATCATGGTAAACTTCCTCCAGAAACTGCCCCCCTTGGTACAAAACTTGTAAACTGGCTACGTAACCCTGAATCTAGTATTTATTGATATATCTTGCTTTTCCTCTTCCCTTCTCTTTCTTTTTTACCCTTTTGCCTATCAAAAGGTTTTTTAGTACACTTTATCCTTTCTTGAACTGACCCGGGCAATCCAATACGCCAGTATTATGTGCTCACATGGGTTGTTTAAATTTTTGTTATAAAAAAAATTTTTGTTATAAATAAAATAATTCTTAATCGTAATTAGAATAGTTTTATGTTTCTTTAAACACTACTCCTTTATTTATTTATTTATTTTTTCAAACATTTGAAAGCCATTAAAGTTAGTTTAACATTCTTTGACCTTGAAGAGTGGACATGGGTTCCTTATAAAAAAAAAAATTCGAATAAAAAAGCGTGCCTTTGGATGATCTACGTTGTCGTTGTAATTTTTTCTTTTTTAGCCTTATTTCTGCGTTGTATTTACTTTCTTTGAATGGACAGATATGTATTGAGAGTAGTCATAGTTGTTTACACCTTGTATAATAAACATTGCTTGGAGTGTTTTATATCATGGATTGTAGCCTTTTAATTGGATAGATTGATATTTATAAATTTATTATAAATAATGAAAATCCTTTTTTTTTCTGATATTAATAAATGATTATTCTCTAAATAGAACTTGATCTGTACGTCAAATACCATAAAAAAAGGCATACTGCTATTGCAATAGAGTTTATGTCATCTTGAAGAATAAATAAAGATACTAACAAGCCACATTGTCAGATAGTGAGACTTTTATTACTTATTGAGATTAAGTTTATTAGAGGCAGTTTAGATTAGAGTATGGAAGGTTTTGATATATATATATATAGAAAGAATGATGATGATAACTAGGAGATCCAAAAGCCCGAACAATTTTTATCATTTATATCTATAATAGGGTGATTTGATATGATAATAAAAGGAGTAGGGTTAAATATGACAGTAGAGGCCATTATGATGATTGAGTTTAGTAAAGTCTTTAAAATCATCGAAATTCATTGAAACTTGTGGTAATATAGACTTATATATATGCAAGTAAGAGTGGATCTGCTCATTTATCAAACTAAACTTGAACACTTGATAAAAAGATCTCTTTCCAGTGGCAGTGAATCAAAGTTGAATAGCCGAATTCACTCGAGTGATAAACTCTCATACCACAATTTAAGCAAAATTGTTGAAGCATGAGGAAAACATTAGAAGACAGATTCAAGTACAGTTTGTTCCTTTTTTTAAATAAGCTGCTTACTGTTTATACACAATCTGTCAGAATCACCCACATTACTAAATATAATATATGACGTAGCTAGTACTTACTTGTTTGCATCTACCAACTAATAAAGCAACAAGAATCCCAAGCCATCACAGCACTCAATTCAATTTTTTTTTTTTTTTTTTTTGTTTTTGCTTTTACTACCTCCTAACGCAACAGTACTTTTATAGGGATCTTTTTTATATTAAAAGTAGAATCTGATTACCCAAGGTTTTCTAAGAATACTGTATCGATATGCTTGAGTTGATGATGTTTGGGATATATTCATTTACTAGCTATATTCAAGGACATAATACAAACCTTAAGATCACCTTCTTTTTCTTACATTCCTTATTATAATTTCATTTGCACGTATTTTTAAGAAAAAAAAAACCAGTATCAAGAAATAGAATTAGCATGCTCTTTGTTATCTTGTTGTAAAGCTGTTGAATAACATAAATGCTTATTAACCATTGTAAGCTATTTGTCAATCGTAGTTGCAAGGTCATTATATTTCAGAGATCTGCAAATAAAAAACAACAAAAATTGAATGGATAAACTACAACTTAATCATGCTATTTTCCCACATTGAATTATTATTTATCGGTTTAACAGTTATACCGAAGAATTCATCTTTATTATTATTATTATTATTAAGAACTACTGCTATTTGAATTAGCATGTCCAATATCAAAACCTTTCTTTGCTAATTGAGCTTTTTCATTTTTCTATTGAAAATAATATTGAGTTTGAAAATCAGTCCTTTTTTTTTTTTTTTTTTTTTTTTTTTTTTTTTTTTTTACCATTTGCTTTCGTTTCTTTTGCTCTTCTTTCTTTTCGTGTTTGGATTTGGGTCGATTTTTATCCACTTTTTGTGTTAAATCTTTACTTGAAGAGTTATTTTTCTTTGGCATGTTTTCAATAAATTAACAAATAAATAAATAAGAAAAAAAAAAAAGGAAAGAAAAAGAAAAATCATTCAGGAAATGCTTTTATAGCTTTCTCTTTCTCTCTCTTTTATTCTTATTATTCAAGGGTAATAAAGCATTCTTTAATGCAACACCTTGTCAAGCTAAAAAGATAATGTAAATTGAATGTCATTATGATTGTTTTCTTTTTTAAGGAAAGAAAAAATAAGCATTATTTATTGATCATTAAAAAGTCATTTATACATAAGTTAAACGTCTACCAAATAAGATGAATCTTCTTGTTACTGGTTAAAAATATGCAGGCTGCTGAAACTTTTTGCATTAATGTAAAACATAATTGGCTAAAGAAATAAAAATTATTTGTATACTTGAATCATAAATACGTTATATATTTGACTTTAGTAACTGTATTATTGAATTAAATCTCTTTATTCATAAAAAGAAAGCTATTCGTTTTTTTTATATCTCTATTCTTGACCTTTTATCTTCTTCAAATGATAAGATAATTTTAACTTATCCTTTATTAACAAAAAAAAAAAAAAGTGGCAATGATGACATATACTTGAAAAAAAAAAAAAAATACACGCGAAAATATCATATTATTATTTTTGATATCTAAGCTTTCTTGTCAAATCTTTCTTTTTTTTGTTGCGAATAATCATAGAGTAACTACTAACTATGTCAATAGTCCCCAATTTAGACAAATGCCTTATAATTAAAATAAAAAAAATTATTTATTCATTAACAATAGATCTGCACTTTATCTTATGAAAGAGAAATGCCTTGAAGCAAAAAAAAAAAAAAAAAAAAAAAAAAAAAAAAAAAAAAAAAATGGCTTAATAAAGATTATTTAAAGCAATAATAAAAAAAAATATCCATGTACTGATTATTACATGTTTGTTTCTTTTATACAGCTCTCTTAATTTCAAAAAATCGTTTAAGATAGTAAACTTGCCATAAACAAACACTACTTAATAAAATAAGTTGAATCATAGACCACCATTTAACACGAGAATTTGTACTTTCAGCAGCTATAATTATACACATACAAAAAGGAAAAAAAAAAAAAAGAAAAAAAGGGGGAAGAGGATGAGTACACAATCGTTTTACAAAATGTCATATTATTTACTATCTCTGTGTTGACGCTCTCTGACGACTATATATTCTTGTTGTGCCTTAACAGCAAAGATACTCTCTGCTAACTCTGCAATTTCCTTTTCAAGAGGATCGGTATGTTCTACAAAATAAAGTCAGAAAAAAAAAAAAAAGAGATGAATTATGTACAACTAACCCTTAATGCTATCATGGAAATTTTGTATAATATTATTATGAATATTGAACCCTACTCTCTTCGAAGACATGGTTGAAAACTCATTACTAAAACAATAAGTATATCTTCCTTTGATATTTGCTTGAAGAGAATGAATATTAGAGGTAGTTCTTGTGGTAGAAATAACAATAGAGTTAGTTGGATCTTGCACCTTGCAAAAAAAAAAAAGAGAAGATTAAATTTAACATTGTGGGCATTAATTCTTTTTTTTTCTTTCTTTCTTTCTTTCTTAATTACCCAAAAGTCAATGTCAAGATTGCCGCCTTCACCAACCTATTTAAACTCGAGAATAAATCAACATGATATATAACCTTTTTTATTGATTACCTGATAAGATACTGTAATTTTTTCCCCAACATCAAGATCCTCATAGTAACAATCTATTTGAGTGGGTTCAAGTTCAATAGTCATTGCGTATGCATTTTGTAAGATGAGTAAAAGAACGGTAATGATGAATAAAATTCGCTTCATGTTGTAACAATAACTAATACAAATCAAAAAGATATTGGCTGGAAATTAATTTTTTTTTTTTGTTAAAAAAGAAAAAAAAAAGGGGGAGAGGAGGAGAAGGAAAAAAGAGTAAGAGCGGCTACTGAATACAGAAATAATATTTACACTGTGCTATTAACATGATTGTTAAATGCTTTGAGAAAAGACTTCCTATTTACTCTAAAGTCAATATTTTTTTTTTAAAAAAAGAAAGTAATATTCTTGTAGCCAAAAAAAAAAAAGGTACTATTCCCGTTCTTTAATCAATACATGAATATTTTATTTAACCAAACATTGCTTTTTCATCAAGGAAAAAAAAAAAAGGAACAAGAAAAATGGCGTAAAGAATGAAAAACCTTATGAATAAATACAAGTGATACTATACTCATTGTGGTGTGAACAAAGGAGGTATGTATAGGACACGACCAAAATTTAATCAAGATAATATGAAAATTCCAATTATAGCTTTAGAATGACTAAATAGACAAAGATAGAGTAGCTATTTTAGATGAATTTCCAAAGTACTTGAATATTACTGCTCTGTTAACATCAATTTAACATATTTGCCTGTATACTATAAAATGAACCTAACATTCATGCCTTGAAAGATATTTTACGCCTGCAATCATGAATGGTGACTCAACTTGCCAAATATGTAGGTTACTGTAACAGCGTAATTACAAAGCTGCGCAAAAAAAAAATTCATCAAATCTCGAAAGAGATGCCAACTGGTTGCGATCAGTTCTTCTGTATTCTCTCGTCAGAAACAAAAATATCAGTATCTCAAACACGCTTTTTTTTTTCTTACGAAAAATCTAGATTGTTATAGGTAAACATGTCCAAAAAACTAACTTTGTTTCATCCAAATCTATTTTGGCTTTTCAAATTCACATTAATAATCGATGATCTAAAAAAACTTTTTAACAAGTTTTAATATCATCCGAAAGCACTAAATATTAGCATATAAAATGAAAGAAAAGAGTCATTTATCTCGTGTTATATTCTTTTTTTTGTTAATAGCATGTTAAGGCATCTTTTTTTTTTTTTTTTTACTCATCTTATTTATTCATTGCTGATTAACTATTTTCATTTTTTTTTTTTTCTTTGTTGTTTGTCTTCATTTTATTTTTAATTTCCGATGAATATTTCTCTCTCTCTCTCTCTTTTTTTTTTTTTTTTTTTTTTTTTTATTATTGTTGTTCCTTTTTTAAAATCTTCGCAAAGAAATAATGCCAACAGAAACCAAAAAACGTGTTTGCTACTTTTATGACGGTACTAATTAAATATAACTCAAATAACTTATTTATTGATGCTCCTTTCCTTTTATTATTATTATTACAGCCAATGTTGGTAATTATCATTATGGGCCAGGACATCCAATGCGACCTCATCGTATAAGAATGTGTCATGGATTAGTTATGAATTATGGACTTTATAAAAAAATGGAAATATATGTATGAATACCTTAGTTACTAGAGTTAATCAGTACTCTTTATCCTGATTTTATTTTGCTGTTTTTTTTTTCTTAAAAAAAAAAAATACATGTATATATATAGAGAGCAAAGCCAGCAAACAAATGGGAAATGACTCAATTTCATTCAGATGAATACATTGATTTTTTATCACGTGTGACACCTGAAAACATGGAACAATTTCAAAAAGAACAAGCAAAATGTAAGATAACGATATAACATTTACATACTAGCTTAGAAACTGATTATTTTATTTTATTTTAAATAGTTAATGTTGGCGACGATTCACCTATATTTGAGGGACTTTTTGAATATTGTGGATTAAGTGCTGGTGGTTCAATGGGTATAAATGAATATACAAATATATATTTTTTTAAAAAAAAGAAAAGGAAAGTTTGTACACTGCAGTTGAACTAATTAATATATAGAGGGTGCGGCTAGATTAAACCGTGGTTTATGTGATATTGCTATTAATTGGGCTGGTGGACTTCATCATGCAAAAAAATCAGAAGCATCTGGATTTTGTTATGTCAATGATATTGTATTAGGAATTTTAGAACTTTTACGTTATTATAATCGCGTTTTATATATTGATATTGATGTACATCATGGAGATGGAGTAGAGGAAGCGTTTTACACAACAGATCGTGTCATGACTTGTTCCTTTCATAAATATGGTGAATTCTTTCCAGGCACTGGTGAATTGAATGTAAGTTTCGAAGAGTATATAATGATACACATGATTTGTTCTTATGTATGTATGTGTTATTAGGATGTTGGAGCATTAAGAGGAAAATATTATAGTGTGAATGTTCCTCTTAGAGATGGAATTGATGATGAAAGTTATAGATCCATATTTGAGCCTGTAAGTACCCTTCTAACCACACACCCCGTCGTTTTATTTGTAATTTCAGGAATATAAACGCTTAGCAATATCTATAGGTTGTTGAAAAAGTAATGGAATATTACAGACCAGGTGCAATTGTATTGCAATGCGGTGGTGATTCTTTAAGTGGAGATAAACTGGGTTGCTTCAATCTTTCTATGAAAGGACATGCTAATTGTGTTAGGTTTGTAAAGAAATTCAATTTACCTACTTTAGTGTTGGGTGGTGGTGGCTATACAATGAGAAATGTTGCGAGAACATGGGCTTATGAAACAGGTGTCGTTGTTGGTCAAGAAATTGGACCAGGTAACAATAATAATAAAGTGACGTATATATCACAACTAAATAGAATTCATAAATTAGATATGCCTTATAATGATTATTATGAATATTTTGGTCCTGATTATAAACTTGATGTACGTCCTAGTAACATGAAAAACATGAATACAGAAGACTATCTTGATAAAGTCAAGTAAGTAAAATAGGATATATTTATATATAAAATACCTAAGCCTTTCTCTCCCCCCCTTTTTATATATAGAGCTCAAGTTTTTGAAAATTTATCTAGAACCCTTTTTGCTCCTAGTGTACAAATGCAAGGTAAGATTCAAAAAAGGAAGGAAGGAATGTTATTTATTTATTCATTTTTATATATATACATAGACGTTCCATATGATCATTATATGTCTGAAGATGAAGATGAGGAAAATTTAGATCAACGATTCTCTCGTAAGATATTTAGATAGATTTATATGATGAACATATATTGATGATTTTAAATATAGAAAGATTATGGGATCAGCATATTACACCTGATAACGAATATTATGATTCGGATGAAGGAGAGACAAATGGGATAAAATCGAGTAGTCGTAACCAAAGAAATTATAACGAAAATAAACCCCATCAACAGGATATTAAAATGTCTTCTGAAGAAGAGGAACAGATTGCTCAAACATTACTTGAAACAGAAGCCATCATTAAAAAAGAAGAAATAGGAAATGGTAATTTAGATAGCCAAGTCCCGGAAAGAATGGACGTTGATCATTCTCAATCAATCAAAGTAGAAGATACAGATATGACAGGTACATAAGGGAGATAAAGAAAAAAGAAAAAGGACAATATAATTGAATGTTCTATTTAGATATCAATGAAGCAAATATAACAACTGAACCATCATCACCTCATGTAGAAACATCTAATTCTGCTGAACAACAAACAAATGAAAAACTAGGCACAGAAAGTGAAGAAGAGGGTGAAGTGAAATCACCAAAAGCAAGTTCACCACAACCTACTGATATACCATCTTCTAATCAAACGCCCAGTATAGAGCCAGACATTGATCAAGACAAAGTAAACCAATTCACTAATGCTATTGAAGGAGCTTTAGAAGAAGGTGAAATTGAAGAGGGTGAAATTGCTGATTAGTTAACATTAATAATAATAAAATACATGTCTCTAATTTTCGTTAGTTTTAAAGCAATAAATGATATTGTTTAATAACATCACATCCTCAAGACCCCAATATATGAAAGTACTTGACATAATTAATATAAACATATTTATCAAGCTTTTTCTTTCTTTATAAATCAAATCATAACCCTATCATCTTTCTCCTCAATATCTATTTTTGTTATTCAGTAACAAAGTCTTATTAATAAACAAGATAATTGTTAAAATAGACTTTACTCAGTGAATTACTAAAATACACTTCATTTCCCGTTTTTATTTCTTGATAACAGATCATTGGTTTATGAATATGAATTGACAGACAGCGGCTGATCAATGAAATGGTATGATGAAGCTCTAGTGCATAATAGCCTATTTCCTTCCTTTCTTCATCTCTTCTCTTCACTCTCGAATGATGAGCTAAAATAAAATAAATTACGGAGAGCAATAAAACATGTATTATTCATAAACTCGAGGATATAGTGAATAAAGAGACAGAAAATATATATATAAAAAACTATAGTACATATTTACAGAACAAGTAAAAAGTAAGTAAAGACTATCCATTTGTGTTTTATAGATTCTTTAATAAACAACAACGACCGACCGTCCTTTTACTCCTTAAATCTCTGTGATTTCAATAGAAATTCATAAGAATATCATCTATAGAGATAGTTGATACATCTTTATTTCTATCATTTAGAAAGAATATTGCTATCATAAAGCAAATGTGTTTTATATGTGTATATACGAATTGATCATTCATAAAAGCATTCTATCATTATTGTCAATTACAACAACAAAACAAAAAAGAAATCTCTCCTTAAAAGATTTCTTATTTTTTTATTTTTTATTTTTCCTTTTTCTTTATTTCCTTTTTTTTCTTCTTCTTCATTTTCTTGTTTGTTTTGTAATTACATAATAGATTATAAAGCTACAGCTGTATACAAATATGAGATCTCATTCAAAAATTAGCAATAAAGATGTTCAAAGTTTACTTTACACCTTTGTCGATAACCAACGTATTCAGCTTATGTCTATCCTTGGTATTGGTGCTTATGGAGTTGTCTACTTGGGACAAAGCAAAGATGATAACCGATACTATGCCGTTAAGCTCTTAGCAACTCAACACAATGCCATTTGTCGAGAGGCCGAGATTCATGCCTATCTCTCTGGCCATCCAAATATCTTGACGTTTGAAAAAATTGTCCAGCAAGGAAAGAATCCTACTCGAACCTTCTTAATCCTTGAATATATACCTGAAGGTGATTTGTTTGTAGCTATCACGAGAAACAAAGGAAATATAATGGGTAATAATGACTTGATTCGATCTATCTTTCTTCAGATTATTGATGCCGTGGAATTTTGTCATCAAAATAATATTGCACATCGTGACTTGAAGCCTGAAAATATTATGCTAGGGGATGACTTTAAAGTAAAACTAGCTGATTTTGGGTTAGCAACGATGAATGCTGTTTCGATGGAATATGGATGTGGATCCAGCTTTTATTTTTCACCAGGTATACTAGAGCATACTATACTATAATATATATAAAAGAAAACTAAAAACATACTCTGTAAATAGAATGTCAGGGAGCATCTGTATTAGCCCAGAATCACACTACAAGAGGCTATAGTACACAGAAAAATGATATTTGGAGTTTAGGAATTATCCTTATTAATTTAACAACAGGAAGGAACCCTTGGAGACAAGCAACAATGAATAACTCAACATTTGCCACTTATGTACGCAACCCAGATCAATTCTTTCGAACGATCTTACCCAATATCTCGAAGGAACTTGAATGGATTTTACTACGTATCTTTAGTTTAAATCCTGCTTATCGTCTCTCTTTACCAGAATTGCGTCTTTCTATTCAAAACTGTTCATCCTTTGTCATATCACAGCAACTCACTACTACTCTAAAGAAGAAGATGATGATGAAGAGAAAGCCAGTGTGTTGTTACCATACAATAATGACTTGCTCAGATTCTATAACAGAAACAATGTTACATTATGTGAATACCTTTACTGATGATCATGATAATATTAAGATTTAACTTATTTATCCACAATGATGTCCAAAGAAAAAAAAAAAAGAAAAGAAGAATCATCCCCCTTCTCCTCTTCTATATCCTCCTTCTCTCCTTTTTTACGTTGTAATTTAGATAAATAAATATAAAACCATAAACATGCATTCATAAACACATGCCACGTTATCACATATAAAGATATATGATGCCATCTTATTTATGCATTTTAACTTTTTCTCCTTTTATGAATGCAACATGTAGTATTACTCCTTATCTAATTCAATGCGTAGTATATGAGTGGTAGATAAAAAAAAAAAAAAGGAAACATATTCGTTTCGAATAAATCGAGTCTCCTTACCATTTTATATCATAAAGTGAATTATAATGAAAATACAAATATCAAGTTTTTTTTTTTTAATATATAAACATATAAACATGTACATATTCATATATATATATACTACAACCTCGTAGGTTTAACTTCACCTAAATAAAGAGTTTTATCTGTACTTGCACTCATAATAATGGGCTCTCTTGGATGCCAATCAACATCATTCACACAACCTTTATGTCCCGGTAATTTATAAAGAATCTTTCTACTATCAACTTCCCAAATAACAACTGATCTGTCAGCTGAACCACAAGCAATCTGACTTCCATCAGTAGACCAGCAAGGTCGAATTAAATTCTTTTCATATCCATGAGGTGCTCCCTCGAATAGTTTAAGACAACGATCTGCTGGTGCAAATGGTTTAATATCCCATAGACGAACTATATAAATAGATATGTATGTATTAAGTAAGATGAAGAGAGTAATATGGATTGCTTAGAGTGATACCTGTATTATCCATTGCATTTGTTAATAAATAAGATCCATCTGGGCTCAGCGCCATACCAGAGATCGTATCCATATGTCCCTCTAAAGTGTATGATATTTGATTTTTACGTATATCCCATACTTTAATTTCATTATCAAGTCCAGCAGCATAAATCATATCTCCAGCATCACTAAAACATACACTTGTCATTTGATAGTCATGGTCAAATGAATGAATAGCTTCCTTTGTTCGATGATCCCATATCTTTACTGTACAATCATCACTAGCTGAAACAACTAATTCAGGTCCTCTGCGTGCGACTTGACAGCTATTTACAATGCCTGTATGTCCTCTCCATCGACGAACACGTTCTCCTGTTTTCACATCAAAGATGCCAACTGTTCTATCTGCTGAGCAACTGAATATTTGAGTAGAATCTCTAGACCAATGAATTTCCATGATGGCATTTGAGTGACCCTTTAATATACCATAGTTTTTAATTTCTCCATATGTATTCCATAGTACTATGATGATGATGATTAGTTATGCGTGTGTTGTGTAAAAGAAAAGGAAAAAAAAAAAAAAAAAAAAGAGGGTTAGGACTTACAGATTTGTCTATCAAAGCCTGCACTTGCTATATATTCTCCAGAATGATCAAATTCACAAGAAAATACTTCACCCTATAAAACAAAATATTAAGTTCATTTACGTTTGCTTCTATTATCATTTGTAATTACCTCATGGCCAGTTAGTTGCATAACAGGCGCTTCTAAACCTGAAGTTCGTTTAATCTATAATTTAGAATAAAATAAATAAAAAACAGGTTCTTTGCATCTAATAATGAAAAATTACGCGTACAGTTCCAACAATAACATTCTTTGTTCCTGATCTTTCATTTGATAAATTAATGAGTTGTTTATTTGTATCTTGGTCTTCTTGTTTAGCGCGCTTAATGAGTGCTCCAGTAGGAGGAGATTCTTTTCTTTTTTCAGCCATAATTGTTTGAAGGAAAAGCTTTCCTTTTTTTTTTCTCTTTCCATTGAATTAGGGATTTTTTTTTTTCCTAGTAATCATCGTCGTGACTTGTTTTTTGTAGTCTAATTTTCAAAAGTGATAAAACTTGACATCCAGCTCCCTCAATCCACCCCCCACATTTTTTTTTTTTTTTTTTTTTCATCCCTTCCCTCCTTCAACTTAAATTATTATGTTTGCCTGTCAACGAACTTTATTCAACATTACAATCAGGAAACAATTTCATACAGCTTCTATTATTTGTGCTAAAAATGAAGGAGGCTTATTGGGTAAATTGAATCCTTGGGCAAAGAAAGAAGCACAACAAGAAGTAACCCCTGCACAAAATACGAGTGATGATGTCCCAAAAATGACAGTAGACGATTCAACTAAAGTTACTTTTAATGTTCAATACGAAGAACCAGAAGACATTATTTCGTAAGTATATTTATCATTTTACACTACAAAAAAAAAAAAAAAGGCCAAACACAACAACAAAAAAAAAGAGGGCTCATATATAATTTGATAATTTTAAGGTGGAAAAAAACGGACATGATGAAAGATCCAACTGAGATTGAAACAACTGTCAAAACTATCATTCTTCAACATGTTCAAGGAGCCACTGAAGCTAATTGGAACGAGTTAAGTATCCAAGATTTAAATACTAAATTTCAGGTAATCAATAAGAAAAAAAAAAAGACTTTGGTTTAATTCCAATTCTAATTTTGTTACACTAATTTCAATAGATTATTAAGGAAAGCATCAAGCAAACAGGAAAAGAGGTACCTAATCACGAACTCAATAAACTTAAGAGTACAAAAGATGTTATAGAATTCTTCAAGACAGAACACAGCAAAGTAAAAGATGTTCAAGACTATTTGTTGGAACAAGAATCACTACCACCTAATATAAAGTTTATTCCCAAACAATAAATTTTTGACGGATATCATGAAATAATTTCTGATGCATAGGCCATAGTTTATCAATGGGCATAATAGTAAAATAAGTGGCTAAGAGTTCTTGATGTTGAGTTCCTTTTTGATAAAGAAAATAGTATTGATGATCTTCTGATTCTTTAAATACTCTTGATTTGAGTACATTGTCTCTGTACGATAATCCTAATTTAAGCATCTTATGACACTGTACACAAAATTGTTAATATCGTCCTTTAATAAGACACGTCATTCAACTACATACCAATTTTTTCAAAGTAGATTCATTAGGCCAAACCCATTTCCATTGCCTTGTATTGTTATGCTTTCCATGTATTTGATGTAATAATTCATGATTTTTATCCAATTCATTCAAATCAACCAAAGAAGGAGCGGTCATGATGCCTTTATCAAAATAAATAAAATGAACTAATCCAGGATAAGTTAAAGCAAACGAAAGATTTGTAAAATGAGTTGTTTCTTTTGTTAATAAAAAGGTATTAAAATCAGATAAAGAAGATTTTAAAGATAATCTAAATTGTTTAATTTGATTTGGTGTTGGCTTCCATGGTAATAATTTATTTGAAGATAGCATCTAATAAATAAATAAATAAATAAAAAGGTTAAAAAAAAAAAGGTTTGATCGATTACCTCATCTGGATGAATTACGACTGCACATAAGCCTTCACTTAATAAAATAAATGTCAAGTTAACTAGACACATATGCCCACCTATCTTTAACCAACGTCTTGATAATTTAGCATCTTCTATTTGATCTGTCAAATAACTTGATTCACCACCACCGCTACTATTACTACTGATTAAATTAGTTAACATGTGCTTTAATGAAGAATCTTCAACAGAACTTGTAAAACTAAAAGATCTTTGACAAAGTCTAGGTGAAGATGGTTCGGATGCTATTTTCTCTTTTCCAATACTAAGAGACCGTTGATGATGACGATGAATTGTACTTGTAGCGCCTGAAGGTAAACTACTTGATAAATAAGACATATGATCAAGATGATGAAAAGGATTTGAACTATCCATATCTAATGCTTTAATAGTATGATGAGGCCCATGAAAGGAAGAAGAAAGGATAGATAAATCAGAAGAAACAAGAGTAACAGATGATGAAGCCTTTTCTCTTATTTTAAATGGTATTGAAGTTGAATTCGCATCGTAAATATATGCAAAAGAAGAAGGTTGACTTGAACTATTTGTGGTGGATGAAGAAGGTGAAGGTAAATCGTGTGTTATTGAGCTATTGTACTATAATCAATATATTTATATATATAAAAAAAAACATATATAGAGAGAGGGAGAGAGAGAGAGAGAGTCTAGGTTTAATATAGAAAATTACATACTTTGATATACTTTGAGGTGAAGTTGCATTGGCTACTGCTACTGCTACTGCAGTTGTTTTACTATGATTGTAATGACTTGCTAAAAAGAAAAGAAAGGAAGGTTTTAGTAGAATTAGAAATGCTATTGTTCAACTACGCCTATTCATCTTCACCTCTCACTCTCACTCCCTTTTTTTTTTCTTCTTTACTTACTTGATTCTTGTAAAAAACGAGATACTGATAATTTCAAGAAATAGATATATTCATCTGATAACAACTCTTGATGATCGCTGTTACGACATTGTGCAACTATTTTTTCTCTTGCAAATAAATAACAAAAATGCCAATTATTATTAGGCTCTGTAGTTGAATGGTATAAATCGAAAGGTATCTTTTGCTTTTTTGATATAGCCTGAAAGGCAGAGTTACAACAATGTATCATGTTTTCTATTAACCGAGACCTTAAATCATCGCTCACTTGTACTTGTTCACTTGAACATAATACGTCACAACTGTAAATTGATAATCTTTCGCTAATGAAAGGAAGTTGTGATAAACAGGAATACAAGTCAAGTGGTGTGGGTTTGTTGCGTGTGCCATCTTGAAATGACCAGTGAGGGCCATGATGAAATTTAATGAAATTATGCATCATCTTTAAATGAAGCTTTAATAAGCTGATTGGTATCTTTTTGTTTGTGCAAGCAATATAAAGTAAATTTTGTTGCTTAAAAAAAAAAAAGAAAGTAGGAAGTGGAAGGGATGGAGAATAAGTTATAAAATGAACATGATTATTATTATTTTGTAATGTATACCTCTTTAAAGACTACAATTTTATTACCAACTTTAATATATTGAACTACATCATTAAGATTAGCTTTGAACAAGTCTTTAATGACAAGTAATGGAAGATAACGAATTTTATGACTTTCATTGTGAACTACATTATTAGTGTTGTGGTTTGATTGATAGATGACTGTTCCTAGTTTATTTATTATAAAATATATTATCATTAAGGAAAAACAGGAAAAAAAAAAAAAAAAAAGTCAGCGATACAAATTATATCTGACTTTTGCATTGAACTCAATTTTAAGATAAACTATTTAATAATAAATAATAATAATAATAATGGTATATATTCAAGTGTATTTATATCTTGATATCATTAAAACACTGTAGGATGATAAAGACCAAGAAGTCAAGCTTCTTGTTTCTATTTTTTTTTTTTTTTTTTTTTTTTTACCTTGAATCTTTTTCTTGTTTGATTATTTCAATTTCACGCCGTAGACTATTTAATTCACTTTCTAAATCAAAATTTCTATGCTTTAATAAAGAAATATATTCCACAGCTATGAAATAGAAATTAATACATGTCTATCTTTTCTTTAGATTTTTTTTTTTTTTTTTACCTTTACTTAGAATCTCCCATTTACTTGTTTTAATATTTTTATCAACAGGTAATGAATTACGAAGTTCATCAAATAATTCTTTCATCTCCTTTCTTCGTTTACGTTCGGCTAATTTATGACTAATTCTTAATTCTGGTGAACGACTATAAGGTGTTTCCTTTTTCTTTTCTTCCTCAAAGTTTTCATTTTGCGGTAAAGGTAGTGGTGGTATTGTATTGTAGTTTGTTGTTGCTACTGAAGGCATAGAGGCTCTTCTGACAAGTAAATGATCTAGCTGAGGACGGTTGGCACGTGGGTTTTTATGCAGAGACTCCTGATGTTGTTGATGATTGATTAATTGGGGTGGACTAGGAGGCGCAGATGAAAATGATTTGTAATCAGTAGTAGATGATTCTTGAATAGTTGAAGGGAATCGAAAACCTATTATATACATAACATTAATTTACATCTATGTATGTGTGTGTGTGTGTGTGTGTGTATGTGTGTATGTGTGTATGTATGTATGTATATATGTATGTATATATGTGTATATGTATATATGTATATATGTATATTTGTATATTTGTATTTGTGTATTTGTGTATTTGTATATTTGTATATATAGATATAGATATAGATATATGCATACATGCGTTCTTTATTATATATACCTCTGTATTTAGGTGTATAGTGATTATTACGTTGACTACTAGAGTCGGTTGCAATAGAATGTCTTCTTTGAAAAGGATCATTTATTTCGTGATGTCTTTTATTATATAATGGTGCTGGAGATGGTGACCTTGAGGAATATTCATAGTCTGTCGTTGCAAAAGAACCTCTTCTACTTATTGAACTTGGTAATGGTAAGTTATTATTGTCATTGATAGACGGTCGACGATAATCAGAAAAATCTATTGCTGAACCCCTTCTCAATAAAGATTCTTGATGAGAATTAGGTTCTAGGGGTAAAAGTGGTGTTTTTGTTCCTGAAGAGGAAGGGAAATATTCAGACCTTAAAGACTGAGAAGAGACAGACATGTCAGATAAACGGTGCCGAATTAGGTCATCTGTTGAAGAAGAAAGTGACTGTACAGAAGGAAGCCTATTATCTAATTTACAGAGAATAATAACAAAGGCTTTATTATTATATATGTCTTTTTTTTATTTTTCTTTCCTCTTTATATACATGTGTATATTTATATTTTTTTTTTTTTTTTTTTACTTTGTGCATCATGAATTTCATCTATAACCATTTTGTCATCTTGTTGATTTCTTGTAGTTGTTCTTAGTAATTCACTTGCTGGTGGCAAAGCTAAATGTGTACAGTCGACTGGTTTTGTTGTATTCATTTTTCTTTGCGTATGGAAAAGGAGAAATAAATAATAATAAAATATGAAACAATGGTATAAATATTCTCTCTTACTATTTTTAAGAGAGAGAGGGAGAGAAAGAAAAAAAAAAAAAAAAGGAACAAAATAATAAAAAAAGGAACGCAAAATTGCAATCTGTATTCCCAAAAAAAAAAAAAAAAAAAAAAAAAAAAAAAACATGGGTTAACATCTTTTTATGCACACAGTCACGACGAAGAATAGCATTCTCTTCCTTAGTAACAAAAAAAGAAAAAGAAAAAAAAAAGAAAAGACAACTACTTTATGGCCTTTGACATAGTTTCTCCTTTTCTATCCATTCTCCTTTTACTTTTTTTATTTGTTTCTTCTCTCCTCTTCTTCTTCCCTTTTTTTTTTTTTCCTTTCTTGCTCCCTCTTTTTTATTTTGTTGTTTTGAGTTTCATTTTATTTACTTAGAATCCAGATGGTTTCTGTTTCCCTATTGATAAACTTGATTTAGTAATATCAGATGTTAGAAATCTGTTGAGCAAAATAACTTTATCGCAAAAAATAGACGGAATAAGAAGTATTATTGCTGAAAATGTATGAAATAATACAACCTAATAAGGATGAATTCATAGATAGAGTTTTCTATTATATCGTTCGTGTAATCTCAGATATGAAAAGCATAATTGAAATATAAAAGTAATTATTTTTTTTTTATGTTTCAAAGTACAATATATTATCTTTAGACATAATATATACATTTTTATATGTATTTATATCACTATTTGTCTGCGGGAGGGGGAAGAGGTGTCTTTTTTTTTTCTTTGGTTTAAACTCTGTTGTTTTATTTATTCTGATACATATTCTTTCTTTTCACCAAAGTTCACATTTATGAACAGGATTCATAGGACTGCCAGCAGGACATTTAAATACTTCAGCAAAATACTTGGAATTTTGAACTGCCCCATTAACGCGCCACTTGGCTGGTGAATGCTCATCAGTAAGAACCTAAAATCATAGAGTATTATAATTATTATGATTTGAACTAAATAAAATATATAGTATACATACTCCTTTCTTGGCTTGAGCAGGTGTCACCTTGTTACACCAAATACGTCCAAAGTTAACAAAGAATAAATGCTCAGGTGTTAAGTCATCTAGACCAGGCAAACGTACATTATTGTAACGCTTGTTTCCCTTATCACTATCATAGCGTTCTTTCCATGCTACATACGCTTCTCCTAAACCTCCATTGTCTGCCAAGTTTTCACCCAACGTAAATTTGCCATTGACGTGAATGGCCTTTCCATTTTCATCAATCATAGTAAAGTTGCTATATTGCTTTACAAAACAATTTGCTTTTTCATCAAATTGTACAGAGGTTTCATTAGTCCACCATTGAACAAGTCGTCCCTCAGCATCAAAATGTCTTCCCATATTATCAAATCCATGCTATATAATAATAGTTAATAATTGTCATTAAGCCTCTCTCTCTCTCTCTCTCTCTCTTTTTTTTTTTTTTTTTTTTTTTTTTTTTTTTTTTTTTTGTAATAACTTACAGTTAATTCATGACCCACAACAACACCAATACCGCCATAATTCAAATAATCAGGATAGTTGCTACCAAAAAAAGGATTTTGTAAAATACCTGCAGGGAAAACAATCTTTATATTTATATATGTATATGTGCGTTAATAATCACTTTGAAAGACCTCTTTTTTCTTTTTTCTTTTTTTTTCTTTCCTCTCTCTATCTCTCTCTTTCCTCTACAACTACAAATTACCTCATTAAAGGAAGGATTATAATAAGCATTTACTTCTTGAGGATTCATTAACCATTTAGATCGATCAGGTGTTTTACCCACTTGACGCCATCCTTCAAGAACACTAAATTTACGAGCATTTACATAATTCTCGAAATAATCATCTTCTTTCAAGCTTAATTCAGCATAATAATCAGATAATGAAACAGGGGACATAATATCAGGTGAAGAATCAGGATAGCCTACTTTACGAATCAACTTGTCAACCTTTTCAATTGCCTTTTCACGTGTCTTATCATCAATCCATTCCAGACTAGGTAAACGTTTTAAGAATACTTCCTTGATACTGTTTACAAATTCATCTGCACGTTCTTTAGCATTGCCACCAAATTTGTCAATCACATAATATCGACCAGCCAAGAATCCTAATGCATTATTCACCTCATCTAAACAGGTATCCCAACGAGGCTTTATCGATTTGGGATTTGTACCAATCAGTTTTGACGTTAGACGACGAATAGGTGCACGAATTTCATCACCTAAGGAATCAGAATAGGCAAAGATCACCTTCCAGGTAAAATAAGCAAGCAATGGACGTGAGTTTTCCTTATTAAGCAAGACAGTAGAGACATTACTAATATAATCAGGAGAAGTGACGATCAAGTTATTACCAGGATAAGGAGCATTGACAGGTAATAAATGATTGACATAAAGTCCCCAATCAACATTAGGAGCTATCTTTGCTAATTCTGATAGAGACATGGGATTATAAATAGCTTCAGGATCCTGGAATTCCTCTGGTAATTGACTTCTTTCTGCCAACTTTTTTTCAAAGTCAACAATCATACGAGCTGTAGCCTTTGCATCAGGTTTACCATCGAATAAAGGCAGTCCTCCTTCTTCTTCTGAAACTGTAAAACTATCCTCGTCGTCAAAGATAACATTCAAAACATCTGAAATTGTTTCATAAAGCGCTTGAACCGTTTCTTCTTGAGTATAATAGACTTTATTAGGTAAAGTTAACCCAGATTGATAGAGTTGTAAAGAATTAATAGTGGGGTCTTTAGGATCAGCGTCTACACTAATCTCGAACAGGGCCCCAATGTTTCTCTTTGCTAAGAATGATAGAGTTTGTGTCAAATGACGAGTATCAAAGGTCCCTTTAGTGAGAAACATATCACGAATTTCTTTCAAGATAGGATAAATAGGCTTTGAGCCACGAGCATCAATTAAGGCCTCATTCATACATGAATTATAAAGAGCTTTTACTTTTTCAAAATTTTGTTTGTCAATCAGTTTATCTGGATCAGGTAATGATTGGTTGCTGCCTGAGGTACGATTATAAAAGTCGTCAAAGGAGCCAGATAAAATGTTGCGAAGTGCTTCCTTGTTTTGATTTACGAGTGTTACAAATGAATTGATAGATGATTTGCCTTCTGGGATTTCATGGCTCTTTTCCCAGTTATTACCTATTATCGTTCCTTTATTTAGTATTTTTTTTAGACATATACACAATGGTTATTAGCTTACAAGTAAATTGGTAAAAATCTTCACAAGGATCAACAGTCAAATCGATATCCTTGTATACATTTTAAGTAATCGTATTTGATTCACAAAAGCATTTGATTTCTTCTTTTATCTTACCTTTAAAATTTGAGCCGCTGTTAAGACGCATTCAGGTTCTGTACAAATAGGCTACAAAAAAAAAATTAATTTTCACACACATATTTGCTTACATAACATATTAAAAGCTTACTGATGAATTATCATGTCTAGGTACATTAGGTGGTTGCTTTGGATTTTCATCAGAAACTCGTCTGGTATAGAGTCCGGTAACGATACATAAAGCAATAAAGAAAACAACAGCTAAAATGAACAATACTTTTTCCAATAATGAAAACTTTCCATTTTGAAATCTTCTGTTTGTGTCAGAATAATCTTCATTATCCTGATTTCTTTCAGGATTAGTATTACTTTCCTCTCCTAAAAGAGGTTCTCTTTCTGCATTCATTTACAAATATAAACAAATAAAAAAAAAAAAAAGGAAGAGTAAAAAAAAAAAAAAAAAGAGAAAGAAAAAAAGAACAAAAAAAAAAAAAACTAAACATTGTTATGTTATTTTTTTTTATTGTTGTCATTACTATATACACACCTCAACTTATGTATGCTAATTTATGCTTCAAATTCTTCTAAAAATGAAGTCAATGCTTCAGGTAGACTAAATTCAAGTTTCTTTTCATCAATCAAAGCCTTTGCTTCCTTGATGTTTTCTACAGCCTTTTTATAAATTTCCGCTTGTTCATCTTCCTTTAAAGTCAAGTTAGCTACATTCAAATAAGCTTCAGCCAAATCTGAAAGAATTTGAGGAGTCACTTGATTGATCTTGACAAGCTCTTGCTTGGCTGATTCAAAATAATTCTTACTGTGAACAAATTCCTGTAGAGCCTTTTCTTCTTCTTTTGCCAAATTGTCTTCATTTTGTTCCTCATCAATATGATCCAAGTAATAATTGGCGAGCGAAAGTTTAGATAAACCAAGTGCAGACAATGCATTCGCGTTATTAGGTTCATCTACGTACAATAAAAAAAAATTTTGAATAAATAAAATTGAACTTCATTTATTTTATTTTATTTACCTTTCAAGACCTTTTCTAAAGCATTTTCAGCCCAAGTTCTAAATTTATCACAAGCAGCAAGATCGTCATAAAGTTCACCATGGTTTAGAACAATATCAGCTAATTCAATAATAGACTTAGATGGTACATTAGCAAGGGTTTCATCATTCAATTTATCTAAAGCCTTTGTAGCCAACTTGGGAATCGTTTGTTCATCTTCAGAGACAGCATTGGAAGCCTTAGCAAGCCAAACCTTAACAAGGCCAATATGAATTTTATTGCCTAATTCAGTATCATGTTCGAGAGCATCATTTAATCTCTCTTCAGCAGCATCTAAATAAGGTTCAAATTCTTCATCATCGGTTAAACGACCTAGCTCATATAATGCTAAACCGTATGTATAATAAAAGAGTGAAGGTAAAGGATTTTCAGATTGATGATTACGTAAAATGCGATCTGATTCGTGAATTGTACCACGAAGTAAAGGTAAGGCTCCAGAAGGATCAGCAGCATCTATTTTATAAAATTAGTTTAAAATGTAAGGAGAAAGAAAGAAAGAAAAAAGCCAACTACATGAGTTTACCAAGCTTTTCAAGAGCACTTTCAAAGAGAGCAGCAGCTTCTCCTACTTCATCACCTTCTTCTACTTCCTTATCAATGACAACGGTTTGAGCATTCTCAGGCAATTCAGTAGGTTCTTCAACTTTAGACTTCTTATTAGCTTTGGCAATAGCACTGCCTTTTAAACCTCTTGGTCTTTTCTTTTCAGTGGCCATGTTAGGATATGTAACAAAAAAAAAAAAAAAAAAAAAAAAAAAAAAAAAAAAAAAAAAAAAAAGATAGACATTTGTATAAAAAAAAATAGAATGAAGAATACAATAAGTGACTGTATTTCTTTTGATTTTCTTCACTATTGATTTTTCACACTAATATTTTCGTGTGAGACACTTTGTAACAAGTTTGAACTGTTGTGATAATACTTTTTTTTTTTCTAACTTGTAATAAATAGAATCATGTTTTGAATAATTAGGAATGTGTATTATATAGTTTGAAGTATATGTAAATAAAGGGCTATAATTATAAATAATTTATAGGAAGCCTATTTTTATAGCTTCTTTAACTTCTTCTTTATTTGCACACTGCAAAGTAGAAATACAAGGGATTGCAATACTAAGCAGAAAAGAGTAATAAAAGAAACATATTTTTTTTCTGAAATATTTGTAATAGATTGGTTAGTTTCTTATGAAGCTTTGAATAATAGATATTTATGAAAAATAGATTTACATAATAGAGGATAGAAATGGACGATTTAAATAATTGTAGTTTGTCAAAATAAATAAATATAATATTTGGTAAAGGGAATAGAAGATCTTGTATTAAATTGAAGCTTTAATTACATTTAAAAAAAACCAGCCCTGATACAAGGATATATCATCCAGACATAAGCACTAATAAACATATTAAATGCTATTATTCTTGATTACACAAGTACTCCCGGATCAAGACACGTATATCGAAACTCAGCATATACAACTATCTTGTACAAGTTTAAGATTTAAATATGTTTTCGACTCATATTGATGATAAACAGATCGTACATGTACGTATCAGAAACTACCTTTTTTTTTCTTTCAATTCATAATAGCTCATTAAAGTGAATTCTTGACAAAAGCGCATTCATGAACTAAAGACATAATAATTTATAATCGGTCATTTTGTTTATATATATATATATCTAACTTGTTAAATAGTCAGTAGTTAATTATTTACTTGCTTTTTTGTTTTTTCCTACTATATAGTATTCTTATTCTTATGTCTTTATTGCTAAAGAGAATATCACTTGGACAGATTAACTATAAAAAAAAAAAAGCTGTTATTATCAAGCAAAGGTTATCTCAAGACATACCTTTTTATCTCTTTCGTAAGTAAGTTTCTCATCGGACAAATATCTCCGGATAATAAGAAAGTAGGACAAAACTATCCCCAGATCTTTAACGGATAAAGCCTTCCTATATGTTTGCAAAGCAAAAGAAGATGACAAAACGAAGAATGGAGTCTATTATATCTAATGTTTTTTAAGCTTTATGATACAGAATTGTTGATTCAATACCAGATCAAGAAAAAAGCATTACAATTCAGTTTTTATCAAAGGGAGCTGCCTTGAATTGTATGATTTGAATAAAGATAAACGAAAAAAAAGGGTATACACTTATGAGTCAATAAAAAAAAAAGGCTCATGAACTCGTGATCGAACAGGCATGACAAATCAAAAAAAGATGTATAGTTATCAATTGACTCTAAATAAACAAGAATAAAAGGAATTGCTTAGCCATGATTAGAGAATTTACAATAGTATGTGACGATGATGATGGTGCTTTTATTACTAATAAACTTTATCTTTTTTTTTTCTTTTTTTGTAATAATAAACAAACTGCTCAGCATTCTTTATGTCACAGTTAAAAAAACTAGAAACTCACTTCCCCACATCACAAACCATTTTTCTATTTATTCTTTTCCTTATTAGTGTCACATTATTTGTACATGTAGCACGAACCAAATAAATCATTGTGTACAAGACGACATATTATCTGTGTAATTAATGACATAAACATTAAAGATTTATTATAATAATATTCATATAAATCATATACACGTATGTATAATATGTATATGTATATTAATATATAGATGTGTGTGTAAATTAAATGCAATAAAAAGGTATATATTTATATATATATATATTTATAAAAAGAAATAAGAGAAGAGCCAGCCTTTTGATGTTGATATTATTATTATTGTATGAGTAGTAGTAGTAGTAGTAGTAGTAGCAGTAGTAATAGCAGTAATAGTAGTTAGAGTAGTAGAACTAAGAACTAGTAGTAGAAGTAGCAGTAGTAGTAGTCATATCGCATTCATGATCATTTTTATACAAGTTTATGTATAAAAAGTTTCTAATTTGGAAGCGTATTTATTGAGGAGAAGGTTTCTTAGGACACATCCTATTATTAAAATCATATATAAGTTTAAAAAAAAAGTTATAGCCATCATAAATCATGTACTTACATAGAATAATGACCCTTTTGACCACAGTGAATGCAACGACCGTCAGACATGGTTTATTTATTTTAGTGAGAAATAAAAATGATACAAGAAAAGGAAAAATATTAATAAGAAGAAGAAGAAGAGAGGAAAAGAGAGCGCCTCTCTTATTTATATTTGAACAATGAATAAACTTTATTGGTTCTAAACACTGATCTCTCCATTATCACACGTGGCGATAATGTTCCACGAAAAAAAATTTTATGGCAATAGGGCGGAAAATAATGAAATCTCCTCCTTTTCTTTTTTTGGTTATTCCTTTATTATTATTATATAAAGAAAAATAAAATAAAATAAAAAATAATATAAAATAAAATAAAATAAAAACCCTTCCCCCACCCCCATATACTATGATGTCCCTTTTATATGTAAAAATAAACAAAATACAATGCTTCATATCATCTATTATTGCTTAATAGGCTCCGTCTTAACATCACAACAACGTGTGTTTACTATTAAACAATATAATAATATATTTTATTAATAAAATTTTAAATGACCGGTTAATCATGTAATCATTAAATTACAGTCATTTTTGCCCTGGTCAGATCATAAAAAGTTTTCCTTTTACAAGATAAAAAAAAAATTGTAAAGGCTCAAGAGAAAGAAATAAACAAAAGGATAGATATATAAAGAAGAGTATATTAGTAAGGAAGTTTACGGAAATAGTCAGTACCCAAAGTTGATAACTGAAAACAAACAAACTTGTTATGAGTCAGATAGAACCCTGTCATAAAGTAAAATATAAATGGAAGAAATATATACATAAAGAGAGTAGCCAAGATGATTGAATTAAACAGGAAGGAGAGCGGATTTGAAATAGGCTCCGGAAGCTCAAAGGATTGTACAAAGAATTGAACATTATTAGGTGTCACGAATAATTCAATAACTATTAACAATTTCAAAAATAGATATGATGTTTTATATTCAGTATCATCTCAACTCCTGTCAAATTATTTGAACACAGTAATACTCACTCTATACTTATTCATTCTACTTGGTACCATAAAGCCTACCGAAGTATCTACTTATTTCAAATAGATGAACGAATATTTATCTATTGATTTTCTAGGCAATATAAAAAAAAGGGGAGACTTCTCTTTTTACTTTTACATAGTTTAAGTTGAGTATTAATTGATCAAAGCTTTGAAGTTCTTATGGATAGATTGATCCTTATTTTCTGTATATTTACTGGCAATTTCGTATAGGAGATGAAACATTTGTTCCTTCTATAGTGTATTTTAATGATTGCTTTAAAAAGAGAAATGACTCTCTTTTTTCTTTTATCAAATGCTTCTTCTTTTTTTTTTTTTTTTATTTCACTCTGCACAAATGAAAAGAAGAATGATTATTAAAATGGACATTGACAAACTACTTATAATTGGGAAAATACTGCTTTTTTTCTCTTCTTCTTTAAAGGGACTCGGATAAAATAGACTCATCAAATGCGTTGAATATATTAAACATATTGTAAACTTTACTATATAAACTGCATAAACCTCTTCCCTCCTCCTTAATTTTTTTCCCCATCAAATATGTTTGATTCTCTTTTTTTCATAAGTTAGTATAAATGTCACTGACTATAAATCTCTTGTGAATTAGTTACATCCAAAAAAGTAACCAGCAAAATGTGTGCCGAGGAATCAAGATGTTAATAGACCTAATAATTTATAAAGCTAGTTTATATTAGTTGTCTTTGTTCCTTTTCCTGAAATTAAAACAAAAGAGACTGTTGTGTACCAGAACTACGTGTAATTTTTTATGCTTTTTGGTAAAATAAAATATAATTCCAAGGTAAATTCTTTTCTTTATTGCAGTAAAAAAAAAAAAAAAAATAACAATATAGGGTAATAGCTACAATAGATCCATCATTGTTTCTATTTTCGATCGATTGTATCATTTTAGGACAAACCTTGTAACGTTACAAATCATATATTGAGCTAATTCACGTGGCTATAATTGACACCATTTATTACAATTAAAAAGAAAAAAGAAAAAAGAAAAGAAAAGAAAGAAATGACGTTTATGTATGATGACATTTGTTACAATAACTGCTGTGTATTTTATGGCTCGGAAATAATTGGGAAAATAGATAGAAAATTGAAAGATAAAAGTTGATATAAATTGAGGATAGACGAAAAAATTATTTAGTACATGAATAACTAATAATAAAATATATACAAGCAATATTACTTGATTTTGCTCAAGGAAAATGTATGTAAATTATTTCTTGATATTTTGTACTGCAAACTTATAAATGACTCTTTATTCTTGAATATATTTCATTATTTTCTGGAAATAATATATTTTAATATTAACCAAGCAATAAAATAATTAACAACAAAGCACTTTTAATAATAATGACAATAATAATAAAAGGTAACTACCTAAGTTTTTTTTTTTTTTTTTTTTTTTTTTTTTTTTTTTTTTTTTCAGTAAATGGTGGTAACCATGGCAGTTTGCATAATTATTTGTGAGACGTGTGTGACTGTACATTTCTCCCTCTTTTTTTTTTTCCTCTCTATCTGTATATCTGTGAATCATGCGTTTTATTAATGTTTTCAAAAAATATGTCGAGAGAGAATTCACCGCCACTTTATAGATTACCACCTATTCAAGCAACTTCACATATACCAACACCTTTACCTTCTATTAAGCATGAACCAAGTGCATTCTATCCTTTCCAACCACCATCATTAGCACCATCACTACCACCGCCAACAACAACAACAACTGCACCATTATCTTCAACAGAAACAACAACAACAACAACATCAGCACACGTAAAAACATTGGCTCCTACCACATACTCATATTCACCTTATTTAGATAATAATGATGTAGTTTATGAAGAATACCCATATTATAATTATGAAGGTAATGTTTATCATCAACTTTTTATCTTTGTCACTCACACTATAAATTAATAGACATGCCTGTCGTAAATAATCCTACATTAAAAAAGAAAAGAGAATTCGATGAACGAATGCAAAATATTAATCGTGAATTTCTTGAAAATAAAGAAGTGTAAGCGAAAACCATCATCGATATATATATATGTATACATCTATATTTTAATATCTATTTATTTTCTTAATGAATAGGCTTTATGAAGAAAAGCTCAAGCAATTACAAGATGAATTAAAAGCTGTTGAAAAAGGTAACAACAACTACAAAAAAATATTATTTCATTCTTAATTAATTAATTAATTGAAAAAAAAACAAAAAAAATCAAACAGGTCGTCACGAGCTTTATGAAGAGTTACTAGCCGATTTAGAAGAACAGAGAAAAAAGATGATTGACGATGCACGCTTAATGATGATTTATCAAATATCTTGTGTAGATAAGCAATTTTATTTAGATTCTAAAATTGTACAGGAAGAATCGATGGCAGAACGGAGAGAATTACAAAATGCCATGTTTTTAGTAATCGATGAAAAGAGAAGGAAACTCAAAGAGGATAAAGATGGTGAAGGTGAAATCGGCTTATCGACACATCAAACTAGAAATCGAAAGCGAATGTTGAGAAAACGAGGTGATTTTGAAACGCTTGTAAATAACCGTCAAACAAACAATAAGCAAAAACGAAAACAAGATCATATCCTTTTTAATATATTTATTACTAATATTGTTGATAGATGGTGTATATATATTATCTTTAACTTTTATGTATGTATTTTTTTTTTTTTTTTTTTTTTTTTTTTTTTTTTTTTTACGCATGAGAGAAATTCCAAGTCATTTGATAGATGCTTTATCTAAACGAGTGGAAGAAGAGATTGAAGCTGATTTTTGTGCTATGAAGAAAAAACGATAATTTTTTTTTTGATTTATATACACACACAAATGTATATTTTTTTTTATAATGTATATTTTTTATTTTTTTTTTTCTTTACTTTTATATAATGACTACATTTAAAGGGATGGCTATTTTATGTTTTCATCCACAACAACATCTACTTCAAGGCCACTGTATAAATCTAATAAATAATGAATCACCTTATAGTCTTGCAGGGATATTATTACCTGATTATATTGATCCACATCATAATGATTGTATGGAACCCGATGATTTTTATCGGGTTATCATCAAATCTCATACAACACAAGAACAAATTTCTTTAATTTTACGTCGAACAAAAAATAACGATGCTAGTAATTTGTGGAGTCATGAAAATGAAAAAGATAGTAATGATGGATACGAGTTTTGTTTTGAGACGGAAAAATTTGTTTCTGATCAAGAAGCAATGCGTTTGAAAGATAAATATTTTAAAACAAATTCGTCCATCGTTACAGATGATGAAGTATATATATGTGTTGGAAACATACAATTTACTCAACAAAACCAATAAATACATCCTACCATTCATATCAGCTAATGTATATATAAATATATCTAGATATCTTTGCATCATAGTTGCTTTGGCACTAATAAGCGAGCTTATTATTAAAGACCTTTTTCTTGTAACATTCAACATGGTGCATACAGAAATTGAAGAAAAACCAAGTCAACAAGTGAATTGTAAAGACTTGCTACACTTGTTAAATTTGATTAACTAAAACTACCAAAAAGGTCTTTTTGTTAATAAACATGTGCTATTATCCTATCTTTTAATAAACTATTTAATTCGATACTAAGTGTAGTCTTTTGGTACTCTTTCATTTCAGCTTGACTATAAAAGCACAAATAAAAATAAATTCAATATGGAGAAATTTCTTTTATTCCATGTCATTATAGATTTATTACACACTATCTAATGCTATTCATACATGTTATCTAACCTATGCTTAACTTCACTTTTTAATCTTCTAGACTATTGCATAACGTTTTATCAAAGCCATGTCTCTTAAATTAATCATAATAATAATAAAAAAAAAGGGAAGTGTCTTATACTGTCATCAATTCTATTAAACTTGGCTGCTGATAATAGATTCCAAGCTAATAATAAGAAAGATGCAGCAATGCTTCATAATAAAAGGATGATAGGCTGTGTATTCCAATGATTTTGGAAATTTTCTAGTTAATGAAAAAAAAAAAAAAAAAAAAAAAAAGTCTAAAACCCAAAAAAAAAAAAAAAAAAACTATAATTTCTTTCCCCTCCTCTTTTCTTTCTTTCTTTCTTTCTTTCTTGTACATAAAAGAAACATGACTTTATCCTTTTTTCATAAATCAGGAACTAAAAAAAAGAAAACTTCTACAGCATATCCAAAACTGACTTCTTTAATTCAAAAATCAAATGAGCCATTGGAGCCAGAAGAGATTGATGAGAACTTTTTTTATAAACACATTATGACTCATTTTCATTCACTCTTTTGTGATTCTACCATTGTTTGTATACCTCATTCAAAATCAATTCAAGGTCTTGTTTTAACAAAGGTCATTATTGGTAATAATGATAATAATAATAATTAATGCGATTTATATCATAATTTTATTTATTGAGTAGAATCACACTGTTTTCAACCTTCCCCTTATTTTTGTGGACAATTTATGACAACTAAACAAAAACATAAAATTATTGCAATTGATTATCCAATCATAACTACCATCACAGGTAAATTTAACTATCCTTATCTATACATACATACATTCCATCTTGATACAATTTCTTTTTTTTTGTAGGTTTTGAAGAGGAACGTACTGTACATATCATGGCTGAAGAATCTGTTTATCTAAAAAATAAGAAAATTAAATTACTATTAATAGATAAATTATTGGAAGGCGAGCCACCTGTAAGTAAAGTAAACTGTATTTTCCATAATAAATATTGACCTATATATATATATATATATATATTTGATATATAGAAATACCATTATAAACATAATACAATTACAATTCCATCTATTCGTAACTCTAGAACGTAAGTCCTAACTGTTTTTTTTTATCCTTTAATCTGAAACAGCTCTCATGTATCAAGAAAAGTGCTCCTTAAAAATTATATTGTAATAATAATAATAGTGATTTTGAATTTCTAAGCATGTTCCCCGAAAACTTGAGTCCTCTTCATGAATTAGAAGCAGCTGTTCAAGAATTTACAGATTCATATGTATATATTAAAGGATATAATCAATTTACTGTAGAAAGAATCCAACATATTTATATGAATGCTTACAGAGTAAATAGATATAAGTTGAATATGTATATGTATACGTATATGTGTATGTGTATGTATATATATGTGTATATGTATATGTATATATTTATATATATATGTATGTATGTATGTATGTATATGTATATATATATATCTATATGTATATCTACATGTATATCTATATGTATATCTATATCTACATGTATATGTATATGTATACATATATATAGAGAGAGAGAATGAGAAACAGAAAGTTGACATTGTATTATAGACAATACTACAAAGAAATAGATTACTGCAAGACTCCTGTCGTACACCTTCTGAACATGATCAATTTTTGGAACTAGTAGAAAAGTAAAATACAATTTACATGATATATTCCTATTACTTACTTATATTTATTCTAGTGTGGTGATGAGCTTTTTACATAAAAAAATTTGGATCCAAACATTACAGTCATTACTAGCAACACAAGATAATTATATTGATAGTATTCGTTTTGCATATTCTCATGCTAGTCTTTCACAGTATTCTTTAAGATATCCTATTTCAGAAATGTCTCGATCTTGCTTTGATGAAGTAATTACAAATTTTAGACGACTAGATTCAGATATATGTCATGTTGAACCTTATAAATCAACTGCAGCAAAACAATTTGCATTTACTCCACTTGAAAAATTAGCTGTTATCAAGTCTACATTAGATTTGATATCATCTGCAGTTCATGATTTTGTTATTAATTTTGGACAAGAAAATAATGGTAAAAAAAAATGACTATATTTCTTTTATATACTTTTTTTTTATCTTTTTTGTTTAGATACTTCAGTTACTTCAGATGAAATGATTCCTTTATTAGCATTTATCATTGTTCAAAGTAATGTACCTAGAATGGCTAGTTTAGTGTATTATATACAACATTATAGATTAGCTAGAATGGTAGAAGGTTCTGTCTATAGCTTTGTTATAACTACTATTAAAAGCGCTTGCGAATTTTTAAAAGATGATCCCCTTTGTTTATATGACACAAATTCACCAAATCATATTCGATCACGTTCAACTTCAATTACATCAGTCAATAACAAACCTAATAGTGCACCACCCATCTCTTCTTCTTCTTCTCGATACTTGCATCATCGTAAATCACAAAGCGCAGATCTTTGTAATAGTTTTTCTAACTTACACATTTATAATAATAATCACCATTCATTATACAATATGGATGATGATAATATGGATCGAATGAGTGTAGCAACATTAAATAATAATAATAATAGTAGTAGTAGTAGTAATAGTAGTCGTCGAAATTCAGCTATCTTAAGGCCTCATATCGTCTTGCCAAATCGTCGACATCAAGAATACCGAAAGAGTTTAGATATACCCAACGATTGGCTTTTACCTGATAATACACTCACTCATCATCACTCCACTCATAACGAAACAACTTCTACAAGTCATTTAACATCATCACGTCCTATGATATCCACTACATTCCCATCTATTTCAAATTCTACTCCTTTACCTTTCGATGGTTTCTCTAATGATTCTGCAACTGATATACCCAAACTAGGTCGATCATTGAGTGCCTCTACAGTTGTCAAAAAGCGTCTATCACAACAACCACCTAAAATTATTAATATACGTGATCGAATTTCTATTGATCAACGACGACCTGCCTCTATTTGTTTAGATACAAGGTCATTACACAGTATTGAAGATAGTAACGAAGAATCAGAAGAGTTAATGGGTGATTTTTTATTGGGTTTAAGTAAATTAGACGGGGATGTAGTTGGTGGAAGAACAGGTTCATTTAACAGAAGACTTTAATAGAAGAGAGTTTCTCTGTTTTAAAATCAAGAGATTTTTCTATTCATTGAAGCTTTATTAACTATATGTTTAATCTTCTTAAGACAATAAAACTTTGAAGTCTAGGTCTTTACGAGTAAATAATATGATCACTTCATCTCCATAATATAATATTTTAACATTTATTTTGGCATTATTAATAGCCTTTTTTTTTATGTATAATATGTGTATCGAATTCATTAATGATGTCATCCAGAGGAAATGGCTTACTGCCAATCTCCATTTCAGCTGAGTTATTACCGCTTTCATCATAGGTATTACCTTTTTCATCTTGAATAAACTTAAGGTTCATTTTTTTTTTTAAAAAAAAATTAGATTTGTGCAATCTGGATTTTTATATATTTATGCAAACATATAAACTTAATATTGGTCATACCATAAAAAAGAAAGAAAGAAAGAATTCTATAATTGTACTTTAATATACGTATATGAATATATATTTTTTATTACCTCTCTCAAGCAAAAGAAATGCCTTCTACAAATTCTGACGTGCTTCCTGATGATCTCCAGCACCTTTTTTTTTTTTCTGTCAAGATCTGGGATTCATTCACTTTGACGCAGAATTTTGGAGGCCAGGTTTTGATCTAATGAGTAAGCTGCTATTCAATGATCCCACGATTGGTGAATTTGGTTGTACAATCATTACAAACTTACTAGCTCTTAATATGCCTTACAGACACAGATGTTTCAGCAAATAGTGATGCTGTAACCTCAAAATGAATGGGCGAATGAGACTAGTGTCTGACCTCTGACGCGAGCGATAGATTCAAAGACAAACCTAACGGGCAATAAAACCACCCATTTTTAATAGAATATTTCTACTTCAAATTCAGACTATATTAATTTTTTTTTTTTTTTTTTTTTTTTTTTTTTTTTTAGACGAATTAAAATTAATTTTCAGATAGTTTGTTTACCTTTTTTGGATGAATAAGAAATGAAATCGAGACAGAAAAGAATTAGTTCTCAGACGAATTGAGATTTATGCTTAGACTTTTTCACTTGTAATGATCTTAATGCAGGCCCAGTTCGTTTTCCGTGTTATTGATTTACTAGATGATACTTTGCTCGCTAAATTACTTCCCGAGTTTTAAGCCTCCACCTTCAACACTCAATGGTATAAACTCATTCAAACACCATGCTGGAGACTCTGTGCCGCCAACTCCATTCCGTTAGACTAACGCTCCTTTCGAAAACATCGTCAAGAATTTCTTGAAGAGAGTTTTCATCAGCTACGTGACGGGACGCGTTCTGTTTTGCTTCCCGCTTGCCGCCCTCAATCTGATTATTGATCTGATACTCTGGTTACCCATGATACACAATGAGCGTAGTCGAACTATTCGATGGCGTCTTGGTTGGTTACCCGGAGGAATACCTAAAGCCTGCCCATATCATCCTTATGTACACTTTTAGTCGGTCACACATCACTGAATGCTTGCACATGCACACCCGTTTATTCTTGCCGCGATCAATAAACAGATCCCCTTTTTCCTTTCTTTTAAATCATCTCTTTCAGCATAAGTATCGAAATTCTCAGGATGTTTCTGTCTGGTTCTATCGCTGGCCAGTTATGTGCACTATTCTACAGAAAATGGATTGCTTACTACACAACGAACTAACCCCTCCTCCCCCCCCCACTTCTTGACCCAGACAGGAAATGACTCAACTGGTTATCCCTTTAAACTTTTTAGCAATATTTCCCCCTTTTCTTTCTCACCTTCTCTTCTTCTTCTTCCTTTCCTTTACCTTTTTACCTCTTGTCCCCGTAAGAGACCTTTTAGATACTTTTTTTTTTCGCATAATCTGAACTGACTTGGGTAATCCAATATAACAAAGATATTATGTGCTCATAGGTCGCTTAATAAATTTTAATTTATAAAAATAAAAAAAAAAAAAAAAAATAAAAATAAAAATAAAAAATCTTTAATCGTCGTAGAATAGATTTCATGGTCAGAAACTATCCAATATTCACTCTCAGCTTACAGTCGATATAAACTATATCCAATCGTCCTTATCTTTGCCATTGTCGTCTCTTTATAACCAAGTTGATAGAAATAAGCCACCCTCATTTATTTAGATAATAAAGAGGCGATTCCAACTAAAGCTAGTGTATTGTACTTGACAGCATCATATTCATTCTACATTTCAGTTTTAATAACAGTCATTGTTAGAAGTATTCGAGCATTCATAATAATAATTGTATTATGTAATAATAAGAATTCACTTGGGAGGTCATCCTATCATAGATACTGTGTGTGTGTGTTTGCTTAGCTAGGAGTAGAAGTTGGGTAGATGGGGAGGGAGGGAGGAATGTGTAAACAAGTGTGAGTGTCCAAACTATACCAGCTTAGTTATAAAAAGTTGAGTAGACTGTATACGTGTATAAAAATATATTTTTTGCCAAGCTGACATTCTTGGGTATAACTATTCTGTAACATATTCTCATTACCCAACTCCACTTCTCTACACAACACAACTTCTATTCACTCACTCTAGCTAACCAAACACACACACACACACAGTATCTATGATAGGATGACCTCCATGGTAAGAATTATTTAGCATTTTATAAATCTTCAAATAATGACTTATGCATTTCATTATCACGTGAAATATTAAAATTGGCTGCTTTATAATCAGTATAATTTCCTTTTTAAGACAGATTTTTTATAAATGAAAAATAAATAAATAATATAACTATCTTTCTTAATTTACTTAATAAGAAATATTCTATTGACAGAATAATAAAAAAGAAAATGACTCCCTTTGAGGTTATTTGGATAATCAACAATGATTATTCGTTATCTTTCACAAAATAAAAGAAAGAAAGAAAGAAAAAAAAATCCGTATATAAAAATAAAATAAAAATGACGCGGCATTCTAAAAAAAAAAAAAAGCTATTTTCTTCTTGGTTCTTCTTTTAATAAATTAAATTGTTTACATGCTAACACGACATTTAACATCGAAAATACTTGATATTCGTATTGAAGAGGAAAAGTTTTATTTTCCTGGTGAAACAATCAAAGGTAATCCATATATTTTTTCTTTTTTTTTTTATAGAAGCAACTTATTAATTTATGATTAGGCATTATTGTTGTTCATCCAAAAAGTTCAATAAAAGTCAATTCAATTCAACTCAAGTTCTTTGGCGAAGTTTATATTCATTTAAAAGAAAAAGAAACAACAACTTTATTCCAAAATTCGCTTGTACTTTCTGTATACCCTAATAGTACTGTACCAAAACAGACAACCTTAAGTTCTAGCGAGCATGAATTTCCATTTCAATTCATTGTGCCAAAGGATTTAAATTTACCAAGTTCAATGGAGGTAATTATAAACAGAACTTTTTCTTTTTCTTTTTTTTATGTGTATTCATTTATGTATGCATTTATACCCTAGCTTGGTAAAAAAGGCCATATTCGTTATACAATTCATGCAATGTTGGATAGACCGATGATACCTGAACCTCTTTGTCCTAAAATAGACTACACAGTTTCTTTATTAGAATTTATCGATATAGAGCAAAAACAATTTAAAATCCCACAAGAAAAATCACAAGATGTCATGCTACCAGATGCAAAATACAATCAAAAATGTATGGTTACAGCTTCTATTCCACGTCTTGGATTTACAAGAGGTATAAATATAAATAAACGACAACAACAACAGCAGCAGCAGCAAAACTTTTTTTTTTATGGTTTACTTACATAATATTATACATACATATTAGGTGATATCGTTCCTCTTAAAGTAATCATAGATCATTTTACATCATTTTCACGTAAAGGTTGTGTAACAGTAAATTTAGTGAGGACTGTTGAAATTAGAACCAGTCACCATACAGTATTTAAGGAAACAGTATTACGATCTACACAATATGATGTCGATATTAAACAGTCTCCATATCAACAGTCCCTAAAATGCCAAATATTAATTCCAACCTCGACACCGCCTTCTATTCGGTATAAAGAGAAAGTACTTCGATTTCATTATAAAGTGCATGTTGAGGTATCTTTCACATCCAAGGTGACCATAACATTAGATATACCTGTTGTCATCGGTACTTGGCCACGAGCTTCTGTTCCAATTGAAGATGATGAGGATACCACACATGATTTGGAAGACTTAGATGATGATATAGAGTCTGTACATAATTCTGTGGAGGGTCGTTGGCATAAAAATAACAGTTCAAGTACTTTGAATACAGCTTATAGAAATTCTATCAGTTCAAATAACATGAATAGATCTGATTCAATTACATCAAGAACATCCAACAATTCTACTTCTTCTTGGAAATCAAGTCGATCTTGGGAGATGCAAAAAATGAATCCATCAAAAAACCTAAGTCGAAATACATCACAATCAACGACTTTATCTTCGCCTGATAGACTTCCCTCTTATTATACACATCATCGATCCAGTTCTTCGCTTTATTCTTATTCTTCTTGTGAATACCCATCTTATAATTATCAACAAAGACAATCTAACACTTTACCTCCATTGGCTGGCCCAATCCATCCTCAATCATATAGACTAGGAAGGTATGAACCTCCAATTATATTACATAATGATGTACCCACTCATATACTGGAACCTATTGCATCTGTTGAGCAACAACAGCAACAACAACAACAACAACAACAGCCAGAAATATCAATTTTGTCAGATTCTTCTTCAGAATCATTATCATTAGAAGATTCAGATGAAGATGATTTGTTAGCTATCATTGAAAGAAAAAAAAGAAAGAACAAAGAGAGTTAAGGAGGAAATTAAAGGCTAATACGGCTACTATAATATCTTAATATGTAATATAATAATAATAATAATAATAATAATAATAATAATAATAATAATAATAATAATAATAATAAACTTTACTTGTGTGTGTGTGTGTGTGTGTGTGCGAGTGTGCGTGTATGTTTTGTATAAAAGTAAGTAAGTATAATATGGAGGGGGAGGTTCTATTGATTAGAATGTTATATAACTATAATTTTCCATCTACAGTCTTATTCACTTGTTCGCATACTTGACGTATATCGATTAAGGCCTTTGTAATAGCTTCCATAAATTGTTCAGTTGAAGCAGTCTCCTTAACACGTTTCGATTCAATACCAAATTTTACTAAATTAGGGGCTGCCATATAATTGATGCCATAACCATCTCTATAGATGGCACCAAAGCCTGTCCCCATCAAACGAATACCTGCATGTAACCCGGATGTACTTAATCGCCATGTTTGAGATTCAGTAAAGATAGGATCCTTAAATAGGGGATGCATGGGTACTGATACCAACTCACCTTGGTTATCAAGTACTTGATGATCTTCATTTAATAAGCGTAATACAAACAAATGACGATCACAGCCATGTCCATCACTCGCTATTTGAGTGAATGTACGATGATAGATCGTCGCTTCCTTGAGTAAAGTATATTTTTGATAGGAATCTAAATGAGGTTGATCAAATCCTTCTACAAACGCTTTACTTTCAAGGCTCACGGTACGAATCGTCTCTGTTCGACCTCGCAAGTATTTCCGTGTAGCGGCTGTCTCATAGGTAGGGGTTACCTTATGATGTATACGATAATAAGCTAATTGAAGTGACATCTGTAGAAAGGCATCAGGTGATAATTTCCCAACTCTCTTGATCCAATCTGTACCAAATTCCTTAAAGATAAGGACATTTGAATCCGATAAGGCAGCTATCTCGTTCGCTGATCTTTGAGCACTCTCTAGATAGCTGTCTAAAATGGGGGAGGACATGAAGGATAGATGTTCAAATGATGTAACCAAAGTCAAGGCAGTAGATGTCTTGTTGATGATAAAGTTTGAATCGATAGGTTGAGAGGGCGGTAAAGGTTCCTTTAACATGTAATCAAAGATATAACTGACGGTAAGGGCATCTACAGGGGAATGTTCACCTGAAAGGCCACACATACCATTATTTTCAACCACTAATGTGAATGATTTATCATACCATCTATTATGACCATGACCAAGTCCCTGATGTCCGCATAATATCGTCTTTGTCCAAGACGCTCCATCAGTTCCATTTGAATGATCATCGAGGGCAACAGCAAATAAAGCTTGCTCAATGATTGTCAAATGAGTACGATGAAGCGATGGGTCTATCATTAAGAGATGATTACGAGCAATGGCCCAATTATCTCGCTGCCAAGAGGTAAGCAACCCAATAGGTGGGGATGGAGTTTTTAAGTGATGTTGAACATGTATGACCAAATCTAAAAGAGCTCTAACAAGACATTAATCTATGTGTGTGTGTGTGCTTAAAAAAAGCATATACATATATACATAGTATTATATTTACTTTTCAATTTCATCTACAGTAAGGAGAACCCATTGATTTTGAATTTGTTTATAAACGTCTAATTTATAAATCTGATCACGTAAAAGAACAAGAATATGATAGACCTTTGCTGAATCCGTTTGAACAAGTGTATCACAATGATATGCAGGTATACGAGTGACAGAAAATATACGACTGTATTGCCACATACATAAGGGTGATTTTTTATCTTTCATTATCATTTCTATCGGTAATTCCTGTTTATCAATGAATTCCTTGTATTGTAAACCACGATGAATTAGGTGAGCAGCTCTTTTAATTTGAAAGTTAGAGAATTGACCTTTTGTAATTGTTGACGTTAATTCTTTTGGTTGCCTAGGATCTGATTGACCCAAGATATACCAATTACTATTTACCATTAATGGATCTCTCCATTCCAAGTAAGCTACATTCAATAGATTAGATTGAGTCTATTTCAGAAAAGAAAAACACACAGACAGACAGACAGACAGACATCCTATCACATACCTTTCTTTAACCAAAAGTTATCTTCTAACCAATTTGTAGGAGAAACATGATCGATATCTATTAAACGTTGTTGAAGAGATTTGGATAAATCACTAGCTAAAAATTCAGCAACGATAGTTCTTGTCTTTTCATGTTCTTCAGTTGATTGAAGTGGTTTAACTGACTTCAAGTAAAGTGAGCATGTTTCCTCTAGAGAAGGTACAGGAAGTTTAGGCAAAGTATGTTGTAAACTGAATGTAGGTAGAGACATTTATTTAAAGAAAAAAAAAAAGAAAGGAAAATAAAACAAAAACAAAAAACGACCCTTTTTTTTATAAATATTATTTTTATTTTCATGTGAATAATAAACAATGTAATACGTTCACACATTTCCTTTGTTACATGTGATATTTGCAGTTTGGTGTTTTTTTCACATAAAACATCAATGCCCTTTTTCTTTTTTTTTTTTTTTTTTTTTTTTTTTTTTTTTAGAACTCAACTAAATCCAAGTAACAATGACAAATACATACTATAGCGTTCTTGGTCATGATATAACGGTCTATCTTATAGACTAAAGGAGTGAATATACTTTATTTTTCCTTATTCTTGTAGGGAGAAGAACAGTCCTATTAAAATGATACTAAGATTGAATAATAAGCATAAATTTATGAATATTTAATCCACGTTTCATGCGTATCTACTACGCCTTAAGTCAGAGTAAATTAAAACGACATTATAGATTTAGACCTATTAGTAGAATAAAGCAGAATAATACTTAATACGCATTTATTATTATTTTTTATTATTTATTATTACCAAAAAAAGGTTTTATCATGATTATTTTAAAGCAACAGATGATATCAAACTTGATTCGTCACAACATTTTTTATTTTACTATTTTATTTTATTTTTATTTTATTTTATTTATTTATTTATTTATTTTATTTAAACTAATAATGTTTAAAGATAGAACAACTGAATTTCATTCTTTATGTGAGCGTATTCGTTCTCGTTCACATGCAACTATTTCAGATAAGAGAGCCCTATTATCACCCGATCTTTCTAAAGAAAATCAAACATCCAAGAAACGTCTTCCACGTTCAGAATTTTCTTTAATGGCAGCTGAAATCAGTAGACAGATCACACACACAGCAGGGAAATTAGAAAAATTAACAAAATGTAAAGAAAACAATGATTATGTATGATTTCTTTCTTTCTTTCTTTTTTTCCTCCTAATTACCTTTTTATAGTGGCCAAGAGAAAGACTTTGTTTGATGATAAACCTGTCGAGATTAATGTAACTAAAATGCGTTTCATCAATTAATAATTAAATTAATGACTGATTTTATAGGAATTAACATTTATTATTAAACAAGATATTGCAAAGTTGAACAAACAAATCGCAATGCTTCAAGATTACACTAAGCATCAGAAGCAAAACTCAAAACAAGCAACCGAACATACATCAAATGTGGTTGTAGCTCTCCAAAGTAAATTAGCTGATACCTCTATGAGTTTTAAAGATGTATTAGAAATACGAACAGAGGTAAAGATTCCTTATTGACATTCAAATAAAGGCTAATCTTTCTCGCTTTCTATTTTTTTTTAATATAGAATATGAAAATATCAAAGGACAAAAGAGATCAATTTTTGTTTTCAACTATGGAACAAACAGCAGATACTGGATTAGGTAATATATTTTTTTTTAATAAAAGAAATAAGACATAATTAATTAAAATCTATAAAGTCAATTCACCTTTAATGAAATCACGCCGTCGTGGAGCAATAGAAGAGGAAGAAGAAGAAAAGAAAGAACAAGAATCAACATTATCACTTGGTATACCTATGATAACTCAACAACAACAGCAAGAAATGATGATTTTGGAACAAGATAGATATATTGATCATAGATCCTCTGCAATTGAAAGCATCGAGAGTACAATTGCTGAATTAGGTGGTATTTTTCAACAATTAGCTACCATGGTAGCAGAGCAAAGAGAAACCGTACAAAGGTAAGTAAAAAAAAAAAAAAAAAAAAAAAAAAAAAAAAAAAAAAAAAAAAAAAAAAAAAAAAATAGTTGAGTTCAAAATATTAACATCTTTATACACATAGAATCGATCAAAATACAGATGACATTGAAATGAACGTCATGGGAGCACAACGAGAATTATTAAAATATTATACAAGCATTAGTTCGAATAGATGGCTATTCATTAAAATATTCGTAACAATTGTAATATTCTTTTTAATATTCACTTTTATTATGTAATAAAGAAAATAGAACTTTAGTATTCAAATTAACTTTTGTGGTAATATAAAAAGGAATTAAAATTATTGCTCATTTATATATAATTGCTAATTTAAAATTTAATAATAGTGAAAAATTCAATATCTTTAAAAAGTTAATTCATTATTAGCATAAGTAGTAGTAACTTCGTGACTCTAATTTTTTCGTCATTTTTTTTTTTTTTTTTTTTTTTTTTTTTTTTTTTTTTTTTTTTTTCCTTTAATTGTAGAATTAAGCCTAAAAAAAACAAAATGTATTACAGCCCTAGCAATAATAATAATAATAATACTCAACATACAGATAATAATAATACAAATTCACAGTTTTTCAGTCAAACATCATTTAACCCATCTTCAATTGAACAATTACCAACAGAAGTCTTCAATAACCACTATTACGATCCTACTACATTATTAAATGAACCTTTATTTAATACCTCTCAATGGGATTTTAACAACAATTCATCCCAAAAGCAATTAGACTCACAAGATGCTATTCTATTAACTGATCCTAATTTCTTACGTCAACAACAATTGTTGCAGGATCAACAAAAAGAAATGCGCTCTCGTTTGTTACAACATGATCAGCCCGAACAAGTTTCGAATCTGACTGCTCTACTTGAACCCAATGACCAAGATAAAGCTAGTCTATCATATCCATCACAACAAAAGCGTAGTCAAAACCGACGCCATCAAATCGTTGGAAAATCAGAAGAAGCTGACAATAAAGTGGATCACCAACGACGATTTAATGAACTTCAAGCACGGTTCCGAATTAATTATGCACGTAAATCGTTAACTCAACAACAAAAGACAAATACTGCAAAAACAAGTAAAAATACAACAGATATAAATGAAAATAAACCAGTTGCTACAAAACCAGAGCCGCCTCCAAATACTTCTCCTATCGCAAGCCCATCTACACCACCTGTCATCATTATGAATACAAATAATCTAGAAGAGTTTCCAAAAGAACACTTGTCTTCTTCATTTCCTTCACGTACTATGCCTATTCAAATCAAACGTGTATCTCGTTCTAATATTATGCAACAAATGGATCCAGAGTCTTATCAAAAGCAACTCGATAGTCAACTGGATAAGATTGATTTTAATGATATCACAGTCTCAGAATTAAAAGAATTACTAAGACAAAGAGGTAAACCAGCAACAGGTAAAAAAGCAGTCTTACTACAACGATTACAAGAGGAACGTGAACTGGCTAAAGGAGGTAGAAGTCCTAGTCGAGTTATATCAAACCGTCATTCACAACCTTTACCATTTTCACGATCTCAAAATGAATTACCACAGCAGCAAAGACCACGTTCATTCCAAGCAAGTTCACCAGTTATTATCCCTAATAATAGCTCTGAACCAGTTGCTGCATCCTCTGTACCCACTTTTCTATCACCTGGTTCTCCTAGTGGTCAGCTTCATAGATCGATTGCCAATATGCATATCGGGTCACCACCTACTGCAACTAGACGGTATTCACCTTATTCTCCTAGATTGAGTAGTAGTAGTAGTAGTAGTTCACCTAAAATTAATTATGAATATTCTTCATCAGTCCCTTTATCATCATCACCCATTCACCACCAACCTGTTATAAACAAGACCAATAACAATAATAATAATAATATTAGTAATAGTAATAGTAGTAGTAATAATAATAGTCATAGTAATAATAATATGATGTTGTCATCGTCTTACTCAGTAACAAGGCCACCAAATCGGTACTATAATAATCAAAAATCATACAAGCCATTTACGTCTTCTGCTTTAGCTACACCTGATCGAGAAGAAGATATCAATCCATTTGATAGCTATTATAGAAACGATCCGCCTATCAAAGAAGAAGAATCTACTGATACCAATTTGAATTTAAATACAATAAATATGGATTATTGGTCAGATCCAGCTATACTTGATTTAATATTACAACAAGGCATGTACTAAGTTGAAGACTTAAAACATAGATCTAACAGTATTTGTAATAGGTACTCATAATATGAATACTGCAGAGATGATTGGTCAACCTCTCTACAGTGATGATATTGTCTTGACAAATGAACAAATTTTGGCTTTATTAAATAGCCAACAATCTTATAATTTTAAACTAGACGATAGCTACCTAAATACACACCAACATAACAGTACTAGTTAATATCCCCACCCCACCCCTTTATAATAATAATAGATAAAATAGCCAATAAGATTTCCTTTTTTTTTTTAATGATGATGTTTTTAATCCGAAAAAAAAAAATCCTTTTAACTTATCATTATCGGAATGTTATTAATAATCATTGAATTATAACTACCAATCAAAGTTGATCGATTGCACAATTAGTAATAATTTCTTCAAAAAAAATAAAAAATAACAGTAATGAAAAAAAAAATTGAGTTCATATAAAAAGCGCGTTTATTTTATTTTACCTATTTTTTTTTTTTTTTATTATTTTACTTGACTTTATTTATTTATTTATTTAAAATGACTCACCACGAACCCAAGAACCTCGAAGAATTCAAGAAGTTGATTAACCAAGATAAACTTGTTGTTGTTGATTTTTATGCTACCTGGTGTGGTCCTTGTAAATTGATTGCTCCCAAGTTTGCCAAGTTCGCTGAAACCTATTCTGATGCTGTCTATGTCAAGGTTGATGTTGATGAAGTTCCCGTAAGTTATATAAATATGCATATGTGTATATGTTTATAAAGAGGGTAAGAGAATAAAGTGGTATTGATGTTATTTTATTTTTTTTTGGGTTACAGGACGTTGCCTCTGAATATGGAATTCGTGCTATGCCTACCATCATGTACTTCAAGAATGGTGCAAAGGTTGACGAAGTTGTTGGTGCCAATGTTGCTGCCATTGAGAAAAAGATCAAGGAGCTTCTTTAAATTATTCACAAATAAACAAGCAGAAAAAAGAAAAGGTTATTGAGTATTTTGTGCTATTTTTTTTTTTATATCCATGTAATAAATTAATAAAGTTTCAAATGTAAGAAAAAAAAAATTATATTTTATTATAAGGAAAACCGAAGATTATGTTTTCTTTAAATTCGTTGAGTAAAATGTATAAGAGATGGGAAACGTAATTAATTGTTAATTTTTTTTTTTAAGAAAAAATAAACTCATTTTCAAATCTTTGAATGACTAATGATCTTGCATAGTTTTTGTTTAATTAACATCATAAGCCATAAGTAGGTTTTTTTTTTAAACAAAAAAAAAAAAAAATTGATAATGTAATATTTTAAATATAATGATAATAAAGATACGTAAGACAGAGTAGTCATGCTTAAAATATTCTAGAAAAAAAAATGCATATTTTATTTTGTAATGCTATCAAGATTGAACCAGATGATAATAAGCTCTATGTTATTTTATTTTTTGACATATTAGTAGAAAGCTTAAAGGCCCAAATGGTTTATCTTTTTCGGATAAGTAGAAAAAAAAACTAATAATACAAAGATTGCTTATTTTTGGTGAAGGGAAGATCCTTAGCTTTCCAGATAGCAAGGGCAGAAATGTTCATTATGTTTTTAGAAGCATTGGCATCACGTTGCGAGAGTGTTTTACAAAGGAGGACACTACTACTATCGTTGTGCATTTCATCTAAGGATCAATTATATTGTTAAATAAGTATGTCAAGTTAAAATATTCTACTTACTTCATTTTTTTTTATATAATAGATTTCCATCTTCCTTTTTCTTTTTTTTAAATAGTATAAAGGACAGCTTTAAAATTGATACAGTCCGGCTGCTGGATATTGTCGGTTACAAAAAAAAAAGCAATTGTCGGTCGCAGAAAAATGAAATTGGCAGTTGTAAAAAAAAAATGGTCTTTGGTTAATGCAAAAAACAAATTGTCCAGTGTGCCTTGAATGATGGCCTATTTTTAAATAGTTAGAGTGCCGCCTTTTGCATGAGTTATCGTTGGATATTACCGCTATCGCTATCTCACACTCTAATCTAATCTTTTCAATCCTCGCTTTCGCTCGTATAGAAGCTTCTACGTTTTTTAGGGTTTACCTTTTGTCTATAGAAAAAAAAAGAAGTACCAATGAAGGCAATAAATGCCAATGAAGACAGTTAGAAATATCAACAAAGACAGTAAATGCCAATGAAGACAGTTAATATCAACAAAGACAGTAAATGCCAATGAAGACAGTTAATATCAACAAAGGCAATAAATACCAATGAAGACAGTTAGAAATATCAACAAAGGTAATAAATACCAATGAAGACAGTTAATATCAACAAAGGCAATAAATACCAATGAAGACAGTTATAAAGAAAAGAAGAAGTGGGAAAAAAAGAAATACCCTCAATTTACTTATCGATTCATCATCCTTCAGTGATGTGACTGTTATACCTACATATACATTATTTTGCAACCAAGTTTCCGCTTTATACTAATGCGTGTTGCTGCATTTTTTTTTAATATCTTTTTTTTAATATATTTTTTTTAATATATTTTTTATTATTATTATTATGCACGATGCACGTTCAAAAATAAAAGCAGCATGAATTTTGATATACCCCAAATGTTCCCCTTATTCTTTTCTATCTTCAAGTTAAAATCTTATGTCTAACCGCTACTACAAATCACGTCGTATTCAAACGCGTCAACTGTGTGTTAAAAGCAATAGATTCCAGAACTCCGAAGCAAGAGATCTAGAAGAATTATTTCAAGAATGGAATGGGATAATTCATATATGTAAAAAACCAGAATCGGAGTAAGGCTAATCAGTTTCTTTTTTATAACTGCTATTAACAGCCTATTATTTTAGCCGTACTTATGTATACTTTTCAAGTTGTAATGAATGTAGTCGTTTCTACAACTAAGTTAATAGAAATAAACCATTATTTATTCAATAATAAGGAGGCTATTCAAACAAAGCTTGTGTACTGTACTTCACAGCATAATGTTCATTATATAACATTCAGTTTCAATAGCGATCATTGTTAGAGTATTCGAGCGCTAAAAATAATATTATCTAAGAATAAGAATTCAATAGGATCATGACCTTTATATTCAATTACATAATTATTTATACAAGTCATACATATTATATACACATCTACAATATTGAATATTATTATGTAATGACAACTTAGAGAATGATAATAACAATAGTAACATATATATAATTGGTATTGGTATTGATTATAACTGGAATATTCACTGTGAATTAATATTAACGCTTTGCTCAACCCTGAAATAATAACTGGGTATATCGTTAATAACAGCGACAGCTCAGGGAGAAATATGCATACCGCATACAGAATTATTCGGAAAAAAAATTTGTGCATAAAGGCTATATTATACCAGTATTCACTTAACCAAATCATACTTCCATTAATATCACTTACCTTGCAAAAAAAAAACATATAGATAGCCTTTGCCATTTTCTCCATATTATTTTTTCTTTTAATACACTATACAGAGTTTTCACAGGCTTGTCTTTTCTATATTCTCTTTCCTTATCTTTTGCATTTAAAACAATATAGACAAGTTCATAGTGCTTTAGCTATTGTTTAGATGTAGATATGTGTACTAATATGACAGAAGTTATATGCAGATCACCATACTGCTGGCTTTCCAATGTTCAATCCCTCAAACTTAGCAGTTAACTGATCTAAGGCCTGATCAACATTGATAGAGGGCTTCTTGTCTAGTAATGCTATCACAAAGCCTTAGTGTTCTTCATTTAACTTCTTGCGGTCGCCTCGAGTTTTAGGTAAGAAAAACGAATCTGGATCATTCCAGTACTAATTCACCCAACGCTGACTTGTTATCTCATGAATATTATATATATTTTCTCGCAACTGACATATTTTTTTAGGTGATTTGGCTAGCATATGCAAAATAAAGTTCATTATCATAATCTGAGTAGTTGATATGCTCCTTCTTCTTCTTAACCAGTAGAGTATCCATGGTGAGCTCTTCTAAACTTTGGGATTTGCTTGCCAACTCGGGTTCGAAATATTTCTATGAAGTAACCGCCTTTAAAATGGACTTACAATACAACGGACAATATCGAATGATTGAGTTGATAAGTTTTTTCGTTGTAAGAAATAACATTGATGACTTTATGCTTGTTCCAGGTATCATAGAGAAGATGTATCAACTCCAGATAAAAATATAATATTGATTCAACAATTACCCATGCAAAATGTGGCATTCTAACTATTTAAAAATAGGCTATCATTCAAGGCACACTGGACAATTTGTTTTTTGCATTAACCAAAGACCTTTTTTTTTTTATAACTGCCAATTTCATTTTTCTGCGAGCGACAATTGCTTTTTTTAAAGAGAACTTCGATTTATAGTTGGATAAATTTGCTATAAACGAAGTTAATGAATAGTATTTTCCTATTTTCAGTATACACCCAAAACGTCAAAGTCAGTTCATTGCTTTGGCGGTCGATGATAAAGAATTGAGCAAATCAGATGCCATACAAAAAAAAAAAAAAAAAAAAAAAAAAAAAAAAAAAAAAAAGACATTGTCTGAATTTAAAGTATTAATAACTCTGTCATCCTTATCAGATTAAAATAAAAAATTATTGTCAATCAAGAAAAATTCATAATTTCTTTTAGGACTCTTGGATGATAAAGACTTTTAAAAATATAAATATATATATATATATATATATATATATATATATCAAGGATACGGGTAGATTAAGATTATGAAGACTATAACTATCTTGTTACCATAATAAAAAGTATCTATTGTACAAATGAAGGAAATGATATTATTAGGGAAACAAGAAGAAATAATAATGCTCTATATTTGTCAGCATTGCGTAGTAATAGGAGTAGTATTGTGCATGTGTTATATCCATCATCATCATCAGTAGCTTTCTAAGATTAAAACTTAAAATCCTTAATGAATTGTTTGAAAGCTTCTTATCTATATTTACCTCCTTATTTTTAGATACTTTTAATATATATATATATATCATAGGAGTGGGGTGACCTATTATGTTTTATATATTGGTAATATAACATGGTCAGATAATATGTAATGAAAAAGAATAAATTATTAGGGACTAAAAAAGTATGTACTGCAAATCTTTTATGCTTTATTATTTATTCTTATACATGATTTTTTTTTATTTAGCTGTTCAATAGATATATAAATGTTTAAAGTATGAAATATACATTATATTATCCATCAAGTCTTGCCTGAATCAATATACTCTTAATTAACTTTCTCCATCGAATCATTACATCTCTTTTATGTTCCTCAATAGCTTTTATAGCTTTATCTTTCTCATATTCCTCCCATGCCTATATCATATATTTATAAGTTTAAATATTCAAAAAAAAAAAAGCTCATAAATTGATTTACCTCTAATAAAATCCATTGCTGTTCTTCTGCTACTAAAATGCCATTTGTAACAGGAACAGCTCTCATTTTCACAAAATCAAAATCAACCTATTGTAGAGTTTTAGTTATCAGTTAAGTAGTCATTTTAACTCTAATACTTACCACAGCAACTGCATAATCAATTCCTAATTTTTTTGCTATCTTTTCGATACCTTTAACTAGATTTAAGATAATGAGTCAAAAAAAAAAAAAAAAAAAAAAAAAGGCTAAATGACACTAAATGCTTACCAGGTATATGCGCCGCTCCTTTGGGTAACATGGAAGGTGTAAAAAGATCAATGTTACCAAATCGATTTTTAGGTAATACGCCCTATTATACATATATATATATAAATTAATCTCGTAAAGTTAGATCAATTATCATTGTTCTTTCTTACATTCACTACTGGAGGTGGTATATAAGGCTCAGTTTGCCATTCTCCATAACAAGCTACCATAAGATCCCCTCCTTCTTGTTTCGCTAGTTCCTTTAGTCGCTTCTTTTCTATAGTAACTGCATTTGCTTTAACCATCTTGATTGGTTGTTCTCCTTCTTTGATCTTTTTTCCTTGTTTATAATACTGCTCAGATGTACTCACCATCTTTACACAAGATCTAGGATATATTTTTTCTCCTCGTATAGCACCTAGTATTGGATGTTTAGGATAAATCACTTCAAATTTAAGAAGATGGCGTTCAAGTGCAAAGAGTGGATGATTTTTGAACCCACTAATAGATGTAGGCATGACTTCCTTGAGACTTTGATTCTCTAAATCTTCAGCCTCTAATTGATCTCGCTCTGTAAGCCTTGGTTTGTAACAAATAACGGACAAAAGTCGCTCAGACCATAACTGGATTCCTCCATTTATTTCTCGTCTTGTCAAAGGTCGATCACGCACTCGATTCACTCTTTCCATATTATAAGTATAACGTCTAGTCACATCTGTAATATACTCTTCATGATCGAATGCCAATACAAACGATAATTTATTATCTTGATCCGAAGATGCTGGTTCCATCCATGTTGGTTTATCAATATGTCCTCGAATGGGATCTATACATATCCAGCGCTTTGTCTCTTTACAATAGACTTCTGCCCATACAGTAGGTGGCTTCCCTTTTGGATTCTTTAATTTCACATTAGGATCCACATAGGCCCTTGGTCGTACTCGAAAGTTAAATAAGGGTTTAGATTCATTTTTGTCCTCATCATTTATGGTTGGAGTTGCATTCTGACTCTTATTGACTACTGGTACTTTATAAGATATAGGTTGTAGAGAAGACACAAGACGGGTATCATATCCGCAAGACCTTAATATTGACACAAATAATTCAGCACTTGTATCTCGTGTACCTGATAATGTCCTTTTAGAAGAACTTATCATCTGCTTAAATGTACTCAAGTCTTTAATATAATCTCCATCTTTATTTGATGTATGATTCTTCTCAATCCATTCTTCCAATGTTTTATAGCCCTCTCTCGTTTGCTCATAATAATTGTAGTTTTGAGTTAATAAACCTGGGCCTGTCAACTCAAATATATCATTATTCCACCATTTTAAAAGTGCTTGAATGCCTTTCTTTAACGATTCTTTTGACTTGTTATTTTGAATTCGTTTTATATGCTCAGGGATAATAGAATAACATAGCGTCTATACATATATATATATATAAATATTTCAGTAATCATGTATATATATTAACAAAAAGAAACAAAAGGAAAAATAAAACAAAAAAACCTGCAATTCATTATTTAAGCACCATCTATTACGTAATTTATAATGGGCTATCAGCAAAACAACATGACTATGATGCATCCACTCATGTAAAATACGCTGGTATGACCTTTCCCAGTGTGATTTCCTATATCTGTATCATTAATAACAACAGCATGAATACATATATATTTATATGTATATATGTGAATCTGTACTTTGAAACAGGTCTTGGAGCTTGTTCCATAACGATATCAATATCCTTATAAGTCATAGTGTCCATGTCTGTCTCATGATCAGATTGAGAATGAGGTAAAAGAGGTATAGTCTCCCAATCAATATCATCATCCGATTCATCGTCACTATATCGACTTGTTTCATCGAGACCTTGTTGAATACTTTCAGTCTCTTGAAGAACATTGTTTGGTGTTTCAATCATCTTTTTCTTTCCTTTTTTATCAATACTACTACTACTACTCGTTGTCCGATCTTGATCATCGATCCACTCTTCTTCTAATTCTAGTTTAGGCTTTTTATTATTATCTGTAACTGAGATTGCTTTTCTTTTCTGAGTTGTGGATTGAGTGATGGGGGATTCCTTTCGAGTCTTCATTTGAATGTATTAGAAAAAAAAAAAAAAAATGAAACAGGATCACTGCGCATTAATTCATTTTTTTTTAAGGAAAAAAAAAAAAAAAAAAAAAAAAAAAAAAAAAAAAAAGCTCTAAAATCCAGATAAAAGTTACTTTTCTTAACAAAATATTTATTTACTTTATTATGTAATATGTATATTATTAATTCGTCGTTATATATTTGTATGTGAATATATATGACAAAAAAAATCCTTTTTTTTTACAAAAAAAGTAGCCAGTTTTTTATATGATACAGGAGTTTTTATACATATATACACCCACTCCTGTGGGAAAAATAGAGAAAAAAAGGAACTATATAATATCGTGTTGATTATCGTCTTGTTGTTGTACAATGCCCAACTTTTCTACTTCTATTTATGTAAATAAAAAAAAAAAGGTTAAATACACCACAATTTATCTGGTCTTTTTCCTTTAATATTTACTTTGAATAAGATGTTTTCCGTAGGTATATTTCTTTAATGACTGTAAATGAGGTCTAATTTTGTCAAGTAATATTTCACGTTGATCATCATCAACAACGTCCAACATTTTTTGAACAACGTAATTAGCATATTGATCTTTCATCATAGTAATGAGTGGATATGTACTAGTAGTAGTAATGAATAATGAATAAGATAATTCAGCTTTTTATATATATATGTGTGTGTGTGCTATTATTTATTTACCCATCAGATCTGGTTTGAATGACTTCTTCAATTAAACGTTGTCTATCTTCTTTACTTCCATAATCGACACATTTCTCTACAACATTGCTAGCAAATTTATGTTTACTTAATGGTAAGATCTGTCCTAAAATCTTATCTACAATCTTTGTCTTGTCTTCTGGATGACCTCTTTCAAGTATATGTTGGATTACATAATTACCATATTGATCTTGAACAAGTTGATGAGTACATCTATGTAGCTCTTCTAAAAGAGGTTCTGTTTGAGCATCTGTACAATGTTCAAACATACGTTGAATAACACGACATCCATAAGGATGAGTAGCTAAATTATAGACTTGTCCATGGAATGCATCAATAATAAATTGAATATGTTGCGCCGGTACTCTTTCAATTGCCTTTTGAATAACGTGATTGCCATTTTGATCTTTAATGCATTTTAATACACAGCCATCAAGTTCACCCACTAATGTAGCTTGTTGTTCTGTCAAGACATGTTCAAGTGCCTTCTGTACTACTCGACACCCATACATTTGAAGTGATAAAGATAAGACATGGCCTTCCATTTGTTTTGCCAAAATAGACTTTTGCATTTGATTACCATGTTCAAAGAATTTTTGAAGTACATAATTACCAAAGACATCTGTCATAAGTTGTAAAGCATTAGGAAGGACTTCTTCAAATACCATTTGTTTCTCTTCACTATTCGCTGTCTCTAATTTTTGTTGAATAAACCTAGATCCATGTTGATCTCCGCTAAATTCAACAATGTGACCTGCAATATCTTTTAATTCATATTTTTTATTTTTTGAATTTCTAAATTCTTCTAAAAGCATAGAACGCATTGTAAGGTCCTGTTGTGAAGAAGGAGAAGAAGAAGAAGGTCGCGTATCTTGTTGTCGTGTACGACCGTTGTTATACATACGATGTTGCTGCTGTTGCTGTTGCTGCTGCTGCTGCTGCTGCTGCTGCTGTTGTTGTTGTTGTTGTTGAAGTAAGAGTTGCTGTCGAGCAGCCATTAATTGTTGCTGTTGCTGTCTAATCAAAATTTGTTGTTGCTGTAATTGTAAGGCACGAAGTTTTTTATCTGTATCACTTAGTGTATCCGCCATTGGGAATCCTGTAGAATCATAAGAAACTGGAGCAGTTAAGGGACCTTGTCTTTGACGAATATGATAAACAGAAGATAAATCTTCATTTGCCCATTTAGTATTATTACTTGTACCATTCGTAGTAGGATATTCATTCCCTAAAGCTAATATTTGTAATCGTTATATATATATATATATGTTATACGTTATATATAATATTTACCATCATTCACATAATAAGGATATTGCTGTCTCATTTGATGGTTATTATAACGAAGGTAATCTACTTCATCATGAAGACCTAAACTATTAAACTGTTTCATCAACATATCATCAGATGAATCATAATTATCATTAGTAACACGATTCGTTGGAGGTGTTGAATTTGAGCGACCAGGAGATAGTGTAGACCTTAAAGCATGAACCCTAGATGACACAGGTGGATGATCGAATTGTTGAAAACTTTCATAGATTCTATTCACTGGTGGTTCTTGTTGAAGGTTAAACATGGGTGAAGGTGTACGAGGAAAATCCTAATAGGATAGATAAAAAGAAGATTTAGAATGTAAAATCACATATCTAAGGGGAGTTTTTTTTTATTTTACCTGTTGAATAATATCAACTAATTTTCCTTTACGATTTAGTAAATCATTACTATCGATCTGTTGCTGATAAAGATGACGAATATCATTCTTTTCTTGACCAGGAATAAATTCTATGCAGGAAATTAATATCTACATGTATACATAAAGTTTCTCACTCTCTCACTCTCTCACTCTCTTTTTTTTTTTCTTTACCATGATCTATACTTTCATCGTTCCACAATTTCCAAGCTTGACTAGGATCATAGGCAGAAGAAGCAATAGGAGGCTGTTGAGCCACAGAGGTAAGTTTTACATCACGTGGTCTTTGTAAACCCTGTATAGGAGGTGCACTACTTGAGCGATCATAAGTAGCATCATCATTAGGAAATAAGGATGACGCGCCAGAATGATTAAAAAGATCATAATCATATTCAGGTTGTAATAAAGCAGCAAGCTTATGTATATTATATATATTATATGTATATATGTATTTATATGTATGAATGTATGTATGTACATATTTGAAGATAAAAAAAAAATTAATAATGAATGCTTTATTAATTGGCTTAATTTTACCTGATGTTCTTGTGGACCATTGGTAGCCTGTGGCTGTTGTAAATTGCTTGTCTTTTTTGGAGACATGCCATCATTAATTAAACTCGGCATCATTTTTTTTTTTCTCTCCTTTTTTTTTGTTTTTGTTGTTTTTTTGTTTTTTTGTTTGTTTTCTGAATTAAAATATTTACAAATGTACAGAATTATTTATAGAAAAAAAAAAAGTACTTTTTTTTTCTGAATAAGGAAAAAAAAAAGAGAGATTATTTTACAAGAAGATGTTAATGACTTTTTTTTTTTTGTTTTGTTTTTACACAAAAGAAAGAAAATATAAAAATAAAATAAAACTGACTAAAAGGTTTATAAATTTTTTAATTATTTTTATTGCTCCGCACTGAAAATATTTCCTTTAAACAATAATTTTTATCTTTTAAAAATTAAGCACCAGATACGATTAAATATATACATGTGTATTTTTTTTTTTTTTTTAATAATAATAATAAAATAAACCCCCCCCAAATGAGCACATAGTACTAAAATTTTACTGTATTGCCCGGGCCAGTTCATAGAAAAAAGAAGCTAAAAAAAATCCTCTTAGGAAACAAGAAGTAAAAAGGGCAAAAGGAGAAAGAAAGAGTAAAACTCAAATGTAAGTAAGGGAAGAAAAGAAGCTATTCTGTCTGCATAGGAAGAGGCGGAGGGGAAGTAGAATCACGTTTATTAAAGACACGAGTTTTATAGAAATTTTCTCAAGATTAGGACGGAATATCTCTATGCTAAAAAAAAAGACCTTGCTGCTACGTTTTAGACGAGGGACCGAAGTTTGGAAGGCACTCTCAACGAGCGGTCATGCTGAAATTCTTATAGTTTCATTGTCTTTATCCGTTTTGGATAAATTGACACATTTAGGGTCTCGAAGGTAATTACGGTTGTAGGAGGAGGAAGTTGAAATCTGTATCTTGTTCAATATTGAATTTAGTTGATTCATCTTTAAATTCAAATATATAGTCAAAACGTATTAGGAAAGCGGCTGCATTGGTGATGGAGCATTGTATATCTAATATATGGGCATTGTTGACGCCTAGTTTTTTTTTTTGAGTTTGTTACGAATCGTATCTATGAAAAGGCAGATTTCAATAGAGAAATAAATAAAGGTAAAGCCTTGGTTAGGCAATGGGGACTAGAAAAAGCGAGTAGCCGATTCCAATTTGCGAGCCTGGTGCCTATGTTTATCACAAGAAAGAATGTTTTTAATGTAGGTGATTTTGGTGAGATCACGTCGAGAAGAAAGAATAGAATTTATAGTTGAGATGTGTGTAGGCTGTGAAGAAGGAGTAGGAACAGATGTAATGGCGGGGGAGGGAGGGGCGTTAGCAAAACTAAGTTATTCTGGACATTTTGATCTTGGAGTAAACTTTTTAGATTTTGGATCTCTTGCTGGGCGTCAGTAAGTTGGGAAGACAAATGGGAAATTTGTTGTCGTAGGGAAAAAAGTAGTTAATCATTACTGCTATCAATAGTTAGAGGGGTGTGGAGTTTATTAATAGGGATAAAAAGGAGGGGAATCAGTATCCATCGTATTAAATAAAGTGGTGTGTAGTTCGTAAGCGTGTATTTGCTGAGTGCAGGAGGAACATATGAATCATGTCTGTTTTGTAGACTTATGTCTGTAAAGAAAAGTTATTTTATTGCAGAGAGGACAGCTTATTTGCTTTTGTTTGCTGTGAAAGCTGTCAAAAGATCTCTCATTTGGGAAGGTGAAAGGTAGCGTTGTCGTTGTTGGCTTTTTATAAGAACTTTGATCGGATGACATTTTGAATCTAACTCGAAATAAATGTTTTAAACTAAAGGGATAATAGAGACTATAATATGTGTATGATCTTCTTGTCGAACTTTCCAAAAAAAAGATAATATTCAATAAAACAGAAAGAGAATTGAAATATTGAATACGTTTAAAATGTATATTTTGTTTATTAACAAAATTTAAACCCAATAAACACACTGATAAGTATATATCAATGAATTAAAAACCCTTAATGGGATCAAAAAGGGGGAATGGAAAGAGATATAAATAGTAGAATGGGTTTAATAATGAAACTATTAATTTATGCTCATTGAAGATGTATACATCCAATCGAGGAGCTTTTAACCTAAAGTTGTAAATGATGGCGACAGTTCTTTTTCATGTTGGAAATAATCCACTTCATATAACAAAAGTTAGATAATTGGTTAACGTATAGTCCACTGACTGTAATTGTCACAATGCTTAGTAGGGCGATTCTGTAGTATATTTAATAATAACGAAATAAGATCTGGTATGATAGGTGGTAGTTGAAGGCGGCGGAACATATTAAGATATTCAATGAAGTGCGTTTTTTTTTGTGAGAATTTAAGTAGGATGGCGGATGCAGAAAGTGGAGTAGTTGTTGGGAAGCTAGTTAAGGTGTCACTGGATGCACTAATCGCGTTCAATGAAAGGCATAGGTAGTCATAAGTTGGGATTAAGAGAAACAGAGGGACGACATTGTGAGATTAGCTTAGAATTTCGGAAGAAAGTCCGCAAATTGTTCAGGTTCTCTTGACGGTATTCAAGAATAGTTTTACCCAGGACTTTTTTTAATCAACTGGAGTAGGGCATCGTTCCCAAATTGGATTTAATTAGATGAATAGAAACCAAAGGGACTAACTGTTGTGCCGTTGAAGGTGTGGTAGAAGGTATATGAGGGGAGCATCATCTGGTAGGCTATTAGATTGAAGCAAGAATTTGGCTTGAAGGATATTAATACATTCATGTATGGTTGGAAGTTTTAACAGATAGGAAGTTATGCATGTCGATAAACGAGATGAATTACTAAAGATCCGACAGATGCAAGTCTTATGAGCAGCTTCATATTTATCAACATGAATTTTAGAACATCTAGTAATGGTTAGGTCATACTCTAATTGTGTATGATATTTGGGTTAAGAAAGAAAAGTAATAAAACAAACAGAGGGAAAATACGCAAGACTTGTTAATACTTTTATTAATATAAAAAAAAAAATAATAATATATCGGTCAAAAGCTGACTGAGAAAAAAGAAAATCATCTATATAAAATGTCTGTTATTTATACTTTTTGTATGGTTGTCTTATTAATGGCTCATCCGTCTGAGTTATATATTATTACTCTTTACACTATATTAGTTTGTATAGTCGGAATACATATTGTTAGGGTGAAGAATCCAATATAAACAACAGTTGTAATGGATACATATTTATTTCTATTACTTGTTACAATTTATTTTAATTTTTTATATACGGTAATGTATTATATGAAGTATAGTTTATGCGTATTGACAATCATTTATATTTGATTCAACAGCTGAATTATAATTATGATTAGCGACACCTTAGCTTCAGCTCTAAAATTGCTCATTACTGTATTTGTATTAATACCAGCGCTGTGTATGAATATTTTTGCTTAATTTTAACGTTCAACTTTATTTGTGTACATAACAATTATATGTGATTACTATGCTTTTCTTTTTTATTATATTACGCGCAAATACGATATCGTCCACAACTGCTATCATTCAGATTTCCATTTTAATCTCCTTTTCTTTATTCGCTACACATTAAAATCCTACTTCTTCTCCTCCGTTCCTAACCATTATCCGACGAGATTTTACGTGATCCGTTCAACTATCCATCAATATGAACTACCTCCTATATGCTGATAATGTGGTGCTAATAGCTCATTCTGAAAATGTACAGACCCTACTGTTTCTATGTGAACAGCATAGTCTCGAACTCGGTTAACATTAGAGTCTAAATGTGTAGTCCCTGACCTTCACGATGATCAGTCTTCTGCTATATACTCTTTGTATGTTACTCCTTTGTCGACACAAGGTCAATTTCCATATCTAGATTTAATGCTCATTAAACCAGGTAGATATTTGGATCCTGTAGTTTTAGTCGAAAGTAATATCACTAAAGCTCTTCAAACTATAAATTAACTAGCATCTATAAGTTTTGATCAGTTGCTAGCAGTGCATTTCTATTCACAAATAGTATATCCCCAGTTATAACATGAATTAGCTATCCAAACCTTAAATGACGGACTTCCCAAACAACTTGATACTTGTTAGAATACAAATAAACGACTGCAACACGTATATTGCCTTTTATAGCATTGATTAACATAAATATATATGATGTCATGATACTATATACGAGATATTGTGGTTTGTGATATAGAGTTGTTGCTGTAGTTATCAGTAGAGGTGATGGTGGGAAGCTAAATCAATCTGTTTTAATTAATAACTATAAATAACATGTGTTCTTCTTTCTTTACCCTGCACATTTTTATATGCAAAAATAGAACTCCGATGAGCAGAAAAATCGCCAAATCTAGTAGTATGTGGCAAAAGAAATAATAAAGCCAGTAAATAGACTATGGGGAAAAAAAGAAAAACTCTCTCTTTTTTTTTTTTTTTTATCTCTTTTCCCCCTTTTTTTCTTTTTATTAAAAAAAAAATGAGTTTAATAAATATTTCGAATGATGATGGAGAAGCAATTGTTGGCATTTTGAATAAAAAAACAATGGATAAGATTATTTTATTTGTTCATGGCGAACAAGGTTTGATTAATTATTGAATGAGGAACGAATAATAATGAAAAAAATTGGATGATACTAAGTTTTGTTATAGGTCATAAAGATAGTCTTTATCAAGTTGACTTGGCAGATAGTTTACCTTTAAGTACATTTCGGTTTGATCTTCATGGGCATGGAGATAGCGAAGGAAAAACAGGCTATGATCATATTAAAGTAAATAAAGAAAAAAAAACAAGATACTTCCTTTAAACTATTTTAATAGAAAAATACAAAAGATATTTTTGTAGTGGCAAATTATTTCGAAAATTTAGGCTATGATATTTTTGCAATTATTGCATATGGAAAAGGTACGATTATTGGTTATATTCTTTACTTATACAATGAAAATATATAGGTTCTTTAAGTGGTTTAAAATATGCAACTAGTTGTGATAAACCATTATCACATTATATTAATATATCTGCTCCTTTTATAAACAGTGATACTTATTATACAACTAATGTAATTATCCTTTATGTGATATAATAGCATATAACAATAAATATCTTGATAGGATTGGAAAGTATATCAAAGAGGACATTATGTTACATGCAAGATAAATGAAGAAGATATAAGTAATTTTAATGCTTGGGATAATACACATGGTATAAATATATATATATATGTATTTATATGCTTATTAGTATAATAATAGTAATCGTGTATTATATATAATAAGTAATTCATATGCCAAAAATAACGTGTGTTCATACAATTCATGGCATTGATGATGAGGTAACATTCTTAGTACTGCTATACTTATTACTAATAATAAATATTTTTTTTAAAAAGATTGTACCAGCTTATCATGCTGCTATGTATGCTAATCATATATCAAATCATACATTGACTTTAATACCAAAAGCAGATCATACTTATAAGAACCAACTTGATGTACTAATTGATACTATTGTTAAGCATTTTGAAAAACATCAACAAGATGCATATTTAAAAGCATTTTTAATGGGGCAGCATGTTAGTGTTTGTATTCCAAGATGGATTGATGTACCTGGAGTAAAGAATTTTAGAGATATTGGAGGATGGCCAGTGAAAGATGGTAATGGATATATCAAAGAAAGAATTGTATTCAGATGTGGACAGTAAAGTAAAACTATATATATATATATACATGTGTGTGTGTGTGTGTGTGTGTGTGTGTGTAAAATGATATATAAAATGTCTAAATATGAATGTGCAGTCTTGTAGATATTACAACAATGGGAATTAAAGTCTTAAAAAGATTAAATGTAAGTGCAGTCTTTGATTTTCGATCTGATCCAGAAGTTGAAAGACAAGGAGTGATGCCGTAAGTAAAAGAAAGTGTAACTAATTATAATCATAATCATAATAAATATATTTTTATTAGAGATATTGAAGGTATAACTCATTATCCATCAGCTATGTTTACAAAAGCAGATTATTCTCCTCAAGCATTAGCTACACGATGGAAAGGATATTTCGAAGGACCTTATGGATTTCCAAAGGTTTACAGTATCATCCTGGAAAAGGGAGCACCTTACTATAGAAACATATTAATTCATTTAATTGAAAATCTATCTACTTCTTCTACAAAATCCATTATTGTTCATTGTACGGCAGGAAAAGATCGAACAGGTATCTTTGTCATGTTATTGTTGGGATTATGTGGAGTAGATGAAGAGATTATTGCAAATGAATATGCTTTAAGTAATCTTGGTTATTGGGGTATGTATATGCAACTAAGTAAACCAAAAGTTGTTGAATACCTAATTTAATTTTATTTAGAGCCTGAACATGAATTACAAAAAAAAGCAGAAATGTTAAATGTGACAATCGATGATATGCTTATGGTTATGTCTGCTCCGTAAGTTGTATATAAAATTTTTATTTATATAAATATACATATATAAATATATATATATATATTTATCGTAATTTATATTGTATTATCTTTACAAACAGTTACCTTGCTATGAAAGAAACAATTCGTCAATTAAAGGAAAAGTATGGATCTATTGAAGGATATATTCGTGAAGCATGTAAATTAAATACAGAAGAAATTCAAAAAGTGAAAGATTTGATGATTGTCCCTATTCGATTTGAGGAACGTCAGCTATTTAGACCAAAGATTTAGTTTTTTTTTTACTTATTAATAAAAGACCCTAAGTGCTGAAGAAGTTGTATTAATTAATCAATACAATATATGTCTTTTGTTGTATTTGTAATAAAGGCGAATAATAAATTAAATGAATATAAACAGCAACAAATTATAGTTTTTAAGATAAAATATGAATGATTTTGGCTGTATATCTAACGTGAATTTTTGTTTTTTTTTTTTATTTTTTTATTTTATTTTATTTTTTTTCGTCATTCATTCCTTGACTCTTAATTTCTCTCTCTGACTCTCTCTGACTCTCTCTCTGACTCTCTCTCTGACTCTCTGTCTCTCTGTCTCTCTGTCTCTGATTCTTTCTCTTTCTCTTTCTCTCCATTTTCCTTATCATAGTGTTGTAGCCATCAAGATATACATAAAGTAGTATGCAGATTCATCTTTATCAAACTGTAGATAAAAGTTTTAATACAACAACAACTCACTTAGCTCTTCAACTTCCAGAAATAGTTGGGCATATTTTATCTTTTCTAGTTCATTCGACTCATCATGAAGATACAGAATCAATAATCAAATCAAAATTATATAAAGATATTCATTCTTGTTTATTTGTCAATTCGCTTTGGCATGATTGTGCTAGTCGAATCCTTTGGCGTCATGTTCTATTTGAGGATACAAAGACAGACTATATGTCTTTTCTCAAGTTTGCTTGCACTATCTCTAATACACTGAATCTCATTGTTCAACCCAAGCCAATACAACAGCAACCTTCATTCTTATTTTATAAACGAAAAATTTATAAAAATGCGAATAGTAACCATACAATGAGACAATTAAAACAGCAATTTGATTTAAAACTAAATTCTTCATTCAAGCAATTTTTCCCCAAGGAAGATGATGATTCGATTATTTTTAATAGCCGATCCAATCATCATTCTTCTCCTTCTTCTTCTTCTATTATTCAAAACAGAAATGCCATTCGTTCATTCACACTTAAAAAGATCAAGGAAAAGAGAATTAACGAACCTTTAGAACATATAGGTCAATATATGCCCAAGTTGGAGAAACTTGATTTCTATATATGTGATCATGTATCGGATAAAAGTCTTTTTAGTTTTATTAATCATAACGCCGGCCATTTAACCTATTTGTCATTAGCGGGTTGTAATCGTATTACAGATGATGCCATATTAAGTGTAGCTCAACATTGTTCTAAACTAGAACATTTAGATCTTCGAGCTTGTGGGCATATCTCTGATGTCTCTATCAAAGCTATTGCTCATCAATGTCCTGAGCTTCGTCACTTAAATGTAGGTCGTGTGCGTGATCGAGAAAAGATTACCATTCAATCCATTCGTTGGATTGCCATATTGACAAAAATAGCTGTACTTGGATTAGCGGGTTGTGATATGACGGATGAATGTATGGTATTATTAGCCAAGATGCGAGGCTCAGGTCTTGAACGTATCTCTGTTAACAATTGTTATCAATTAACTAACAAAACGATACAAGCTTTTGTAAGGCATTGTCCTTATTTAACTGTTTTTGAAATGAAGGAGTGCCATTGGATTAATGACTGGCAATCAGTAGCTGAATTAGCAAAGCGTAAAGTACTCTTGACGTTATGTGAACAACAGAATCAAGCTTGTGTTGCCTGGGCTCGTCGAACAGGAAGGTCACTAGAAGTTAGAGCACCTATTAAATAAATAATTTACAATGTTTATTATTATTATTATTTTTACCACTCAAATATGATATATAGTCGTTGATTGGTTAAATAAGTATTGTGATTAAAAATCAACTAGTTTTTTTTTTTTTTTTTTTTTTTTTTTTTTTTTTTTTTTTTTTTGTCAATAATCTATTTGAAGCAGTTGATGAAGATGAGGAATCAAAAAAAAAAAAGCTTTTAAAAGGTCACACTGCAAGCAATGAGTACATCCTGTGTAGGATATAATCAAATTTTAGCGGTGATTTTTAAATGAATATGTATATCCAAAAAAAAAGTACACATAATATAATAAAGAGTTTTTATTAAATAGAAAAAGAAGTTTTATTAAATTGCATTCAATTTAATTTAATTTAATTTGCATTTCAATTAGATCATGTAATGTGTTGATTATTAATTTACTTTAATTTTGAAATGAAAAAAAAAATAATTGCAAATGTTAATTAAAGCAAATCCATTATAAGTGATTATGTACATTCGTTAACAATTAGTGAATTTAGAGAAAAATAAAAACCAGATTTAGTAATTATACAATTAATGTAGTTGTGTAGCAGAATTATTTTATTTTATTTTATTTTTATGTGATTTTTATTTAACAATGACCAAGATTAAGAACGTTTACAAATGCAAATGCTCCACAATCTGCTCAAAATAAATCCTGATGGTTTTGATGTAGTTTCAAGAGCCAGTTATTACAACCACATAAACAACGACATTCCTTTGTCCAATGAGGATAACATTAGTATATAATTTATTTTTGTTAGATTTAGATATTTTATCTATCCAACTAAATTTTCCCACTTTTCAAATTTATTTTTAAATATTTAGATTCTTCATTTGTTGACGACAACATGGATATCGATGATAACTATGAGGATGTTGGAGACGACTTTGGTAATTTTGCATTCTTTTTTTTTTTTTTAATTGTAGTATATTTCAAAAAATATGTATTCGTTGTCTATTTTATACGTTTCAATATTTTTAAATATACAGAGTTCGCTCAAATCGATGATGATTCTAACGAGGAGGAATCAAATGAAGGAGGTAATATAAAATGAAGTTTTAAAAATCAACAAGTATGATCAAATATATAAATATATAAATATATGATATATGTATATAGATGATCCCTTCATGAGATTCACAGATGAATCATGCAACTTTCTCATTACATTATGCAATAAAATCGTTATATCCAGAACATAGTAACACAGACAATCGAATGATCTTAAATATTATTACCTCCCTGAACTTGACACCCTTTATCATGAACTCTGATTGTACGGATGGTAGTAAAATTGAAGTTACTGCCCTTACCACACCAGCACAACATAAACGCATTTTAGATGTCAAGACCAGAGGAACCAAACGTGTTAAATTGGACATTCCTGTTAAGAAAGCTGTCATTCAGTCTACTGGTTGCATACATTTAAACAAAATATCCAACGACATAAGCTTTAATGAAATTATAAGAACAAGCGCATATCGCCAACTTTTAGCATTTGATGAATACAGACATATCACTGAGGAACATCTTGACATATTGAACAGCCACTGGAAGAAAAGCCCTTTTATGTACATGATGACGTGACAATTGCTGGCAGGTGCTATATTGGTTAATGGCAATCAAGCGCCTCTTTTGAACGGTGTGGAGTCATATAGTAACATATTCTTCCATCGACATTCATTTTGAAAATGTATCAAGTACACAAGAATCATCTATACCGTATTTATCTTCACAATATCTAAATAAGCTTAAAATAACAAATATCAATATGGATAAGTTGGAGAAACTAACACTTGGGTCTAAAACGATGAATTTATTAGTCATTTCCAGCATAAGAATTGACGATTCAAAACTAGCCCCAGAAATAGGACCATCAACGAAGAATATCACCCCTTCAAAAGATACACGAATATTTGTATCAACTTCATCTATTTATCTGGCAAATAAAATATTAAAAGATCCTAATAGCTTAAAACTTTCTGAGCCACTAGTACATCTTAGACAGCTACGATCTAAATTTCACCAGCGTAGTACATATTCTCTGGCCAGATGTTACGATTAAACAATAATTTTTATTTAAAAATACATGACCCCATTTGAGCACGAGATGTTATTAAATACATCAAATTTGCCCGGGCCGAATCAGTTTAAAGAGATAAGGAACGAAAAAACCTCTTTAGGAGCAAGAGGAAAAACGAAAAGGAAAGGAAGGGTGTGATAGGTGTAATGTAAAAATTATACAGGTAGTGTAGGAGAGGGAGGAAGCCAATCTAAGAGATGTTGACCAGGATTGAGTGAGGGTAGGAAGAATCGGCTTATTATGTTGTAACTGGTCAAGCTCATGAAGGACTGGCCAGATGTTACAGTGTTTTCACACAAAATATAACAGTCCAGCCATATACAATTTACACACTTGTAAATAGCACATCAAAAAATGATACTTGCTGTATTATGGGCTCTGAAGTAATGGAGATTATTGGAAATTCAATTTTTGAAGTTGATGGTATGCTGAAAAAAGAGGAAATTAGACAGCTATTGTCTAAGGACAATGCAAAGAAAACTCAAGTTGTTTTAGATATTCTCGACTTAACAGAGTTATTTAAAGACAATAACGAACTTAAAATCATTGGGAATACTTCCATATCCCCTCATCTTCGTTCCATTGTCAATTCTACAGCGAGCGGCTTGAAGCATGCTAATGAAGATATTATAAAAAAAAATATCTAGAATATGTTTCTCCGAACTTAAATAAATATATTTATTATTCATTCAAATTATTGTTAAGCTTATGACGACTTCATGACATGTTGTATAGTTTAAGAATATAAAAAGACAAAATAAATCGTGATACAAAGACACAAGTGAGAATAATTTTATTAGGAAAAAATATATATGAATAGATAAAAACAATCTATTCTTCTTGTACAAACTATCTGGCTATTTATACTTTCCTTGATAGCTATAGATGCTATTTCATTCGTGTTGTGTTACATATCGACCTCTTTATAATATTATCAACAGTCATGATACAGATCATGATCTAGTATGATATTTGACATATCGCTAGTTCAATAAGGGTTTCATTTGGAGGTTTTACATTAATTTAATAATTACATAATTTATGTTTGACATGATGATATTGTTTATACAACATTATTGTGTAATGAATATTCAACATTTATGCTTTATTATCTGTTTATGTTATGTACAGATACAACATGATGGTAAAAAGCTGAATAGTGATATTAAGAAATTGTCTTAAAAATTACTTAGTCCAATACAAAATCAGGTAGAGCTTTGTCTAACCGTATTATACGGAAACTAGCCTTGAGTATCTTGAAAACTGTGTAATTTGACCATGTATCAGATCCATCTGGAGTCCATTTGTATCATAAAAGTGGAAGAACAGACAGAAAATATTATCTACCGGAATATGTATATGTATTAGAAGCATTAACTCTTTGGAAGGCGGTATACGTCAGAATATTATACGTAAATTTGGATAGTTCGGTGCTTGTTCTGAGCTTGTCAATGCAATGTTGACAGAGTACCATTTATGACATAATTTAGATGTTGGAACAATTAAATAGATATAGGCATGGTTTCAGGGGCCACTATGATCCTTGACTGATACAACACATTGATGATTTTTGCCGAAAAAAAAAAAGAAAAAAAAGAAAAACTAAGCATACCTGTTGCTGTGAGCGGAAGACGTCAACTGACTGTTGAAATAAATGCTATGAAATACTGTGGATCTGAAGAGGTCTTTAGGATTAGCAATTTACCTGATGATTACAGTCTATCCGGGAAAAGTTGAAAAAATTTTGTTTTCCGAAACTGAATCCCAATAGAACAATTTTGGTCAGTATGCAAGAGTAAACTTAAAAGAGAAGCTTTTAAAAGAGAAGGAAAAAAAACACTGAAGACTATAATAATATCTAAGCTACTTGGCAGTTTACAAAATCTTTGCCGACACTTTGTATCAAAATTCCAAGATTGGTTGGATGGGATGCCTTCGTACGAAAGATCTGTACGGGGGGTTTTTTTTTTCAAAAGTGTACGAATACTTTCTGAAAAGGTTGTATATCGATACAAATATATTTATATAAAAATAAGGGAATAATTCTGCCGAGACATTTTTTTTTTAAATATTTTTACATAAACGTTTTTTTTTTTTCTAATTTTTCTAATTTTATTTTATTTTATTTATTTATTTTTTTTTTTTTTTTTTTTTTTTCACAAGATTTATAAATTAATGAGATTTGATTAATTCATGGACAGTTACTTTCAATCAGTAAAGTTGAATTAACTTGAAATATTTATTTTTATGCATCCATATTTATATTCTTTTTCTTTTTTTTTTTCCCTTTTCGTAGACACTAGCAGCAAACAGTTTGCAGCAAAATTTAAATACTCGTGCTAATAATAATAATAATGCACAGCCTGCTCGGACAGTGCCTCACTTTCCTCCAACAAATAAAGAGTTTAGTGCAACTGAATTACATACTCCAGATGGTATTTATTCACTGTTACATGAAACATTTTACGAAACAATTGCTCCTCAGTTTGCAATGGGTACTAGAGTTTCTATTGCCAGCGCTAAAGATTACCCCGCTGACTCTTCTGAAGACGAAGGCTTTTTTAGTAATTCATTATTATCAATGACACCTATTAAGAAATCTGATGCTCTTCCTATACCAAATGCTGCGTCCTCTTCTTCTCGAAGAGCGTTGCGTACCATGTCAACTTCCTCTAGTAGTATAGGTGCAAATGCAAGTGCTGGATTACAAGTTTTGACTTCACCGCAAAAACTGATGACAACTTCTACCAGTGGAAATCATTTAAGTCCATATTTACCTTATCCTTCACCTTCTTATCCTTCAACACCTAATCCTATAGCTCCTCAACAAATTGCTACAGGTTCCTATATGATGAGTTCTTCTCAAGATCTCGGTATGTCTCATAGTCCAGGTGACTTTTCACTACCTCCTTCTTTTAATGCACAGCAACAACAACAACAACAACATCATCATCACAATAACAGCAGTATAGGTTCACTTTCTTCATTATTTGGAAGAAGCTTGAATAATTCAAATGGAAAGTTATCCCAATCTTCTTCTTCAATTTCTCGTAGCATGAATACAAACACGACTAAACCTAAAAACCATTTGTCCAAAACGAATTCAACCTTTGTTTTAAGATTTCTGATTCATGAAAACCTTCAAAAATTATTAGCCACAAAAGCATTTGAAGATGATTTTTTATTTTTTAATATTGGTTCTAGTTTCATTTGGGTCGATTCAAAGAGTAAACCAAAGGTAAATCTATAGATTAAGTATGATTTATTATTAATTAACTTGGATGCTTCATTTATTAGGAACCTTTGTCTAGAATTGTATTTTCGAAATCATATCCAACCTGTCATGATATTAATGAAACAACACGTTGTGAAGATCACTTGGATATCATTATAGGGTTTTCAACAGGTGACATCATTTGGTATGATCCTCTCAGTTGTAAATATGTTCGGCTTAATAAAGTAGGTTCATTAGTCTCATCACCTGTCACGATGATCAAATGGATTCCAGGCTCTGAACACTTGTTTATTGCTATTTTTAAAAATGGAACAGCATTAGTTATGGATAAAGATCGTGATGATCAAACATTTAATGCTCCTGAGCCTTCTTCATGGTCAGAGACTCAATTTCATCCTATTCGACCTCATCGAAGTAATAAATATAATCCTGTTTCATTTTGGAGAATCAGTAAACAAGGATTGACAGACATTGCATTTTCACCCGATGGAGTCTATATGGCACTTACAGGGATGGATGGTCAATTACGAATCATTGATTATAGGAGTGAAAGGTAAAAAAAAAAAAAAAAAATGAATGGAATAAAATGAATATTGTCATAAACTAGATTCATGAATTTACATGTCTCTTATTTACAGGTTAATTGATGTATTTTCAAGTTATTATGGTAAATTAAACTGTGTTGATTGGAGTCCAGATGGACGTTATATATTAGTAAGCAAGCAAAAAAAAAATGTGTATATACATATTTATATACATATAAGGGGAAGAGGAATAGACATGGCTAATTTATACTGATTTATTTTGGCATAAAGACGGGTGGTGAGGATGATCTTGTCACTTTATGGTCTTTTGTTGAAAAAAGACTTGTAGCTAGATGCCAAGGTCATAGGTCATGGGTTACAGGAGTTGCCTTTGATAAATGGAGATGCGACGATCAAAATTATCGTTTTGGTAGTGTAGGCGAGGATTGCAATTTAATTTTATGGGATTTTTCTTATAGTGCATTACAAAAGCCTAAACATGTAAAGTAGATGGATAAAAAAAGAAAAAGAAAAAAAAACTAATTTTTTTCTATATTATAGCCACGAATAATTGCATCTTCTCCTCCAAAGCATGTTAACAACTTGGTCATATCTGTTACACCTTCACCTTCCCCACAACAAACAGCGCCTGTTGAGCGTAAAAAATCTCTCAAGAACCATCGTCTTTTCCGTGGATTCACATCATCTGATACCAATTCTTCTACTACAAATAATAATCAAAATGTTTCAACAAATAACTCTACACCAAATGGATCTTTTAGTAGTCGGTTTAGAAAGAGGTCATCGAGATCAAATAGCTTTTTCAGTCATGATTATTCTGATGATGTCATTATGGAAGATCAAATTAAACATTATTTGCCTGTATATCATCCACCTCTTAAAAAGAATCAATCTGCTATTTTACAACCTACAACCATAAAGGCAATTCATGCAGATCCTTGTTTATCACTTCAGTTTAGAGAACGTACATTAGTGACTACAGATAGAAGAGGTAGAATTCGTATTTGGGGCAGGCCCTAAAGGAAAACACACACACACACAAAAATAGACACTGTATTTGTATAATTAAAATAAAAGAGAAGTCTTGATTTTCATTTATATCTTTCTTGTCCCTCTCTTCCCCCTCCCCTTTTATATATAATATGAACATTGTTAAATAAATAAATGTATGCAATTTATGTCAATTTTAAAGCACCTTCTTGCTTTTTTCTAATAGATGTAATTTGACCTAGCACAGCACGCTTTAAGAACATGGAACTCATATTACAAATGTCTTCAATCATGTCTATTGCAGAAAATTCTATTAATGTTTGAGCATATTTGCTCGTTAATAGCAGTAAGAGCTGCATGGAACCTTTGTCCTTTGGATGCTCTTGTACTATTGCTCGTACAGGCTGAATCAGATCAAAAAGAGTCTCCCTTGTAAACTGGATGAAAGGTTGAACACTTAGGATGGTGTTGATGACTTGGAAAACAGTATCATTCCAAGGTCTCAAGTAGTTGCGGTTATTACTTGAAATAATTCTATTCTGTTTACTACTAAAATAGATCTCACCATCTGATAACAGTATCCTTAATAACGAAAGCCTTTGAGAAGAACTTAATTCTTGCAGGGATTTTACAATGACTTCCACCTTTAATTTGGATAAATCGGATTGGAAAAGTAGAGGAACTATTAAACCATTAATAACGCATTGTCCTTTTCTCATGGATAGTTGTATAATACTGTTCATTAATAATCGCGAAGCACTTGATGATAAGGCCATAATCTATATGTATATACATATACATATAGGGTTATGTTAGAGTTTATGTCTAAGTTCAGATGAAAACAAAAAGGTAATAACTTACTTTTACATAGGCTGTTGAATAAATAAGTAATACAGCATTTTCATTTGATATAGTCTCTGTATCGGCAATCATTTTTAATAAATCGGCTGTTACATCTTCTGGCCAAGTTATAAAATCAAGGCATGTTAAGACTGACTGTAGCTATAATGAAATGTAAATTCCTAATCAGTTTAAATTTTGATACACATATATAAATATGTGTGTGTTTACTTGATTTTCCGGTAATTTGATGAGTGTTTCAAAAGTTGGTAATTTCGTTTGTGAACTATTATCAGAACTTAATTTGAGTGATTCAATCAGTAAAGTTAAATCTGGTACATCTTCATCCATAGGAGTAGCTACATCAGTTGATTTTACAATTTTGTTTATATCTTTTTGAATTGACATGATGGGCTTAATTGTCTTGCTAGTATTGTGTTTTATTATAAAAAAAAAAGTGTTAAGGATTGGGTACTTTAATAAATGAATTACTTTATACTGTAAATAGATAAATGAATAAAAAGGATATGATAATAGGCTTCAATACTTTCGGATTGTCTAGTGTTGACCATGTTGGTTCAACTTAATTTATAAAGAGTAAATAGTGTGTACGTTATTTTATTTTTAAGCAAAAACAAAAACAAAAATACCTCGAGATCTTTGACCATTTGCTTGTAAAGCAAGAGTCAAACTGTCAGAAAACTGAAAACCTTGAGCTGTATTTAATAATTTATGGATGGATTCTATTTTTTTTGTTTTCTGAAGATCAAAGATTGACATGTAAAAAAAAAAATAAAGAGAAATATAATTTGCCTTGTTTATAGTAGAAATTTATTATTATTATTTGTCAGTTCATTTAGAGTCTATTAGTCTCCCAATATTTTTCAAATTCTTCTCGAACTTGAACAATACCCTTCTGGTTTTTGTATTCTTTAAACCATTCTGGTTTATCTAAAACACGTTTGCGTAGCCATTCAATATAATCATATGTCTTTTGATATGATATTTTAGGTAGCTTATCTTCTTTAATAGAGATATGATCTTCATTATATACGAGTAAATGCTTTGTAACTTCACGATATTCTCTATATTGTAAATATCGATCGTTCTTCATCTTGAACATAAAATCTTTTCCTTCTTTTTTGCATCGAATAACGACTCCTTCTATTTCCTTATCATTATAACACTGAGTTTGTTGCATTTGTTCTCCAAATTTTCTTACTTCTTTCAACGTGTCTAATAATATATAGTCAATTGTATGGAATCCAAATTCAATTGCTACTTGCTTTACTGTTGAACTTGGAAGGGTATTTAATTCAGTCAAGTTATAATTAATTCCATGTAAATAAAGTCCTCGATCTTTACCAGAATAAGGTAGTATATGCTGTTCAAACTCATCATCGCACAACTATAGATGGTTTTTTTTTTAGTACTAAAGAAGGAATTTACACTTTTTCTTTTCTTTACCTCAGCAACTAGAGTAATGTTTTTGTTATTTAACCAGCTAGCTAGATCCTTTTCAGTTTTATTAACAGAGGCTAAATGTTTCAATACCCAAGCATATCCTACGCCAGCATGCGTTTTCATGTCTGTTTTCTCGGAAGGAATAGAATGTTTTGATGTTACAATTATACTTTCATTCGATAAGGCAACAATAAATATAATACATCCATTTTCTTTTGTTGTGATTTCATAAGGGCCCTCAGTCTTTTCTTCTAATTCTGGCCACTATATTGCACACACACACACACACACACATATATATATATATATATGTATACATATAAATACATACACACACATATACATATACATATACATATACATATTGAACTTACTTGTGTGTATTTACTTTCCAATATGTTGAAAAACTTATCATACCCTCGTACCATAACTTTATAGTCTTTAGTAAACAGTCCTCTAGCCAATGTCGGAAATCTGTCTGCCTTTTTCTTATATACACTTTCTCTCATTGTCCAACTTGTCCATACTTGTCCATCTTCTAAAGTAAAATCCCTATTTCGTAATTCTTTTGGTGATGCATCTTTTAGCTTGTATAGTTTTTCAATTACTTGCTGTGTTTGTTCCGGATCAGGAGGGATTATAGGAATGTCAATATTTGACATTGTATAATAATAATAATAATAATAATTGATAATAAAAAAGGTTAAAATAAAACACCTGAAAATTAAGCTTATTTATTACTACAAATTTCCGGAAAAAAAAAAAAAAAAAAATAGTGTGATAATTTTAAATATTCATTTCTTTTTATTTTACGAATAAATAATGGAATCTTACACCTTAGAATTACATCCTTCAACACAAGTATATATCGCTTTATTTGAAAATGTAAAAAATGCATCAGCTTTAAAGCAACGATTTATTGATCAAGATGCAACTCTCACTTGTTCTTTAATTAACGCTAAATTGGTAATTTTTTTTTTTTTTTCAACGGGTTTTAAAGTAAACAATCTATTCAAATTGAACCGATCTTCTTTTTCTTTCATATATATATATGTTTGAAAGGTTATTGATAAATCTCATATCCTGCTAGCAACAAACAGAGCAGTATCAGACGAAGCAAACGGTACTCGAAAAACACAAAGCATTCATTCGGAAATTCTTTTTAATTTTGGCATCATAAATAATGTATTGTATTGTACACGCACATTGTCATGTATTACAGCTAATGCTTTCGTCCTTTTTTTTTTTTTTTTTTAGATTGGTAAAATATTTCGTACATTTGGTATTACAGACGATACAACCAATATCATTGCTGTTAAAGTAGGAGGCTCAGAAGCTGAGGTAATTGAACAAGCCTTGTTTTTACTCTTGCAAAATAATTTACGTTTATTATTCTTTATAGGCCGAGTCATTTATGAAGGAAAACATTCAAGGTGATTTAGTGCCTTTAGACAACTTGAAAAATATAACCGACTTTAAAGAAATTGAAAAAGTAAGAATCTAACTTATATAGAAAGATAAAAGGGTATGATTGTTACTAATGATGTCGTACAATTAGGTTTATCAAACGGGTGATCAAGGACAAGATAAAGAAAAGTTACTTTCACTTGTTGCAGGCGGTATAGCTCTTAGAGGCCATACTTAAGAAAGAAAGACATAATAATAATAAGAATAAGAATAAAACGTATTGGTTTGTTAGCTGCTCTTTTTTCTTTTCTTTTTTTTTTCATTGTAATTTTTATTTAAAGTTTGCTTTGATTTTGAAGATCACCCTGGTCAACAATATCTAACGCTAATTTAGCAACTGGTTTGAAACGTGCAGCATAAGACTTGGCTTGAGCAGAGGATGCTTGTTTACGTGCAACACGTGCTGCAATGCCTTGTAAAATAACTGATAATCGAAAGAAGGAAAATGCAACTGCAAATAGCCAATTCTCTATTGGATAAGGTTGTTGTAGAATAGAACAATAGTGAGCCATTAATTCATCGGCACCGGGAACAGGTAAAGGTTCTTTTGAATCCTTAAATCCTAGCATGTTATTACCCTCTGGTATATAAAACGGTTGAAGTAAATTTGAAAGGTCAGAAAGTGGATGTCCAATGGTTGAAAGTTCCCAATCAAGTACACCAATGACTCTAGAGTCTGTAGGATGAAAAATTAGATTATCAATCTTAAAATCACCATGAACAATAGTAGCTTGATCCTTGACTTGATTTCTTTTAAACCATTGAAACATATCATTTAACCGAGGAATGGATCCAACTACTTCTTTTGTATCTTGATCTTGAACAGCTCCTTGTGCTTGAGACACTTTACTCAAGGATTTCATTTGTCGATCATAAAACCCTGAGCTTCGACCATACTTTTCCAATCCAATTGCTTTAAAATTAACTCGATGTAACTTGGCTAATGTTTCTATAGCAGAGTACCAACTTTTTTTTTCATACAATACAATGATTAACGTTTTTTTATTTATTTATCTAAGTTATTCCACCTCACACATGAATATACTTACAGTGCTTTACGTTCTTCAAAAGGTAAATCAAGCATTCGACAATCTTCAAAAATTCGACCCTTTAAAAACTCCATCACATAGAAGGCTGTACCAATCACATCACAATCCTCACAAAGAACATAGACTTTAGGAACAGGCACATCTGTTTGAGTACCTAAAGCATAAAGTATACGATATTCTCTTTCAATAGCATGTGCAGTACTTGAAAGTAAAGTTCCTGGAGGCTTTTTGCGAAGTACATATTGTTGTTGACTTTTTTTTTTTTTTTTTTTGCAACATAAATCAATTATTCATAATCTAATATATACTCAAAATACTTACTTGCCATCCTTTAGAAGATATGTTGGATTAGACTGTCCAAATTGAAATTGACTAATAGACAAAGGTGCTTTAAAACTTGAGACATGTTCTAAAAGATAGGCTTCCAGCTTTTCATGATTTAATTCATGTCTATACATAGTTTGTTTAGATGAAAAAAATACATATGTGTGTGTTATTTACATGTATAACTGGTTACCCTTCACGTATATTAGAAGTGGATTGACCTTTGTTTGTCATCTTTTATATTTGTATTTGTATATTTAAAAAAAGCAAGAAAGAAAGAAAGAAAGAAAGAAAGAAAGAAAGAAAGAAAGAAAGAAATAGAAATTAAAATAAATATATTCTGTTTTTTCTCATATTTTAAATTGGGATTGTTGCTTATGTAAAGCCTTACATTTAGTCACATGATGCATACTACCATTGTGGTACAACAATAACTGACAGAATAAAATACACTAAAAGAATAAAGCCCAGGGATACAATATTATAAAAAAAAAAAGGAGAGAAAAAGAGAAAATAGCATTATTAATTAGTATAAATCAAGCTGACAGGATAAATAGCATACATTCATGTTAAATTTACTTATTTAAATGAGTATATTCAAATTTACTCCTTTTTGTTGCCTTTTTCTATTTCATTGTTAATATGACCCATCTTAGTGACTATAGTTTTTTACGTATGTTATATGAGATATAGAATGACATATATCCGTTACTAATATTTACACACTATATAAAAATAGAAAGAGCAATAGGATTAAGTTATGTTTTGATTTGGTTAATTTATAGAATACATACAACAGAAGGATTTGAATGTTTACATTTCTCAAAATTCAAAAAAGGGGAATTAAAAAGTATTGTAACAGCCTTAATATTATTTATGATACCATTTCAACTCTATTATGGTAAAAGCAGACTTTTCTTTTTATATACATATTTATTACATCTGTTATTCTTTACTATTCACTTCTTTTGTTGAATAGATATTATATCTTGTAAAATTAAATATGAAGAAGGCTTCGTTCAATTATTGGGTCATATTGTAACAAAACCTGAATCTTTGTGGACAGAAGCAGACAGAGTATTAGTTAATCCAACAGGTAATATTCATTCGTACTTTCTTTTTATTAGTGAATAGATGTTTATAGGCCTCTATTTATATTTGTATTCCTATTTATATTTGTATTTATTTTTATACTTATATACACAGACTATAGCTTATGCATTGGATTCTCTTTACAAATGTATATATTCATATTTATTCATTTATTCCCATATATTGAAATGTATCATTTTATAGTGGAACTTTATTTTTATTACAATGCTTTTGGAAATATCTTGCTAAATTTGTAGCAAGAGCAAAATTTATGAGTAGTAGAGAATTCAAGTTTTATGTCATAATGTGAATATTATACGTTTAAGCATATAGATGTATATCACTCATATTATTTATTCTATTTGATGACATTATAGGACGATCGTGAATATTATTTTATTTCCAGTTTTACAATATAATTTCACTAGAGATATTTATAATTTTACTTTTAAAGAAATCATGCCTCAATTAGTGTATGGTTGTGGTATGTTCTATAAAATAAGAATATAAAATAAGAATATAACTTTATAAAATTTACATAGAAATGTTGGTCATTTCACTCTTGGGTGGCGTTTCTCATTTTAGATTTAAAAAGTTACTAAGAAATAGCAAAGATCAAAATGATTTACAATTTATTACAACTAAAATTCAATACTTTCAAGATCTGAACTTGATTCTTTCTGTCACTTTATTTATCTTTTCTTGTTGCTTTATCATCATTAGTGCAGACGGTTTAACAAATATGAAAACGATGAATCGAAACAAGTTCCTTTCAGATTTATTTATTTGTAACAGTAAATGTCTGCAGTTATTATACCCCCCCCTCCCTCAAAAGAAAAGAAAAATATATATGCATATATAAATTAGTAGAAATATTTACATATTATTTAAATTCTAGTTAACAGTTTATGTATTGTCATTTGGATTATTGTCATATTAATATTTCATCCAGCAAAGCATAGTACGAGGAAATGAAAAATATAATTATTAACAAAAGGACATTGACATTATCATAACGAGTTTTAACTAAAGAGAAGTAGTATGCTTTTTTTTTATTGTTATTATGATAAAGTTTTAGGAGTAACCTCCTATTAGGAATTTTATATGGTGAATAAAAAAAAAAGGTAGAAAGAAAGAGAGAGGGAGGGAGAAGAAGATGTTATGATTTGATATTAAATAACACTAATTTGACTACCATTTGAAATAAGATAAACAGATTTTAACTACCTTCTAATTTACTTTCAGATTTAAAGAACCTGGACAAAGAATATCAAAGAAGAAGGGATTTTCCAACTTATTTGTATATACCTTTTTTATGATTATCTATGAATTTAAAGACATTGTACACACTTTATACTAAATATAATTCAGTCGTGGCTATTGCTTTTTTCTATTTTCTCCTCTCTGATCTCAGATAGTCTTGTATAATAAAAACTTGTATCATACAAAATCATAAATAAAAGAATTGTCCTTTAGAACTATTGTTTGATTTCAGCGACTTTATTAGTATTTTTATATTTATTTATTTATTTACTGATAACTTAATAGAGATATCGCAAGCAGATCAGTATTTAAGAAGCCTCATATTGAATGCCTATCAAATCTATCATCATCCCTAAGCTACCACTCATGTCAATCTTCTTTTTTTCTACGCGCTTTATGAATCAAGAGTACAAATTCATAGATAAATATACACGGTTAATAATAATTAAAATTCCAATCCTTTTTCTCATGAAAAAGAATAAAATAAATCAAGATATTTGACTATTGAAGTGCAATGAATAGTTTGTTATCTTTCTCTCTCTCTGTGTGTGTCTCTTTTGTAAATAATAACCTAACAGAATTTTTGCTCTTAAATCCTACAAAATCTGCTCTTTCTTGTTGGATTTTGAAATGTGAAATTTTGTTTCCACCTCTAGTTAGTGCATAAATAAAAGTCAATATCAAATGAAGGATTATATAAAGATATCAATTATAATCTGTGGCTATTCATATTTAATTGATTCCTATTTGTACAGTGGCTTGCATCTTTTATAAACAGTTCTAAATATTTCTTGACTTTCTTTTTTTTTCAATCTACTCTTATTATCAATAAACATTAATTCTCTATTCTATGATTCTGTGCTGATGGAAGGTAGCACAGAGTTCCCCCATCGGATGCACTATACAGACGGGGCGATTTACAGTGCTATTCATAGCCCGGCTTAAAACAGGCTCCCCACGTTTCCTGAAAAAAAGGGAAAAAAGAAAAAAGAAAAAAGAGGGGAAATTAAAAATGAGTGCCTTTTTATATCTTTTCATAATGAAATGTTACACAAGTGACTACTACTTGTACGTTTATTATAAATAAAAAAAGCAACTAATGAGACCGAACAATAGTTCTAAAATCGAATATTTTATGAATGAGTTGAAGTTGATAAGAATTGTTAAAGAAGTAGTCTGTGATAGGATGTGAATCATAAAAGTGTTAGTTAACGACCGAATAAAATACGTTACAGTTAATAAAGTGTTAGATGTTTTAGTATTATTGAATGAAGTAGATCAAGAGGATCTAGATAAAATTCCTTGAATAATTTTACGATCTGCTTGTTTAATTAAGAAACATGGCATTATAAGTCTGCTTTGTTCATAACACAAATTTTCTTAATACTTTTCTATTAGATGTATTTTTTTTTCTTTTCATTTTTCTACACCCTAAAATAAAAAGGGCTTTATGATACAGAATTGTACAAAGAACATATCTATATATTCAATGTAGATCTATCTATCTATCTATATATCTATGTATGCATGTATACATTCAGTATATATCTCTATTATTTACTATTAGCATTTATTCTATCGTTCCCTTTATCTTTATTTATTCAATGAACAAATTACTTCCTGAGAAAGGATGATCTAATATTATAGCTTACAGCAAAAGTTAGCTGTCAAAGCGTTGTAAAAGCATACAAATAATTTATAATTTTACAGGAGGCAGCTAATAATAATAACTTTATTTCCAACTCAAGAGATAAATTAATACTTCTTCATCTCAGTCATTACCGTAGATCTTAGAGGGGAAAAGAAAGAGTAGACAATATATATACAAACTACTCTCAGATACTACTGTAGTATTATTTGTTAATGTCCTTTTATATAGTCAAGACTAGATAAGATAACGATTTGAATCCATGATAATAAAATTCCATAAAATACATAATATTTCTGAGTGATTGTTTTATGCGATTAACATGTGTAAAAATGTTGTAATTGACGGTCTTTAATCAATATTCATTTAGTACTCTTCATCAATATACATGTATAAGCATTGATCTATTTTTAATAAATGTTCATCTTTAAGAGATTTTAAATTATTGAATGTGTGTGTAATCCATTAGTCAAGTAAGAGTAATAATAAATTCCAATAATAAACCAGAGGAATTATTTTGTGACTTGTTAAAGTTCATCCTTGAACCCAAGCCCAAGTTATTGTATTTTTCAGCAAATAAGAGAAAATTTCAGAAAAAATAAGAGAAAATTATTGGACAAATAAGAGAAAATTATTGGATAAAATAAGAGAAAATTATTGAACAAATAAGAGAAAATTTTAGGTCAATTAAGAGAAAGTCCAAGAAAAATTAAGAGAAAAAAAAATGGCAATTAGTAGAAAGCACTTTTCTCACTATTATTAACAAAAAATGGATATTGACTTTGATATGAACGAAATTTCTCTACGCGACGATGACATTGAAGCTGTACCTGAAATCATTGTCAGCGTAATGTCAATGATGAGAAAGAAGTGGGAGTACAACATCACTGCATCAGCCATGGAGTTAGATGAAGATGCGACGATGGAGCTGAAGGAAGGGTACGAGGGTGATGAGGCCAGCAATAGCTCGGATAAGGAGGAAAATGAAGCTGATGTACAGGGTAGTGAGAGCGATTTGAAAGAAGAGAAGCCTCTCAGAGATCTGGCCGAAAAAAAAGACGCCGCTAGCAATGCTAGACGTGTGTACACTCAGCAAGATATCAACAAGCTTATTTCCCTGTTAATTGAACAGGTTCCTGTAAAAGATGCAGCTTTAAAAACAGGAATAAATGAGAAATCAGCTTACCGTTTCAAATCGCAATGGCAGAAAACAGGGGAAATACCTCAACAGAAAAAAAGAGGGCGCAAAATGGGAACTGTCTCTGAGCTTACTGAAAAACACACAAAGTTTATTACCGACATTGTTGATGAGTGTTCAACTGCAACTGTAGCTGGAATACACGAGTTGTTGCTCAAAGAATTTCCAAGTCTCTCTGTGAGCCCATCCGCAGTATACAGACATCTTAGAACCAGCTGTGCACTATCTATGAAGAAGTTGGAGAAAATTTCATCTGCTAGAAACTCGGAAGAAACTCTTAAGAAGAGAAAGGAGACCATCCTTCAATGGCTAGCTGATAAAAATATGGACTTTGAGAATAATTGCGTTTTTTTGGATGAAGCAGGGTTCAATTTACACATGACACGCACTCGTGGCTGGTCCAAGATAGGAGAACCTGCTAAAACAACTGTCCCTGCTTCAAAAGGCACCACAATAACCATTCTTGGTGCCATCTCTAGCACCGGCATTATTGACATCTCTTTGAGAAAGCCAATATTAGTTTCGGGAGCTAAGAAGAGAAGAATAGATGGGAAGGTTGTTACAACGACAGCTAAGGTTGGAACTAGGACTGAGCACTATTTAAATTACTTGAGTAATGTGATGGATGTTCTTGACCGAAATAATATGAAGGGCTTTTACTTGGTAATGGATAATGCTCCCATACATAAGCCAGCTACAGTAAGAAACTTAATAGAAAGCAGAGGCTATAAGTGTGCATATCTTCCGCCGTACTCACCATTCCTAAACCCAATTGAGCTATTCTGGTCGAAGGTGAAGTATGGCGTCAAAAGAAGCCCTTTCGAAACTGGTGAGACACTCACACCCAGAATAATGGATGCCTGCTCCAAAGTAACTAAGAAAGACTGCCAGGGCTGGATTCGCCATTCTCTCAGATTCTTTGAAAAGTGTTTAGCCCTGGAGAAAAACTTATGAGATTTAAGTATAAGTAAATTTTTTGCTAATTGCCATTTTTTTTTTCTCTTAATTGACCTAAAATTTTCTCTTATTTGTTCAATAATTTTCTCTTATTTTATCCAATAATTTTCTCTTATTTGTCCAATAATTTTCTCTTATTTTTTCTGAAATTTTCTCTTATTTGCTGAAAAATACAATACTCAATAATAATGAATCACAAGACGAGCCTACCACACAGCGAATATATTAACAGAGTCTATTTTCCTTTTTTAATAATTGATAAGAAATCATCTATCACCATTATGATTGTCGGAGTAAAAGAAGACTGTTTCAAACAAGGACGACAAGCTTATTATAAATTTTGTAGATATATAAAAGATAAATAAATGAAAACAATGATATATACGCTGCTATCAGGATAACAAACTTGACTTTTTAGTGAAATATGGCTTCCTTAAATGAAATAATTATAGTTTGACAAAACAAAAAAAGTTTACATCCTTAAATTTTTGTAGCAAATTAGATTGTTGATGGAGCATTATTATAATGATGTAATGTTAGGTTTTTTTTCCATTTTTTATTCATCAGCCATTTATTGATACTTTCTTTATTATTAACTATTTAGTAAAAATCCTTTTTTTTTATTCTTTGTTCTTTTTATAATTAAAGATCTGGAAAAATATTATTGTTATTATTTTTTTTTAAAAAAAAAATATGTATTTTGACTCAAAAAGGTGACTTTTTGTCACTAATTCGCACTTGATGGAAACATTCGTCAACTTTTATCCTTTTTTTTTTTTTTTTTTTTTATTAATTTTACCCTATTTCTTATTTCTTTTTTCTTTTTTTTTTCATATACATATATCCCTCCTTTAATTTCCTCCCTTTTTTTTTTTTGTTAGAAGCTTATTTAAACATGTCTCAACAAATTGGAAGTAATGATCATAATCTTTCTTTAGACTCACTAGAGCCTACTAGTACTGTTACAAATAATACTAATCGCTTACCATTAAGAAAACGCATCAGTCCTATATTAAAATGGCAACCTGTAGAAACTCCTGAAGAACATAATAAACCAAAAACATACCCTCAAACATACCCTTTACAACAACAAGATATTATAAAAACTGATACTAATAAACAAACATACAACGAAATAAAGCATTTTAATGAAAAAAGAACAGTTGAAAAAGAAGAATTAAATCAAGTAAGTTAATTATTTAATATTATTAAACCTAAAATTGATTAACATAAATTATAGCCTGTGAAGAAAATAAAAAGAGGCAGACCCCCTTTACAAAAAAATAGTTCAACAGATACTAAATCAGATGTAAATGAACCATTACCCAATGTAATGTCAACAGAGCCATCAACGAAACTCTATTGTATATGTAAAAGGCCGTATGATGTACCAAGGTTTATGATTGCTTGTGACAAATGTAACGAATGGTTTCATGGCGAATGTATACAGATTAGTGAGAAGCAAGGCGAATTCATTGATCTTTATTTCTGTGATAATTGTTCTAAAAGTAATTTTAAACTCTTTTTTCCTTTTTTTTTTTTTTTTTTTTTTTTGTTTGTTTGTTTGTTTGAAAATTTTTATAGTTATTTACATATTATATAGTCACAGGAAAGAAAACTTCATGGAAACCTAAATGTGCTAATCCTGCTTGTTCGAAAGCAGCAAGGATTGGTACACATCAAGGACATTTAAGTAAATATTGTACAGATAATTGTGGAATGCAAGTTGCTCGTGCCCGTATTGAACTTGCTGAATTAAAAAAGCGTAATGCAACCATGAGTCTAAATAAACAACATTATAATCCACTTTCAAGAAGTAAACTAAGTAGTTTTGCTGAGTTGGATGATAGAGCAAGATTATGTAGAGTGAAAGAAGAAAAGATACATGCTAAAGATATTATTCAAATGGTCGAACAAAAATCCAAATTATTAAATATGTTAATACAAAAGGAAGATAACAACACGCTATGTGGGTTTGATTCCAGATTATCTTGGCCTGATACATTATGGGAAAAGGTTCATTATGTGATAGAAAAAGATGAAGTCATAAGTTTATTAGACGAAAATGAACAGCCCTTAACTACGGCAAAGGTGTTTCATGTTTGTCAACAAAATAGAAAGAGCTGTAATAGGCACACAAATTGGCAAAAATTAAAAACTGCTGAGCTTGAACAAGAAAGATCGGAACAATTTGTTATCTTGACTATGCTTGAAAGGGAAAGGCAACAGATTAAAGCCCGTATGAAGAAACGACGTGAAGAAGTTGACTTGGTAGAATTTCTTGAAAATGGAACAATTACTCATTATTAAAGAAAATTTGTATGTTTCATTCCAAGCTATTAAAATGTATATAATAAATCTATTTTAAATAAATAACAACCATTTTAATTTAATAGCGAGAACAGGATTTGTTACTATTTAATAAAAGCGAAATGCTCTTTGTTACTTTCTCGAAAATCAAATAAAAAAAACACGAATATCCCTTAAAGTAGCCTTTTTTTTTTCTTTTTTGCTAACATATGAAACTTATTTCACTACATTCATGATTAATCATTTATGTATACTCTATTAAAGAAATATTTAATAATCCCTTTTCGATATTTTTTTTTGTTTTCAAGCTGGCATTACATACATGAAGCTTACACTTGAGGACTATTTAAAAGTAAAAGTGTCCCTATTATATCGTCGAATTTAGCCTTACTTTTATAGTATTAAATCATATCTATTTAAATGCATAAAAATATCATTGATAAAATCAATAGTAGTAGCGTACACATACAGATGTATAGATACATAGATACATAGATATTGTATTATTATAGATATCACTTGGTTTGCTTTATTATCTTGATAGCAGTCAAATTGAATATATTTACATTTGTATATAAATAATGAAATCTATTATCCTATTTGATATTAACAAAGAAACTCAAGATAGCCTATTGTTTTATTTTTAATCATATTCACGCTTAATTCATACCTACTAAATTTTATCAGCGTGTCCCTTTGAAGTAGCTTGATGCTTTTTTTTTTTTTTCATAAGTTAGATACCTTTACATAATTATCTGCTTCACCTTCTGACACAAGTCTTCATATTCAATTTTAACCTTACTTACTGTTAAAAGCTTCAAACTCATCACAATATTAAGAATTTATGGTGAAAAAATTCTCGATTATAAAATTATAAACACATCATTGCTTTACATATACACGTATGTAATCTAACCTTTATGTCTCGATATATTATTCAGACATAGGTACTAATAAATGCATGTATCTTTTTATATAAGTATACACCCCCCCCCTAGGATTTATATAAGAACAATAACTATAGAAGCTATATTTAACAGGATCAAACTATATCTGAACATCTGTGGTTAGTAAGAATAAGGATAATTTATACAAATATCTATTGAATTGAATAGATACTCTGTATATCAGAATTCAAGTTTTGATTTGTGTTTTTAATTACTTCCATAGAAATTCAGCAAAAAGCGTATTGAATAATGATATTTGATATAGTATATATAAATGCATTTAAATAATAAATATATAGTTAGAATAAAGGTAAAATATGGCTTTCTTTGAGGATTATGTGTTATCAAAGATATATCATGATGTGCTAACAATTGAAAGCCCAAAGTTTAAAAATCTATTATAGTATAATTTTGTTTTAAAATCTCTCTTTATTCAGGTCCTTACCGAATGCTTCGGTAGGATGAGAAACAAACCCTTTAAGGATATTAAAATGCAAAGTATCATAGGCTTCATTCATTTTAGTCATTAGTGTACCTCCCCCCTTTTTTTTTTACAAGAACTAATTTTACTTAACTTTACTTTTAACATATCGACAAGAACTGCTTAACTGAATTCAGTTTGGGAGAATACGGAGATATATATATATATGTATATGCGAATATCCTCAAGATTGAATATACTCTCCAATATCAGCTGAACTATGAATAGGAGCATTGACCATAGCATAGGTAATATTCCTTTATACCTGGGATGCTTGTTTATTTCATTAAAAATAGCTTTCACAAAGCTCAAGTAATGACTCATAACAGTACTAGCGTTAACACTATCAATCCTCACTCTGAAGTTCCTTTTCTTTATATGCCGAGAAACTCTCACCACACTGATATTAATCAAACTAAAAACAGAAATTAACACTATTGTTTTTATTTTCTTCCAAATATAACATATCATTAAAAAGTATTCAACCAAAATATAAAGTTTCAAAGAGGTATTTATATATTCGCATTGAGTTCTTTTCTATGCTATATTCTTCATGTTATTAGTATTAACCAATCATAAATTATTAAAAAAGCAGTCTTCATTTTTATGTTTATTTTCAAAGACAGGTAATCATTAAGTTATAGCATTAGGCAGCGAAAATTTTGCTGTGGTTTTTTTTTTATTTTTTTTTATTTTATTTTTTATTTTATTTTATTTTTTTTTCTTTCTTTTCTATACAGATAATAAGAATGGCATCACTTACAAGGTAAAATATAAAAAATACAAAAAGAAAAAGCTAAAATTTAATTTCGTTATTGTTTTCTTATCTTTTTTATTTATATTTTTAAAGTCTTTTACCCAAACCTCGACAAACATTATCATCTACAACTGATGCACAACCACAATTAGAAAAGAAAATCAACCAAATCATTACAAAAACCAGCCAAAATAGAATTCCTCCTTATGGACAACGTAAAAACTTTAGACCTCGTGGACCAGAAGATTTCGGTAATGGTGGTGCATACCCCGAAATTCACATTCCTCAATTTCCATTAGGAATGGGCCGTAAAGAAACAAGTTTAGCTGAACGTAAAGGTGGAGCCTTGACATTGGAAGTCGACAATGATGGTAACATAAAATACGATGCAATTGCTAAACAAGGACATAGTGACGACCGTATCATTCATACCTCCTTTAAGGATATGATTCCTCTCAATGAACGAAAAGATATGGATGTCGACAAATTAGTCATGGATAGACCAAGCCAAGAAGAAGTTCAGAGTGTAGCAGAAAAGACTCGATTAGCTCTCGAAAAGATTGTCAACTCAAAGATCAAATCTTCTCAACCTAAAAATTCAGCACTTTCAGCTTCCAACAGTACTAATAAAGATCCAACCTATATTCGTTATACACCAGCCCAACAGGGTTCATCTGGTGCTAAACAAAGAATTATTCGTATGGTAGATGCACCTAGAGACCCTATGGAGCCTCCTAGTCATTTACACAAGAAGGTTCCTCGTGGTCCTCCATCACCTCCTGCTCCTGTTATGCATTCACCTCCCCGTAAGTTAACAGCTAAAGAACAAGCTGAATGGATCATTCCTCCCTGTGTTTCAAACTGGAAAAACACAAAGGGTTATACTATCCCCCTCGATAAACGTTTAGCAGCTGATGGTCGTGGTCTTCAAGAGTTGACGATCAATGATAATTTTGCAAAGTTCTCTGAAGCTCTTTATGCTGCTGATCGTCATGCTCGTGAAGAAGTTAGACAAAGAAATTTGATGCAACAGAAACTAGCCCAGAAACAAAAGGAAGCTGAAGAAGAAAAGTTAAGGCAGTTAGCTCAAAAGGCACGTGAAGAAAGAGCTGGTTTAAAGACTACAAATCATTCAGAAGCACCTGCAAATGCTAATCGTCCATCAGCAGCCTCTCTCATGGTAGATTATGATAGTTCTGAAGATGAATCAGGATCTGAAAGTGAAGAAGACTCTCCTGTTCGTCGAAGAGTTGAGGATAGTGATGAAGAAAAAGCAAGAGAGCGTGATCAACTTCGACGTGATCTCCAAAGACAAAGACAACGAGAAATGCGTATGAGTAAAATGGGTACAGAAGCTAGAGCAAGGCATCTTGCTCGGTAAGTTGCTAAAAAAAAAAAAAAAAAGAAAAAAAAAATTAAAACAAAGTATTGATTTATATATCCCAATTTAGTGAGCAAGGACGTGATATTTCTGAAAAAATTGCACTTGGTTTAGCTAAACCATCATTAAGTAAAGAAAGTATGTATGATGCAAGATTATTTAATCAATCAGAGGGTATTGGATCTGGTTTCAAAGATGATGATGGTAAGTACAAATTTTATATAGTAAGCCCCCCTTTTTTTTTCTTTTCTTTTTTCTTAAGCGTTATTTTTTATAGTATATAATACGTATGATAAACCACTATTCAACCAAACATCATCATCTATCTATAGATATAGAGGTGAAAATACTGAATCTGAAGTCTTGGGTAGCACAAATGCAGATGACCTTGAAAGGGCTATCAAGCAAGACAAGTTTGGTATGCGTAAAGGATTCCAGGGTGCTGAGGGTGGTGAAGGTTCTGCAGCAGGGCCTGTTGAATTTGAAAGAGAAACATTAATGCCATCAAAAAAGTTGAAAAAGATGTATTTGGGTTAGATACTTTCTTGAATAAGGCGAAAAAAGGAAAGAGAGCTCGCGATGAAGATGATTATAGTGACGATGAACGTCGTAAGAAATAAATCTTATTATGATCTATTATATATACATGAATATATAAAGCAGACAATTCTCCTTTTGAGACGTCATTATATATCAATATTACACGTTTTGTTGTCCTTTTTATATAATAATAATGATAATAAATTTACCACATAAATCTTTGTAATTGATTTGGCTCATTTAACCAAACAAATGGCTTAAATAAAAAGAGATAAAGAGTAATAAGATGGATGAATATATAAAACGCCAAACCACTTAATAAACGCCAAGTTTGTTTTGGAGGTGGGATATGTACCATGTAGAATAAAAAGGGAATAATAAAATAACGAAATTCTAATAAGGGAGATGGGACCAAAGTCAAGACAAGTGCAGTTAAATATCCTAAAGCTAACAAGAAACTTGTGTGATTTGCTAGAAAAAAAAAAAAAAAAAAAAAAAAAAAAAAAAAAAAGAAAGTTGAATAAACGTTCCTCCAATTGCCAGAATCACTTACCAAAAGCTTGAAAATTTAATATTTCGCTAAGAACATAAACTGGAGTCAATAAATAACGTATAGTCCAGTGACGTCTATAAACTTTCTTCCAAACATAAAAGCTGTAATGTCTGTTATCACTTAAAATAAACGGATGCTCATATCTATACAAATATGTATATATATATTTAACTTTTAGAATTTATCATGTTATTGAACAAATATATTGTCATTACGTGTATTTAAAAACCAAATATAAGCTTACTACGCAAGATAAAAGACCATACAATATTCTAATTATTTCTCGTAAAGTGAGTCGTGATACGTACTATCTATCTATTTTCATAAAAGACTTACTTTTTTATGCTTGAATGAAATATTAAATCAGAAATGGCCGTTAAAGATAATGTCCAAGGGGCAGAAAAGAAAGATAAGAAAGAAGTAAAATAAAACAATTGAGGGAAATGAAGACCAGCTATATGATTTGAACGATCTCCCAAAACTATACCGTTATTCCATATTAGAAACAAGGCAAACGAAAATATTGCAATTAAAAATGTCACTATATTGGGCAATAAAGTCTTGAAATTTTCTAATATGTTTACAGTAAGACTCAAGATAGATCGAAGCATTTGTACTATATTCAATGATGGAGTTAGTATATATATTCAGATGGGGAAAAGGCTCCCTTTTTTCTTCGTCAAGTTATATCTTATAAATAAACTACCTGGTGAATTCATAATAGTAGCACATAAAGGATTGTATAAACAATTACTATGATCGTCGTTTTTTTTACTACTTTCATTTAAGGATAATGTATCTATAATGGTAACCATCATAAACAAGCATACCCATATAACATTAGTCTGTCTAAAGGTCATAGAGACAATACCCATAACACCAGATAATCGATACCATCTCCTTTTCACTAAAAGATATGACAATAAAACAAAAAAAGTTGAGCCCGCGTCTGTGTAATAAAGGAAATTATAAAAGAATCCAACTGGAAACCATGCTAAGCTTAATGCATACACTCTTGAAGTCTTTGTTAATGACACCAGAATAAAGTAGAGTCCAATTGAAAATAAGATATTTGTGAAACGTAATGCATTTACAGTACAAAGATCATAGTTAAACAGCTTTCCAACATATACGAATACATTGCTTAACAAGTATCTATATACCATATTAGTAAAAATACATATAAATGATCGTGAATATACGTTACAGTCCTGGTGGTGTCGTTAGTTTTGGATCCCAACTGTAAAAATCGCCACGACAATATTGTTGTGCCTGAGATATATGAAATATCTCATCCTAAAAAATATGTCAATATAACCATATATACAGCTGATATATTTTTATTACCATATAGGGATTAGAGACTTTAGTGTTAACTACTGCAGCTGTCATTAACAAGTTAATGACATGAAGAACAAAGATCATTCTGGTAATGTCTTACTTTTGTATAGATTGATCGTTATTTATTAATTACGATAATAGAAATCCATTTGTATACTTTTTTTTTTTTTTTTTTTGTGTGCACTTATTTACAATATTTTTGTAAACATTTTATTGGCTAAAAATCATTAAAAAAAAAATAAATAAAATAAAAATAAAAAATAAAGACAGAGCGGCTGTTTTAAAACTAACCTTTTTCTTGTTACTTTAATTTTTTTTCTTAAAGATTAATTGAATTAGCTTATTGAAATAAAGTAACAAAAAAAAAACTTTCAGGCTTTTTCTTATTCTCTTACACACACACTAAATAACGGTACACCTCTCTTTTATCATGACTTCTAACGATTCTATGGAAAACTTGCCTCCCTCTGCTAAATTGGCACTCCTTCATGCTCAGGCTGCTATTCCTTCATCCGTAGAAGAAGATCCCTTTGTTCCTTCTCCTGACGACCCCGTTGTTGTCATGGATAATACTGCTTATGAACCACTTATTGCTGGTGATTATCCTACCCCTATTGGTAAGCCTATTGTTCCTGCTCCCAAGAAAGAAGTTACCGTGACCAAAAAGAATCTCGATTTGAATTCTGAAGCTGCTTTCCCTGCTCTTTCACCATCTCCTCGTCCACCTGTTGTATCGGGTGGTTGGTCAGCTAGTTCTCGTGTCAAATCACCTCAAGCCAGTCCTATCCGTAATAGACCTATGGCTCCCCCCGCTTCTGGTAATGTCAAAAAATCATCTACTGCTACTCAAATCACTGATGTCCTTGAATTGCCTGCTAATCAACAAATTGCCAACATGCCCAATAAGCCTCTTGGTTTCAAGAGCAATGCTGATGTCATTCAACAAGTCATCAAAAAAACTGGTACAAATATTATTGCTTCTACAAATCGCTCTGGTACAACAACTTTTCTTATTCAAGGTGCTCCTGCTGAAGTTGCTAGAGCTAAGAAAGAATTAATTTCTGGTCTTGTTGTGAAGGTAAGAGAAAGGAAGTTGATTTAATAGTTATCTTCCGTGTGTTTAGCCTTTATATATAAATTGAAACTTATTTCATTTTATTTTATTTAGCGTACTATTGAAATTACTGTACCTGCTTCTACTCGTCGTTTCATTATTGGTGCAAAGGGCGCTACACTCAAGCAAATTGAAGCTAAATCAAATACTCGTATCAACTTTTCTCGTAAGGATAATGAAGATGAATCTTATGAGGAAAACCCTGATGACATGGTTCCTGTCACCATCATGGGTGATGCTACTGGTATTAGAATTGCAAAGGAAGAGATTGAAAAAATCGTTAGTGAAAAGGTATATATTTATATAAAAGTGAATTAAGGATAGAAAACAATGTTGTTGACTTATTTTTCTATTAGACTTCTAAGCAAACAATCAAGATTGATAACTTTGACAGTAAATTTTATCTTTTCCTCGCTGGTCCACAAAATAGTAACATCAAGAAATTGGAAGGCGAATTTGATGTCAAGATTCATATTCCTGCTGTTATTGTAGATGGTAATACAAACCGTGAAACAGCTATCTCCATTTCTGGTGATAAAGAGAAAGTCCAAGCTGCTAAACAAGCCCTAGAAAAATCATATGCAGATATTGAGAACTCAAGTCGCACCATTGCTATTGCAATCCCTAAACGTCAACACAAATACCTTTATGGTAAGAATGGTGAAACTCTTAAAGAAATTTTGAATGAATCTGGCTGTACTGTAGAATTACCTCCTACTGAAGATCCTTCTGAAAATGTCACAATTCGTGGTCTTGATGCTGATTTAGTTAAGGGTTTAACAGTTGTGATGGAAAAGGCTCGTGCCGTTCATGTGAGTGTTTTTGATTTAACAGAAAATTACAAATCATCTGGTGATGCATTGAAGTATGCTCGCGCTGCTCTTAAATATCTTTTGGTTAAGAAGAGTTTCAAGAAAATTGAAAATGATCATAATGTTCAAGTAAATGTCCCTCAAGCCGATGAACTTGACAAATCTGTCTATCTTGAATTTGTCAGTAAAGCCGAAAAGGATGCTGCTCTTGCTCAATTAGCTGTCTCTAAACTCTTGAATCAATTAACACCCGAAGTCTTTAGCTATGTTGAAGTTAAGCCTTATCTCCATCATTATATTCAAAAAAGTCATTACAGTGCCCTTGAGCGTATTCAATCTACACATCATGTCACTATAATTGTACCAAATGAAGAAGAGAACTCTGCTAACATCTTGGTTGTTTTTAGTGGTGAGGACAAATCAAACGTAAAGGCTGCTTTGGATGCTGCTGCTGATGAATTAAATAAGATTGTTAAAGACTGTTCAGATTACATTTTCAAGAGTACTTCTATTCCTATCAAGTTCCATGAACTCATTCGTGGACCTAAGGATACAACCTTAAATGCTATTGTAGGTGAGACCGATGCCATCGTTCGTTTTGGTCCTAATGATAAGGTTGAGATTCGTGGTCTCACCAAAGAAGTAAACCAAGTTACTGCTAATCTTCAAAAAGCATTTGAAGCTGTTCAAAAAGAAGATTACACTAAGCCTTATACAGAAGAGTTCTTTATCCCTGCTAACTTTTCTGCCCACATTATTGGTAAGTCAGGATCTAATATTAATAAACTTAAAGATGATCTTGGTGTCAAGGTTGACATTGGAGAAAGCAATAAAACAGAAGAAAAGATTGTTTCCAAGAACAAGAAGAACGTTACACCTGTTAAGGTTGTCATTCAAGGTCCTAGAATTAATGTTGAGAGTGCTAAGGAACGTATCAATAGTCAAGTCGCAAGTTTGGCCGACCAAGTCACTCTTTCTCTCAAGATTCCCAAGGAATTCCATCGTCATTTAATTGGTCCCAATGGTCGTTATGTTAAGAAACTTGAGGATAAATATAACATCTTTATTAAGTTCCCTAAGTCTACCAATCATGATAATGAAAGTCCTAACACTAATAAACCTGATGAAATCACAGTTCGTGGTGGTAAGAAAGACTGCCATGCTGCTAAGGAAGAATTAATGGAATTATATGAATATGAAAAAGAAGAACAAGAAAAGAGAAAGGAGAGAGAACAGAAGCATAAGGAATATGAAGAGAAGCGTGCTGCTGAAGAGAAGAGAAGAGCCGAAGAAAAGGCTGCCAGAGAAGCTAGAGAAGCTGCTAAGGAAGCTGCTAGAGAGGCTAAAAGAGCTGAAAAGGAAGCTGCTGCTGCTGCTGCTGCTAAGAAAGAGTAAACCAATCTTCCATTTATATATGTACATAATATAATGAAATATATATAACACGTACATTTGTATTTAGATAAAAAATAAAATAAAAAAAATAAACGTCTTTATCAAGAAAAGGTTTTTATTGTAATTTCTATCTTTTTTTTTTTTTTTGGAATGAAATATATACTACTTAAACTTCAATTATTCGAAACATGTTCCTATTTTTACTCATCTAAGATGCTTAATTGAAAATGGTTTTTTTAGTGTTTTGGACTACTTTCTAGTAGGTTTATATTTGCAGTCATAATGAATTTTCACGAATATGTTCATGTGATCCTGATTTGATATTTATTTCAACGTCACCCAAATCAATTTTAAGATTATGTTCTAAACCCGTTATAACTTTTGAATGAATTAAGCATATTTAGTCCTTCACAAATGGTGGGAAGTAGGATTTCTTTAATTTTAAAAATAAGGCTTATGAAACATTTTAATCAAGATTACTCTCTTTTTTATTAACTTTGATATTACTACATATAAAATTCTAACATCATATTTTCAATCATTGCCATTATCATCATTAATAATAAAGAGCATGTTTATTTATCAAATATGTAATATTAACTATTCTACGTTAGTCATAGATACGTCTATTATGTATGTTTTAAATTAATCTAAAAGCATAATGTGTGATCGCAATTATAGATTTTAATATAAAGTTTTCTTCTTTATACTATGATACACTTTATTATAATTTACATAATAATAATAATAATAAATTAATTTTTTTTTTTATTACAAATACACTCCAATCTATAACTTGCCATTAGTCCTAGAAGCTATCTCTTCATCTATGTCAAAGTCTATATTCATATTTCTTTCTTGCTCGTCATGACAATTTTTTCCCTTATTAATCACCAGTTCAATTTCACGGATAATATCATTGTCATAAGGATGGTATTGATGCATATAATGTTTAGCTGTTATTCGCGGAATATAGCAAGCTACACATGTTAAAATAAATATTAACCAGTAGGCACCTGTGCCAAATAATCTGATTTGCCCTCCAAAAAGAAATGTGTTGAATTGTGAATAAACCGCCACAAACGCATAATAGACCAAAATGGATAGTGCAACGATCAATACTTGGATCCAGGTATAGCTATAGAGTGAAAAGACTACAAAGAAGTTGGCTACACAAACAGCAATACTAGAGATAATTGTACCAATCTCATAAAGTCCGTTAGCGTCATAGCCATGAGGATCAATAGCTCCTCCTACAAGTAACATGTAAGGGAAAAAGAAACAAACGGCTGATTGAAATATAGAATCAAAAACAGTTAACCAGAATTGCCAAACTTTGAATTTATCATTTCTAAGGCCCATACGATAGAGTTTTGGATATAATAATGAAACCTTTGCATTTAAATCTTGATCCCAGATGCCTAAAAAGATAATAGGAAGTGACGTAAAGACAAGATTGTATAAGGTAATTAACGCATAATCAAACATCATGGAACCATTAAACCTATACAATTGATAAATAAATGTAATGTAATATAATATATACATATAACTTACTGGCAAAAGATTTGATACCAGAATAGCACAAAGGTCCAAACAATGTTCTTGAAAAAGAACCCCATAATCATTTCTGCTGTTCGGAGATATGACCAACGTCCATGTACTAATAAAAGTTTTCTCAAGAATCTAAATTGCGCAATTGCATAATCAGATGCCATAACTGCTTGTCTACCTTCTACACCAGAGATACCAATACCTACATTGGCTTCTTGTATCATCGATACATCATTAGCTCCATCACCAATAGCAAGTGTCATCACTTTAAGTCCCTTTTTCACTAAGCGTACAACTTGTGCCTTTTGTTTAGGACTCACTCGACAGCAAATCACGCTAGCACATTGCATACCTAATGTCAAGATTTGATCACGTGTATCATCCTCTAATGCATACTTAAGTGTAGTGCCATCAATTATCAATGCATATCGTTTCTCATTGTCGACAACTGTATTGACCTTTTGTAAAATATTCTCTATAGCATTGGCTGTATCATTACGATTTGTTGCGCGTAAAATGAGAAGCTCCATATCAGATGTTAACAGATTACATGCAAAACCAATATTGATAGCTGTTTCCGTTTTATCACCTGTCAATACCCAAAGCTTAATACCCGATTTTGCGAGCTCTGCAATCGTTTCGGGGACACCATCTTGAAGTCTATCTTCAATAGCTGTACCACCCATTAAAAGCATATTTTGTTCAATTTCTTCACAAATAGCATCTACACGCTCTTCACGGTTATGTATACTAGCTGAAGCTTCCTCGAACCGTTTATTCCATGGTTTATATTCTTCAGGAGAAAGAAACCGATAAGCAAGACAAAGTGTACGAAGACCTATAATATAAACAAGAAAAATACATAAAGTCCAATATTCAATATAAAATTCAACTCTTTTCGCTCTCTCTCTCTCTCTCTCTCATGCAACTTTTACCTTCATTTGCAAATTCTTCCAAGTCTTTCATAGTTGCATTCTTTAAATTCTCTTGCTCCTCCTGCAATTCTCTTTGATCTCCAAAGTCATTACACAATCGTTCATAAATAACAGAATCTGCACCCTTACAGAGAAGCACAATATGATCACTCTCGTCTGGTTTAACAATGACACTCATTCGCTTTCGAGTTGAATTAAATTCAAGCACATTTAAGAGAGTGAATGTCTTTTCTTTATCCTTCACCTTAATAAAAACCTTGTTTGAATCACGTCCTAAAAAGACAAACCCCATATCTCGTGCTGTTGCTACGAGTGCTGCCTCATCGGGTGATTGTGCCTTATAGTCAATACGTCTCTCATTTACATCATGATCTGCAATCGCAGTGTGACAAAGAGCTAGTGTTTGGAAAAAATGAGTAATTGCTGTTGACTGCTTTGTCTCCCCCACCAGATCATCAAATAAACTAGGGTCAACGAAAGTCGGGTGAGATCCAATATAAGGATTTTTGAAAAGTGCAGCCTGTTTATCAAGCATAAGTTGCTTCAGTTTCTCCATTTCAATCGTATCAGGTTCATGCATACTTAGTTCATCCATATCTATTTCGTCTGTGTCGTCACTTCCAGCATCATATTCACGTTGTTGTCGCTTGAGGGCGCCTAATGTAGCCTCTGTTGTTGCAGCAATACCATATGAGGTCCCATTGATTGTACACTTTCGGAATTCCATCACATTTTGTGTTAGTGTACCAGTTTTATCAGAGAACACATACTCAATTTGTCCAAGGTCATCGGAAATGTTCCAAGTCTTTGGTATACAAGGTGTGTCGTTTGGAGCATAATACATGTCTAAGTCTGCAAAAATAAAATAAGCCTAAAAAAAAAAAAAAAAATAGCGGGATCAGCAATTATTTTCCCCACTTTTTTTTTTTTCATTACTTACAGCTAATGTCTTTACGATTTCTACAGAGATATATAATGAAATAGGTACAATATTTTGATATAAAATAAGTGTAACCCTAGTAAAAAGAAAGAAAATGTTAAAAGATTATATATACTTTTCTTTTTTTTTTTTTTTTTTTTTTTACCAAAATGTGAGGAATCCAGAATAAGATGCGTTTGATCCTTCTATGCCATAATCAAAATGCCGTGAAGATCCTTTCCCATTAAACTCAACACTATCCATAATAGAACTTACAATACAAATAATAGCTAATATACAAAAGTTAGCAATAACCTAAAGATATACATATATATAATTATATATTAAAATCAAATCATTAAATAATCCACCACCCGATTAAAAAAAAAAATTACATGAGGATTTGTTGCCTTTGCCATTTTACTTCGTTTTGAAGGAGTTCGACCGGTATTAAGCATAATTTTTGTATCATTGCCAGTGTAAACAACAATTCCAATTAGCCATTTCGTGTTTCTTAAAACGCAACCTCTTAAGATAATGTTATTATAAGTGACCGCATCTGCCTTTTCATGGGCTACACCTGAACGAGTTGTCTCTGACTCATTTGCATCGACTTGCCATCTTAATACCGCATTATATTGATAAATATTCACATGAGGTGGTTCACTCTCGATATAGAACCGAGCTCGTTCACAATCATGCTCAGTTCGAAGGCCATTGGTACCTGGTAAGCCCTGACGTTGTTTCAGATTGGTTTCTCCATCTAGGTTCTGTGTCTCGACGTAACAGATATTATCATTTTCAGAGGTTGACAACACCACGATATCAGCAGGGATATCTTGATCATTTTCAATCTTCACATAGTCACCCACGTTTAATTCCTTCCATTTTGTGTATCCCCATTTGACTTGACAATTAGGGGCAGGTGGATCCCCTGGATAAGCATCTGCACAAGAACATTTTATATCATGACTTGGCAAGGGCTGGTGTAGACTAGTTGAAGTACGTTCATTTTCTAGAATGTCGCTATGTCTATGTGCTGTTGTGGTCGTTGAAGAATCTCGGGTTGACATTCGATAAAGGACAGAATGTGGAATTGCGCCGGGACGATAGGGTTCTCTCCTGTTGGTGAGTTGAGAAGGCGCAGTCGGGATATTTTGATTTGGAGATCGGTTAGTAAATATAGAACGGATTGTATCTGATCTCTTTCGAACTGAGTTTATCAAAGATTTAGGTGGAGATGAAATAAATTCCATTTGTTGATCTAATTCTGTTAAAGGTAATCGGTCTTCTTTAGAGGAAGATTTCATTTTTTTCTTGTTGTTGTTGTTGTTATTATTAGGCTCAGGCTCGGGCTCGGGCTCTGACAGATTATCTATTTGAATAGGAGATTTCTTTCTTGACTGTCTATATGTATGAGCATATCTATTTTCTGTACCAGACAGAATACAAAAGAATCCTACAAGGATATGGAAATAATACCAAGGCCCCTTCTTGATATCCGGGATATTCACATTTCTCCAATTCGATAATCGTAACACAGTCGAGTTATTGACTTTATCATCACTTTCATTTCGCTTCCAATCCTCAATACCGTCTTTAATTGCAGTAATGATCAAGATACAAATAAGAGGTAATGCAGATACAACAGGCTCTGTCACACCGAAAATAGGAATACATTGTAAAATAACTAGAAATAAAAAATACAAATTGGCTACGTTTCGAAATTGTTCAAATAAGTTCTTTGGTATAAATGTAATAGGTGTATATTTAGCAGTTCGTACTAAATTAGTAGCATAGTTATGGTGGATTTGGTTATCTTTTTCATCAAATTCTGAAGACGGTAGATCCATATTCACATAAATATATCGTCTCGATTGCATATAAGAGGATGTTGATGCCATACGACTTAACCCATTATTTTCTTGTTCACTTTCATCATATTTATGGTTTTTTGATTTTTTTATAAATATATTTTCTCGAGATATTATTTTCATATTTTATCATATAAAGAAACAAACAATATGTAGGAAATAAAGTTAAAAAAAAAAAAAAAGAAAAAAAAAAGAATTAAAAAATAAATAAATAGAATTACTTCAAACTTAAGCTATTATAGGAACTGTTCTTGAAAACGCTTATCCACGTGTAATTTGTTAAAAGAAAAAAAAAAAGTAGCGGTTGATTTATGATCCCCCTTCCCACCATTTCGGTTAAATACCTTCACCGTTTTTTTTTTTTTTTTTTTTTTTTTTTTTTTTTTTTTTTTTTTTGAAAAAATTGTAACTAACAAATTTTCCTTGTTTGGAAGTATTTCCTCTACCAAATAAATATATAATAATAGATTTATACACTATTCAGAATTATTGGAAAAGAAAAATCCTACAAAAAATAAATTAAATGAGACAAAGGCTGATACAGACAAAGGAGATAAAGTTGGTCAAAAAAAAAAAAAAAAAAAAATTATTAGTATAAGAATAATAATAACTAATATATATGAAGTGTACTTGCCTTGAAGTGATTAAAAAAAAAAAAGGTTATAATCTACTTCTTATTCTGAGCGTAAGGCTTTGAGTTAACTAGATGGTTTTGACTCTTTCTTCTTATGTTGCTATTGGGGGAGGGAGGGTGTTACAATCTCTTTTTTTTTCTCTCTCTCTCTCTCTCTTGGCAGTGGTAGAGGAAAGGGAAAGAAAGTTCTTACAGAACGTTTTGGTCGTAAACCTCAATTCAGAAATGATATATTGATAGCTTAAAACAGCAGCTCAATCACAATTCCAAACTATGGTCAACAACAGAATTCAAGCAATTCTTCGGTGGTACATCCATTAAACATTATAAAGCAGAGTCTTTTATATATAATCTATTACAAGATAAAATCAAGTATTTCAGAAAGCTGTAGTGTAGAACCTTTGGTTTTTTTTTTTCTTAGCAGGGATCACCAATATTCTTTTCTACTTCTTACAAAGACCTAGCTTGCAGTAGGGTTGTATTGTACTCATCAAATAGGTATACATATCCGCATATATACTTTTATAGATGGTTCAACATCCATTGTATACAAATATTTATCTAAAAGTAAAATATGAAAAGAGGAGAGGAAAAGTAATACTAAGATAGTACTTTATTAATAATGCCGACCTTTTACAATTGATCTACATATTCAACCCTTAAAAACCAGTTCAACACAAAAGTCTATTTATGTCACTTGCTAATCAGTATGAAGAAAAAAAAAAAAAAGAAAAAATCTTATATCCATTAAAAAGGCATTCTATGTTACTTTATATTCCATTCTATGTAAATGATTATCTCATAAAATTACGCTGTAAAGAAACAAAAGGAAAGAACTTATAGATGTAATTACTCCCATACCCAAATTTTAACAATAAAAGAGCCCGATCTCTTATTATGTAACCCCCCTTTTACACATGTGTACATACAGAAATACCACTTTTTCTATGTGAATAACAAATTATTTATTTTCTTTTTTTTTTTTTGATTTAGAAAAAAAAAAGTCAAAAAACGGGAATTTAACGAGAGGTGGCAGCAGCCTTAGGAGCGAAACCCTTAGCTTGTTGCTTGCTGACCTTGGATTGGTTAACCTACCAAATACAAATAAAATAAATACCCCATATAAATATATATATGTATATGTATGTGTATATATTTAATAACTTACATTAGGGTTAGCAGCCTTCTTAGCAGCAGCAGCAGCCTTCTTAACTTCCTTGGACTTGGCAATAGCGGCTTGACGAGCAGCAGCACGAGCATCAGGCTTTTGGTTACGCTTAGCACGAATAGCTTCCCAAGAGGCACCGGCAATAGCACGTTCGTGCTTGACGGTACGACGAGAACGCTTCTTGCGGACTTCTTCAGTAATACCCTTCTTATTCAAACGACGGTAGATTTGGGTCCATCTGATCTTACGAGGGTTCAAACGTTGAAGGAAGTAAGAGGCAGCCTTACCATTAATGAAACGGAAAGTCTATAAAAAAATAAAATAAATAAAATAAAATAAAATCAATTACATTGGGTCCATTTGCTGATGTCAAATTAAATAAATGAAGAAAATTCTGCTTACTCTATAAAATGAAATGAAAAAAGAGAAATATTAATATATAATCCCATTTCATACATTAATTTTTTTTTTTAGATTAAATTTACCTAGAGTCGACACGAACGTAAGTCTTACCCTTGGCAGGATAGATCTTATGACCAGAGAAGGAACAAATCTCAAGCCTAATAAAAATGAATCCATGTAAGTTTATGATTGTCTTTATAATGTTTAATTCGATATGCTGTTATTATCGAGTAGATGGATCGTTTGATGGATGATACATTACTTCATTGTTCAAATGGGTGCTTATGGGAGCTGAAAGAGGAAGTACAATATCCCACATCAGCATTTCTTGCTTGTACTCTGCGATAACTCAAGAGGCATTACAAATGTCCGATAATAAAAAAAAAAAAAATAACAAAGGAACGTCCGGCCCGGATTATAAATTTATAATTTATGCTTATCATAGATTTAAATTTTTTTTTTTTTTTCTCAGTGTTGGGTAACCCATATTTCATATTAAAAATTAAAGAAAGCAATTCTTAGAGCTCAAAATTCAACATTTTATATATTTATTAAAAGTCTAATAAAAGTTGAGGCAGTATACGTTCTAAATGCTCAACTTCAAGTGTATTTGAAGCCTCATTCACTGTTGTTGTAGTGTTCATAATATCTTGTTCATCAGAGGCTCTATGTATTGCCTCTAAATCTTGAATTGGTTGATGTATTTTATTTATTTATTTATTTTTTCTTTTGTATTTACCTACTGTAAAAAGTCTCAGAAATTCACAAGCTAATATAATAGCTTCTTTATTAGCTAAGTTGATAAAAAAAAATAAGTTGTCAATCTATAAAGAAATAAAGTTAAAAGAAAAAAAAAACCTTTTGCGTTGTCACTTTTGTAAGCAGCCTTAAATACATTTGAAACAGTATCCTAAGAAAAAAAAAATTATTCATATAAGCAAAAGATTGTTATAAACAAACTCTTTATTATCATTACTGGATTAAAAGTTGTATCGTTCATGCTGTTACAATCTGATAAATCAAAATAAAAAAAAAAAAAAAAAAAAGAGAAAATAAGCTTTGAATTTTTTTTATTTTATTTTTTATAAATAAAGTTGACTGCATAATTTATTTATTTATTTATTTCAACTAGTTCAATAATAATGAAGATGAGGAATGAGCATTTTCCTTTTTTACTATGGAGTTTTGATTAAATCTGATTGTTCTAAAGAAACCATCATTTCTATTGATTGTTGTGATGAAGAAGCTGACACAGCTTGACGGTCCTAATATGTTAAATATTATGTAGTTTTATTAAGGGCTGTACAAATACATGTCATACCTGTTTTTCACTTCGGAATGAAGATGATTTAAATACGCGTGGTAAGGCTGCTACACGACTATCAAAGTAGTAGTAATGATAATAATAAGTTGATGTCAACACCACACACACATTTTTTTTTATCTATTTATTTACCCATCTTCCAGATCAGTGACTAATAAACTGTACTTTTTTCTAAATTGAATCAACTCATTTCTATATTTATTACATTGTTCATATTTTTGAAGATCTAAAATATGTTACAGATGAAAAATAAATGATACATGTATAAATGTGTATGTGTAATCAACATCATTAATATAGTTATTACATTCTTTTTCCATTTCTATTGTCCTTGTTTTCAAATTCATTAACTCCACTTTTAGTGCATCTGTAGTTCCTAAAAAAGTTGATTCAATATGTTGATGTAAATGTGATGTGTTCCAATTCTTTTCCCTTCAAAGGAAAGAAAAATGAGTTTAATGATTCATATTTTATTTTGGTGTAAATATTTTCATACGCTAAAAGTGGAGAACCAATAGGGCTTGTCACTTCTGACATACGAATAGGGCCTTGTTGCTTACAGAATGAATCCAACTGTTTTTGTAGACGATTGACTATGATGGCTTGCTCTTGTTCCAGGGCATTCTCCATATCTACTTTTTCTTTTTGAAGCTAGGTAATAAAAGAAACATGGTTCAATGTGTAAGCCATGTATGGTGTATACAATATCATTTACCTTCATTAATTTTTTTTGCAACATGTTTGTAAGGCTTTCTTCTTCTTCTTCAACTTGAATTAATAAGCGTTCTTTTTCCTTTTTTAGTTGTGCTATATGTTTGAGTAATTTGTTAGATATATATTCTTCTTCTTGCTCATTCATGACAGACTATATATATATTATGATATAGATATGAGTCATTGCATTGCATATAAATTAAAAGGTACATCTATTATTACCATTTTGATAGTTTCTTTCTTTAGTATTTCATTCTCTTCACGTAAATGATTGATTTGTCCACGCTCTGTTTCTAACTGTGACTGTAGTGTTTTGAAGCAGGTTGTTTGCATCATGTATATTTTATATAATTTTTGTAATTGAATTTGAAGCTGTCTTACATCCTCAAATTGGTTTATATTTTTTTCTCCTGAAATTTCTATATGAGTTTCATCTTCCTAATATAAAAGGACATTAATATGTATTTGTATCTTTTCTTTTCTTTTCATGTTATACAGTATGAGTTGGCTGAATTATGATAGTGTCGTCTTGATTTATTATGGACATTTATAATAATCTTTACGACCAAAATATATGTGTGATTTAGTATAAAGAAAGTATAACAAACATAGAGTAAAATAGATAAATATACATGTAGATGAATATGTATATATGCATGCATGTATGTATGTATGTGTTCTTTTTTTTTATTATTATTATTATTAAAGAAATATTACCTTTTGAAGTTATACAACAATGTAAAAGAAGAAGAAAAAAATATATATAAATATATATATAGAAGAAAGAAATGGAAAGGAAAGGAAAAAAAGAAAGCGGCAATATATACATATACACAGTACATCACCATTTACTGATATATATTTACGTGTTGCATAAAGTACATGGTGTTTGTATCACAATTGTACTTTCTGAGAAAAGCGTATCTATAGTAAGCAGTAAGTTTTAAATATAATAATCTCAAAGGACATCACAATATGGATTGGTGTCACTCATCTTCTTCTATGCATTGAGGAAGAGACTCAATAAATAAAAGAATAGAATACTGTTTAATAATACGCTTTGAACTCATCATTACTACCTCCTTTTAAACCTTAACCCAAACCCTAAAGAAAAAAATAAAAATAAATAAAAATAAAAATAAAAATAAAATAGAAATAGAAAGAAAGGGAGACTAACTATTTTATTTGATTCTATTCTATCCTACTCTATTTTATGGCATATTGAATATCTAGAATAGAAACAGCTTATTTGGATATAATTGTCCTGTCCTCATTAAAAAAAAAATGGCTGGACAGTATTTATCAGTTTTTCAGTAGTTAGTAATAATAATGGGGATTTTGGCGTATTAGTGTTATCTTATTTGCACACACGTTTATTCTTCATTATATAAATACACTATTTATTTAAAAAAACATATTAAAAAAGCTGGGGAATCCAGTATGTAAGATTCCATCATCCTCATCATAAAGCTCATCCATTTCTTCACCACTGTTATAATCATAGTGTTCGTTATCATCAGTATTTGGTCCCTATTAAATAAAATAATCTTAATAATACTCTCCCCCTCTTTTTTTTTATTAACTAACTCTTCCTTACATTGGTTTGATGATAGTCTTGTGGAACTTCTTCTAATAATGTAGCTTCATTTGTTGAAGAAGCTGCTCCTTCTTCTTCAATATCATCGTCTTCAATTGTAATTGGCGCATTTGTGTTTCCATTTTCTATAGGAAGTTCCGTCTGTTCCTTACTTGTTGTTTCATCTTCATCATCAATCACAATAGCATTCTCTTTTGCTTTCTTTTGTTGTTCTGTTTCAAATAATTCATTTATGGCTGCTTTTGCTTCTCGTGTCCTTGGCACTTGAATGGTATCAGGGAATTTTACATGAAATGTCACTAAAAGATCACCTCGAGCCCCTGTCTCACTATTGAACAGAGGCATCCCTTCTCCTTTCATTAAGCGTTGTGTGTTGGGTTTAATTACATTTCCGCAAACTTGTGTTACTGTCAAGATACGTCCATCTAGATGTGTACATAGTTTTTTATTTTTAAACCCCATAATCGCTTCCTTTAATGAAATCGTCACCGTCATATGTAGATTGTCGCCTTGACGTTTAAAGATTGGATGAGGAAGTAAAGTGATCTTGAAGATCACGTTACCTCTACTCTTCCCATCTGGTTTTAGTTTCCCCTTATCTTTTACTTGTAAACTATGTCCCTCATGAAGTCCCTTGGGCACTTTCACATTCATTTCTTTACTGATCGACTGTTTTCCATTGCATTTACTACATCGTACAAAATATCGCATATTACCTCTACCTTTACAATAGACGCATGGCATAGGTGCTGTCATCTTTCGATTCACAAATCGCTCCTCTGTTGTTCCTTTACCATGACATTTATCGCATGTTTTTATCCTTCTAAGTTTTGCATCTTTGCTATTCCTATATGCGATTATATTAAAAGAGTCATTTGTGCGATATTTCGTTTATCTACTTTACCCATGACAATCATCGCAAATAATAGGTTCCTGATAAGTCATTCTAACTGTCGATCCATTATAGACATCTTCAAGTGTTATTTTACTTGTAGAGTAAATATTATAATCTATACATATCATATTTTAGTAAAAGAAAAAAAATGGTTACTATAATATATATGTATATATATGCTTACTGGGTGGTCGCTGATGATAGGTAGATCTAAAACCAGAAAAGAAATCGAATGGACTATAAAACGTAAATCCATCCCTACTTCCATATGATGAATAACTATGATTTCTATTTTCTGTTTGTTCTTTAGATATGTATTCTTTTCTCTTTTCTGGATCAATTAAAATGCTGTATGCATGAGAAATCTCTTTGAACTGAAACAAGATCATTAGATTAGATCAATTAAATATATATTCTATAATCCATACCTTTTCTGCACCATCTTTATTTTTATCAGGATGATATTCTTTTGCCTAAAAAAAAACGAGAGAGAAAGAGAGAGTGTTGACATGCGAACAAATCTAAATGTAAGAAAAATGAAAGTTGTCTAAAAGATTAATGACTATTTTACCAAATTACGATAGGCCTATATAAATGTCAAGTAGATTAGTATAGATCAATTATTAAATTAGACTTTACATTACCTTTTTCACTTCATTTATAGAAGCAGAAGATGTAAGACCCAAAGTTTGATAAAGTTTTTCTACCATTTTAATCCTTCTATTTAAAAAAAAAAAAAAAATAAGGAGAAAAAAAAAAAAAAAGGAATTTACGTTGACAAGCAGAGAATTTAATAGAACTTTAATTTTTTAAACAGCGATTTCCTCTTATCACTGTGGAGCGTACAAAATTTTAATTTACTGCAAATCTTTATAAATACATCAAAAAGAGCGTATTGAAGTTCATCAAAGCTATCATAGTTAGTTTCTGTTAATCAATCATGTTTCTTATAGTGTACAAAGTTCATCTCGTATTAGAAAAAAAAAAAAGTTAGTTTCTATAGTCAATATGCTTTATAAAATGGTAAAATAAAAGAAACACAACAAGTTTCAGAAGATTGAATAGAGAGATCAATCTTTAATGCTATCCTAAAAATGATACTCACAATTCTTTATATCTTGAATAAATAATAATATGTATACGACTTTATTTATTATTAGAGTCTAATTGTTTCTTTGACTTCTAAATTAGGAAATGAAATAAACTTCCTGGTAGTAGTTTTATAAAATCGTTATCCAATGAATAGTAGGATTAATAACAGCCTTATCCCTATAATCAAGAGGTTATATCCTTGATAATTTCATATACTATTCATGGCCTTTCTCCAGAATCAATCATTTACTCCGCTTCTTCTTCTTATTTTATTTATTTATTTTTGCTCTTTATATCTCATTATGTAAGGCTATGAGAAAGCTCGATTATAAGAAATCAAATAGTTTCATTTAAACTATAGATGAATGAAAAAAAAAATTTTTTTTTTGTTCCTTTCGTGAAAATATAAACTAAAAAGTATGTGTTGTCTATGCTGATTTATAGTTTGTGAATAGTTACACATTAATGAATATTTATAAAAATATAAAAAAAAAAAATCGTGAAAATCCCGATACTAGTTTAAGACTTAAAAAAAAATAATAAAAAAAAAAATCTGAGGGGTGAATAGAGGATTCCACTAAGCGACGATACATGCGCCCACTAATGACATTTTTATATTCATAGCTTGGATAACCCCCTATTCTGTTCTCTCCTCTATATTTAATATGGTAAAGTATATTTACTCAAAATTCAAGAAAAAAAAAAAAGAACATTAGAATGAAAAGCAGGGAATGTATGGATAGATGGATGGATGGATGGATGAATTAGTTGGATAAAAATTGAATGTTGTATTAATGAACACTGTTTACGCATCTGAATGTAATAAAAAAAAAGAGAGATTTTGTAATCAATTTGAATGTTTTTTAATCAACAGTAATTACAATTAAACTTTAGACATCATTTGATATTAATTTTCGATTACAATATGAACAACAATTTAGTTTAATTTTGACATTCTCTGTCTCATTCTACATGTCTTTTTTTTTTTAAAAAAAAAAATACACATAGTGGGAGAAACATGTATTAAATCTATTTGTTCATTTGGATTATAGGCTAAGAAGGACGTTGCCGGTAAGCCTAGCTCTAGCTCTGGTGGAAAGAAGGCCAAGAAGAAGTGGTCCGCTAAGAAGGTTAAGGACAAGGCTAACAACTTGGTTATGCTTGATAAGCCCACCTATGATCGTTTGTTCAAGGAAGTCCCTACCTACAAGCTCATTTCTCAATCTGTCTTGGTTGACCGTCTCAAGTTGAACGGCTCTTTGGCTCGTATTGCCATTCGTGAACTCGAAGCTCAAGGTTTAATCAAGCCTATTTCTCGTCATCACGCTCAAATCATTTATACTCGTGCTACTGGTGATGAAAAGAAGGCTGTTGCTGAAGACGAAGAATAAACAGGAATTCTCGTCACTTTGTTAAATATGATAAATAAATCTTTTTTTTTTTATTTGTATAAATTTGTAACTGAAATTGTTATGGCTTATTTTCTTATCCTTTTTTATTATTATTATTATTATTAATATTATTCATTCTTATTTTATTTATAATTGTTCGTACAGTTGGATTAGCGTCTATTAGTTTAAAAGAAAAAAAAACCAAAAGATAACTACGGCCAATGCACCGGCTGATATACAAAGATATCAAGCACGTTGGGTTAATCGTGGGGATGAGTAGCGCAATATAGCCCATTGATAAAGATTCGCATATACCACGACTCTGCTCATACCCTTTAATGTTGAAAAGAAAAAAAAAAAAATTCGAGAGCAAAATTAGAAGCATATTTTTATACTTGAATAAACTGACTTTAAAATGGGACTGCTTTATTTTATTCTATTTTATCTTACTTTATTTTTTTAGAGCAGCTTGTTGAGAAGAGGAAATAGTATGGTTATTGTGAATATTCAAAGAATATTTTTTGTTGTGGTTATGTTTTAATTGTAAGTAATATATTTGAGTCTTGGATTTTCCTAAGAATCCTTTAGACTTGTATTTAATATTTAAAAATGCTTATTATTCAAGCTGCTTTAAAATCGTTTATCAGCATGTTGCCTTAAGGCTCTGCAACTTTTGCCTTGTTAAAGTCAATATTTAATTCATTCAAGAGCTTAAAAAAAAGAAAAAAAATACTCGAAATACACCTGATATGAAACAAATTATATCGATAAATATAACGTCAACAGCTTAAAAATAGTTCATACGTTACTATTAAAATTTATATCTTTTCCTTCTATTCGTAGGATTCCATCTGTTCTGTTCATTTAGTGCCCCTCCTCGTCGAAAGATTTATTATCGTCTAATCTGACTCAATAAACCTTTTTTTTTTCTTTCATCTTGAAAGCTTTCCTTGTTTATCTATTAACGTGTGATAATATAAATTTGTATTTTGTTTGAAAAGACATCTACCTTTTTATTTTTTCCTGTATGGTTTTTTCTACTCTATATCAATATATCTACCTAACCGCTTCCAGCTTGTACTTTGTGTTCAAAAGTAATATGTATGCAATTAAATATCAAAATTTAACAACATAAGTGTGGTATTATAAAGCGAGTAGCAATACTATAACTATTAGAAAAAAAAAAACTTGGCTATGATTATTGTAATGGCTAATATGACCTTTGTTATGTTAAAATACACAAGGCATTACTTATTATTTAGCGTAAAGAAGAAAGATTATCTAGTTCACCATTTTGGACCTTTAGATTTATTTTTGAAGAAATTAAAAAAATAAAATAAAATAAAATAAAATAAAATAAAATAAAATAAAATAAAGAAGGGAGGAGGGAAGAGGGCAAAATGCTTATATTTTATAAGTTGATGATTTCCAATGTCCACTTTTACCCCCTTTCTTTTCAATGACACGAACGCCTTCAATAATCATATCCTTTGAAGCTGCTTTACACATGTCATAGACAGTCAATAGAGCCACACTTGTTGCTGTTAAGGCTTCCATTTCAACACCTGTCTTCCCGGATGTCTGTACTGTCGACTCACATTCAACACTTTGCTTGTCATCATCAAGCCAAAGTCGGACATCAATTAAACCTAACAAAAGTGGATGACAAAGAGGAATAAGATGAGAGGTCGTCTTGGCTGCTTGAATACCAGCTATTTGTGCTACCGTCAATACATTTCCTTTCAAGGTATGCACTTGATTCGATTTCAGCAGATCATAGGCTTGCTGAGGCAAAATGATACGGCCTACTGCCTTAGCTTCTCGCTTTGTAGGCGCTTTATCTGTTACAGATACCATACGAGCTTCTCCTGTAGTTGGATCCGTATGTGTTAATCTTGGTTTATCACCATCATCATCATCATTGGCTTTTGTTGAATAGTAGCGTATACTTTGACTCAATGTAGTTGAAGGGATCATGAAGGCTGGTATTCTTCTATTCCCACTAAAAGGCAAACCAAAGGGATGAACAACTATATATAATAATAAAAAAAAAAAAGAAAAAGAAAAAGAAAGAAATAAGCAAAAAGAAAAAGCAAGTTAATTTTCTAATTTATTTTTCTATCAAGTGTATATCATTTTGTTTTTCTAAAACAGCAAAAGAAAAAAAAATAGAGAGAGAGAGAGAGAGAGAGAGAGATGGCATGATGTATTTTATAGATACACAACATAAGGAATGAATGATAGATGCAAATGCTGCTTTAATGATATACAATGAAATTTATCCGCCAATAAGAATCATTGGCCTATTCTTTTTAGATGCCAATTCAAACATACCAGCATGTTGTTTCTTCTTTTTCTTTACTGCTGCTCCAATTATTTCTAATAACTCTTCATCGCTCTTTCCTTCCCGTATCATATCGCGTAATGATACTTCTGCATTACCAAACAAGCATACCTTAATACTTCCATTTGCTGTTATACGCAATCTATTACATGTACCGCAAAAATGATCTGTCATTGATGTAATAAATCCTAATTTTCCTTTATATCCAGGTATTTGATAATGCTACGATCACATAAATGAGTATCAATGTACATACTTGGACTAGTATAGTATAGATATAGATAACTAATTATTTACCTTTGTTGTATCGTTTAAAGCATCACCTACTTTGTTCATTCGACCATAGATAGATTCTATCTTATGAATCAACTCCTTGTAGGGAACAAGTTTATCACTCTTCCATTTGTTTCCATCAAATGGCATGTATTCAATAAATCGTACATCTACAGGATGATCTTTTGTGTAGGCAGCAAATTTCAGTACCTCTTGATCATTCACCCCACGCATCACTACTGTATTGATCTTTACACGAGGAATATTTAATCTAATGGCTTCATCAATCGCACCCACCACTTTTTCAAAGCCTTTTCGTCGTGTCATAATTTCAAACAAGTGAGGGTCCAACGTATCTAAGCTAACATTCAAAGTATCTAATCCACCTTCTGCTAAAGCAGGCAATTTACGTTTCAGAGCAATCCCATTTGAAGTCATTGCTAAACTCTGGAGTCCAACTTGCTTTAATTGACCCAGTTTTTGAACGAGTTCAATAATATCAGGTCGTACCGTGGGTTCTCCACCTGTTAAACGAATCTTTGTTACGCCCTGACTAACGAAAAGCTTTGCTAAATGTAAAATTTCTTCCTTTTTCAAAAGCTGTGATTCTGGTGTTAATTGAATACCCTCTTCTGGCATACAATATGTGCCTATATACACATATTTTGTAAATAATAAGTTTGATTTAATTTTATTATTTTATTCACTTTACACCTTAAATTGCAACGTTCTGTTAAAGAAATACGTAGATAATTATGCTGTCGATTATAATTATCTATCAAGTACTTGGTAACAATTGGCTTCTTTTCTTGAGAATCAGCATTGTTGTTTGGTATTTCTGGTTGCTAAAATAATAAAAAAAAAAAATTAAATTAGTCATCAGATGTTCAACTCAATGAGAACTTACAATTCTTAAGGCTGCCGCCTAATAAAGCAAAAAAAAAAAAATGAGTAATGCTATTTTAATTATAAATAGTAACAACTTACTTGTGAGCTATAGAAGCGATAAATGCCTGGCTTGGGATTAATGTAAGTTACGATTCTTCTTGCAAACATTGCTGAAAAATGAAAAAAAAAAAAAATCAGGACAAAATGAAACAATGTGAATTTTTATTTTCTATTTGTTACCTTTTTTAGTTTTTTTTTTTTTTTTTTTTTTTGAAGGATTAAGGTTTCAGTTCATAAAACATAAAATCGCTTCATTGTTTTATTTAAAATTAAACGAATAAAAGATGAACAAAAAAAATTTTTTTTTATTAATTCAGAAGAGAATCAAAATGAAAAGAAGGTTTTAATCAATACAGAAAATAAAAAAAAGAAACATGTTTCTATTCAACATCAACAAAGTATCTTCTTCCCAAATAAGAGGAGACCAGCAAAATAAGAACATTATGCTGTTATTGCAAATGATCGCAATGATAAGGAAACATTTGTAAATCAGCAATTTGAAACATCATTTTACCGCCATTTTTTTTTTTTTTCATTGGTAAAAATGATCAATTACGAGTGAAGGGTAATTAAACTTACTTGATGAATAAGTTTTATAATTATTATTATTATTTTCTTTTGAAGAAGTTGCTAGTGTATAACACAAGAATATCCATTAAATTTTTTCTTATTTGCTGTAATAGTAACTAGTATGCCTAATCTACTATAAAAAGGTGTATTTCTTTATTTATTTATATATTTCCAAATATCATTTCGTAAATGTATGCTATTTTCTTTAAAATGTCAAATAAAATAAATAGTAACTAATAAAGAAATTACAATAGTAACAGATCTTATTTCAAGTCAAAAATAATTTCCTATGCGTGATAAAAGAATGAGAGGAAATATAAACTTTATTTTATTTTATTCTATTTTTCACGAAATTACGAAACAGTAAGTCAGTCTATAGTTGTATTGCTATAAACTAATCCAGAATACAACAGGAATGGACACTCAGCATTTGCTAATAATGCTTAATAGCTTATTTTTTTTTTTTTAAATACAAGACTTTTTGTTATAATAATTTCTCTACTACGTGTCAAGATATTTGGTTTAATACATTTCTTTTATTCAAAATTCTAATAAATAAATGTAAAATACAATACAATACATAAAATTGCAGATGGAATTAATTTTTTGTTTGTCAGTATCAATTAAGCGTGAATCATCTTTTTGTTTCGCCAATATATAATTTTTCTATACGTAAAAAAAATATCTCTAACTGTACAAATAAATTTATTATTATTATTATCTATCATCACTCGCTTGGTGGTTGAGATTGCTTATTTTCAAGCATAGTGTCTGCATTATCATAAAGGTCAGGAAAAGACTTTGTAAATTCTTCTGATAAAAGCTTTCGAAATTCCTAATATATAATAAATGCAACAACTTTTAACTCCATCTTTCTTTTATGCAATAATAAAAAAAGGTTTCCATAACTTACAGCAACTGCTTTGATTTTACCGTTTGTATATTGATTCTCTGTCGCTGCTCTTTCCACAAAACCTTGAGTAAATATATCTGGATTCTTACCATGTTCTACATAGCTTAAAATAATAATAAAAAGATGAGCTTTACTATTGATCAAATAGAAATAGTTGCCATTCTTACTTTATTACTTCTTCTGGTATAAATAAATCAATGCCATCTTTTATTTCGTCAATTTCTTTATATTGCTCGATAATACTATTACTGTTATTTTATTTTATTTTTAACATGCATGTAAGTGGAATTAATCTCGAATGTCGTTTCTATTTAAATTTTATGTAAATCTTAGAAACTTACATCTTTTTCCATACAAGCTTGTTACCATCAGGCTGAAAATCATAAACAATAACACTTAATTCAAATAATGTTTGTAGTAGTTCATTTAATTTATCTTCAACAGATTGACGAGAATCCTTTGTTGTTATTTCGTCTGGTTGCATTTACGTTGAAACAGAAGAGAGAGAGAAAATAAATAAAATAAAAAGAAGTCATGGTAAATGTAATCGAAAATAAAATACGCCATTTGATTGGGTATCATCATCTCAGCATTTAAAATGTGCAAACAAAAAAAAAAAAAATACATTTATACACATATGCATATACATTTATATATATACATGTATACACATATGTATATACATGTATATGTATGCACACTGCACAACATGTCTTATTATATAACCTCATCTTCATTTGTTTCCAGTAAATAATAGCATAAATGAAATCATCGTCTAATTATAGACTCATGATAGATAATGAGTCTACTACTGTATTAAAAAATATTATTGTTAGCTTTTAGCTTTTAGTTTTTTTTTTTCTTATACAGTCTTTTTTTTTTTATTTTTATTTTTTTACTATTCTGTAGTGCTATCCTATGTTCTAGCACAAAGAAGAAGTATAAAGGATACTTTCAAGTAATTTGTAACCAACAAACAACTGCTCATCTGAGTAACCTAAAAGTCAAATATGACGTCAAACATTCTATTTTGTTGCAATTATTACAATTAGTGTTGTCCTTTTGATTTTAATTAAATCGTCAAAAAATAAATCTTTTTTTTTTTTTTTTTTTTTAATTAAAATAAACAGTTTATCATATACAATCATATTTAATGTTAAATATAGGATTCTTGCAAAAATCGCAAAGATAAAGTCGGGATTACCGCCGTAGTTGTCGAACGTGACTAATTTCGATTTAGGTAACATAATACATAATGCGCAGTTCTCTTCCATAACTATAAGAACAACAATAAGCCAATTTCTATTTTTAATATAAAAAGGCATCTTTTTTTTTTTCTGGATAGATGAAGAAAAAAAAATGATTTTGGCAAAAGTTGTACCAATCTGTAAATCTATTATCATTACTGCAAAAAAAAAAAAAAAAAAAAAATAAAATAAATGTATTATAAAATGATTAATATACATTTTTTATATATCTGTTTTATAGTATTAGGATTATTTACCTTTGCTAATGCGCAATCGGATACTATTCGTTATAATGTTATTAGTTTGATTAACGAAACTCATTCTATGGGCGTTGTTATTGATAATATAACTTATCCTTTAATGCCTCATCATTCAGGTATCCCTATCCTTCATTCTGGTGAAGCTCCTATAGCTAAATCGGGTTATAGCTATGTTAAGATTACAAAAGAAGAAAATAATAATACAGAGGTTGAACCATTTATGCGTAGTCCTTCAACAAAGGATACGGTCAATGAATTCTTTAAACGTTCATGGAATAAGCGTCCATTGACTCAGCTTCCTACTCTTTATAAACCATTGGATGATATTCATCGTATCTATTCTCAGTTACATATCGATGATGAAATTCCTACAATTCACTTGATAGCTAGTCAAAATGATATTGACAAGCTACATACTAGCAATTCAACCGAGGATATTGAGGTCACAGCTAACATGACTTATGTTACACTGAATGACACCCTAGTTTTCCAAAATACGACTCTTTCCTTATCTGGACGAAGTTCTAGGTGGATGCCTAAGCTTTCTTATAATATTAAGCTAGATAAAAAGGATCGTCTTTATGACTATAGACGTTTGAAACTTAGAGCTTTATATACGGATCCATCCTATATACGTGAAAAGATGGCTTATGATGTTATCAAATCTGTTGGCTTACTCTCCTCTGAACTCTCTTATGTTCGTGTTATGATAAATCATCATGAAATAGGTTTGTTTGGTCTGATTGATACCTTTAAGGATCCTTGGTTAGCTAATGTTTTTGCTAATGGTAATGAAGACTATAAGAATGGCTATCTGTATCAAGGTGTCTTTATGTCCCCTACTTCAGGTCTTACTAATCATACCTCTGACCTTGCTTACTATGATAACATCACAGAGTATTCGGATGGACAATATAAAATTAAGGTTGAGCCCTCTGATGGAGAAGGAGGAGAAGTGAAAGATGCTTATGAACCTTTGATGGCATTTACAAAGTTTATTAAAGATGCGCCTACAAATACATCCGATGCTGTTACTGAATGGAGAAAGCATCTTAATACTGAATCGTTTCTCCGTTCTATGGCTCTTGAAGTCATCTTGGGCTATTCTGATGGTTATCTATCTATGGCTGATAACTATTATCTCTATCAAAACCCTGACAGGAATAACTTTTTTTATATCTCTTCTGATATGGACTTAACCTTGGGCTCTACCATGTTTAAATTAGATTGGATGTGGAGTGGTAACTATTCTACTTTCCCTGGCATGGGTACAAGACCCTTAATGAACAAAATACTGCAAGTTCCTGAGTTCAAGCAACGTTATGAAGAATTATTAGTAGATATTGCAAAGAATTTAGTTAATCCTGTTGTCATGAATAGCCGTATTAACGACATTGTCAACATGCTTGAAGAAGATGTTGAATGGGATCGAAGATTGCCACGTGTTGGTAAAGATGTCTTTTCTGAGATGGTTAATAATAACATAAGCTCTGAAGTCACTGCTGTTATAGGTAACGAGATACCCTCTAATTTTGATTTAGATACAATGCTTGATTTCCTTTTCAATTCGAACGAGACTATTTCTTTTAAGGACGCTGTGAATGGCCCTACTGGTCGTAAATCGTTATCAGGTGTTAAAGAATGGATTCATAATATCAGCAAGAATATTTTAAGTTTTTACAATCTTAATACAGGCAATACCTCTGTATTCTAGTAAAACTAAAATTTTATCTGCACATGAAATGTAGTTTATTATAACTTAAAACAATCTCCTGATTGTGTATCTGTAACTTTCAAAAGAAAAAAAAAATATTCTTTAAATAAATATAATATGTGTAATTATCTACGTATTTCTCTTTTTTTATACAATGCTTTTTATTTTATTTTATTTTATTTTTTTTTAAATCCTATATTATGCTTTTAAAACACGCTTTACAAGGCTTTCAATGCCTTCATTATTTTTAATAGCATCCTCTAAACTCTTGAGAGCATATTTAGCCAACATATCCACTTCTACATTCACTCTATCTCCAATCTTTTTAGAGGGCATAATGACATGAGCTTGTGTATGAGCAATCATCATGATAGAAAATGTACACTGGTCATCATCCACGTCGCATACAGTAAGTGAAGTCCCATCTAAACAAATAAAGCCCTTAGGGATAATATATCTCATCTTATCTTTATCAGCTTTGTCTAATTGAAACGTGAACCAAATCGAGTTTCCTTCTGGTTTGATATGAATGATCTTAACTGTCGTATCTACATGTCCCTGAACCATATGTCCACCAAATCGCTTATTTGAATCCATAGCGCGTTCTAAATTCACTTTATCTCCCACCTTTAAATCACCTATTGTCCTAATTAAATATATAATTTTCCCTCTTCCTCTCTCTTTCTTTCTCTAGTATCTTTTTTTTTTTATTTATTTATTAATCCAATCTTACCTAAATTTGTACATCTTAAAGTTTCAGGTGCAACACCTACTTTGAAAGAATCTTTATTGAATTCAGTCACAGTTAAGCAAGTACCTAATATTATATATTATTTAGAATTGAAATGACCTTTTTTTTTTTTTTTTCTATATTTCTTTTTTTTTATTATATTACCATTGATAGCAATACTGTCACCTAAATGACAATCATTCAAAATTTCTGAAGCTTCCGAGATGGTAATAGTCCATCCATTTCCACCTGATTCAGTATTGTCTAATTCCTTAATGGAAGAGACTTTACCCATAAGTTCGACAAGTCCTGTGAACATTCTTGTATGTATATATGAAATATTTTAAACGAGGGAAAATAAAATAAAAATAAAAAACTAAAATATTTATAATATAAAATGAGAGGCATAAATGCTACTACGAATTTTTATGTTTTACATTGATTTGTCATAAAAACTTCCAGTCACATCAGTATTTGGGGGAAAAAAAAAATTATGTAAGATTGTGTGCAGGATTATCATATTTATAACGAATTAGTAACATATACACACAAACATACATATACAGATATATTTCTTCCTCTGTGCCTTAATCAAGACGTTTCGATACTTGAATCTATTTTATACTTTCTTCTTATAAACATAATGGCTCTTTTATATACATATACATATGTATATATATTGATTTACTTCTACTTTATATAAAAAAGAATTCATAATATTGATAATTACATGAAATAGATTGCATAAAATTATTATTTTGAGGAAAAAAAAAAACGAGTTTTTATTTAGATATTAATTGATATTTATATATATTTCAGATTAAAAAAGAACAAGAAGGGTATTAATAGATATGTATAGATATGCTATAAATATATGAGGAAGAGGAGGAGGAAAAAAAAAAAAACCTAAGAACTCTTTTCAAAGCCCTTGACAATATCTTCGAGGGAACGGCCCTTGGTTTCAGGGACTTTAAGATAAGTGAAAGCAAAGGCAAGTGCAGCAACACCAGCAAAGATAGCGAAGGAGTAACCTTTGATACCTTCAAAGACAAGAGGGAAACATTGACCAATGACAAAGTTAGTAGCCCAGTTGACAGCAGTAGCTACAGCACCAACAGCAGAGGAGGCATAGACAGGTGTGACTTCAGAGGTAATCATCCATGGGATAGGTCCGACACCAATAGCAAATGAAACAACATAACCAAAGACGGCGACAACCAAAAGGGGTCCCAAGCTATAGACATAACCAATGATCAACAAGACACAGAAGATACAGGCACCTGCTTCAGCAATCAACAAAAGGGGGCGACGACCCATACGATCAACCAAGATTAAAGAAAGAATAGTAGAGGCAAAGTTGACAACGGTAGTGACAATAGCCATGTACTTGGACATCTCAGCAGAGAAGGACATGTTAAAGATAGTAGTAGAATAATACATGACAGCATTAATACCAATCATTTGTTGAATGACGTGAAGAGCAAGGACAGTGAGGGCAATACGACGAATAAGTGAATCAGTAAAGATCTGGATCATGTTCATGGATTCACGAGCACCTTCATCAGCAGTAACAATACCATCTTCAATTTGATCATCAAAGGACTTGGTCTCATCTTTATTGGTGGCAGAGGCACTACTATCCATACCAGTAATAGCTCTAGCAGCAGCAGCACCAAGTTGACCTTCAACCATACCATAGAATTCCTTATCAATGTTTGTGTTAGGACGAAGTCTTTGAAGTGATTCTCTGGCTTCTTCAATACGGTTAATAGAGATAAGATAACGAGGAGATTCAACACAACCAGACATCAAGAAGAATTGAGCAATAGCAGGGAGAGCAACAAGGGCATAATTAATACGCCAGAGAGGAACATTTGCCAAGGGGAGACCGATAACAGAGGCAAGCAAGATACCAATGACAATAGCAAATTGATTACAGGTACCCATAGTACCACGAGCCTTGATAGTAGAGATTTCACCAACATAGGTAGGAGTAGCCAAGGAACCGAGACCACAAGAGAGACCACAGAGAATACGACCCACAATAAACATGGCAGGGTTTACTGCAACACCTTGTAAAAGACCTCCAAGTATCCAACCCAAATTATTAAAAATAATCGTCTTCTTACGACCAAACTTGGTTTGAATATTACCACCAAAGAAGCCACCAAGAAGACCACCAACACAGAAAGAAGAGACAGCAAAGCCCCAAAGACTAGTATTCATAGGGAGACAATCAGGGAAGGCGCTACTAGAGATACGAGCACTGCCATTTTCACAAGAGTGAGTCACTTCACCAGGTACATTAGCAGAACCAATTACCCAACCATTACTAAATGAACCAAGACAGGCTACTATCACACAGTAGACCATATATTTAGGTAATTTAAGATCAAGAGAATCCATATGTTATATAATAAATAGTATATATTAATTCAGTTAAAAAAAAAATAGATAAATAAATGTAAATGTATATAAATAGTTGGCTATATTTGTTTGTTATATAAAAGAATTGAATGTATAATAAAGTCAACACAGTCAAAATAGACCTTGCTTTATATATTAATTTTATGTTAATGCTGATTGTTTTCTATATATGCTTGTTTTACTTTAAAGGAAAAATTCTCTTTTCCAATTTTTCTATAATAAATGTCAGAAATTCATTTTAATTTACTGCTTTTAGATTTTTATTTTTTATGGAAAAATGGAATAAATAATTAAAAAAAAAAAAAAAAAATTATTTTCAAGTAGCTTCTCTTCAGTTTAACCCTTGAATATTAAGTTTGATAGAATCTATTCTAACAATAACTTTTTAGGGGATTTCAGGGATTATTATTTTGTATATAAGCATTTGTGTATTTTTTTTTTCATTTATGACTGAGTTATTTTTATTTAGTCTTTACTTCTTACATAATACAACTATTTAATGTTCTTTACATTATTGAAAACAGTGTCATGTTCTTTTGCATATTGAGCCTTTTACACAATACCACTGCAAATCAATCATCAAGTAATGAAACCGTTGTTATTATATGACTTTTTTTTTTCTTTTTACTAGTAGTTAAACTTCTTTCTATTAAAAAGATGCCCTGATGTACCCAAAAAAAAAAATATGTATATAATATAGAGTTTTCTAATAAGAATAATCGTCCTACAACAAAACATTTCAAGAAATATGTTTTTTTTTCTCCTCAAATAATCAAGGGTGATGTTCTAACTTCATAAGCTATAATAGAGGGTTTTTGTTTTACTATATATTACATATAAATATTGTTTTGCTTGGAGGATATGTAGCGTATATTGTTTGTAACGTTTAATATTGACTTTTATAAACTTATATGAATACATGAGTTTGGCTATATCAATTTTTATATTTATAGTGTATATTTATAATACTTGAATAGCAATCTAAAGCATAAAAAAAAACAACAATAATAGAAAGGGTAATTACATTATATGTATATGTATATATGCTTTTTTTTTCTTTTTTTGAAAAGTAGGTATAGAGCCCTTTTTGATCCAGTATAATTTTACAAATATTACCAATATAACTTATATATTTATTTAAATGAAAAAAAAAAGTATCACATAATTTTATATGGTAGCTATACTATTATATTTGTATAATAAGGTATACAACAACAAGACACATTATATAATACATAATATGCATACATACATAACAAGGTGTGTTATTGGTAATTCAAACTATTATTATATTGTGCCGCCCTTTCATTGTATTCAAATAAATGGTATAAGATGTGTGATTTTTCTCCAATACTATTTTAATTATTGGGCTGTAATCCATTTATGCTCTAAGGCTGCTTGAGGCGTCATACGCTTCGCTGGATCCCATTGTAAACACTTTTCAATAAAGTTAATAAATACAATATCACAGTTTTTAAGAACCTGTAATAGTGATCGAGTGGCTGGAAATCTTTTCTCTCCTTTAGAATTTGTGATAATACGTGGATGACCCATTGAGTCTATTGAAATTCATTTTATAAGAAATATATCAATCATATATGTATTTGTAATGCTTACCGAAAAATAACTTTCTTCTTGAGCATTTTTCAATTAAACGTCTATCAGGTAACCCTATTACCTCCATAATACAATTCAATTGTTCTTGTTCATTTTCTCCAGGAAATAATGGTAATCCAGTATAAAGTTCTGCTAAAATACATCCCAAACTCCACATATCAATTGCTTTATGATAAGGAAGACCTAATATAACTTCTGGTGACCTATAAAAACGACTTTGAATATATGTGTATACTTTTTGTTTTTATTTATTTATTTATTTTTCAAGAAATAAAATGTTAGTAAAAATAAAAAATAAAAAAAATATAAAAAATAAAATAAAAAATAAAAAATACATATACATTTCTATATTTACTTCTTTCTGATTCAAAGCAACTACTGCCAAAATCGATTACTTTTATGCTAGTTTTCCCTGGATGTTTCAACATAATATTCTTAAAAATAAAAAAAAAAAAAGTCAACATGTGGGATACTATTTCTTTTTCTTTTTCTTTTTCTTCATATAAATATATATATTTGTATATACCTCAGGCTTTAAATCACAATGAATTAAATTATGTTTAGCTAATAATGTTAATGATTGAAGTATTTGAACAGTAATCCTAAAACACATATTTAATGATTATTACGAAACAAAAAAAAAAAAAAAAAAAAAAAAAAAAAAAAAAAAAACATATAACTTACTTTTTAATGAGATTAAGGCTAAATCCCTGGAAATGATTGCTCTTGATAAACTCATAAAGGTTCATACATAGGCATTCAAAGGCAATACACAAGTGATTTCTAAAGTAAAAATAATCTGTCAATTTAATTGTATGATATGTATCATCCGGATCCCATTCAACTAATTTTTTTAGGATATCTATCTCTGTCATTGCCTGAGCATGAAATCTCCTTTTATTACGGATAAGTTTAATGGCGACTGTTTGTGCTGTTTGATGATCAATACATTTAACGACTTGGCCAAAGGAACCTCTTCCGAGGACATCAATCACTTCATATCGGTAAGCCAAATGGTCTTGAATAACAATCTTATAATCTCCACGCTCATCATCATGTCCAAAGTTGTTGACAATATTCAATGTGCCATTCTTTTTATTTGCTGCATGAGGTCCTACAAAGTAAATATGACTATAATTGTGTATCTCTATTTGTCTTTCAAACTCTGAAAGATATTGACCGTAATATTTGAGTGCCATTTGGACACTCTTAGGAGATCGAGCGCCCTCAGTCTCATGCAATTGACTGTTATTTGTTAATAATTTTCTTTCATGATGCTGCTGCTGCTGCTGCTGATGATGATGATGATGAATACTAGAGGAACGTGGCAGTTGAGTGGTGGCTGAATTAGAGTGTCGTAATATCTGACCAAAATTGGAGGCTATAATATTGCTGTTATCAACAGTATTTCTGTATTTTGATGATGATGATATAGCTGGTTTTTCTTCTTTTGGTTGCCTACAGCTTACAGTTCGTCTCACCTTATTGTTGCTTGTAGATGGAATAGGGTTTGTGAATGAAATAGTAGGTATAGGACCTTTATGGCTATTGTTTTTAATTAATTTTCTATCATTCGAAGGGATTTGATGATTGTTAACATACATGGCTGATGATTTTTGTTGATTTGGCATTAATGTCTCGAGCCCTACTCCAGTTAAACTCGTATCATTAGGTAAAACTGATGTATATGTCTTTTGTTTCATCGACCTGTTAGCATAAATATCTAAAGAGGGTGCTAGTGAAGGCATTTTCATCTTTGATGTGTCATTAGGAGTTGATGTAGATACACTTTGTCCAGGAATTATCACGCTGTTTGGAAAAGGATCCTTTTGTGGATTTATAGAAATTTTAAGCTGGATAGGATTCAACTTCATAGGTGGTAACGGTAATGCTGGTATAGGTGGTGGAGTTGTCAAACTTCCAGGTAAAGTCTGAATAGAATAAAGATCAGTTATTCAAAAAAAAAAAAGATAAACTTTTATTTATTTATACCTTTCCTCGTTTACGCCTAAGAATAGATTTGTTTTCTGATGACGATAGTGACGGCAAGAGTGATAATGATTGCTCTTTCCGGATCTGTTGTTGTTTCTCTGGTAATTTTAAATTATTTGTGTAAGAAGGATGAGCTTTTCTTTGAATTTCTAATGCTTTTATATCCTCTTCAATTTGAGCAAAATCATAACTTAAACTCTTTGCATAATTCAATGTTGCAAGTGAAGCAGTAGTAGTAGTAGAAAGGTACGAAAATTCTTCCTTCATTTTTAGTAGAGGATCTGCTACTACTACTACTACTTCTTCTTCTTTTTCTTTTTCTTCTTCTTCTTCTTCTTGTACGAACCGGACATTGTTATGACTTTTATCGATAGAGCTATTTTTGTTATTAAAGTTATTGGTATTTGCGAAATCACTTGTATTATTCATATGTCTTTGAATTAGTGTTGATGATGGTATATTATTCTCCTTTTTCCGAAGTGAACTACTTCTTGATGCTAATTTATGGTACTTTGGTACAGGAGGTACAGGAGGTATATCAGATGTCTCTATTGTCTTTAAACTGCTAGTTCGAGGCGGAGGAGGAGAATAAGTAAAAGAGCGATGACGGCTTTGAGGGGTATAACCCTGGTATTCAGATAGCCCATTATGAATGGTATTTAGCAATAAGGGTTTCTCCTGATGTTGACGCTGATTAATCATACTTGAAGAAACGGTCTTTCTTGGCTCGTAATGAATGGGCAAACCTGCTGGTTGCTCTTCAGGTGCTCGCAACGTGTTTTTTTCCTTGGTTAAAGTTAATTTGCGTTTAATTTTATTCACAAGTGGTATGCATGGTTTCTTTTCTGGTAACTGGGGCGATGGCATTTGAAACTGATCTTTGCTTTGAGAGGAAAGTGAAAATGATCGAGATTTAGATCGTGCTGAATGATCTCGCATTGATTTTGCCTTTCTAAGTGTTACAACTACTTTTTCTTTCGGTTGAGCAGGATGAAAAGTACGACGATGGGATCTTTCAATCATGTCCTTTTCTAGTTGGTGATGTACACTCTGATCTTGCTTGGGTCTTTCCTTTTTAATATATTCTGTTTCTTGACCAGTAGAGTCATGAATTTCCGAATAATTATAAGCATCTAACCAATCTTGTCCGGAGGAGTTTAAGATGTCCATATATGAAGGCATAAGGTGATTTACTTCTGAACTGGTTGAGTCATGTAACGGCATCTTTAAAGATGTCATCTGGTTTGGTCTATTTATCTTACATACTGTTGCTTTTGTTGAATGTGTTTTAAAATGATATCGTGAAGAGGAGATTGTATTCGCGGAGCGACTCGCCCTTAAAGGACGAATATCATCAGAATTTCGTTCAACTTGTTGAATGTTATTATTATTATTAAGCCATATTTCAAACTGTTGTTCAGATGAAGACATGAATGAGAGTAGAATAAAGCTCAATAATAGAAAAGAAAACTATTATTCCAAACAGAAAAGTAATCTAAAATTTGTCGGTGTTTATTAGTAAAAGGAGTATAAATTAGTGAAGTGGTAGTTTCTATCCACTGTTGCATACTTTTTATTACCATGGTTTTAAGAAGCAATATAATACCATATTAGAATTGTATATCATTACTGTATTTTTTTTTTAAACTTGAATAAGCTAATTGTTATATAAAGTATTCATTTATGCCTGTAATATAAATAAAAAAAAAAAAAGAGAGAGAGAGAGAAACAGAAAATTCAACCATGGGAACGAACTGCAAGAACAATTTTTTTTTTTTTTTTTTTTTTTTTGTAATAATTGTTGTTTCACATTTTATTCCAGTCTTCACTTACTATCAAATAGTAAATACTAACTAAAGATTATTTATATACTATTGTTTAGGTACTCTAATATATATGTTCATAGCAATATATAATTTTTTTTGTAGAATTATAACAACTTTGTCTTTATTTTATTAGATAAGTTTATCTTTGCCTTAAAAGAAATACAGGTCCAATAGAAGTTATTATTGTTAGCGAATATCTAAGAATATAGGCTTTTAAAATATGCAGCAACTTTTAGATAAAGTAGTATTAATATGACATAACAAAGAAATAAAGGTAGGGTAAGGGGGGTGGGAGAGAGAGAGAGAGTGTGTGTGTGTGTGTGTGTATGTGTGCTTGAGTGACAGACAGACAGAGTTATATGTTTTAATGTAAATCCATTCAAGTAAAGTATTATTTACTAGTGTGTATGTGTATAGAAGCAAGAAGATACATAATTTTCTTCTTAATCTTTTACAATAACGCCTTGAAGGAGTTCTTAAAAAACTGGTAATAAACGCCCTTTGCATTTAAGACAGTATATTTATTACTTTGATAGATAAAATAAAAGATTTATTTTGATTTTCATCATGAATCCCTGCTCTTTTGTACATTATGATAGGCTAATTTCTAATACCTTTTGTTATAGCAATCTTATTTTTAGAAAATGATAATAATACATTTCTTATTTCTATTTGCTTTTTATAAAAAATATACATATTATTCCATTTATTTATAATTCTTCATGTACAATGAAAGGCTGTTTTTTGGTTCGTTCACTTAACGGAATATAAGGAGGAGGCGAAGGCAATCTTTCCTTACGATCAGCATATAAAGCAAAGACATTATTACCGCGGATTTCTAGGGCTCCTTTTCTACCACCATAGGCATTTGAAATACCTATATCAATCAAGATGACTTTACCACCGCAACGTGTATGAATGGCACCATCATGTTGAACTGTATGACCTACTACCATACGATTTGCTTCTAATAATTCTAAGGCTTCATCTAGTATATCACATACTTTAGATTCATCATCCAAAGCATAACCTCGATACCAAGTTGGACCATAGCCACCAAATAGACCATACTTATCATCACCATAGTGACCATGTGATTCCATATAGGGTATAATACTTTCATGTGTTTGGTCGTTGATCCAATCTATACCGCGGCGACTGAAAAAAGGTGTTATACCACCATGACAAAAGACAGTAGAGCCCACTTTAGTTGTCATGTTGAGTAATGTTAGATATTGGCCAATAAAGCCATCTTTTTTAAACGCAAGCTTTCGTGCTTCAAATCCTCCAAAAGTTTCTACTTCATCTGGATATACATACCGCCAATCACCTACAAGATTCATGATTTCATGATTGCCAAGCAAAGGAATAACAAGTCCGCCATGAAGTGGTGCCTCATCACGTAGATTTTGAATAAGCTCATAAAGTTTAATGGTATCAAGACCTCTATCTAATACGTCGCCCTATGATTAATAAAATAATATAGCTACAAGTGATTAATACATCATATTATCCAAAGGGAGAAGGAAGAATTTTTATTTAATTTATTACAGTTTGAACAAAAATAGCATCACCTCCAATCCAATGGAGATCATTGTCAATGAGGCCTGAAAACTTTAGAATCTCAAGTGTATTAGCCAAGCTTCCATGAAGGTCACCCAGAGCTACTATTCGACGTTCATCATCAATTTTAGCTGTTACGTTGGAAACAAATAAGATGCAACTAAAAAATAAGAAAGTTGCACCTAGAAGCATTTTTTTTTTTTAAGTTATAGAAAGGAAAAAGAATATAAATAAAGAAAAAAAAAGTATACAACGTTAAAATTTATTTTTATTTAGGTGGAATTGATTTTGAGCAATCTGAACGAGATTTTCGTTGCCAACCTGAGGATAATGTTAAGCGATTAAATTTCTTATCCACTTTGTCATCTTCATTTGTAATTACTGTGTTTTCTTCATCACTTGTACTACCATTACTACTAATGCGTATTAGTCCGCTTAATTTTTTATTTGCTAGAGATTTTTTGATTTTGTCTTCAGGACGAACAACAGTGACTGGGACAGGAGAATGTTGAAGACAATATTTTGATATACTTCCAAGTAACATTCCTTTAAATTCAGAAAGTCCTCTTGTTCCGACAATCAATAAAGAAGGTTGATACATGGCAATCATGTGTTGAATTGTTTCCTGTACTTTACCAATAACAAATTCAATAATTACACTAATCTATATTGTTAAAATTAACTTTTGTTTCATTTCCTTTTTTTTTTTTTGTCTTTTTCTTTTGAAAGGGATTTACTTTTTTTTCTGTTCCAGTAGTTTTCATAATCTTTTCCATTACTTGATTAGCTTTTTGCTTTGATTGTTTCTGTTCCATTTCTAATAGATTTGTTATATTTCCTTTTTTATCTATTTACAAATATAAATACATGTATCTTTTTTTTTCTATCATTTATTATTACCATTCATATCTACTGTAACTACTCTTAAAACAATAAGCTCATCGCCTTCATCCATAATCTCCTACATGCTTAAATGTCAAAAAGGGAATATTTTGTGTGCAAAAAAAAAAAAAAAAAAAAAAAAAAAAAATTATGCTTACATCTGTTGCCCATGTAAGAGCGTATTCACTATAATTGGCCAAGTCGGTGGCAACCATAAAGGTTCGTGAGCGTCTCGTACGTTTATATCCAGATGATTTCCCTCTTAATGTAAATGAATAATTAGGTAAATCTTTATCTGTCATTGTATCAAATGACACAACTCTAACAAAATTTTCATTTGACTGTGAATCTGTAGTTGCCATATTTAGTTGATTTGTGTAGATTAAGTAAACGAAATAAGAAAAAAAAAAGGGTTAATTTATGAGATCTCTTTTATTTTTTTTTCTATCTTTTACGTGTATATCCGGGGTGAATTTAATAATATCTTAATGAAAGTAAATATGAAGAAGAATCGCGTAGTAAAGATAAAACACCGCGAAACATGATGGCAGCATTATTACAAAAAAAAAGTATATATAGTAACTCTTTATTTAGTTATTTAATTGCTTAGTTTAGTTGATTGTATACCGTCAGTTATTTATTATGATACTACAAACAACTGAGTCTTAGTCTAATTGAATAATATCGTCTCTTATATGTATCATAAAACCACAGTCTATTGTATTTTAGAGTTTTTTTTTCCCTCTCTCAACATTTGGTAGATACATCATAGGTGAAAACTTTTTTGATTTTTATTAAGAAAAGTTGACTATATAAAGCATTCCATCAATCAAAGGATTAGCTTTTTAATGACATATAGCATTCTACTACTACATTCATTTACTACATTTGTCGTGTGAATCCAATCTACCAATCAAAATAATACTTTAGCATAAATTTAATAATTTTATGATTAATATTTAAATGCCGATAATAACAAAAAAAAAGAATCGTGTCACGCAAATTATAATCATGACTCCAATTCTCCTCTAAACTCTGTACATACATGCAAACATGATAATCAAAATGCTATTTCAAAAACAACAATAAATAATCCAATAATACTTAATAATTCTTGTAAAGGAGGATTACTGATCATGACCGACAAAAAGTATAAATAGTAGCAAGGAATATTTAGGACAAAAGCGTACTCTGTACGTGTTTGAATCAAAAGGAGAACTTCTTAGGCCTTTATATCATCTATGCTACGATAATCAATTCAGAACGCTTATGAAAGTATGATTTTTCCCTAGTTATTTTAATGATAAAACTCCTTTTTTATTATTTTTTTTTTAGAAAAGTCGTGATGCTTTATTTAACTAAGCATTTTTGTTCTTATGAAGCAAAGCCGATTATTTAGTTTTCTCCTTTTATTTTTGAGTACTTTTTTTTTTCTTGTTTACATTAACATAGTAGTAGTGACTTCATGATTTCTGTTATATTTGCTATGACAGTTTCTCCTTACAAGTACAATGTCTTATGCTATCCTCTTTGATGAATGCATATATACAGACAAGAAAATAGGATGAATATGTACAGTACGTTTTTATTACAAGCAATGTATAAATAAGTGTATCGCATCATCACACGTAAATTTAATATAAGCTTCTAATGTGAGTTAATTTTCTTTTTAATTTTAATTAATTAATAAAACTGATCATCTGATATATTTGGGTTCTTGTTGTTGCTGTTGTGACTGTAAAAATAATACGCATATTCAAAGTTAACATGAGAATAACACGTCATATGTAAAAGTAGTATAAGTGGTTACATTTAGTTTTCTTTTCTTTTTTTTTTTTTTTTTTTTTTTTTTTTTTTTTTTTAAATTTTATATTTTTTGATAGCTTTATAAGATGGTAAACAACTAGATGAGAAATGAAGTTTTTTCTTTTTTTTTTCCCTTCCTTTTATATAATGTAACATTATTTATTTATATACTTTAGGATGAAGAATACGACGTTATTGTTTTAGGTACTGGTTTGACCGAATGTATTTTATCTGGTCTCCTTTCCGTTGAGGGGAAAAAAGTTCTTCACATGGACCGTAATGACTATTACGGTGCCGAGTCTGCCTCTTTAAACTTGACTCAAGTAAGCATTAACAAATAGGTTTTATTATTAATATATATATGTATATATGTGTATATATATACATATATATATTAATATATGTATATACATATAATTTATGAATATTCATATTATATACATCTATATAGTTCTTTAACAAGTTTAGACCTGGACAAAAAGCACCTGAAAACTTGGGTCGTGATCGTGATTGGAACATTGACTTGATTCCTAAATTCATGATGGCTAATGGTGAAATTATTCGCTTTTTAACACATACAGATGTAACACGTTATCTCGAATTTAAGCAGATTGCTGGTTCTTATGTTTATAGTGGTGGACGTGTAAGTAAAGTTCCTGCTAATGGTTCTGAGGCACTTGCTTCACCTTTAATGGGCATTTTTGAGAAACGTCGTATGAGAAACTTTTTACTTTGGGTTGAAGCTTATAAAGAGAATGATCCATCTACTCACCAAGGTCTTAATGTGGATCAAAATACGATGACAGAGGTTTTTAAAAAGTTTGGTTTGGCTTCAGGTACTCAAGAGTTCATTGGCCATGCTATGGCTCTTCATTTAGATGATAGTTATTTATCTCAACCTGCTCGTGATACAGTTGAAAAAGTAAGGCTATATGCTGCTTCTGTCCTTCGATATGGTAAATCTCCATACATTTATCCCTTGTATGGTCTTGGTGATCTGCCACAAGCTTTTGCTAGGTAAAAGGAATTAGATTGTCAATAATTGAATGGTATTAATTCATGTAATTTCATATAGACTTTCTGCTGTTTATGGTGGTACTTATATGTTAAACACAGATGCTAAAGAGTTAATCTATAATGATCAAGGTCAAGTTATGGGTGTAAAGGCAAATGATGAAATGGTTCGTGCTAAAATGGTTATCTGTGATCCTTCCTATGCACCCTCTAAGGTTAAGAAAGTAGGATCCGTTGTTCGAGCCATTTGTCTCTTAACACACCCTATCCCCAGTACAAATGATAGTGATTCTTGTCAAATCGTCATTCCTCAAAGCCAAGTAAAGCGTCAACATGATATTTATATCGCTTGTGTTAGTGATGCCCATATGGTTTGTCCTAAAGGATATTATTTAGCCATTGTTTCTACTATTGTTGAGACACCTAATCCTGCTGAAGAAATCAAAGAAGGTTTGAAACTGTTAGGACCTATTCAAGATATGTAAAGTATATTCATATTTATTGGTGGTGGTGGTGGTGAGGGAATGTTTACACGTACTTACTTATCATATTAATAATAGGTTTGTTCATGAATCACCTTTGGAAGTTCCTATTGAAGATGGCAAACAAGATCAAGTTTATATTTCTCGTTCATACGATGCTACATCTCATTTTGAAACAGTTTGTGACGATGTTCATGATATTTGGCGTCGTATTACTGGTGAGCCTTTAATTCTTAAGAAGAGAGAAAATGAAGAAGAAGTCAACACTGCTTAATAAAAACTTTTGTACAAATAAAAATAAAATAAAATAAAAAATAAAATATGACTGAATACGATTACAAAGCCTTTACATAAAAACAAAGGAATTAAAAAAAGAAGAAATGAATCATTCATAGTTAGACTGGAAAGGACACAACTTGCTTCATGTTAATAAGGAAGAAGCAGCCATTTTTCTGAGTTAAAAATAAAATAAAATAAAAAGCAATAAATTTTTGTAACGTAGGAATTTATTTTTATACTTTTTTATTTATTTATTTATTTTATTTTATCAAAAAAAAATGTCATATTCTAAGGCTTGTTGCTCTATCCCACCTGTTGTCTCTGATTATCAACACACAGGTGAAATGGAAACTTATGATGGACTCGATATTTATACTGTCGGTCCTAAGGTAATAATATAATAGATTTGGCTATGTTTATAACAACAGTCTTTTTTTTTTTTTTTTTTTTTTTTTTTTTTTTTTTTTTTTTTTTCTTATATCCTTTATCTTTAATAGGATGCAAAGAACGCGGTCTTAGTTATCTATGATGTCTTTGGTTATCAGTAAAATATTTATTTATTTTCTTTCCCTTTTTAGCTATTTATGTAAATTTATTCTCTTTATATATAGTCCTAATGCTTATCAATTCTGTGATATTTTAGCCAAGAATTGTGGCTGGAAGGTTATTATGCCAGATATCCTTCATGGTGATTATGCTACTATGGAACTTTTGAAACAATTCGATAAATTCATGGTATGGCTTAATAAAGTGGGCACTTATGAAGCTGTAAGTATTTAAAATAAAATGGGGGTAGAGGAGGAGGAGGAGGAGGAAAAAGGTTTTCTCGTCTCTCTCTCTCTCTCTCTCCCTTTCTTTCTTTCTATTCTTACCTGATTAGTAAAATGGAATTGGATGCTAATTCATATATATATATATATCATCATACATACGACTAGGTCCATCCTGATATTGAACGTTCTGTTAGATATCTTAAAGAAAGTGGCGTCACAGCTGCTACTTTGGTTGGTTTCTGTTGGGGAGCAAAGATTGCTGTTCAATTGACCTCTGAGATGCCCTTCTTTATTGGTGCTTCCTTGATTCATCCTTCCTTTGTTGATGTGAAGGATGCTGAAAAAGCGGGTGCACCTATCCTTGCTTTACCTACCTCAGATGAGCCTGATATGACTGAATACATGGAGGTCTTGTATAAGAAACCCTTTGGTAGTCAATGTAAGCACCATCGTTTCAATGATATGCATCATGGTTTCTGTGCTGCTCGTGGTGATTATACAAATGAACTTAATGCTCAAAGAGCAAATGAAGCTATTCAATACACCGTTAACTTCTTTACTGACTGCTTCAAATCTGTTCAACCTTCTTTGTAAAATAATAAATGATCCTCTTTCTTTTTTTTTTTTTTTTTTTTTGTGACTTGAAAAAAAAAATGTTATTTCTTTTAAATGCTAGCAAAAGGTGGTGTTTGGAAAAAAAAATTGCATTTACTAGAAAATATCAAGACAGGATGTTGATTTAATCTTTCTTTGTTCCATTGATACCAGAGACTAAAGCATGAAATGCGTATATAATAAATCATCTTCATACATATAATCTTATTGATATTTTATATATAAAAGTATACTATCTCTATATACTTACCACATGGAGATGTAATTGAAGTATTTGTTAAATACATAGATTTGTTATTGTTTCTTTAGGGCTAAAGCATACGCTGTCAATAGACTGGAACAACTACTACCAACAATACTAATTTTTGAACCCAAAGTATGAGGAATCGAATGTTTATTTGACACTTATGAGAAAAGAAGTGAATAGAGACGTATAAATACTATAAACCTATTGAGTCAAATAGATTCTCTCATTTTGGGGTGATAGGATAACTAACAAATATAAGCATCATTCTCAATATAAACCCAAGTATTTGATATTAATATATATATACATGTGTGTGTGTATATCAATATTTATAAAATGGCTATTGTACACTTCTATTCCTTACAAGGATATATATATACATTTGTATCATAATATTAGCCTATTACTGTTATGTATTGTTTATAGAATAGATAATGAAAACAAATATATGCATATATATTATAAAGTTTGTATATATATATATATATTCAAATAGCAATATGCCCTTCAAATAAGGAATAGGATGAAGAAGTACGAATTCCATTATCAAATTCCATATGTAAATGAGAGCTAAAAGGCATACAGCCTTCAAAGACTGCCTCTGACATTAAATTACTAATTGTTTCTACTGTATTTGTGTCATTTTCTATTAAATGATTTCTTAATCTTCGAAGACTATCCCATACAATAGACAAGATAGCTGCTGAAGTGGTTGAGCCCAGAATACCCGGATGATGAATAGGAATTCTATTATTACAAGAAGAGAGATACATGAGTATTTCTTTTTTTTTTTTTTAAATCCTTTCTTTTTTTAACATACTTATCTAAATCTTTTTGATGATAATTCTTTTGCTGTTTTCTCTGTTTTGTACCACTACTATCATCACTTGCATCTGACAAAAATGGGCTATCTTTTATTACCTCAGCTGACGATATGAATAATTCCTGTGAGGTGAAGCCATCTGCAGTTGGTATACATCTAGGACTATTATTATTTACAAATGAAGGAGATCTAATATCACCATGAATCATGTCTAATAAACTATTCTTTCCACTTGCTTCTATCTCTGAATCCTCATTACTACTTGTGTTTTGATCAGATGAATCTTCAATTAGAAAGGTGCCTGTACCGTCATGAGAAGGTAAAAACACTTGTTGCTGTTGTTGGTGTTGTACATTCTCTAGATCAGAAAATATGGATTCTTCTGTATCAGAAACGATACGACTCGATGTATAAGATTCTGTAGTGGCTAGTAAATTGGGTGAATTACTACTTTGTGAAGAAGAAGAAGGAAGAGCTGAGCTTATGATATGCCAGTCAGTCTCAGAGTCCGACCTGTAATAACTAGCAGTATTATTTCGTTGATAGGAATAATCTTCTGAGGTTGAATGTAAAGTTCGAGATGTAGCTGGTTTCCTTTGTTGTTGAGCAAATGCCATTTTTTTTTCTATCCTCTTCTAAACAAAATAAAATAAAATAAAGTAAAATAAAATGAAATAAATTAAAAAAAAATAAAATAAAATAAAATAAAATAAATAAATTAAAAAAAAAATAAGGATGTAAATGATTATGTAGTATTTGCATTGAGTTCGGGAATTAAATAGCATTAAAAAAAAAAAATACTACTAATTTTTTTTTTTTTTTTTTTTGGCAAGTCTGAATAGCCGGGATTCAAATTATTTTTCCCAAATGGTGTAGCAGTATTTTCATTGTGTGTGTGTGTGTGTGTTTAATGGAAAAGGTGACGTTGTAATAATAAATGAAAAAGGAGTTTTTATTATTAAACACCAATAAAACAGTATTAATATTATCATTTATAGAGTTATAAGATAATGATTATCCTGTCGATCAGCTTTATACTATTTATTATCATATTTCCTATTCTGAATAACATAGAATGTAGGAGGCTGGGATGATGGTATACAAATGAAAATCCTTATTAAGGCTTTATTCTTAAGAAATTATATATTCATAGATATAATTTAATTATACACATAGAAGAAGAAGAAAAAAGAGGGACAAACTATATCAGTTAGTCAATAATAATAGGCAACAGTAACAACTTGATGTACTGTAAATATGCAAATTTTCGTTTCTTGACCCTATACTATGCATAATGTCTCTTACGAGTTATATATTAATTTTAAAACCCTTTCCTTCAAAGATCTACAGACATAATGGTTATTATTTATTGTATTCCAAATAGACTGTATACTACTCTGACCTATCAAGCATACCAACATATAATATTATTAGTAGTAAACTACTAACTATATTAGAAAAGTTCAGTGTAGTAGTATATCATGAGTAATTGTTTCTACACTGAATAATTATCAATTGTTCGAGCCGGAATATTCTTAATTCAAGTTCGTAGGGAAGTGGGGGGGGAGAGAGAAGGGCTGTTTAAGGGGTTTGTTTATCAATTTTATAGGATCAAAATTTAGTATAAAAAAAAAATCTAAACCCCCAATTTAGTTAAAATCTGACTGATATTTTGATTCTGATTTTTTTTTGTACTTCTCTCTCTTTTTTTTTTTTTTTTTTTTTTTTTTGACAGGCAAAAATTTATTAAAAAAAAAAATGAAGCAAATCAATACAAATCATCAACAATTAAAAAGAAAAAATATGGAGGACTATAGACAAGATGTAAATCTAATTGGATAATAATAAATAAATATCTATTTTATTAACAAATACTTTTGTAGGAAGAATCGACAACGATTAAACGTATGCACACATCTTCTTCTCTAGACAATACAATATCTAATATAAATAGTAGCCACTTAATGATATCAACGTCATTACAAACCAAAGATAATATAACAACTATGGCACAACTACCACCTTTACGACCTTCTACTCCACCATTGGGTATGACACTCTCTCATTATAATCCGACAACAGGTTCTTATACAGCCTCTCAACTTAATGTAGATCATGAAGTGAAAAGTAAGATATGTACTGGAATGACACCTGTTTATCGTGCTCCATTTGAACGTTGGGGATCATGTCTTATTTAAATAAATAAATATATAAATCATTTCTTTATTTAATCTTCTTTACATCTTTTCATTATTTATATCTTGACGAATTCTTTCAACGTCTTCATTATGAGCGTTCAAATATTGATCATAGTTTAAATTAGTTACAATAATAGGTCCATGGAAAACAACTTCAATTTCTTCTAATGATAAACCTTTAGGTTCTGGTGCGAATAAGAACATCCAAATCAACATGACAATACCAATAACGCCATAAAGAATATATGTTCCCCTTTATGTTGTTGTTTTAGAAATGAATCATTACTATCTTCTTTGTAGATCAGATCAATTCATGCTTACCATGTAATCTTATCCATCAAAATAGGAGTGACTTGTCCAACTAAAATATTACCAAGCCAAAGAATGGCAGAAGCTAAAGCAAACCCTTTACTTCTAATTCTTAACGGAAATATTTCTATGAAAAAAAAAAAAAAAAAAAAAACTATTATAAATATATCTTGTATATAGACATGTCATCTTTAGTTAGTTAATACCAGCAATATAAATCCATGCAACAGGTGCCCAAGTGGTAGCATAAAAAGCAACAAAAATGAAAATAAATGCAATCACTGCATTCCCGGCAGAGGGATTATTACTCATGTTAATAACGTGACTTAGTTGTTCTTCATTCCATTCTGTATAACCTACGCCACCATATAAGCCTGCCATAATAAAGAAACCACAACACATTCCAATAGATCCAATCAACATAAGCTTTACACGACCCATTTTATCAACAAGATACATACCAAGAGGGCAGAAAATAACCATAACGGCATCTATATATATATATATATATTATGTTTAGTTGGTGTACAAGATACTTGATTTAAACACAAACTTTACAATCAATGCCATTGGCTAATAACGAAAGTGAACCCTTCAAACCGGCTTGCTGAAACATAAAAGCAGCATAATACATAATGACATTAGCACCTGTTAATTGTTGGAATATGGCAACAGAACAACCAATCCAAAGAACACGATGATTTCGTGGGTCCTTTAACATGCTCAAATAGGAATCAACAGCAACATTATTTTCTAATTGTATATTATCATTAATCTCATTAAACTCTTGAAGTACATAAGGATGTTGTTCATCCCCTTTCCCATGCACATACGCAAGGACCTTAAGTGCTTCTTCTGTACGGCCCTTTTCGATCAACCAACGAGGTGAACGAGGCAAAATAAAGGGACAAGCTGCTAAAAGAATAGCAGGGATAATTTGAACCAAGTAAGGGATACGCCATGACCAATCATTTTGAACATAGATCGTACCATAGTCCAACCAAGCAGATATTAGCATACCAATATCAATCATAAGTTGTTGAAAACCAATAAGGCGGCCACGAATTTCCTTAGGTGCCAATTCTGCATTATACATTGGAGCTACACCAATAATAATAATAACAATTTAGCTTTTGCTATCAAATATTTTATATATATATATATATATATATTTCACTATACATAGAACAGAGCATGCACCAACAGATATACCAGAAATAAAACGACCTATTAATTGCATAGCAATATTTTGTGAAGCACATTGAAGAATACCACCAATAATAAATATGATTGCTGCTCCTCCAATACTATCTCTTCGACCAAATCGATCTGACATAAAACCACTTATTAAACAACCAAAGACTGCACCACAACCCATTAAAGAATTAAGAGCGCCCTATTATAATTTATTTTACCATAAGTAAGTAAATGAATAAAAAATATAAATATATAAATATATATATGTATATATATCTGTATGAGAAGGAATTCATCGTCTTTATATATACCTTAATTTCAGGAGTTAATGGATTAAAATAGGTTTGAAATTGTGGCATAGCCATTACACCACTTGTAACGCCAAAATCATAACCAAATAGAAAACCACCAATAGCTGCGAATACAGTTATTCTAATTTATGTGATTTCTATATTCAACAACAAGAAGATAAATAGTATCATAAATAAACTTACAGATATAAAATAATACCTGCATCCGACTTTGCAGTATTTTTATTTGATTTTATAGTTGTAGTAGTAGGTATTATTGGGGCCATTTTATATTATATTATGTATTTACACTATTTATTATATGGAATTGAAAAATAAATAAAATAAATAAAAACCTTTTTTTTTTCGGTTCTTTATATACTTGCATGATTCCATGTGGTAATAATAATAATACTAATAATAATAATAGTAGTAGTAGTAGTAGTAGTAGTGATGATGGTAGTAGTGGTGGTTTATAATAATGCCGCTACTAATAAAACTTAATCTGATATTTTATTTCTCCATTTAGAAAAATAAAATAAAGTAAAATATGTGTTGTGTATCCCACTTTCTGAGTTATCCTATTTGTTAAATAAAATATGCGGGGTAGTAATAATAAGTAAAAGTGAGGTATTATTACAGAAATCAGATAAGAAACTAAACTCTGTATAATTTGCCTTTAATCTATTTATAATGTAAAAGTTATACTATAATGTTTATATAATTCATTCATTCATTCTTTCATTTTACTTTAAGGTTATTAGGTAATTTTTTTTCCTCACATGTATATTATCATCTTTCTATTAGGAGAATTATTACCTATTTCCCCATATAAATTAGTCTGTTGTACATGGACACCATATCAATTTATATTTTATTATAGACTCATTCTCTAATATACTTGTATTCGTGGGTGTACGTCAAAGTGGTCTACTTTATTATATACATCGTTATTTCCCTCCCCCTCTCTTTTCTCTCTCTCTCTCTCTCTTTTTCTCTCTTTCAAAAGGGACGTTTAAATTTGCATTCTAGGGCTATTTATGTGTCAAGAGGTATAAACAGATTTCACAAATGAGCATTTACGTCATTGAATTGTTATACATATAAACAAATATTTATATATATATATATATATGCATCACGACCTGGGGAACTTGGTTAAGAAGTTTTGCCGTGGCAGTTACACATCTAATATGTATAAAAAGTAATACAATCTATTCTGCTTATCTAAGAATACAAATAATAATATTATTATTCAATAATATATAAAGTTAATAATAGGCAGTAAAATAGTAGGCAACGAAAATAATAATAATAATAATAATAATAATAATAATAATAATAATAATAATAATAATAATAATAATAATAATAATAAATAAAGATAGCCATTTGTTTGTGAATTTATAGAAAAGTATGAACAATAACATATTGATCTTCAAAATAAAAACAAAAATCATTAAAAAAGTGTGACTAAAAGTATATTGTTTGTTCAAGTAATTCAACGCTATTCGCAAGAGAAAAGTTATGTTCTTTAGACAAAGAAATACTAACTTTAGAGACACATGCAGCCAACAATTATTTCGAAGCGAACTTTATTGCTAGATACTCTGAGTCATATAAACCTTTTGAAAAAAAAAAGGGGATATATATTTTGTACTTTTTTTTTTTTATGACATCCTATTTGATAAGCTAAGCTAAGCTTTAAAATCATGAATGTAACTTTGATCAAGTTTTATTTTTCAACTGGGAGTTATACGGTTAATTTAAAAATTTGAATGGTGATTATAAAAAAATAATTTGGGGTGGAAAATCGAAAAATGATTGGCTCACCAATATTTTCTAGTAAGCTCAGAGCAATGTTTATCTGCATGAAATAGCGAAAGCGATAACTAACGCGGATAATCAGAATTGTTGTTGTTGTTTTTGACGTGAAAACAAAAGATGTTTCTCGCCATTATTTCTAAGGCTTGTCAATATCTTTTTAAAGTTTAGTGTTGCCACCAGATCTCGATTCCATATTCTTCTTTTATATTCGTGTTCATTTAAACAATGTATATTTTCACAACTACAAACAAATTTGTTATATTATTTATCAATTAACTAAAGGTTTTTAACTTTGTATTGCATACTGAAGTAAACCATGGCAGAATACAGTAGGCATTTTTTCGCGCTGAAATGGTCTTGGATTAGCAATGAGCTTAAACTTCTCTAGTCTGTTTTCGTAATTGGGACAGAAACTTGAGGTATGAAATTCATCGACAAGATAAACCTTGAAGTCATTCTTTTTTAGCATGTTTATGAGTCCCTTATTTCTTATTGATTCTTGAAATTTTACATTTGGGGCATACCAATTACTAATAATTAAAATGGCGTCGTGCCCAAATTTTTTGTTTAAGCTTTTTCACCAAAGCCAGGTCATCTTGGTCATAAAACAACTTTGAAGAAAACTTGATCTTTCGGAACGGTAAAACTTGCAATTGTTCTAACAATTTACTTGCTTGTTGTTTCAAATTCTCTTGTTCGCCCCTAGACATTTCCGCTACAATACAAAGTAATTTAGTTTTGTCACTATGACTTAAACGTACTGATATATGTTTTTGCTGTAACATAAGCTCCAAGTAACCAGCGTAAATACTAAGACTAGTAGGTTCATCGGGTGTTTTCTTTCAGGTTGAGGGAAATAACCTCGAATTCTTGCAACGAATAAATTTCCAAAATACAAATCAGCTTTGTTTTTGACATGGAAATCAAAATAATGATTGTGAAAATAATTTTGCTTTGTTTGTTGAGTTTCATTCCCGTAATAAGGACCAAGCACTTTTTTCCGCCAAAGCTCTTGCCTTGATATACTCTTCGTATTCTTCTAAACTGACAGAAAATGATTTGGCTTTTGATAAGTTTTCTTCTGACAAATTGGACAGAAGCAGGCATGGATTTTTTTTTCTAAGAATTTTAAAACGTCTTGCAAGCTTTGTCCTTGTCATCTTTGTATATGTAGTGACCTGTTTTTCCCTTTTTTTTTTTTTTTTTTTTTTTTTTTTTTTTTTATAATCACCAATATTTCCTAACTTCATTGTATCTCAAAACTTGAAATTGATGTTTTGGGTAACATAATAATTATAAAATTCTCTAATAAATATGCTTTAAAATTTGCTAATATTTTGATATCATCAAGAAGAAAATGACTGATTTAGTCTATGACCGAATTTGAGTACAATATATGTATTTATACATAAGAGCTTTATATTATCGATTTAATAAAAAAAAAAAAAAAAAAAAAACTTCAAACAAGATATGTAAATTTGATATATTCATGTGCATTCTGCATATACAAGTAATAAACAAACAAATAAAGCAAAACAAACAAAACAAATAAAACAAATAAAACATTATATAAAAAAAGACACAAACATTTATATACTTGTAAATCTGTATACATATACATATTTAAAGGGAAAAACATGAGTATACTTATGTATATATATAAAAGAGAGGGAGAAAGAGAGAGACAGAGAGAAAATTGATCTTTATAAATAACATAAATGTGGGCGTATAATTTTTTTTTTGGCTTAAGCAATCCAATCATACTCGCTATCATGGGCTGCTGTTATAACACATGCTGGCTTCATTGCTGAAGTTTTTATATCATTCATAGTAGTGGATGATTCAGAAGCGGGTTTAGGTGAAGGAGGTAAATTTTTATTTCGATTTCCTTCTTCTTTTATCCTGTTTCTTTTACATTGTGACTGGGATGGAGTAGTACCTGAGATTGATAAAGTGGTTGCAATCTGAGAATGATTATTATTCTCTTCATGTTCATTTTTTATGGTATTGGTTGACATGTTGATTAATAATCCAGGTAAAGAAGAGGAAGTATCTCCTATTGTTGCTTTTGTAGATGAAGTAGGTGTTATAAGAGGATGATGTGAGTTACTATGACTTGTAGTGATAGGAAATGTTGAGGTTGTAGGAGAAGAATACATTGATTGAGAACCATAAGGGCTATTATATAAAGAGGATGAGGAAGAGGTTGTTTGTTGAGATAACATTCTACTGGTTTGATAAGGATGTGAATGATGAGATTGAATCATATTTACATTATTAGTAGCATATGCATCATAACAACTAGGCAAATAAGAAGATGAAGGATGATGGTAACGTGAAAAGTCAGTAATACTATGTCGTTGCGGTGTACTTCCAAATTGTCTCATTGAAGTAGGTGTCATCATAGTAGGATTTGGATAAGATGAATTTTGATTTGAATATGAATGATGAGAGTAATAGCCATGATGAGACGAAGAAGTTGTAGAAATAGGTGAGGCGTTATTACTATTATTAAGTTGATGATAATTGAACAAAGATGGTTTTGTGACAGATAATGGATTAGAAGAAGAAGAATCTAAAGAAAGTGATCGAGAGTCACGATTAAAACGTTGCTGCTGAATATTATTATCAGAGAATGATAATTTATTTTTACTCGTAATAATATTTGAGTTGTGCCAAGGTAAGTGAGACTGACGTGAATGATTATGATTATTGTTATTGTTATTATTTTGCCATGTATTTGCACTATGACCATTAGATGAGCTTGTATTAGGACGATAGGGGTTATTAATGACAGGATCACTGCGGGATCTATTTGTACGTCCACGAACTGCCATAGATGTCTTACAGCGTAACTCAGCTTCAGCGGCTCTATGATCTACTTGCCAATAAGAACCCTTACCAGGCTCATTAATTGGGCGAGGAACACGAACAAAGCATTTATTTAGAGAAAGATTATGACGAATTGAATTCTATTTTTTTTTTTTTTTAAAAAAAATGAGGTAGAGAGATACATAAATTAATAATATGCATATATAAATGAAGATATACATCACACACAATACCTTCCATCCTGTTCCTGCTGTAGCATAGTAAGGATAATGATCGATAACCCATTGATAAATTTCACTTAATGTTAGTTTCTTTCTTTGACTGTTCTCAATCGCGTATTTAATTAAAGTAGCGTAAGAATAAGGAGGTTTCCCTTCTGTATTGCGTTCAACATGAATATCTTTTGTATTAGGTACAGATTTTTTGTATCTATTATGAAGAGATCTACTACGATCTATAGAAGCAGAAGGAGAAGGTGTTGGTTGACCGATATAATGTTCATCATCATACGATAAAGTATCACAACAAGATTCTTTTGTAGATGAACTGGAATTACCTCTAGGTGATATCCAAGAAGAGGATGCATTTGGTGTAGAAAGATAAGAAGGATGTATATGACTAGTACTACCAGAGACTGTATTAACAGAAGATCTACGCGATAAAGAATCGTCATCTAACAGACTCATACTGTTAATATTGATAATAAAAGATGTTGCTATTTATATGATCTATAATAAATTTAAATAATTTGTAGACAAAATACACTTAATATTTATTTATAAAAGAATTAAACAAAAAAAAAAAAAAAAAAATAGAAAGAAAATAAGAAAAAGAGAGAGAGAGAGAGAAAGATTACTACAAAATAAAACTAAAGTTTTATACAAACAGGTTTTATTATTTATTTAAACAAAAGAAAAGAAATCATGTGGCTTTCGTTTCGTCTTTTTCTTTTTTGTACTATAATTTGTTAAAGCGTTTCGTCTTTTTTTCCCCCTCCCCCCCTTTTCTGTTTGATAAAATCTGTTTCTACAGTTAAAGAATATTTATCGGCTGACATAAATGTTTATGTTTGTATTATAGCCTAACTTTTTTTTTAATATAACTTTTTATAAATACCCTTAATGTATGTATGTGTGTGTGTATGTGTATGTGTGTCTGTCTATATTAGTGAGTATACGTACATTTGTCGTTTATACATCTACTCTTCTCCCGAACGGAACAGTCAATTCCGGTAAATACTCTTTTGGTATAACGTATAATATTCTCAAGTAGTAAAAATAACCTATTTGCACTTGCTTTTTTTTTTTTTTTTGTTTCCCCTCTCAATAATTAAATTATGGAGTAAAGGAAACTTTTTATCAGCGTCTCTAAATTATACATATTTCAAGCATACGCGGATATATTTGTGCTATGTCCCTTAATAGGTTAAAACAGTATATAAACAAAATAATTATGATTTTATCAATGTTTTCCAAATTCATTTTGTGTATAAAGTTTGACAAACTTATATAATGAAAAGTATTTTGCGTCAAATACAGTCTTTCTACCTATTTAATATGATCTTCAGGTGTATAAATGTACATACATACACACACACACATACATACACTACACATACAAAAAAAAAGGGTTTCAAATAGTTAACATAAACAAAAATATGACTGTTGTTGTTGTTGTTGTTGTTACACATGGTCAATGCTTTTTGTTGAAGCAAACTGTTATAAATATAGACTTTGTATATCACAAAAAAAAAAAAAAGATCATACGTGTATAATAAAGTATTTTTCACACAAGCTTGTTTTCTTTTCTCTTTTATTTTCTTTCATTTTTTTTTGTTTTGTTTAAATGACTGTATTAACTAAAGAACAATTAGCTAAAGTAAGTTTTGTATATCTATTTTTTTACTATCGATTAAAATGACTTGTTGGTATTTAAAAGTTTAATCAAGATGGGTATGAATGAATAAATATACACACACATTGACAAGATAAATTAACATGAAAATAAAGCTGTCTTGTTATTGAAAACTTTTTCTCGACAACTAAAGCTGAAGAGTTAAAATTAAGAGCAAAGGAATTATTAGCTAATTTCTCACTTGAAGGTCATCCGCTGACGAAATTTAGTACAGGAATAAATGAAAATAAACATGTCGGGGACAATTATTTTTTGACTTCAGGTAATAAAATACATTTCTTTTTTGAGGAAGGAGCCATAGATGAACAAGGACAATTAAAGGTTCCAAAGGAAAGAGCGATTAATAAAATTGGACATGGCTTACATATCTTGGATCCTGTATTTAAATCATTTTCAATCAATGATACCATTTCTACTATGACAAGAGAGCTTGGATTTCAATCTCCTCAAGTGCTTCAATCTATGCTAATTTTCAAGGTAATATTTTTTCATTTGGATAAGAAAGGCGATGTATAAATGTAACATTTTTTTTTAAAAAAAAAAGCAACCTTATATTGGTGGACTTGTTCCATCTCATCAAGATTCATCATTTTTATATACTGAACCTCTTTCAGCTGTTGGATTTTGGTTTGCATTAGAAGATTGTACAACTGAAAATGGTTGTCTTTGGTTCAAGCCTGGATCACATAAAAGTAGGTGTGAAGATACATTCTAATTTATTCATCTAATCTACTTTCATGTAATATATATAGCTACACCTATTCATAAACGATTTGTGCGTACTCCTGATGGTTCAGGCACAACATTTATATCTAGTATTGAGAATGATAGCCATCAACCTTCAGAGACTACGATAAACGATGATGATGAATCTAGCTATGTGAAATGCGAAGTGAAAGCAGGAACACTAGTATTAATTCATGGAAGCGTTGTTCATAAATCAGCTCCTAATCTTTCTTCACATTCACGATATATTTATACTTTTCATGTTATTGAAGGTAAAGCAGATTATTCTAAAGATAATTGGTTACAGCCTTCGAATGGAGATCCATTCACATTTGTATAAATTACCTTGTAAAATTAAATAGGGATATATAATTTTATTATGCTAATAAAAAAGAACAAATTATGACTAAGGTTTTGTTTTTATATTACAAGAAAAGAGATTATATATCTTAACCCCCCCCACCCCCTTTTCTTTTTTTTCTTTCTTTTCTTTAAATGACCCTATCTGTAATAGAAAATGGGTTTAGAATAGGTTCGTTATTTTTCCAGATACCATGCTCATCAAAGATGCCAAGTGTACGAAATCGGATATCAAGGCCATCTACATACATAATAAGCTTCATTAACCATTTATTACCTATTGGATGTGATTGTCGATTTAAATAGTCATATATCTGTTTAGCCTCTTCATGGCTATTTAAAGTATTTTTAAGTTCAGTCCATAAACAAATAAAAGTTTCTTGTTGAGATTGTTTTGTGAAACCAAACATATAATGCATAGAAGCTTCTTGAACATAATGCAAATAGCTATCCCAAGCTGTAAAAGTAATATCTAACAATATATACATGTATTAAAGTAAAAATGAATGAATGAATGAATGAATATACATACATACATATATACATATATATATATATATATATATAACATAGATTACATACAAATAGCTAAAATGACATCAACCGAATAATGGAAATGAGTGTAAAGAATCATCAAGATACCTGTAAAGACTATTGCATAAAGGAGCCAGGCAAACGGTCTACGTAGTTGTGAATGCACTCGCCATATCATGACACAAGACACCATCATGGATGTATGTCCTGAGAAAATATTATCTGTGCATGTTAAGGCAGTACCACTAATGACACTTAAAAAGAATCCAAATCGTTCCCATAGGGTTCCTGTCAATTCTATCTCTGGAGGTCGACAGTTATCAATGAGAGAAGAGGGCAAGGTAGTGACTAATAAAGTGATACCTCGAAAGATATAAATAAATCCCATAATAAAGCCCCATCTTCGTAGTATAATGAATAGGCTTGTCCAATCAGGGGACTGAATTGCAAAACCTACAAGTGTATAAACGATCGTCACTGTCAGTAAGTAGTTTACGATCTGTATTTCTACAACTCTAGGAAATGCATCATGCAAGAGATCACGTAATGGGTGCTGTAATAATTACGGGAAAGGGAAGAATAGATATAAATTAAATAGTACTTTTTTTTTCTTTAACTTTTGTATAATATATACCCTACTGGTATTGGAGTCTGAATAATATCGAATATCACTAAGTTGAGCCATAAAGGTTTCAATTAAACCACAAAAAATTAACCAACATGCAAGTATAATGACTCGAAGAAATTCATGATTCAAAAATAAATATAAAATATCTTGTATATGTTTAATACTACTCGGTGGAGTTAATCTTAAATAAATGAATCCAATATTTTGTTTTTCATGACTGATTACTTGCGACTGTACTTTCTTTATAGAAAAGAGTAAGCTATCTGAAAATAGTTTTTTCAACTTCATGTATAAACATAAAGAAAGAAAACACAAAAGAGAAGAATTATAAAATACTAAATCAAATAAATGTATACATGTATAGGGCACATTAGGACACCTTTATTTTAGAATTTACAAAAGGGGATGAAACAAAAAAAAAAGGGGGAGAGGTGGAGAGAGAAGGAGAATTAAGTATGGCTATTATTTGATTATCGGTGAGAGATTTGGGCTTGATGAATAAGCCAATCTAATATGTTATTGATATTTATATACAAAAAAATTGGAGAATATCTGTCAAACTCATAAAGTAGATTAAGAGGATAAAGTTTTTTGAATTTATTAGAAATTAAATATATTATACCTAGAAATTAAAGGGGGAAGGAAGAGGAGGGAGAATAAGAGGAGAAAACGATGACATAGACATGTTCGCATAGTTAGAACATAAAGGTTCATAATAATACATTTAATTAGAAAAAAAAATAATAATAATGCAGTAGATATAAAATATTATACAAAAATAAGAGATACATGTATAAATATATATATAAAAAACACAAGAGACTAAATTAGAAGGGAAAGGAGAATATTAAAGTTAATATGCTTTTTTTTTTAAGAATTCTTTTCGAAGCCCTTGACAATATCTTCGAGGGAACGGCCCTTGGTTTCAGGGACTTTAAGATAAGTGAAAGCAAAGGCAAGTGCAGCAACACCAGCAAAGATAGCGAAGGAGTAACCTTTGATACCTTCAAAGACAAGAGGGAAACATTGACCAATGACAAAGTTAGTAGCCCAGTTGACAGCAGTAGCTACAGCACCAACAGCAGAGGAGGCATAGACAGGTGTGACTTCAGAGGTAATCATCCATGGGATAGGTCCGACACCAATAGCAAATGAAACAACATAACCAAAGACGGCGACAACCAAAAGGGGTCCCAAGCTATAGACATAACCAATGATCAACAAGACACAGAAGATACAGGCACCTGCTTCAGCAATCAACAAAAGGGGGCGACGACCCATACGATCAACCAAGATTAAAGAAAGAATAGTAGAGGCAAAGTTGACAACGGTAGTGACAATAGCCATGTACTTGGACATCTCAGCAGAGAAGGACATGTTAAAGATAGTAGTAGAATAATACATGACAGCATTAATACCAATCATTTGTTGAATGACGTGAAGAGCAAGGACAGTGAGGGCAATACGACGAATAAGTGAATCAGTAAAGATCTGGATCATGTTCATGGATTCACGAGCACCTTCATCAGCAGTAACAATACCATCTTCAATTTGATCATCAAAGGACTTGGTCTCATCTTTATTGGTGGCAGAGGCACTACTATCCATACCAGTAATAGCTCTAGCAGCAGCAGCACCAAGTTGACCTTCAACCATACCATAGAATTCCTTATCAATGTTTGTGTTAGGACGAAGTCTTTGAAGTGATTCTCTGGCTTCTTCAATACGGTTAATAGAGATAAGATAACGAGGAGATTCAACACAACCAGACATCAAGAAGAATTGAGCAATAGCAGGGAGAGCAACAAGGGCATAGTTAATACGCCAGAGAGGAACGTTTGCCAAGGGGAGACCGATGACAGAGGCAAGCAAGATACCAATGACAATAGCAAATTGATTACAGGTACCCATAGTACCACGAGCCTTGATAGTAGAGATTTCACCAACATAGGTAGGAGTAGCCAAGGAACCGAGACCACAAGAGAGACCACAGAGAATACGACCCACAATAAACATGGCAGGGTTTACTGCAACACCTTGTAAAAGACCTCCAAGTATCCAACCCAAATTATTAAAAATAATCGTCTTCTTACGACCAAACTTGGTTTGAATATTACCACCAAAGAAGCCACCAAGAAGACCACCAACACAGAAAGAAGAGACAGCAAAGCCCCAAAGACTAGTATTCATAGGGAGACAATCAGGGAAGGCGCTACTAGAGATACGAGCACTGCCATTTTCACAAGAGTGAGTCACTTCACCAGGTACATTAGCAGAACCAATTACCCAACCATTACTAAATGAACCAAGACAGGCTACTATCACACAGTAGACCATATATTTAGGTAATTTAAGATCAAGAGAATCCATATGTTATATAATAAATAGTATATATTAATTCAGTTAAAAAAAAAATAGATAAATAAATGTAAATGTATATAAATAGTTGGCTATATTTGTTTGTTATATAAAAGAATTGAATGTATAATAAAGTCAACACAGTCAAAATAGACCTTGCTTTATATATTAATTTTATGTTAATGCTGATTGTTTTCTATATATGCTTGTTTTACTTTAAAGGAAAAATTCTCTTTTCCAATTTTTCTATAATAAATGTCAGAAATTCATTTTAATTTACTGCTTTTAGATTTTTATTTTTTATGGAAAAATGGAATAAATAATTAAAAAAAAAAAAAAATTATTTTCAAGTAGCTTCTCTTCAGTTTAACCCTTGAATATTAAGTTTGATAGAATCTATTCTAACAATAACTTTTTAGGGGATTTCAGGGATTATTATTTTGTATATAAGCATTTGTGTATTTTTTTTTTTTCATTTATGACTGAGTTATTTTTATTTAGTCTTTACTTCTTACATAATACAACTATTTAATGTTCTTTACATTATTGAAAACAGTGTCATGTTCTTTTGCATATTGAGCCTTTTACACAATACCACTGCAAATCAATCATCAAGTAATGAAACCGTTGTTATTATATGACTTTTTTTTTTCTTTTTACTAGTAGTTAAACTTCTTTCTATTAAAAAGATGCCCTGATGTACCCAAAAAAAAAAAAAAAAAAAATATGTATATAATATAGAGTTTTCTAATAAGAATAATCGTCCTACAACAAAACATTTCAAGAAATATGTTTTTTTTTCTCCTCAAATAATCAAGGGTGATGTTCTAACTTCATAAACTATAACAGAATTTTATTATATATCCAATTTGTATAACGATATTCATTATACATTTACCTGATAAACTTGTGCATTAGCGAGGTTTTTTTTTATATATATTATAATCGTTATAATATGTCTATAAAATTCAAACAAACTCCTTTTTTGAATTCTAAAGCTGAAAAGTCACTTTGAATAAGCTCTTACAGATACTAACGCCAGATTGTTAAAAAAAAAAAAAAAAAAAAAAAAAAAAAAAAAAAACTCAAAATTGAATTTCTCAAATGGAGGCTTATTCTATATATTAAATTGGCAGAGGTAACTAATCTGCCTTTTTAAAATGTACAAGATGGGTTAAATTCTATATAATAACAATTTTGCTTGAAAAGAGATTGTTTACTAATATAATGTACTTTTCAATAAAAATTAGCCCCATATATTGTTATTTACACAGACAAACCTATTGAGACATTTTATTAATTAAATATTTTTAGGACTGTCTTTATTATTAAAATGCTTATCTATTTTAAGAGTAGAACGATTATTGTATTTATTTCACAAATATTTATATTTTTGTATATAAACAATTATATGTATATCCTTTATTAAATAATATATTAGGAGATGAGAATTTAATACTAAATTATTATGCATATACATGGATGGTAGAATATTTATAACTTTTGATTTATACATCTAAACTTCCTCTCTTTTACCAGAGGTATTATTAGTAACAGCTTTAGAATAATCTCTGGTTTCTAAAGCTTTTATTTCCTCATCTATTTCGATCATTTCTTGAGATTTATTGCTTTTATCTTGGAGCCTTACAATAAATTTACCCGGCTCACCTGTATATACAAATATATAGGGTACACATAGTGCTAAAAAGCAGCCTATAACAACACACATATAAAAGAAACCAATTCTATCATACAAGTAGCCACCAAGGAGAGGTCCCACAAGACCTCCCAAACCAAATGTAACATTGAACAAACCATAACTCATTCCTTGTCCATCATCACCACCTCCATTATCTGAATTTAAAGACTGAACGACATGTGTTATTTCAGGTAACACAGGCGTGATGAATGAAAAAGCAGTAAAGCCCTGAATTGCAAAGATAACAATCAGAGGAACAACACCACCAGCTGTAGATTTGTTAGGTATACCAATTAAAAACATAGTAATGCAGCATATAACCAATGAAGTGATAGCTACCACCTTGGAACCATATTTATCTGTTAAATATCCTGCCAAAGGTGTTGCAATGAATGTTGGTATAACCTGTGCCAAAAATACAAGACCGATCTGACTTGAATTGTAGCCCCATTCAGTTGATAAACGAACTGTTAGTGTTGGCTCGAATACATTATATACACAACCATTGGCAAAAGCTAATAATAAACCAGCTAAAAGTCTATGTTGACGTAAGAGTTGAAACACAGTTATTTTTTTCTTCTCTTTTTGATTTTCATGATCAACAAGTGTGTTTGTTGTAACAGTTAATTTATTTGTAGTCGCATCATTTTCAAACCATTCTGGAGGTTGATTTCTACGTTCTACAACTAATAAACGTAATATCAAATCAATTCCTGCTAAACAAATACATAAAATAAAGGGGGCTTTATAACCAACTGATTGGTAAAGTGCTATATATAAAGTAATAATATTAATAACAATAATAATAAAAGATATAAAAAACAAGATATGTACCACCTATATATGACATTATATATTAATAACTACTTTATACATTGTAGTATTTAATCATTTATCTTACCACCAATAGGACTGCCACATACTAAACCAATTGAATGGAACAATAAAACACGACCCATCTATATATACAAGTTATATATCACAACATAAAAAGGAGATCAGGATCATCATTATCTTTATTTTTTAATCATAAATGCATATAATATACCTGAGTTCCGAGTACTTCAATGGGAAAAGTATCTGCAATTAAACACATACCTAATGTCCAAACACAAGCATCAGATAATCCTTGTAAAAATCGAGCAAGATATAATTCCCAATAAGAATTTGCAAATAGAAACAAAAATGTCGCTCCTAATAAACCAAGAATGCCTGTAACCATAGGCCATCTACGGTGTTCTAATCTATCAGCTGGTTATATGACGTTAAAATAATAAAAAAAAAAGATCATTTTTTTTTCCGAATAATTAAAAAGGTTACCTAAATATCCAAGAATTGGAGATCCAACTAATAAACCAACAGCAAATAAAGCTAACAAACTACCTGTTTCTTTAGATACATTTCCACCATCTGTGATCTCTTTATTATAAGGATTTTCTGAGTTTGGAGATTGTCCATGTTCTAAAGCGTCTATTATAAATGGCACTAGAGGGAAAAGTTAACATAATATTGTAAAGCAAAAAGAATAAAAAAAAAGTTTATTTACTGATAGGGACAATGATACTATAGACGATCATCTATCATTATTCAATTAGTTAACGAAGAAGACTAAAAATCACAGCATATCACATTAAACAATAGCTTACATCCGTAAAAAGAGACATAGAAACCGTTGCTAAGATATAAAGATTCGAAGATCGAAAACGAAGGAAAATAGGTTTTTTCTTTACCATCGTTTAATAATAATAATCAATTGGAGAAGTATGCCTATGAAGAAAAGGAACAAACTACTAGAGAAGTTTTTTACAATAAAAAATTTAGAAGTGTGACAGCTATTATTAATAATATACATTTTTTTTTTTTTATTAAATCTGACACATTTTAACATTCAACTAATCATTATGATAAAAAAAAATGCATAAAATAATAATAAAACTCAGTTTATACTCTTTTTTGTTTGTGGGGGAAAAATTAAAAAATAAATAAATAAAAATATGTTTAATGAAAATATTATTTAAATGGTCCTGCATCATGGCGTTGTTTATGTTTATTTCAATTATTACACGTTATATTTTTTTTTCTTTTCGGTTGAAACCGACTCTTATAAACCAGTTAAATAACAATATAATTTACTTCCTTTTCTTTTTCTTATCTTTTCTTTTCTTTCTTTTCTTTTGTTTTTTCTTTTTCCCTTTTATTTAATTATTATAATATTGACCGATAATAAAATCAAACTTATTATGAAAAATAATAATAATTTATATCCTTTACCTTCCGAAATTATATGGAATATAATTCAAAAGCTTGAACCAAAGGATCTTTCTGTCTTAAGAGTAGTATCAAAACGAACGAGAATGTATTGCGATCATCCTTCATTGTGGGAAAATATTCAATTAAATCCAAATAATTACTTGTGGAAGCTATCAAATCTTAAGTCAATTTTACAGTCTCATTTACATTTTATCAGGAAAATCCAAATTTGGAATGTACGTGATTCTGTTGTTCGATATATTCTAGAAAACTGTTGTTTTTTAGAAGATTTAGCTATCTTTGGTTGGTCTACATTATCAGATCATGCTTTTCGAACGAATCAAAAAATACTTTATTTAAAAAGTCTAAAATTAATTGGTGAACGGAAGTTAAGTTTTGTATCTATGGATGCGTTTACTTTTGGTAAATTTATCAAACAATGTCCACAATTAGAAGAAGTCTCGATTCTTCGTTGCCAAATTCATTTACACTCAGACAGTTTACTTGAGATATTCTCCTTACAAAACAATATTTTATCTTCACTAAAGTTTTTAACGATGCCAACTAAAAGGTCATGGACAAGTCAAAATATCATTAAACTATTTGAATTATGCTCTAATCTAGAAATTTTAAAGCTTATTCCCAATTCTGATCAGTTTTTATTAAACTTAAAGGATAGACGAAATAACAATAATAAAATGTTGGATGTAAGTAATAGTCCATTATTAATAGAAAAAAGCTTACAATCGATTGAAGATGAAGAGTTATTAGTAGAAGTAAATAATATCATTATTTATAGAATATTAAATTAATTATATCCATATAAAAGCCACTATGTATATTTATATATTTAACCAATATTATACTCATTAAAGAAAGGCTTGCTTATATGAAGTCCTATTTATAATTAATAAAATAATAAAGCACAACAGTCATCTATATAAATATGTATATGTGTATATACACATATTTTGTATATACATTTTTATATAACAAAGCCCAAAACTTTTTTTTTTAAAAAAAAAGAAAATAGCTTCAATTGTATTCATCTTATTTTTAATATTATCTTCTTATACTCTATTAATTCTACAAATAGAATTTATTCGTAATTTTTGTTGAAAATAATAATATGTATAATATTTGCTTATAGTAATAATGAAAATAAAAGATAGAAGTGGAGGTTCATATTATATAACAAAAGACCTTTGTATTACAACAACAAGAAGAAAAGGTTTATTTTTAAATGCTATGTGGCTTAGTAATCCAGTTCTAAAAAAAAAAAAAAAATACAACATAACCCTTCAACTTTACTAAGCCCTTTTTTTTTCTATTTTACTTCAAATATGAAAAGGCCTCGCTTCACTATTTATATGTTAACCATTTATTCACTTCTATATCTATTATCATCATGTCTAACTTGACTAGTATAATTTGCTCTGAATATGATTTAAAAAATAATGTATTCGTTTTTATATCGAAAAATAACGATACATTAACAGCTATAGATGATTATCATTTAAATTTTTATTTTAATATGAACAAAACACTAGTAACAAAACCACTCTCGGGCATTGCTAATTATCCAAGTATGAACAAATCTACTTTTGGTGGGTTATGCTCATTTGCAACCAATTACTCTTCAATTTACATGAACTTTGAAAGTATGTGTACAAAACAATGCATAATATATTCATATAAATATATTAATAAATTAATGAATGTAAAGGTTCTAGTATTGTTAATAATTCAATCACAACTTTTATTTATCAACTAAAGCTCTTTGAAGACAGTAGCCTAATATTTGAAAAGACAACGATTCAACTTTTAAATACACAATTATGGTCGCTACTCTATCTAAATAGTTCTTCATTGGCTTATATAGCTACCACTCATAATTCAACAATGCTTGCCGCTACTAATTTCAATAATTCTCAAATCATTATTGAAGAACAAATACCAGAGATTGGCATTTTGGCAAGAGGTGGTTCAGTATTTCAAACTCTATATCTTATTCAAAGCCATGAAATAAATGCATATAGGTTAGATACCCGGCAATATGCTACCAGTAGAATACATTTAAACAACCTCGATTATAATAACTCAATTCATCGAGTTCCCGTAGGACAAGTCTTTGTAAATATGAATTCAACTATAGAATATATTGCCATATATTATGAAACAACTGGAATACTAGATATCATTACATATGATTCGTTGCTTTCAAATTATACCACTTTATTGCTCAACAGTATTGACTATAAAATAGATGTTTATAATCACAATGGCACTCATTCAAGCAATATAAATAGATCACATCAAGTTAAGCAGGTTAACAGAACGGATATACCAGTTATAGAAAACCCATTATCAGTGACAGGTATGACACTATTATTTGTTATATACATATATATTGGAGGTTGATTAAACGACTATGTTTATAGAAATGCATTACCGTCATGATAATCAAAAGCGTGCTATTGAGCCTGTTGATAATATTAAATTACAATCTTCAGATGGTGCATACACTTTTCATAGTTATCATTACGTTGGAAAGAATAACGAAGATTTCCCCAAGGCAGCCATGTTGATTGCAACAAACTCTGATAAAGAGCAGCAAAATCTGCCCTATAATTATAACTTTTTTACATATAATAAAACTACAAATCAACTTGTGATGGTAACTGAATCTGCAGGAGAGATGGTTACTGAAACACATTTAGTATCGGAAGTTGACGCAAACGATTCTCAGTCAGGGAGTAGTTTAAATAAAGGTTCAATTGCTGGTATTGTAATAGGCGTTATTGTATTTCTTTTAATTACAATTGGATTCGTTATTTACGCTAGAAGACGAAAAAATAAACAAATGGATCAAACTATCGAAAGCTTGGAAATATCACAACGCAACATTAAGAGCCACAAACTAACTGACACTAAACATGATTCTATTATGACTCCCTTTGTAGTAGTGAATCCAAAGGTAACAGGTCAAACACAATTCAATGATGGTAACCACAGTCATACAAGTAGTCTGTTACAGGAAGTCTTGTCGATCCCTGAAGAGTATTACGACGATAATGAAAATAGGCCCAATATACGGCCGTTATCCTACAATAGGGACTTGATTGACTTTGCTCAGTTAGCTGAGGAAGAATTATTACAATTAGAACCTGATATACAGGGACCATTAAGTTTGTTCAGTGGGAAATATATATCTTACGCTGATGAAAAGGTGACTTATTTAGAAGAAGGATATTCAATCCGTACATTTTATACAAACAAAGGAGAAAAGCAAACGATTCACTACTTTTCAAATCATCGTTTGGATACTTTTGTTCGTTCTGTGCATGCCGTTCTTTGCATTACATCTAATCAACAAAGGAAAGATAAAAACTTAATACAGCCTTATATCATCAAAAGTGAGCGCGCTATTGTCTTGAATAGGCCTACTCCTATATTTAACTATCAATATATTTGGATTACATCACCTATGATCCCTGAGTACTCCCTTTATCATATAATGATGAAGCCATCAAATTCGTCCTTTGTTGATACTCATCAAATTGGCTATAAAGTGTGGTCTATCAATGCACTTTTAAAAAGTATAGACACAGTTCACAGTCATGGATTTGCACATTTAGCGATAGATCTCACTTCCTTTTATATTAATCATGAAATGAAAACAACTGACTGGCGTCTAGGTAATTTTGACTTTGCGCGTTTACTAACTGATAAGTACGTGTATTCAAGAGGCGGGATTAAGTTCCCACCCCATACATCCTACACAGCGCCTGAGATTATTCAAGAGAAACAGATTACATTAGATCAGTTGAAAAAGGTTGATATTTGGTCTCTAGGTTGCGTAATTTATACTCTAGTTACAGAAGGACTGATTTTGTTTGAAGATGCAACACATATCAAGAATTTAATGACATTTAATGACGATATGAAGAACTATTTAAAGATAGTTATACGAGATCATGTAGAAAATCTACTATTTAAAAACCTATTAGAATTAATGCTCCAAGTTTATCCAGATAATAGAAAGACTATAAAGGAAATTATAAGCTATTGGAATACATTTAAATAGGTTTTTTTTTTCTATACATATAATAAAATATAATTTTTGAAAAAGAAAGGCTCCTTAAAAAAATTTGCTTTAAGGGTAAAACAGAGAAACAAAAAGTAAAATAATATAATAATGACAGAATTAGTGCGTAGGAAAGGGGGAAAAGGGAAAAAAAATATGGAACCTTTGTTCCAGTTGCTGCAGCAGTAAAGGTGTGTGTATGTGTGTGTGTGTTTATACTAAAAGAAGCAAACAAGTTTATGATGAATTATACATATGACTAACCAACAAACGAGTCCAGATAAGATACTAAATATGTATCTATTTGACATGTTGAAAGCTAATTTAAAAGGAAGGAAAAGGACTTATTAATAAATTTAGAGATTTAGAAACAGTATATATCATGCTGCTCTGTGAAGTTATTCAGGCAGTAAGCAGAATAACTACTGAGCAGCCTATCTGAGACACTAACGAATAATATCTTTAAAATTTTATATTACCCTAGTCAGTCAAAAAAAAAAAAAAAAAAAAAAAAAAAAAAAAAAAAAAAAAAACGAAGGATAGAAAAAGAAAGGAGCACATGAGAAGAATGAAGGTATAAATCATGCCAAACAAGCTGTATGCTAGTTATAGTATAACAAAATAATTAGTTAATTCCTCGGATTGAGTCGTGAATGATGGATTTTATTAAAGGTTAAATAATTCATCTTATAGAGTAAGGTACAAATGATTAGCTAATGTACGAGCTGTAGGGATGCTATAGTAGGATGCTTTACTTGTCTAGAAAGTAATTTGTGCAGCAGGAATGATAAGCATTCTTCTATGACTTAATATATGTATATTCAACTATATACATTTAAACATAACACCGTGTGTTTTCTGATGAAAAAAAAAAAGTCTAGTTTAGTTCCTAGTTCCTAGTTCTAGTTTTCTAGATTGGGAATTAGGGTAAGGGCAGTGTTGAGTTTGATTAAGTGGTAAAAAATTGAGACTCTAACGTAAGCATCAACTACATTTAAGTCTTATCATTAGCAACCAGAATTTAAAGCTGATGGAGATATAAGGATAGCAAGCAGTGAGCATATTTTAATAAATTTCATATAGGTTATCCTGGAGAAATAATATATAAATCGATTTGAAGGTATCATCGCTATTCATGTTTTTTTATTATTACGGGAAAAAGTGCTTCCGAAGAAGCATTTTTTATAATAGAATACCAATGAAAATGCCTGTTAAAGAACTAAGGGCACAATAGTAAACTGGACACTAATATATATCCATGAGTAGGTGCAAAGAAGTAATATGAATGAATAAAATTCAGTTTTAAAACTCATCCATTGTGCATTACATTCACCTTTTTTTTTTATTTATTTATTTCTCTGACTCTCTTTTTTTTTTCTTCATATACAAATAAAGATTAACGATGGGCATTCTGTTTAGTAATTTATGGAATAAGCTATTTTCGAAAACTCAAGTAAAGCTTATTATTGTTGGCTTAGACAATGCTGGTAAAACAACCATTCTATATAAATTGTATGGATCAAAATAAAATTATCCCTTCTTCTCCCCCCCTCATCTCCTTATTTATACATGTACATATAAAAAGCAGGTCATAACTCATCATTTCATTTCTAGATTGATGAATCAAATTGTAACAACTACTCCAACTATTGGTAGTAATGTTGAAGAGGTTGAATATAAAAACTTAAAATTCCTAATGTGGGTAAAGTTAGTTACAAGACGAAGTATGCGTATTTTTAGATCTAATGAATGCTTTTTTTTTTTTTTAAAAAAAAAAAATATTCATATAAATATTATGATGTAGGATATTGGAGGCCAAGAATCTTTACGAAGTACTTGGAAGACCTATTATATAGATACAAAGGCATGTTATTCAAATTTTTAATACTACTCATCTTGGAGGTTAATAAATTATATTTCTTAGGCAGTTATAATGGTAATTGACAGTACAGATGTTAATAGATTACATTTAGCAAGACAAGAATTACATCAGATGATGGAAAGCGATGTAAGTTCAACATGATGAAGAAAAAAGAAAATTTAAGTTCAAGATTATTTAATCTGTAATAATAGCAATTACAAAACACTAGTTTGCTAGTATTTGCGAATAAACAGGATGCAAAGGGTGCTTTAGGAGCAGCAAAAATATCAGATGCATTAGGTTTAAGTAAACTTAAAGATAGACAATGGCATATCCAGGTAAATAATAAAATTAAAAATAATATTCTTAATATTAATTAAATTTTTCATTTAATAGGCATGCTCTGCATTGACAGGAGAAGGGTATAAATCATTATTGAGTTTCAAATTAATAGTAAAATTGACCTTTTTTTTTTATAATATAAAGTTTATATGAAGGACTGGATTGGGTTGTACTACAAATAGCTGGATCATAAATAAATGACTATAATAATAAAATTGACAGTGTAGAAGATAATTATCATTTTTGACAGTTTTTTTTTTCTTTTCTACTTATAGAATAAACAAATCTTTTATTTTATTAGTTCTCGAAATATTGAATTTTACATGTAAAAAAGCATAATTGTAGTATTTTCTTTTTCTTTTCTTTCAAGCTGGATTATATTTTATTAAAATGGAACCTATTTTATTCCTCGAACATTTTACTAAAATATACACAGTAATTGTTACACTATTACAAAAGTAGGAGACAAATTGAGAGAGTTTACTTTTTTAGTAGCCCTCGAGATTTTTTTTGTTGAGTTTACTTTAAAACGTGTAAAAAGGTAGCTCAAGTTACTTTTAACTAGTATATTAAAATTGGGATAATAGCAGATGCCTATTAGAATTTAATTTGTCATTCCTAAAAAAAAAAAAAAAAAAAAAAAAAAAAAACTTCTTCCCCTCACAGTCAATTGGACATTATAGCTGCTATTGCATGGTTACATATGGTTATATTATTTAAACGTCTTTAACTTCTTGTACTTGTAATCCTAGATAGGAGTAATTCAATTTTGTTAAACAGTAACAATAATAATAAAAAGAAGAAACATATTTGGCCATTTTATAATTACTAATGCCTATGCATTAAGTTGAATTCAGCCTCCTTTAAAGATTTTATTAATATGTGTATGCTCTTTGATTTAAGATTTTATTTGTCTTCTATACATGCATTCTAATACATACAGTTTGCATATCTATTTCTATATTATTAATAGACAAAAGTATAAAGAGTATTCTTTTTCTCCTGAGTAGATCCAATGGCTAGAATAGTTCTAAAAAAAGATAGACATCATGATCTCTTCTTACTAATTAAGTAAATCATCTTTTTAAGGACTTACAAAAAAAACCCCCCTCCCTTTCTGTCTTTCTTTTCGTAATAGTACATACTATGTAATGTATTTTATTAATCTTTCCCCCCCAAGAAAAAGACTTTCATTTTACATATAAATTGCGTCTTTTTTTTTTTTATTTAATTTGTTTTTTGTCTATTTTGTAAATAAAACATGCTACTGTTTCTTTATCCATTGATAATAGGTATGAATCTTGACAATTGACACTTTGTGCAAAAAAAAATAAAAATAAAAAAAATGGTTATATCTATTCATATATATATGTATGTATGTATGTAAATTTACAATAATTCGTCATTATTATAGGGCTCGTCATCCAGATTGCTTTTGTTACCGCAGATATAACATATAATGTTATTCTTAATTCTCCATCAACAGATGCAGGTGTTATAGTTAATAATGTTGTTTATGCCTTAAAACCGTCTCCTCTGAGTAGTATCCTTTTCCAAGGTGAAGCTCCTTCCAATGCCACTTATGCTTATGCTATACTTAAAAAGGGGACTCTCGATGTTATTGAACGTGAAAAGTTTACTCGGTCGGGTAGATCTAAAGACACTCTGAATGAGTTCTATAATCGAGATTGGAATACAAAGAAATTGATAAGTTATGACAAAATTAAAACGATTACTAAAAACTTTAATCGTCGGTCCGATAATGAATTACATCCTATTGGGGAAATTCCAACTATACATGTTACAGCGAAGCAATCTGACCTTGATAATATTCATATCCATTATTTGCAGGACATTAATATTTCGGCAAATATTACATACATTAGGTAGAAAAGCAGTAGTTAATGATATCATTTATACGTATTAATTCCTAATTTTATTATTTATTTATTTATTTATTTATTTTTAAAAAAAAAGTACAACTTTTGTTAAATCATTTACAGATGCAAAATTTGAAATTGGCGGTAGATCTTCAAGACAATTTACTAAATTTGCTTACAATATCAAACTCAAGAAGAAATCTAATGATAATCTTAGTGGTTTCAAGAAGTTAAAATTACGTACTACTGTTAGTGATCCTAGCTATATTCGTGAATACTTGGCATCTGAAATGTACTATGCTGCAAACCAACCTGCTACAAGAGGCTCTTATGTCAGGTATGTGATACATACAAGAAATGACAATAGTTATTTCAGATGATTAAAACAAAAAAAAAATTATTTAAATAGAGTATTTTTAAATGATCGAGCTGTCGGTTTATTCACTCTTTTTGAAAAATATGATGATGTTTGGCTCGCAAATGAATTTGGTGCGGGATCTAAAGATTATAAGGATGGAGCTCTTTATGAAGGAGAAGGTGGTACACGCAGTCGTCGTGCTGATTTATCTTATAAGGGGGATGATCTCGCCTCTTACGAAAAATCTGCATACTCTATTGCTGAGACGGCAAAAGACTTGAGCGAACTCATTAGTTTTAATAAGTTTATTAATGACCAATTGGAATTCCAAAAGACAGCAAATAATGCATCAATATCAGCAACTACTCTAGAATGGGAAAAGCAAATTGACGTAGAAGGCTTTTTAGTGTGGTAAGCTTATTAAATTAAATACTTTTTACATACATATGCATATACATATAGATAACAAACTTATATTTTTTTCTAGTATGGCATTTGAATTTCTGCATGGTTTTTGGGATGGCTATCTTCATAACACGAATAATTACTTCCTTTATAAATCACCAGAACAGAATCGTTTTATTTGGATTCCCTGGGACTTTGACTATTATATGGGAAGTGGACCGGTCTCTATGAAGAAAATCTCAGTAGGAGATTATAATAATTATGACGGTATTCAGTCAAGACCTTTAATTAAAGCCCTTTTAAAAGTACCTGAATATAGAGCTCTCTTTGAAGATCATCTCCAAACATTGATTGATAAACTATATAATCCAACTTATTCAAATCCTGTTATAGACTCTATTGTCAACTTCATTCAAGATGATGTCGCATGGGATAAATCTTTACGACATATCAGGTCTGGACGCGAATTCTTGCCCAACTTTATAGAAAATATCATCAACCATAATTTTAATAATCAAACAAATCAAAATCAAGGTACGCCTTCCAGTTTGAGTTTAACAACTGCTGCTGAATTCTTGATCAGATTAAATTCAAAGATCTCCCACAGTAAGGCTATTAATGGCAAAACAAGACATAAATCTCTCTATGCTGTCAAAGAGTGGATTCGTGTCAAACTTGCCAATATTTCAAAGAGAACTGTTTATCATCCATTATTACCCATTCCATTAAAATAATACAATAACTTATTAAACATTAATTTGTATATTCTTTGTTTATGTAAATGATAAAAAAAAATAACTTTGATATGTGTGTAAACAGCAGGTGCCCTTTTTTAAATCGCATAGCTAACGGGCTTTTCTCTTATAACTTTTTGTATTCTTTCATAAATATAATCGTTTACACTATTTTTATTATATTACGTTATGGAAATAGGATACATTCAAATTGTACCTTAGTTTTTAGAATGAATTTTACTCTATCACACTTATTGCCCCTTTAGGTCATAATATATGGTTTGTTAAGCCAAAAATGAGTTCTCTATACAGAGAATTTAAAAGGTTACGAAGATAAAAATAAAAACAATAGTTGCTTTAGCCCTTAACTTATGTTGTTGTTATTCACTCCTATATTGATTTGATATAAACATGGAATAAGATGAATAGATATCCTCTCGACTATCATCTCTTAGTCTCTAGTGTTTAAAAGTATCCCTTTATGTTACGTTACTTTTTGTTAGATATATACTTTTAATACGTACATTAAGTCTTATTACTTTGCATTCAGTGACATATTTTCATTTAGTTCTAGCCATAAATGTTAGAAAGGCGCTACACTATTATATGTTCTGTACTAAGGTTTATAATTAGTATATATAGCGTCAATCTTATATAAAAAAACAGCAACAAAACAAGACATTATGCTTGTACTATTTTAAATATATTTATAATACATGTATGTGTATTCATTACTTATGTGTAGTAAAAAAAAAAAAAAAAAAAAAGAGAGAGAGAGAGAGAGAGAGAAATATTTAAAAACAATACAAATACGTTTATGCATGTGATTCTATGTAACATACATTATTACAATAATAGTTTCCTTTGAATTAAGTTCAGTTGCTCAAGAAAGCAAATAATGCCTTCTAAGGATATTTAAATATTCTATTATCTGTTATTTTTATTATCATTAGGACTATTCTTTATCTTATATATCATTTCTAAATTTATGTCTTAACTTCAAAAGTATGTTTGTATTAAAAGAGAGGAAATTTTTTTTACATACTACTCATTTGCGTAAAAGTTTGTTTTCTTCTATAGTGATATATCATAAGTGAGAACAAAACTGTGTCTATTTTCACATTACTAATAGGTAAATATTTTTTATGAGAGACTGTAAATCTCATAATTAATTATGAACTATAGTATACACATGACAGTTCTTTATACACATATACATATACATATACATATATATGTCAGCAGATGGTCTCATCTCGTCGTATGTCAATAATATACATCAAAATTGCAGCTAAAATCATTTATGTTATATGCATAAGAATATTGAAAATGTATCATTTTCTTTTTCTCTATATATACAAGATTTGGTAGATTGTAAGACATTTTAGTATATGAATAGTATAGAAATAAATAAAAAAGAATGATTTTTTTTTCTTTTTATAAATATGCATCCATCTTTCTTATGATTTACTGTTTATTCAGTAAGAAGAAGATTTATGCAATATTCAAATTGCATTCTCTTCATTATTATTACTATTCAACTATATACATAGAATGACTATTTATCTCTAACATGTACCATGCTATCATTTATCTATAGGAAACAAAATCAAACAGCGCACCTCAAACTTCTTGTATAGAAAAGTCTGATATACAACATGTTGGATTGAACTATGTAGATGTCTGAAGTGGCCTCAGCTTATCCTTTAGCAGATAAAGTTTATTCTTGGTCGTTGATGCTAAGTAATCAGAAGTGGGGGCCCATTTATGGCATGGGATCAACGGATATGTTTATTTGACTGGTTTGCTGACGATAGTCATTACCTTAACTTGGTATCGGTTCCGATTTTATTTATTCTATTTCAAAAATATTTTTAATCAGCAGCGCAGATAAACTCTCAAGGTGCTGATGTGGGGGGAGGCAGTTATATGTCGGATTAATGGTCGCAGCCGCCTTCTATAACATGCTTGGTTTACGTTTTAGTGCTTTTTTAAAAAATTTTTATGGTTATTTTGGGTTATGTTAGGTACAGTGATCATCATCATCATAGCTATTCCTGCTATGGCACTTTCACATAAATCGGCATATTGGGTCTTTATCGAATTTCAAAATTCAACGGGGGTATGCAAAAATGATGGTATGGTCTTCTTGATTGGTCTTTTGTCAACTGGGATGGGCATTAGTAGTAGGGTATGAATGTGGGGCACAAATTGTGGAGGGCACTGAAGATGCAGCTCGAACTGCTCCTTGAGGTATCATCATTTGTGTCGTAGATGCGATGCTCCAAGAGTTTGGGGCTTATTCTTTCCACTTTATTTTCTATCCAAGATGTAGACGAGCTTTTGAATTCAACTATGCCAACAGGCACCTTTTTCTTAAAAGAGTTACCAACAGTCAAGGCATTACAGCTTTTTTTTTTCCTTGTTATCTTACTGATAGCCCAAATTGGCTCTCTTTGTAACTTTGTCTTGGCAGCTAGGGAATTTTATGTGGGAGTCTATCAAGGGATGGTCTATTACCATCCTCTAAGTTCCTTTACAAAATTTCTGGTGATGGCATCCCCGTCCGGTGTTTATTGATTCAACTTGTGATTTGTATTTTAGTTATTTTACCTTTCTTTGGATCCGCTGTTTATTGGGAAGGCTATCATGAGTGCTGCTTGTCATCTCTGTCAATGTCTCTTATGGTTTACCTCTTCTATGTCGTTTGATTTAGGTACGTAATCATATGCCAAGGGGAGACCCTTCCATCTAGGTAGGTTTAGTCTTTTGTTGAATTTCATCAGTTTTGTTTGGGTTTGCTTTTTTTTTTTTTTTTTTTTTTTTTTTTTTTGCTGTCATTCTTTATATTCTTTCTATTTCTCCTGTGACAGCTGAATCAATGAATTGGGCCTCGGTCATGATGGATGGTGTCATGATTTTTTTTTATTTTCTTTTGGTTTATATCTGGTAGACACTTGTTTAAGGGTGTTAGACAGCCTTTAGATTCTACTTGATTCTTTTTCTGATTATAAATTTCTTGGATTACATGAGCAAAAAAAAAAAAAAAAAGATAAAAATGTATATGTATACATTGTCTAGATCCATATTTCAAAGAGTAAATCACAGTAATTATATATTTTCAAGTTTCAGATATTGTTAGTTTTTATTTATTTATAGTAAAACGGACCTTCTTCATCAATCCAAAGACGATATTTTTTTTTCCTTATTATAATCGTAATAAATGAATTTATATGTTTATCCATATTTGTATATGTATTTAGTTTTAAAAGTTAAATATGAACACATCATATGCTGTTAGTTTTAAAGAATGAAACTCAAATAATAGAGACAGCGATGTCTTGTTTAGATAAGACGGAATTTACTACCGATTTCCTTTTTAATCAAAAGGTAAAACATCGCTTTTGCTTTAACATGTCGTAATAGGGTTCATGTATTTTTTTTTTGGGAATGCAATAAAAAATCAAAGATGGTACCATCTATATTAAAGATCATAAAATATAATATCATGAGTACCTTGTATTCCTCATTGAGACAAAAATAGCTTATTAACAGTATATATGATTGAGAAATATAAAACATTCAAAATAAATGGTAATATTGACATCCTATTCAATGACTCTACTGAATATTATGTTGCAGCTTTTATTCTGATTAAAGATTTGAATGTATCGAGAAAAAAAAACATATATTTAGAAAGAGATAGTAGTCTGTTGAATTTTAGTAAAATATAGTTGCTCAATCTCATGGTAGTAAAAAAAAAAAAAAAAAAAAAAAAAAAAAAAAAAAAAGATTATTACAACATCGAAGTTTATTTCTAATTGGACCGAAATTAATAATGTCTATTATTTCATTTCAGTAAATACAACTTAAAACTTCTTAGCATAAACTTTTAAATTCACTGTTATATATAAATATATAAAATAAGGGTCTAAATAGAAACAATACACATTATAATTACTTTTCGTTTTATATAGTCTAGTCTATAGATATAACATATACAACAAGAAGAGCCAAGAAAAATAGCTCCACATCGTCGGAGATTGAACTGATTTTCTTTTTCTCTCTTTTTTTTTTTTTTTTTTTTTTTTTTTAATTTGCTGTTTTCAATTTTTAGTTTTTCTTTTTTCTTTCTTACTATAACTACAAAAAGCAAAAAAAGTTTATAATTATGCAGAGTCATCATAGATATGAACAAGTATATATTTAAATATACATAATATATAATCAAACGTACAATATTTTTGCTTATATAATTATGATAGGTTGCTCAAATTGATCAAGATACTATTGAGCAGCAACAAAATAGTCGACCTATTGCAGCTCAACAAAGATCTGATTTAGAAGATACATTCAACATTTATGATGAACAAGAAGATGATTACACAGTGGAATCAACTGAGCATCATCAGTTACTTCCTGAACATACATCAACTACAGAAATACAAAGGGTACATCATAGTGCACCCATTGTTCAATCAAACGATGGTGTCTTTTCTAATATATCGGCTAAACCTGAAACCGACAAAGTGGAAGAGCTGCCACCAGTAAGTTTAGTTTTTTTTTTAAAAAAAATGTATAGAAAAATTAAATTATACTGGAATAGACTTATGAAGAGGCTGCAGCAGATGCAACCCCGCCTTATTGGCAAACTACAGTGATTGCTCCAGCAGGAATGGGAGATATAGTTTTAGTAGAAGGTTTACCAGTTGGACATTTATTTAGCTTTTTATGGAATATGATGGGTAAGCTGTTAATGATATTATTATTTTGCAATAGAATATACTTACATAGATGGAACTTAGTCTCTGCTAGTTTTCAATTAGTGGGATTTATGCTTACTTATTTATTACATACAACTCATGCAGCAAAGGTATAGCTAAATTGAAAAAAATAAATAAATATACACTATTATACTGACTCTATTGTCATTAGGATGGTGCTCGTGCAGGTTTAGGAATTTCATTAATACAGTATGGATTTTATGTTCGAAGTCGTAAGCTTCTTTTTTTTTTCTTTTTGTTAAAAAGCATATATAATAACATTTACTTTATGAAATAGGGGGAACATTAGATGAAGACTTTGATTATGATGGCGAAGGACATGAAACAGTGGGTCATGATGCTACACAAGCAGATTTAGTTGCATATATCATGATGTTCATTGGTTGGTTTATTATTCTTCGAGCTGTTTCTGATTATTTACGAGCTCGTAAAATGGAGAATATTATAACCTCAGAACCCAATTCTACAACAACAAATGCTGATAATATAGTATGAACAACTATTCATATATATATGTGTGTGTGTATGTATGTATACACATGTATATAATATACGTATCGTAAAATAATACCCTGTAAATTGTTTAATAATAATATCTGATTTCTACGTTAATACTATTATTATAAATAGAATTTTATTCTAAAAGCCAAAGAAAATGTCAATAAATAATATGATTTTACATTGTAATTTGCCAAAAAAAAAAATAGAAGAATTTAATCGTATGTAATGTACAAAAATAAGAAGAATTATTTTCTCATGCTGTTTCTTGTTTCCTTTTCAAGATTTTCCTTGAATGCTTTAATGAATTCACCACCCGTTTTGGCTCCTATAAAACCTTATTCAGTACTTCATTTTTTTTTTTTACATAAATGTGTATATATAAATGTATGTGTATATACCTTTTTCTGTTACGCTAGATACATGTTGATGCGTCTTTGCAGCAATACGATTAAATAAAGGACTTGCTAAAAGACGTTCTGTGATAAAACTAGAAAACCAGAAATTAACAATTCTCTGGAACATTGTTATGTGGAGTAGCCAAAAAAAAAAGGAAGGATAAAGAAGATGACTGAAATTGTTCCAGGGCTCTATATTGATTTTAAAACAAGTCACACTATTTCGAAGAACCAATTAAACTTAATAAAAATTCAATCTATTTGGCATGTATAATACGACAAATGGGAATATACAGAACGAAAAAAAAAAAAAAAAAAAAAAAGAAAAAAGAAAATTGAAAATATACGTATTTATATTGCATAAATATGTAAATTGTAAGTATGTAATAAGGCAGAAAAATAAAAAAAAAGGAAAAGGAAAGAAAGGGAGGAGGTGACCTTCTAAACTTATTTACAGTTGAAAGTAATCAATTTTTTTTTTTTATGATCTTGAAGAAGATGGCTGATTTCTGTTATTTTGATAATAACGACGCCCTCTATTATTTTGGTAATTATGTGACGATTGTTCATTCCTATCTTGTTGCTGTTGTTGTTGTCGTGTAGCTAAAGCTTGTTGGCGATTGGGTTGTTGAATTTGTGCATCCTCAAGTGCATTAGGTGCAACATATAGATTTTTGTCAATAACAGGTGGAATAGGTTGAATTTCTGTACCTAATTCTCTTTCAATCTTGTAAAGGTTAAATCGATCTTCATAAGTAATCAAATTGATAGCTAAACCCAAGTGACCAAAACGACCAGAACGACCAATACGATGCAAATAAGTTTCAGCATTTTTTGGGAAATCAAAGTTAATAACTACATTGACGGCTTGGATATCAATACCACGCGTTAATAAGTCAGAACAAACCAAGTTACGGCATACACCATTTCTAAAGTCATGAAATACTCGGTTACGATGACTTTGTAACATTTTAGCATGTGAATAAAAGCATGAATATCCCAATTCTGTAATTTTCTTTGCCAAAAGTTCGACTCGATTTGTAGAATTACAGAAAATAATAGATTGATTAATTTGAAGCTAAGAAATGAAGTTAATACGATGAAGTATATATATAGAAGAATATATATATATGTATATACCTTAGAGAATAAAGTATTTAAACAGTGCACTTTCTGTCTTTCTTCTACATAAGCATAATATTGAGTAACGCCTCTAAGAGTCAATTCATCCATTAAATTAATTTCATAAGGCTTAACAAGATATTTGTCCTTAAAGTTTTTAACAATCATAGGAAAAGTAGCACTAAATAACATGATCTGTCTATCCTTGGGGAAAAAACTGATGAGTTGATCAATAATAGGTGTAAATTCAGGTGATAAAAGTTTATCAGCTTCGTCCATCACAAATGTAGTAGCTTCACTAAAATCTGCAACATTCTTTGAGGCTAAATCAAGAATACGACCAGGAGTACCTACAACGATATGAACTACTTCACCAAGACGCATAATATCATCTTTAAGTGTTGTACCACCTGTAGTCACCATCACTTGAATATTAAGATGTTTGCCTAATGTTTTACATACTTGAGCTGTCTGAAGAGCTAGTTCACGTGTAGGAACGAGCAATAAAGCTTGAATCTTTGATTTCTTTGAATTTATTTTTTCCAATGTAGGAATGACAAAAGCTGCTGTTTTGCCCGTTCCATTCTTGGCTCTGGCTAAAATATCACGTCCAGTAAGGGCAATAGGAATAGCTTCTTCTTGAATAGGCGAAGGTCGCTCAAAACCAGCCTCAAAGATGCCCATCAATAATTCTCTTTTTAAAAAGTAATCTTCAAATTCATTCCCTTTTGTAGCTGTTACATCCTTTTTTATTATTATTATTTTATTGATCAACATCTGTACTCAACACTACAGTATCTGGTGTTTTTACCTCTGTTTGAGGTCTCGTATCTTTTTTAGGAAGAACGAGATCCTTTTTCCAATTGTCATTTTCATGGCTTCAAGAAGAAAAAAAAAAAAAAAAATGAGAATTGTAACGCTTAGACATTTGTATTGCAAATTTTCTTTACCTTAACTGCTGTTGTTCAAAGGCCATTTTTTAGAAATACTATAAAATAAAGAAGTAGATATATACAAACTATGTAGATGTATTTTGTATTAATATTAATATAAAAAAAAATAAGAAAAAAAAATAGAGAACACGTATGTAAGGAAATTTAATGAATTTGTGCTGACATCATGTATCGGGTTTTGTTCAACAAACTCAGTAGAAATTTTAAATTGTTTATTTTTGCTGATCCTTTTGCGCAATTTGAATGCCGATCACAGTAATTTCAGTAAGTTGAGGCACCTACTATGGATTACCATTTATGAAGGAATTATGATATGATAAACAAGTAAAAATTAAAGAAGGAGAAGTCAATGTTGGCGCTAATAATGAAATCAAATACTTTGAATGTAAACAGAGTAGTTGCTTTTACAAATATAACTAATTAATTTCGAAATACTTTCAATAAAAGATACAAGGACCTGACAATGATGAGAGACGTGAACCTTTCGTATCTTAGAGTATAACAAACTAAGTCTAGATATGTAATATATAGTTTTACATATAGAAGAAACAAAGTGCCATTTTCAATGAGGCTGTTATCTGCTAAAACTTTGAAAGAAATCATGATTTTTATAGGATAAGCATATTAAGTGTGTTTTATTCATGTAATTTACCTTAAAGCTCAAATGAATATACTCACAAATATAGCTGAAAAAGAAAAAAGAAAACTACTAATGTTCACGATTCTATTTGAGAAAATAAAGTCATATAGAAATATTTTTTTGTTTTTCGTTATTAATTGATTAAACTTAGGTTTATTATTTGCTTATGTAAAAGCATCAACTTATAAAAGTAAACACAAAAAGGAAACTTATCGTTGTATTCTTTTTCTATATAACAGCATATATATATATATTTTTTCTTTTTAGATATATTGAACTATTATCTTTACATGCAGTAAAAGTATACAAAAGTGAAAGCTGAAGCATCACAAAAGGGGATATGTTTTGTTAATATAGCGATTCAGAAGAGTTTCTGAGCTTTTTTTTTTTCTTTCTTTCTTTCTTTCTTTCTTCAGCTTATTAATTATGTAAAAAGCGGATATTAAATTGATTACAAATATATGAAACTTCACTTCATGGTGTATTACTAAACATAAATCATTTAAATTGAAAACTATTTTATTATTTTACTCTTTTTTTTATTACTCATTATATATATTCTAAAAAAAAAAAAAAAAATATGAGCTCAACTTTATTTACATTATTTGGCATGAACGTGGTGAGTGATTCACCCGCACATTGTAATAAAAAAAATGATCATCCACCTACGATCGAAGAATACATTGATTTTTTAAAGAATCAAGTCCATTCCCCTCGTGCTGTTACACCTCGATTAGTCCCTGATAGTGAAATAAAGATTCAATGTCAAGTAAGGGCTCGTATTCCTACTACTGAAGGTGGAGAAATGTTTGTTTACTTGTACAAAAATAATCAAGACTCTAAGGAGCATTTAGCTATTGTTTATGGCGATGACATTCGTTCGCAATCGCTTGATAAAACTTGGGAAAACGAGACAATCATGAATCGTATTGTGCGTGGTGCATATTATGGACGCCTCGAGGAAGTTGTAACAGAGGAATGTCGTGAATTAAAATTAACAGAGAATCAAGAAGCTTATTTGGAAAGTCAGCAGGCAAAAGCTAAAAAGGCTTGGAAGCAGCAATCTGAACCACCTATGGTACGTATTCATTCAGAGTGCTTTACAGGTGAAACAGTCCACTCTGCACGTTGTGATTGTGGTGAGCAGTTGGATAGTGCTATGGCTCAAATGCAAGAGGCTGGTAGAGGTGTTATAGTTTACTTAAGGCAAGAAGGCAGAGGTATTGGATTAATGGAAAAACTAAAGTAAGTACCCTTTTGGAAAAAAAAAAAGAAAGAGAAAAAAAAAGAATATTAAAAGAAAACCTTTCATTTTTACTTATAACATAAATTTGAAGAGCCTATAATTTGCAAGATTTAGGTCATGATACAGTAGCTGCTAATGTATTATTAAAACATCCAGCGGATGCTAGAACATATGGTATAGCGAATGCAATTTTGAAAGATCTTCGACTGAAAGAGATACATTTGTTAACTAATAATCCGGATAAAATTAAACAATTGGAATCATTTGGGTCCATTAAGGTCGTGAAACGTAAATCGATGATACCCCGTTCATGGTTTTTCATGACAGATCTGGTCGGTAATGGGGGCAGTAACACTAATAGTGCAATGCCTTCACCTTCTATTATTAAAAAGGAAATTTTGGATCATCACAGTCTAGAAGGTTCACCTGTGTTATCTTCAGGAGCATCAACACCAAGAAATGAAATGGATAAATATTTAGCGGTGAAAGTAAAAAAAATGGGTCATATTCTAGATTTACCAGATGATTTGGCCTAATACTACTGTTTAGAATGTTCATATATTAAGCAATGAAAAAAAAAATAATAATAAACAAGTTGATATATAGCGCTAGAGTTTGTTGTATTGTCTTAACCACTAGTAGTATCATAGAAGGATCATTTTACTAATTGAATAATAGGAGTAATGGGTGTAGGGAAAAAAAGTGCTTTATGAGACAAATAGTCTAATTCATAAGGAATAGTATAGACGTCAGGCTAAGAGAGTTACCAAGGAAACGCTGTTAAAGTAGTGTTCTTAAGCTTTTTATGAGAAAGCTAATCGAGCCTTAAACACTTTATCGAAAAAGTCTCTTTGTCTGATAATAATGGCATAGATCTCCTCTTCACAATACTGAAAGAGATAAACTAACTTTTCGGATTATTTACTACATATTAGTTTTATTTTTAATCAAATACTCATATGTACATATTACTGCCTGATTTTTAATATTACTTGGCCATAAACCCTAATAAACGTATATTATTATGAAAAGTTATTACCGTCGACCTTACAAACGTAAAATATATCAGCAATGTACTTTAAAATAGCATAAAGCTTCAGTTAACTGGCTTTAAAATAATACACTATTCAGTCCGTAAGCTAAAGTTAACCTATAGTTAATTGTTGATTGATAATATTCTTTTAAATGACTTGAACCTAGTATTCGCTCTTCTTTTCTAGTCGACTTCAGTCCTTTAATAATCATCAGAATATGTATAGCATATTAATAATAACTTTCAGAGTATAAATAAACTTTTTTTTTTTATGCATTTATCTTTTTCTTCTCAATGGGTGACCTTTGTTGACGATAAATGAAGTAATCTAGTAGATAATTTGCAATATGGCAATAGTCTTCCAAAGATGGATCAAGAAAAAATTATACCTTACTAAAATACAAGTATCAACTTAGATCCTTTTATTATAGAAGGTGTTATAAAAGAAAATGTGGCTTATAAATTCTAATTGGATATAGTATAATGTGACTTTTAATACTTGTTTTATAGACCATTTACAGAATTCAACCTAAAAACAAATAATCAACTACCATTGATTGCTTTTTTTTTTTTTTTTCCTTTCTCAAACTAAAAAAATAAAATAAAATAAAAATGGTCCCTAAGAGTAAGTTATATTAGTTAGCAAAAAGTCAATTATTATACTTATTTTTATATAATCTAGAGCGTCAAAGTAAACGTATTCGTCTTGCACATAAATATAGAATTGCTGGTCGTATTAAAGATGCCCATCGTAAAGAACGTAGAGCAGCAAAGAAAAATCCTTCTACACATCATAGTAAGCATTATATATAGTTTTACATATATGTATATCTATTTATATAACATTTATTTATAACTAATGTGAATATCAATAGAAGCAAAAAAAGATCCCGGGATTCCTAATGAATGGCCTTTTAAGGAAGAACTTTTAAATGAGATTCAGGCACAAAAGCTTCAGGTATATACTGTAACATCTGTATTTTTTCAATAATTTTTAATCTTTTCTCTTTTGTTTATTTATAGGCAGAGGAAGAAAAATTAAAAAACAAACAAAAAACACAAGTAGAAAAGGCAAAGGCAAAGAAAGCAGCAAGGAAAGCAGAAATTGCTGCCAATATTGCTGCTGCAAAGGCTGCAAAGGCCGCAGCACAAGCAGCAATTTCTGCATCAGACGAGAAAAAAGCATCAAAGAAAAAAAGCAAAGATTAAAGCCAGCGTATTATATATATATATCCATATATATTAATACATATTCATATATATCTGTTGTATACATATTATTAATTAAAAAAAAAAAAAGCGAGTTTATTATTTTTTATTATTCCAATATGAATTCGTGGCATCTAAGCTTGATGTTGAATGCTCATCATGAAATGGATTTTCTTCGGTTATAGTAGTAGCAAAAGAACGATTGTTAGGTGTGGAAGGGAATTTTTGAATATCTTCATTATCACTAGTATCATTGATATCTTGTTGCTTACTTTCAACTTGTTCTAATGGTATAGATAAATTATTTGCAACAGTCAGAATAGTTCTTACAGAAGCACTTCGACTCAATAAACCATTATTATTTGTTTCGCTGATTGTTCTTACTGAATTGACACGCATAATTTGTGGTTTGGCTCTTGTCACTTGAATGACTTGAACTGAAGGTGTATTTTCTCTTATTGATTGACAATGTAATGATGAGTCTACTGTTGAAACAGAAAAGGTAGATGAATTTCTGTTTTCGTTTGTGGTAGCAATGCTATTTCTATTATTATTATTAGTATTAGTAGTAGTAGTAGTGGTAGTAGTACTATTAAGCTGAGATAGTCTTGGATTATTAGATAATATTTCCGATATTCTTTTATTTTGAAATGCAATTCTTGATTCAAATTCTTCGGGAATATTTGAATTTAATGTTGTAGTCATATGAGTACCATTAGCCGTTGAGTTTGATAACACAATAGATTTTATTTTTGTATTAGGAAGAGGATTTGTGACAGAAATACGCTGGTGTGATAAAGCAGCAATCACAGCTGGATGTGGAGTAATTGATTGTTCTTGTTGCTGACTTTTTTTATTATTTTCACTAAAAGCTAAAAAGGGTAATAATTTGCCTCTACTGCTCTGTTTTTTACTTCGTTGCAAATAACCATATATAATGATGCCGAGGATGATGCCTATTCCTACTAATCCACCAATAATACCACCTACTAATGTACCAGTATTATTTTCTGTCGAAGAATTATGAACATTGGTTGAATTAGCATCGGTCGTAGTACTCGGTAAAGGTGGTAAACCTAAAAGTTCCCGGTTCATACAACGTGAAGCAGGGCAGATACCACAGGTTGTCATTGTTTTTAAAATACATGTTTCATCAACATTACAAATAGGTGTACATGTAGCTATACAATTAACTGGTGCACATGAACTTGTATTATTATTATCTGTCGTATAAATGTATTAATAATTAAAAACAAAAAAAGAAAAGAAATGAAATGAAACTTGTTCAAATATTATTTCCATACTTTGTGCTATAACTGAGTCTATATTTCTCACAGCAAATAAGAAGATTACAGGAATGGCTATTGTTTGATCTCGAATAATGTTCAACATTGCATGTGTGTGTTGTATTATTGGTATACAACAACAACAAGTAAAATTATATTATATTACTATAAACCTGTTATGTAATAAAGTAGTAGCAATAAGATATTATACAAAATAGACTAATAATTCAAGAGGCATAAAAGCGTAAAAATACAATTAATTATTATATGTTGTAATAATGAAATTTTATTATTATTGCTATATGTCATACAAAAGGAAAGGGGCAGTAGTAGATCTTATGAGAAGAAGCTCCAGATGTAATATTTATTATTTTCCCGCTCATTAAAATAATGTTACACTAGTAACATAAAGTGTAATATATAGCATCTGAATAAATTCTTTCAAAAGTTTAAACAGTGTGTGTATCTAAACACTTATTTTATTTATAAGCGAATAAATATAATACTTTATATGTATACTTGATTGATTTATTATACTGTTTTCTTTTTACTCAAATCTGTTCAAGGAGAAAAGAAAAAAAAAGGGAAAAGAGGTAGATAAAGAGTACGAAACAAGTTAGAGGAAAGGAATGGCCCAAGCTTCTTTAAATTTAGATAACAAGGTAGTTTCATTTCGAGGAAGAACTACTCTTAATAATTAGTTGTTGGGTATAGAAATCACCAGTAACAATATTGATTCATAAGAAATACTTGTCTGTTAGTTTGATCATAAAAATTAAAAAAAAAAAAAAAAAAAAAAAAATGAAAAAACTCAAAATCCTGTAACAATATAATGTGTTAACTATTTTTTTCTAATTGCTTAATATCTGCAATTTTGTAGTGACAATTTAGTTTCCTTCTCACCTTTGCATAGCAATATCTTTTGTATTTAGCTTCAACTACTGCAACATTGATCTTGCTTTCTGTATGGCTTCTGCCACTCTTAATTGTTTTGAGAATACTCGTTTTGATGATAGATAATAAATGAAGATGGTTGTATTTATTATAATAGAAAACCTTTTTTTAACTTCAGTATCGAAATAACAAATATTTGTTATATAATAAGTCCATTTATCCCTACTTGGTCTACAAGTTAACATGTATATTTTAATTAAATAACTATAAAATATTCCAAGTATTAAGCATATATAGTAGACTATATTATTTTAATGAAAAACCAGCAATAGGTATGCCCTAATTATTTTACTACTGTTGTCTGGCCTAATTGGCGAGCTATTGATTTGCAAATGACTTGATTTTTTGATGTAAATCTGCGGCAATTTAATTAAGGTATTTATTTTGAAGTGATCACACAGACTTGTGACTTTTACGTTCCCCTCCAACTTCCTAGACTTTTTCTTCATATTATTAATGTGTGATCCTTGTAACTCATTAATAGCTTGATATGATTCTTTTATTAGTTTCTAACAAAAGATATTAATGATAAATAAAATGTCAAAATATGGATCAAGTATATCTTACTCTAAATCGCCAAAATAGATTAATCAACTCTCTCAAGTTTTCCTCTGACGTTTTTGATGCTGTTGGTACTTTGACTAAACCAATACAATTGATTACATAAATTTTGCTTGCCGGCATAAATGCTCTCCAAATCCTGATCTTTGTTGCTGAAAAATACCATAAAATAAAACGTTAGTGGATATGTCGTTAAAGAAAGGAGAAAATACAAACGTGTTGCCTGAACAAAAAAAGAACCCATTTTTTTTTTTTGAAACTTTCCATATCACCATAGTAGAACCTTCGCCCGATGATATGCAGCATAGCGACAAGGCCGTATCCAGCCTTGATATAATCTTGAGTTTCTTTTAGATCGTTTTGTTAAAGTAAGGGAACTGTTGTTTCCAAGATTGCTATTTCGATCTCACTTTCTGTATTTGAAATGATACCATCAGCATTATAGAAATGTCGATTGTCATCGTAGATCAAATTTAGCTCCTGGGAAACAGCGTCTGATCTCTTTTCACCTAATGAAAACTTAGTATTCTGGATTGATTTTGATAAAGAGTTTAGAATTGGCCACAGAATATAGTAGTTGTAACTTGTTTCGTTATTATAAACATCACTATCGTCAATAAACAATCCACTGACGCTATAATTAGGAAAGCTAAAGTAGACACTACAGAACCTGAATGATCAATTAAAGACTTATAATGACTGTATAACGGTATGAAAAAATTTCATAAATGGATTGTTTGACTTAAATACAGGCGAGGCCGTTTCAACCAGTACTTTATTTGAGGAAAACTCATCCGAAAGAGCCTAACAAACATTTGGGGGGTGTTAATGGATATCACTATTTTACAATGTTAGTTGATATTCCTACTCACGATAGTATCAAATATGTTATTGTAGAATCTATTATCTTTAATGAATGAGCACGATATCTCTTCAAATGTGAGTCCAGTTTTTTTGATTAAATTTTTGGGGTAATATTCTCGTGTTATCCTGGAGCCAAGCTTGTTTCCAAGTTGAATAATGTTTAAATGTTCCAAGCTATAATAAAACGATATGTTCAATAAAGATGTCGAGCCAAATTAATTTCATACATACCTATACTTATTGATATCACCATCTCTCTGCATAGTATCAAGGATTTTCTTCCATATATCCCAGACATTCATCTCAATATCTTCTTCTACTACTATTTCTTCTTCACTTTCCTATCCGCGGTAAAAAAAAAAATACACACACACAGGAATTAGATTTGGATTCTTTTCCTCCAAAGTCATTGTATACTCACTGTATCTTCCCACGGATCATAAAGTGATGGATCGTAATGTTCTGGTGACAAAGATAGATTAGAGTGTGTTGTTGGTAATACTTCCAATTGTGCCTCTGTTAAAGATGTTTGTGGATCCTCAGTAACTTTTCTTTTCTTGTCGTATTGTTCAACTGTTATTGCGCTATGTGCTTCCATTACGTTAGTAGTTCCGTAGTTGACATAATGGATATGGTTGACGGTAGTTTTTGATGGGTCTTCAGTGGGCTATTTATGAACAACGTTAGTATTTTACATATTACAAAGAAAAAACAATTAACATTACTTTATTATTGATCTCTTCCAATAAATTTTCAACATATCTTTTCACATCGTTGTCTTGTACACATTGCTTTATGTTGTTGAGACATAGTTTATACTGATTAATTACTTTATCAATTTTTAAGGACATGCGATTTTTAAGTTGACAATGTTGCATAAAATCTTTGAAACTCCAGTTAGACAAACTGTTTTGTTTAAAGAATTCGAGCTCTTTTTTGTTTGGCAAAACAACTTTACTATTCAGGTCAAGCATTTTATTAAAGAGAAGAAAGCTGTTTTAGGAGTGATGCATTTTTTTTTTGTTTATTAAATGACGATATCATCAAGTCACGCGTATTTTCTAATTTTATCAGGTTTTGTTTTGTGCTGATGGAGTGTTTGCTTGGCTAAGTAAGATATTAATAATAACTAAGTTTGAAGATGAGCTAAAAGGAGAGGTGAAATGCCTTGATTATAGAGAGCTTCTTCTAGATATTGTTGTATCAAACGAGTAGCAGAGTATCTTCTTTTTTTTTGTCAATAACTTTCTTATATTTTTGTTTTCATGGAAGAAAACATAAGGCAATATAGTCTATTATATCACAATTGATATATTTGTATAAATATTTAAGTATAGTGTCTGCTCTCATTTTTCTTTAACTTACTCTGCATGCTACCAACACAACTGTCAAGTTCCATCTATATCAGTTCTTCATCCGTATTGGACATATCTTGTGAGATAATCAGGCTCTTGACAAGACTTTTTTAGTGACACATGAACAGATTCGACCGACAAATGAAGATCACAAACAGGTGATCCTATTTTGAAGGCTCTTTTCTTTTTTAATACTTCGCTAGGACAAGTTATGCGGGCTTTTTCTGGTATATCCCAACACCTCAAAGCCATCCATCTTTAACCCTTTTATGAACCTTTCAAATTGAACTTGGTAGTTGCCAATATATTAAGCCGAAGAAAAAAAAACATTATAAACATAATGTCAACACAAAGTGTTAGATTATTTTCTCTTCTTTTCGTTAGTCAGTCTATGTTTACAACAATATATACCTTGATCATAAGATATACAATTTTATACTCAATTCAAACGACTTGAGACCTTGCAGTTTACTTGATCTCTGAGCCTTTAAAAACTATACACCATTTGTTTATTGCAAACTGTGTAAAAGCTCCAAGTCTCTCTCTCTCTCTCTCCCTTTCTTTTTTTTCTTCATATAAAGTCGTATATCGCGTTGTTATGTTAAAAAATGTCCTTTGAAGACACTTTATTTCACTCATAACCCGTCTCGTTACGAGGATCAGTCATGAAAAAAAAATTAAAATAAAAACTACTACAAACTGAAATTTCTTTTGTAATATCCATCCTACTGACTGTATTTATCTTTACTTTAACAGCCTGAAACATGGTTATTCATACTATAGGAACAGCAATGAAAAAAAAAAGAATATTCATCATAGTAATAGGACTATTACTTCATCGGCTAAAATATAAATTAAGCTTTTTCCCCCCCAAATTACTTTTACCAGGGAAATTTTGATTACTGTCCTTTTTATTCTATTTTGTTATTTAATGAGAATCAAAGACTCTCCAAAAAAAAAGCGTTTCATTTACATGTTTATTCATTATTTAAAATATATATATATATATATATATAACTTTATATTCTAATATGCTCGGGTATCCATTTGTTGATCATTTTCGTATGTTTTTCTCATTCGTTTTTGACGGCTTAAAAAGCATAAAGAAAAACAAAGTAGAATAGTTACAATAAACAAAAGAATTGATGACGCTAATGTCATCCATATTGAACGCCCTGCAGACACTGTAATTCTTAAAACCAAATTTAATAGTCCACCATATAATTCATCTTTGGCTGTATTAATCTTGTTTTTAACGATATGATAGATAACTAATTGAACAACAAAGGTAGCGATACAAAGTAAGAGAGTAATTAAAGAAATCAAAGGCAGTATGAGTTTACGGAACCAGCTATATTGATATTTGACTCTATTGATTGTAAACAGGTGAATAAAGTAGGCGCATAATAAGATAAAAATAAAAACGACAGATGGAATAAATATGCCGCCCTGTAGACCAGTAATATCTGTTTGAAGTTCAGGAGATAATTGCTCTTCTAACATTTGTAATATACCAGTACTATCTATATAAAGATATATTAATAAATGTATAAATATTAATATAAATATAATGTAATGATATGTGTGTATATAAATATCTATATAATCTACCATATCTATAACCAAAGCTGGGTGGTGTACAAACTGTCTCATCATTCTTTGTACCTTGACATATAACAAATATAGCTATTGTAAGATAGTCTGGTATTTCATTTAATATTGAAATTCCATTTGTTCTTGATGAAAGCATGTCTAGATTTACTTTAGCAAGATACACAGACCATAATCCCTTAAAATTTCCCAGAATAGAAAGAAGCTGTAAAATAAAACTTGCTATTATTAATAAAGTAATGATGATTTGGAAAAATCGTAAAATCATTTGTGTTTATAATATACTTGATAAATATTTAGATTTAAACAAGTTTTATGATATATGTGTAAGTATATGAGTATGTAAGTAAGTATATGTGAATGTACGTATATGAGTATGTAAGTAAGTGTTTGTGTGTGTATGTATGTTTGTATAAATATATATAAATATATATAAAAAATGTATGGTTATATATTTATATTAATATACAGAGAAAAGTAAATAAATAGAAAAGAAAAATAAATAAAAATAAATATGATTGAAGATAAAATTAAATAATTAAATAGTTATGTGCTAACCAATTGTCGCTAATACATGCAGACTTTGCTTCAATATGATGTAAGTGTATGTTTCTTGTTATATAAGGAGGGACTAAAGTATAAAGTCACTTTTCAATAAATTTTATTACTTACTGGTTCTACTTTGAACTTTATTCATATATTAACTAAAGTTGAGTGGATACTAGTCATAAAGAAGAAAACATATCATAAATGACTGTTGTACACTGCAGATCAAAGTCTTTTTTTTCTTCTTCTTCCTTATAATACATCTATAAATTTACTTGACTTTTACTCTTCTTTATAAATTATAAACACATGTAATCTATTTATTTATTTATATAGATCAGCTTACTTAATAAATAATATTTTTCTTTTTCTTACATAATATGCTAGGATTTGAAGATGATGACTCATATAAATAAACTTTTGTTTACTAGGATCTTATTGTTAAATTAATAAAAGAAAATAAGCGATAGTTAACATGAACTTAGCAGCATGATATTATTAGTTTACTGTTCCTTTTTTTTTTTTTTTTTGGGTGCTGCTTACATCATATTTAAACCTTATGTCACAGTTTAAACTGTTACACAAATATGTAACCTATACTATTTAGTTTAAATTGAATTGCAGATGACATTCGTAGTTTATTGAATGATATGCTTACATATTCTTTTATTTATTTACCACAATAAAATAAAATAATTTATTTAAAGCTTGCTGCAATTTAGAATCTCTATGTGACCATTTTATAGGCATTTTAGAAGAGGGTTTCTTATGGTGCAAATGCCAATTATACAAAAGCTTTTTCTAATAAATATATTTTGCACATGTATAAAATATTGCTTATGTTATATATGCATTTACATAGGTATGTGTATCAACTTTGCACGATATAATACAGGGAGTTTTTTTTTTCTTCTATTACAATATAAACCCTGTTGTGTTGTTATTTAATTCATTTTACCTAATCAGGAAATGACATACAAAGCATGAATCTATTTTATTGGATGGAGCGTAAATATTTTACATATATTTTTTTTATTTATTTTATTTTATTTTATTTTATTTTATTTTTTTTTTCCTTTCTTTTCATACATATCCATATTCATATATTACTGTATATATTTATTTATTTCTTTATATATATTTATATATATGCACATATTTTGCATATAAAAGTATAATATTATGAGTTCAGTACCAGCAGTGCCTGTTGTATCTTCAAGACAAAGAATTGAGGATGAAGATATTGATATACCTATTCCTGAAGAGCCATATCATGATGACGAAGAACAAGAAAGACCTACTGTTTCAGATGGTGAAGAAGATGAACAGCTACCAGCACGTCAGCATTCTTATGAAGCAAGTGTTGTAAGCATACAATCGAATCCTCCACCTTATGAATTGTATCCACCTGCAAAGTCAATATTCGGTAGATTTTTTAATTGGCTAAGAAAAATTCCTAGTATAAACACACACCAACCTATTTACTTGCCAACAATCAATAATGAAAATAGTAGCAGTGGTAGGTCCATATTTAGTTTTGGAAGACGACACAGGAGAAGAGATTCTAGTACTACAGTTGATAATAGTAGTCTATTATCGTCATCGTCGTTAGATTCTGTCTCCTGTTGGTCATATTATTATTATACAATTAAAGATCGTTTACCCGATATTCCCCGTTTTGTTCTTCCTTATTTTTTAGCTAAATATCGTATTGCTCTTATTAGTATATCTTGCTTCTTATTGGTCTTGTTTAGCTTTCTCTTATTTTGTTCTCTTTATTTCTCTCCTATCAACTATCCCGACCCAATTTATCCAGATAAAACGACAAACTCAACTGCTCGTTTCTTGACACTAAATATTTTTATGCGCCCCCCTCTCATAAAGAACAATTGGTCTGATTATAAAGATGATCGTTTAGCTTACATTGAAAAGTATATTCTACCAGAATATGATGTAGTCGCTTTCCAAGAATCTTTTGCTTTTGCTTCAAGAAGAAAGGATCAACTGATTACAAATGCTCGTAACATGGGCTATAATTATCATGTAGAATCTCCTCGAAAATATCCATGGCAATTAGGTGTAGATGGCGGTTTATTAATCCTTTCTCGTTTTCCTATTCGTCAATCAGATATTATTGAATATCCAAGAGGCCAACACAGTGATTGGTAATACTAATACTTACACTAAAAAAAAAAAAAAGACTCTTTCTATTCTCTCCCTCCCCCTCCCAATATATAGGTATTCTAACTAAAGTACTATTATAGGTTATCAATAAAGGGCGCTTTACATGCTTTGATTGAACTTAATGCAACTAGAAAAATGCACTTTTATACAACACATACACAGGCATCTTATGATTTAAATAATGTTATCAATGAAGATGATACAACCATTCGTTTATCTCAATTTGCACTTTTACACTCATTCATTGCTGATACAGCGATAAATGATAATAATCCCATCATGGTTGTAGGTGACTTGAATGTCGATGCAGCTATTCATCCAAAAGGTGTGCCTATTACGAGAAGATTAAACGATAGTTCACCCGAATATGTGAAAATGGTTGATGTCATCAAAGGTACAGGTGTTCTTAAACGTTTTGTTTCTACTGATGAACGCTGGTTCGAGCATCCTTGGAAATTAAATGACTTGAAAGACATTGTTTATGATCATTATGGTTATCATCCTATTACATTTGGTGATTATAAAATTAAAGAAGACGGCGAAATTATACCTGCCGAAACAGTCTTGACAAATTGGGATGTTTTATTGACTGCTCAAAGTATAGATCGCATCTTTTGGTCAGATCGTCAATCAAATATAATTAAACCTCAATTACCTCAAGTTCAAAAGTTTTGGGTTGAGGAAAATGATCGAATGTCTGATGAAGAGCGTAAAGAAACCAAATTTACACAAATCTCAGGTAAGGGAATAAATCTACTGATTGATCCTGACATTAACCTTTAATATATTTTAGATCATTATGGCTTAAGCTGTGAAATTCATCTTCTTTAGAAAATAATGTTATTTATATTAAAAAAAAATCAAATAAAACTACTATGCGTTCCCTTTTTTTTTTCGACTCTTTATGATGCATTAATGAATTGAATCCAAGAAATAATTTTTATTGATGAATTGTATGAATACGCTTTTTTTTTATTTTTTTTTTTTTTTTTTTGTTTTATGTTTCCTTCGTTTTTTCGACACTTTCTCTAAGTCGCCATTCCCATACAGGCTTTGGTAAACCTGGTTCTCTATTGATTTTTTTTTCAATGACACCAGTTCCTTGAAGCGATTTTAAAACTTTTCTCTTCAAATGTGTTCTAGAAATAAATTGTTCTGAATAAGTTGGCACATAATTGAATAAGGCTTGTGTTGTCATTGGTCCATTTTTGGCAAGCAATTCTTTAACAATCTTTCCAGCTGATGACAAAGTAGGCGAAGACATCTCTATTTATTTATATGTTATAGATGTTTATAAGGAAAGAAAGAGGCAATGGTGCCTCCCCCCCCCGGAGATTTTCACAGGAGAATTGAGTCTAGTTGCTGAGCTCGAAATCGGTATGGCTGGCTTTATCACAGATTTGAATATAATTTCTAACCTTAGCCCTTGCCAAAATGTAATGTCTTGAGATTTATTAAATCTTAAACAAATGTTCAAACCTTTGGTTCAGTCGACTATACCCTTAATTAAGGCTACTACTCGAAAAGCTTATAATAGTCAACTAAAGACGATATTGGTAACTCTTTAAATAAATAAATAAAAAGTGACCCGCTCGATTACTAACCTTTTCACTTCAAATAGTCTTCATCAACTATTTCTCGTACTGCAACTGCCTCCATTGGATACTCAACTAGTAGACACTTATGGAGCCGATTATATACAACTGATACAACAACAGAGGTATAATTCTATCCTTCCTTCTCGACTACATTTGTGAATTTAACTTTATTTATATATATTCCCAATAGCACCAGACAAGTCCTGACGAAGAAATCATCAAAGGATCAGCAGAAGTTTGTGAATTTAAAACAGAAACTAAAAGGCTTTTAGATATTGTAGCTAATTCTCTTTATTCTGAAAAAGAAATTTTCGTTCGGTAAGTTAAAGCAAGACACTTTTATAATATTTAGCAATAGAGATTGACACACTATAATAGTGAGCTTATTTCAAATGCTACTGACGCTCTCGAAAAACTTCGTCAAACACAAGCAACTGAATCAAATGTTGAAAGTGGGAAACCTCTCGAGATTAGAATTAGTTTAGATAGAGATAAAAATCAGTTTGTCATTCAGGATTTCGGTATTGGTATGACTTTGGATGAATTGCATGAAAATCTAGGTACCATTGCTAGTTCAGGATCCAAGAAATTTTTAGAAAAGATGGACAAAGAAGGGAAGAAAGAAAACATCATTGGTCAATTTGGTGTTGGATTTTATTCAACTGTAACAAAAAAAAATATATATATGCATATATATATATATGAAACTCTTAAGCATTTATGTTAATTTATTTATTTTTTGGATGAGGTATTTTAGTTTATGGTTGGAAAGGTAATTACTGTTTATACCAAATCTGCTCTTCCCGGATCTAAAGGTTATTGTTGGATTACACACGGCAATGGTTCTTACACTGTAGCAGAAGCAGATAATGTTGCTGTTGGAACTAAGATTGTTATAGATCTTCGAGAAGATTGTAAATTTTATTCTTCTGAACTTGAAATAGATACGATTATTAAAAAATATTCAAAGTATTGTATAGAGCTATCACATTACTTCCTTTATATGTGTATATTAACTATTTTATAATAGCTTTGTCGGTTTTCCTATTTATTTGAATGGAAAAGAAGTGAATACCATAGATGCATTATGGACTAAAGATCGTAATAGCGTGACTCCAGAACAGCACCAACAATTTTATCGATTTATTGCAAATGCCTGGGATGATCCTCAATATACATTACATTTCAAGACAGACTCTCCACTTTCTATTGCTTCTGTGCTTTACATTCCTGAAAAACACATGGAGTTATTGGGTGAGCAACTAAAACCTGGTGTCTCTCTTTATAGTCGGAAAGTCCTGATTCAACCTGAATCTGCCGGTATCCTACCCCATTATTTACGTTTTATCAAAGGCGTTGTAGACTCTGAAGATATTCCCCTGAACGTTTCTCGAGAACTCCTTCAGGATAATATCTTATCTCGTCTTCGTATGATTATGACCTCTAAAGTTCTCAAATGGCTCGACAGTGAAGCCAAAAAGGACCCTAAGAAATACAATGCTTTCTTTTTAGATTATGGACAATTTATTAAGGAAGGTGCCTGTACAGATGCAATGCATAAACGTGAAATTAGTAAACTTTTACGATTTGAAAGTTCTAAAACGGAACCAGGTACAATGATCAGCTTAGACGATTATGCCAAACGTAGTAAAGAAGGACAAAAACGTATTTATTATTTGTTGACACCCAAACGCAAGTATGCAGAGGAGAGTCCTTATACTGAAATGTTTAAAAAAAATGGAGTTGAGCTTTTGTATCTCTATGAGACAGTAGATGAATTTGTTGTAAATCATTTGAAAGAATTTCAGGGCTATGATCTCGTTTCTGCTGATTCTCCTAAGGCTGCTGCCGATCCTATTTTACAAAACCATCATGACGATCAAAGTGACATTTTATCAGATAATGATGCACAAGATCTTGCTAAATGGGTTAAGAATACGCTGGGCGATGAAGTTGTTAAGGGCGTCGATATTTCTCGTAGACTTTCTTCCTTCCCTGCTATTGGTAAGAAAAGATAATTAAATAATAAGAGTAGATACTAATTATAAGCAATCAACAGTACTTGAACATGAGAGCCCTGCTATGAGAAAGATGATGCAAATGATGCAAGGTTCAGCTAGAATGGAAGAACTTCCTCCTACACCTACTGTTTTAGAAATCAATCCTGATCATCCCGTTATGAAAGGCTTGTTTAACATACGTCAATCAGATCAAAAGCTAGCTAAAATGGTCATTGAGCAAATATATGACAATGCCTTGTGTGCTGCAGGCGTTTTGGATGACCCAAGATCAATGATTACTAGATTAAACAAATTGTTAGAAATTACAATTCATACGGTAGAACAAGATAAAAAAGTGAAGACATAAGGTGAAAGATACTTTTCTTTTTATTTTTATAAATATTTATTTAAAATCAAATTATATAATACATGTAGCATAAAATAAATTTTATTGAATATTGATATTTAACAAGTATAGACGTAAAATAATACATACAATTAGTTTTCCTATTAGACTTTTTATAATCACCAAAGAGAAAAAAAAAAGAATAGCATCAAATTTTCATATTAAAAGGCACATTATACGCTATAGAATTTATCCTTATAAATCCGATTGTGTATAGCACTATAAAGTTTTTTTTTTTATTATTGTTAAAAAAGATATTGATAGCTGTGAAGAATTTGCATTAAATAGTTCATTTGATACAATGGAATGTGTTATTTATCTAATTAACTCTGACTAATTCATTATTAAGAAGTGTTATTTTTAATATAAAGAAGCTACTATCTGCTTCTTATTACCTCCTTCGACTAATCAAAAATTTAAATACATTTATGTAGTAAACTTTGTACATTCCTCCAAAATGATTCGTGTCAATAATTCCTGATTATAATATTGAAGTAATTTATCTCATACAACATTTATACTATTGAATTTGTAGGCTTATTCTAAACTAAAAGAGTACACTTTAATGATTATTTCAATTACTAGAGTAGAAATAGACCCAAAGACTTCAAATATAACTACTTTTATCTTCTCTAAAAGTGATACAAAAGGTGGATTGCTCCAGTTTCAATACATTGAACAAACTATCATCATATTCGGTCTCCAATAAATTACATTGCAGTCTATTATTATTTTGATGAAGCAAAATATAAACTTTAAATATAAAATTGGATAAAGGAAGAGTTGAGATTATTTATTTTGTTTATACAATATCTAGATAGCTTTTCAGTAAAATAAAGGAGCAAAAAATGTTGAATATTTCTGGAAAAGAAATATCTTGCATTTATTACTGTTACAGTGACAGAATTGTTATATATGTCAATGTCTTCTTTTTTTAAAAGTAATCGAGAATATTCTTCTTTACACTAGTTTATAGAGAGATATTGATTGTTATTACAATATTCTTGGTAGAGCTTTTTAAGTCTTTATTCTTAAGTAAGCCATAACATAATGTATTATTAGCTAGAGAAGCTTGCTGTTAATCAATTAAAAGAGTCTGTATATTACGTTTACTTATGATTATTTCCTGAGATGTTGATTATGATCAAACACAGTAACTATAGATTTATATCTGTATATGCTTAAAATAAGGCTTTTTAGACACTCCGTTATCTTTCTATGGCTTGAGGATCATAATGATGCCAAGGTACATAATACACATTCATATGTAAGAAATTATTTCTGATATATGATCTGACTATAATAGTATCAGTTAATAATAGCAAAGTTGTGACTACTACTGTTCCTCCTGTACCTACTACCGTTGCTTGGTAGAATATAGTCCTAAAACATCATTATTCATGCTACTGCTGGTGTAGTACAAAAAATAAGAATAATTAAAAAAATTAAGGGTTCATTTGATTTGGTGGGGAACCCTTGAAGTGATTCGATTCCACAGCCTAGGCTTGGGCTAAATATGCTGCGAATTCTAGTCACTCTCCAAACACCCGTGTTACTTTCATCAGAAATAGAAGATACACATAGGGCTATATTTACTATAAACGCCCCACTTACACCACCACCTCTATTTATACTTACAACTACAATACTACTACCAACACATCCTTACTAATGTTAATTATCACTACGCAATACCAGTATTATCTATTACTACTACTACTACTACTAGTACTACTACTTTGACTTGCTTTCGTTTTTTTCTGTAATCCTTATCGTTGGATTATGGAACAGTCTATAATGTACATGTATGAACAGAAAAAAAAAAGAAGCAGATCCTATACCTTCTATGATAGGAGTTTAATTGATTACTTTTTCAATGATACCAAGCTTAACTCGGTGAATTTTCTGATATATAAGATTCCCTCTTATTGGACTCGGGTCATAAATTCATGAACTAAGTTCTCGTCTTGAACATCTCAATATTAATCTTATAAATGCCACTTATGTTCCTCCTCGTACTTTATACCATTTAAGAAGTATTGATAAAAATTCCCCATTTTGTTATTGAATATAAGAGTAATTTTTTATTGAACGAATCAGTTTCCAAATGTCAACTGCAACTTATACGTCTTTAGAATACACACGTGTAAGAAGGAAACAGCAAATACTAGCGTTGAGCTTATTTCTGAAGGACATTTAGACTCCTGACTTGATATCTGTTTTTAATTTAAAAAAATATGATTACAGGAAACAACGCAAAATACAAGGATTGAACCATCTCAAATGATGGGTGCTGCTTGAAGACTTTTAATTAAAAGCATGACAGTTAATATTAAAAAGGAGTTGAGAAACTTGAAAATGGTTTTGTGATAAAATAGGAGAAGGAGAGTATACTAAACTAATTATCAAATAAAAGTTCTCACCAAGCTTCTACGTGATTTTTTGCCGCGGAATAACTATTTGCTTTATCATCCTTTAAAAAAATATATTATTTGGTACATAATAAATTCCATTCTCCACTTCACGAGTAATATATTAGTATAATTTATGTCTTTTTTTTTTTTTTTACTTTTTCCCTTTTATCCCTTGAAAGAGTTCCCAGGTATAAATTTCAATTTCATGAACTGATCAAGGTAACTCAATACAGTAAACGTATTATAAGCTCGCAACAATAAACAAAAAAAAAAAAAAAAAAAAAATAAAAAAATAAAATAAAATAAAATAAAATTGCTCAACAGTTATCTCAACAACATATCCTCTTCAAATAGAGGATTTTGCGGAGCATAAAATAAAAAATTGAAATGTGCAAAGTACATTTATAACACACGCTTAGATTTTATATTTTCTTTATTTTATCTTTCACCTGTCTCCGCTTTTTTTTTTAAGTGAGTAAATGTGGCGATCTTGGGTAGAAAAGATAAACACAATAAATAAGCCAAATGAAGAATTTCAGTTAACAAAAGAGGAGCTTTTAAAGTATGCACATAATATTGTATTAATTTGCACAATAAAGGCAAGTTTGCTTAAAAAAAAAATAGGCAACAGCAACAGCAAACTCTTCTTCGTGACAATTGGCAAAGATGTACAGATTTATTGTCTTCCGAACAAGTAAGCTCTAATATGAAATGGATACACTTAATATTTAAATTAAATAAATAAAAAGGAACGCTCGGAGACATTCTTGTTAGATTTTCTTCCGTTGATTTGCAAAACACATGAACAATTTGGTGCCAAATTTACATTCGAGTCTATTCCAGATGAAAAAGCGTTTATGAGTGTTTTGACCAAAGAACTTATTAACAATATACGCAAGGTACCAGAAAATAAAAATAAATCAGAGTCTAGTCAAGGTATGATATTTTATTTTATGCAGATATACGACTTGGCTAATACGTTTGTTAGCATTGATGAATAATTTAAGATCAAAATCACACTTATATAATGTGATACAAACGATTCGAGTAGTAACATTTGGGCCTGTTAGTACAGATATCTTCATGTTATTACGTATGTTTATTTATTTAAAGCTTTATATATAGGATACTATAGTGAATTTAATGTTACAGCAAAGAATTCCTTCAATTATTATCAAATTATTTCGATCATTTATAGACTTGAATTCATCATATTATAAAGAAGAGTATGAAGCTGAGTTGGCTAGTATAGATGATACAGTAGAAATTATAACAGATATCTTGAAGCAGTTTGTGCAAAATCAGACTGTTCTACATAGATTAATAATAGAGGATACACTATTTATGATTATGCGCATTATGACCGCAAAGCCTATCATTCAACAAGATAATGATAATACCTATATATACTGGAAAAAGAGAATTACTGAGGTTTTGAAAGTAATCGATATGAACAGTGAAGTATGCCAATATATTCATCATCGACGTTGTTGTATAGATTTATTGATTCGATCATGGAGAGAGAAATTATCCAAAGGCTATTTGACAAGTGTAGATCACCAAGATATTTTAATGGATTTTGATGTTATTTATTACCAACTTTACAAATCAGCTAAAATTCAATTTTTTGGACTATTTGAAGAAATGATACATGCTTCAGGTTATGAAGTTTTATGCAAAATTTTAAAAACAGGTCCATTTAATGAATCTATAACACATGAAAAGGTAAATATGCATAGTAGTCAAATTATATCTTTTTCTTAATGTTTAACTTTTGGCATTTCATAGATAGATATTATGAATAAAATAGCTAGTCTCAGTTTCGTAGGAAAAATTAGTCCAATACCTTCAATATCTGATGGACTCCCTTACCAGCATGAAGGTAAATAGAAAAGAAAAGAAAAAGCATTTTCATATAAGCTTAACTTTATCCTCTTTTTTTTTTTTTTTTTTTTTTTTTTTTTTTGATTATAGATTTTTCTACACCACAACCACAAGGACATACAGGTAACGCTCAACACGAAATAAATAACCTGAAACTGTAATTATATTAAAAGTTTTGTTGATAGAAAAAATTGTAAAAAATTTACATGCATTTCAATGCTTACAAGCCTCATTTTTATACCCTCTCAATACTTCGTCTGTTCCCAATCGACATGAATTCCCAACTTTTTTTTATATCAAATTATTTAACAAAATTAAAGAAATAATTGAGGCGCATCCCTGTAACTATTTTGTTACTGAATGTACAAATGCATTACCTCAGTTTATCGAGAGTATGGAGAAGTATGATTTAGAAATTCAAAAGGGTATCTTGGAATTACTAAATTATATTATGATGGACCTCAATTTTGTTCCTTTAAAAGAATTAGCAGTTTTATCACTTCATCTTCAAAGTAAGCGAAATAGAAAACGAAGAATTTTTTTTTTTGAATAACTTAAAGGAATGTATTTTATATTTATTTATAGGTAGCTCGTCCGGAAAATTAATTAGCTTAATTTGTAATTATTTAGAGGCCTTACTGAAAAAGTCGTCCAAGTATTTTGCTGTTGTACAAGAGGCTGGACTTATTAACATCATGAGTTTAATGCTTTCAGATATAACAGAAAAACTGCAACAGAAATCAAAAGATGATCAATTTCTTACTTGTGCACTAGATAATTTTGATCAAATTATTAATTGCATAATCATGATGATATCGATACCTACAAATGTAACAATATTTAGAAAATCGTAAGTATTTACTATTTGTTATAAATTTAATATTCATAATTGATACTAATTATAAAAAGATATCGCGGAAATTTATTTGATTTATTACAATATCCAGAAACACGCTTAGGCGCGTTAAAATTATTTGAAAGCCTATCAATTTATAGCCATGACCATAATACTTCGATACTATTGGGCAATGGATCTATTTCAGAGAATTCATCTTCAGTAGAAGTAGGCAATGCATTTAGTAAAGTAATGGAAGCTCTTCAATCTATCCCTCGTAATGATTTGGAATTTCGATTAGAAGTATTGAAGACAATTAAACGTATATTTAAAGCTCATAACTCAACTCGTGATATCTTTCGTCATGTTGGTGGTTATGTAAGTCTTGTCTCAATGATTGTCTCTCTTGAAGGTGCTTTTGAGAAACCGGAACAATTTATGAATGATAATATAAAAAATATTGAGTCAGTTCGTTGCTCGATTATAGCTGTTCTTCAGGCGATTTTCTCAGTCATTGCTGAGTCAATGCATGATCATCAAGCGAACAAAAAGTATTTTTTAAAGGGTGTTGGATATGGGTCACTCGAAAATGCAATTACATTAACTGGTGCGTTAAATGAAGGATGTATTTCAGGTTCTATCTTTGGTATTCTTTTTGGATTTGCAATGGATGATGAGTCTATTTATGAGTTATTTTTAAATCCTGCAAAAGAAGAAAGAGACAGCTCAGTATTAACGGCATTACAGCAACGTATAGATGTAGTTTTAAAGACACCTTCGGCTAAAGTAATAAATCCTGAAGTTATGCCTTCTATTATGAACTTGCAGCGTTTAATCTCAAATATAGATCCCGAATTATCATATGCTGTATTATATGCAATTTATGCCTTGACTCAAGCTAATCGTGGTAATCAAATCAAACTGAATACTAGTGGGCTTATTTTCAACATTTTAACTCGTGTATTTCCTGAATCTTCTCAAATTGATGATGCCGTATTAACTATCGAATCTAACGAAAAAGGGTTATTGTTAAAAATTATACAGCAACTGTTGAGCATGGGCATCAGTTTTGAAGAGCTTCGATATATGTTTCAGAGGTTTACTATAATAGATGAAAATTTTGATCTTAGTAAATCACATTGTTTGTTGAATTTAATTGTTCAAAGCGCTTGTCAAAGTCAATGGCCAAACTTTATACAATTTGATATGGCAACTAGCAAAATTGCTTCATTAGAGATTCCTGAGCTTACTAATTTTCCTCCAACAAGTCCAGGTTATAGCTTACTTTCTTGGATTTTTATTGAAAACCAAGATGACCTATCCAATTTGTCACTTTTTTCCCTTTATGACAATACCAGTTTAGTGTTCAAGATATATGTGGATGCTAAAACAAAGCAATTACGAGTCTATAATATAGCATCTAAGCAAGATATTATATTTAAAACATTCCAATTCAATATTGGTGTTTGGTATCATATTGCTCTTGTTCATCATCGGCCACGTATTTCAATTAAATTTAGTTCTATGGACTTGTTTATTAATGGCATGCATGTTGAACAACTTAGCTGCTCGTATATACCACAGTCATCGCAACCTTCTAATTCGTTTAAAGCTGTTATCGGCTCACTGAAAGACGATCAATTAACTGTTCCTTCTCAACTTATATGGAACCTGGGACCTATTTATTTAATCCAAGAGACACTTGAAAAAGAAACAATCAATTTATTTTATAGTTTAGGTGTTCGCTATAAATCTTTATTTCAAGATTCATTGCATCAATTTCAAACATATGAAACGTCTACGTCGCTTTTTTTAAAGCTGAAAGACATGATCAAGCCAACGATATCGACAAGACGTAATTCTATCCAAACACAGCGTCTACTCTCAGATATTATGAAAAATGCTCATTTTCAACGTATTTCTGAAAATAAAATTTCTCTTGCTCTCTTTGCTGGTAATATGTTATCGGAAGGAACAGGCTTAACTTTGACAGGCTTAAGTGAAGCAGCAGAAATGTTTATCAAGACTGAATTAGATTATTCTCGACTCATATTGAATTCAAGTATTCCTAAACTGGATAATGCTATCTATATGCCAAAGAGTATGGGTTATTTAACGGGTGAATCTATTATTGCATACCCTTATGGGCTGGATGAATCGTTATGGAAAATTGGTGGCTGTGTTATAGCCTTGAAATTAATCGAGCAATCAAAAGTAACTTATTAGCGAAGTATGGTTGTCTTTTTTTTTCTTTTTTTACTTATTGCTCTCTCCCCCCCTTTTTTTTTTTAATTTAGACTTCAGAAACGTTATGTAAAACAATGACATTTTTGTTCCAAATTATTCGATATTCATGGCGGAATTCTCAAGATATGGAGCGATGTCATGGATATGAGATTTTGGCGTATATATTGAAAACGAAGAGAGATTTGATTACAGAGGAGATATTTGAACTTTTATTAGTATTTATTGGCAAAAATCCTTACTCTTTAGAGTTAGTATTATATATTTATTTATTGTATGTTGTATACTAATCAGTATTTTGCAGGGATTCAATGATTAATAACCCCTTAGCTTATCGTTATATTATTTTAAACTTTGAGATTTGGAAGAAAACGCCTATTAGCGTTCAAAAAGCTCAGTTGGATCAGTTTATTCTCTTTTTAGAAACAAGTAGAAATAGATATTTCAATTTAAAACGTCTTCCTAAAATTCGTAAGTAATATTATACCAAGGGATTAGTGTGCAAGCAATTCTTTTTTTTTAATGGTTAAAATAGATCTTGTAAAGAAAGTACTTTTAGCATTTAGAATGAACATTTATGCTAAAGAGCTTACACCATACTTTGTAAGATCCTTAAAGGCTATCATGTTGAGTAATTGGAGTACTGACAGCATTAGAGCTGTTGCAACATTTCTGGCATCTACTGTTTCTATAGGTAAACTATGGTTGAAATTAGCACTTGAGTATTTGTTTTTAATAACCCTTATTTTATTGTTATCTTTACAGCGCCATCTACTTCACCTGTATCTAAACCTTCTTACACAAGAGGTAGATCAGGTAGTACATCATCTGCAACAACCGTGCCTTTGCCTGATTATGAAGGAGTTGCTATTGAAACAGAGATGATTATGGATTCCAAACACTATAGGAACACAAATAAAACAGTTCAAATGAGAAATATTGTGTTAGAAATGCTACATGATATTTTATGCGATAAAGAAAATGGTTTAGAATATATCAACAAATTTTCTGTTACCATTACCAACAAATGGCCTTTACTGTTTTTTGCTCCTCACCTAAACCCTTTTACAGTTGTACTTATTGCTCGTATTATGGCACGTATTTTTATTACCCAAGGTCCTACATACGTTCAAAAGTTTAGAACCACAAATGAAGGATTTACTATACTACACTTATTACTTTCTCATTATTGGAACCTGGCTCAATTACAAGAAACGTTAATTCTGATGATGTTCGGAATTGATATTGCAGAATATCCCATTTACAGAACATATGATATTAACCATTTGCGGACATGCTTATTCAAGTATACAGAAAATAGTAAAATAGTTATACCCGAAGTCTTGCCTATCGTAATTGACATGTGGAATGAAGCAAGGAAAGCAATCGAAACACCATACGCTAAGTATTCAAATATACCAACATTAAAGCAGCCATCACGATTTAGAAGTAATAGTGTCAATATCAATATAAAGGAAAATAACCCAACAACTTCTGCTTCCCGCCAACAAATATCTAATATCATAAACGATTTTATACAGCTCTTCAACGAATTATATAATAATAGGTTATCTTTTAAAGAAGCATGTAACAAACAGGATGTAGCGGATTGTCTCGTTTCTATCTTATTTCCTTGTATATGCACCACACATCAAATGACAGCAGAAGATGAATTAAGTTCAAAGGATATTGTTATAACTAATTTTGATATAGAGCACGTTAATTCTCCTACATCATCTGTATTATCACCAGTTGATGGTGCAGAACGTTTTGGCAGAACCCTAGAAGATGATGTTACTTCAATTGATAGTACAAATACAAATTCTAGCATTATTAAGCGAGGTGGAACATCAGCATTAATGACTAAAACATCACCTCATGTCAGTAAACGTATCAATCCATTGATGACAAGATTAAAGTAATATATATCCTATCTTAATGAACACTTCGCAATGTACTAACCAAGCTTTATACATATATACATATATAGGCTTGCTTCATGGAGTCATACCAATATAATATCAGTTAATATTAAAAGTATACAAGAACCTTTTGTAAACTTTTTACTAAACTTTATAGTGGATATTTGTGTTCAATCTATTATTGATCCGTTAAGTAAACAACTAAATGGCCTTGTCCTAGTTTTATCAGTGAGTTATATTTTTTTTAAAAAGTACATAGTTATTTTAACTTTGTTTTATTATAGGCTTTCCCTCCTAGCTTTCATGAACAGCAGCTTCAGTTTGAAAGTTATATTATGACACATATTTTACAAAATTTGAAAAGTACAGTCCAGTTAGACATAAATTTACTTTCAGATCCTCGTATATTATCCAACATTGCGAAGTTTACACAAATAGCAGCTGATGCTGTTATTCAAGGCCGATTTAAAGAAGGAGGCGCTGAGCAAACATATGATTTGTTAGCCACCATATTGGAAACTTTATATATAGATAATCAATATGGAACGAATGATGCTTCTGTCATTACTTTGTATCGTTCTTTCAATAGAATGATTCAAGTGAAAATGTCTGATTTAATAGAATATAACGACACATCAAAGACAGCTGCTTTTTTGGATCATTGTGTTCATTATCAGAAAATTATATTAAGCATAAAAAATACGGATATAGAGTTTTTCAAATGCTTCTGTTATCATCTTTATCGTTTCCTCTTATCTGACGATGAATTAATTAAAGATTCGGCAGTAAATATATGGAAACTGTTAGTATTGCAAAAACCTGATACTCTTTCAACTATATTTGACACCCGAATTAAGGGAATAGAGGCAAACGACCTTATGGATGGTTTTAAACAAATACTTGAAATGGTAAGCCAGTGAATGTAATGATAAAACATAACTTGATAAATAATTTTTATTTATTTATTTTTTTTATAGAATAATGAATGTTTTTATAGATGGTTAGACTCTCGCAAAGTTGAACTCAACATTTTATTCAACGAACATATTAGTAAAGCATGGGGAACTACTATTATGCAAGAGCAAAAATATAGTAAAGAAACGTTTAAAAACTATATAGCAAGACGCATTAATAAGCTTAAAAAGATTCAAAGACGAAAAGTGTATGAACGAGATATCATGTTAGAATATACTGATAAGACCCTATCTTGGTCTCTAAATATTCAGGAGGTGGAGATGAGTCGATTTACAAAGGCACTTCAGGATTTCAATGAGCATGAAAATTTTGTACAAAGTGAATGGTCACGTATTTCATCCGATTTAATGAGAGAGAGAGCTATTTGGGGCCCTGAAAAAGCTTATGATCTTAAATGGCGACTAGATTATACTGAAGGTCCCAATCGTATGCGAAAGAGATTAAAGACAATCTCTAAAACAGATTATTCTTCTTATATGCCAAAGCAGGCAATAACATCGACGACTACTAGTCCTTCTATATCAGTCAAAGCGACTACTGCAATCAATAGTAATACAGAAAAATCTGATACTCAAGCAGATAGAAAGCTTCATGTTACTGACGATGCATCCATTAGTCAACAAGATGACCAGCCTATTACTGATGATGATAGTCTTGATAAGGTCAATAGTGAAGACGATGATCAACAAATATTATATGAAGAAGATAAAAATCGTAAAGTTTTACGTTTGCTTGATCCAGGAGATATGGTCATGGACGTCTATAATATTAGTCAAATTGCTGGTTTGGATGCTTGTGAGGGCTTACTCCTACTTTGTAAGAATAATATTTATCTTATTGATAACTTTTTCCAACGTGCTGATGGCGAAGTAGTTGAAATATGGGATGTACCTAAACAAGAACGTGATCAATACTTACTGTTAGTTGCTCAAGCAGCTGGTGTAGAAACAGAACCCTTTATTAGCTCTTCGGGTGATCTTCATACTTGTCGAAAATGGGCCACAAACGATCTTCGTGATGTTTTTAAGCGTCGTTTCCTTTTCAGAGATGTAGCACTTGAAATGTTTTTTAATGACGGCCAAAATGCGCTTATCACGGTTGCTCTATCTGAACGTGATGAGCTATACTCTAAACTGGTAAGCCGGGTCCCTGTTCATGAAGAATCTGGAGGTACAGTTTTTGGTAGAGGAATAGACAACTCCATAACATCTGGCTTGAGTAGTACATTTAGATTATCTAGCATTTTTGGGACTTCTACTTTAAATGAACTTACCCAACGCTGGGAACGTCGAGAAATAACCAACTTTCAGTATATTATGTATTTAAATGCAATTGCAGGACGTTCTTATAATGATTTGACACAATATCCGGTTTTTCCGTGGATTTTAGCTGATTACCATAGTGATGAGCTTGATTTAGAAGATCCCAAGTCGTTTAGAGACTTAACACGTCCTATGGGTGCGCAAACAGCTGAAAGGAGGAAAGAGTTTGCTGAACGTTATAGACAGTGGGGAGAAACGGGTGATCCTGCACCTGCTTTCCATTATGGAACTCATTATTCATCTGCAATGATTGTTTGCTCGTTCCTAATTCGACTGGAGCCTTTTACACAGCATTATCTTAAACTACAGGGGGGTACATTTGATCATGCAGATAGATTATTTGATTCTATCGGTAAAGCTTGGGAGTCTGCTTCTGAGAAAAACATGGGTGATGTAAGAGAATTGATCCCAGAATTTTTTTATTTACCTGAATTTCTTAAGAATGTTAACAAATTCAACTTTGGCGTTAAACAAGGAACTGGTGAAGCGATTGATTCGGTCTCATTGCCTCCCTGGGCCTATGATGATCCCAAAATATTTATTCACCGTCATCGCGAAGTAAGCAAATACTTCTTTTTTTTATATATATGTGTATAAAAGCTTATTAACTGATTTATTAGGCATTGGAAAGTGAATATGTTAGTGCTAATTTACATCACTGGATCGATTTAATCTTTGGCTATAAACAACAAGGGCAACATGCAATCAACTCCTTGAATGTTTTTCATCATGTCTCATATGAGGGTGCAGTCGATTTAGATTCAATTACTGATATAGTTGAAAAGACAGCTACTATTGGTATTATTAATAACTTTGGTCAGACCCCTCGACAACTTTTCAAACGTCCACATCCGACAAGGTCACCCAAGGTAACAAACCCTATTACTATGGGTTACTATGTTTTCCAAGAACATCTTGATAAATTAGTCCAGTCACTTTTACCAGTACGTGATATTAAGCAACAAATAGGAAGTATTAATTTTTACAATGAGAAATTGGGAGTTACTACTTGTCAACAATGTTTAGTGCCTCCAGATGGTTTAAAATATGTTGAGTGGGGATTTACAGATAATAGTTTACGACTTTATTCTACAGAAACTGGAAAGGTTAGTATTTTTTTTTTAAATAAATGGATAGAAGATAAACTAATAGATTATTATTATTAGTTATTAAATACATTTGAAAACATGCATGTGGAATATATCAGTTGTGTTTGCTTTCCTGACTCTCGTACTCTGGTTACTGGAGGAACAGATAATCTTGTATGTATTTGGAAAGTTAAAGACGGGAAGGATACAGATTTTATACTCTCTGAATGCCTTAAGGGTCATAATTCTGTTATAACATCTATTGCTGCTTCTAGAAGCTATAGTGTTTTAGTGACTGGTTCAGCAGATAAAACTGCTATTATTTGGGATCTTAATCGCAAACAATATATACGATCATTGGCAGGACATGAAAATGGAGTTCAATCGATTGATATAAATGAAACTACAGGAGATATCATCACGTGCTCAGGACATGTTATACGTGTATGGACAATTAATGGAGATCTTTATCTTACTAAATCTACTTGCCCTAGTTCTGAATCAATTTTATCTTGTTTATTTTATGAGCGTAGAATGTTTGAATGGAGTGCGCAAGATTTAATCATTACAGGGCACAAAAAAGGACTTGTGAAGTTTTGGTTAAAACGTATTGAAAGGGATACTAGTACCGGTAAACACAAATGGGGTCTTGACTTAGTACATCAACTTTATCATCATAGTCATTTAGACCAAACCCCTGATAGATCAGATATAGTGTGCTTATCTATTTCCAAGTCGAGAAAGACGTTATTTACAGGTAGCAAACATGGTCGAGTATATGCTTTTGTTTTACCTGATACGTCAGACACTTATCATTTACAAAGAGAAGATAAATGTAAAGAATGTATGATGTGTAACAAAGCCTTCTCTGTATTAGGTATGTATATCTTTATTATAATGTAATAAGCGTATTTAACCTATTTTTATTTATGTAGAACGTAAAAATCATTGCAAGACATGTGGAGGTATATTCTGTACCATGTGCTTATCTAATAGTCCTTTGTCTTGTCCAGATAAATCAGCAAGATTTTGTAAGATATGTTTTGAATATCTTTCTCCTATTTGTAATAATATATAGATAAGAATAAATAAAGTCATGTATGTATAGTATACGTTTGTAATATATATTATTAATTTCTTGTAGACTTGAAAATACATGAGTGCTATATTCATTAAATTAATTAATTTATTTCTTGAAAAAATCTCAAAAAAAAAAAAAAAACGAAAAAAAAAACGTATAGCTTACTAACGAGTGCGTATAATATACATCTATTTTTCTTTCTTCATCTTTATATTTCAAGGAAAAAAAAACAAGTCGACAAGAGAAGGATAAAATCAGTATGTGTGTAGACATTGCAATTATTGCAAAATGCCAAACTCCTTTTTATACTTCTCAGCTGTGAGTCAACATAATAGTTTATTTTATTTTCTCTACAATATACGGAGTTTCTTTACCAAGGAACTGAATGCATCGTGATATTATATTTAATGTAGGATTATAAAAATGAAAGAAATCAGCTCCCAATACCAGATCTACTTTACCACCATATATAGAAGGTAAAACCTGAATTTCCATCTTTGAAGTTATATTTTGGGGGTCTGCAGGATGATGAATAGGTAATATTAAGATACCAATCGAATCGATGTAACCAAAATCAGTATTAATACCAAAATTATCACTTTTTTGCATAGGCAATCCAAGTCTTTGTACACAATCAAGCGAAATAGCTGAACTACCCCAGCGCATCTTTGCTAACAATCCTTTTACTTTCTGACCATTAATTGGAAGCTCTAAGAATGTCAAATTAACACCTGAATGCTCTGGTGGAACATGCGTTAGGATACGTGGATTTTCTGTTAGATCTACTACAGGTGCAGGAATTGTAATAATATTTTTCTTTTTACTATTCTTTGTTGTTTTTATATCTATTTTTGAGGGCCCTGATTTGGATACTGTTGAAGATAATGATGAATTAGGAGAAGTATCAGAAACATCATTATTTGTTACTGAAGATGCATCCAGTGTATTTGATGGATTATCCGAAATTGAAGATGTTGAACTTCCAACTGTCCACTTATCTTTATTTGAGTCTTGTTCTTTTGCTTTGCTGTTTTCTTTTTCCCTACTTTGGCCCTTTTTCACTTCGGACTGCTGCTTCTGTTCTAATTGAGATTCATTTAATGACATATCATTAAATATTTTTTCAATTTGTTGCTGTTTTTCTTCTGATATTAATAAATGTTTGATCGAATTGATTGTCTGCTTTTTTTGTGCTGCTGAAACGCATGTATCTGGTACAAAGTAGCCAGAATCTCTTAAAGCCCTTGACTCTGGAGATTTAAAAATAGTTGTAGAAGAATTTAAATCCTCACAACCTAAAATAGCACTTACTCGAGCACAATGCATACGTGCAAGAGCAGCTACTTCTAGCCAGCTTGGACAAGACAATTCCATGTGTTCAACCATGCGTCGCCATCGAGGATGTAAATTCATAATGAATAAAATGACAAGTTCTCGATCTGAAGGTAAAAAGTTAAGTAGAAGTAGTTTTTGCTGGAATTCGCTTATGTATTCGTCTAATTGCTTTGCTAGCTTTATTTGTTCTTTTTGGATTGGAGTCCATTCTTTACTTTCAAATTGTGATTCGATTGGTGTCTGTTGCTCTGGTGCTTGAAAATGCCCCAACTTTAAGTTTATAGATTTGTTTGATGAGGGCTTTGTAACAGCTCTCTTTTTTGTTCTTGTTCTCACCATATTGTTGTTATAAGAGTAATATGTGGGAATATGTATATGTCATTTTTTTTAAGAAAAAAAAAAAAAAAGAGAGATAGCAAAAATTTCCGAATTTTTATTAATAGTATCTGTATTTCAAATATCTTACTATTTCTTTTTTCTTCAATAATGAGCGACGATTTAGAAGAAATAAATTTTGATTACATTGTATTGGGAACAGGATTAATAGAGTCAATTCTAGCTGGGTAAGATATCCAGATAATATAAGGAAGTATTCTATTATTAAATTGAAAATAAAAAGATCATTAGCTAGAATCGGTAAAAAAGTCCTTCATTTGGATAGCCATCAACATTATGGCAGTAATTGGAGTGTTTTTGGTTTTCGAGAGTTAATAAAATGGTATTTGGATAGAACTCAGGGTAATGATTAGAAACATGGTTTTATAAATTATAAATTGAAATTTATCTATTTATAATAGAGATAGAAGAGCAAGTCATTGGTAATTCAAAAAAAATAAAAATGAAATAAAATAAAATAAAAAATTAAGCATTCAGCTTATGCAGTTTTTATTAACGCGAAAATCAACAAGTAGAAGGGGATTTAAGTATAAATTATGAACGTAGTTATAGTTCAAATTTTAAAAACGTTCAGCTTAAAATTTGTGGAGATAAACTAGTAACAAAAGAACTCGAGGAAGGAAATTCAGCAGAGAACCTTAGTAAAAAACCATCTAATGAAGCAGACAAAGCTCTTTTTGATGCTTATTTTAAATTAACTTCTTCAACTGAAAATGAGTTGCCATGTGAGATGAAATTATTCAATTATTTATTGAAAAATTCTCGCTCCTACAATCTAGACACGACACCTAAATTGTTAGGAGCTCGTGAAGAACTAGTAGATATTTTGATCCGTAGTGGTGTAGGACGCTACTTGGAGTTTAGAAATGTGGATGATGTATATATTTTTGATGATTCTATTAAATTCTTTGAAAAGGTGAAAAAAAAATAATCAAAAATAATGTATTATCTTCTTTTTTTTTTCTTATGAATGACATTATATAGGTTCCTAGTTCTAAAGAAGATGTTTTCACGAATAAGTCAGTTAGCTTAGTTGAAAAGAGAAAATTAATGAAATTTTTAACTTTTGCTATGGAATATGATATAAAAGATCCATTATTTGAAGGTTAGATAATATATAGAAGATATATGTTATACTATTTCATCATATTTTCAGGTACAGATAACTTAAACTATGGACAATTTCTTACTGAAAAGTTTAAAATTACTGGGAAATTGAAAAATGCTATCATATATGCTATTGCCCTTGTGAATGAGAAAGGTAATTAAATTAAAGTAACTATATCATATGTATATTAATATATCTATCTATAGTTTCTATAAAACATGGCTTAGATAGAACCCATCAATTTGTTCGAGCTATGGGTAGATTTGGAAAAGGTGCTTATCTTTGCCCTCTTTATGGAGGAGCAAGTGAAATCGCTCAAGCATTCTGTAGAGTATGTGCTGTATATGGTGGCATTTATATTCTAAACGAAGCACTAGAGAGATACGTAATTGATGAGAAGACGAATAAATGTACAGGAATAATTACAAAGGAAGGGAAAGAATATAAAGGTCAGAAAATAATTGCTGGTATTGACTATTTGAATTATTCATGGTTGCCTCATGAAGATAATCTTAGGTAAAAGAATAAACGTTTTCTTTTGTGCATGCATTAAATTAATATGACATTATAGTACTTGGATTTCTAGAGCTATTTTAGTAACAGATACACGATTAGAGACAATAAATTGTGAGGGCTTAAGTTATAGTATATTCCCACCTGGTAGTGAAGCAGGTAATATAGATGAGCCTATTTATGGAATTCATCAAAATGACGAAATCATGGCATGTCCTAAAAACCAATATGTTACCTACTTATGGACAACTTCAAAAAATGAAGATGCACTTAAAAAGGCGATTGATTTATTAACGAGTCAAGGCAAGCAGCCATTTATCAATGTATTTTATAAGCAGCGCGTTCGTAATTTGAACATGTTTGAAAACTCTGGAAAATTACCGAAGAACATCATACCATGTAGTGATCCTGATGCTACTTTAGATTTTGAGACTGCTATAAAAGAAGCACGCAATTTATTTTATGAATGTGAATCATCTGATGCAGAATTTATGCCTTCTGTAGAACAAGAAAATGAAGATACTTTTGATTGATAAAATAAATAGAATAGTAATTTATACAAATACGTATCGTATATATGATATGTGGTAATACTTTAATTCAATGTTTTTGTATCTTTCTCCTGCCGTTAAAATATAGCCGGCCAAAATCAAATAAACGGAATAGGGTATACATAGGCTATTTGTAATAAAAAAAAAAACAATCACTTTATTTTTTTATATATCTCAGGAGTAGATAGTAAGGCTAATTGAAGTACGATGACATTTGCTGCAGAATCAAGTATCGCAGACTAAAGTCCCTTAACTTTTTTTTTTTTTTTGTTATTTTGATAGTACATAATAAGAAGTTATGACGTTGTATGCACTTGTAGATAATTTGATAAATTGCAAGTAAAATATTATGCACTCGTACATAATTGTCAAGAGATAGGCCTATGACATCTTTAGACGGATGAGGAATCTATACTGAAAGATGTATTATCAAGAATACGATAGATATGCCTCCATACTCTACTTTACTTGTAAAAGAAAGGTATTCACACTTTATTAATTTAGTTTACAAGGAAAAACATATAAACTATTTGAAGTGCAGCAATTGTAAGTAAAAACCACAAACGTCTCTTACGTTGAGGATTCATTGTCGAGGGACCAGCGGCAGCATCAGGTAAAATAACATATCTCATAGAACGAAGCTAAATACAATCAGGTAAATATATATGCATAATATATATTATAAATGTATTACTTACCAAGAAGAAGCTAACACAGAAGCCTGTATAAAAGAAGATAAGCCATGAAATATAACCTTTTCCTCCAACTAATCTAACAATATCAGTGACAATTATACCAACAAATTTGTAGCCATAATAGCATAATAAATCCAGCATAGATCCTTCAAAAGGAATACTTAGGAAGTAACAGCCTAATCTAGTATATACAATTTCCCAAAATATGACAGCAGCCGAAGTAGACACAGCAATATACAGTAATTCAGGATGAAAACTTTACAAAAAGTTAATAAACAAATCTACTCATGTTTAATTGACTTAAACTTACTTTTTATGAAGCCCAGCAGATAAACCACAAAGTAAAACGTATGTCACTACAGCCATAACTATATAAAGCTGAATAAATATTACACTGTATTTATTATTTGATTTTTTTCATACCAGGAATATATAAATCAGGCGAATTAATATCTTCCCTGGGTGGTTTAAATCCTTCTATTTGACCTGTTTCTGATCTCATAATCAAACGATTCCAAGACTAGTATCAATTAGTCTCTTGTGCAAAATATATATTCATATATATCTAAACTTACTGAATGTCTCCAAGGAAATAATAAAAGTCTGATTTTGCTCATGACATAGGTATTACTAACATTAAAATAATGCCTTAAAGCAGGTAAATTCACCCATCTATTAAACTATAGATATACGTTAATTACAAAATTTGACTCATCTAGTATTTCTTACATTCTTTTCAACATAAGCATGGCCTTGTGCCATTGCACTTCCTGCAAATTGCATGCCCATTTGAGCTGCAGGATCATTAAAATTAAATTGAGAATAGAAATTGCTTGCAATCTGCGTTGGTTGCTGAGGAGTATAAGCATTAGGATCATATGTTTGATTCATCTTCATGGATTGTTGAGAATAGTTTTGGTTATATTGATATTGCTGTTGATTTAATCCAGGTGAGGGAGTATTCGTTTGATTTACAGTAAAGTCTGGAATAGGATGTTGAGGCACAGGATGTTGAAGTGGTGGCGGAGATTTAGATGAAGAAGGATTCCCATAAGGTTGATTATGATATTGATAATTAGGATTACCTCCAGATGGATACATTCTTTTTTTTTTTTTTTATTGTTTAATAATAAAAAATAACGCGAAATAAATAAACTTTAATGAACAATTGTACTTGTTCAGTTGAATCTGGATTAGGTGTGTATTTTTGAAACTCCGTTGTATTGGAGTAAGCAGTCTTCGTCGATATTGTCATAAAAATTATTTTATCATTCTTCGTTGATTTGTTATTAAATGTACACCAGCATATATTTCGATTGTTACAAATAAGGCATCTCCTATTATCCTGGATAATAATCAAATTTCGACACAGGCTTATGTATTATAAGATAATTTGTGATAAGGAGAGAAAAGAGCCTTATTTTTTGATACTGTTTCATTTCCAATGTTCGCGATCTATCACAACTTATTTGTATGAACTTAGCTTAAGCAACTATATAAAGCAAGAGAAATTGATATAATATATACAAGTATTATTTATTTGCTTAAATAAAAAAAAGATAGCTAATAACTCGTAAATATATAAAGAGAACAATTTGTTATGAAATTTTAATTCTTCCTGTATGAAGAAGTTTAAATCATAAAATTATGTAGAAATAAATATTTATTATTTCTTTTTTTTTCTCTCCTCTTTTTTTTTCATTAAACTTAATGACTATCATTGACCCACCTATAAAAGTCAATTCAGAGTTTTACAAAAGAAAGGCGTTTACTCTCAAAGAAAATGATGAAATTAGACCTGTTATTGCTGACAAAGTGTCGGAGGAGATAATAATTATTACAGAAGCTGAATGCAAAGAAGATATTGAAGATGTTATAGTTTTAGAGGAAACCGGAAACGTAGAAAGGCATTTAAAAAAAGTATACAAAGATTATCTAAAAATATATTCATATGTTAATATATCGTTAACAATATAGAGGACATTATCACGGAAACGGAAATGGTTTATACTATCTATTGTAGCTCTTCATGGCTTTCTTGGTCCTTTAACTAGCTCAATATATGTAAGTTGCTTATACAAACTGTTAAGAGTATTATCATTTATCTTTTTTTTTTTTTTTTTTGTTAATTTTTGAACTTATGATATGTAGGTTCCAGCTATTTCTCAAGTGAGGAATTCATTTAATACATCAAGTACAGCAATTAATGCAACAATATCCCTCTATATTTTTACTATGGGATTTGCGGTATAAATTATCATACATTAAAAAGGGAGTGCAACTAACTGATTAAAATATAATTTATAGCCTCTATTCTGGGCATCATTATCTGAAAGGCAAGGTCGAAGGAGAGTGTACTTAATGGCTACAGTTTTATATATTATAACTACCATAGGTTGCGCTCTTTCAAAAACAATTGAGCTTTTTATTATTTTACGTGCATTCCAAGCTGTAGGTGCTAGTGCCTCACAGGCTGTTGGTGCTGGGTAAGTCAGCCATGCATATAATTATGTTATCTAAACGACTATGTATATAATAGGACAATTACTGACTTATTCAATGTGCAGGAACGCGGTAATGCAATGGGGATTTTTCTTTTAGGTCCTCTCATTGGGCCAGTAATTGGACCTATTGCTGGAGGATTTATCAATGAATGTATGTAAGCAATGAATATGAAGAGAAAGAAAAAAATGAATTAATGAGTGTATCTATAGATTTGGATTGGCGATATATTTTTTGGTCTTTGTCAATAATGGGAGGACTTACATTTTTCCTAGTTTTATTTTTTGTACCAGAGACATCATCAATAGTACTCATGAAAAAGGAGCGACGATATATTTTTGCAAGGTTACTTGATTCTAACCGAGAAGAATCTATATGGAAAAGTATGTTGAGACCTTTTAGGTTCATACTTTTACCAGCTGTTTTTCTTTCCACTACTCCTTACTCAATCGCATATGGATTCATGTACTTTGTAATTGCAAGTTTACCTTATCAATTATCCTCTCGATATCATTATTCAAGTTATCAGATCGGTTTAGCTTATATCGCAAATGGACTTGGTAATGCTATTGGAGCTTTTGTATCTGGTAAACTAGCAGATCAAGCTCTTAATAAACTAAATGTCGATAATGAGGAAAAAAGAAAATATTTAGAAGTAAGATTAAACCCAATGTGGATTGGTATTGTTTTACTACCTATAGGCGAGCTACTTTACGGATGGTGTGTAAATTATAACATTCATGTATCTGCAGGATTTTTTGGACTTTTTTTGTGTAATAATAATAATAATAATAATAATTGCATTATTTACATATACACACTCATATATGAAAAAAAAAATTATTTATCATTTTATTTTTATTTTTATTTTTGTAGTGGGACTTGGTGTAGGTCTAGTTCAGACACCTTGCAATACATATATCGTCGATCTTTACCAAAAACATTCCGCTTCAGCTATGAGTGCAGGAAACTTATTAAGATGTATTTCTGCTGGATGCACACCATTAGTTGCCCCAATAATAATAGCAGAAATAGGAAATGGCTGGTCGTTGACAATTCTTGCAATTATTAGTTCGATGAGTAGTATTTGTATATTTTTAGTTCAACGATATGGACAATTATGGAAAGAACAATTTGATTCCCATTTGGAATAATATACATATATTTATATTTATATGTATATATTTATTATATAACTTAATAATTTACTTTATAATATTTCTGAAATAAACAAACATATATTTATTATTCTTAGATGATAATAATCATTAAATACAGTGTATTAGCTTTTTGTATAACTCTACTTGATATATTTTAAAAAAAAAAGAAAATAATAATTCTATTCGTGACTATTCAATAACTGTAAAAATATCCCTATTTGATATGAAGGTAATTTACAGTATACAACGAAATGCATGATGATGATAAATTCCGAGTATTTTGCTAATAGATAAGAGAAAATTAAAATTATCGTCTTTATAAAACCAGAATTACAACATATGTTTGTTTTATATGAATATAGATTTTTTTTTTTTCATTTCTGTTTAAATTTTCACTAATGGAAATGAAACCTGACTTGTTAGAGCATTTAAATTTAAGTAAATATACATATTCTCATCCTTATAGAAAAGGTTACAGAATTTATATAAATACAATATAACTCTTTTAATCTTCTTCTTCTTTTTAATTGTAAAATAATTATGGGGTCTATGGTATCGCTATTTCTGGTCTGTATTGTTGCTAGCATTAAAATATATTCTATCAATGCATTAGAAACCAGAAGTAATGGTTTAGCTGGAGAAGGTATTCAGCATAGTTTCCCTACTCACATTGTTAAACTAAAAACAGGCAATTACCAGAATGCTACAGGTACAATATATATATATATATATATACATATTAGTCTTCTAATCCTTTTCAATAATATAATGAATTTATAGTTCTTGAAGCTGCTTCTTTTATGAAAGGACATTATGAAACTTTTCAAATTTTACATGGCTTACAGAATGGCTATTTTGATCTTTCGGCCACTACAAGCAATAGCTTTGATATTAGCTCTATAAAAAATGTCGATATAGATTCAAAATTTGAAGCTATCTTCGGTACTTTTCAAGCTTCTTTTGTCGATTATCTAAGCCAACTTGAAGATGTAGAATATATTGAGCCAAACCATATTTATAGGGCACCTGTTTTACCTGCGCTTGTTGATCCCAAGCCATATGTTCCTAGTTCTATGAAGCCGATTAATAATGAGCAACATCAAAAACGTAATCTAATAACACAATTTAATGTACCTAGCTGGGGGCTTGCACGTGTTAGTCATCGTGACAACGATGATTTAGCGTCCTATACTTATGAAGACTCATTTGGGTAAATCGGCAATATTACTTATATATATATATATATATTTATCATTGATAGTTGATTTACTCTTATTTCTTATAGTCATGATATTCATGTATATATTTTTGACTCTGGAATAGAGCCTACACATCCTGATTTCGGCGGACGTGCCATTATGGAAGCTAATTTTATCGAATATGAAGGAGACACAGACCTTGCTGGACATGGTATGTTTTTCATTATTATTTTTTCTTTTTTTTTTTTTTTTAAAAAAAAGGGGGGGAGAAGTATTAACTTATAGTTTATTAGGCACTCATGTAGCTGGTACAATTGGAGGCAATACATTTGGTATAGCTAAAAATGTTATTTTACACGGTGTCAAGATACTTGATGCCACTGGTGAAGGAAGAAGCTCGTCTCTTTTACAGGCTATTTCCTATGTCATTAAAAAAGCTGAACGCGGTCGCAGTCTCATCAATCTTTCCTTGACAGGTCCTCCTTCACAGGTTATTGATGATGCCCTCTCAATGATTGTTAAGCAGCATGGGATCCCTGTCTTTGTATCTGCCGGTAATACAGGAAATGATGCCTGTCAGTATTCACCTTCAGCAAATCCAGATGTCTTTGTAGTAGGTGCATCGGATATTGATGATACAATTCCTAGTTTCTCATCTTTTGGTGACTGTGTTCGTATTTATGCACCTGGGACAAATATTACGAGCAGTTGGTTAGGAGGTCAAAGTCGATCAATGCAAGGAACTAGGTGAATAAGAAAATATATTTTATTTTCCTTTTTTTCTTTTTTTCTTTTTTTTTTTAGGTCTATTTATTTATTAACTTTATTTTGTTTTATAGTATGGCTAATCCTCATGTAACTGGTATTGCTGCCATCTTGATGAGTCAATACAAATTCTCTAAACCAAGTGAGCTTTATGAAGCTATCAAATCCTCTGCTACTCAAAAGATTCTTAAGCAATCTTCTCATGAAGATAATAGTCTAAAATTGTTAGCTTATTATGGACATTAACATCTTAAATAATAAAAAGGTTTTTATAATAATGAAGCAGGGCAAGCAAATTCGCCTATTTAAGTAATAATGACGTTTAAGTATCTGAATTTTTCTATTTTATGCATTTCACACTCATAAAATAAAAGAGAAATAGGATTACTTCTTTTTCGCATTATTTTTTTTTAATTATAAATTAATTACATCTATTAAATATGGTATTCCTTTCGCGGACTATAACTGAAAGTATGTTTAGTTTGTTCACACATACACACACATATACATATATATTAATATGTATATGTTAATTTTTTTTTCAATAGATTACGAGACTAAAAATAATAATCAGAATGAGAACCAGAATGAAACCTCCATATATGGAACAAGTTGGGCTACTAAAGATATTCCCAGGTAACTATATTATGTATAATGTATAAATACAATCGAATTTTACAATATATATATATATATATATGTATATATAACTTCAAACTCGTATGACTGTAGATACCAATTACCTGAAGTAAGTACTGTAGCCTAATATTTAAAGATTATATATTTAATATTATATGTATATGTATATATTTATATAGGAAGAAATGCCATCGAGTAAATAACATGACAGATAAAGCATGATAACAAGATATACTAATCAAAAAAATAAAAAAATAAAAAAATTATATAGATGTCGCTTACCATATGATTAAAGATGAAACTGCTGTAAGTTTACTCTATTATTACAAAATACATCAATAGTTAATGTTAGAAGATAACTTACTTAGTTGGATGGAACACCAGCTTTGAATCTTGCAAGTTTTGTAACTACATATATGGAAGATGAAGCCGAGAGATTAATGACAGAAAATTTATCTAAAAACTTTATTGATTTTGAACAATATCCTCAAACAGCTGAAATTTCGGTAATGTATATCCATATATAAGAAGAGATTATAATATATAACATATATTGTCTATATAGAATCGCTGCGTTAACATTATTGCTCGTCTTTTCAATGCTCCAGTGGATGGTCCAGAGTCTGAAGCTTTAGGTTGCTCTACTATTGGATCTTCAGAAGCACTTATTTTATGTATCTTGGCTATGAAGCGTCGATGGCAAATTGAAAGAAAATCTAAAGGATTAGCTACTGATAAACCAAATATGATTGCAGGAGCTAACTGTCATGTTGCTTTTAAAAAAGCTATGAAGTATGTATAAATAAGATGAGGGAAAATGAATAACTAAACTATACTCATATAGATATTTGGATATCGAACCTCGTACCGTTCCTTGCACGAGAGAAAAACTTTGTATGGATCCAGTAAAAGCTGTAGAAATGGCAGATGAAAACACAATCGGTATTTGTGCTATCCTTGGTTCTACTGTAAAGCTTTAAACTCGTCCCAATTTATGTAATTAATTTTTATATTATATAGTATACAGGTGAATATGAAGATATTGCGGCATTGAATAAGATGTTGAAAGAGAAAAACCAGAAAAATGGCTGGGACATTGGTATTCATGTTGATGCAGCCAGGTAGGCTTATACTGTTTGTGTGTGGTGTATGTTTTAACTTTTTTTTTTTTTTTTTTTAATAAAATAATTCTTCTATAAAATAGTGGTGGATTTGTAGCTCCATTTGTTACTCCAGATCTTGTTTGGTAAGTGTAAATGAATGCAAATAATAATTTATTTATTTAATTTGAAAAGGGATTTTCGACTTGAACTTGTTCATTCAATCAATGTCTCTGGCCATAAATACGGTCTGACGTATCCGGGAGTTGGGTGGGCTTTATGGAGAGGAAATCAATATTTACCTGAAGATCTAATTTTTAATGTAAATTATCTTGGATCTGAGCAGGTAATGTGTTTACATGAGAAGATGTTTCAAAATAATAATAATATTAGACTTACGATTTGTATGTTTAGGCAACTTTCACCTTAAACTTTAGTAAAGATGCTTCTAATGTTATTGCTCAATACTATGTCCTTATTCGATTGGGCAGAACTGGGTTTACTCATATTATGAAAAACCTGGTAAGCAATGCTGAATATTTAGCTAATAAATTGGAAGAAACTGGAAGATTTGAAATTTTAAGTGCAAGAAACGGAAAAGGCGTTCCACTTGTGGCTTTTCATCTTAAAGAAGAAAAATTATATGATGAGGTAATTAGGAGACATTATTTAATACAAAATATATATTTATATGTATATGACATGTATAAATAGTTTGACGTTTCTGCTAAATTACGTGAGCATGGATGGATTGTGCCTGCTTATACAATGGCCCCCAATATGGATCATCTAAAGCTCCTTCGTGTTGTTGTTCGTGAAGACTTTTCACATAATCGATGTGAAATTTTGCTTCGTGATATCCAAGCAACTCTGGCCTCTTTAGATCAATGGGATGAAAAATCCGCGGAATATTATCGGTAAATATTGTCAAATTCACTTATTATTTTGGAAATAACATTACAATCTCATATTTTTTTTAACATAGTAAATTTCGTTCAGCTACTGAAAAGCACAAGCAACAGCATCGTCGTGCCAATTATCAAACTAAACATAAAGATCCTGAGAAGAAACGTAATGCTCCTGGAGCTTGCTAAAAAAAAAAAAAAAAAAAAAAAAAAAAAAAAAAAAAGTAAGCGATATAATAGGAATAAAAATATAAATATGTACTAGCATATATTTTTTTGTGAAAATATGCTACAAATAGCTTGAACAGTAATAATATTATTGATGATATATTAATATATTTTACTTATAACAGAAAGGTCTATGTTTATAATAAATAATTGTCACTTAATTTTAAAATGATACAGAACTATTATAAACTTTTTTTAGCAAATATTGGCAGGTTATTTGCCTTAATTATAACATTGGGAATAATAGTATTTTACTAAATATCTTGGAGAAATCCTAATAAGAAGATAAAACTAAAAGTCCAATTATTGTGATGCATTTAAATATAACAAAATATAATCTTGATAGAGGCTTTTTTCTTTTTGAATAGCAATGTAAACTCTTATCTATATTGAATTTTCATGTAAAGGGAATAAAATAGGAAAGAATTAAATCGTTAGTAAATGATACTAATGTATCTTTCATAGAGAAGAATACAATAGAAAATTAGCATTTTTGGTTGGGCTTGATTGTTTTAAGAAACACATTCAAGACATGTCATAACATGAAATTCCAAAAGAATGACCAATACTGTGGTTTCCTATTAATAAAAATGAGATAAAAGTTTGTTATTAAAGGCTAAAAAAAATGCGAATGAGATGAATTGAAGAATAGTTAATATAAACGAAATTATCTATCATATATATTTAATTAAATTCACTCGCTAAAATTGTTTAAAAATTCAACAACTACAGTTCCAGAATTAATAAAAACTGTTTCTCAAATAATAGTAAAGTCAAGCCCATTTTATCTTTTATAATTAATTAGAGGGCACTTCTATACGTATGACTTACATAGAAAGGGCTGTTCTAGATTGATTAATTATCATATTTTATTTACATTTCCAGCGTATTGTTATCAAAACTATAATCTTTTTTATGATTTACTGGCAAGTTAAGATATTTTAGAAAGAGGTACTGAAAGATATGTAGTTTCGTTTATGTCTCCATCAAAACAGAGATGGCGATTTATATAGACGTATCGATCATAAAAAAGTTTTTTTTTTTTTTTTTTTTTTTTTTTTTTTTTTTTTTTGAATAAATATGAATCATATATTTGTAAGCAGAGTTTACATATTTATTTGATTAATATATGCAGGGAGTGTATTTTAGGATATATTTATATATTTATAACTACTTATTATGAGATTTTCATTTTTAAAGTATACAACATATATGTATATACTCTCTCAAGTTTTTTTATACAAATGCTAACTTGTTCTTAAATTGTTTCAATGATAGTGTAATCTTCTCTGTTAAAGGTGTTGTAGATATTTTATTAACTAGTATAGACTTTGGGGAAGTTGCTCCTCCTGGTGAATGCTGTCTATTTTTCGCTTTCACGGCTGTAGAGACATTAGTGAATATTATAAACTTGACTGTAACTTTTTCATTAAAGCTCACTTTGCGTTGTTGGCTTTTTCTCGTATCTAAAATGGTGGGGAAAGAAAGAGTAGTCATAACAGGGTAATAGGACTGATTTATTGATAAATATCGATTACTATTACTATTATTAGAAAGTTGTATTGGTTTATTTTCTTTTGACTTTATTTTTGGCATGATCTTTTGACTACGAATTGGTGAAAGAGAGGAATCCCTAAGCAATTTACTGCTTAAAATTTTTAATATTGATGGTTGTATTATATATGAGTATTTTGTACTTACAAATGCTGTCGTGGAATAGAGGGAATTATAGCCTGCTGCTGCCGCTGTAGTAATGCTTTGTTTTGTTTAGAAGTGGTATTCAAATATTTATAAAAATAATATGATTGTGAGTAATCATTGTTGCTAATAGACAAAGGATGAATAGTATTAACATTCATTGAAATGATGTAAAGTGAAAAAAAAAGCTGTTTAAATCATTTAACTGATCAACAAAAAAAAAAAAAAAAAATATAAAACTTTATTATACATGTTATTAGATAATTATTTTTAAATATCAAAAAAAAAAAAAAAAAAAAGGGGGTGGGGAAGGATAGATACATATCCCTTACTGTATATACTTCTTAATGCTAAGGGAAAAACATTTGCTTATTTATAACTTGTACAATGCTTATAATGCATTCTCTTTTTAATGTTGTTTATAACTAATGTATTCAACATTTTATTAACATTACTTTCAAACATATTAAATATTTATCCACTCACTACTTTTGCAATACTTTATAAAAATGAATAGTAATATTTCATTCAAAGGGCTTATAATAGTATACTTAAATAAATGCAAGTATTTTACTTATGGAACTTTGCCCTGAATTGTTAATCCTTCTCCAAATAAAATAATCACTGTTGTTTTAAATCAACTTTTGACTTGGCAAAAGCTACTTTAATGTAGGCAAATAATTAATGATTTGACTCATTCTATATTGTATTATAGTATATTAACAATAATAAAAGAGAGAGAAAGAGAAATAGAGAGAAATAGACTATAATATAAATTCATATTCAATTTTACTTTTATAACTAATATGTTCATATATTTAATTAAGAAATAGTATACGCGCTCTCAAGGTTCAGATAAAATCTTGTAGAATATAAACTGCATATGCACGTTAAAAATACAATAAAACTAATACATAACATCTTAATCAAGAGATAGCTAAAAGAACAGTTTGTGATACATTTACATCCTCACTTCTAACAGCAAGTTCAAATGTTACACCAGTTAATGCATTAAATGTCATACGACATCTACACAAAACTTTGGATCCATCCAAAAACATGCCAGATAAAAGTAGAGTGTGCAGATTGTTATTTTTTGGGTGCTCACTATCTTCTAGGGCTTGCATACCCAATAAATCAATTATAGAAAGGCAAGCAACTAAACAAAAAAAAAACCAACAAAAATAAGATTTTTTTTTCATTTGATAAACAGAATTACCTTCTAAGTTGGGTGCTATTTGCTTATCTAGGGCGAATGTCTCAACGACCTCGTTATCAACCAATGATTCAAATTGTTCTGAAAAATTGGCTATATACATAGGCCGAATATAATCACTTGTCATTACTTCAGTATTTTCTACTTGATATTCATCTTCATATCCTTCAGGATCGGCCTCTCCCGTCATGGAATCGCAATCTTTAACTTCAAATTGAAGTGTATTTGTAAAAGGGACTACAAAAAAAAGTTAAATATCTTGTTCTTTTTTTTTTTTTTTTTTTAAAAAAAAAACTAAACATAATATACCATTAGCAAGTTCTTCGATATTTCCTTGCTCAAATGCAACATAAATAGTATTGGGTACATTATATTCTAGCTTGTCAGCAGGAATTTCAGCTACCTGAACAAGTCCTTCTATTTCAGGCTGCATCCGCATGTGGACATTTTCTAATAGTTGATCATTTAAAGTGTTAATACAATTAAATTGAAATATAATATGTTTGGCAAAGATATGTTTAACACAATTGACAACGTATTCAGTTTCCCTTTCGGTTAACTCAATAGGTTTGCTTGATTTAAATAATGCTCCAAAGGATGCAAACTCTGCTATAGATGACAATTTCTCAGCATATAAGGTGTGTTGATTATGGTAAGAGAGTTCAGCCGCTGAAGAGGGGATGTTAGTCCCCTTTTCGCTATCTGTAAAAGGCTTGCCTCCCTCTTTTAATTTATGGTTTGATAGTAGTGATTTGTGTGCACCTTTATAAAGAATATTTTAGAGGAAAAAATAAATAACACATATAAAAAACATTTTTTTTTTTCGTTATATTTACGATAATAATCTTGTTCTTGAGTTTTACTAATAATTGGTATACAATTTAAATTAAATTTTTTGGTATTATCATGGGAATTAATGTAATCAACAAGCTGATGTTCCAAAGTAGGAAGAGCGTACGTTACATCTATTACAGAGTAGCAATTATAAATAAATAAACATATATATTAGCATGTTTTCTCTGTCATTACCATTTGCCAAATATTTTTTAGTAATATCTTCCTGATCTATAGTGACTAAATATAAAGTAGCACGATCACGTACTTCATCATCCACATCATTTATACAACGTTTTAGCAAGATACAAACACTCTTCTTTACCGAGGGATCATTGCAATGAACACCAAATTTAGCAAGTGCGCTTACAGCTGCTGCTCGAATGATTGAATTGTCAAGAATCACTCGATTATAAATGTATCGAATATACTTTGTAGGTGTCGCTGTCTTGTAACCTTCTTGACCCAATAAATATAAAACGCGGACAGAAAGCTTTGTAAATTCACAATCTTCAATAAATTCGCAAAGATAAGAGAGTGCAGCCTCTGTACATTCAGGAATATGTTTTACCATATCAAAAATAGCTTCTACAACTGATTTTTTAAAATCATAACCACCTTCCTCCCGTAATACACTACTCAAGAAGGTAAGTATGATGAACTGTTTAGATGGGAATTTCAGGCAAAGTGATCGAACAGCATCGATAACAATCACCTTAAATTCATCAGAGATATCACCCATAAATCCACTGATTTGTTTCATTAAACGATCTACAGAGGCTTCATTGCCTGTCTTTAATAAAGTTGTAATAGCAAAAGTAGCAATCGTTCGATTTTGATCTGTCACAAGTGTTTCAATATCAAGATTACAAGGCGATACAGCAGCAGGTATTTCAATCGATAGCTTATTTAGTGTTCGAATGGCTGCAAAACGAAGCGTAGCCTTTGGTGATGATAAAAATAACTGAAGTACAATAATCGCAGGTTTCAATTCCTTTAATGAAATATCAGGCATATCACAAATAGCTCGAGCAGCTTCTAAATTAACCATATCACTCTTGTGCCGGAGGAATCCTTCTAATAAGTCATAAACTCTTCGAGTAGATCTATAATTATTATTATTATTATTATTATTTTTTGATCAATATCATATAAAGTATATATAAACAGCCTTTTTTTTTCTTTCAATACCCTCTATCATCTTCTATTAATTTACGAGAAAATCGAATTAGCATACAAATAGCAGAGCTGCTCTTTAAAACACTTGAAGAATGAGAACTGCCAAAAAAACTACTTGATTGACGAATTCCTGAAAAGGTTTGGACCAACTTTGCAACTGCTATACGATCATGCTGACGAATTAAATACAATAAACTAATTGCATGGTATTGATGTATATTGGATGTTGAAATAATAGCCTGCTGTGACTGAGTAGAATGTCCGCCGCCTGTAAAATAAGCTGAAGCAGCTGAAGTGAAACTTGATCCGGTTAATGATTTTTGATTTACAGCTTCTTGTACCTCATTCGACCAACGTTTAACCACATCTCTAGCAATATCAAAAAGACGATAAGATGAAACTAGTGCTGCAGAAGAAACTGAAGGTATTTTATCTACGATACATGCTTTCAAGATACGCTCAATACCTTGAATCATAGAAGGCTATTTTCGAAAAAAAAAATAAAATAAAATAAAAAAATAAAAATTGATGACTAGTTCCATGTTCGGTCAATTATGCTTACATCAGTAATAAGACATAATGCACGAATAGCATTAGCTCTATAAATAGTCTCTTGTTTTGATTGAATGTCTTTTATGAGAGATTGAGTTACCATAATTACATCCTCGGCAACTCCGGATAATTCTTTAATCACGAGGTACATTAATTGTCTTAAAGAAGTCTAACAAAGATAACATAAGATTTCCCCCCCTTTCTATTATTATTATAAGACAAGTCCACACTTACGTCTTTTGATTGAAAAAGCTTAATAACATTAAAAAACAAATCAGTTGCCTCTTTTACGCTCAACTGCTCGCTAGTATATAACAAATAAATAATTTTTGTCAATAAAATTCTACATTTCCTTGCATTAATGTGTGAGTCATTGAAAATGCGAGCTTCTTGCAAAACTGAAGTTTTGTCAATGTGATAGAATAATCCAATTTCACTAGCTTTTTTTTTTCATAATGTACAAATTAGCAAAATCGAAATTAAACAAAAAAGAAGCGAAATACTTATATCTTGTGTTATACAAATATACAGTATTATTTTATTTTTATTTTTATTGATTTTACCTGCTTCTTCGTTTCGTTTATTATATCTCATTCTTAAAAAAAAAGAGAAGGGAAAGGATAAACGAGATGAGCAGTAAATACTACCTATTGTTTGTTGCAATTGGGATTTGCAATTTGTACAAACTTAAATGATTTCAATGCCCGCAAATACATCTTTACGATTCATTTTACTCATCAACAACGAAGATGGTATTATAAAGCACTCGAATATAGCATATTACTCTTTATCAATTCAGTAGAAACTAAGAAAATAAATAGAGAGCCGCCTAAAGAAGTAAGAGGAATAAAAAAAAAAGTAAACGAATAAAAGCTAGAAAACTACAAGCACTATTACAAGGATAAGATGAAAAATTGAAAATAAACGAATACTTTATTTGGAAACGATTAGATGATGACGACAACCACAACAATAAGAAGTAGGTACTAGGAGGAGGATTGAAGTGCAATAACACAATAATCGTTACAGCAATAATAAAAAAAATGCTTTTGGGAGGAGGGGGATCGAAATCAATTTTTGAAAAAGGCAAATGATTGTACAATGGCTGCTTCAGCAGAATCGTTGGCGGTGATGATATAAGGATGTAGCCAAGTAACCAGTTTTTAAAGCCTGTTATTCAGTTTTTGATTTCCCAAAATTGGAATCTCCAATACCCCCATCCACAAAGAGAGCATTAATGTCAATCAAAAGACTTTTTGCTTTCCCAACAGTACCTGATATGCATTCATCTACTAGAATTTTTTTCAGTGAAGCTTTATCTCCGTTTTTGAGGACAGATGTCCCAATGTTAGCAAATATGTTGGACCCTGGATTTCTTCCACGATCGAAATCATAGAGAGTGTAGATTAAATAAGGGTAGCACTGGCATGACTTGGTGATGGGTCCAGAAGCTCGACATAGATAGTATGATGATGGTTCGTCGAACTTTGTGCTTAACTGTTGAAGTTGATTCATGATATTAATGTTGCTGACTGGTGTCGCGTTGATGGTTTCAGCTAGACTTTTTGCTTTTTCGACAGAGTCTTTATCCAAGTAAATGTTTGTTAACAAAGGGTCAACTCCGATCAGCTGAAAACTTGTTGTTACGCCACCCACGCTTGGTTTTGTCATTTGGTCTAATCGAATAGAAGGAGTGACAAGAGCATTGAATGTCTGTGTGCCGATAACCAGCGTAGGTCCATCTTTGCTATTTAGGGTTGTAGGATATACGTCAGAGTAACTAGTCTTGCATGGGGGTGGTAATGAAGTAGGGATGGCGTTGTGCTTTTTGTTTCTAAATGGTTCTCGATGTATGTCGACACTTTTCTTCCTACCATAAACTTCAATGGTGTTGACCATAATAGTTTCATTGTTGATCGCATTGTTGATAATGGATCCAGCCAATAACTGAGCAATAAAGTATTTCATATGAGGGTAAAAGGTCCAATCATAGTTGAGTAAATCAGAGTATTCAGCTGATAGTTCGACATATTTTCGCTTTTGCAATAGCTTGACGTAAGAAGACATTGCCAGTATATTGTGTATATCATGAAGACTCTCAAAAGAATAGTTGGTGCAAAGCTTTTCCTCAGAATACATATCATAAAAACTTCGTTCCAAAGGAATAGATTCAATACGAAATAGCATCTATAAATGTCATCTAGAACTACCAAGAAAAGTATAAATAGCCAGATAGTTTTTACAAGAAGAATATCTAGTTTAATTTTTTTCTAATAAAATTTATTCTTACTTGTGCCTGTGTCTCACGATTTACTTCTGTCTTCTTATATTCTTAACCCATACAACACATGAATAGTAAGTACCTGTTAATGCTGATTTTTGGCCAGTGGTATGAACAGCGGGTCTACCAGATTTCAATGAGGGAAAATCGATAAAATGCTTAGTTTTCAGATACCTTCTAAATTTCGTTTTATTACTGAATCCACTCTTATTACAAAGATAGCAGGCCAATATAATAGTAGACGAAGTATCTTTACTGGATATGTGATGGGATGAATAGATCTGAATGTTTGAAAAAAAAAAGATAATAAAGGAAAAGAAAACAAAAACAGACGAGTTGTAAGATTGAAGTTGAAGATTTGAAAAAGCTATACACATTTTTACAAAGTCGTTTATGTTTTCAAATGGTCAAAACAAGGAGTACTTTTTATTGCAAGCTCAGAACATGTTCATGTTGCATCATTTTCATTGGCCGTTTTCTTAGTCGTATTTTCTTGTTGGTCGTATTTTCTATTGCTTTTCGCAAATTGTCTTAAATTATGCTGACAAATTTGCTGTGTTCAGTGAGCTTGTTTTATTGAAGCTTCTCCTCAATATTGTTGATTTTTTTCAATCCCTAAACGACAATCCGTCTTAAGTGAATAGTATACTGTTTTCGATGTATGTCTCGCTTTGACTTCTTATCAGACCAATTTAAATTGTACAATCAATTATCAAAGAAAAAAAAAAAGTGGTTCTTTGACAACATCATCATGTTTCCGGTATGAACGAACCTCATTTCCCTTTTTTTTTATTAGGCTTCTCATGTAAGCTTCGTTTTTCATTGTGAGGTTTTTCTTTTGTTTTATTTTTCAGGTAGTTTATAGTCCAAATGCTCATCATAATTAGCAGTGTAATCGATGGGATATGCTTCAGCATCAATATCCATTTCGAAATGCATATTTCTGCTTTCATCTACAACTTCACCTTTCTCATTTTTGTAGATAAAACGTACGCTCATTTTTGCTTTAAAGGTATACAAGTTAAGTAAAAGTGAGAAATCTATTTGCAAAGAGTGTACCAAAAATTTCCGAAAAAAGCTTAAATGTAGGCTGGATTTACGCTTGAAATTATATGCATATTTTTTTTTTCGAGGATAAAGACGACAAGCAAGAGTTAGATAGAAATACGATTACAAAGACTTAACTATTTAATAAGTAAGAAGAAGAAATGATAACATACATTCAAATTTTAAGTTTACAGTTCTACATGAGATCAGTATGCGAACATTCTTTTTAAGATTATCAGGTTGAGTGAGGTATTTCTGTCTATTGCGGAATAAATTTACAAATATAGGTGGTGAATGCTGTATACATCAATAAAAAGTATTCTCTTTATTTAATTCAAAATATCATCTAGCCATGCTTCATCATCTACTATCACTTCTTTATCTTCATTTTTAGCAATTGGATTCTTCTTTATGACTCCTGGTTTAGGTAACGTTGGTAATGGCGTAGAGGGCTTTTGATCTAAGGCTAATAATTCATCCAAATCATCGTCTTTCTCTTTTACTGATGGTTCATCAAATATCTTTTTTATTTCCTGTTTAGACAGTACACGATGATTTGATCCATCATTTCGTAAATATATGCCCTCTCCTGATTCTGATGACTTTGTTGTCTGCTGTGATTTAAATAATACATATCCATTTGCATTTTTGGCAAATGCTGGTACAATAGGCTTATCCAGTACAGTAGGATGCTCATTTAACGCACTTTGAGCCTATCATTATTTAGGTCAAATTTATCACTTTACAAGTGTGTTTTTTTTTTTTTTTTTTTTTTTGGGTTTACCAATTCTTCATCTTCCTTATCTAATCCTAATAATAATTTTGTGTCGTACGCTTGAAGTGTATCTTCAAAGGTGTTGAAATCTAGTTGAAACATATTTTTACTATTCATCTTTAAATAAGTAAATACATATACAAAGTAATACACATATTCTATTCATTCAATCTTACAGCTCCATTTGAACTTAACACACTATCATTAGTAAAAGTTTGTTCATCTTTAAACTTGAAAAATGTTGAATTTCCTTCCTCTATTTTCTATACATTGTCAAACAAGTGTAATTGTATAAAATTGAATAATGTTACCTGTATTCTCAAGCATAGAAACTAAATCGGTTGTTTCACGATCAATGCCTAATTCAGCATCTCTTTCCCTAGCCTCTATGTATCAAGTAATGCTGTAAAGATCAAGTAATTTAAATGCATGTCTCCAATTTCTATATATTACCTTGTTCTGTTTCTTCTTTATATCTATCTGCGTTTGAAGTAATTTTTCTTCTTGAAAATTTAGCTTGCAACAGCTTTCTTTGTTCAATGTCTTGCTCTGATTCTTGAAGTTCACCATTGCGTCTACGAATGGCGGACATACCAACACCTTTATCACGTGCTCTTGCTGCTCTTCTACGTGCTTCTGCTATTTCTGCTGCAGTTGTATCGCCTTCAAATTTTTTTTTCTGTTGATATCGACGAGAATCTTTTGCTTTATGTTCATCAGGTCTCATTTCAAATATGAATAAGAAAAAAAGAAAAAGAAAAAAGGGTATTTATTTCAAATGTTTTATCTGAGGTCAAAAAAAAAAAAAAAAAAAGAGAGAATTGATATTGATTATCAGAATAAAACTTTATTTGGATAAGGATATACGTATCAAGTTAAATTATAATACAGTTTAAATCATCAAGTTATTGATCGTCTAAATTCAAGTCCTCTATCACAGTCACTGTTGTTAATGTAGACTTGCCTTTAAATTCTTTTACTTTGGGTTCTTTCTTTGGTTGCTCTTCTTCTTCACCTTCTTCAGAGTCAAATGTGTCTGATTCTTCAATGTTTGTTCTTAACATGGCTGCCATTTCTTGTATATTTTTATCAGCTAAACGTTGACGTTGTTCTCTCATCTCTCGTCGATTTCGAAGTTTTTCTTCTCTCGCTAATTTAGCATATTTTTCTTTTGTCTTTTTCTTTCTTTCCAGTTTGCGTTTATGAAATCCTGTTAAGAATTCGCTATTAAATGAAAATAATATAAATTAAAATTAGTTCCATAATGTACCATCCATACATTATATTCTGTGATTCATTTACGTTCTACTTGCTTCGTCAAAGTCGACACTTTCAACGATATCTTCTTTTGCCTTTCTCTTTTTAGCATAAATTTTACTACCAGCAGATAAAATATCTGTATTCTTTAATTTCTTTTTTTGATTCTTCACTTTCATCGTTTTATATATTTGTATATTATTGTTATTGTAAAAAAAAAAAAAAGAAAAGAAAAAAAAAGAAAGAGTAGAGTATTTGCAGAGAAACAATTCAAGCATAAAATGAAAAATTGTCACATCTAAGCCCCAACTATAAATATAGATGAGATTGTTTACTTCTTCTTTCTTTCACAAAGTGTAATTTAGTTTGTCAAAAGAAAAAGGGAAAACTAAATATGGTCTTATATTTTACAAGCAATAGTAACTTTCATATTATAAAATTGAAAAAAAAAAGATGAAAATAGAGAGAATGAAAAAAAAAAAACTAAATTTACCAATTTCGATAGTTGTTGATCCTCCTGTTACCATTTACATGGGAAAGGATAAATATGAAAGTAAGAAGACATAATGTGATTCTTATGAGTAGATTACTAACTTCAAGATCTAGACGATGATTTGATTAAATATGGATTTCCTGAAGATATTTGGTAAAGTAAAAGTATTTGAAAAAAAATGAATATGAATGCTTACACATATACACAAATATGTATAGGGTAAATAGACAGTTATAATAAAATATATAAAATACGATTATAATAGGAATTATGATATAGTTCCATGTCGATAAACTCTCTAGTGCACATGTTTATGTTCGACTCCAACCAGGACAAACTTGGCTTGATATACCACCTGAAGTTGTTAATGATTGTGCACAACTTGTAAAAGCCAATAGTATTGAAGGCAATAAAAAGAATGGTATTACAGTAATTTATACACCTTGGGATAATCTCAAAAAGACACCTGGCATGGAAACGGGACAAGTCACGTTCCATAATCATAAAAAAGTAAAACGAGTCTTTGTCGAAAAACGTATTAATGAAATAGTTAACAGATTAAACAAGACAAAAGTTGAACGCTATCCTGACTTATTACAAGAAAAGGTACAAAGAGAAAAGATAGACAGATTAAAGGCGCGTCAAAGTGAATTTGAAGAAAAAGAAAGAGCTCGTCAATTAGCAGAAGAAAAAAGAAAAGTAGAAAAGGAAATGAATGATTTATTTGATCCTAGTTTAATGAAAAGTAATTGGAGAGAAACAGAAGTGGAAGATATAAATGCAGCTGAAGAAGATTTTATGTAATAACAAATCTATGCATTTTATGCCATAATAAATCTATACATTTTATGACATAATAAATCTATACATTTTATACATTTTATGCCGTAATAAATCTATACTATACAAAATACCATTTAGGATCATATTCTTTAATCTCTTCTTCTTTAACTGGTTTTAAAGAGTCCTATATGTTTATACAAGTCAGTCTCTGTATATGACAAGTATACACATTTATACATGCCTCTTCAATCACCTCCTGATTCTCTATTTTATAAGGTGAATCTTCTATGCTTGCATTCTCACTATATATCAATATGATTGTTAAAATAGCCTATAAATCAATCGATCTTAACTTACACATTCAGTTTATAACTCTCGGTTGTATTCGGTACATTTCCTCTTATTAACCTCTGCCATGCTTCATGTGTTTCATTTACTATTTCTTTTGCATATTCTTTATTCTTGCATTCACCATTGAAAGCAAACGAATTTTCTGGTTTGCCGTCTGGAACTTTATAGACTCTAAAGAATGTTCGTGTAGCATCAAGTAAACCAGGATAATACTTTTCAATGTCATTTACATCTACATAAACACATGTTTAATATGCATGTATACATATACGCAGCTGTGTTATTTTACCATTTAGTTTTGAAGCCATAGGGTCCTTTGTATCAATCGTGATTACTTTCCAATCTGTCTCTCCTTCATCTAACATAGCCATAATGCCTAGTATTTTCACTTGCTTTATTTCACCTCGTTTTCCTATGTCTTCACCTATCTCAATAGCATCGATTGGATCATTATCACCTTTAGCATTAGTTTCTGTATGAACAAAACTTGGATCTTCCCATGTCTATCATTTATTTTGTTTACTAATAAGAAATAATTGATTACCAATAACGACTTATGACTAACCTGGGGTAATGCACCATAATTCCAGATATAACCTTTAAAAGGAAAACAATTACGTACAAATCTCGGCTTTCCTTTCTTGATATCTTGTTTCAAGGGATTCCATTTTTCTCCTGTAGAAATCTTAGTATAGAATTGGATTAGCTGTTGAATAATAACAATAAACAATCTATTTTATTACTTCTACTTTAGCATTCGTCCAACGAGGAATTTCAACCACCATATTTACAATATCTTTTTGTAGTTTATTTGCATAAAGTGGAATATCATGAAACGGTGAAACGACTTTACCATCTCTTTCTAATATAAATGACAAGTCTTTAATAAATGCAGCATGTTACAATTCATCCTACATTGGTACCTATATAAATACGATGCAATGCTGTGAATGGTTGTCCAACACTAACAGTTTTATAGGTTGAATAGAATTTGACAAAATTAGTATTAAGTAAGCGTCGTTTTAACATAATAAAAGAGCCCTTAAAATAAGAAATATAGTAAAATATCAGGGATTAAAATCTAAAAAAAAAGGGGAGGAACAGGGTATTATTATAAATTGCACGGGTCACTGTTGACAATAAAAAAAAAAACGATTTGCTTAATTTCCATGTTTCACAACGGACAATCTGAAAAAAAGGAAAAAAGAAAACAAAAGAATATCAAAGAGAGATGCTGTTCCTTGCTAATTGTCAATGGAGTCATTCATTAAACAAGTAAACTCTTCAAATAGTAAATAATAGCCTAGAATGGTCTTCTTCTTTTTTAACTATTATAACTCATTCTTTGTATTTTACATAAACAATCATAATAAATAAACTTGTGATAGCGATACTTATTATGCAATTTAAATATTTCCTTTTAATAGCTTGGCTTAGTTACATAAAAAAGGAGTTTATTTACATGTAAAATGTTTCTTGTCAAAACTGTATTCCTATGACAATCTTTCATTGATAACAAATGAGCCAATCGGATGGATGTTTATTAGCTGCTTTAATGCTGAATGCTATGTTTTATCCAAATCTGGATGTCGTCAATTTTTAAATGAAGTGTATTGTTGCTCCCCCCAACTTTGTTTTTAATTCACATGAAATAATACGTTTCTTCTCCTTCTTTTTTTTTTTCCGTTCTTTTTTTTTTTTTTTTTTTTTTATATATATCTCCTTAATCTATTGTAAGTAAACAAATAATTTAAGTAAACTAGATAACGTAAAATGTGTGTAGCATAATATAAACAAATATCACATCTATAGCCACAATTATAAAAAATGTCACATATAAAAATAAACCAAAAACTATTTTTCTGTTCTCTTCTCCTTATGTCTTCTTCTAATCAAAATACTAATTCTGCTACTACAATGTCCAATTCCAACATTTCAAGAAAAAGATCTTTAACTGCTAGTCGTCAATCTGACCCTTCATCTTCTGTTCCTGCTGCTACTCATCAAAAGAAGAAGAGAAGACACTTATCAACTATGAATGATTCTACTTTAGGTAATTTTATCACTTTGGTTTTTCTTTTTTTTTTTTTTTTTCTAACTAAACTTTTTAAATTAGTTACTGAAACTGATGTTTCCCCTATTACATCGCGTAATCTTATAAATGTACCCATCTTGCCTCAAGAACATGCTTCTCATTCATCTGACGCTTCTTCTACCCATGCTAATATTAAAACAAAAAGATCAATTCGTGATGCTTCAAAAGCTATTGCTAAAAGAAAAGAGAGACGCTTTTCTCCTATGCGTAGATCTGTTTCGCCTGTCTCAACTACTGAAAGTTCTGTCATGCCTACTAGTCAATCTTCTACCACTATTGCTCAAGCTGTTGCCTCTGCTGCTCAATATATTGCTTCTACTACTGCTGATAAGCATAGTCACTCTTCTACTACTACTACTCAAGCTGTTGCCTCTGCTACTCAATATATTGCTTCTACTGCTGCCGAAGTTGAAACTGCTGCTGATAAACATAGTATCCCTACCAGTCAATCTTCTACTACTATTGTTCAAGCTGTTGCCTCTACTGCTGCTGAAGTTGAAACTGCTACTGATAAGTATAATATCCCTACTATTATTGAAGCTGAGACTGCTATGGATGAACATAATGCTCATACTAGTGTTGAAACTGAAACTGTTACTAGTGATCCTGCCGCTTCTACTATTGTTCAAGCTAATGTTGCTGATGGTGCTTCTGCTGGTGGTGTTTCTGTTTGTGGTGCCTCTGTTTGTGGTGCTTCTGTTTGTGGTGCCTCTGTTTGTGGTGCTTCTGTTGGTGGTGCCTCTGTTGGTGGTGTCTCTGTTGGTGGTGATTCTGCTGGTGGTGCTGGTGGTGCGTCTGTTGGTGGTGTGTCTGCTTCTGCATCTGCATCTGCTTCTGCTTCCTCTTCTGCTACTACAACTAATGCGCAATTGATTACACCTCCATTTAAATCAATTGCTGCAATGATTGAGGAAGCACAAGCAGCTGCAGATGCGTACATTGATCCCGTTCCTGAAGCAACTAAAATCATTGAAGCGATGACTGTTACCCCAAAGTCAATCGCTTCAATGATTGCTGAAGCTCAAGCCGCCGCAGACGCATATGAGGACCCTACCGAGGAGGATGCCGGTACTGTTGAAACTGGTTCGAGAGCTGGCCACAAGACCAAGACTGGACCTGCCTCTTCTTCCAAGTCATCTGTTCCATTCATGAAGAAGACGGCAGGTCCACGCATCAGAAAGGCCGCCTCATCTGCCCGCTCTCGAACCTTTATGGAGCGCTACAGACTCTTTAAGGGTAGGCCATTAGAAATCATGCCTGCCCTTCAAGAACTTCCTGAGCCTGTAGTGCTCCCTCTGGCTCCTCCTCCTAGCCCTGCAACTTCCTCTTTGCCTGTCAAGACCATCAGGCGTAAGAGGAAGTTGCATAACCAAAAGGTTGTCCTTCCTCCTCCCTCTGGCCCCCAGCAGAATCTGGTCTTTGAAGAGGCGGGAGGCCTCTCTTATGCAAACTATCTTGATCCTCAGGGCAGTGGATCCACTTCTTCCTCGTCTATTGTCCTGGGGATCAAGAAAAGAAAGGTCTCCCCCTCTTCTGTCTTGTCGGTGTCTCCACTTGCACCGGCAAGACTGGTCTCTCCTCTCCGACCAACGTCTTCTTCGCCTCCTCCATCAAGAGCTCCTTCCCCTTCTCCTTCGGTTTCTGGCTCCCAGGTGATGGACTCCCTACAAGATGAAGCTGAAGAATACTTTTCAGCCGATGATGGGAGTTCATCGCCTTACTATACGGCAAGTGAAGGGTCGCCAGAACCGGAGGGCGAGCCAAAAATGGGGTTTTGGAGCTCTCTGGTGGAGTACTTTGTTGGTCGGGAGGAGTAGACCTTTTTTTGTATATATTTCTTTTTTTTTTTTTTGTATATATTTTCCTTTTTTTTTGTAAATAAATTTCATTTTTAAAAATTATTTCTTTTAACTTGATAATAATAATGATAATAATAATAATACATTTATATTTAAGAAAATATCTCTTTTTAGTGTTAAGTTGAATACCTTTACAAAAAAAAAAAAAAAAAAAAAAAAAAAAAAAATAAAAGACATATTTTCTTTTGTACCTTAATTGAAAGGAAAAAAGAAGAAGAAGAAAAAAAAAGACTGTATTGACCTCTTGCAAATGAAAATACCAATGAATATACGATTAGTCTATATTGATTCTTGATTTTTTTTTTTTTTTTTTTTTTTTTTTCAAGATATATTTTTTTTTATCAGATAATCAGCAAGATCAACAAGTATCACTTTTCAGTCTTCTTTAAGCAACTTATTTCATCATATCAAATAAATATAAACAGATCTATTCACATCAATGTTAACTGGCGCCATCCTCTGGGAAAATAAAATTACTGTTCTGTAAAAAGTCTAGCAACTTTCTCTCTCCTGATTCACAAGTAAACATGATAAATCATAAGACAGAAATAACTCAATCTTCATTAGTTATTTATCCTTCTCGGTAGGGTTATTTTTTTTGTCATTATTATTTTCTTTTGATTTATAATAGTATGAAAAATAAAAAAGAAAGCATCTTTTGTTGATGAAAAAAAAAAAAAAAAAAAAAAAAAAAAAAAAAAAAGAAGCAATGGTAATAGCAAAAAAGCTATTTTAATGGATAACTCATATTTGCTTCTTTGATGACATATTCCCCCAAAGCATCTTGTAGCATATAGAAAAGAGAAACATATTGATATATAAAGGAAATTTGATAGCAGCAGAGGGATAGAATCGACTAACAAATTATAATTGCAAATTATAGTATATTACTGTGTCATTTAAAAGAAATAAAAATAAAAAATAAAAAATAAAAAAAAAAATTATATCTTGTATTTAATTTTGATTGGAGTGCATAACCCCCGGTTGTTTGGAGGGATAACTAACTTTTTTGTCTCTAATAAAGCACCCCCTTACTCTCTCTCTCTCTCTCTTTCCTTCCCCTCTCTGTTGCTTATATGCTTAAAAATATACTTTTTAATAGTAAACGAGGATTGGCCACTATTTCTCCTCTTGTGATCAAGAATAGTCGCATTCAGGCATCTGTCATCTTATCTCGCACACCCCAAATCACTCGTGACGCTACTCCATTTGAAAAGGCCTATTTTGATTACCGAGAGAAATTGGAACGTCAGGAATCAACTACTACACCCACTGAATTTTATTTCAAAAAGGGCTCAGTTGCTGAACGCCGTTGGAAGAATGATGAAGAAGCTCGTGAGAAAGTTATGAATGATCCTACAAAGTCGATGACTGAAGCTGTTGAAGAATCCCGAATTAAATGGGAAAGCGAAAATGAGAATTTGGTCGCAGCTAATAAAGTTGAAAAACTTGGACGAGTTACAAAGGCAGATTTAGAAAATGATACAAAGAGTTTAGATCGTGCTTTACAAAGAACATTGTACCTTGTCGTTAAGAATACAAATGATCCCCTGAACCCCTGGCAGTTTCCTCAAGGACCTGTCGATACTTCAGAATATTTACACGAGGTATATATATAAAAAAAAAATACATGTATACTTAAACTTTTATTATTCATTGAAAATAATACTCATAATGATTTCAATATAGGCAGCAAAGCGTACATTACAAGAGCAATGTGGAGCTGATATGGATACCTGGTTTGTTGGACGTCAGCCTATTAGTATTTATAAACAGTCTTCAACTAAAGGACAAGATAATGGAGTAAAGACATTCTTTATGAAGGCACGAGTATATGCTGGCCAAGTTAAACCTGGTAAAGATATTAGTGATTTTGCTTGGTTAACAAAGGAAGAATTAGTCAATACATTATCTCGAGATTATTATAAAGCAGTCAAAGATAGTTTAGGTGATCTTTAAAACCTGCATTTTTTAATTTATTAGAATTTCTACTATGTACATAAATATTATATTTTTTTTTTATTATTCAAATATATAAATGTAAAGAGGATATACACACATGCATATACATTTATATATGTACATAGTATGTATTTATTTCAAGTGGTCATCAAATGACTATTAGATTGGGAATATTTAATTGGGGAATTTATATTGACAGGAGTGGTATTTGTATTAGTAAAAGATGATGATGATAATGAGGAAGAGGAAGAATTCGAGAAGAAGCTATTACGCTTATTTCCTTTTAACAATTGAAACATTTTCTTAAATCCAGGCTTTTTACTACTGGAGGAAGGACTACCACTGTCATTACTTGAATTCGTTGAGGAGAATGATAGCCTTGAATTACTAGGAAGCGATAATAATTGCTGACTTTTATCTTTAACGCCAGTTATTTTCTTTTCCCAAATCATACTTGTTCGATGCTCTTGATAGCATGAATCACATAACAAATCAGAGGTTCGTACCTTATCAGGCTTTGGCCAGCCTGAGTATAGATTATGACATTTTGCACATTCATACTCTACTTGAAGTTGACCCCATCTCTGTACTGCATATCTCTCTGCCTCTCCATATTCAAGTAAAGCTAATTTAAAGAACTTTATAAAATCTTGATTTGGATTCATTACTTTCTGTAAAGCATTGACGTATTTTTGAATTGTTTCAATAAATTGTGTTGTAGCCTTTTGTACACTTAAAGCTTGATTCTCATCAAAGCTTTGCCAGAACTTACATGCTTCATGTAATTTGAAAACCAGCTCTTCTGTATCCTTTGTTTCTTTCTCTAAACTTTGTTGTTGACTCATAAGTTCTTGACTTTTACTTTGATTTTCAGCCAGTGCTCTAGCAAGTTCATTTAAAGCGCCCTGAGAAGCATCAACACAAGTTCGAATCTCGGATAATTTCTCTTCTGCATCCAAATTTTTATCTCGAGCCCTAACATACTTTTTCTTGTATTGAGCTGCTATAAGTGGGACATGATAAAGTTGATGATACTGTCGTTCTCGCTTTGACTTTTTGTTTCGTCTTTGTTCAGCATATTCTCGCATTTCGTTCAATTCCTCTTCGAGCTCTTCTAGTTCTTGTTGAACACAGATACGTCGAGAGGCAATAGCGTCATTATCTTTTATTATATAATTTAGGTCGCACTGTATCTGTTGAATGTGTTGTTGATTATCCATTATCTTTTTTCTGTATTTATATTCAATCGCATGAACGACTTGATAAAAAATTTTATTTTTCTTTTGTCTAGCTTCCAATTGATCTTCTATTTCTCGTAGTAAAAGCATCATAAATTTGAATGCTCCATTTGATTTAGTTGAAGGTATAGAAATGATAAATTCTGCTTTGTCTAAATTAATCGGTGTCATTTCATACTGTGCTTGGATCATTTTTTTTTTTTTTTTTGTTTTAATAATAGGAAGAAGAAGAAAAAAAAAATTAAAAAAAAAAATAAAAAAAAAAAAATAAAAAAAAAGAACAATTATACATTATCACTATTTTCGCCAAGAATATAAACAACTAATGTCTATTTTAGGAGAAGTTGCACAGAAAATTCAAAGCGAATCATACATGCAAGTTTATTTTATACAAGTATAGCAATGAATAATAATAATATTATTAATAATAGGCCTAAATATGTCTAAAGAATATTTATTTATTTACAATAAAAAGAATAAGTTTCGCTCTTATATAATGTTTGCTTTGGTATTTTAATTTTCCATGTCCATGTTTTCCATCTTGGCTTTCTCGGCTTTGATAGCTTGAACTCTCTTTTTGGCTTCGAGGGGTGCCAATTCGATATTTTGATTGACAACACGAATATCGTCTTCCTTCTGTAACTCTTTATTACCAGCCATACGATTCTTATAGAAGGCTCTTTCACGTCTAGCACGAATTTCTTGTACACGTTTCATGGCTTTAAGTGTTGTTGCCATCAAGTTACGATCATATCTTACAGGAACATTGCGACGTTTTTCAAATTCGAATGTAGAATCCTACCGAAAAAAAAAAAGTTAGAATATTCCATTATACTAGATCAATAAAAAAAAAGCTTTAAACATACAATAACCATTTCTTTTCCAGACGCTTTTCTGAATGCCTTTGTCCAGCGGACCTTACGAGGATTACGTTTCATCTTGAAATTTTTATGACATTTAGATCTACAGAAACGGAAAGTCTAGAAAAATAAATAAATAAATAAATAAAGATTAGATCACATTGGGTTACAAATCATTTTTCCTTAATTACCTTGCTGTCATTACGGACAAACATAGTACCATGACCAGGATAACAGGGTCCAGAACAAAAATAACAACGAGTAATGTGCATTGTTTAATATATTACAAATGAATTTTTTTAGGAAATGAAAAATAAAAAAAAAAAAAAAAAAAAAAAAAAGATAAAAAAAAAAGAACGAATCCAAAACCTTGAAGCATGACAAATTCGGAATTGTGGCTTAGATTATATAAAAAAATGTTAATTTCTACCCGCAGTTTTCATATACAAATGTAATTTTTTTTTTTTTTTTTTCTTTTAACTAATAGATCTAGATCATCAATTAGATAACATGGAATATCATCCCGAAATTGTCGAACAATTAATGTATGTAAATAGTTATATTTTATATTTTATATATTTTAACTAAATTGTTTGTTTTATATAGTTTGGTAAATAGCTAATTTGTTTGTGGACTTTACCGCAGTAAATAAAAAAAAATAAATTAACCATTAAATATTATATAGTGTCCAGGATGTGGTGCGCCAACTCCTCCTAATGCTGCTAATATGTGTGTTAACTGTATCCGTAATGAGGTTGACATTACAGAAGGAATTCCTAAGCAAGCCACTCTTCATTTTTGTCGTAACTGTGAACGTTACTTACAACCTCCTGGTATTTGGGTTCCTGCACAACTTGAATCTCGAGAATTATTGACACTTTGTTTAAAAAAATTGAAGGGTCTCAACAAAGTGAGGTTGATTGATGCAGGTTTCATCTGGACAGAACCTCACAGTAAACGTATCAAGGTTAAACTTACGATTCAAAAGGAAGTCTTTGTAAATACGATTTTACAACAAATTTTTGAAGTTGAATTTGTCGTATCAGGTCAACAATGTGAAGAATGTACCCGTTTAGCTGCACAAAATACATGGAAGGCAGTGGTTCAAGTTCGTCAAAAGGTGGAACATAAACGTACTTTCTTGTATCTTGAACAATTGATCTTAAAGCATAATGCACATAAGGATACAACAAATATTAAAGAAACAAAGGACGGTATTGATTTTTATTATGGTTCTCGTAATCATGCTATTAAAATGGTTGAATTCTTAAATGCCATTGTTCCTATGAGGTAAGAAGAAGACTACTATAAAAAAAAGGGTGAAACTAACGTTGTTATCATAATAGATACAAAACCTCTGAACAACTCATATCAAAAGATATTCATACAAGTGTCAGTAATTATAAATTCACTTATTCTGCAGAGATTGCACCTATTTGTAAAGATGATCTCGTTTGCATACCCAAAAAGTTAGCTAATAACTTTGGTAATATCAACACACTCTTAATTTGTACACGTATCAGTAATTCAATTCACTTGTTGGATGTGAACACATTAGCTACAGCCGATGTATCTACTACTCAATATTATCGTTACCCTTTCCCTGCCTTGGCAAGTGCTAAGTCTATGATTGAATTTTATGTGTTGGATGTAGAACCTTTAGGACCTGTAAATAACAAATATGTTCTTTGTGATGTTCATGTCGCTCGTATGTCTGATTTTGGACGAAATGATGAAGAATTCATTGTCCGTTCTCATCTAGGTGCTATTTTATCACCTAGTGATACTGTCTTGGGTTATGATCTCTCTCGTGCTAATTTTAATAATGATGAATATGATCACATTCATCAAGGTGACTTACCTGACGTTATCTTGGTTCGTAAAACATATCCCGCCCGTAAGAAGAAGAGTAAACCAAGAAATTGGAAATTGCAACAATTGGGTAAAGAAGTTGATGAAATGTTACCTCGCAAACAAGATCAAGCCAAGATTGAAAATGATATGGAACTCTTCATGCGTGATATTGAAGAAGATCCTGAACTTAGATCCACAATTAATATCTTTAAGAATGTCAACGTACCCGCTGTAGAAAATAATACTATGACCGATGATGAAGAGGAAGAATTACCTGAAATCTCTTTGGAAGAAATGTTGGATGAAATGACAATTAACATGGATGATCCTGATGAAGATGAGGAGATGATGCAAATGTAAAATAATTTTATTTTTTTTTTCCTGTACACATAATAAATATAGATTATTGTTCAATCCATTTTTTAATAATTGATTTTGATTGGCTTATACAATTTCTATAAAAGAGCAGCCCGTTTTAATTTTTTTTTTTTGATGACTTTTAACATTTTATCGTAAAAATGCCTAGAAACTGTAAAATATTACAGACAAGTTAACAACAATAGACTAATATCTATACATGTATGTTTTTCTTCTTTACATAAAGATTATTGTGATTTTTGCCAGTGCACTTTTCCAGATAATGTAAAAAATAGAAAGAATCATAATGAGGGAATAGCTCATGTAAATAATCGTAAATTACACTATGATTGGTATAAAGGTGAATATATAGATAAAATAACTGTCTTGAAGATTATTATTAAATTCAAGAGTTATAGATCCTTCTATATTTTTACAAGAACAAATAGCCAAACCACCTTGCAGACATTACCAACAATATGGATATTGTGAATTTGGAATATTATGTAAATACAGTCATATTACATATGATCCAAATACAGGTAGCATGTTTGTAACAATGTAAATGAAGCAATATTAAGTTCTTTTTCTTTTTTTTTAAAAAAAAATGGAACAAAAAAGGTCAATACATATATCCTCCTGAGCTTATTCAATGGTTTCAACTTCAACAGGAAGAAGCGCTTTCGTCCACTGTTAATCTAGAAGTAACAGAAAAAACTAAAAAAAAGAGAACACGATACAAATTACCCTCTGGATGGAAAGTAAAAGACTTGCCTCCTTCTCTAAAACCACCTCCACCAAAACATGGCTATGATTGGAATCAGGTGGGTTCATGGTCTTGACAGTTGTATTTTTATCTTTTCACGTGATCCTTGAATATATGCTTTTGTATTATTTATTTTTTTTTTCTTTTTTATTAAATTTGTCATGATTACTATTTTTTTTTTTACCCCTCTTTTTTTTTTTTAAGAAAAAAAAAATATGCGCTTTATTCATTCACAATTAATGAATTCATTTTTAAAAAGTAAGACCATCAGATATGGACATTTAAGGACTTTTCATTCAACTGCTCTTCTCAAAAGACATAATTATTTTGACACCTTCAAGTTTGTAGAGAGATTAGAAAAAGAAGGCTTCACAAGAGAGCAAAGTGAAGCTATCATGAGTTCTTTGCAAAAAGTGATTTCAGAAAGTATGACTGACTTGACAAAAATTATGGTATCTAAAGCAGAACGAGAGAAGGTATAGTCAGAAGTATATTTCCAAGTTAAAATCAATCGTTAATTTTTATTTTTTTTTTTTTCAAGCTAGGCTGTTTACGCCTATAGAGTCGATTTGGCCAAGTTAAGATCAGAAGTTCAACTTATTGAAAGGAATGATTTTACGTTAATGAAAACAGATATTGATCGGTTAGAAAATGAGCTAGAAAAACTAAGGCAAAAACTTCGAGAAGAAATTTCAAGAACTCAAGCTAACGTTCGATTAGATTTAAATCTTGAAAAGGGAAAAACTAGAGATGAAGCAAGTGCGCAAGAAATTAAAATGAAAGAAGCAGATACTCGAATAGAAAGTGAAATATCTGGCTTAAGAACACAAATGGAAGCTATTAAATTCCAAATTATGCAATATATGATAGGTACAATGACTGGTGCCGGTGCATTGTTTTTGGCTTACCTTAGAATGTTCAAATAATAATAAAAAGATTTTTTTTTATTTATTTAATTATAAAAAAGGTATATATAATCTATCGACCATACTTTTGCCATTCCCATTCACGATTATCAAGTGGACAAACCTGACGACTCTTCAACCAACGGGAAATGCAATGGAAATGGAAAGCATGCTATCATTTATAATTTAATTAGTTATAACCCAATAAAAGACGAAATAGACTTACATTGCAAATACCCCAAGCAACTGTACATTCTTCAGATGTTGCTGATGCTTGATTAGCTTGACATTCGATACCTTTACACAAAAATAATTGAATACTAGCTCTTTTAATTCATTTTTAAAATCTTACATAAATCCATAATATGATTTCTACAAATAGCACAATTATCGACGACAATATCTATATAATTACAAGGTCAGTTTGATCTTTGTTTTCTTGAGTTATGAAAAGAAAAATTATTATTTATAGCTTACCCCAAGCCCAAAGTGCAACTGCATTCCACTATCAACATGTATAAAAAAATAAAATAAAATAAAATAAGAAACGGGAGATGCTGCGAAAACAAATGTTGTTATTATTACCTTTTTCACTTCAAAACGAGGCTTTTCTTCTTTTCCCTTTCCTTTAAGTCCATCACTAGTTGATTTGTCTGATGATCCTGCATTTGTAGGTGGATCAATATCCATGGGTGCTGACATTTTTATAATGTTTTTTTTTTTTTAATAAAAGAAAAGAGATTTAGAGAGAATGCATATGGACAAACGCGTTTATACAATTTAAGGCCCGCTTTCAACGTCATCGATAGTAGTTGATATTTACTTTTATATTTTAAGTGAAGTTATAAGGGAAGATAAATTTATTTTTAACACGGAAATGCATAATTTGTAATTATAGCATCCTACATCATTTGATCTGTTTTCTACATTCTAAATCATATAGGCAATAGTCATTTCTTTTTTTTTTCATAGACAAAGACCTTAATTTGTCACCATACCACATGTTTTGTAGCCACAATGTATCCCTTCTTTTACCTCTTTGTTTTTGTTACGTAAAGAAACTATTAGTTACTATTACGTTTTTTTTTTATCTAATACAAGCAGAAAAGATATAACAAACTTATCAAAAGGAAAAGTTAAATTATATTATGAACTTTATTTTTATTCAGGAACTTCTAATCCCTCTTCTGCCATCCAAATCGATACTATTCTTATACATGCTTGTGCAATTAAATCATCGTCTAAACTTTCCTTGGTGCCTTGTTTAAATTTAAGTAATTCCATAACAACATCCATAATCTCAGATAAAGTTGTACGAAGTTTAATCAACATTTCAGGGTCCATGCCGTTAGATTCATAATTAATAGCTAAATATTCCATAGCTGCTTCCAAGATTTCAAAATAAATAGGCACCATCAAAATTTGACGCTTTTGACGCTGTTCATTAATAATTGTTTTTTGTTCATTATGTTCTCGAATAACTCGCTCATTAATATCATCAATCATCACTTTTGATTCAATTGCGATCAAGTGAATTAATAAAGCTGGGAAATTGGCTACTGCAAAAGCCTTATTAGCAGGATCATTTGGATTATCTGAAGAAGCCTTTTCTTTCCTTCGTTTCGCAGCTTTTGTATCCAACAATGATTTAAATAGCCAATCGTTACCAAAATAGCGTAACAAACAACTAATTAATATAATAGCCTTATCTCTTTGTTCGTCGGCTATAAAATACAAAAGTAAATACAAAACTTTGTTTTTACTTAAAAATATAAAATAAAAATAAACTTACGTAATTTACTACTCAAGATTTGTCGTAGACCACTTAATAAATTATCCAGCCAATTGTCAAGTTTCTTTTCTTGTTCACGTTTAACCTGTTGCATGACCTAAAAGAAATAGCTATAGTTTTTTTTTTTATTTTACTTCGTTTTTTTTTATATTATTTATTTACCTCTGTTGGGATATCAGTTAATACAGAACTCAAGATATCCAATGCTTCAAATTTTAATTTTTTTTGATTGTTATTTAATGTATTTGATAAAATAGAAATCAAAGTGTTAAGAGAATATTTTAAACTCGAATATAAACTAGGAATCTTGGTTTCATTTAGCAGTTGACATGATCGAGCATAAACAGACTTGATCAATTCGGAGCATGCCTCACGTTCATCCTCTTTATTAGTCTCTAATAAAACCTCGAAAATATTTTTGAGAACATCAGGATCTAACATTTTTACGAGACCTTCCTTTTTGATAGCTACATGTAATAACACTTGTGTCACTTCTTTTGTAATATCGGTTGTATCATTAGGTGTTAGTAACCTTGATAAGGCTGGAATCCTATCAACCATGGGTTGTTCACTTGCTAATGACTCAAAATGAGCAAAACAACTAAGGATGTTGACTGCGATTTCTTTCAAGACAGGATCAGGTACTTCGGAAGCCTCATTATGATCTACAATTAAAGGTTTAGGTAACCATAAAAAAAAGAAAAAGAAAAAGAGAGAGAGAAGTCGTGTGTCTTACTTGACCGAAGTAATCGTTCAATAAATTTAAAGTTCATTCCTTTGAAAACTTTTTCAATGTCTTCACTTTTGTTCTGATCGAGTAATCTAGGTAGCATTAACATGCCTACAAATTTCGATTCGTCTGAAGCTGAAGGAACAATCATTGATAAACAACGATCGATCTCTGCTGATCGATCTTCTGAAGAGCTTGAAATATTCATGTATTTTGTATAATTAAAAAAAAAAGAAAGAAAAAAAAGAAAGAAAAAAAGAAAAAAAAAATGCAATCAAGACTATAGGAAATTTATTTTATTAATAAAAAGAGAGCGGAAATAATAGATAATTCACCATTGTAAGAGATTACTATCTCCTTTCCCATAAATAATATTAGCCAGTACTTTGTTCTGTTTCAAGTTGAATCGATGCAATGTATCATCCGTTATATATTCTTTATTCAAGGAATCCATGTCATTCATATGCGCTTCAAATAATGAGTAAGTTGCCTCGAAATTTGAGCGAATAAAACTAATGTGTATTACATGAGGAAAGAGGTTTAAAATCTTGTATAGGTAATTTATTTGCGTCTTTTCAGGTAAATCAATCAATGTCAGATGCGTCACTGTAGGCAGACTATTATCTGTAACAGTAGTGTTTATAACAAGAGCTATAGCAGTTGCCATATCCATTGTCAGATCTACTAAGGATGACGACAGAGTAGCTGAACGACAAATGTGCCATATCCAAGCTGACAAATTATTATGTGAGCAATATTTAAGTTTAGAGACATTCAGTGATTGAACTGTCCGTCGATAATGGTTAAGACAAGAAAATTGGCTCAATTGATTTAAATCACATGACGTTTGTGATAATGATAAATATCTCAAATGAGCTGCAAAACGAGCCAAAGCATTAAACCCGACAGATGTTAGCTTTATGCAGCCGGTAAGGTCCAGTTCAAGAAGCCGAATGTGTCTGAACTTGGCCAAGGCTACGATTGCTTTGTCTTCTAAATAAGTATTATATTGTACGGAGACGGATTTTAGTTGATCACAGTCTGTAGCCATTGCTGCTAGTCCTTGTCCCTTATGTTTTAACAGTCCATCTAGCTTTACTTTGTTTAGTTGTCGACATGCTCGAGAGATGATAATTAACATATCATCATCTACGTTTGAACAGTAGGATAGATTCAAATAAAATAAATTAGGTAATGTCCAATTCGATGATGGTAATGATCGCTTATTTAAATAGTTTGCATTTGACAAATTAAGTGACTGGAGACCTTCTGAACAATAGTCAATAAAAAGTTGAAAAAAGCGAGGATTAACGCTCTCATATAGACTTTCTTCTATAATGGATAAATCAATTTTTTTCACTCGTGAAGCTGTTACTTTTCTTAATAAATGTAATTGTGAAAGAAGTCTGTTGAAAATGTAAAGGGAGTTATGAATTTTAGCTAATTTACTAAAGTTAGGCTCTTTCCATATGTCATTAGAAACAATTTCGTAAAAACTGGAGTTCAATAAAGCACAAGTCAGTAGGTCTTTAATTGTAAGTTTATTCTTTATGAGTGGGAAGACTCGATACAGTTTATTTTGCCTTTGTGCAATATATAATTGTATGGTATTATTAACTGAAATACTATTTGCTAACTGTAGCTCGTTATTATACATGTATAGAATTGAGTTATTTGTTGGAAAATGAAAAGAGAAAGAAATGTGTGCATTTGAATATGCAGTGTACTAAAAAAAAAAAAAAAAGTGCTAAGCAGATCATGATTGTGGTATATTCAATCACAGCCTGAATATTATTATTTAAAAAAGTATCCATACCAGGAAAGCACAAAGAAAATAAAATTTGATTGAATATCTTTGTTAAGAACATTAAACTTATCTTACTCTGACTGCCATTGCAACTAATATTGATTAAGAAGGCTCGTAAAAAAAAAAAAAAAAAAAAAAAAAAAAAAAAACAGAAAACATATTATTTGAATGAAACGATATAAGCAGTTCATTCAGATATTCTTAAGGACTCAAATGTTAGGCGTGGCTACGATAGTCTAAGCGGCGGCTACGATATTGTAAGCGGCGGCTACGATATTGTAAGGCATGGCTACGATGTTCTAAGCGGTGGCTACGATGTTCTAAGCGACGGCTACGATGTTCTAAACGACGGCTACGATATTGTAAGCGGTGGCTACGATAGTCTAAGCGACGGCTACGATGTTCTAAGCGGTGGCTACGATAGTCTAAGCGACGGCTACGATGTTCTAAGCGGTGGCTACGATAGTCTAAGCGACGGCTACGATGTTCTAAGCGGCGGCTACGATAGTCTAAGCGACGGCTACGATATTGTAAGCGACGGCTACGATATTGTAAGCGGTGGCTACGATAGTCTAAGCGACGGCTACGATGTTCTAAGCGGTGGCTACGATATTGTAAGCGGCGGCTACGATAGTCTAAGCGACGGCTACGATATTGTAAGCGGCGGCTACGATGTTCTAAGCGGCGGTGTGATATTTCTTTTAAAATATTAAATAAAAATATTAGAATAAAATAAATAATATTAAGACAAAAAGAGTCAACGAAACCGAACAATAGTTCCAAAGTCAATTATTTTATTTATAAATTTAAATTGATGGGATATTATATAAATTGTTAAAGAGGTCTTGTTGTGGTTTAGGTAAGTTTAGATGATTAAATAGAAGTCAAAGAAATAAAAATAAAAAGAAGATAAGACAGAAGAAGTACGTTGAGACTTGTCAATAAGTTTATTAAAAGTAAAATCAATACAAGTATTGTTCTTAGTTATAAGTTATACAAAATAAGGGTGAATAATGTAAGAGTATTTATATATTTTGTGAATAAGGATGATGAGTAATAAGAAGATAAAAATATAACAAATTGTATTTGATAATATAATTATAGAAGGATTACTAAGAGTTATAATTATAGATTCATGTCTTTAGTATATATTTATTTTTATAACTAATACGTGTATTCTGAGTAGAATCAATTATTACGCGTATTTGTATTATTCTTAGTTTACCCCAGTTTAACTTGTATAAAGTTATTTTTATAAATTTATATTCAGCAGAACAATAATAAAAGAAAGTATATTTTTAGATGTAGGACTTTTTATTAATTAATTATTTTTCTATACAAGGGTAAATATACTAAATATGTTTATAGAGAAAATTATTATACAAATGCACTATGTATTCTATTATGACTATTTATCTTATTGAATTAAGTTATAAATCTTACAACCATGACAGGTCTAAGGATAAGATGTAAATCGGAAAAATGTTAGTTACGACCGTCTAAGATATGTTGTTGACAATGAAGTGTTAGTGATTTTAATATTATTACATGGAGCGGATCAAGAGAGAGTTAGGATAGAATTCCTTAAATAAATTTATGATCCGCATGTTTAATCATGAAACATGACATTATAAGTCGGCTCATGACATAATTGAAATATAAATAAAAAAATAAAATAGAAATAAGAAGTACGTTGAGACTTGTCAATAAGTTTATTAAGAGTTAAGTTCAATATCCATATTGTTATTCTGTTAATAAGGGTTAATAATGTAAGAGTATTTATATATTTTGTGAATAAGGATGATGATCAGTAATAAGAAAATAAAAATATAACAAATTATAGACAATGATTATTAAGAGTTATAATTATAGATATAGATATAGATTCATGTCTTTTGTATATATTTATTTTTATAACTAATACGTGTATTCTGAGTAGACTTAGTTATTACGCGTATTTGTATTATTCTTAGTTTACCCCAGTTTAACTTGTATAAAGTTACTTTTATAAATTTATATGCAGCAGAACAATAATAGAAGAAAGTTTATTTTTAGATGCAGGACTTTTTATTAATTAATTATTTTTCTATACAAGGGTAAATATACTAAATATGTCTATAGATAGAATTATTGTACAAGTGCATTATATATTTTATTATGACTATTTATCTTATTGAATTAAGTTATAGATCTTACAACCATGACATGAGAACGACCTTGTTGGCTCGTGTCTTGAGTCCTCTGTTGTTGTCCCTGCCTTTCAGTTTGGACTTCTACTCTTTCAGTTTGTCTCCTATCCTCCCTGGAGTGTTTAAATAATTAAGATCCCTTACTTGTTGGCAGTCTTAATGATGATCATAATGATTAATTTATCCCCCATTTCCCTCCTGCCATTAGATAATGTGCTTTCCGAGCTCATCTTCGTAATACATCAATAATGATCAAAAGGTTGCTTGTATTTAAAATACCTATAAAAATATAAAATCTTCAGCCTATAACCAATAGCGTAATCCAATTTCTAATTTTAATTTTCAGAGAAGTATATGCATACAAATGATCTACAGCTGGGTTGTTGGCTATTTCCATATAAGGAAATCCCTCCTACTGGGCATTGTGTGACAAAAATCCTTCTTTTAATCTAACGATGGTAGAGAGATTTTACAAAACGTCTTCATTATGTAAAATATTACATTATATAATAATAACGTTAAGCCTCATAGTGCATTACGTCGTGCTGAGATTAGTGGAAAAAAGTGATTTTTTATTGTGTGCGTGTTGTGATTGTAGTAGCCTTTATAATTAAGTTAATAGAAATAAACCATCATTTATTATATAATAAAGAGGTTATTCAAATAAAACTAATATATCGCGCTTCACAGCATAATATTCATTCTACTCTCAGTTTTGATAATAGTCATTGTTTGAGTATTCGAGCATTAAAAATAATTATATACATTATATTATGTAATAATAATAATTCAATAGGATTATGACTGTTATATTCAATTACATAATTATTTATAAGTCATACATATTATATATAGATAGCTATAAAGATAAATGTTGTTATGTAATAATATCTTATAGGATAATAATAATAGTAGCATATAAATAATTGGTATTGCTATAGCTGACATATTCACTGTGAATTAATATTGACGCGTCGCTTACCCCAGAAACAATAATTTAATATTTTTAGTAACAGCGACAGCTCAGGCAGAAAAGAATAAAAATAGATCTTATTGTAGGCAGAATTATTCGGAGAAAATATTTATGACTAATGCTTTATTATAGCAATATTTGCTTATCCAAATCATAGTTCTATTAATATCACTTACCTTGCAAAAACATATAAATAACCCTTTACTTTTTCACATAATTTTTCCTTGTACAATTTTTGTATTTTTTTCTTAATAAAAAAACTACGCGAAGTTTTCACAGACTTGTCTTTTGTTTTTTCTCTTTCTTTAACTTTTTGCTGTCAAAACAGTGCGAAATTCGTCATATTTATGAACTATGATAATTTCATAGGAATGATACATTGTTACGTCGATTCGTTTACGTGATATAACAATTATTATCTTTGGTTTTCATATAAATATAAATAGAAAATAAAATCCAATTTTGATTTTTAATGCACAGGTTTCGGTAGCAACTGTATAATATTTTTTATTTTGGATATTTTACAAGGAACATTACAACGATGTTGTACAGCATGACTACGATGTTGTTGGTTTATTGCCAAATCAGCTGTTCAAAGTACCTTTGTTCATAATACCCTAACTGCTATGTATATTACTACAACAGGAGGACATTTAGAGATACCGCATAGGTGCCCTTTAGTTTATACTAGTCTTACGTTTAGTTGTTTGTCGTTTTCTTTTTTTTTTTCTTTCCATTTATCTTTTTTTTAACCATCTTCCTAAGATTTTACTATGACAGGTACGTTTTAAAATAGTGTTAAAGTGACTTCATTGATTTGTAACTGTATATATTTGGTATATTATCGTCACTGTTAGACAATATTCAAAACGCTATCACCATTTCTTTGCAATGCACTCCCGGATCGGATGTAGCAAGTAAACTATTATTTAATCACGACGAAATTAAGCACACTATAGTCAGTTCTTTGACAGGTATATTACGTAACTAATAAACATTTTATATATAAAATATTGAACTAAAACTACTCAAAATAGATGGTAACATTAATGGAAAAATGTATACCATTGCCAACAATGAACATCCAGATGGTAAAAGATCTGATGTTATATATATCCCTAAAGAGAAACCGACGGAATCAACCAGACCAATTACGGTTGAAATCCAGCAAACTCTTGACTGGGCGTTTTTTAGAAGACTAAACAGATATTGTCTCAATATCTGTGATAAATATAAGGTTATGCCATTTGTTATGGTATTTGCCATAAAAGGCTTTTCAAGTAAGTCTTTTATGAATGAATTTGTCTTGAATGAAGAAGGATATTACACAATATCAACAAATCTTTGGGCAAAATCATTGAGAATTTACACTCTTGATTCGATTGCGGAAAATGTCAGTATAGAAAAGCTAAATCCAATTATTGCTCTTGCGTATTTCCTTTGTGCGCAAGAAAAGTCTATAATTGGATTAGAGTTATGTGACAGCGTCCATCTGCAAAAGCTATACTTGTTAGCATACAAAATATTTGAAGAAGCACAGATGGAACAAAAATCGACTACTGACATAGTAATTGGTTCATTGAAAAATGCTGAAAAGCAGTTTGAAAAAATCCTGAAATGTGCTGAATCAGGAGATTCAAATCAGATAAACAAAATAAGAAAGTATGCTGCAAATGGGGCACAATACGTTGGAAAAAAAGAAAACTCCTAGAAGAGGAAGAGGGGGAGTGTGTAACCCCAATAGAAGAAGATGAAAACGGAGATATATTGTTTGTTAAACAATATATTGAACGTTTGGATGGAAAGAGAATGGACTGGAGAGCTTGCTACTCGGAAGGAGTAGAAAATGGATATTTTACTTTGTATAATAGTTATTTATCATTAAAGGGTGCCTATCATAAGAATAGGTTATCATAAATAATTATGTTATTTCTTTTCTTCATTTATTTATTCTGATCAAAAGATGTGAAAGAAAGTTTTATTACAGCGACTCACAAAAGTGTGGCAATGTTTTATGATTTCTGTCCTTCCTTAGTGCACAACATAAATGAAAAAAGATATATTAATTGAAGTATTTTTAATGGAAAATTGACATTATTTTTATAGCTTCTTAGTCTTATTTATATGCATGAATGTTCAATGTCATTTTATGCGTTTTAATCATTTCGCTGCATAACAATTTTTATTTTAAATCATTTAATATCATTATTGAATTAACAAAAGGTTTATTTCTTATTTGATATCGTTTTTTTTCCTCGAATTCGTTACTAACTTTAACAACATTCCTATTAACACATAAATCATCACATACAATAGAATGAGTTCAATTCTTTACGTTAAAAAGATGGATATTTTAGCAAAACTTAATGCTAAGGAGACTAAATATACAAGAAATTGGTTCAAGAAAAATAAAATAAATGTCCTTGAATGGCCCTCATATGCTCACCTGATTTGAATCCAATTGAAAAACATTTAGCCTTATCTGAAGTGCAGTGCAAGCTTGCTGTCTATGATAGGCTACCAAAAAAAAACATGGTTGAGTTATGGGAGCACGTTGCTGATGTTTGGTATAATAAATTTACAGCAGAACTATGCTTGAAACACATAGAAAGCATGTCAAGACATGTTAAAACAGTAATAAAAAGTATCAAGTACTAAACATTAAAGATACGTTATTTATTCCATTGTCTCAATAAACTATTTGCATTTATACAACTTTTAACATTATATAATGTATATATGCTATAAGTATTATAAAAAAAAAAAAAAAAAAAAAAAAGAGAGAAGACTTCCGTCTTTCTGCTAGTATATGCTATATAGTAATTTGCTAAATATATTCATATTTTCTTTTATTTCATTAAATATGATACTAATAATCTCGGTTGAAGTGATATGAAAGGAAATTAACTATTAGCGTGATTTTCAAAATAAAAACGAATGGCATTATATTTAAAAAAAAGTAAAATTCATTGACAGAAAAAAAAAATCATGTTATTTTAATCACCTCTTACAAAACCTTTATAATGAGCAGCGGTCAGATTAAGAATATACCGTATATTCAACTATCACAAACATAACGTCACCAAGATGTAATCGTTCATGTTGCACTTCTGAATCTATCACGAGGTTTATATTTATTTGTTGTATACATTAGCAAAATAAAAAGAATTATTTAACATTAAGTAGTGATAATGTGACACTCAAATTAATTGCTCTGTAGAAGGAGAGATCAATTGTTAGACACACAAATATAGGCTGTATATCATTATAATATGGTTGGCAGTAGTCGTTGTTAGTATAATTAAAACAATAAATAAATAAAAGGAGCGACTATAGAAAAAGAGATTATGAAATACAATAGAGCTGAAAGGATATACATTAGAATATTGATTAATAATGATTTATATAGGGCTTTAGTATGACTATAAATATTGTATATATGGATTGTTGTATGATCAATTTACAAAGATTTATTCTATAGAAGAATAGGATATAAGTCCCTGATTTAAAGTGGTATAGATTTGTTTTCCTGTTTTCTTATCATCAGCTAATATCTGATATGAATCGCCTTGTTTATTGTGAATCACATAGGCATTGGGTACATATGTTTCTTCGTCTTCATCTATTCTTCCAACTCTTTTGATATTTGAATAAGGAATAATAGTCATGGCTTCCTTTTGCTATATAAATTTAACTTGTATGAATACTAACATGTATTAAAAGATAAGGATGTTTATTACCATTTCATCTTTAAAGAATACTAAGCCATGTGTATCTATAATAAAATATCGACGTTTCCAAAACTATTCTATTCAAGTTAGATATACAATTTCACTACTAGGTACTTTTTTATTGCACATGTACCTGACAAGTATTCGTTTGTACAGACATAAAGCCTGTCATAACTATAGTTCGACAAGTCTAGAAATAGGGTGTATATAAATGTATATATATAAGTTCATCTGTTATATGATAAAGACAATGATGATCTAAATACCTCCTTTGGCTTTTCGACTTTTTTATCAGTTTGACTTTCTATTAAAGTACTACTAGAATCTTTTAAAGTCTTTTTTTCTTCTTTATGAAAACTCTTTTCTTCATTAGAAATGAGAATAGGTTTGATAGAAGGTGGCTGCTGTTGCTGTTGCTGTTTTTTTAATTTGCGTTGCTGTAATTCTTGCTGCCACTTTGGTATTTCCTTTCTTTTTAATAATTCATTCTCATTGAATGATTTATTGATAAATTTTTCCTCTCGTTGTTCATATTGGGATTGTCTAAATCTTGCTTCTTCTAATTCCTTTTTCTTTGATAGTTGGTATTGTAACATTAACTCTGTTTGTTCTTGAAGACGTGTATCAGGATCTTTATCTGTAACAGAAGGAGAGTTTATGAATGTATGATCATCTGTAGTAAAATGATGATGATGATGATTAAGAAGGGAATAATCATTCGTAAAAGAAGATGAAGCAACAGAGGTAGGTGTAGAAGGTGTAGGTGTAGGTGTAGATGACATTCGATCGGACATAGCGTCTTCATAAAATGATGATGGCTCATCCGTTAGTAACGCTGTAGTGTTGAGTTGCAAAATAGGATAACCCTCTACGGGTGAAGATGTCCCTGATCTTCGCTTTTGTTGTTGTTGTGATAGATTAAAAGAAGATCGTTTCGAGACAAGTGTTGATCTAGGACGAACCTTTTTCGCTTGATGACCTCCTAACTTTAATCGTGTGTGTATGTTTGTGTCACTTAAATCAGATAAATTAGAAGCAGTAATCTGTGCATGAGAGATTTTCAAAATATTAGCAATGGTTCGACTATGTACAAGCGCTCTAGCTTCATAAAAAAAATAAATAAATAAATATATCATCAGTTTATAATTGCACATGTCTTTATAAAATATGTATATATGAGTACCTCTTCGGACGCCACTAAGCAAATATATACATACATGTATTTCAATATTAAAAATATAATTTTTATTCTAAATAAAAAAAAAAATCTATCATTATTACCTTATACTGTCTGGTATATAAGTTATTGAAATAAATTTATCTTCAATCCTGACATAACCAAATAAGATTTCATTTGTTAAATTATTTCGAAACTCGCTTTATAAAGAATGATTACTATACAACATGATATACTGTAATAATTATGTCCTAACCTTAATCCATTTATACCAGTAGCATATAAAGAGATTATATCTCTAGTATCTTTATAACCTAATATTAACCTTTTTATTTTTTTTTTATAATATGTAATCATCATTACACTTGTTATTATTTATTCTTACCAGTTTATAGGCTCATCTTCAGTCATTGCAATGTAAGCATGACTTATTCGAGGATCATTAACATTACACATTTCTCTATTTGAATAAAAGAAAAAATAAAAATAAAAATAAAAAAATAAAAATGATAATAATAAAAAAAAAAAAAGAGATGATACTTATTTATCTTCTGTAGGACGAAAGGAAGTGCTTATAATTTATAAATGTCATGTACAACACCAGAATTTATTTCTCGTGTATATCATTTACACAAAAAGAATAATTTCTCGCTTTTTTTTTTTTTTTTTTTTTTTTTTTTTTTTTTTTTTTTATTAAAACGTGGTATAATAATGACAGTAAATGTTACTATCAAGACATATTATATAACCTTTTGTATTGACCATTTATATATTTGTGCAGAACTTTCCCCTTTCCTTTTGTTTAAAGCTCAATAACAGCTTTACTTTCAATAATGGACAGCTTTCTAAACTTTTCAAGCAATTCGTACATTGATGAAGACTTCTTTTTCTTTTTACTTTGCTCTGTAGGCTTTTTTTTTTCTTCTTCTTCTTCTTCAATAGCATGCAACATCTCCGTATTTGTCATCCTAACGAGTTTAGTAGAAGCGAGTTCAATATGTTCAAAATCGACCAATGTCATATAGACCATATGGCGATGAGCATGTGATTTTCGTAACTTCAAAGATACCTGTACATGATCGAATAAATTAAATTGTATAGGGTTAGGCAAGTCAGTAGAATGAACAGAGATGCTGTTCGGCATATCGATTTCTATTCTACAATTGGGAATAGTTTCATTTTCATCTAAAAGAAAGAGAAAGAGAGAGAGAGAAAGGTTAAAGATATATTGACAGCCTATTTTTTATTTATATATGCATCTATTTTTACTACCCTTAGTTTCCTTTCCAGTAATTAAAGACAAAGGAACACTTGGTTCACCATTTTTATCCTTAAGATACACTGGCCCCTTTAAACCAAGTCTAAAGAAAAAAGGTTAATTCAATAATTTTGATTTTTTTTTTTAATACACTTTACCTTGGCACAAATACATAGAATCCATTTGATCTAATTTCTGAAATAACACCTCTTTCGATAAGTGATGTATCATTAGAAGTCTAAAATGCACAAAGACTATTAAGTTAGTACTCATTTGATTACTTTTATATATATACATATTTATATACTTTACGTGCTGTAGTACATAAAGACTTTGAAACAATTCTGTGGAATCCTAAGGAAATGTAAATATTCATATATGTCTATATTAAAAATTGAGATGGATCAAATTACAATCTACTTACTCTTTGAGCAAACTTGGACTCTCTTGATTTTAAATTTAGATTTTCACAAATACTAGCAATGGATGCATCTTTAAACATAACAGATCCACGGTCATGATTGTCCTTTATGGCAGTTGGATCCTGAACACATGTAAGTAATTGTCGATGTGCAATGATATCTGCATATCTACGAATAGGCGACTAGATAGATTCTGTTAGAATATGAAAGATGATACACTTTTTTTTTACTATATACATACTGTAAAGTGAGTATAAAATTCAAGTGCTAAACCATAATGATAGTATTCATAAGCTGGGTAATGACCAGAAGATATATATCCTGCTTCATTCATGGCTACAGTGGCCATGGTTTTTAATAATCTTGCTATTTCAGGATCGTCTTTGCATCCTCTACTAATCTCCTCGAGTGACTGAGCTAATGTTTTATTAGATGAAAAGTCTATTGAAAATCCCTAAATGAGTCATTTATTAGTCCCATGATACAAAATGATCATTATTATTATTATTATTATTTACTCTGCTTTTTGCTGCTTTCACTAGTCCTTCAAATTGGCTTTTAGTTGGAGGTGGATGGTGTCTAAGAATGGCAGATTCTTTAAAGCCTTCATAAATTCGTTTACCAACTGATGCATTTGCTAGAATCATAGCTTCTGCTACTAATCCATGAATCTCTAAACTATGCTTAGGAAGTAAATAAAGCAAAATTGAAGGGTTAAGATAATATAATAAACTATCTCTATCTCTATTTTCTTTTCTTTAATATAAATATATATGTATGCATCTATATTTGTACATTTATAATATAATAAAAGGATATTTATATCAGTGATTTCATGTTGATCTGTAATTTTAAATTTGACTTCAGATCCTTCTAACTCTAAAGCACCTTTAGCTAAGCGTCTTTCCTATTAAAAAAAAATAAAAAGGTTAGTATTATCCTCACTTTTTTTTTGTTTTTAGTTACTCTCATCACACGTAGAACTTCTGCAAGCTTTATAATACATGGTTTTAATTTTTTACATAAAATTGAGTCTAATATAAACTAATTACTAACTGAACATAAAAAAAAGATTGGCTTAATAAATAACAAACCTAAACCAGTTGCAACACTTTTTCCATCTAAAAGTTGTTGCGCTTGTTCATATTCCATTTCACAACTTGACCTTATAATCGATCTTCCAAACCATGTGTCCAAAATTTGATAATCTTTGTTTAATGTCCAAATAACAGAAACAGCGTAACGATCGACTTTATGTCTTAAGGAACATACTCTTTCACTGAGTACAGATGGAAGCATATCAAAGCGTCTATCTGCTAAATAAACGGTGGTTCCTCTGAATATAGATAAACATTAATAATGAAAAGTAGAATAAGAGGAATAGTTTCTATTTTTTTTTTTTTACCTTGATTTTGCTTCTAGATCAGTGATATAATTTTCTTTTACAAAGTAACTAACATCTGCAATATGAACACCGAGTTCGATTTTTCCATCGTCTAGTTCTTTTATAGAAAGTGCATCTGGAGAAAGAAGAAAAAGAAAAAGATTCATTTATAATTACTTTTTTTTTTGTCTTTCCTTCTATTTTAATAATGTACCATCAATATCTTGACAGTTAGGAGGATCAATACTAAAGACAGTCAAATTTCTCAAATCTCTTCTTTGAAGTATTTCATCCTATATAATAATAATTAGATGATTACGAATCTATTTAAAAGAAGATAAAGTGGTATAGAATATTACCTTTTCCGGTGTCCATGGATTTTCAGTAGTATCGATTGGCATTTCCTTTAATGACATTTCACTAAAACCTTGACTAGCCTGAGATACTGAAATTGAATGTTCAACTAAAATAGCAGATATCTCTGTATCCAATTGATGAATGGGACCTAAAGAACGAACAAAATGGCCATTTGGATATTGTGAATGAATTGGCCTATAAACCAAAAAAAAAAAAAAAAAAAAAAAGTAGAGTATTAATAGTTAATAATACTATATTCTATGATATGATATGATATTATAGATTACCAATTATCAATACGAACAACTATACGTTGATTTTCAATAAGTTTGACATCTTGATATTTTATTCTAATCTTTGGAATAACAGGATCTAACGGAATAGCTAAATGAATTGAACCGCCTATTTCAGAACTATCCTCTTGAAGTGTAGCCACATAAGATCTCCAATTACGATTTAATACACCTACTACACGTCCTGTTGGCTGAGTTGCTGTAGTTATCGAATTCTTTAATCTATTCTCTTCATATTCTATACACTAAACATATTAATAAGAAATTCCAAAAAAAAAAAGATGAACATTAAATCTACCATCTTCTGTATTACTCGTATCAAAAGAAATATCATTTGAAAGAGTAGTCCAATTAGTTTCAGATAATAACTCTACTACAACTAAATCTCCATGAACTATTCAAAAAGGGTTTAGTTTACAAAAATAAATTTCTTTCTTTTCTCCCCCATTTAAGTTTACAAACCTGAGCGATTACGATTTTCATTCCCGATAATTAAAATATCTTTGCCGAGATATCCTGATCCAGTTACATAGGCTTGATCTCGATTATCTTTTTTACAACGTAAAATACCAGAATAATAACGACTCGACTTTATACCTATTTCAAGTTCATCGATAGGCTTATACTGTGTGTGTGTGTATATATGATATATGTTAGTTTTGTAGATGACTTGTATGACTACCTTCTTTATATATACATATATGTATACATACCTCGGTATATCCATGAACAGCAGTTGTACTTGATCCATGTGATAGTTTTAAAGATAACCTAATTTTTCCATCCTCATTGTTATCTTCTAAAACAACATCAGCTAAAACATGTACAAGATTCTGTAACAAGCTATTATCTTTCCAATACAAGTCCAAATACTCTTTTGTCGTCATCACATTCACATCATTTGTTTCAGCATGGTGTACTTCAGAGAGTAATATAATCTTCTTTTGGTGATGTAAATGTGCGCTGTACCACCGAGCTAACTGACATAACGCTCTCCAATCACGGTCTGCACTTGTTTCATCTGGCATTCTTGCTATCTTTGTATCTTTAAATATTTCATTATAAAACATAACACTCTTTCTTCTCGAGTCATTCATAATTTGACGAAGTTTACGATATGTTTTAAGTTTATCATGCTGTTGAAGCTATGTAATAAAATACAGTCATTTATTCGTTTGTTTGTTTTATTTATTTATTTATTTATTTATTTATATAAAAAAAAAAAAAAAGATGAGACATGCTTACATTCATGGTTACTGTTTGACTAAAAATAATACCAGTAACTTCTTCTTGTTCTAAAATTTCTAAATAACGCATAATAACCTATTTACAGAGAGGAACACGTTAAAATAAAGTAAATAAATAATAAATCGATAATTTTAATTTTTACTGAAATATCGGGTATAATATAATGGTCTCCACTTAACAATGTTTGTTGTTGATCATTTTGACAATGAGAAGGGCATTCTTCTGACAAACAAGGAATGTCGGTGCGTACATATTCTGTAGAAATATGAATTGTTATCTATTTGTTGTGTGTATGTGTGTGTGTTTTAATATATAAACATACGTTCTCTAACTAGTTTTATGATGGCATTACTTCTTGTCTTTTTATAAAACGCTCGATCTGTTTTAATAACCATTGTTAATATGAATATAAAAAATAGCACGTAAACTGTGTGTTTTTTTTTCTACAAACAAGTGTATTTTATTTAAAACAACTCACTTATTATGCACAGTCACATGTAATAAAACGCTAAAAAAAAAAAAAAAAAAAAAAAAAAAAAAAAAAAAAAAAAAAATCACTGATCTAATAACAACTGACAACAATTATAAAATGTATTACACTAAATGCATAATGTCATATATAAATAACGGTGCCTTTTTTTTTATTATTATTATTATTATTCATTAAATTTTTTTTATTTTTATTATTATTTTTCTTCTTCTTCTTTTATTAAATATGAAATTCTCAAAATACTTGGAGAATCAAAGTGTACCTGAATGGAGAAAAGCTTATATTTATTATAATGGATTAAAATTAAAGTTAAAGCAAATAGAAAGAGTAAAGTAATGATAGAGTAGAAGAAAGAGTATCATGTACTAAATAGTTGAATAGTTTCGAAGATCAAAAGAAAGAAAGGCAGCGGTATACTTGGACAAAATGTTTCAAGAAATAGACGATTCTAAACAAAAGCCCGAATATTATAAAAGACATTTATTTACTTCTGGTTTTTCAACAAAGAATAATAACAATAGATCTTATTCAAATCCAAGTATTTCGTTTATTGATTTATTTCAAATATAGAATAATAATAATCGTTTTCCCTTTCCTTTTTTCTCTTTTAGATACGTTTGAAAATTCAACAAATACAATATCAATTTTAGATGAGGTTTTATTTTACGCAAGTGCTTCTGAAAGAGGCTTCTTTCAATCCTTAGATATTGAATTAGATAAAATATCGCGATTTTATAATGGTATTTATACACAAATATATTTATACATGTATACATGGATTTACTTTATTTTTATTTTAATATACACCATTAGAAAAGGAAAAAGAAGCTAATATAAAGTTACAAGCTTTAAAATTTCAGATCAATTTCATTACTGAGTATGGGCGTCAGTTAATAGGGGTAAGAGGCGTTAAAAAATAAAATAAAATAAAAAAAAGATTTAAATGTTAATAATATGTATTAGCATATGTCTTATCCTCCTGAAATGACTCATGATTACCGAAACTGGTTTAAATATCAAGATCATCATCATCATTATGATTTTAATGATGTTGGTAGTCAAAGAATAAACTATAATGTCGCAAGAAATAGAATTAAAAAGGCCATCATTGAATATTATCGTAGTCTGGAGTTTTTAAAGTCTTATAGAGCCCTGAACCAGACTGGATTTCAAAAGATTTTAAAAAAGTTTGATAAGATTGCTGGTTGGAAAGCCAGCGAATTATATTTGCAGATAGTCAATCAACATCACTGGGCTATTACAAACAATTTAGATAAAATGATTAAAGAAACCGAAGTAAATATAATACACATATATACGTATAAACATACATATATACGTATATACATACATACATACATACATACATACTAGTATTCACTTACTTTTGGTATAATGAGTAGAATTTATACATTAATGACTTTGCTGATGGCCATAGACGAAGAGGTATGCGTAAACTAAGAGCCCCAGAGAAAAAAGAGGTAAAAAAAAAAAATACATAGACAAACAGATTTTATTTATTTTATTTTATTTTATTTTTTTGGCTATTCTATCTTAATCTTATGCGTTATAAAGGATTATTGCTCTACAACATTAAGAATAGGTATCATTCTAGGAATGATTCTTCCTATGTTTATTCAATCTATTCATCTTATATTAGAGCCAAAGACATGGATTCAACTGCCAAACTTACAAGCTAATTTACAGATTTATATCACTTTTTTATTACCTATTCTCTTCTGTCTTGGTTTCTCGGTCAATTTACTTGTTTGGCATCAGTCAAGAATAAATTATAAATTTATCTTTGAACTTGACTTGAGACATAATTTAGATTATCATGAATTTGCAGAATTGCCTGCAATTATGCTCTTAATAAGCGTCTGCATTATCTACATGGATCTCTCACGATGGCTTTTACCCTGGATACCCTCTGAACTCTATCCCTTAATTTTATTCATCATCTTGATAGCAGTCATGTTCTGTCCCTTTGATATCCTTTATTGCTCTGCTAGAAAATGGTTAGGTGTCGCTTTAGGTCGAATCTTGCTCTCTTACTGTTTCCCTGTTGAATTTAGAGATTTTTTCATAGCAGATGAACTTAACAGTTTATCTTACTCATTATGGACTTCTTCTTATTTCTTTTGCGCTTATAAACGACACTGGAATAACTTGGGTATATTTCATTTAATTATTTTTTATATACTCACTCATCATTTTTACTTTATCTATTTATCTGTTCATTTTTTTTTTAAAAAAAAGATGTCCATTGTAACATGTCACAAATGTGGATTGCGCCTTTTTTAGCTTCTTTACCCCCCTGGTGGAGATTATTGCAATGTCTTAGAAGATATAGAGATTCTGATGAATTAGTGCATCTCTTTAATGCTGCTAAATATACAAGCAGTATCATGGTTGCCATTATCACTGGTCTAAGACGAATGCATCGTAAATTGCACATATACCATATTATATTATATATTTATCTTTCTTTTTTTTTAAAAAATGATATAGCTTCATCCTTTATAACTGCACTTTGGATAATACTATGTTTAATTAACTCGACCTATACTTCTTTTTGGGACATAAAGATGGACTGGGGTTTAATGAAAGTAGATAGTAAATATGCTTTATTACGAAATGAACTTGTATTTCATAAATGGGTAAATTATAGACATATAACATTACCACCACAGATGTTGCCTATAATGACACTATACATATTGGAAATATTAGGTTTACTATGTAGCTGTTCCCATCAATATCATCCTTCGTTTTTCTTGGACACTCAACATCATTCCTTTACCTGTTAACAGTCTATTATTAGGCTTTCTTATTGCTCTTTTAGAGGCTTATCGTAGAATTCAATGGAATTTTTTTCGGCTTGAAAATGAGGTAAATGTATATATTTTATAACAACTCTATATTCAATCCTTTTTTTTTTTAAAAAAAACAGCATCTTAATAATTGTGGTCAATATCGAGCCATAAAAGAAATTCCCCTGCCATTCCCCTTTAATATGGAAGATGAAACAGACGTGAAAACAGAAGTAATAAGCGATGAAGAAGAAAGTATACTTTCAAGTAAGACACACGACATCAATTATTCAACTACAACTGTTATCATGATACCCAATAGACAACAACAACAACAACAACAACAGCAGCAGCAGCAGCAACAACAACAACAACAACAACAACAACAACAGATACTATCCTCTTATCCTGAACGTAGCTCGTTTTATGGTAGACGAGATTTTGAAAATAAGCATGATGATACGGCTGATATCAATGTTGGCTCAGCCAATAACAACAAACATTTAACTCTCGATCAGGTCTTGACTCGCATTAAATCTTTAAAGCAATCCGATCATAGTGATGAATCTGAAATGGAATATGACGATGAAGACGAGGATGAAGATAATGATGAAGATGAATATTTCGATGTTCTTGATACTTGATTACAAAATAAAATAGAATCTGCTTTTTTTTTTTTGATAATAAATGCAAATTATTTTGCTGTAAATAAAATAAATAAAAATAATAATAAACTATCGAGCCTAGCCTTGTCTACTACTAATTTTATTTTGATATTTGACCATGTCAAGATTATGTGCAACTGCTTTTCAATCATTACCCAAGCCATTGGTACAGGAAATACGATTCAAAGTAAAGAACCAATGCAAAAAAGAGAGATCATGAATGCAAATTTTATTTTTATTTATTAAATTGACTCGTAGACATTAAATCTATATAAATCATTGTTACAATCAAGTCAACACTATCCTCCAGGTCAATTGTTAAAAGAAGGCATTAGAAAAGAATTCAAAAAGAATAAATATAATACTTCAAGGAAAAAAATATCTGTATTACTAACAGAAGCTGAAAAGGTATGTATGTATGTATGTGTGTGTGTTTTCTATCTTGATTTGTCTTGATTTGAATTAGAAACGTTGTTTATCGATAATTAGACACTAGATTATTTAGAGAAAGGGAAAAAGGATGAAACGATAGCAAGTAAAATAGTTGAATATGTAAAGAAATACACAGTAAGTTTAGCTGTTAATTTCATGTTTTAATCCACAACTCATTTTATAATGTACACATTACAGAAGAAAGAGACCAAGAAAGTATGTATGCATATACATTTATATAAAAAGAGAAAACCACACATCTTTACTCTCTCTCTCTCTTGTATAGAAAAAGCCAGCTATTATTCAAGTTAAAAAAAAGCCAAAGATGACGAAAAGAAAACGTTATCAAGTAGCTATTACAACACGAACTGCACATGGATTTGAATTTAAACGAGTTAGAGGTTGGGTACAGCCTGTTCAGACATCGATGATGCTTAAAAAAAGAGTAAAGACGAATCAAGCAAGAATTGATAAAAGTGATAAACTTAAAGAGGAATTAAATATGATTCGAATGGAAGAAAGATTTTTAAGGCAACTGAATTGTTTGCCTAAAGAGGGTTTAATAGATTATGGTAATGATATGAATATGACGGGGGAAAAAAAAGACGGGAATCTAACCATCTTTTTATTAGAAATAAATATTAAAGAGGCATTGACAGAGTTGAGCAAATATCGATTCATGAAGAAAGAGCAAGAAGAGACATTAGAAGAAGTAGAAGAATTATAATATAACTACTACACTGAGACAATTGAAGTAGTCTATTCTATACAATAAATAATGGTTTTAATGTAGTTATTTCATTTCATAGGGGATATATAGTCTCTGTTTCATATTTCATATGCATCTATTGACTTATTACTGTAGTCATTATTACAAACATTTATTTATCCAAAGACTTGAGCTTGTTTATATTATTCTATGTGTTACTTTCTATCTATTCACGTTAAATGATACTTTGTTAAACGCGTATTTTATATTCCTTTCTGTATATAATAATAAGAATGCTAAAGAGGAAAATAGGGAGACAAGTACAACAATCAATAATTCGTATTTAGTACTGCAGTCCTAATAATGTATTCAAGTGAATATCTTGATTTATGTTCTGTAAAAAAATAAATAAAAAATAAATAAAAATAAATAAATAAATAAATAAATAAATAAATAAAAGGTTTAATATGGGCTATGGTGGTAGTAAAACTAATCTTTACTACTTCAATAAATTTTATTAAAACTCATGACTACTTTGGTACATTTTATACTCTTTAATTTTGAAAATAATAATGTTCATGACGCTCTTCCTTTAAGTGAAGGTGTACACAATCGTTAATCACACTATACACACCATATACCATATCAGATGTATATCTACTAAAGAATACGAATAGGTTGAATGCTTTAGTATGCTGTCATATCAGTCAGTAATTATCATGTAAAAGACTTTGGAATACGCTTTCTATTATTAGTCAGAAAGTTGTATCACTTTTTTCTTACTATTTAAAAAAGCATCATAATACAGTATATCTATAAAATAACTATTTCCCCCCCCCTCTCTTTTTTTTTTTTCTTTACCTAATAGATTTACTTGATAAATTCAAAGCAAAAAAAAAAAAAAAAAAAAAAAATAGACTAGAACAACAGGGTTCTCTCCGACAGATGTTTCAGAAATCAATTAAAACAATAAGCTTTTTTTTTTGATCTTCCGAAGAACAATAAAGCGGAATTACTTTCCTCGATTATAGCTTAAAGAAAGTCTTTTTTATTAGGTAATATAAACTTAATATAATAAACATATACGTGTTTATATCTTGTAAATAAATATTTGTATACATATAATATTCATCCAAAATAGATTATTCTATTTCTTTCTTATTTTCCCAAAAAAAAGGCCTTATTTTTTTTTGCTATTCGGAAAAGGAATAGAATGTTTTATATGACTAAACGGACTTTTAGATCAAATTGATATTGGAAGATTAAGGGGGGGAGAGTTGTTATTACAAGTAAAAAGAAAAAAAGTAAGAAAAAGAGGTGTATATATATATATATAAATAAATATATATATTTTTTATTATATATGCGTATCTTCTACTACTGAATAGATAAATAAAAATAAAATGAAAAAAAAAATGCTATAGATTCATTTTTTTCCCTTTTCCTTAATGGAATTATATATGTATCTTAATTAGACTTCTTTGCTGCTGCTGCCTTCAACTTACGTCCATAAGTCTTTCTAGCAAAGTCAACAAAAAGATAAGTTAAGGGTAAAAGATAACCAACATTAATATATACAGCGAGTTGTTGGCCAGGTGTTCTAAGACAATTAGGGACAAGGAGATAGCTAACGGCAGTCGACATACCAACCAAGAACTGAGTGATTTGCATAGAAGTTAAATAACGCTTTCCAGGTGGGTGAAGGCCGATTGATGTCATAGCATAATACATATACATAATGGAATGAATAAGTGAATTAAAAACAACAAAGATCCAAATAGGCTGTGCTTGATAACGAATACCAGACCACATTGTAATCATAGCGCCTGAATGATGATATGTTTGTAATAAACTTGAACGACGTCCCTTTAAGATAATAATCGCAGTATCAACCACTTCATAAAATTTAGAAAGATAGAAAAGATATCCCCAATAACCAAGTCCTTCATTCCATAAGAAACTATCCATATCACAATACTAAAAAAAAAGAATAGATAGAGATAATAAATAATTTCATTCATTTTACTCCTTTCACTAACTATATCCTAACTTACAGCATCATGAAGAGATGAGCCACGATTGAAAAGCTTATGCATATTATGAGCCATAGTAACAAATGTAATTCCAGAATAAATAGAGAGTAATAAATTATGTACAAAAACAAATACAGTCATGAACTTGTTGGATTTCTTTGTTACATTCTGTAAACCACGATTCTTTGCTTCTACTCGAGAAAGTCTTGCTGATTCCACAGAAGGATTGAAAAAATGCACACAGAGAGTATAGATTGTGGCAATACATACAGGTGTTTTCCAATCCATAAAGAATTCATATAATTGAGGGAAAGGAATTCCTGGAATAGCTTGAAGCTTATCTATTTCCATTCTATTATATGATAAATAAAATGTATAAAAAAAGTTTTTTTTTTAATATAATTGAAAAGGAAAAGAAAGTCTTTACTTTTAAACTAACAAGTAAATCTTTTATATCTTAAAAAAAAAAAATCAAAAAAAAGAAAGAGCGGGGGGGGGGGAGGGAGGGAAAGAGAGAGAGAGAGAGAGAGAGGAGTGTGCTGAATGGACCAGAGTTTCATGATTATCGGGTTCGGCTGCCGTTTTAATTTTAACAAGTTTATCATATTTTAAAACAGTAAAGCAAAAGATGAGAAAATAACTCAGACTTTCTCTCCCCCCAGGATTTGGGTGTAATGGAAACCAAAATAATACATATTTTTTTTTTTCCTTTTTTTTATATAAATATTTATTTATTTTATTTAAAGTTGTTATACATGTGGGGCAAAAAAAATAAAAAAAATAAAAGGACTTGAGGTATAAATTAATTTTGTGTTCTAGGACTGATATATAAGGCCTTGGCTTCTGCCATTCGTTCCCCATCTACATTTTCTATCCAAGCTTCTGCATAGGCCTTTCTGCCTTCTACTCTATTTAGGATACCGCGTACAATAAGCCATTGGTTAGGAGCAACAGGATTAAGATAATCCACATTTAGATTAGCTGTAAAACCAGTATAATTTGGTAAACTAGGTAAAGTCTAGAAAAATACAAATATAAATTCTTTTCTTTTTGCTTTCTTTTTTTTTTTTTTTTCTTCTTACCACAAATGCTAAATGCTCATCAAGTAAAGCAGCCAATAAACCATTATGGATTCTTTCTTTCTTATCACATCTAAAATGTTATTATTATTTTATATTAGTTTTGATCTCATTTTAATTTTGTATAACCTCAATACTCCAATAGCAAGAAAGAAAATTACCCCAAAATGCTAACCCATTTTTTTTTTTTTTTTTTTTTTACCCAACCCAACCCAAAAAAAAAATAATAATTCATGTGCTTTTTTCTTTAACAACTTACAAGTGATCACCAACATGTAAAATGACAATACACATTGTTTTATCCTTATTGAAGAATTTAAGTGGTCGACGCAAGATTTTATGAGGACCCCGAAGCGAATGAGCCGTCAAAGAATGTTGTTTTGCAGAAGGACTTAGATGACCATGAGAAATGGTTTCATACCAATCTGATGAGTTTCTCAAGTCCTTTACAAGACTTAATTCACTTTCTTGTCTTTTTAATTCTTCTTCTTCGGGACTTAATATATCCTTTTCTTCAGCTATTGGTACTCGTTGAGATGTAGATGAATGTCGGCTTAGATTGTCAGCAAAGGGGGCCTCTGTAATAGTGGGCTTAAATGTCATTGTCAATTAGTTGAGAAAAAAAAATTTAATTGCAATAAAACAATCGTGTTTTATGATTATTATTATCTATTTTTTTTTTTAACGTGTGAAAAAAAAATAAGGAACGTTAAAAAAAGTTTATCCGCACTATCAAATATTGACAGTTTAAATTTTTTGATGTGTTAAATGAGGTTATAATGGATAAATGTGTCACAATAGATTAGATAAAATTGTTAAATTGATCATCAACTATTCACTATTAAAAAAGAAAACTTTATGCCTTTTATGAAGAGTCTCATACTATGTATCAATTTCAAAGGTATTTTTAACACATTATGATTCCTCTTGTTACTATAGTGCTTTTCTATATAATTTAAAATGATAGATAGGCTATCATTGTGTATATTAGATTCCTTGTATAACATGAGTGGCCTATTCTGAAATAGGAAGATACATAACAAGAGTCATGAAAAGCATTCTATCTTTGAGAATATTACTGATAACAGAATTAGTAACACCAGCAGGTTTTTTTTTTATATTCATTCAATTCATATATGACAAGTAAATAACACAGTTGCATGTAATAAATATAAAATTAGCCTGTTTATAAAAGAAGGATTTTATAATTTGAAGCTAATCTGATTCCAACTAGCTTAAGAAAGTGTATCTAATCCAAGACTCCTTGAGATACACTTTTAGTTGAGGGGACGATAATTGTAATAAAAAGACATAGAAGTCATTGTTTTATTTTGAAATAAAAATTAGTATAGTATTATTATGATGTTATAATTTTAGATTAAAGAATTTGTCATAAATAGTCTATAAAAAAAATGTATAGTTTACAGGTCATATTGAATTCCTTCATGCTATAAATACATGTATATATGAATATATGTGTATATTATAAAGATTCAATATACATACACACATATATATATATATTATAAAGATTCAATATACATACATACATGTATATATATCATCAACAGCCAGTATAATCTAATCGACAAAGACCAGCTCCTCCGCCAGATGCTATCCAACCCTTAGCATTTTTATTACGATTCCATACAATCTAATTAATAAAGCAGAAAAAAAAAGTCAAAGTTAATTCTATTTATCTTCATTGTATGGCAATTACAAATTACCCTTTGTAAAGAGTGCACTTGATCAATACAACCATTGTATTCACCACGATATGGTATCTTTGACTATAAAAAAAAAGTTGACTTTATTGATCTGCCTTATTACTGCATAACATGTTCATATTTAATAATTACCACTGATTTTAATCCATCTATATAACGGAAACCTTTTGTTTTGGAGTTATAGTGTATTACATATAATATATATTCATTACGCTACAGAAGACAATGTTAGTTTATACTATGTTGTTTAATTTATGATGATGATTATTATTAAATACATCTACTATATACCGTCACTTTTGGTTTGTAATGAAAGACTTGTCGCAGAATAGGACTTATGATAGCTGCACCATTATAACTAACTGAAGCAGCTATATTATGATATGGACTAAGGGCTATATCCCAAATACGTCCATAATGGCGTGCGATTTCAATTGAGTTTTCTACACCCAATATTTGATTTATTTTAACTGTATTATCATTACTGTCACCGTAGATGAACCCCATACCATCACCTGTTCCCATCATTGGGGCATATTCAACTAAAGAAGAAAGATAAATGGTATATATTCATATAGGATTGCATTCTTACTTACGTCGAAGTCTAAACTCATTAATGATAATAAATGGATCTTTTAAATCATGCAAAGTAAAACTACCTTCCATATCAAGACTAAATAGTACTTCTTCTGTGTACAAGTCTCTCCAAGAGACATTTGTAACAGGTACTTTACTTACATCATTAATAGCAACACTTAAAACTGGCTTATTTTCTATAATAGACGATATTATATCCCACACAAATATACTTCCTGTATCTGTGCCGCATGCCAATTTTCTACAGCATCCCATAGAGAAACATACCATCTTTATATTTGGTAAAACGAGTAAAACTCTTGGTTTGTTTACCTTAACTAAGATTATATAATACAATTAGAGAGAAAGAGAAAGAAAGAAAGAAAGAAAGAAAAAAAAAAGAGGGGCTTCTTTTACCGTATATTGTTTTTGAATTATCTATATTTTCTCTTTTATGAAAGTAGGCTGGATGGGGCACAATAAAGATTCTGGCTACACCATCTGTAAATAGAGCTATCAATATCCCTAATATATGCTAAACAAATATTACTATTAGAAAAAAAGAAAAAAAAAAAAGCCAAATCTTCTATTTACATTTTCTTGATATAGACTGACGTGACACCATTCTAATTTACAAATAGCACCATATTCATGCAATAAACACATTTCAAGAGTAGGTAAATGTTTAGTGCTTGGTGTAGTTGAGCTATGACATTTCCAAATCTGTATAGCATTATGACGATGTTCTTCATCAGAATCATCACCGAATATGTAATGTTCTTTCACTGATCTGTATCCACCTACTGCCAAGTACTGTACACTATCATCATCATTTTGCATTTCTTCTGACATGGGGAGAAAATCAAGACCCCAAATAGAACCACCTGTATTAAGAACATAGCCTCTTTTATGTTCAATAGCTTCACTTAAATCCAACGACTCATAGGGTTTTAGTATTTGACTCTTTATTTTTGAAATCCCTATTCTGATTGGAATGCTTTCTGTTTCTGGAAGATATTTTTCTATTTCACTGAAAGATATATTAATTTTTTTTTTAAATCCTTTTCTGAAAGAGATGTTTGTTTTAAACTACATGACTCACTCTTTATTGTTGATGACTGTCCATTCATCATCGACAATAAGATTATGAACAGTTGGATTTTCTAATTCTTCGATTGTATAACTAAATTGTCCTGAACTCTCTGAAGGTTCTGAATCAGCAAAATAATTTGTAGATTCTGAAATATTCGAATATCCTTCTTCCTCTAACCATTCATTTATTGAAGACATAAAAAAAAAAAAAAAAAAAAAAAAAAAGAAAAAAAAAATTAATTTGTCAAATAAATAGCTTTTATTATGCTAAGCTACTACTTTTTTTTTGAAATGACACCCCCAAAATTTAATAAAAGGCTACTAGACTATTATCCCAGCAAGTAAACTGCTAGCAGCGACAGTATTGTAATACATATTTTGTAGAGAGATAATAATAGCTATAGGTACAAAAGAAGATTTAAAGCCTTTCACAATTCTAACAAAAGTAATGCATACATATTTGTTATTTTGTAATACGAAAAAGTAAATAAGCATTAACAAGGGGGTTTTTTCTCTAAAAAAAAAGGAAAAAAAAAGAGAGAGAGAAAAGGAGAGAAACAGGGTAATACACTATTAAAGAAAACAAGTAATTCAGCGAAAATGTAAATATTGGAATAGTCAATTAAGAACAACAAGAAGAAGAAGAAAAAAATGCACAATTAAACTCTAAAGTCTTAACTCAAAAATGCATAGCTTGTTTAGTATAAGACTTGTTTATAGTTTTGCATAGATGACTGACTATCAAATGAATAAAAAAATTACTCTCCTTTCAAACTAATGTATATGAAAAGTTCATTGAAGAATCAATTTTAGAACTATGTCAGTGTATCATGCTTTATTACTCCGCAAAAATTTTTGTGGCTTTTTTTTTTGTGACCATTAGATAAATTATAAAAATGTCCCTTAAAAAAAATTTTTTTTATTTATTTTATTTTTTTTTATTCTTCGTAATATTTCTTTTATTCTGTTTATATACTATGTTGCTAATGGATAAATAATAAATAAGGTAATTATTATGAAATTTTAGTGTGTATGTGGAGGAGTAAAACCCACAAGTTTTGTCAAGTGATTCAGCGAGTCTTCATGACTCAAAAAACTATGATGAATCTCTGTTACACTTGTGGAATAATAAATATGTCAACTTAACTGTAGTCCACCTGTTCTAGTGTTGGACTCGATCAAGTTGATTTCGTCTCGAAAGAGTTGAAGCCAATTCTATTCAATAATTGGTCTTCTTAGTTACGGGATAAACAGATTATATTTTGAATTTTATATTCATTTTGTAATGAATAATTATTAATTCCTTTTTTGTTTTGTTTTGTAGTGTTTTCTTTTTATAAGTCATATTTATTTATTTTGGTTCTTGGTTTTTATTTTATTTTTCTCTGTTTATTTAAGAATAAACTATTTATCATTTAATGGTATATAGTATATACTCTTTTCATTGAAAAAAAAAGAGTATATATGGGGAAAAAATAATAATATAAAAAAGGACCTACTCGAGGTATTTGATTGTACGCTCTCGATACCTCCTTTTTTTTTTCTCGCCGGTTTAGCAATTTTTTTTTGGTATGTATGATAAATTTGTATTTATATGGCAGTATATGATGAAAAAAATACAACATCAAAAAATAGGAAGAGCCGTCTTAGAGTTTACTGCATGTCCAAATATTGGAGTGCAGTTGGCTTATGCTGAGTGATGTTTTAAGAAAAAAAACTGAAAAAAAAGCCATATAAATATAAAATATTCTATTCAAATATTTTTTTTACTGATATATTTGTTTAATTTTATAGTGAAGTAGTATTTAATTCATATCCTTGCAAGAGTGTAACTTGGGCAGATCATTCAACAATGATCTCTAAGTTTTCTCTCTTTTTTTTAGATTTTTATTTTATTTTTTAAAAAAAAATAATAAAATATAGAATTTTAACATAATTAAATGATTTTTTTATTGATGTGTTTATACATGATGAATTTAACATATTAAGAATTAGTAAAAAAGATAAGAGGATAATAAACAATAAAAATATCTAATATTCTTCATTTTCTTCCATTTCAGAATCACCAAGAGAATCGGCACCAACTTCTTCATAATCCTTTTCGAGAGCAGCCAAATCTTCACGAGCTTCAGAGAACTCGCCTTCTTCCATACCTTCACCAACATACCAATGAACGAAGGCACGCTTAGCATACATCAAATCAAACTTGTGATCAAGACGTGCCCAAGCTTCAGCGATAGCTGTTGTATTAGATAACATACAAACAGCACGTTGAACTTTAGCAAGATCACCACCAGGTACAGTTGTTGGAGGTTGATGGTTAATACCTACCTTAAAGCCAGTAGGACACCAATCAACAAATTGAATAGTACGTTTTGTCTTAATGGCTGCAATAGCAGCATTGGTATCCTTAGGCACAACATCACCACGATACAATAAACAACAGGCCATATATTTACCATTACGAGGATCACACTTGACCATTTGGTTATTGGGTTCAAAACATGAATAAGTAATTTCAGGGACTGACATTTGTTCATGATAAGCCTTGGCAGAAGAAATGATAGGTGCGTAAGTAACCAAGGGGAAGTGGATACGAGGATAAGGAACCAAGTTGGTTTGGAATTCATTCAAATCGACATTCAAAGAACCGTCAAAACGTAAAGAAGCAGTAATAGAAGAGACAACTTGAGCAATCAAACGATTCAAGTTGGAGTATGTAGGACGCTCAATATCCAAGTTACGACGACAGATATCATAGATGGCTTCGTTATCAACCATGAAAGAGACATCAGAGTGTTCCAACGTAGTATGTGTAGTCAAGATAGAGTTGTAAGGTTCAACAACGGATGTTGAGAGTTGAGGTGCAGGATAGACAGAAAATTCAAGTTTGGATTTTTTACCATAATCCGCAGACAAACGCTCCATTAACAAAGCTCCAAAACCAGAACCTGTACCACCTCCAAAGGAGTGGAAGACCAAGAAACCTTGAAGGCCCGAACAGTTATCTGCTAATTTACGAATACGATCCAAAACATTATCTACTATTTCTTTACCAACGGTATAATGACCACGAGCATAATTATTAGCAGCATCTTCCTTACCGCTAATTAATTGTTCTATATATATAATATGTATCAAAAAAAAAAAAAAATTAAAACTTTGAGCATATTTGTTTCGTTTTAAATATTACCAGGATGGAAAAGCTGTTTATAAGCACCAGTACGAGTTTCATCAATAACAGAAGGTTCTAAATCAACCATAACAGTACGAGGAACATGCTTACCACCTTCAGTTTCTGAAAAGAAAGTTTCAAAGCTGCAATGATAAAAAAAAAAAAAAAATAGAAAAGAATAAGGTGACATATATAAATAATAATAATAAACTTACGAGTGATCATTAATGTGAGAACCTTCAGGAAAACGACCATCAGGTAAAATGCCATGCTCATGACAATACTATACAGTAAATAAAATGAGGAAAATGAATTAGAATGTTTGTGTTAATTGATTTATATTTATATAAATGTATATGTATCTAGATGTATATTATATATTTACTAATTCCCAACAAGCATTACCGATCTGAACACCAGCTTGACCTATAAATTATTTTCTTTTTAGAAAGCTTAACAATGCTTCATTGATTGTTAAAAGCTTACCTACGTGAAGTGAAATAATTTCTCTCATTTTAAATTAACTTATTTCTTTAATGAATAAAAAAGGTACTGAAAAATAATAAAATAAAGAAAATTATAAATAAAATCAAATTTTTTTTATTGGATATTTTTTTATTTATTTTTTTTTTAAAAAAAAATAACCCGATGTGAGTACATAGAATGAATTAATACTGTATTGCCCGGACTAGTTGGATATAATGGATTAAGAAAACTAAAAACATTTTAAGAATGAAAAGAAAAAGAGGAAGAAAAGTAAAAGAAAGTAGAAATATTAATAAAAGGAAAGGGATCAATAAATAATAGAGAAAGAGAACATATCAACAATACCAGTATTGACTGTCAACATATAGCCAAGGTTAGATGTAATATTTGATGTGTATTTTGTCATGAATTAGTTAATTAAGCTCAAACAGTACATGGCAAATAGCAGACCATTGTATATCTCAGGGAAAGAGTAGATGAGTTAGAAGAGGTAGTGGTAGAGTTATGATTCCTTCGTTTTTTATTTGGACCCACTTTTATTTCTACTTTGCCAACTCCCTCAAAAATAGTAAGCATGTAATTGCATGTGTTCGAGACCAGCTGATGTTAATGTAATAGATGTGGGGTCTACATAGGCAGTCAATCAATTAAGTTTTTGTCTAGGTGGGGGAGAGAGATTTCTTAAAATTTACAAAACAATCCATAAAATGGAGAATGATACAGATAATTGGCCAATGTTAAATTGAAGTAGATACATCTTGGGGCTTTGATAACTGATGCTGGTTGCACAAGGTTCAAAAAAAAAAAGGAAAAAAAAGGGGGGGAAGTCCTCAATAGGTATATGTAGGTATTCAGTAGCATGTGATTTACTAAGATGAGTGCACCACTAGGTAACCAGTTAAGACGCTATTGAATTACACGACTACATTCACTAGAGGACATAGATAATCAGAGTATGAGATCAATAATAAGATGAGGTGCAGTTTAAAGTGGAAGTCAACTTATAGTTGCACATGTTACTTTTTAAGGAATTTTTGACGATAGTTTTTGAAGAAATGTCTATTCTGAGTACAGCCAGTACGATGGATATTGTCGGCAGTCGAGAAATAATTGTCGCAAAAGAAATTGCAATTTGTCGTTTTAGGAAAAGCGTATTGTCGCATTAGATTAGCTTAAATTGTCGTAATGTTTTCCTCTTCCTGAGTTCTTCTTTTTGTTTAAAACATTTTTTTTTTTTTTGTTTTTTGTTTTCGTCATGGAGAGATCTTTTTTGTTACGAAGATGGATGCAATAACCTATACGACGAGAAGGGTACGAAAGTCTATGATTCAATGAAAGGTGTTCTAACTGAGATAACCCAATTCTAATGTGGTTCTTGAAAGACTAACAGATCAAAGCATTTGGAGAAAAAATTAAAACCGCCTGAGGAGATTGCTGTAGAAAAGGTAGCTAAAGTAATACTAATTAAGCAGGCAAAGAAAGAATACAGAAAGTACCGTGACAGGCAACTAGATGACTTTATTGACAGAATGATTGAAAGTGCTCAGGAAAGAGGTCTAGCTACCTGGTTCGCAAGAGAACTTGGGATCGAATCATGTGTGGTTCAAAGATGGTGGAAAATGTCCAGAGAAATGGAAGAAGTACCTTACAAAAAGTCTTCTATAAGTTCTGATCCTCAGTCTTCTTTCAGCGATGATCACAACGGCTTTTTGAGGAACCTAGTGTATGATGATCCCCCCCCAGCTTCCTGTGGGTGATGTAGTGGGGGAGGTTAGCTGAACAATTCGAAAAATTTAGCATCTCAAAATCTCAACTCAATAATCACCTTCAGTCTTTACATATAGAACTACTCAATAATCAATACCCAAAGAAAATTTTCCTTGTAGAAAATTGTATTGAAAAAAATTGTGTTGAAAAAAAAAATCACTAGTTGGAAAACCAAAGCTAGTTTGTTTCTAGATAGAATAATGAGTATTTATGATAGCAAGGTTTGAAACAGCTTCAAGCTATACCCTGAAGATGAACAGTCTCTTGTACAGCGATCAGATTATGAATGCTCATTATGAATGTTAGTTAATTTTAGTCTTATTCCGACAATGTACATTCTAGTGATGCTGAATTTATTTAACCATGTAGAATTTACCTTAAGAGTAAAGAAATCTTAGGGAAAATATACAATAGTCCTTTTAATATTTATACACTGTGCTATTATAGACTTTCACCACTTTTTTATATACGCTTAATTATTAAATATTATTAGAGAAGCAACTTTATTATAGAACACGATTTTATTAAATTGATTTTTCATTTTTATTGATATTATAAAAAAAAGATGCTTTTCTTAGTTCTCAAATTTCTTTAGAAGAGACTTGATACTAACAGGATTAACCACGAGAAGGTGAAAGCATATCTAATCCCAAAAATAAGTTCTATAAACCAATACCCATGTTGGGCTTTTTTTTTCTTCTTCTCCCTCTAAATTTCTACTTGAAAGATAAACGTCCAATTTCAACTAGTAGACACTTGGCAAAGTCCAACCTGGCCCAAGCCTTGCTAGAAGAAAAAGATAGGATTCCTCACCCCATAACCCAATAAAAAAATACAGTTGGATGTAAGTTTCATTGGAAGCCGGGCTAAACATTCTGACCTGTAGCGTGGCGAAGTGGAAGAAATCCAGATACATGAAGTGCACGACCTGACTATTGTTTACCTGAGAATGTCCCTTCTTTGACCCCTAGCATCTACTTTTGACTTAACAGTAAATACAAGTTGGGATTCTTCAACTAAATAAATAGATGAAAAAACCACGGTCAGAAACGTAAGCTGTGCATCCTTATCTATTTTTATTTTATAAACAGCAACTAGATAAAAATAAAAAGAAGGAAAAACCTCCAAAAAGAAAAACAGAAAAACTAAACCTTGAGATAAGCCCTTTCAATGGTGCAGACAAAGAGTACGCTAATCTCCCTAAAAAAGGAACAGGTTTACAATTTCCAACCCCAAGTATCCTTTTTATTTCCCTCCTCCTTTGGAAATAAATCAAACTTGAGCAGTCAAAATTCGATAAGGTCCCATCAATTATCTAAGGTTGCAATAACCCAAGGTGAAGGCGGATATGCATGTAGTAACCAAAAGAGAGTCTAGGCCTCTCCTTTAGCCATGTTATAAACGGACAGTTCTACAAACCCAAGTAAGCCAAGCTATGTAACTTGAGCACACTTCATAACCCTGACAGTGTCTATCAATGGTTTCAAGTAAAAATAAAGAAGAATAGGAAAAATAAAAAAGCTAAAGAAAAAAGAAGAAGAAAAAAAGGAAAAAAAAACAAAAAATGTACTTTTTTTTTATAGTAAAATTCAGGAGAAAAAAAATAAACGAAAAGAAGAAGTTATTAAAGTTTAATCTTAGCGTATTTTTTTTGTTTTTAATTTACTTTGCGTTAAATCTTCTCTCCTGCCTTTCCCCTTTTCTTTTTTTTTTCTCTTTTCTTTTTAATACTTCAGAGATAAGTTTTGCCTTTTATTTGAATGTAGTAAAGCATTACTGTCTTCTTTGAAAGTAAGCAAAAAAGTAAGAAAAAAAAAGAAGAAGTTTGTTTACTTTTTTTATATGTATTTTTATTCATGTGAATTTATTGAGCATTCTTGTAAAGAAATTAAGCCAAAACTAGTTAAATGCAGTTACACGACAGAGCATGATGCTCATATATTCTACAAAAGAATAAGAGTAGATAAGCTATCAATAATATAAAAAATGTCATTTTATGCAGCAGTTTTATTTTTATTTTTAGACACACACAATCTACATGCTTTTTTTTTATTAAACAAGATATTCTTAGTAGTTTATGCATTTTAAATAGTTAGGCTGTATGCTTTCTTATTACTTTATTATGGCAATTAAGCTCTTTTTTATAATAATCATGACAACAAGGATCTTTAGATTTTGATCAGTTTAAAAGGAATTATAGCTTTAAAGAGAAGAAAGAGATAGAGTTTCAAAGAGTGTACAAAAGATAACACGATGAAAAAGAAAAAAAGTTGGGGCGTCAATTTTGAAAATGGAAAATGGGACAACCAACATAAAAATAGGATAAAGGGTAAAAAGAGAAGTTGATATTCTCATTGTTCAGCCCAATCTCGAACAAGGCTAGCCTTGTAAATGGATGCGTTATCAAGCACTAGATGCTTACCATTCATATTAGTTACATCAAGTGTAGTAAGGACATGCTTTATGAATTCCAAAAAGTCGTTACTAGTTGTGCCTTTTCTTTTTTACAGCTAGCGTATCATTAGTTCGTTTTTGCTGTAGTGATATTCTCTTCTCGTGAAAGAGCAATAAAACCATCTTTGCAAATGGCACCTAGGATACTGATATCTGGTACTTTTTACTTTAACTTTGATTTTTCAAGATGTTCTTATTTCACACCAACCATAAGAGCGATGCATGTTTCTATTGAGTCTATCCTTATTTTTTTTTTTTTTTTTTTTTTTTTTTTTTTTTTTTAGAGCTATCAGCTAAATCTGAATCTACATTTATTGTAGATTATATAAATTTAAGATTAATACATAACACTCTTTTTCCTTTTTTTTATTGTAGGAGTATTAACAAATGATAGTTATATCAATTTTAGGAATAAAAGAGGGAGTATGTTAGAGATAACACTAAAAAGAATCCATCAATTTATACTTTTACAGAATAATTTTATTAACAAGCTATGATTTATTACTGCTGTCACTGTGAAGGGAAGTAATTCAATACATGTAGACTTGATACATTTTATATTCTTTTTTAAACTATGCTGACTAGCTTGAATATATATATAAATATGTGTATGTATGTATGTATGTATATTTCTTATTAATATTGATCATTATAGACATAACTAGAATCTATTCTATTTTCCAAGTATTTTCTACAATTAGAAGAAAATTTGGCAATAGCATAATTTATATGACTGTGCTTTTGCTTGTATATAAAGGCTTAAATAATAATAATAATTAGACATTATACATGTTGAAACAGATTCTGAAAAAAAAAAAAAAAAAAAAAAAAAAAAAAAAAAAAAAAACTGACACTAATTACTATATATAGTCTTCTTTAATAAAATTAAGCTTTTGATCGTAGATCCTATTTTAAACAAAGGTGCATGTTGAATACCTAAATTACGCTTAATTTGATATACATTAAAAATCATAAAATTGAGATTTTAACTTTTCACAGAATATTGCTATTTTAGTATTTATGTGTGATTTAAAAAACATGATTAAGAAAGGATCCAATCAAATACACACGTGCAAGAAGATATCCTTAATTAATTGGAGATTTTGTTTGGAGCTTGCATAATAGATAACAATAGCCCATACCTTTACTTTCTGGATCTTTATTGGCAAGAATAACTTGCAACCCCTTAAATTTTATTTATATATACACATGTACATATTTCTTACATATCCCTCTCTTTTTCTTTCTTTCTCTCTCTCTCTCTCTCTTTCTCATTCTCATTCTCATTCTCTTTCTCTTCTTATTTTTTTTTATAATATATAAGCACCTTCCATGTCATCTTCTCCATCTTTTTCAAAAGAGACTATTTCAAAGAAAGACAACATAATTAAAGATCAGTTTAATAACCGTAAAAAAACAAAAGACATGAAAAATAATAAAGAAAAAGATTCACTATCAAAAAGAAAGCAACAGAAGCCTATGACTACGTCTTTTTCTACAATATCACCTGTAGTAACAATTCCACCCCCTTTACAACAAGGACAATTTGTGCCTATAATTGCTCCTCAGCAATCTCTTTATTATTATCATCATCCTAAAACACCAGTTTATTACGCTATTACCCCTCAACAGCGTCCCCTTATTTTACCTACACAACAACAAACAGATGGCATCACTCATCAAGAGCAACATATAAAGACACCTTCTTCCATTTTACCAAAGACAAAGACACCCACATCCATTTATCAGCAACAGCAGCAGCAGCAGCAACAACAACAACAACAACAGACAGCAACATCTCCATTTTATCACCCTTATGTCCTTCCAGCTCCTACACTTTTATCTTCCTGTCATCATCCTACCACCACTGCAGATCAACGTGAAAGGGCTCGAAAGATATCACATAGTGCCATTGAACGAAGGCGACGAGAACGAATGAATGATAAGATATCACGACTTAAGGAATTGATACCATCCTGTGTAGAACAAGAAAATATTCATAAAATGACTGTCTTACAAAGTGCTATTGATTACATCATTCATCTTAAGGAAATTGTTATTAAGAGTGGCCATGAAGAAGAACTATTATTGTTGCATCACTCATCCTCACAATGTAAGAGATTGATATCTTCTAAATCAAAGGAAACCAACCATTTTAAAAATCAGTGTTCGATTGATGAAAGGAGCAAGGAGGACTTGAGATGTATAAATGAAATTCAAACCGAGGAAAGAATATCTCATATACCTTTAACTCCTCCTGAGGAGAACAATAGTATGACAGATGATATGAAACATATGAGCTTACAAAATATTCTTTGTTGAAGGAAATAGGATGCCTTTTTTATTTATTTATTTATTTATTTATTCTATTCATCAGATAATAAAGAAAAAGAGTATTGTTTTATTTAGTTTCACATTGTGATTTAATATGTTCACTATTACTACAAGATGTTTCAATAGAAGAGGATTGAATTTCTTCATCTTTCATGTTAAAGGAAGAATGCGCAAAGCAGGTAGGACAGCTACAATGAAAGGAATCGAGTACTCTAATCTTATGTAAAGATAGATTCTTGATACATATAATGCATGTACATAATGTCATAATGATCAATAAAGTAACAGTTAATGTTGTAAACAATAAATTATATCTTGTCAACTAACAATAGTAATAATAATAATAATAATAATTAGTGATATATGTATACAAATATATATACACACACACATATATATGTATCTTGTATTTTACCATGTAGGGATCATTTGCAAGTATTCGAGGTATGCCAAATACAAAGAGTCGATAACCTAAATATCCAATAAATGCAACTAATCCAATAGAAAATAACCCAAGTAACCATACATTTTCATATCGAGCTGCATAAACTGCTATCAGAAAGATAAGGATAGTAAGGAAAAAGACGAGGGGTCCCTCAAAGGAAGGTAAGGTATAACCTACCATCTTTGAAGGAACAAGTTGAACAGCAAAGATAAACAAAAAGAAGAGATCAATCTTTAAAAGACCACTCAATACTGCCCAAGCAATAAGGGTGTTACGAAGACGATGTTCTTTAAATGTATGACCTAAATAGTTATTCCATTTGAATAAATGGTAGAGTTTGATCATACCACATGTCATAAGTATAAAGCAGAGTGGTACAAGAGCGAGGATAGCATACTCGAATGGTTTCATATTTGAGATGGTATTATCTAGAATATCTTGAAAGAGAGTGTCATCAGATCGATTATAGATAATGACAGACATATGAATCGAATTTGATAAATCGATCGTATTGTTAGTAGTATTATTCATTATATTCAGATTATCTCCAATGGGGAAATTGCAACCAACTTGTTCGAAAGTGATATGCTGGATAGTTTGAATACCGGTAAATATAACCATTAAAATACCTATTTTGCCAAAATAAATAAATAAATGAATGAATAAATAAATAAATAAATAAATATATAGTATTTACCAAATAGTAATAGCGTCAATAAACTAACGGTATTTCGTTGTCGTAGGGAGTCTAAATAAAGGAAGATCTGATAAATAGGTACTGTGATAAAGATAGCATGGTAAATTAAGTCTAATTGGCCTAAGCCCAAGGTTTGCAAAGTAAAATCGCATTGAATAAAGATGGATGTATGATAATAAATAATAAAGCTTTCCATTATAATAATGGCTATTGTCTCTACTGCTAATAGAAAGAGCACTGCCATTGCTATAGGATTCTGGATCATGGAATGAATAGGTACTTGATATGATTCTGTGGTTCTTGTAAGATGCTTTTCAGCTTCTTCTCCATCCTTTGCTTGATGTTTTCGATAAAATCTGTTTGATGCACTATTTAATTGTTTCTGCATCGAACCAAGTAACTTTGAACCATATTTATGATATCTTTCATTCTTTTCTATTGTATCCATAGTTTTATAATTTACCAAATAAATAAAAAAAAAGAGTGAATGAATGAATAATACGAAGTCTCTTTTATTGTAAATAAATATAGTATATTTATATATTATCTGTCAAGTTGTATAAAAAGGAGATTAAATCTATGTCAAAAAAGGAGACGTTTTATTATATGTTGATGATAGATTTTTTTTTTTTGTTTTAAAATAAATGATGATTTTTTTTTTAATTAATGACAACTGACCAAGGATGGTCAACTTCACCATATTGAATGGCACTAATAGCATCATTAAATCGTTTAGTAAAAGGACCCGCTTGAGATGAAGGATTGTTAGGATCAAGAGGAATCTTGATATCTTCACCCATATATCCGATTTCCTTGATAGGGCTAACGACACATGCGGTACCCGCACCAAACATTTCAACAACGCGTCCAGCTTTAGCTAAATCACGTAACTCTGGCATTGTCATCGTACGCTCTTTTACTTCAAACTCATTCCATTCTTTAGCTAAACCAATAATTGAATCACGCGTGACACCAGGCAAGATTGAACCATCTAAGGGAGGTGTTACAAGTTCAAGATCACCCTTGTCATTCTTCATCAAGATGAATAAATTCATTGTGCCAACTTCTGTTAATTGATGTTGTTCACCGAATAACCATAAGTTTTGTTGGTATCCCTTTTCAGAAGCTAGACGTTGAGGTAATAAACCTATTTTTTTTTAAAAAAAAAGTGAATAAATTATATTTTATACCTCATATTTATGTCTATTTTTTTTTTTTTTTTTTTTTTTTTTTTTTTTTTTTTTTTTTTTTACCAGGAGCATAGTTTCCGCCAATCTTAGCTTCACCTGTGCCACGAGGCCATGCACGAACATATTCAGTCGTAGCAAAGAGACGAACAGCATTAAAGCCCGTTTTATAATAAGGACCTACAGGACAACCAATAACGAACAACATGGCTTTGCTCGGAGGGTTTACACCTAGCATTTCTTGAGTTCCAATCATAGTAGGACGTAGGTAAAGTGAATATCCTTTTTCATTAGGAATCCATCTTTCGTCCAACTTTAAATATTCTGAAATAATTTTGATCAATTCATCCCCATCAAATTGCTATATAAAAAAAGAAGAGTAGGCACACATAATAAATAAAGGTATCAATAGATGCATATATTATTATAATTTACAGGAAGTGCAATACGAGCAGTAGATCGATTCATACGCGCCATATTCATATCAGGTCTAAAAAGACGAATTTTACCATTTTTATCCTTATATGCTTTCATTCCTTCAAAGCACTTTTTTTTTTTTTTTTTGTTAACAATATTAATAAATAAAAATCATTTAATTTCCTCCCACGCTTTTTTTTTTTTTTTTTACCTCAGAAGCATAATGAAAAACAACAGCGCTAGGAGCTAAACTTAAATTTTCTAAGGGACGAATCTCAGGTGCAGCCCAACCCTCTTTTTCATCCCAATTGGCAGTTATCCTAATAAAAAAAAATAGACATTTTATATATTAAACTATACAAAAGTTATTATTAAAATTTACATATGATCCGTAAATGTCTTTCCGAAAACAAGTTCATTATGAGCAACTAAAGGTTTAAGAGTATCCACTTTTTTTATCTTGAGTTTACTAGCCTACATTTATTGTTTAACAAGACTATAGAGAAAACAAAAAAAAAAAAAAGATTCGAGTTTTTTTTTTCTTTACACTTAATTCTGACTTGAATCTATTTGTTACTTGAATAAAATGATGGCGTCTAAAAGTAGATAATAGTCTATGAGAAAGCATTTTTTTTTTCTGCTATGCAAATAATATGAAAAGAAAATAAATTCCCTTTTTTTTTTTTTTTTTGCTTGACTTCTTGCTTCTTTATGTTAAAAAAAAAAAAAAAGATTCAGTCACAATGATTCACTCGGAGCTTATTTGTTATATCTCCTGTCTTTGCAAACTTCCCACGATACAAGGTATGAATACTTCTGTGACAATAAAAAAAAATGGTTGGTATTATGTAAAGTCTTGAGTTTATATGCCATAAATGATGTCACAAGGAAAAAATCTAAAGTGATGTATATAGAAAGAGTGCTTATTTTATAAAATAAGAGATATGATTAGCTTCATCTTCTTTTATTAAATGTCAGCGGTTATTCATCTAATAGTATATAAATAGATTATTGATCCTCCAAGTGAAGGATAAGAAGAATTACACTTCTTATTCAAAGAATTTGTATATAAAGACATTATTGTTCAATTATCCAAGATGTCATGAAAAAAATAAAATAATATCTTAAGGTCGTCATGAGAATGAGCATAAAGTAGAGGGTGAATGTAATAAAGTCAAATAAAGGTAGAGACAGATGTTGTCTAAAGTAAGTAATGACTCCCAATGATCCATATTTGTTCCTGAGATGAAGCAGTCAATCAAATTGAAACCCTTTGTTCCCATTGTGGACTAAAGGAAACAAACGATGGATCCAACATTGAATAGCTTAAACATACAAAGATAAATCCGGATAGAAAGAGTTGACAAATAGAAGATATAGCCCCACAGTCTGCATGTTTATTATGAAGGATAAGACACAGCTATACATGTGTTACAGAAGGGAATCCATATAGGCCATAGTAGCAAAGGATTTATTGATACGTCTTCAAATGCATTGCTTTTCTTTAGGACAGTGTACTTTAAGGAATAGAGTAGGATGATAACTAAACACAAAATGTAGGAAGCTAACGGAATATGAGATAAATTAAAGATGCAAAGAAAGTAGACAAAACGCTATGAAGAAATACTAATTTGATTTGTAGTGAAAAAAAAAACTAATAATAATAGTAAAGTGTTTACGATGATTACTAGCGCTGCGAAACTATTCTGAACACAGGATGCTTGCTGAGTAAGAGCAGAATTGCTAATTAGCAGACAATGTAGTGCACTTAGCAAAAAAATCAAAGTATTAGGCAAGAAGCTGGAGGTTAATAGCTTGAAAGGTGAGATTATTTCGAAAAATCTTTTGATATGGGAGAAAAGATTGATAAAGAAGACTTTATTCAAAATCGTATTTTCAAAAAGAACTAACTGAGTGTAAATATATATTTCGATAACAATATTTAAAATCTTCATGGTTGTGTTGTGATTCAGTAAAGTAGATAAACATGAGTCCGAGACTTGCTGTACACTACTTGTTAGATAAGATAAAGATTGTGTTTACTTTGACGAGTCTAAATGATTGTTCCGGGGAGGGGGGGAGGGTAGATTGTTAGCATCTGATAAATATACAATTATCAGCCAATAATAACGATTTATTATAATATGTATTCATATCAAGTCAGACCCAATTATAAAAGAAGAAGAAGGTTTATTTTAATAAATTAAAGATAAAATAACAACGATTAAATAATGCAAATGATAATAAAATAGGATGATATCTTTAATAATAAGTTTCTTTGAATTCAAATTCATCCTCTTTAGAGACAGGCTTTCGTTTTAATTGTTGTTGATTTATAAAAGCAGGAATAGGTGAAAGAGAGGCGTCTTCTATGTCTATAATGTTCCCATCAGGTCCTAACCTAAATCCAATAGTAAATTGTGAATCTTTTTCTTGAGTTTTAAAGGGTATATATAAGTGATCAGATTTACTACTATTCTTTAAAGACTTTCTTATACTTTGTCGAAATGAAAACTTGTCAATTCTTCTTTTAGGAATTATATCATGGTTATTAGTGTTAGGATTTAGGATAGAATGTGATCTAGTAGGCTTTGGAATAGGCTTTACTTTACTAGGCTTTGCATTATTAAGCACAATAACTTGATCATTGGGTGGGTTAAAGGGTACACCAGCAGGGATACCACCCGCATTTGGAGGTAATGCAACAGGTGGTGGTGGTACATCTCCAGCTCGAATGTCAGCATCCGTGATATAAGCTCTTCTCACTAATGAAAAACTATAGATACAAAATGACCAATACACCTATATTCTCGATTAGTTATCTATTATGTCATTCCTATGTTCAATACAATCTTACATAAAAAGCAAACATTAACACATAAAAGATGATACCAAACTTTAATTCATCTTGCCATAGATTTTGACAATTATAATAATCTTGTGTAAAATCAAATTGTGGCATTGTATCATTTTTTAACGTATTATTGACGTTTTGTACAATTGAATGAGAAGAATCTTGTATACAATCATGATGAAAGTTATTCTGATATTTAATAAACAAGATGATATTTACAAAGGCATCTACAAGTACAATAAATACAGAGACAAAAATTGCGTGCGAGAATGTACGAACATATCGATTTACATTCTACAAGAAGATAGTTATTAATATTTGTATGTATGTATGTATGTATGTTTATATGATATTTTACAGTAATAATAATAAAAATGCCACTTATTGAAACTAGTGCTAAAATAAGATTCACTACACCAAATACTGTGATTGATGCAGACGACATATAAGTATAGAATACTATTCGTTATGTTATTCATTAGTAAGCATTCTATCTATCTATCTATCTATCTATATTTATATACACCTACTGCTTGAACTTTGAAAAGATATTATCGCCATATACATTGAAAATGCCTATTATATAATTTATAAATATTACATATCTATATTTTTTTATAAACATATAGATACATTACTGCCCAAATAATACATATCAGAATACAGCCAAATCTTAATGGTATGCATAAGCAGCATTTAGGTTCTGCAAGCATTGGATTTAAAGGATACATCATTGAATATATGTTATAAACAGACACAAGAGAGAGAGAGAGAAAAAGAAGAAGAAGAGAAAGGAAGGTATAACAAAGAAATAAAATAAAAGGCTTATATAAAAAAAATCTATTATTTCCAAGTTTATTATGATTGTTGTTTGTTCATATCCTTTTTTATACATTTGATATTGTACTACTTTATAATTTCATTCCTAAAGAAGCATTAGGCTGTCTCTCTTTTTTATATCTTCTGTGTGCTTCTCGTAAATGTTCCGGTCTAATCGCTCCTTGATCCCCCCATTCTTCCATTATTTCTTTAGCTATCCAATTATAAGTTTATATCCTTATTCACAGCTAAACACACAAAAGAAAACATTACCTTTTTCTACTATTTCACCTATGTACACTTTTGAAAAACCTGCCACGACAAATGCCATTGTCTGTGAACATTGCTGATTTAACACTTGGCTTACTAACTACATTAAAGTTAAAAGTTAAATATTTATAAAACAAGTCATTTAAAAAACTTTTTTTTTTTTCTTCTTCTCTCTTTTACTCTTTTCACATTGGTACGATTCAAAGCTGAACGACGATATCCTTCATATCTCTGAAGTTGTTCATCTGAAAAATTTTCTAGCAAGACTTTCATGTCTTCTTTCGCTTTTTCCATCTGAGCTTGCATATCCATGTCAACTACAACATCGTCCTTTTCGTCATCATCAACCTCTGCTTCTGCATCCTTTTGATCTTTAGTGACATCTTCTGGTTTGGGTGTATCGTCATCGGCTACAGTACTTGCTGCTACACTTCCTTCACGTTCTGTTTCAACTGATCCCTGACGTGAGATTGAACTTTGTCGACGTTGGATGGGTGGTGAATTGTGACGTATTGGCTTTTGTTTAATGGCAGCTACAGCTGCTGCTGCTGTTGTCAATGGACGGCCTGTATATTGTGTTGGTGGACTATGATATTGGGGTGGTGAAAACGCATGAAGTGGAGATCGTTTTGATGGAGGTGGTGATGTAGCATGTGTGCTTGATTTTCTTTTTGAATTATTGGGTATCATTTTTTCTTTCTGAAGAAGGAAGAAAAAAAAAAAAAATACACACACACACACACACATATACACACACACGATAAAATAGAGAATATGTATTTTTTTTTTTTTATTATTAATTTAAAACTCAGAATAATATCAATGAGGATACAAATCAGTAACTATGCTTGACTTTGATGGTAGAGATAAAGATCGATTATGACCTTTGCTTTTACTATAAATGACAACAGATCTATTTCTCATTTTAGAAGATACAAATTGTTTTGATGTATCTTCTTCTTGTTGTTGTTGTTGTAAGTTTTTATTTATTATTTCCAGTCCTGAGTCTTCTTCGTCTTCATCATCATCATCGTCGTCCTCATCCTCCTCATCCTCCTCCTCTTCTTCTTCTTCTTCACTCCAAGTTTGTTCTTGTTGATTTATTTCAGTTTGATTCATTTGAATCGAATGACGACTCATGTCATTACTCTTTCTGAATGGCCAAAATCCACCTACAATTGATCTTTTATTTTCTACTTCTATTATATGTTGATCTTCAACAGCAACAACATCATCACCATCATCATGACCATGACCACTGTTAAAACGTATAAATGAGCTTGCGTTACTCAGGAGAGAGGTTGAGGAAGAAGCTGATATAGTATGATTATTGGCGGGTAAAGTTGTAGCAACCGGTGATAGGATGGTATTCATGACGGTTGCCTCAATACTACTACTATTACTACTACCATTACTATATCGAGAGGTAGTAGGTGAAGATATAGAACGAGGCTTTGAAGGTTCACGTAACGAACTTAGTGCATCAATTGTCCTTTCACTGACCCAAGGCCTCATGAGTACATATTGAATAATCAACTGTTGCTCTAATTCAATCTCAATACCTTGATAATCTTCACCTATCATTGTCATGACATGATTGCTTTTCCTAGAACCAACAAAATGAAGTGCATCCGACATGGTAGGACGACGAAAGAGATGTCTTTTAGGAGGGGTATGAATGAAAGTAGAAGGAGGCTGATGAGGATATGGAGGAGACGATTGAAATAACTGAATTTTATCCAATACACCTTTTACACGTAGATCACCATTAGGGTTCTTGGTAGCGGCCAAGAGGTAAGTGATATCATGAATAAAGACACCTAAAAAGGGGACTATCGGATTTGACCAAATTCGTTTTCGCTCTAAACCGATATGAAGACGATAACGGCAATAATTATCTGATTCTGACATGAGAGAGTTTAGATAATCGAGTCGAGCTGTTCGCCTTTTAGGGATGCATTCCCAGGTCCTTCGAAGACGTTTGATGGGTGGCGTACCCAAGGCTGAAACGATGGTCTTTAATGTATGATAGTTATGAAGTACTAATAATTTGTTGGCAATTTTAATCCATCTTTGAATGATTTCAGCTCGTCGAGATGCCTCTTGAGGTAATAGAATGGAATGTTCAATAGATCGTGTCATGAAATTAAAAAAATCAGTAGAGGCAACGATTTTTTTGTGGGGTGTACGTGTTGAATGAGATAGGAGAGCGTTAGAAGGGATAGCACGAAAGATAGAAGATTCGATAAGGGTTAATTGATAGGCAACCAACTGAGGAGAAAAGTGTAGGATATTTGGTATAGTCATAGCACTCATATAAAGCGTTCTCACCTTTTCTAATAAATGACGTATACAACTTATACTGTCTTTACCTTTAGCATTACTTTCAAGTTCATTTAATTGTTGTTGTAATCGACGATGAGTAGATAATAAGGGAGGAACGGGTATATTGGGAACATATTCATTTATTTGAGATATGGTTGGTATAGTCAAACTATCACCTGTATTTGTTTGTGCTGGTGCAAGTTGTCGTGGATCTATGACAGTCTCTGATAAGACTTGCATAAGATCTTCTTTAAGATTATTTTCGACTGTACATGATTTACTTCTGCCTCTTGTCTTTAATACTTGAACTTCTTCATTCCTTTTATGATTAAATATATTTTCAAATTCAATGCTTTCATCTTCATCTTCAGTTAATTCTTCTTCAAATCCTTCAGCAGAATCTTTCGTGACAGTCATCATTTGAGATAATTTAGAGTCCTTTGCAAAACTAACAGAATTATCTCTTGATCGTTTCATATTTAATTTTTGTTGTTGATAGTCATAAGATGTATTTGGTTTAGGTGGGATCATTGGTTTTTGAATAATAGTAGTAGCAGTAGCAGTAGTAGTAGTGGTGGTGGTAGTAGTAGTAGTAGTAGTAGCAGCAGCAGAAGGTTTCGGTGGTACTGGTGGAGGTGAAGATTTTAGTTTTGGTACTGTATCAGTCATATTATGAATGACTATTTTTTCAAGTTGATCAAGACATGATCGAAGTAAAGCGATAGAATCATCATATTGAAGTGGTTTTGATACAATAGCTAACGAAAATTAAAAAAAAAAGAAAGTTAAAAAAAAGAAAGGAATTAAAGATTTATTCACTTACTTTGTTGAACAAATTTCACTCCATGAAGTTGCTGAGTAGATGATTCGACAACTGAGAGGAAAACAGTATATGCATCCTATTTGTATAAAAGAAGTGACTTTTATATTAAAGAAAGTAATAATAATGATAGATTGATTCGATTCGATTATTTTGTTACCTTTGCTCTTCCTTGTTCAAGGAGTTGAGTAGCATTGGAATAACTCAGGATTGTATTCATGATTTTATTAATAAATAAATAAATAAAAAAAAATCGTTTAAATAAATAATTAATTTCGAGTCTTTTTTTTTTTGAATAATGTTGCTGTACGACTGCTGCTACTAATAAATGATTTTACTATCGATTTGAGTTGTCATGAAAACTAGTTTTATTTATAGTTAAGACTATAAGAATAGTAATCACAATAAAAAGAAAAAAGAAACAAAAAAAAAAAAAAAAATAAAATAAAATAAAATAAAAAAAAATAATATAATATAAAATAAAATAAAAACTTAACTTAAAATGACTCTGTATTTAATACACCGCCACTGCTTTATTCTTCTTTACCACTACTTAATTCTATTTTCAAAAAAATACATATTTATAAGTTAGTGCCTTTTTTTTCTTTTTTTCTTTCTCTTAAAGACAATCCTATCATGACACAAAATACTTGATTTTTCTTTTTTTTTATATACATATTTTCTATTGTAATGAAAATATCTACTACTGCTTTATTAAAATTCTTTTTTTAACCCCACTCTATTAAATGAAACAATTCTACTTATTTATTTTTATAGAAGCAATATTCTTACAAGGTTTCAGATAGAAAACGTATAATATTATCTCATGATGACCGGCTTATAATAAAAGAAACAGGGATTTCATATTAAAAGAAAAAGAGAAGAGTACAAGTTTGTGTAACTTCAATGCGAGAAAAGAGAGATTCACCTTAATTCAAGTTTTGAAAGAATGAAAAAAAAAAAAAATTGCACGCTAAAAATGTGCAGTTTGTGCAAACCAAAATTCCGGGTTTGCACATAAAAAGAAAAATCATCATAATTTAATTTTTTTTTTTTTTTTTTTTTTTTTGCACCACAGGTGTACAATCTTTTACCAAAGGTTCTTTATTTAAATAAATGTCAAATTTTCTTTTATTTGAATAGCGGCAGAAATCCTTAAGATTCTCAAGATAGACTTTGCTGTATACATCTGTCATTCTGAATCTTGGAGTTTCCTCTTTTAAAAGTCTTTCTCTTTTGATTTTACTTTTAATAATTAGGAGGAGATCAAAACTGTTCTATTGGATTAAGCCTCGGGTAGAAGATAGACACATCCCATATCCATGACTTTCAATTAATATTCTAATCTGTTCTGAGCTATAAATAAGTGCGGTTACCCATTAAAAGACAATATCCTTTAAATTGCTCATGCCGATCCAAAATGTTTAACGTGTCAAATATAAAACTAAAATAGTGGCCCATAACAATTTCAACTGTTTTTTTTTTTTTTTTTTTTTTTTTTTGCTTTAAATTTACTTGTAAATTTTCTTTTTTCTTTTAAGATTCTGCATAAGGAATTTATATTTTGATATTGATTACACCGTACGAAGAGATTGCACTCGGAATTGTTGTAGTTTTGGCTCTTGTTTTGCGTTGGATAACGATAGCTCTAGTGTCCTTTTTAGACCATATCATAATACGACGTAAGATGATATGGAAGCTAAATTCGTCAATGAAAATGCAGCTACTTTGGTAGTCCATACCTGTATTTCTCATCTTCTTTGCCCAGTCGTATTGTTCATCAATAATTTCTTTGGAACTCCTTTCCTTAGGTTCAATATGTGCCTTTTTCATGGTCGAATCACAAGCTTTGATCATAGATTTGTAAACAATAGTCTTTAGAGGCTTTTAAACTTTTAAAATGTGAAATAAGATTCTCCACAGTCTCATCTACTATAGCTTGAGAATTAGTGTCAAACTTTTGCAAGAGAAGTGCTCTGTTCATCATTCAAAATTTAAGGACGTTTAACTCTTTCTTTTTTTTTTTTTGTTAGGTTATGGTTAGGGCTTTAAAGGAGACTTGAAGCTACTACGTCTATTCTCATGATAGCAAACTTACTCTTTATTATTATTACTATTTTTCTGTTTTAGGCCTTTTCTTTTACTAATTCAAAGTGTTTACTTCTAATTCGCTTATTTGCGTTCTTTTGGAATTAACGAATTAATAAGAAAAAAAAAAGGCATAAGAGTTTGTCTGACAAAAAGGAATATAATAAAAAAAAGTACAATAAGAAGCTAGTAATGAAAGCATACTATGTATCGAAGAATATAGCAACAGTGGGAGTGTTCTTTGTTGTTTATTTTCTTTATACCATGTATCTTCATTGAAGTAGAGGTTTTCCGGCAACAAATTATTAATTATTTTCAGAAGCTAAACTCAGCATGTTTAACACATATTTAAAAATTAGATTGATCATATATGTATCTATTTATTTATTAAATACTTGAAACAGTTTACAGTAACTACAAAGTTCAATCAAACAGAAAAAAAAAACTAATAATAATAATCTGAATATTATAAAGAAAAGTTACCCATCGTATACTTTAGTAGTGGAATATTTCAGTTATATTTAAAGGTTTTCTATTGCAGTCTCGAACACTGTTTTTTTTTTCTTAACGGGAAAACTTGGGTTTTTTACAGATAAATACGTCTAAAAAAAAAAAAAAAAAAAAAAAAAAAAAAAAAAAAAAAAAAAAAAAAAAAAAAACTAGTTTGTTTGTTTAATTGTTAACTCATCTCAATTTCATCCGAAAGTATTTTACAATAGAATACTCCTCTCCACCTCTTTTTCTTCTTTTTCTTTTTTATTTTGTCTTGTGTCTCCTAAAAGGAGGTTTTTAGTTTCTATTCTTTCGCTCCTACTTACAAAGATCAAACAAATTTAAAATATGTATTTATTTAATCGTAATATTATAGAATGCCCTTCTATATGACGACAGACATTTTTCATAATATCCTCAACAATAGTCTATAGTTAATAAAAGGGATTAAAAAAAAAAAAGATTATTATACAAATATAATAATTGGAGAAGGGGTAGTGCAATCATCTAGTATGAAGCAGTTTCTTTCTATTTTTATGAATGGTAGAAATAATAGAAGATTTATAATTAATTTTAAAAACTGGCTTTATTTGTTATCTTTGTTAATCTTTATAAAATCGATAAGTTTAAATAAGGGGATATCACGCTTCTCTGTTTCAAGTAAGTAAGTTTAGAGGAACAAGTGAGGGGAAGAGGGGAGGAGGCTTATTTATATATATTAAATGATATATTTATGCTACTTTTGATGATGACGATAAAATTGTATTTGTTTCATTACTGTTATTTGTTGTTGGTACATAGGATAAAAACATTTCACGAACCTCTGCCTCCTGGAAATATTCATTCAATGATTTCCCGCTTTGTCCAGTGAGTGCCTCTAAATCGCGTGTGATCTCTAAACGTCTACCTTTAAGCCTTTGATGAAGACCCCATATTTCCATTAAAAAGATGGCATGGTCCTCATTACCAATACTATCACATATTATTTGTTGTAATGTACTGATATCAATACGATTGATTACATTCTCCCTTTCAAGCCCATGAAGTACTTTTTCACTCACTTCTTCTAAAGTAAACAATCCTGATGATATCTTGTAGGCATTCTTGCTATGACGTAAAGTAGGTGAATGTGCCACACATGCAGTAGCACGAGCGATATCAATCATGTTACAAGATTCAACTGTAATTTCCAAGTGCTGATCTGGTAATGGGAAGGCATTATATTGAGCTATATATTTACTAAAGACTAAAAGATGTTGATGTAATACTCCTGGATACCTTAAGATGGTAATGCGACTATTATCAAATTGTGAATGTAAATAAGATTCAACCATCATAAATTGTGAACGATATGAATCATAATCGTCATCATGGTCTTGATCTTCTTCCATTGTTGAAATAACAGGATCAAGAGGTGTAAAAGGTGTTAAAAAGACAATATGTTCAACATGTGCTCTTTTAGCAGCATCAATAAAACTGTTTAAAACAAAAAATAAAAGAAGGTGAATAAAACGATTCTTTTTTAATCTATTCCATCCTATTTACGCTTTTCCATAAAGAAAAGCATTTGAACGCTTCATTCTTTCACTTAATGGATCAATTAATAAACAAAGTTTAGTAATATGTCTTAGGGCTTCAACAGCGGCTTCATGATTCAGAAATATATCAAAGGCGACAACATGTGCACCTAAGCCCTTTAATGATTTGGCTCTTGGTGTTGTATCATCAGGCAAACCAGCATAGATACTTTGTGGATGTAAATGCTTATATTTCTCTGGTAACTGAATTAACTGTTGAACAATAGCTACTCCTTTATCTCCATCTGAACCAGAAACAAATATGTTTCCAACTTGTTTATCAAAAGTCATTTTTATTATAAAAAAAAAAAGTAAAAAAAAAAAAAAAGGCTATCGTACCTTGATTTTTATAACAAATTTAATTATTTAAAATCAGCTATCAAGAAAGTTAAGCAGCCAATGAAACAAATTTTTTCTTATCTTTCTTTCTTTGAATTTCTCTCATTAAAAATTTCTTTCTCTCAATTCTTTTTTTTTTTTTCTCCCTACTTAATTAACCATGTCTACACCTGAAAATAAAAAAGCTCTTGTTTTCTCTATCCTTGATTTCTTACAAAAGTCTTGTGAAGATGGAACTATTAACAAGGATGATACTGAAGGAATTGAAGGTAAAATAAGTTGATAATTAAATGGTGCAGCTAAAATTAACTTGTCTTTTTTTAAAAAAAAACAAAAAAAAAGTTGCTATGCAATGCATTGGTGAAGCCTTTGGTGTAGATGCTTCAGATGAAGAACAAAAAAAACTCTATTCCACAAAACCTGCTACTTTGCTTTCTATTTTTGATGTTTACCTTAAAACAAAGAAAGCTACTGCTGATAAGGTAATATATACATTCCTTTTTTTTTCTTTTTTAAAAAAAACAACATCATGACTAAAAGACGCGTGTATTATTTATAGTCTTCTACCAAAGCTGAAAGTAAGTTTAAATTTAATTTTTAAACAAAGAAAAAAAGTAATGTTTTAAATACGGGATTAACCCTTCTTCTATATTTGTACATGTGTTAATTAGGTGTATGTTTATAAAATTCGAGTTCTATATTGTGAAGAAGTCAAAATTAACAAAGTATATATATATATATATATTTCTTTTCCTTTTTTATTAGTCTGTTAGTGAAGAGAATAAAAAAGCTGCAGAAGAAAAAAAGGCAATGGGTAATCGTAAAGTAACTGAACGTAATTATCCTGAAGCTATTAAGCTTTATACCGAAGCTATCGAGCTTGATGGTACAAATGCTGTTTATTATGCTAACCGGTAAGTATTTGAGGCCAATGATGATATTCACATAATTTACTCACAACTATTATAGTGCTGCTGCTTATAGTCAACAAGGGGATCATGAAAAGGCTGTTAATGACGCTAAAAAGGCAATTGAAATTGATCCTAAATACAGTAAAGCATATAGCCGTATGGGGTAAAGAAAAATTCATGTAAATTTTATTATCCTACCCTATTCTAACATGTATGTGTATATATTTTTTTGTTTCGAATTAGTCATGCTTATTTCTGCTTGAATAAGTTCGATGAAGCAGTTGAGGCTTATGAAAAGGGCTTGGAACTTGATCCTAACAATGCTACTATCAAAAACTCTTTAGCCACTGCTAAATCAAAGATGAATGCTCATAGTGTCGAACGTTCTGCTGACACAAGTTCATCTTCTAATCAAGGAGGTTTACCTAACCTTGGTGCAGGTGGTATGCCTGACCTTGGTTCCCTTCTTAACAATCCTGCCTTAATGAATATGGCTCAACAAATGATGCAATCCGGTGCCCTTGATAATCTTATGAATAATCCCGAAATCAGTAGAATGTAAATAGATATAATGAACTTTTATTTCCTTCATTGTATTGATACCAAATATATTTATTTAGGGCTCAACAAATGATGAGTGGTGGTGGTATGCCTAATCTCCAAGATATGATGAGTAACCCTGAATTAATGAGACTGTAAGTATTGAATAGTGATGATGAAGAAGAAGTTATTCTAACGTTAAATACTACAATACATTGGTAGTGCTCGTGACACTATGGGAGGTAGAGGTGATGGTAGTCCTAAACCAGATACTAATAAGGACAACTAAAATATACATTTTATATATTATCTTGTATTGTAAATCATTCATAAAATAATATAAAAGTCTTTTTTTTTTATTATTCATTCACTATTATCTGGTTCATTTAACCATTCAATGAATTTGACACATTTTTGTTCTATTAGGCTTCCCTTTTCAAGTGTATTGTACCATTCCAAGAATACATCTTCTTCTATCATTTCAGAATCATACCAATAGGATAAAGCAGCTGCTGTCCTATTTACTAAGATGGGTTTACGATTTGTAACCAAATTATCCCATGCCTTCAATAGTAATAACTGATCTGTGTTAGACTTGACAAACTATGGACAGGATTCAATAATAATAATAATGAATTCAATGCTCCTACACAAGAAAAGAATGGACTTACTGATTTAAATAAATGACTTCTTGACTTTAAAACAGTTAATATAGAATGCTGTTGATTATCTTCCTCTAATAAACTCACTAGTAGAATATAAAGTAATCTTTTCTTTGACAAGTCATTACGCATTTCAATCTTGGTCACTTCTTTAATATCCTCTGCTAACTTTCCATTTAATAAGGTCGTCGTTGTAGGATGCATAGCGAAAAAACTTTTTAAATCTGAAATAATGGCTTCTGTTTGTGCTGATTTAGTCGTTGCTTGTTGCTGGTTATTATTCTCTTTTAATGGATGACTATGTATTTTTATTCTACTTGAGTAAACCTATGCCAATGTGATTATGTAATATAAAAAGAATGTTACCTCTCTAATAATTCATCCTGCTCTTCTTTAGAAAGTTGAACGATTTTCATCCAAGATTTCTCATTTGTTTCTTGTATACAGTGTTTATTATGTTTTTCCTTTCCATTGATTAGACTTTTATGATGATCAATAAAAGAAGTGGGCCGAGGAAGGTCTTCTGGATTATTTACAGTTTTTGAAATAGAGTTTCTCCAAGATGTCTTTCTATCAGCTCTACTTTCTTGATGAGATACTTTGTTATTAGAAGATGACTTATCCATTGTCTGTGATTTCCAGGGAGCATCGTTTGATTTATTAGCTTCGTTTTTATTCCATTGATCAAAAGAGGAATTATGATGTGGGGTATCCAGATGACGATTGCTGTAACTTTGTCTTGAATCTATTATTTCTTCCTCTAATGTCTTTTTATTAGGTCTTGTCTTTAACTCTTCTTCTCCATGCGCTTAAACAAAAACAAAGAAAAAAAAAGTATATATAGTATATATTTTTATTATTTAATCCTCTCTAACAATAACCAACAAACTTACCAAAATGACATTTAGGTCCATATTGACAAAATTTATCTCTCATATATTTTTCACATAACTTTGTTTTAAATAATTGATTTTCAAACATCTCATTACGATCTTCTTTCTGTAAATTGCTTTGTTGTTGTAGATCAGTTCTGCCACGTAATTCATTAACACCATGAGCAAAGTTACATTTGGTACCGTATGGGCAACTTCCCTCCAACTCAAATCGTTCACATAATCTGGTTTTGTAAAGTGGGGACAATGATGGCTGTTGCTGTTGATTATGTGATTTATAATTAGATTTATTATGTTCTTTGTTGTTAATGGATAAAGATTTCATCCCAGATCTAACTTGATCTATGCCATTAGATTGAGTTGTTGTGCGATTATTATTCGTTGTTGTTGTTTTTGTTGCTGCTGCTGTATTGATGACGGAGGAAGTTGCATGAGCTATCGATTTTTTTTTTCGTTGCTTTGTTTCAATAAATGTCTGAGCATGCTTAAAAACTTCTTGCATCGTCTTAAAAATAACCTTTTCAGAAGTAGCGACTTGATTGAACCATTGGAAATGGACACCTTCCGCATGAGGCAATAATCGAACATGGTTATTAATAAGCTCAGCTAGATAATATTTCACTTTTTTAGGTCTATTTTTTTTAATAATAATATAAAATTGAATACATATTCTAATTCTATATTAAGTTTTATTCGCTTTACTACTACTTACTTGGTTCCGGATAGATATTTAAGCTCAATGGCAAATCCTTCTTCAATGTGTAGTTCTGATGGTTTCAAACCTGTTGTCTCAAAAGTTTCACGAAGTGCGCATCTAACAATGAATAAATAAAAAATTATTGATTAGTTCAGTGTTCAAAAAATATCCTTCTATATAACTTACTTTATATCTTCCTCATTACCAATGATCGGACCCTTTGGGCAAAACCAATGTTTTTTATTTGAAAATGAATCGTTAATTAATAAATACTCAATATTTCTTTGTGTACGGTAAATGACTAGTCCAGCATAAGGTTTAGTTTGTGAAGGTTTATCCATGTGTTTATCTAAATTACTTGTGTTTTTTTTTTTCTTGTAAAAAAGAATAAAAAATAGTAAAGATTTTTTTTTTTTTTTATTATTTTTATTTTTTAGATGATATGTATACATTTATATCTTCCACCCTCAAGTGACGATTTTTTTATTTTTATTTTTGTTTTCCTTCCTATATATTCATTTTCTTTTTTTTTTCTTTTTTCGCTTGTTATACATACGAATATATATATACATATTAAATGTCTGGTTTAAAAAGAACTTTTGATATAAAAGGAGAACCTTCTTCTTCAAAACGTGTTCGGTTTGATAAAAGAACAAAATCATCCTCTTCTGCAGATGATACCGAATTTGAATTTAATCATGAAGATGAACTTGAAGAAAGAAAGAAACGACGTGGTGCTGTTAATTTTGATGTCTATGATAGTGATGACGAAGAAGTAGGAGGTGGTATATATAGCAGTAGTGACTCCGATGATGAGAAAGAAAAAGAAGAGTCAACAACAAAGATACCTTCTGGTGAAGATTTTGATATGTTTGGTGCAACAGAGAGTTCTAATGATGGCAAAGGGAAAGCAACGAATAAAAGGGCAAAGCAAGAAATTGAAGGACAAGAATTTGATTCTTATGATCGTGATGCTATAGATGATGATGATGACGACGACGATGATATTGAAAATGGGCAACCAAAGGGACCCAAGATTACAGCCTTTAATATGAAAGAAGAGTTAGAAGAAGGTAGTGTGGATGAGAACGGTAATTATGTACGCAATAAAGTAGATCCTCAAGCATTTCATGATAAATGGATGGAAGGTATTTCACGTAAAGATATGAATAAAGCAAAGGAAGCACACGAAAGACGTGAACGTGAAGAAGCACTTAAAGAAGCAGAACGTCAAGCAACGATCCCTCAAACGAAAACAGATGTGTACCGTGCATTAGTGGAATATTTAAAACCAGGACAAAGTGTTCAAGAAGCTTTAACATCTTTAGCCAATTCATTGCCAAAAAAACTACCTGCTTGGAAACAAAAGATGCTTGAAAAAAAGAATAAAAATAAGAAAGCAAAGGATACAGAGCCTCAGTTGACAGAGGATGAAGAGAGTTCAAGACGTAAAAAAGTAGAAGCTATTACTGGATTAGCGGATCAAATGATGGCTTTAGGCCATTTTAATATTTATGATGATACATTTGAAATGATGGTACGTTATTTAAGAAGAGAAGGTAGTGTAGCTCAAGATTGGTTGCCAGACACAACAAAATAAATAAATAAATAAATAAATAGTATTCTTATTATTTTTTAAATTTATTTTCCAATTTTTCCCATGCTTTATAGTATTCTTCTTGAACTTTACCACATGTCTTAAGACCCCAATGAGTAAGAGACAGCATAAAGGAGGTCTCAAACATGAAGGCTTGATTATTTTTACCTACATAAACTGGCTTAAGTTCTGCCTGAGTTGCCATCTCAAAGACATTAGCATCAGGACCATGAGGAGTCATGATACTATGTAAAGAAGCACCACCTGGTAAGAAGCCATCTGATTTACCATCATAATCACCTGTAATAAGTCCCATAAATTCTGACATACAATTTCGATGGAAATAAGGGGGTCTAAATGTCTTTTCTTGGACAGCCCAGCGAGGCGGGAAGATAACAAAATCAGCTATAGCCACACCAGGTGTATCTGATTTAGCAGTCAACACAGTAAAGATAGAAGGATCCTATTATAATAAGCTGAATATGACATATCTACATTATATATGTATATACATATCTATATCTCTATTTACCAAATGATCGAATGAAACACTATTAATAGCACAGAAATCGTTTAAATTATACTTGTATGGAGCATAATTGCCATGCCATGCTACAACATCAAATGGTGTATGATTTTGTTTTGCACGAAATAAAAGACCATTAAATTTAGTAATAATATCCCATGTCACGTTATCTTCTTCCTCAAAACATGCAACAGGAGTCAAGAAATCTCTTGGATTAGCAAGACCATTAGCACCAATTGGACCCAAATCTGGTAACTCATAATGAGCACCAAAGACTTCTAATACATAACCTCTTGATGGCCCATCAGGTAAATTAACAGTATAACGAACCCCTCTTTGAATAACAGCAATTTCATTGGGTCGCACTTTCATCTTACCAAATTCAGTAAATATATCAAGTACACCTTGTTGTGGTACAATCAAGATATCACCATCCGAATTATAAAAAGCAGTCCTTGTCATATCTGCATTTGCACAGTAGATATGAACAGCTAATCCACTACGACAAGCAGGATCTCCAGCACCTGCTACTGATTTTAAACCTTCTATAAAGTTCACCTTTTCAGTGGATGAAGGTAAATCAAAGGGACTCCAACGAATTTGAGTAGGTGTAATTAAGATATCTTCACTACTAAACTTGGAAACTAATAATTGATTTACTGCTTTATCTGTAACAAACGGAGCATGAACTACAGAAGGACGAATACGATAAAGCCAACTAAATTAGATTCAAAGCAAAATAAACATTGTTTAAATCATTATAAATATAAATAAAAAAAAATAGAAGAAGATACTATTTATTTACCTTCTTTGATTATGAGTTCGAGGCACAGTAAAGGCAGTACCTGATAATTGTTCTGCATATAAATTATAAGGACATTTTTGTGGTGTATTTTGGCCTTTAGGGAGAGCATCTTTTAATGCTTCAGAAGAAAAGTGATTTCCAAATCCTTGTTGATATACATAATCATCTTTATAGTGAGTCATCTTTTTTTTTATTTTGTTCTTGTAAAACGAAAAAAAAAAGAAAAAGAAAAGAAAAAGAAAGATATTTTATGAATATATTTATTTTAAAAAGCCGTGGGAAAAGTAAGAAAGATTTATTTATTATTGTTCATTTTATATCCTGTTGACCGCTGTTATTATTAGTGCAGTAATTTAACTTGAATATTGAGAAGAGCAGCATTTCTAGGTGAGATTCCTGACATAATATTAATCTCCTTTTCGAGTCTTCACAAGCATAACTGTTACAATTGTTGGAGTGATCCGTGAAAAAGGAATAGTTGATTTGACCCTACGTAAGACGACAAATGCTGCTTAGAAGAATATTGCTGCCCATAAAGAAGAGAAAGAGAGAGATAATGATGCGGTTATCGACCTTGTAAAAGTGAGTGCGAGAGTTGGTACACGAAGTGAGTATTTTTTTTTTTTTTTTTTTTTTTTTTTTTGCAATTTATTAATGGCACGATAGATACTCCATGGCGAAAGTCCTATAGTTGATTTATCCTTGCAAAGGTTACCAATAAGGAATGTAAACCTATTATAAAAGATAATTAAAGGGTTAAAATAACCCTTTTCACAAAAAGGCATTTTCTCTTTTTGACTTCTTTCAATAACCTTTTTACTGAATGAGTTTCATCGGTTGAAAGCAAAATTCTTTTCAAATTTGACGACTCTTCATATAGTGCGGGACATTCTGCCAAACTTGTAAAGAAAAAAAAAATACTAATACTGTTCAGAAACACAGAATATTTCCTTGTGTTAAAGACGACCAGATAAAGATACCGTTGGATGGTGTACTTGTTTGATTCCTTCTCTTTTCTCGATTATCGATACTACCAATATCAATGCCAACAATGATGCCAACTACGAGAATGTCCCTTCTTCTTCTTCAAGAAAAAAAGAAAAAAGAAATTACACAAAGCACCTTATAAGCTTACCGCTATCCCCAAGGATATTATAATGAGTCTCTGTAAGCAATTCAATAATTGGAGCATTCCTAAAGATAAAAAAAAACTTTCTGTTGTTAGAGTAAGCGAAAGAGTATTTGCACTTCAATGAAATAGGGTCTTAGAGCGTGTTTTAGATCTCAACAAAAACTATGTTTTCAAGCATTTTACTCCTTTTCGGAGACTGGTTCAGGTAAACCAAAGGTGGGGGGGGGAAATTGACCGACCCATCTGAACTCTCATCGTTAGCTAAGTAAGGCTATTTTAGACGAAAAAAGATCTCAACTATCTAAAATATAATTAAGCATATCTGAAAAAGTAAAAGCCACACACACACACACACACACATTTGCATACATATACACACATATACACACATACACATGCATGTGCTAATAAAGTTTGACATAACAATAGTTAGTAGTACTAACGGTCATACATTAATTTTGTATTCAATTATCAAAAGAAGTATTTCCTTAATGCTAAATTCAATAAACAAAAAAAAAAAAAAATAAAAAAAAAATAAAGGAGCAATTAATTAATAAGGATTCTACTCCCTCCTCCTCTTTTTTCTTCTTCTTTCTTTTCTTTTCTTTTCTTTTCTATGCCTAATAGTCTATTAAATGGATACAAATACACAAAAGACATTATTATCTTCTTATGAGCCTGGAGATATTACTTTTGTTATATTCTCGATGGCTTTAGTTTGGCTTATGATCCCTGGTATTGGATTTTTTTATTCTGGTATGACTAGAGAGAAAAATGCTTTATCACTTATTATGTGTTCTGTCCTATCACTTGTTGTTGTATCTATACAAGTAATAACAACTTATTTTATTATATTCTTAATTATTATAATAGTAACCTGTTTTTTTTTTTATTATTATTATTATTATTATTATTATTAGTGGTTTGTTCTAGGATATAGTTTGACATTTTCAAAAACAACAGTTTCATCCATGATTGGAAACTTAGATAATGCTTTCTTTAGAAATGTATTAGGTGAACCCTCTATTGGTAGTCCTAAAATTCCAGATATTGTCTTTTGTGCATATCAAGGTATGTTTGCTGCATTAACTCCTGCTTTAGTCATTGGATCAGCTGCTGAACGTGGTCGTCTGCTGCCGATGATTCTTTTCATGTTTATTTGGTCTACATTAGTATATGATTTTATCGTTTATGCTGCTTGGGGTATTCATGGTTGGAGTGGTCAATTGGGTTCACTCGATTTTGCAGGTGGTACCCCTGTTCATATCACGAGTGGCTTTAGTAGTTTAGCTTATACTATTATACTTGGTAAACGTCATGATCGAAATTTTAAACCTCATCATGTATCCAATGTAGTCTTGGGTACCGCCTTGCTTTGGTTTGGTTGGTTTGGTTTTAATGGAGGCTCTGCCTTGGCAGGGAATGCACGCGCTGCTATGGCTTGTGTCGTCACTCATCTTTCTGCTTGTACGGGGGCTATCACTTGGATGTGTCTTGATTATTATTATCGTACTCATCATAAATTTTCTGCCTTAGGATTTTGTTCAGGGGCTGTAGCTGGGCTTGTGACGATTACACCTGGTTCTGGATTCGTCAGTCCTATCTCGGCCATCGTCATAGGCTTCTTGGGTGCCATCTTTTGTTATATTGCAGTTCATTTGAAGGATCGTATGTGTTTTGATGATAGTATGGATGTATTTGCTATTCATGGTGTGGGTGGTTATGTAGGCTCCCTCTTGACTGGTATCTTTGCAGATCCCTCTATAGTTGCCCTGGATGGTCATTCAAGCCCTCCACAGATCGCTGGGGGTTGGGTATATGGTCATCATTGGATGCAAGTCCCTATTCAACTCGCTGAGGCGACTGCGGGTGCTGCCTGGTCCTTTACTATCACCTATATCGTTTTATACATCATGGATCATATCCCGGGTCTCTCACTTCGTGTAGATCATCAGGTTGAGCTGGATGGACTTGATATCACTGAAATTGGTGAATTGGCTTATTCTCAAGTCGATACATTGTTCTTTAACGGTGATAATCAAAGGATAGTGTCAAAGGTAGTTGATAGAACAGAAGTATCCGTGAATGAAGGTGTAATGATAACTGACGAAAAGGACATAGATAATACTAATACTAATACTACTAATAATAATTCAAATGCTTCTCTTTCATTACAACATACAACTGCTTTAAATTAATCATTCTATCTTACTACCGTATGATCATCTTCCTTCTCTCTACCACACACACACATACATACATACATACATACATAAAATAATATCTACATATTAGCATACTATAATTCCCTTAATATAAAATCAAGTTTTCTTTTTTTTTTTAAAAAAAAATAATAATAACAATAATCATAATCATACATATACTATATATACACATTTTTATATGTTTATTACTGAGCAATAAAAGAAAATAATAAGTAGTAAACAAAAATAATAATAAAATGACTTGTAATTATATTTTTACAATGAATGAGCTAATTTGACAATCTTGCTTTACGTTTTTTATCAAGATCAACAACATAATCATATCTTTCTTGAGTAAGATTATTTTCACCAAATGAAACAGCAGCCAATCTATATAAAAGAATATATATATAAGTCTAATCTAATTCCCATATTTATATACATGTTATTCTTTTACCTAGCTAAGTTCATTCGAAGCATCAAATCTTCTTGTGAAGGCAACTCTATACCTTTCTCAGAAGCTACTTTACGTTCATTTACAAAGGAACTTTGAATATACTATTAAAAAAAAAGAAAAGAAAAAGAATTAAGAATAAAAGATAGATAGCTAAGCTCAATAAATTACCTCAGATACAGCATCAGAAATATCATATTGTAAATATTTAGCTGTATGAATAAACTTTCTGAAAAGATTTAATGTTTCGTTTGAGGGCTTTTCTCTGTTATTATTTTCAAGAGAAATAACAGTTTCAAGAGGAATAGAGCAATGATTCTAAGTGATTTATAGTTAGTATATCGTTCACTTTTTTTTTTTTTTTTTTTGTTATATAAACTTACAGGAAGCATTGATTTTGAAGTAGATAATGAAAGTACATTAATATCTGTATCAAAATTGTATTGACTATAAGGGAACTCGTAAGTTAATGTTTGGTGCTGAATCAAGTTTTGAAGTGCTTGGAAATTTCGAACACCTAAATCTACAAGTTTTCCTTCATCTAATACAGTTTCATCCACTAAAAGAACAGTACCATCTACTAATTGAAGTAAACCGGCTTCTAAGTTTTCGTTAACACTCTTGGGCGAAAATCGTGTCTTGTTAAGCATATCGATTGTCAAAGGTAAATTGACTGAATGGACAGTTAAACTCTCTAATACATCTGCTACTGTTTTTGTTACTGGATTATTCAAGGCTAGCATTGAGTTCTTTTTATCCGATTCAGTTGTTTTATGTGAAGAAAATCCACTCACGTTCAAAGTAAAAGATCCAATTTTCAATCCACTGTTTTTGAGAGTACTAATATAAAATTGTTAGTATTATTTTCAATAAATAAAAAAAAAAATCTGTAAGATTTTACATTCTAGATAATAGTTGTAATAAAACAAATTCAGCTGCCAACTTATCACCACCTAAAGCGTGTATAGCAATATAGTCAATTAATTGAGTGCGGATATCATTTGCCTGATCCATAATGTCGTCATATTTAGCAAGAGGACTACTTTGAGCCTCTTCAAGATTATTATAAGCAATGGCATGAATAACGGGCATGTCTGAAAATAAATTTAATACTGATTCAAATTCATGATTTGCCTCCTCCTCATCTTGTTGTCTCTGTAAATCTTGTCCACGGATACCAATCACTTCAATTAATTGTCCCACTTTAATTGATTCACCCATATCATTGTAAAATTTAACAATAGCTGAAACATGAGCTTGTTCTGGTAAAGGATATTTTTTGGTCGAAATAGTATTCGATTCTTTGATTTCAAGTTGATTCATTCCATCACTTAATGAATCTGAATTTAAATTATGAGCATTTTTTGACCATTGATTCTCACCAGGTGGAGAAACACAATAAACAAGAGTGCGCTCACAAAGATGTTCGTTTTGAATAATATGTTGATCATTAAACTAAGTAACAATAGGTGATTAATCTAAAACATTCAACATTTCAAGTCGATCAAACAATCATATATTTACCTCTGTATCCATTGGCTCATCCGTATAACGATTACAATGTAATTTTGAAACTCCATTTTTGTCTAATTTTTCATAAGCTGAAATGAACATTTCTTGGCCTAATCCTGTATCTTGGATCATGCAACGAAAACGAACTAAACTATTCTTAGGTATTTGTTGAACAGGTACATCATTAATTGAAGTAATCTAAAAAAAAAAAAAAAAAAAAAAAAAGGACAGAATTAGCTAATGAATGAAGTTAAAAAAGAAAAAAAAAAAAAAAAGATCTAAATCATTACTTGTTGTTTGTTGGTTTTTAATATATCCAAGAAAGCAGGTGAAGGATCAAATGTGGCAGGTGAATTAGTAGGATTTTTTAAATGTTCATCTATTTAAAAATAAGTAAATCACTCTATTTTATATTAAGTAAATAGATCTAATACCAAAAAGTTCAGCAATATGATCTAAAGGTTCTCTCATCATCATTATTAATAATCTATAGATTAAAAGAAAAAAAAAAAAAAAGTGTAACAACAAGTGGCTTGAAAAAAAAACAAAAAAAACAAGCATAGCAAATCGAATCTACTAGTTTACAAACTCAGTGTTTTGTGTTCCTAAAAAAATGTTACAAGTAGATATGTAATGATGAAGTTTCTTTCTCCCTTCCTTTCTTTCTTCTATTTTATTTTTGTTTACTTTATTATGTTTTTTAATAACAACAATAGTACAAGTAGTCTAAGTACAAATAGTCTATTAAGTACGAGTAATAATCAATTTACTAATCAACAGTCAATAAAAACAAATTATTTTAACAGTCATGGTGACAATTGGTTGGATAAAGTGTCTTTATCAGACGTTACTGTAGGAGAAATACTCAAGACTTATAAATATGATACTGAGCTATTAAAGCATATCCTTATAGCAAAAACAGAGGAGGATAAGGTGAGTGTATGTATAGTTGAATATAGAGCAGAGTGTAATTATTTTATAGAGAAGAGGAGCAGAAGAAATCAGAAGAGCAGAGGAAGCAAGATTACAAACTAAATTCATTGACTTACAGCTTGACCAACAACGTAGATCATCCTTATTTCTAGATGAATCCATCTCACTAGGTATATATTATAAAGGTCATTCTCTATTTCTATGAAACTTATTTTTCTTTTCTTTTGATCATAAGGTTTATCTAATAAAAACGATTGGCTAAACACAGCAGATAATAATACCCCACCTTCTCCAGTAACTCATATTCCAACTTCAACTTTATCACCTTTTACTTTATTTGATGTACCTTTTGCTGATTTACACTTATCTGCACCTTCTTCTCCAGAGCCTAATAAGTCTTCGTCGCTTTTAATAGAAAAGATAAACTTAACTGACAATGATTCTTCAAAGATATATCAACAAAACGATATAATATCTCCACAATGCTCCTCTACAAAAAAAGAGAAAAATTCCTGTAAACGTACTTTATCTCGTACTCGATCTACTCGAAAACCTTCTATTAAAGTAGTGTCAAAAAAGAATCGATCTTCAGTAATTTCAAATAATGATGAAGAGGAAATAAAAGGAAAAGAAAATACAAAGGAGGAGACTGAGACAAAAGAAGATATTAACATAAAAGAAGGTAGCAAAAAGAAATCTTCTTTACTTAATCATGATAAAGTAATGGAAGCTCTGAGAGCCAAATTGCAACGATCTACACAACAGCAAAAGGAGCAACAGACTGAAGGAAGAGAAGGAATTACAAATATGTCACCCTCAGGTATATTGTTACTTGATTTAAAGAATCCTAAAAAGCTATTTCCTATTAAATCCATTAGAACCACTTCTCATACTTCTGTCGTTAAAAAATCGACTTCATTATTTTCTGAACATAATCCAAAGGATCAAAAACAGCAATTATCATAAATGGAATGAAATAAATATATTACATAATAACTCTATTAAAAAAAAAAAAAATAACGGATGAATCCTAGTTAAGACTGACATTGAAATAATTTGTGCCTTAAATGGAGTTTTTTTTTTTTTTTTTTTTTTTTTTTCTTGGATGGATCTTTAAAATAAAAAAAAGTCACTTGGTTTTTTTTTTTTTTTTTTTTTTTTAACTATTTTTTTTTTTTTTCCTCCCATTTTTTAATTGTGATCGATGGTAGAAAATAAAAAGAGACAATTAGCTTCTGATCGTTCAGTAGCAGCAAAGAAGCAAAAGAAAGAAGAAGCAAAAGAACAAAAAGAGATTGAACTTGATCGACAACAAGACGAAACTGTAGCAACCTCTATTAATTATGATTTTGATTCACTTGATTGCTGTGAACGTACAAAGAAAGCTATAGTTGAGCTTGGTTTCCCCAAAATGACGGAAGTTCAAGCACGTACCATTCCTCCCTTAATGGCAGGTCGTGATGTACTTGGTGCAGCCAAGACTGGCTCTGGTAAAACATTGGCCTTTTTGATTCCTGCTGTTGAGATGCTCTATCGTCTTAAATTTAAGCCTAGAAATGGTACTGGTGTTATTATTGTCTCGCCTACAAGAGAGTTAGCTTTACAGATCTTTGGTGTTGCGAAAGATTTACTTAAATACCACCAATTGACATTTGGTATTGTCATTGGTGGTGCCAATCGTAAAGCTGAAGCAGATAAATTAGTGAAGGGTGTTAACCTTATCGTAGCTACACCTGGTCGATTGTTAGATCATTTACAGGTAACTCTATATATACACATATATGTATATAAAATGGAATATTAAATCTAAATTTTATTAGAATACAAAAGGATTTATTTATAAAAATTTAAAAGCTTTAGTCATTGATGAGGCAGATCGTATTTTAGAAATCGGTTTTGAAGATGAAATGAAACAAATTGTTAAAATCTTACCTTCTGAACGACAAACTATGTTATTTTCAGCTACACAAACAACCAAAGTGACAGATTTAGCTCGTATCTCACTCAAGAAAGGACCACTCTATATTAATGTACATGAAAATCGAGATACATCTACTGCAGATGGTTTGGAACAAGGCTATGTTGTTTGTGACTCTGACCGTCGATTTTTATTACTATTTACATTCTTGAGAAAGAATATGAAGAAGAAAGTGATTGTATTTTTTTCAAGTTGTAATTCTGTTAAATATCATGCTGAACTACTGAATTATATCGATGTACCCGTATTAGCTCTTCATGTAAGTGTGTGGTGGTTTTATATAATGAAACAGCTTAAACAGTTTGCTTACAAAATCAAATAGGGTAAACAAAAACAACAAAAACGTACAAATACTTTCTTTGAATATTGTAATGCAGAAAGGGGTATTTTATTATGTACAGACGTTGCAGCAAGAGGTTTAGATATTCCTGCAGTAGATTGGATTGTTCAATTTGATCCTCCAGATGATCCACGTGACTATATTCATCGAGTAGGTAGAACAGCCCGTGGTACAAGTGGAAAGGGTAAAAGTTTGCTATTTTTATTACCAAGTGAACTTGGATTCTTAAGATACTTGAAGCATGCAAAAGTACCACTGAATGAATATCAATTTCCTGCAAACAAGATTGCTAATGTTCAGGGACAATTAGAAAAATTAATTGAAAAGAATTATTATTTGAACCAATCAGCTAAAGAAGGCTATCGATCCTACCTTCAAGCTTATTCCTCTTTTAGTTTAAAAAAGATTTTTAATGTACACAATTTAGAACTTCCTAAAGTAGCAAAAGCATTTGGTTTTCCTACGCCACCTAAAGTAAATCTTGGTAATATGTTTAAAAATGTAGTAGAAGACCAAGAGAATGAAGAACAAAAGAAGAAGAAGAAATAAATAAATAGAATATGAATAAATGATTAAAATACAAGAAGATCTTACCTATCTTTTGCTGTGTGAATGTAGTGTGGTGTGGTGTGGGGGAGGGAAAGTACGACATTATTAAATTTGAGAAACTCTTGACTTTTCATTGGCTTAAAATCATTAAAATTTCTTACTCATTTTAATTCTTTTTTTTTTTTTTTTTTTTTTTTTCTTCCTCTCTCTCTTATATATAATATTTACGTTAAGGATAATGGTAGTTGATTCAGCATATAAAACACAAATGAGATTCGCACATGCTCTGTCCATTGTTCGAGCTATTCCACCTCATAGTACTTTGCAGCCTGTAGTTGCAGATAAACTTCAGTTCTATGGTTTATATAAACAAGCTTCAGAAGGAGATATAAATATTCCCAAACCTTCTTCAAGGCAAATTGTAGATTATGCAAAATGGTAAATTAAGAATTTACATGATTAACTACATGTATTCAATTCTTTCCTATTATTTAGGAAAGTATGGAGTCGCATGAAAGGCATGAGTCCTATTGAAGCACAAAAGTTATATGTAGACTCTTTAGTTCAGTTATTAACACATGTACTATTTGAATATATATATATATATATGCATATATACATAATATATATACTATTTGCTGATTTACATAATAATAGCTTATACAACGTTATCCTTATCATGAACAAACTCCTTTCCTTAAAAAAGCTTTACATAGTTTAACTATAGTAGACACTGATGATATGAATAGTACTCATCAAAATAACCAAAAGAAGAAGAAAAAGAAGAAGAAGAAGAAGGTATATTCTATATGATATGATATTAGGCATCTTATATTTATTTTAAGTTTTACTTGTAAAGAATTGTTTCAAGACGCTTATGATCCTACAGAATTTGAATTACAAGAGCACTTTTTAAATCAGTTTGAGCCAGATCAATTAATACAAGAAAGTCACTTGATAAATTCACCGCCAACGTCCAATATGAGATCTTATTATAATCAGCATCATCCTAATTTTTCTGAATTTAGTCGTTATGAATATCCTTTAACACCTATCACTTCACCTAGTCAGAATTTTGCTACAAATCAATGGGTATTAAGCCAAATTCATCACCATAATAAGCAGCCTCCTTATGTTCAGCCTATGGATCTTTTACTACATCAGCAGCATGAATTATTATCAGAGCCAGATACGATTGATCGAGAAGTAGCAGCTACAACGGCTAATCTAGCATTAAAATCACCTACCTATTCACCTTATTCAGCAAAGAAGCCATTAAAACAAAATAGACATCATTCCAATACGACTACATCATCTATGTCTACCACTTTAAATAATAAAAAGACAAGCGATAGGGCATTGGAAAAACTTCAAACTGAGGTTACTGCAATAACAGAACAAATCGATAGACTTCGACATAGTATCAAATTACGTGAAGAACGAGATCGACAAAAATCAAATTGGAGTATCTGGAGAATAACTAAATTAATCTTAAAGCATTTATTAGCTAATTCAATCATCTTTTCCCTTGTATTTTATTTCCTTTGGAGAAAGAGGTCACCTATTGCTTATACAATGATAGGTTATTTAATGCCTATTATTCAGAAAATGATACGTAAAATATTATTTTGGAAGCTTATCATTTTAAAAAAATAAAATGATTCACATATCACACACATGTACGTCCTTTATTAAATGTATGATAATCACAATGTAGGCTTATTATCATTAGCATTCCCCTTTCTCATTATATGACATATTACCCTTACCTCCTTTCTTTAGTCTAAGGGATATAAAAAAAAAATGTATAAATTTCAGTTTCATTTTCTTTCTTTTTTCTTTTCTTTTTTTTTCCTTTATTTTAATAAAATATCCATGTATAGCTGTCCAGATTACTCAGAGTAAATTTGTATATTTTATCAGAGTAATACTTAATACCTATATATAAAAATATATTTGTAGATATTCTAAAATATTTCATGAACCGGGAAGTAATGGCCCATTCAATTTACCTTTTCAACGTCCTATTGAAGCATGTAGGAAGTTTACCAGTTCAATCATAGAATCAGTTATTAGCAATATAACATCAAAAGTAAACATATATAGATGTATACATACATTATTGTTTTTATTTTAATACATACATGTATATACTACATAATAGATGGTTAATCTCGATTTGGCCCGTTTATTTACAAATGCTTTCCCGAATACATTGGATACAACTATCTCAAAGACAGTATGTGTACTAAAGGAATCAAGCAATAGTGAGTGTCATCAGCCTCTTTCATATATTATTACGGGAGATATTAATGCTATGTGGCTACGAGATTCAGCAAATCAGTTATTACCTTATATAAAGTATATTAAACAAGATTATAACCTTAAACAACTCTTCTTGGGCCTTATTTATATGCAAGCTCAATTTATCAATATCGATCCATATTCAAATGCTTTCAAAGAGCCTAACAACATGGAAGCAGTTGCAAAGTCTATTGCTTCTGCTTTTAGTAAAAGAGAAGTTGTATTATTAGATGGAGGTAGTATTATACTATGCAAAATATATGAATATATATAATGGAGGAGAAGAAGAAGAAGAAGAAGTCTCCTTGTTATACGTGTAAAGTTTAATTTTTTTTTCTTATCTTCCTCTCTCTCTCGCTCTTTCTTTTTCTATCATAGTTTTTGAAAACAAATGGGAAATCGATTCATTAGCGTCATTCATGAGTTTATCATATCAATATTGGGATCAATCAGGTGATGACTCATTTGTTAACAATACTATTTGGATGAATGCAATAGAGTCTATCATAAAAACAATTAAACATCAGCAAGAGCCTACATTTGATTTATCTACAGGTCAACTATTTAAAAAAAAAAAAAATAATAACCTTGCTTTGTATTATTAGTATAACTTTTTTTTTTTTTGGGGGGGAATAATAATATTAGGTGAAGTATTAGATACAGATTATACCTTTTCACAAAAAACGGATAGAGCTACTGAAACGCAATTCCTTAATGGACGTGGACAACCTGTAAAGTATACTGGAATGGTTAAAAGTTTATTTAGACCATCTGATGATGCCACTGTGTTTCCATTTTTTATACCCGGGAATGCTATGCTCTCTGTAGAATTAAATCATATCACACAATTACTATCTAAATCATCTGCAAATCAAGTTTCCAAGATACAACGTTTAGCTTCTGAGGCACTGCAACTGTCAAAGGAAATTAAAGAATCTGTTTATAAATATGGTGTCGTGAATCATTCAATCTATGGGAATATATTTGCGTGTAATATAAATAATTGCACCTTAAGATACATATATCATTTTAATTTATATATTTATATACATATATAGATGAGGTGGATGGGTATGGCTCCTCTCTTATTATGGATGATGCAAATATACCCTCACTTTTATCACTTAGTTTGATTGGATTCGTGGATTCAAATGATAAAATATATCAAAATACAAGAAAGTTGGTATTATCTCATGATAACCCTTATTATTTCTCAGGTCCTCGTGGTTCGGGTATTGGTGGTCCTCATGTATGTTCTCACTATCAGAGTCATATAGACATCATCATTTAATGCATTTTCTATTCGTTTTGTTTTAGGTTGGATTAAAATATGCTTGGCCAATGTCACAAATTGTTCGAGTAATATAAAACCCAAGAAATATATATGTGTATATACATGTATATTAATTTTATTATTATTATTATATTAGATCCTTACCTCTTCTGTTGATGAAGAGATAAAACAAGCTTTAGATACAATCGTGTCTTCAACAGATAATACAGGATTAATACATGAATCATTCAATGTGTATCAACAAGCAGGAGGGGATAATAATCGTGGATATACTCGATCTTGGTTTGCTTGGGCAAATGGTTTATTTGGCCAAGCCATACTTAAGATTATGGATGAAAGACCTCATCTTTTAACCATAAAGAAATGAATAAATAAATACATAAATAAATAAAAATTGTATCTTCTTTATTTTAAATCAATAGAATAGAGGGAAATAGGAGTTATCTAAATTTGAAATTAAAGAAACTACTAGTAATTTCGTAAACAATAGCTTTTATCTTTGTTATATAAAATATGATTTCATCTTTTATTATATATAAAAGAATTCATTTATGAATGCAATGTAGAAAGAGAAATAGAAAAGAAAAAAAAAAAAAAGAGAAAGAGAGAAACAAAAAAAAAAGTTACACATAGATTTATTCTTGATAATCTTCCTCTTCAATTTCTTCATCTTCAAGAATGTCATCTTCATCAAGATAATCTTCGTCATCAATAGTAGCTTCTTGGTATTGCTGATATTCAGAAACAAGATCATTCATATTAGATTCAGCCTCTGTAAATTCCATCTCATCCATACCCTCACCAGTATACCAATGCAGAAAAGCTTTTCTTCTAAACATGGCAGTAAATTGATCGTTGACACGTTTGAATAATTCTTGAATCGCTGTACTGTTACCAATAAAGGTACCTGACATCTTAAGACCTACAGGAGGAATATCACAAAGAGATGTTTTAACACTATTAGGAATCCATTCAACAAAATAGGACGAATTCTTTTGTTGAACGGCCAACATTTGGTTCTCAACCTCTTTTGTCGATAGACGACCACGGAAAATCGTAGCGACTGTTAGATAGCGACCATGACGAGGATCAGAGGCGGCCATCATGTTACGTGAATCAAACATTTGAGCTGTCAGTTCAGGAACACTCAGGTTACGATATTGTTGAGAGCCAAAGGCAGTTAAGGGAGCAAAGCCAACCATAAAGAAATGTAGACGAGGGAAAGGAACCATGTTGACAAATGTCTTTCTCAAATCACTGTTTAATTGTCCAGGGAAACGTAAACTGGTAGATACACCAGACATGACAGCAGATACTAATTGGTTTAAATCACCATAGTCAGGATTATTCAGCTTCAAAGTACGGAAGCAAATGTCATACAGAGCTTCATTATCAATGCAGAAGGTAGCATCACAATTTTCGACTAGTTGATGAACGGTCAAGACGGCATTATAAGGCTCAACAACAGTATCAGAAACCTTGGGAGAAGGAACAACTGAGTAAGTACAAAGCATACGATCAGGGTATTCTTCACGAATTTTAGATAATAAAAGAGAACCAAGACCAGAACCAGTACCACCACCTAAGGAATGACTTAATTGAAAACCTTGAAGACAATCAGTATGTTCAGCTTCTTTACGAATAATATCTAATACTGATTCAACCAATTCTGCACCTTCCGTATAATAACCTTTAGCCCAAGAATTACCAGCACCTGATTGACCAAAGATAAAATTATCAGGCTTAAAGAGTTTACCATAAGTGCTGCCCCGAATAGCATCCATAGTAGCAGGCTCAAGATCAACAAGAACAGCTCTAAAATGTAGATACTATTGATATACATATATATATAATAACTTTATAGAATATTCATATAATGCTAACCTTGGTACATATTTATTGGTAGAGCCTTCATTATAATAAACATTAATACGTTCAAGTTGTAAATCATTATCACCTGCATATGCACCAGTAGGGTCGATGCCATGTTCTTGACTGATAGTTTCCCAAAATTTTTGACCAATCTATATGATATGGCATTAAATGATGTTTATTCATTTTTTTTATTTTTAACATTTGTTTCAAAATAATAATAATAATAATAAAAATCGCGCCGCATAAACTACTTTTATTATTTTATTTCATCTCTTTTTGTACTTGCCTGATTACCACATTGACCTATACATTTATTTATTTGTTTTTTTTTAGATGAAGAAGAAGAAAAAAGAAGGAGTAAATATAAAATTGATAATTTATGGTTTACAACTTACCAGCTTGAACGTGAATAATTTCTCTCATGTTAGTCTATAAATGAATGATTAGACAATCAAATGGAAATTAAAAAATAAAAAAAAAAAAAAAAAAAAAAGATGAGGGTATAATACAAACTCTTTAGATAAAAAAAAAAGGACTTAGAAAAAAAAGGGGGAAATAAAAAAATAAACTATTTTATTTTAGAAGAACGGCTCACACGATTATAAGTTACATTGCATAGACTAGTAGCCCCTGTATGCTTCTATTTTTGGTAACTACCGTTCACCACTACTATTGTATAAATAACCAGTTGTAAATCATTCGACTTGAAAAAAATAAAATAAAATATATTATACAAGTGAGTGCTAGTAGAGTATAGCAATGTATACATCATTTAAGAAAGTTAGGAATAGTGTTCAACCTTTTGGTCAATATATTCACCTTATAAATAGTGTCATTTCCTCAAGATAACTATAATGTTTTTTATTATAATTTTTTGTATGTGAAATATAAACTGTACATTTGTTGGTTTAGCATTTCAAATACAGATATAAAGGAGAAATGCTATTATTAAATAGCTTGCAAGATGCTCAGTTTTTCTCAGACCAGTTCAGTTAGTGTGATGATAGAGGCAAAAGAAAAAAAAATAGATGTACAAACCAGGTTGGCGGATATTGGCAGTTACAAAAAAAATGGTTGTTTGTCGATCCTACAGCAATCCTCGTCTACTCTGCTTCGTCTGTTAGTGTGGTATGGTTCTCAATAAGTAGAAAAAAAAATTGAATTGGCAATATTAGTGCTACTGAAATAATCCTTATGCTGTTGGCTTAAAGTAATATTGTTCAAATATATATGCATTTTTACTCCAGTTTGCATGTGGGTTGACACAGTCTATAGTATGACCTCGCTCAACTGATCTCGTACTAGAAGCTTATATGTCTGTGTCAATATCGACCTTGTTCATTTTTGTTTTTAACTAATTTGTTACTGTAGATGGGCCGACTATAACGATATATTTTTTCACGTCGTTATTCAAATATGTTAGGAATAATGTGTGATTTACGAGTAAGTTTTCTCTGATCTTTGTAGTTTGTTGAATAAAGAAGTTAGTGTAGGATAGTAGTAGGGCATAGCTCAGGGCCAACAATCTATTCAAGCCAAGTTGATTCCATATTGGTTTCTTTTGCCTCGAAAGAATGTAATATTACTGAAACTGACTTTTGATTCTTTAGTGTGATGTGTACATTTCGAAGCGTAAGTCTGCCTATATCAGAACTTGGTTTTCCTATTGTTGTTAAGCATAATAATGAAATTGTTTTAGTTATAGTTCTGTTAAAGTAAGAATTTGATAATTATCCCATGTTGTTTTTATGTATTTAATGCATATATCCGTATCCTAAGCAATTAATTTAGCTTTGTTTTAAAACTGATTTTGATCTTATAAAATGTTGTTAAATTGATATTTTTCTATTTTTGAAGTAAAAGTCTTATGAGGACATGGTATTTTTTATGCTGTTTTTCTCCCCGTCAGATCGCAGCGCTAAAACGAATGGAAAACCGCTTTGAGGTTAAAGGGAATTGTCATGATCTAAAGTTGAGCAATCTTTAGAATAAAATAGTATCTGACGTTCTATATGTACAGCACGACGCCTCTGCATAAGGAGGGTGATCGTTTAGATGGATGCTAGTTAGTTATATCAGAATGACGCTGATTTATGTGGAGAAGGGCTTTGACAAAGGGTTCCCCAGGGCGGTCAGAGGATATATGAAATTGCAGTTAAGTTGTTCGTCTTCAATAAAAGTGCACAAACACTGGCAATGTTCGTTGAATCATAAAAAATAGCGTTAGTAAACATCAAACAACAAATTATTTTCTCATTTTACTATTGTTAACTTTTACGAATGCAGCTTTTGTGCTGCTGTCGACTGGGACACTATACCTTTTGTCTAAATTTCCTTTTTGAATTCGTCCAGAAAAAAAAATAACTTCGTCCAAATTTAAAGTGTAAAAACTGTATTAACCATCAGATTCTTACAATACCAATGACAAGAAGTGAACGGTTTCGTTGCGCGCGATGGCGACTTGGTTGGTTACCTCTTGGTAAATCCCCAAGCCTGCCCCTTCCATCCAAATGAACTCTTTATACGCTCACATAGTTTTTCTTGTTTGCATATGCATAACCGCCTTCAGATGCCCCACTCTCTTATCTCTTGAACCTACTACCATCAATATTCCTTACTAAGAAAGTGAGAAAATCAATTGATGCCTGGCTCATACGCTGGCCTTCTATATGTGTAATTCTGCTTGGAGATGGGCTATCTCGCTCACTCCCAAATCCCTGAACCCTCTGACTATCATCTTCTTTCAATACAACAACGATTTTCTGATAGTTGATTATCATCACTCATACATACACTTCAATATTTTCCCCTTTATATCCCAAAAGGGTTTTTTCTTTCCTTTTTCTTTTTCCATAGCAATCTGATCAGGGCAAAACAGCATATAGATGCTATGTGCTTATTGGACATTTTTTAATTTTTAAATAAAATTTTTCTTTAATCGCATTAATCACCAATATAGTGACGTTATTAAGAGTATATATAGCTGAATACTACACTCCTCTTCCATACGTATTATATATTCCTTTATTCTATCTTACTCAACATAAGTTTATTGATTTTAAAAGAAGATGAGTAATCGTTTTATACTTATCATTTCTACTTGTCGAATAATCAACGTAGAAATTTCTTTTGCTGAAGTTGGTTTAAAGAAGCCAGAACTGGAATCAAAAGCAGAAATGAATTACTTGTTTCAGTCAGTTGAACTCAAAACTCTCATATACTTTCCTTAATCATTTTTTTTTTTTTTTTTTTTTTTTTTGTCTAATATGGCTTATAATATCATTTCCATTATGAAAAATTAAGATGAGTTATACCTAAAAATATAATAATGCATAAATCACACGTGTAATAAAATTAATGTTTATAGCGTTTATAGCATAATCTTTCTAGACCTTAAAACGTTTAAAAGACCCAAAATAATCAAGGTTTTTAAACCTTATCACAATATTACTTTATATGTATATATATATATATATATATATATCAGCTTTTCTAAAACCAGTTAGCATAATTGTTGAATAATGAGCAATGAAGTAATAAATGTAAAGTAGTATGTATAAGCAATGGTAAAATAAAAAAAGCGAATTATAAAAATAGTAGTATAAAAAACCGAAATTTGTATATAAAAATAATTTTTTTTACAAAAATAATCTATAGTTAAAATTATTATCCAATCAATTATCACTACTATCTTTAGGAAGACATATTTATGAAATGTCAAAATAATATATACAATAGCCCAGTAATGTTCTCACTATTACAACCTACTACTATATTCCTTATATAGTTGTATCATTTTAAAGCTTCATAATATTTAATATATTTAACACGTGAATAAGTTATATAAATATTTATTTATATATTTGCTTTATATTTTAAATACTAAAAAAGATGAAGATGAAATGTATTTTACATGCATGTTATTGGATTATTATGTAATATATATATATGTATAACAAAAGGTATTATATCCAGCTGGATAAACGCATTGATATGCTTCAGTTTTCTTCTTTTTTGATATCAAATGTCTTGATAGGAATAATTACATTTTTGTCTCCTTTCATAAATGCATCTAAACGACTGTGTGAGATACGACCTGTAAAGCTACTTGCTTTAGCACAAACCCCTGGACGACCAGCAAAAAACCACTGAGCGTTCATGGCCACTAATTTATCGACAATACCAAGTACACTTCGATCTAATGGTAAGTTATCTTCAGATGAGGTAGCATTAATAGGTAAGATATGCCAATTCTGTGATGGTAATTCAGCATAAGGAATTTTGCCATTATTTATGGATGTTAATGTGATATTTGTATGCTCGTAAAGATATTGAATGGCTTCATGATGTTCAGACACTAGTTGTTTAGCATTAAAAGAACTAGATTCAGGTCTTGCACCAGTTGTATTTAATAAATGAGGATAATCAGTTAGTAAAAACACATTAGGTGCCTTCTGACTTGTAAGTTGACTAATTTTATCAATTAAATCTTTTGCGCATGGTAATAAGTTGGATACAGGTTTTAGCGTCTCCATTCTCCAATGAATTGCAACATATGGTTTTAGTTGAGAAGATATTTTATCCGCAATCTCTACCCATTTTTGATTGTAAGGTAAAGGAATATTTGCATCCTGATCCTCAATAAATTTGTATCTATAAATTGGGTATTGTTAATAAAAAAAAAAAGGGCTAAGATAATAAAATATATGCTTTTTTGTTTTGTTTTACCTTCTATCATAAAACAAGTTAATGACATCGACTGGTGGTGGTGGTGATGAGGAAGAAAGTAAATCTGTTGCTTTATTATTATTTATTCCATGGTCCTCTTCATTAGGGGATAATTGATCCTTATAAGTAAAATATTCATATTCTCTTGCTTCATCACTTAAAAGATTAACGAAGATATTTGTTATATTTAAATCTAAGGGATTGTGATGGTCTGGTACTTGATAGCCAACAATAGGTCTATTGGAAAAGTCGAATGAAGATTGGAAACAATTTTTAGCTTTTTCCATTAATCTAGATTTTCGAACGCCTTGTAAAAAGATTTCTTGTGCAGTCGGAATTGCACCCGCAAAACGCCGTTCAAGAACCCATTCTTTAAAATCTTCCATTGTTATATACTTAAAATGCTCCTTATTATTATCCAGCCATGACTGATCATAATAGAATCGAAATGGATGAGGTAAACATGATCCAAGATGTGAATTATGAACATTAGGGAGCACAATTGTTCTACCTAATTTACCCGCTAAAAAAGCGATTTGTCGAAAATGAAGCTGAGCTTTTGATTCTATAATATGTATAAATGTATGTATGTATATATACATACACTATTAGTATGCATGTATGTAGATAAATGGTATAAAATATACCTTGTTCAGAAATGTAAACAGGTAACAAAAATCGACATCTATCTTGACCGCAATACCGATTATCAATTTCTTTAAATACATTATTTGATGATATTGTTTTATTATTTGAAATATCTTTAGGCCATTTATAAACATATTTCACCATTGAAGGATAAATAAAAGTATTCGATTTTAATGAGCTGCTGTATTCAACATTTGTAGATATTTCACGAAATGAATAGAGTAAGGAAGGTAGTAATAATGAACATAAGAATACATTTAATACAAGAATGTATTTTCTTATTGACTCTTTTGACATTTTACAATTAATCAAAAGAAAAATAAAGTAAAGTAAAGAAAGAAAGAAAGAAAGAAAAGATAATTGACATTTAATATTAAATATAACTAATGATGATGATCAGTTTCACTTCTTTTTTTTTTGGATCTAAGACTCATAAAACAGAGAGCTTTGTTTATTATTAGCTGCTATTATTTAGTTTATTTATTAAACTGCTGCCAAGATCTGGTCGCTTTTTCGTGTAACTGACCAATTATAACATCATTTGTCACACATTTATGTAATAATCGCCCATCTTTTTAGTTTAAATACAGGCAAATAGAAAAAAAAAAAAAAAAAAAAGACAAGCTTATCTATAAATAGTATATTTGCTTATATAAATGCAAAGCTCTAATTTAGCATTTTGTCTGCTGCTATTATTTTATTCAAATTACTTTTTTACATACAGATAATAAGCTTTTTCTACTATGGAAAATTTCTCTTCTTAGACATATTATTATCTGATACTATATTAACATTTCACATTACTAAACCTTAACATGTCTGGAATATTAAACGAAAGTTCTCTCAATACAATTCCCTGTTTTGTTGTATCTAAATAATATTATATTATTATTCTCTATGTTTGGTAGTTACTTATTTACAGTGATGTTCTACATTTCTTTTCTTTTCTTTTTCTTTTTTTTTTCTACATATAATTGGAAGTGATTTATTTTAATTACATAATTACATAAAATGAGTGAGTTTAAAAAAAAAGGAAATAGGTGAAGGGGGGGTAAAGAAAGGAATTTAACTCTGTCAAGTTCATTTTCACTACCTGTTATTTTATTTTATTTTTTTTTTTTATTTGCTATGGCTAAGTTTCAAAGTAAACCCTATTACAACCAAAGTATATTCAGTCCATTAGCAGAAAAAGCTAAAAAAGACCATTTTTATATTTTGGTTTACCTTTTCTTACAATTATGGTGGTTGGTTCATTTGGTCTTTCACAATTAACACAAACTAAATTTGATCATAGAGATAGAAGACATACTCAAGTAATTTGTTTATATATATGAATATAAGTAGCTATATATTAATATCTTTATAGATTAAAAAAGAAGAAGCCTTAGGCATGGATAAGAATAGACGTAAACTAAGTTTACAAGAAGAGTACTTTGTAAGCCTTATATATATTCATATATTATATGAATAGTGTATTTATTCTATTTTATTTAAAGCGTTTACAAGCAAAAACAGAAGATGAATGGGAGCAAGTTAGAATTACTCGACCTCCCGGATCAGGTGAAAAATAATGTATATACATATTTTTTTTTTATTTTAAATTAGCAATCATTTGTTGAAATTCACCCGATTGAATCATTTCTTTTAATAAATCTAAACCACCTATTAATTCACCTTTTACATAAATTTGTGGATAAGTTGGCCAGTCTGAAAACACCTTTAAACCTTGTCGAACCTGCTCGTCAGACAAAATATTAAACGTACTGTATTTGACATTCAAACCATCAAGCAGTTCGATTACTTGCTTTGAAAATCCACAGCGAGGTTTTTCTGGAACACCTTTCATAAAGACCATGATATAATCTCTATAAATTAAATCTCGAAGGCGAAACTCAAGTTCATTGTCATTATTGATAGATGGTTTATTTTGACTAGCTGCATATTTTGATACTAGATTTGACAACTCGGCTGCTTTAGCTCCTTCAATCTTGTCTAATACTTTATTTTCCTAAAGTTTTTTCTTTTATGTTAATTATGAATTGGTAAATGCTTGCTTGATTATAGTAGTAACCTGAACAATTAAAAAGCTAGGTACTGAATCAACTTTCATTTTAGTGACAATATTGGGAAACTCATCTACTTCAACCTATTTTTATTTGTTAATTAATATCCTTATTAGTTGCATTATTTCATTTTTTTTTTTCTTTCCTTTCTCTTTTTTTTTTAATTATTTACATTAATGTAAGTCAAAGAAGGAAATTTAGTTGATAATTCCATGATCACTTCATTCATTTGTTGACATGGTTCAGCCCATTTAGCCCAAAAATTCATTACAGTAACTATGTCTTTTTTTGAAGCAAATTTATCAAACTGTCTTTCTGAAGTAATGTTATATACAATAGGCATTTTGCAATAAATGTAAGAAAGCTAAAAAAAACTAAAAAAAAAAAAAAAAAAAAAAAAATTGATATGTTTTTAACTCAATTGTTTGTTATCTTAATTTGGTAAATATATCGAGTCATAGTCAGACCCACATTAAGAAAAGTAATATTCATGAGTTATTTTTTGATTCTAGACATTTTCATATTCAGTAATTCATAATTATCGTATTTGCAGCTTTTATTCAGTTGCAAAAATATTCATGTTAGCAATAAATGATCATTTCGTTAAATTTGAATATAGATGAGCCTAAAAGTTGCCTAATTTGATACAATTTCCATATTTAGTAAAACATACTTATCTTTACGTATTTTTGAAGCTCTATTTTTCGTCTCTCTCTCTCTCTTTTTTTTTTTTTTTTTTTTCTTTTTACAGCAATGGACATTGAAACACGGCTTCAAAATTGCATCCATCACCCTCAACAAAAAGAAAAACTTGAAGGGTTCCATAGTGTATTAGGAGATATTCTTTCAAGTCATAACCAAGTACAACAGCTTCAAGATTATATTGAAGCTGTTTTAAACGAACAAGTTGGTTTAGTCATTGCACGACAACTCTTATCTGAATTCATTAGTTTATTCAAAAACAAAATTACAGATCGTAATATACAAAAACAGCTTTTATTGTTTGCTATCGATCGTGCTCAACCTCGTGCTGTTAGTTTCGAAGAATCTGTAAGTTATGATGTATAAAATAAACATTTTGTTTATTTATATTTGTATATGTTTATTTTTTCAAGTTATCTCAATTAAGAGAAAAATTAGCAAATGTATATGAGGAAGAAGATGATTATTTAAGTGCTGCTAAAACTCTACAAGGAATTCAACTTGATTCTGGACATCGGTAAATTGAAGAAGGCTTTAAAATTGAAAAACCATCAATGATATTTATTTTCTCTCTCTCTTTATATTAAAAAAAAAAAATGAAGTACGATTTCTGATGATTACAAGCTTCAAATTTATATTCGTATAGTTAAATTACTTTTAGAAGAAGATGAAGCAACTCAAGCAGAGGCATATCTTAATCGTGCTGCTTTATTGATTCCCAACTCGAATGATCCTTTATTAAACTTGACTTTCAAGTTATCACAAGCTCGTATTCTAGATGCTAAACGTAAATTCCTTGAAGCCTGTACAAAATATCATGAACTGAGTTATGTAAATCAAATTAAAGAAGATGAACGAATATTATGTTTGTATGTGAACTGTTTTGCCTATAATAATAAAAATAATAATAATAAAACAATTATACTTACTTGTTTCATTAGAACTGCTGCTGTACAATGTGCTGTACTAGCAGGTGCTGGTCCTCAGCGTTCACGTAGTTTGGCAACTTTATATAAGGATGATCGAACCCACCATTTACCCTCTTTTTCGATATTGGAAAAGACCTATTTGGAGCATGTGATTCGTCCTGATGAAGTATCTGAGTTTGCTGCTTCACTTAAACCTCATCATTTAGCTCGTTTATCAGATAATACAACTGTATTTGACCGTGCTATGATAGAACATAATTTATTATCAGCTTCTAAAATTTACAATAACATTACCTTTAGTGAATTAGCAGCTCTGTTGAATGTTTCTCCTGAACAAGCAGAACAGGTTGCTTCGCGTATGATTTGTGAAGACCGAATGGTCGGTAGTATAGATCAAGTAGAACAGTTAATTTCTTTTGAGTCAGGTGGTGCTGTATTTGAAGAACAAGCTACAGATTATAATGCTATTAGTGCTGCTGCTGCTGCTGCTAATGGTGCCATACAAACAACTAATTTGCGAGTGGAGCAAAGTATGTTGGAAATTATGAAATGGGATATAGCTATTCAGGTCTTATGTCAAGATATTGACGCTGTTATTGGTAAAATACAATCAAAATATCCAGACTATGTATTATCTAATTTTAATAATAAGGCTTAAAAAAAAAAAGCAAGATACTGTATATTATAAAAAAAATCGAGAAAATAATAAAAAAGAATATCATGTATAACTTGAAGAGATATAGGAAGATTATGTAACGAATAAAGCTACTTTTATTATGTTGAAAAAGAAAGAATGTATACAGAGTAATAATAAGGATAGTGGAAGAGAAGAGAGGAGGGTATTATATAGTATACTTGAATATAGAATAACGAATTATATAAATTTATATACAGTTATCTACATATGTGTATGTATGTAGATAACTAAACATGATTATTTTGAAGAATACTTTCTATACATGCATTAATATAATCTTTTCTAGACGCCATTGATACACCAAAAATATGTTGAAGTTCTTCACGGACTTGTTTTTTAGTAATCTTGTTGAGATCTGCTTCTTCTAAAATGCGTTGAACCTCAACTAGAATCTCTTCATTCTTGGGTCCAAAGTTATCCCCTATCGTAAAGCCATCCATTTTTAGGGATTGACTACTATCTACATGAGCCGGCGATTGCATAGGAATATATTGACTAGGTAATAGATTATCATAGGACTGTGCAGGTGCAAATGTTGCCATGGATCGACTAGCTGGAAGCATTGACGTACTATTCGTATATGGCATCATAGGCATAGATGTAGAAGAAGGGACAAGAACACTTTGACGGTCAGCTGGGTTACTCGTAACCATTGGATATTGGAGCATCCCTGAAGAATACATACTCATATTATCTAAGCTACCTAAAGCCCCAGCCAATGGATTATTATTGTGAGTGGAATAAGATGTTATGTTATTAATCGTACGATTTCCACTTTGACGACTATGATGCGTGTAGGCACTACTACTTCCTTGAGACAAATTATCACTCCAATGATCCTCTGATAGTAAAGCGCGTTCATATTCGGACCATTTCATGGTAGGAATTGATTTAGGGTCAAATGTACCTTCATCAGCAGCGACTGCAACCTTTTTACCTTTCTCACCTACAACAACACGTGTATTACCCCATGAGAAATCATCAAAATGCCAGTAGGCATAAACTGGAATATAAAAGGAAAAGACTGGAAGAGCAAAGATTGAGACAATCAACCACATTATAAACTCCCAACGACCTTTTATAATAAATAGTAATGCTTGAAGACCATAGGTACCAGCAATAGTTGCAACTGAAATAATTGGAATATTACCATCTGAGGTAGCCAACGTATAGATTAAATATCCCAAGTAACCCAGGAGGGCAGGCATGACCAATGTACTCACCAAGTCCAGCATAACAATAAAACGCATCGAGAAACAACAGAAACCACATAGACGAGGCAAAAATACAAGTTCACCCAAGTTATGGATGGTGGAGTTAATCCAACGACGACGTTGTGAGACAAGAATACTCCAGAGGTCAGGGGCATTGGTTTTACAATGTGCATCAGGGTTAAATTTTGTCTTAAAATTAGAAAAATGCTTCAAAAGTAAAGTTGTCAAATATCTATCTTCGCCGAGATGTAAAAGATTCTTTTTATGCAAGGTGTCCACAATATTGACTGAATAATCATCAATAATTTCATTACTACAGAATAAGGCTCGTTTCCCATCTACTGTTCGTATACGATACATAGTAAAGCAACCTGGTAAACAACTTACAGTAGAAAATAGGGATTCAAATGACTTAATTAAATGATGAGATATAAAATATTCATAGACTTGAATCATCGTGACCCACGTATCCTTTTCATTTTGTAATGTTGTTTCTCCACAGATACCAATAATCTTAGAATCATGCACGGCACTAGAGACTAGATAATTAAGACCATCACGCATTACTTCCGTATCAGCGTCGACCATAAGTACGAATTCATAAAAATTAGGACTTATACCAATAATGTTTTTCATTTGATGATATATCTCCAATTGAAGAGGATTCATGGGAGCATCATAATGAATACGATTTAGGAACTGCATTAATACTAATTGAGAGTCCCGTTTACCACGATTACCAGGCTTTTGGCGTTCACGAGGATGACCACATTTAACAACAACTATATAAGGTACAACATGACCTGAAACCTCGTACAGACCTGAATAAATCTTACCCATGTTATGCTGCTTCATACCTTCTCCAACAGATACAAATGATAGAGCCTCTGGGTCTACTTGTGAATCGACACCCAAGATGTTGAGCACGATACGAGGGGTAGGTAAATCATTACCACTACCAACAATCATTCCGTCACAAATCACAAAGAGTAGTTTACGTTTATCATCATAGTTCAAGGTAGCTAAAGAATCAATCGTCTTTCGAAGTGATTCTTCGTCTTCTGTGTAACATGTTACCTGACAAATAACAAACTTATCATGCTCTTCAGGATCACGTTTACCACCAATACGAATGGCTGCCATAAATTTGAATAGAATGACAGAGGACAATAATAAGGTAACAATGAGCAGCATGTAGGTCGAAAATTGACATTTGGTTGAATTTCTTGAATCCAAAAAGCCTACAAAGAAAAGATTACGAAGGCAGACTAATTCACGTTCACGAGAAGCAGCATTAAGAGATAATTTATAAAAATCTTTTGTAATGTCTGATCCTGCCTTTTGCTGAAAAAGGCTTACAACCTCTTGGGACAAGAAATCTGTGTTGATATCTGTTGGTATGTCTTCTCCAGGGGGTCCACGTAGGTAGCGACCACCCAATGTATATGAGGTTAAATCATAAATATGGTTATCAATAACAGCCCAAGTACGTAACGTCCTGATGCCATTTATAGTAGTTGGTGTCTTGGCTTGATCAGAGATGGCCTTGTATTCATAACCCAAATGGCCAACTTTGTAATTTTTACGTAAGAGAGTCATTTGATCATAGTACCAATTTGGATTATATGAGTCAGAAGAATATCTAAAGTCATGATATTGGCCATTCGTATCAGTCAAATTAACTTGATAATCAACAGAGACATAAGGTGAAATGGGCGTACCATCTACACCCTCACAAAGAGCAGAGACTTGAACAGGGAAAAGATTAGTTATATCCTGACCAGCATATTGCATAACAATAGATGTAGGTACAAGATTAGCAGGATAATGTCGCGGTGCAAATTTCTTCAAATCAAAGACCTCACCACGAATGGCAACATATGCAGTTTCAGCATCTACATTATGACTTTGCAACTCTGCATTTGAAAAAATATGCTGCTTAGGGCAAACAATTTCACCAAAAAAGACCAAAAACCAAATGACAAAGGCACACATTAAAAAAATAATTATGCATAATGTGACTTTTTCACGCCATGCAATGCGAACATCTTTTCTCTTCATTCGACCACACCATATAAGGAATTTGGATGGAATCCACCAGGTTGCAAAATAAACAAAGAATAACCACCGTTTACGAGCACCCGTCATTTTTGTCTCATCTTCTTCGTTTGCATTTAAATTTTCTTCAACTGTTTCTTTAGGAACACCAAGTGGATTCTTTTGTTCAGAATATACATAAGACTCTGATCCAAAGTAAGAACCTTCTTCTTTTTCCACGTACTGCCCTGAGTCTTCTTCAGAATAATAAGATGCTTGATCATCTCTGTGTGAAAAATATTGTGAAGGAAGAGGAAGACCAGCTGCGGCTGCAGTGGCTGCAAATGGATGAACTTGTTGGTGTTGATCTTTTTCAGCATTTGTATCGATGTTACTATTATTTTGACTTTCTTTAGCTTGATGTTGTTCAATTTTTTCATTATAACGTACTTGATCTTCTAATTCTCTCCAAGCCAATACACTTAAAAATATCTATATTATATACATATACATATATATAACGGATAAGGATTTAATCTTATATATATATATATATATACATATATATCCATATAATATGTATGATGAATAATGAATGTATAATAGATTTTTACCCTATTCTGAGAAATACACATATCATTTGTGGTCCAATTCATTATTTTACATATAGCATCACATTGTGATCGAGTTAAACGAGTTTTATCTAGTTCATTAAATAAATATGAATATCGTTCTAGAAATTCTCGATGCGGATACGATTCTATATATTGAATTGAGGGTAAAGATGATATGGATACAATCTTCATTTGTTCAAGTTGGTGAGCAACATATTGAGAATCAAATGTATTTTTAGTAGTATTCGACTGTTTAGGCAAGATACAGAAAACAATCCACAGTTTTACTTCTTCAAATGATTGAATAAGTTCATCCATAGCAGATTGTATCTGTTGTAAAACAGTGATAAATGTTGAAGAATCTGATGAGTCCTTCTTTTCTAACAAATAATCATCTTTCTTACGAGTTGAGCGACGCTGTGAGGGCTTACGAGTAGGCTTAGCTGATTGTTGAGCCCCAATAATAGCTGAATCATGTTTTGGATGACTTTCTAGTTTTACATTTGCAAACATTTCTACAATAAAAGAATTCCATGAAGGCTGTACATCTAATCCACCCTTAAATAAGGATACAAAATCCACAGATATTTGGTTGTTGTTTTTGACAATAAAATTTTGAGTTGAATACTGTACAGGGCTTGAACCATTATAATGCTGAATGACAAAACTACGACTATTAGTCTCTGTATTTGTGACAGAAAATGCAGGATGTGATGTATTGTACTTTATAAGTGAGTCCATTATATTATCATCTGTATAGTTACGCTTAGAGGTATCTGTCATTGTATTAATCAAATTGCAAATGCCTCTACTAGAACGAGTAAGGAGATCTATACAACTTCCATCAACAGTGAATTCAGGGACTTGTACTCCTTCAGCTTGAAGAATCTCAGTCTCTTTTATAAATATATTTTGTTCGAGGTAATATTGAATACGCTCATTCATCAAATTGACGCAAAACTGATCAAAACCTGCTATTATGTTGTTATTTTGCTGAAGGCCGGGAAAATCTAGAACTCCAATAAAACTATTAAAGTCATCTGTGCAAATTCGATTATTGATGCGTTCAATAATCCAAGAGAACAACAAGGAATAGAGTGTTTGGCATAGATTATCACGTTGGACAGAGGCTTGTTCAGCATTCAATATAAGTGTGGTGAAATCTTTACGAATCATGGTTGTCTTGAATGTCAAAACATTTTCTAAAGCACGGGGATCAAGCCCCAAGAAATCTGCTACTATCTCTAAAAGTTCAACATTCTTTACAAAAGCTGCCTCTTGTGTACCGGTACCAGGAGGGTCAACAAACACGAGGTTACCAAGATGAAGAATAGTAGCCACAAGCTGAATAATTCTTACTATATGCTCCTTTCGAAACCCACATATTTTTAAAGCTGATTTGAGTTGCTCAAAACGTAATGCATCCTCTTCATTATGGCGCTTTTTATATTTTGCCAAATATTGAAAAGAAGAAGGATCTGAATTGGTAATCTGAAGTGCTGTCTTTTCCTCTGGTGATATGCCATTCAATAAATAATAAAATATATTGAAGTTACCATCAGTTAATGACTGTCCAGTGACACGGGATTTTTCCAAAAAATAATGTAGAGTCTTTGCACCTACCATACGACCACGTTCATTGAATTGAATTTCAACATAATAACCAAAGCGAGACGATTCTGATATATTACTTTCGGATTCTCCAAAGGCATCAAATATCTTTTGCGATTCTATAATTTGTGTTTGAACCTTTGATTCCTTTTTATGACTACTAAGTCGTACCAAATGCCGGATACTTAATTTACGGATTTCGGACTTTCCACTGCCAGATTCCCCTCTAAAGTAAAAGAGAATGAATATTTATTTCCATTTTTGCTTTTTTCCAAAAAAAAAAAAAAAAAAAAAAAAAAAAAAAAAAAAAAGTTACCGCATAACAATATTTTGGTCACTTCCAGTTCTTCTCATATGAAAGTAAACTCGATTAATAAGCTCAAATAAATGGGGATTCAATAAAGAAGATTGTGCTGAATGATGTTTTGAAGCATCCTTATAAGAAGCAACATACTCTAAACTTGTTTGATCAGTATTAATAGCAAGTTCTTTTAATGGATTTATGGCAACAATATGACAAGATCCAAGATTGGTATATATTTTGCAAGCATCATAACGTGAACGTAAACATGAAGTAATGTCTTCCTTTGTTAGATTTTGTATTGTTGATAAATCACTTAGATTTAAATAATTTGAATCTGGCTTTGCCTTCTTTAATTTCCCCATATAATAGTTGAAAAGAAAATAGGAAAGAAAAAAAGGTTTATATAAAAGGGAAAAGGAATATTATTTATAAAAAATGATAGTTACACATTAGTAAACAGAAAATGCCAATAAAAATTCAACTTCTCCTCTTCTTGATTTGTAACACAAGATATAAAAATAGATACATTTTTCTTGCAGTATTTTGCCTTTGATCAAACCAATGTAATTTTTTTTTCAACTTTTAGAATGAATTTTTGACAGTCAGTATAAGCTTTTGACTATCAATAAATGTACAGTGTTTTCCTTTTTATTTTAATAAAAAAAAACATTAGACTATTATATTCACATTCAGGTTTTTTTATAGAACATTTGAACTAAACATAATAAAAGCTCTTTTGAAGAACATCTATCCCAGAATATTGTTACATTTCTATTTCTAATTTTGACAGTCTTTAATATAGTAGCAGTAGTGCATGCAGAAATAATTCTTGGGGGTGGTGGATAAGTTGATCTATCTTACTCGGTTAATGTCTTGTAGTATTTTTTTCTAACATTCTCCAATAGGGATAAGAAATGACGAGTAAGCTGGTAGGAAAGGGGACTTATAACCACATTTTTTTTTAGTCGCTTCTATAAGACAAATAAGAGTGGTGAATCCTGCAATTACGTATCAAAAAGAAACCTCCTTTTTAGGGTGATACTGTAACAATTACAGGCTTATCTCTATGAGACCAAGTTTATTTTCGTATCTGATGTACATTAAATTCTGACCTATCCATAAAAGTACAATTTGTCAGATAATCTGCATTAGTAGCCTTCCATAATGTTATAATATCAAAATATATTTTTAGTATTTCAAATGCATCTCTTATGAGATTATACAGTTCTGATTCTGTTAATGATAAAAAAAAGACCACATTTTTCTTTTGTATCTTTATTTACATCTGAAGCTATTATTAATAGGTATGAAAAACGATAACACAAATCCTTCTTCGCTTCTATAACAGTAGTTATTTGAATCTTGTCATCAATCATTTCGATGGTTGTGTCTTGTATATAGTTAATAAAATCTGTTATCTTTCGAAGGTATATGTTCTAAATGTTCTAATTAAGGTATACAGTGAAAAACAATTTATTTAATGGATACTCATAAAATTATTCTAGCTCCATTTATAGTACAGTTTGTGCCGACCAAAAAAAAAAAATAATATTTATGGACATAATAAACTTCAAATTTATGTTACTGTTACCATATTAGATACTATCAAGGTTGTAAATCGATATATATTAACATTATGAGATGGATATTTAGTTCAAATGCTTATATACATGTATATATATTTATATACAAATATAAAACAGCACATAATTCCTCCCCTCCCTCAATGAGTGTCACCTGAAATACCTGATTTCTAAAATGAAGGAATGTTGTTGGCTTAAAATATAGCCAACGAAAAAAAAGAGTAAAATTTAATTCATTTTAAGTTTGGAGGATTTTTTTTTTCATAGCAATGATAGCTCTTGTAACTTCCTTACTTCATTTAATTAGAACTGTTTCTACAGAACGTGTCCCATATTAATAGGAGGGAGAGATGATAGATTTAAATTATATGAAGAAGAACTAAAGTTTTTTTTTTTTTTTTTTTTTGAACTGTAAGGAAGCCCAAAAATTCTTTTGTTTCTTATTTTTATTTGCCTCGTCTTTGTAGTATATACGCGTTTTATCATGAGTCCATGCTTGAAGCAATATATCTTTTATTTTTCTTTTCCCTTTAGCTCTAGTAAGTTCATACTCCTCTAGTATTCCTGCCATATTCTGAGCGATGTTCTAACATTATAGAGGCTAGATTAATATTATATCAGTACACTGCATGATTTTACCTTTATAAAGCTCTACTTTTGCAAGATTGTCGACATGAGATATATTTTTGAAATCGATGTGCATAGAGAAAGAGCATCAATCAAGATTACCCGATAGAAGTTTTGTGCATAAAGATCTATTTTGTAAATTGAGTACACTTTGCCTTCAGATTTAGAAAAAAAAATGAACACATATAAAAATCTATCTATTACCATCCACAAGAATTTCAACAATAACAACAACAAATGAATGAGCTTTCAAAGTAACAAATCCGTTCAATATTCGCTTCATTTGTTGACCCATCTATACAAAATTAAAAGAGGGGGGGTACCGTGAGGAATGCTTCTTGGACTTAAGTTTACCCACACGAGTGCTATCATGATTAGACCTCACTCTAAAATATACAATGTAGTCTGTTTCGTGCTGTTTTAATAACACGTCATTTTCCTTACAATATTAATATAAGATCATTCATGTTTAACCTGTAAAAGGCATTCATTCTTTAAATATCACCATCACTATCACCACCACTCACAATTGCTATTTGGAAAGTATCTTAATACCAAAAGTTGATTTTATAACATATATAATCATTGTATGAACATGACTATCTTCAGTGAAGGAGCCAGTATATGGCATGTAAAGTCTGAGGGGGAAGAGGGTGCATTAATATTTGATGTATGAATCTGTTTATGCTTAAAGAATAAGAAATGAGTTATCTTGAGATTCTTTATTAAATTAATGTGGTAAAAAATGATTTCCATTGTTTATAACAAGAAAAGAAAATACACTAAAAGAAAATCATTCTAGTTGCCAATCTATCCAGTTAAGCAATAGCTACAGTTCATGATATAAACCAGTCCAAGTAATATTATCAATTATACAACCTATAAGTAATTACTATTAATAAATACCTATTCTAATCTTCTATACATATTTGAAAATTAATCTAACTCGATACGACAGGTGCTATGAGCAATAATAATAATAATAAAAAAATTAGTGGATTTCAAAAATAAAAGTTTTACAAGCATACATAGTATGGAACATCTTGGCTATTGTAATATTGTTCTTGTTTTCATTTTTTTCACTGCTTTATTCAAGATATTAATTGTCACTGATTGCATGACATACTGCATTTAAGCTATACACAAAGCAATTAAAGTTATATGGTTTAGTAGACTCATATTTGATAATTTATTACCCTACTTAAATACAGTTGTATCCAGTTTATCATCATTTCTCGTTGATAATAATTCAATCAATGCATTGTGTATACTAAGTCTCAAATATTTAGTGCTTGATTTATCATAGTCACTAATGAAGAAGTATATATATAAATATATATATATGTAATCTAATAATCTTTTTCTTTTGGTCCTTCTTTAGTTTTAATGTGGATAATAGGTTCCTTTATGACTGATTGCTTACAATAGTTGGATATCCGATAGTTGATAAGTATTTACTTGGGCCAAGTTTTCACAATCTTCAATTATAAATGCAAATTCTTCCACAAGTCCAAAATTCTATTATAGATGAAATCCTGTTGGATATAGATAGAGGCACGATTTAATGAAAATGAAAATGAAATTGCTTGTTGTTCTTGAACCTATATCAGTTGCCTTCTCCAATGTGGTACATACTCTTTGAGCCATGCTTTATTTTCATTTAAATATAATAAAATAAAACTTTTTTCCCTATATCTTTTTAACTAAACATTCATGTAATTCATTTTTTTTCTTTAAAAGCAGAGATCAACCAAGATGGTGATAATAATAGGATAAATATATAAAAAATTACATCATAACTTGATGGGATTAACAAGGAATGTGCATATACCTTAGGAAAATATACATTACATCTTCAGTCTTCGTTTCAGCAACGTTGACTTAATGAATATTACAATGATTTAACAAAAAAAAAAAAAAAAAAAAAAAAAAAAAAAAAAAAAAAACTCTATTTCAAACGCAAATCACTATATTTTTTTTTAAAAAAATAATATGCAATATATTAGATGATGAGGCTTTATGTACATAAATGTGTATATAACGTTAGAAAATGTTTTATTTTTAGTAAATGAAAGCGGGTATTTGAAGACAGTTACAACGAAAACAAAAATTAAAAGATAAAATAAAATAAAATAAAATAAAAAATAAAAAAAATAAATATATAAAAATAAAAGTTGCCTCCTGATCACCACATTATTCTACTGCTGCTGGTGAAAATATGCCTTTATCTCCTCTTCCTCCTCCTCCTCCTCCTTCTTCTTCTTCTTCCGTTGTTGAAGTGTACTTGTAAGATCCTTTATTTTGAAATTGACAACGATGACTACTACTGTTGTCACCATAATGATTATTATGACCATGTATATGGTGCTTGTTTTTGCAATTATGATGCCTTTTATGATGATATAAATCTACTGTTTGGTAATTTTGTAAAGAAGAAGATGGTTCCATTGAATAACTTGATACGGTCTTTTTAATTTGTTTTCTGCTGCTACAAGTACAGCTTTTATTAGAGGATGATAGTGAGCAATGATAAGATGAACTTCCATGATGAGTAGAGTGGCTATTGTGTTGTTTATGATTTGAGCAACATCTATGTCTTTTATTATTATGTTTGCATCTTTGATGGTGATTTGAAGAGTAACTTGTAGGAGGAGTGACGGTAGTGTGCCTTGAGCTGCAGTATTTCATATGGCTCTCCTTATATCCGGTTATCATGGACCTTTCTGTTTCTTGAGTGATATAACTGTTATTATTAGTGAATGGCTGAATTGATTTCCAATCTGGTTCTATTGATTGTTCTTCACTATTTTCATCGATAAGGATAGTAAGATCAGGGAGGGAATAGCATGATTTTCGTAATCTCATGTCTTTTAATTCTTGTTGCAGCTTATTCGGCAATTGAAAATTTTTATGCAACCCTATTTCTTCAGAAGTGAAAAACTGTTTACGTATATCGTTTCGTTGAAGATTATCCTCTATAGCTTCTTTTAACGTATCAGAAGAAGAATTACTATATAATTCTTTGTTATTTGACCCATTACTCTCATTAGATTTTAAAACTTGATTAACAGGCTTCATGTCTTCCCTTTTATCTTGAGACTCCAAAAGGGAGTCGGAGCCCATTATTTTATGTTCTTCAGTCTCCTTCTCAACTTTAGTGTCACTTGAAGGCTTTTTGTAAGTTTCAGGAGGTGGCGTGTCTGGTACATTAGCAGAATTATGTAACGAAAGTTTCGTAGTATGATTAGGAATGCTGCTGTGACAATGACATGAGGCTATTAGATGCTCTTTCGAACTATAATAATGTTTATGACGGTTAGTATCACATTGATGACAGCTATGCGCATGTGAGTCCGTATTGGATGATGATCGTTCATATAATGGTTTTAACAAAGCATATGATTTTGTTGTTACCAAATCATGGTGCTTTGGCTTTGATGAATGATAATGTTTGACATGATCCGGTTTGAATTGATGAGTTGTGTTTACAGGAGTGGTAGCAGCCATCGTATTTTCTCTAATAGCTTGATTCACCATTAGTTGTTGAATCTGTAACTGTTGCAACTTGTGTTGTTGTAATATCTGTTGTTCCTGAAGTTGTTGCTGTTGTATTTCAATCTGTTGTTGTATTTGTTGTTGTTGGAGCTGTTGTTGCTTTTGCTGCTGAAGAATGTGCTGTTGCTTTTGTTGTTGAATTAGTTGTAGTTGCTGCTGCTGTTGTTGCTGTTGAAGCTCAAGCTGAAGCTGAAGCTGCTTTTGTTGTTGTTGTAATTCGATTTGTTGTTGGAGCTCAGTAACTTGTTGTTGTTGAAATGGTTGATTTACTAATACTTGAGGATTATTTGAAAACCCTGAGACAGAAGCGGCAGTATTGAATTGAAAAGGATTATTATGTTTATCTGGATAGTGTAAGTGAGTCGTTATGTCATCATCGTTTATTTCCATAGATGGTGAATTTTTTAGTTCTTGACTTTTATATTGTGTTATGACTGGACTATATGCTTGCCCAAGTTGCATCATTGGATTTCGGATATTTAGTTTTGTTTGAGGGTGAGTACCTCTCATTAAACCTTGCTGTTGACTTGAAGATGGAAATCTCTGAGAAAAGCTTATATCAGGCTGAAGCTATGATAATAATTAGAACTACACAGATATATATACATGTATTTACATATTTATATAAATATGTATATATGTATACCTGGGTTGGTTTATGTCTAACTGGAAAGCTATTATTGAGCCCACTCACTTGTGTTACGGTTACATTATTGCTATAAATGTCATTAAGGTTAGAGGTACTTCTAACAATTTTGTGTACTGAAATGGAGGAGGAAGAAGGATGAGATAGGTTTACAACTGAGGCAAGGCTTGAAGGTTTAACATAATTACAAAAAGATTGTGACTGAGTAAGTCTTCTTTGTGGAAGATTGCTGTTATTCACGCCTGTAGTTATGTTATTGATAAACGATGTAGAATGCGGATCGACTCTGACGTTATTACTTGCAGTAGATTGCGTTATATTTGACATAGATGGAAATTTATGGTTGACCATTTTCATGGATAGGCCCTCCATTAAAGAAGGTGACTTTAATGTTCTTCGTGTCTCCATTCGATGTCTTTCTTTCATACGATCCATCACTGAATTTGGAGGTATAGTACAGTTATTAGATACAGAACTTGGCACCATAGAGACTGAACTGTCATTTGCCAGGGATGATGGCTGAAGTGGACCACCAACAATCTTCTCCTGAGGGCGTGAAAGGTTATTGTTGTTAGCCAGTATATCAACAGGCATTGAATGACGGTTCTTAGCAATGATATTTAATGGCATTGAATTAATAGATTCATCATCTGCGTCGTCAGAACTATCTGAATCATCTTTATCACTATCAAGTGTATGACTACCTATTTGATGATGTAGTATCTCCTTATTGGAGCTATAAAAAATGTTATCGGCAATACTAGCTGTTTGAAGATTATTTCGTGAGAAAGAAGAAATCAGGGGCTTTAGGTGTTCTTGAGATGTCTGCTTCCCTATAGTACTACCATTATTAAGTAGCATTTTGTTAGTTTTATGCTGCTCATCAGAATTTAAAGCGGATGATCTTATCACATCATCATTATGTAGTGTTGATAAGGAAGATGGTAATGGTGTGTCAAAGTTTAATAAAGTTAATGGCTTGTATTCTAAAAAAAAAAATAAAATAAATAAATAGACAAAAAAAAATTGGCAATTTAATGATAAACTAATTAAATACATTTAATACTATTAATATTTACCATTACGCTGCTTTCTATTTTCAAAAGTAGCTTTCTCTGTGTTCTTAATTGGTTTTGAAAAGTCAAGCTCATTCATTATATCATCCAAAAGACTTGATTCTGTTTTTCCTGGAGCTGAAGTGTCTAACATGAAATTTATAGAAGAAAGATCAAGTGGTGAATTATTAATATCTGAATCTTGCTGAGAAGAGGGATGATTTGCTACTTCTTTTGAGTTATCATTTGCTAATTTACGATTTTTTTTATTAAAGTTAAGTAATCCCATTTTAATATAGTGGTATTGATTTTATATAGATATATATATATAAAAGAAAGAATTAAAGAGAATTGATATAAAACGAAAGGAAAAAAAAGATGAAAAAACACAAGAGAATAAATAAATAAAGTAGAGAGATATAAATAGAGCCTTTTATGATACAGTTTTATACAAATCTATATATAAATTATAATATGCAGTTCAATACTGTATTAGAAAAAAGTCTTTAAGTATATCCATTTTTTAAAATCTATATTTATATGTCCTTTTTTTTTTTTTTTTTTTTTTTTGCGTAAGAATAAAGGGTTTATCTCCTAATTTTATTGCCAAACACGATGGTTAAAGCAACATAACTTTCACGTAAGCAATAGGGATTTCTAAAGTAATAAGAGAGATCAAATTTTACAAGGAGAAAAAAAAAAAAAAAAAAAAAAAAAGGCATTATTAATTATTAATTATTAACAGGGCAATTGATCTGTCATTTACTTTCTCCTCTTGTTGATTTCTATTTTTCCTCCCTTTAGAATCTTTGTTAAATGTCTCCTTGTTTTGCTATTCTCCCTTTACTATTTTCCTCCTTAAGCATATACATGTCATTACTACTTATTTCCTTTGTATATACTCCTATTATAAAAATGCTTGATGACTGTTGTGTTGTAGTCAATAAATCGGTACAAATTAAATATATTTATTTTTAATACTATATCAGATTGCATAATGACAAAAAATAGAAAATCATTTATAATAAATTAGGATAATTATCCGGAAAACACACACATACACACACACACACACATACACACATACACACATACACACACATTAGCTAAAACCATTTATACATGAAAATGTCTCGTTATATGTTTAATAGATATTATATAATAATTTATTATTTATTCAGAGTCTTCTTCGGATGATTCTTCTTCTGAAGCATTTTCAAGCCAATCTAAGAAAGGAACAGCAGCTTTCTTAACTTTCTTAGAAATGTCACGGTCAACATAACGCTTAGAAGGTTTCTCACCCCATTTCAAAAATACTTCATCATCAATAATATCCAAATCATATAATTTCATCAAAATAGTAGGCACCTTCTTCAAAAGGGTATCCAAAAAGTCATTACCCACAAGACGCTCAATACCACCAAGAGTAGCCTTTTGAGACTTTTCATCAACAACAAACTTTTGAAGCAATTTACCACGTTTAGGGATTTGAGAGACAATAGTTTCATCAAAAATACCTTGAACCAACACTTGACATGCCTTATATTTACCAAATACACCTAATTCTTCAGCCTTTTCGATAATTTCTTCATCTTTTCTAGTCTTATTATCTAAAAGCCAGACACCAAAGGCTTCATATTTGTTTTCAACAGCATCTTCATCGTCATCATCACCTCCACCAAATGCGCCACTACCCTTAACAGAGAGTTCCTTCATACGTTGAGCAACAGCAGCTTCACTGGTATCCTCAGACCAATCCTCAAGAGCTAATTTACTTTCCATCTTGAGACCAGCAGCTTGCTTTTGAATACGTTGAGAAATAATGTCATCATCAGATGCATTTCCTTCAGCATCATCAACAGGTGAGTTGGCATTATCATTGGCATCTTCGCCGGTATTATTAGCTTGAGCTGTAGCAGCTTTACGTTGCTTACGAACATTCTTAGAAGCAACAGCAGGGGGGTTTTTGACAATAAAAGCAGAAAGTTTATGACGCATATCAGCTGTATTTCTAGCACCACAAGCCTTACAATCCATTAAAATTTCATCATTTTTAACGATAATGTCTGTTTCAGGGTTCTTACAAGATTGACACAAAACAAATTTGTTAATAAAACCATCGAGTGTATTTTGAAGTTTAGCAGCGTCATGATCGCCATTAACAATATAACGTTCATTTTTATCATCACATTTAACTTGGGCACCTAGTTCACAACCAAAATATTTGGTAGGATCTGAGTTTAAGTTAAAATAAAAAAAAAATTTTTTTTTCTAATTAGTCATATTAAAGCCTAAAACATTTATTTTATTTTATAAACTCACATGAAGGAGGACGAGATAAAGCACGAGCAATTTCAGTCATGTTTGTAATAACAGTTTTAATACCGTTACCTTTGCCTTCAACCTAAAAAAAAAAGAATGTTATTAAAACTTTCAAGTAAAAAAAAACCCCTTTAATAAAAGATACTTTACCTTGGCAGTAATACGAGGCATCTTGTAACGATAAAAAGAATCTTGAACGTCACGTCTTACGTTAATGGTAGCCATAATGAAATAATAATCGTTTTAGGAATAATAGTAAAAATAAGGGTAATTTTAAGAGATAAAAAAATTGCGTTTTAAAAAATATAAAAAGGATTAAAAAATTTTAAATGCAATAAAATATATAAGAAAAAAGTAATTTAAAAATGATTTTAAGATTGATTCTTCTTTTTGACTTTCAAAAAATTTATTTGATGCTGCTCTTTGCTATCTTTCTTTTCAAATAATGTTTTCCAATTCAATGACATGTACAAGTTATTGACAACTTTTTTTTTTATGTTGTTCTTGTTTTTTTCTTTTGTTTTCCTTTTTTTTCTTTAAATAGCTGATTAAAAGAAAAGAAGATAGAGAGATAATCGACTTTATAAAAGAAAAGAAAAAAAAAAAAAAAACTATTTAGTCTGAAGAAAAAAAAGAAGAAAAAGAAAAAAGGAATGACTGCGATTAAATAATTTTTTAACATTACACTATTTTTCTATTACTATTTGAGACGAGTTTGAAAATTTTTTAGAAATATTTTTTTTTTATTTTTGAAAAAAAGTTGACATGTCAATAAAAATTTCAAGGTTTACCATTTGATTTTGTAGACGAAAGAAGTAATGTAAGAGACAAAAATAGTGAGACTATTTTAGGCTGGCTTCTTTTTTTCGAAGGCATCTATTCGAAATGAGCAACGACAAAGCTCGTCTTCCTCTAATGCATATACGGGTACTTCTTCTGCCGACACTTCCAATTACTTTAATCAAACACATTGAAGCCACTCGACCATACCTCAAAAGGTACCAAGGACCATAGCATCTTCGTCGACATTATTGGTTCTAACTAGGATCTACTCGTCGAGTCTCTGAATGAGTTCAACGACCCCCAACAGTCGTATTCGCGATTATATTGGCCGGGTTCCACGAGTTCATAAATACTTTCAACGTACGTACATGAAAACAATCTGGCAACGTCATTCTGAAGGAGAAACATTGTAGAATGAGACAGAGTGTGTATTTAAAAGAAATAAAAGAATAAAGAAAAAGCAAAGTAAAATAGTTTATTCAAATTGTTGTGTGGGAGATAAAATAATTATGTCTGACTATATTATATACAAATATTATGTGGAGTTAAAGTATGGATTATTCTAAGGGGAAAAGTGATGTTTTCTAATTGATTAAAATGAAACAATTATAAAGCAATATTGTAATTTTAACCTCAATACACAATCCTATTTGCATTATCAAAGTATTTACTCTAAATACGTTCTATGGCGTATTGTATTGCTTTATAAAAAAAAATTGAATGTATAATGCAAAAGTGAGGGAAAGAAGGGAAATAGAAATAAAGATACATAGAATGATAGAAGACGCAACTTTAATCAAGTTACTATGTAAATGAATGAATGGATAAGTGGTATTATGAATATAAATATAAGTATAGATGTAGGTATAAATGTAATGTAAATGTTAATATTACAATATAATGATGCATAGTACTTTACCATGCATATTTATGACAGCTAATATATTGAAATGTTCATACTACGACAAGAAGCAAAAATTCTTGGAGGCTACTTCTTGCCTGATAGCACCTTTGTTAAAGGATTCCGCAACCTTTACAGCAAAGCATAAAAACAAAAGAAATAATGAAATTAAATATAACAATTTTATTCAAAATAAAAAGGCTAAGGAAAAAAAAAAAAGAAACTACATTCTATTTCTGGATTGAGTTATTTATACTAATTTCTAGTATTATTTTGTTTCTGTTCTGGATGTTAGATGATATCTTATGTTAACTATATAAGTACCAATAAATGGCTCTAACTTCCCATATGACAAGTAATCCATGTAAATTCTATGAATTAACATAAATTCATTATCCGTTCTACTTTGAACTATATTTATTTGATCTTGACATCTATGAGAAGATCATAAATATAAAGAAGTTTATCCGATGTGCTGTACTTCAAGTTAATAATGCAGTAACGGTAATAAAGCTTGAAAGTGCGAGGGCCCCTTAAAATAAAAGTTATAAGAATTTCAATTATCGTTTTAAAAGGGATGCTATCTAAATGGCTCTATCTATATTATATGGATTTTATTATTAATGTCTTTCTAGAATGTTTTTATTTTATGGTGTCATTGCACTCATGTAATCATTGTTTATTCTGATATTATGTGATGTATTGTATTTATAACACTATGCAATTGCTAACTATTTATCAAACTGCTCAGAGAGCACAAGAAGTAAAACATTGAAGTAGCATTCATAACTTCAACAATCATACAAGAAAATATATGTACAGTTTATCTATTCACGAAAATATTGCTTTATTTTTATTTATTTTTTTTTTAAAAAAAAAAAAAATAATCAGAGTGATAGTCTTAATAATAGCTCTGCTGATAAGGGTTTTTTCGTTTTCGATTTACGTTATCAGTCGTTATTACTCGCAATATTGGGGGGGGCTAAGAGTTTTCCTGTGGATTTCGGTTAAACAGGGTTGGTTGTCGATACAACACGTTTTAAATACTGAAATGATGTCCATGATTTTGTCCATCGCGCCAAAGTTCATAGTCATTTCTTCAATTAATAATGAGAAGCGGATACGGTCAAGCTCGACCATCGTATAAAATTCTTCTGTTGTTCGCCGCACCATATAGAATGTCAGCATCATTCCCACCGCTTGTATGACCAACAAGTTTTTGCACTGGTTGCTGTCAATTGTTGTTTTTTTTTGGCGAATACGCCAAGACGTATAAGATCGGCATTCACAAGGTAGTGGCTACTTGCTGCACTCAAGGGCTTGATTTTTATATATCCTAGATACTTTTGACTGTTACCAGCAACCCAAGTGATAGTTCCATCCGTCCGACGATTGCTTGAACTGGCAGTATCAGCGTCTTTCTCAAGAAGCTCGTCAGTGAAATCAAAAAGGATTTCACCATTCGAAACCCTTTGATCGAATAGGCTCTGTAGAATAGGCTGAAGATACCGTGAGCAAAGACGGCGTTCAAGGACTTCAAGCATATTTGAGACCTGTGGCAATGTTTGCAACAAGCGCACGATAACGCCAAGATACTGTCTCAATACAGGATCATAGTTCAACGATAGATTGGAAATCTTAGTTACAGCAATTTCTTTTGTGCATTTATCAGACGTCAGAGCATGATAAATATCAAGAAGAATTACAACGAGTTCACGAGGAAACTTGGCCGCTTTCCAACCTAATTGTGACTTCATATCTTCGATTATCACTGTAGATAACCTATTTAAATGCCTGTCCAACTCAGAATCATTTGTTTGTTGATACAACAGCAGATTCGCTGAAACCGCTAGTATATGGGCAATGTTGCTCTCAAAAGTTAAGAGTCTCTTATTAACAATCGCTTCTTTTGCAGCAAGCTGAAAGTTGTAGAATCCCAAATTTACGTTAAAATCACTCACAACATAACTATCACAACATGGGGCACTGAGGTAGATTGGGAGATGGTTGATTATTAACTCGTTGGTGGCGTTGGATAACGAAGAGACAACTGTTGATATCTGGGATGGTTTGATTAGAGGTTTCCGCCTCTGGCAAAGGCTGTAGATTTCGTCTTACTTCCCATTCTTTCCAGAATTTTTTACTTTCCGTCAAGTCCCAGCTGCTAAAATTATTTTGTAGTCTTGATTTCTTGTTGGCATCGACAATCCAATTGTTTACAATAATGTTAAATTGGTGTATCAGCTGAGATTTAGTATTCTGCAAATGGGCATTAAAAAAACAAGATATGATCAAAATTGTCAGTGTTTTCCAAACACCATTTCAATTCACTTGGTGCATGTTTCTTTTTTTTCACGAACTAAATGCTTATCCATTTTTGTTTACAAGAAAAAGAAACGGTTGCATGTTTAGACTGTTATCTTGTCTAATAAAATTGCAAAAAGGAGGTATGTGCTACCATGTGTATTACTAGTGCAATAAGAGGTTCCATAAAAAAAGGAGACCTCAGCTGTAACATTAGATATTGATTTAATTGTCTATGAGCGTACAAATTATTAGAACTAAAATAGGATGTAGTAATTAAAGAAGTTGTAAAAATTGATGTTCAAGTTTTTAAGTATGATGGATTCTGCCCTATTAATTATATCTATATTATGCCATAACTTTGTGGGAAAGCTAAATACTCTCACCAGAGGTAATACATTAAAATCTTTATTGTGTTGTTCATAATTACTACATAGACGGGGAGATGCTCTAGAGTTTTATCAATTCAACAAATACAGCATGTATCAACTAATAAAGAACAAAACTTTAGCCATCAATAGTCACTAACATTGTATTATTAAAAGCAGATAGAAGAAAGACCAGTTAGAGTAAGAAAAGAGATATAATAAACATCTTTATTTATAAATTTATTAATTAACAATAAAAATTTTAGAATAATAAGTTATTTAAAGATTCTCCTTCAAATCAGAATCAAAAGACTATATTTACAACACCATGCGTCATGTCGATACCTACAATAAAAAAAAAATTAGTAAAGGTTATATTGCACAGAGAGAAAGCTGTTGTGCTTGTTACTAGGGGTTGAGTAGGTTTGTTACGCCTACCGGCCCATTCACAATTACAACGATGCAAGATGTTTCAGTTACTAGGGGTTGAGTAAGTTTTTACGCCTACCGGCCCATTCACTTAATAAATCCTAACATCTGCAACTGATCTGTGCCGTGTTGAGAGGGGGCCATACTTGTTACTAGGGGTTGAGTAGGTTTGTTACGCCTACCGGCCCATTCACAATTACAGCGATACAAGATGGTTCAGTTACTAGGGGTTGAGTAAGTTTTTATGCCTACCGGCCCATTCACTTAATGAAAATTGCATATTTGCTTCAACGGACACTTCACTAAGTAAATTTTTTTTAAAAAAAAAAACTTACATGGTTAACAAGTGAAGAAAAAAAAAAGAAAAGAAAAGAAAAGAAAAGAAAAAGAAAAATGAAAAGAGTATTTATGGAGCATGCACATTTCACACACCAACAAACCAAATATTTGAACCAATCAACAAAATATGCATGTAAATTTGTAAGTCCAATGATAGTCAATTAAAGCTCGTTTGTGTAATGGTTCGTTAGGAGTAAAATTGGCTTGAATAATGCTTCCACTTCTTTCTTATTTTAAAAATTCGTCTCAATAAATTTGACGAGTATCTTCTTACAACGACTTTTATGAAGTCCCAAAAAAAAAAAAAAAAAAAAAAAAAAAAAAATAAAATAAAATAAAATAAAATAAAATAAGATAAAATGGCGTCTCAAAATGCTCATATAAGAAAAATAAAAATGGGCAGTGAGTAGATTACCCTGACCAGTTCAAGAATATATAAGGGGTAAAAGATAAGGAGCAAAAGAAAAAAGGAAAATTATACTGTCAAGTTCAGTTGTACAATGCAGAATACTCTATCTCTTGAGCAAAATTTTTAATGTTCTATATAAGTTACCTTCTTGAACTAAATAGATTGAACTACATCAAACAAGAAGTAGACCAATCAGTATGATTAATAATAGGTTCCTTATAAAATTAGGTTTCTTTTTCTATCAAACAAAAAAAAAAAAAAAAAAAAAAAAAAAAAAAAAAAAAGTCGTTCACTTTATTAGTCAATTAAAACGTCTTGTATCAAGAATAAACAAAAATAAACATTCAATAATGATGCTTTAAGGATAATTTAAATGTTACTAAAACGACTTCTATTATTGTATATAACATACCTCTCCTTTTGCAATCTCAGTAGAGTCAACTGCATTGCCTGTCTCTAATAATTGTATTCTGGTATATGTCAGGACTGTGTTTGTTTCAACAAGCTGTCATATGTTTATTGCTTGTTATATGATAATATTCGTCAAGAGAAATTGCTCGAATTCGTTAAACCTGAACTGGAGCCCATAGCAATAAAGAATAGTAAGATGCATGGATCAATAACATCTGCTGTCATAGATTAGAAACCCCTTCTTATTCTGTTAAAGAAATAGTATAATGTATGGATTTTTAACCTATCTAAACCTAATTTAATTACTTGATAGACTTTGGATATAGCTCCTCTCATCAGTTGGTTAATGAATGATATAACCTTTTTAGAGGAAGATTATAAATTAGACTCATTACAAATATGCAATAATTATATATTTTGAATGAATCAGCTAAATAGCATTGTTAAAGAGGGATTATTATTATTATTATTGTTAGTAATTATATAAAAAAGCTTATTTTTATGTTTGACTACATACACTCCAGTGTATAACTTCAAATGAACATGTGTATCTTTTTTCTTTTAGGAAAAAAAAAAAAAACTTGCCAAAGAAATGACTTTTCGAAATTTACTTTATGAGAGATTACATGCTCGGGATAAAGTAGAAGGCAGTTTTCATGATATTATAGTCACAAGTAGGTTTTAAAAATAAGAAGTTGGCCTCGAATACCTATGTTTATATATGAATTTCTTTTTCTTCTTCTTAGATAATCGACTTCTTCAACAAACGATTGAACTTGAAAAGAGGTTCAAATTAAATTCAACTAATGCATCGTCTTCAGTTGTTGGGTAAGAATTCAATATTGAAGTGATTCCACTTGCAAAGAGTAATTTCTTCATTTATAGAAATTCAGAACAATTGCTTGAATTAGACCGCCGTATAAGAGAGCTTAATGAAGAAAGAGCAGAAATGTATAAGACGCAAAGTGAAAACGCTCAAAGACTTGTGACTATGAATGAACAACTGAGACTAAAAGAAGAAAAAGAAAATAAACAAACAGAAGAGTAATAGTTTAAAGATAATTTTGCATTAAATGATATAAATATTCAATATAACGTAGGATTAAACACTTATTAGAGAAAGTAACAAAACTTTCGGACTTAGTTGAACTACAGGTTCAACAATTGCATGAAAAGAATAATACAATCCAGGTAAAATATAAAAGCTAAATATTCATATATATATATAAAAGAAGAGTTATGTTTAATAACTTACTAATCTATAAAGATACTTCAAGATGAATTGGCTGCTTTACAGTTGGAGATGTACACTACTGAAGAAAAAAATAAAAAACTGACAGCAGAAAACCAGCAGTTGGTCGAACGTTGGATAAATAAGATGAACGAAGAAGCAGAAAAGATGAATGAAGCAACTCAATTTTATGAAACGTATAAATGATCTTTTTATTTATTTATTTGTTTATTTTTTTACTTATTTATTTGATCTTTTAGAGTACTTGAACAAGCAAGAGGAGCAGCTGATAGACAAAAAGTTCTAAAACAATCAAGGAAGAAATCTTCTTCTTCAAACAATCTTGAAAGATCATATCAATATTCAAGTATTATTTTACCAAAAAAAGCGAGTAAAAAAATTGTAAAACTATTCTATCATAATCGTCCTATTTGTATACAAATTTAGCTTTATTTATGTCCATAGAATATACATGATGCAGAATTACATTGTATTTCAGCTTCTTCAACTGACTCTATATTCGCTACAGGTGGTGCTGATAAGAAGATTAAATTGATTAATGCAAAGACAGGTCATGTTATACAAACACTGAGTGGATCTCTACAAACAATTACTTCTATTTCTTTCAATTCAACTGATGAAATGATTTTGGGTTCCTGCACAGATAATGCAACCAGAATCTGGAGTTTAAGTACACATAGATTAAAGGCAAGTTAAGCCTATAATCCAAGTTGTTAAAAACACATACTTATCCCTTTTTTTTTATTCATTTATTTAGCATACTTTAACTGGCCATATTGGAAAAGTTTATTCAGCAAAATTTACGAGTGATTCTAATAAAGTGGTAAAATAGTACGACACGAGTAAATATGCTTCAAATTAAACATATTATACATTAGGTATCTGGTAGTCATGATAGAACTGTAAAAATATGGGATCTTCAAAAGGGATACAGTAAGTATACGATATAAACATTTTTTTTTTAAATTTTATTTTGATAATTAATATTCTTAATTTTAGATATTCGTACAATTTTTACTTTTTCAAGCTGTAATGATATATGTCTTATGGATCCTGATGGTCAAACAGTAATAAGCGGACATTTAGATAACAATATTAGGTTATGGGATGCTCGTACAGGTGTAGGAATAAAAGAATTAACGGGAATTCATAATGGACAGATTACATCTGTCAGCATGTCTTACAGTAAGATTTTAACATGTATACTATGAGTATTCGTATAGCTCATTCTAACAATACAATAGATAATAATTATTTACTTACAAATTCAAGAGATAATACACTTAAAATTATTGATATTAGGATGTATGAGACTGTGAAATCTTTCCAGTAAGTATACTGATATAAGCTTTTAATTAAAAACACACACACACACATTAGTTAACTATAGACTTTCTTTATTAGTGCTGATACATATCGAAACGGACTAAACTGGTCTCGCTCTACTTTTAGGTAATAACACATACAACTTAATTATGTTATAATTAAACCGTTTATTTTGTGTAGTCCTGATGGGAATTATGTTACAGCCGGCTCAGCAGGTAAAGTGTAGCATTTTATACTTAAAAATAATTTCAATACTTATGTATTATTTAAGATGGATGTTTGCATATTTGGAATTCGCGAACTGGGAAGCTTGAGAAATCAATTAAAGAGCATAGGTATAGTTTCCTTCCCCCTTTTTTTTTCTAAAAAAAAAAAAAAGAAAAAAAAAACAAAAATATAAATTTCTTATTACTTATGCTGTATATAAATAGCTCTGCAATATGTGGTGTTTCTTGGAGTCCTGATGGTGACCATTTATATTCAGCTGAGAAGAATAAGATGGTGTGTATTTGGGATACTTCTGCATCATAAAGTTAAACTAAATAAGGATATCAAAATATATTTATTCAATAAACGTATGTATTTATTGCAATCTTTGCTGAAAATGTATAAAGTAAAATTCCTTCAAATTAAGGAAGATTTAAAATTATTTATTTTTAACTTTCCTTGCTGCCTCATAGCGTACATTCAATATTTAATGATATGGTAACAGTATTCGATTATTAGAAGCCATCGAATCCTTGTGAATTAAAATAGTCTAGACACTTCAGGTCAGTCAGCTCAAATATTGATGGTTTATAATTCAAAATTTTATAAGAGAAAAGTTAAAGCGCTGTTTTTTATTTATTATTTATATAATTAAAATAGACACCTTAATATGTATATTATTTTTAAATCATGCTGTCATTCAACAACCATTTTTTAATTTGATTCGAGTCAATTACTATACGTTGTAACTCAGACAGACGTCACCAAAGGTTAAAAAAAAAAAAAAAAAAAAAACTAAAGTTAAAGTAGATATAGTTTCCTTCCTTCCTTTTTTTTTTTTTTTTTTTTTTTTTTTTTTTTTTTTTTTTTTTTTGTGGATAAGTCCAGTCCAATAATGAATGGCATTTCCGACTTTTTAGAAAAACATCAACAGGGTGCGCGGTTTACGTTAACTGCCATTGCTGCCTCTGCATTAACAACAGCTGCATTACTCAGTTACCAAAAATATATAAACTTTCGTCTAGAAAAGGAAGAAAATAATAACACATCTTCGTTTTTAAACCAAAAGGCTATTAAAGAAAAATCAGCAATACAACATTCAAATACAATAGATATCATTGATGAAGAAGATCCAATTCAACAAGAACCCGAAAGGAAAAAGTCAATCGATGAGACATTAGTATTAGAACTGTTAGCAAGAAATATTGCCTTTTTTGGTGCTGAAGGTGTCTCAAAGATTCGTCAATCATTTATTGTTGTAGTTGGATCAGGTGCTGTAGGCTCCTGGACAGCACTTATGCTAGTACGTTCCGGAGTGGAGCATATTCGTATTATAGATTCTGGTCGAGTCCGTTTTGAAAGTTTAACTCGACATGCAGTAGCAAAAGTAACTGACGTTGGCAAGTCTAAATCGCGCATTTTAAAGAAATATTTAGCCGATATTGCACCTCAAGCTAATGTAGAATCACTACACGCTGAATTAACAGAGGATAATATTTCGAAAATGCTAGCAGGCAACCCAGATTTTGTTGTCGATACCTTGTCTCATGTAAAGGATAAAATTCTTTTGGCTAAATATTGTAAAGAGCATAACATCAAGATTGTCAGTGCAATGAGTGCTGGTTTGAAAGCAGATCCTACCTTAGTTCAAGTAACTGATGTAAGTGACTCAGTCTCAGATCCTCTTGCTCGTATGTATAGAAGACAATTAAGAAAATTCGATATTGCTTGTGACCTTCCTATCGTTTATTCTATCGAAAAGAATATAAACATAGATAAAGATGGTAATAATAAGGAAAAAGACCGATTTAAGTCTTTTTTTTTTTTTTAATTTATTATAACTACGATATTTATTATTATTATAGTTGCCGATTTTAGAACTCGTTCTTTACCTGTTCTTGGTCCTGTTGCTAGCATGTTTGGCATGGCATTGGTTACTTATATTCTTGTCCAATTAGCAGATTTTACAGCTTATAAGTTGCCTGCCAATAAAATGCGCGATGGCGTTTATACTCGTTTGCAAAAAGAATTAGCATCAAGAGAAGAATTCATCTTTAAAAACAAGTAAAACAATCAATGATAATATGATTTAGATTTGATTTATACTCACATTATTACTTATTTAGAAATAATATTTTAAATACAAAAGATGTTGGATATATTTTTGATGAACTTTGGAAGGGAAAGAGTGTTATTTCAGGAGCTCAGGATAGATCATTAGTTATGACTCGTTGGGATACCTCAAAAGAAAGCAGTATTTTGAATACAGTAGTAATGACCAAAGAAGAAGCTAATTTACATGATAAACTGCCTCAAGGAACAGATTTAGTTGCTCACTACGGAAGAGGTACATTAAATATACCTTTATAAATCATAAATAACTTATCCTATTTTATCGTATAGACGTCGTTGAAAGGATTGAAGAAGAATTTAGATTAGAACGTAAACTTCAAGAGTTATGGGATTCTTGTCAATAATAAAATATTGAAGTGCATTACATTACATTATATAACTTTAGTCATTATTGTTTTATATTTTAAAATACATAAGCATGTATGAGCACATAAAAAAAGAAAAGAAAAGAAAAGAAAAAAAAAAGACAAGCATGCGTATTATACGGTATACTATATTAATACGTATTCATGACCCTAGATTCATACATTGAGTTAAGGCAAACATTTAATAAACACTACTAACTAAATTGGTATCTTTTCAACTTCAGCACGAGCTTCTTGCCATGATTCCAAATTCTAATAAAAGATAATAGTTAGTTAAAAAAAAATCGATATAAATAGAATGAGTTACCTTTTGACAGTATCTAATGTGAATCTTTGCATAAGCAATTAACATATCACGCATATCTTGAATTTTTTCAGTTTGAAAACGATCCAAATCTGTTTGGAGTTCAGAAGATATAGTCTCCAAATCCTTCTTTGTGATATCTAATGCCTCTTCAAGCACATTGATAGCATCCTTTGATATACCAATTTGATTACGACGAGTAACTTCAGGATTAACATCAATCATGTTTTGTAATGTATGTCCTACAGCATTCATCATCTTTTTAGGTGCACTAACCCAGCCACCGTTTGATCGAATGGGTCGTCTAGATTGTATTTGTCTAGTCACCTGATAAGGATTGCTAAATTCCTCTTGTCTCTCTTCTACCATTTCATCCTGATTCGTCATTTCATCCGCATTAATAGTATTAGTATCTATTGTTCGTTCACGAGTTATAGCTTCTTCTAAGCGTCTGGCTTCACTTTCCATTTTTAATAAATTATCCAGATTCTCCTTTTTAGCATTCAGTGTATTTTCGATCATCTCCACTTGTACATGTTTCATGTGACGAAACTTGAGTACTTGCTTTATAATTTGTGCAAATTGTGCATGTTCTTGAATGGGTTCTGCAAACTTGCCTTCTAACGAAGCAACCATTTTACCTGTTTCGGTATAAGATGCATCAACTGCTTGTCCAATTTTCTCTATCGCATTAGCAACAGTGCTTGTTTCATTTAAACTAAACCCATTATAAACTGCGCCTAATTCTGCATAATCGTTTGCCAATTCTATAAAGATTTTTCTCTCTTTTACTTTATGTTTTTTTTGGGGGGGCAGGGAATAAATTCTTATTTTGTAAACTAAATATGTTACCTCCTAAACGACGAATAACTTTGCGTTGAGTTTTGTCTAAATTGTTGCTCATATAATTAGCTATTCTGAAAGTAAACTTTTCAGATTCTTCAAACCGAGGATCTGGATTTTTTAATTGATATGTAAGAGTGGGTGTAGGAATTAAATTGTTAGCTAAAATAGGATTATAGGTATAAGAAGGCGTATTCATCTGGTTACTAATAACCATCTGTAAAGGATTCTTTGGTAACGTAGAAAGTGGGGGTGAATGAAGAACATCAGACTATACTATAAATGTGAGAAAAAAAAATAGACATTTATAACTTTTTTGTAAATTCTTTTTACCCAAGCTATACTACTTTCTAAAAACCTGTGAAATACATGGTCTTTACCTAGTTGAGGATGCTTAGCCACCCTATTTAAAAACGTTTGTAACATTCGTTTTCTTTTTCAATCATGGGCAAATCATCTTTAACTTTTGTTTGCAATGCTGCATAATCAACTATTTAATTCTAAATTAGTATATATTGATGATTGACATTGCTATTCTTAGGTCTCACCTAAAGAATGTTTCTCAGGTATAGGAGGCACAATTAAAGCAGGATAAAGTAAAGTTAAAGCTTTTCTAAAAGACTCAAATTCACTATATCTACGTTTAGTTTCGATATCCTATAAAATTGTTAGATTAATTAATGTAAAAAAAAACAAAAAAAAAAAAAACAAAAACAATAGGACACTATTTTACAGAAATACGAATATGATAGGCAATATAACTTTTTCCAGAACTGGAGTCAGATTGCTTTTGTGCTCCCGTGATAAAAATATAATTATTATCTTGAAAAAGCGCACGCTCGATATTACATCCACAGGTTAATTTAAGTGAATTTCGTTGACTCATTTATTAAAGGTTTAAGAGACAAAGAAACTAAAATATGATAAAAGCTCCTCATATAAATTAATCAAAAACAAAATAAAAAAAAATAAAAAAATAGGGCGGCTAAAAAAAAAATAAGCAGCAACTCATACAACTACAGGTGAATATATGGGTGTATATAGCACATGATTTAGAAAAACTATTATATGGGGAATACTTTTGATAAATTGAATTTTTCAATGACCTTCTCCAGAGACACATTGTATAGCATACTTTGCACTAGCCAAGTTATGTAGAAGAAAAATAATAAAAGGAAACCGAAAAAAAATGATTTTAGTGTGTAAGATAAAAAAGTGGGAAGGGGGGGAAAGGCCTAAAGATCAGAGGATTTGAAAATTTAGCTACGACTTAGTTATTAAACAGTTAAGGAAAGAGTTTATTAATCCACATCAAACAATAAAATATATGACTATTTAGTACAAGTACCAAAGGTACATCATGAGAATAAAGCGAGATTGTTGAGAAGCTATTACATCCAGTAAAAGGAATGATAAAGTATCATAAACTATATTGTTGATGATAATAGAAATAGACATAATTTTATATATTTTCTTTCTTTTTTGCTCCAAAAAGAAGACATCTTTCATTATGTCAGCTGATACTATATTATTCAATAAGGATAGTGCTCAGCTTAAGAAGCATTATTATGCAGATGTAATTGTAATTATGTGGAAAAGATTGAATAAAAGCTTGTATTTTTTTCCTCAGCTATCACAATTCAAACTTCACCATAAATTGCACTAATCTCCATAGTCCTTTTTTTATAATACATTTAACTCTTTTTTTTTCTTGTTAATTGTTAATCGTGTAAATCTACCAGACGTATCCTAACGGCCCGTCTATATGTATGTATCGTAACATTTAACCTTTTTTTTTTTTTTTTTTTTTTTTTTTTTTTTTTTTACTCTTGTCAATCGTAATCGCACCCTTTACCCTTTTGGGAGTAGAGCTGTCTTCACCTTCACGTGGTTACTCCTGTTAGTAGAAGCTCTTATTGCTTTGAAGCTAAGAAAGACATTATATAATATACGTAAAATAAAGCTAATAAAAAAATACTTTAAATTAAAATGAAGTTACTGTCTGGATAATTTATTTGTGATCGAGATATTTGGATTCTATTGCTATCAATTGTAATCGGTTCTAGTCGCTATGTTTATCAGCTGTCTACAATCAAAATATAATATACTTTACCTGTATGCCTATGAGGGCCCTCTTTTAGATATAGATGAAAGGAAGAGCCTTAAATATGAACTGAACTTTCTTATACATAAAAGCTGTTTAATATTTATGAGTTTATTATTTTAAAGAAAAGGGTATAACCATGGTGATAAAAATTGTGGATTCTTCGATGTAACTTTTACTTCTGGTACACACTTTCTTACATGTTTATTGGTTTGTTCCATGGTTAGTCTAGCTTGATAAACAGTTTTTAAGATTGGTAATAATTTAATATTAATATTATCAAGCTCTTCAGGTAAAAACAAAGGATCTATACGATTAATTCGAGTAACGTATCCCATTGGTGAATCACATAAAACCAGTGAAAACTTGTTCTCTATAGGAAAATTTACCGACACTAACAGTTAATATATCAACAAATGTAAAGATTATGTAAATTATCACTTACCGAACATGAGAATAAATTCACGTACTGAATTTGGCACTATTGTATACAAATTATACAACATGCCTTTTAGTATCTCTACCATTTTTAAACGAAGCATCATATAATTCCTTCGTCTGATCTTCATATCTACCACACTCGGAACATCCATACTCTAAGTGTTGGCGCTTAAATAACAAGTCTACTTTTCTTCCAATCAACTTTCTCTTCTCCTGCTATCGCTCTGTCATTATTTCTAGCTGCAGAGGATGATTTGCTCGACTTTTCGCCCCAAAAGTATATAGAGCAGGTAATCGTTAGTATATGAAAGTCGTTAAAGTTAAATATATATGTACTAACCCTCTACAGCTTATTTTGGAATCATCAAATACAGTATCCAAAAAAAGAAAAAAGCCAGACTCTGCGAAGTATTTCCTTCTGATCGGTCAGTCAATGGCAAATGATTATATTTAAATAATTTCAAATACTCTAAAAGAGTATTTCTATCGCCCTCTGGTTTGCCCCTCCACTGCCAAACTCTTCTATTGCATGATGCGAGGGAGTCCATGGTTTTGAAACCTATTGAGTAGTCACTTGTTATCTTTGTCTCTTTTTTTCCTCTTTCTTTTTGAGGTTCTTGGGTTTTTAGTCCCACCCTCTCGTCTTAATTGATTTGTTTCCTTGAATATATTTTTAGTTCCCCTTAGTTAGCAATAATGTTTAACTAATAAATACCATAAATTTTCGCCTAAAAGAGTATTTCGTATCCAGTCAGAAGCAGGATATTCCAATTCTTGAGTGAATTGTCTTTTTAATGAGACAACATCAGTAGAGTTTTGCAAAGATTCAATATACTCATTAACATTAGAAGATAATTCAACTAGTTGTTTTATCTTATAATTTTCAATTTCATCAATCTCTTCATTGGTCAAGTACTTTTTCCAGTTGATATCACTCAAGTCTAATATCATTGAGTGAACCAAACTAGAAAAAAAAATACTCACTAGTATGTATCTTTAGAAATATTGTACAGTATTTACTGTTCATAGATACAGTTAAGAGCAAATTCTTTCATTTTTTTTTCTACAATAGTGCCGGTAGATAACTTCCACATCTTGATCTCATTTAAATTGTTGAACATGTGTTTGACTTTTTCTTTATCATCTGGAAGCAACTTTGACTGTTTAGTTGTACTTCCAGAAAACGTATCATAACTAGTTGTCTTTAATGAGGATAGTTCACTACCACTATTACCAACGTTTACGGGAGCTTGGTGTGCGTAATGACTAAGACCAAGTCTTTTGTCGTTAATTAAACATGGCAACATGTTCTAAACTAGGTTTAGTTTTACCCTAAGAAAAGGAAATTAATGTTTTGGCAACTTTTTACTAAAAACAAACTTACATGTTTAATATTTAAATCATTTAATACATTTAATATTCTGCTACACCAAGCTGATTTATACACAAAAAGTGAAGTTGCATTATCGTAAGATTCTATAATGCAACTTGTTAATTGCTCACATACTTTTGCTGTATTGATAGGCATTCCAGTAGAGCCTAATGTATGAATTGCAACCTCAACGTCTATTTTATATTTTAGCAAGAGTGTCATGTTTAACTATGTCAATTAACCCTTACTCTCTTCTTTTTCAGGCCAAAACGCGTCGTTTAGTAAGGTCATTATTTTACTTTGGTAGTTATAATAAAATATTTGAGCAATACTTGACAAACGGACTATTTACACAATCATTAACAAAAATATAAAAAAGTTCAAAAAAGTCAACGTCATGATGTTGAGTTTATAAATTTGAGGAGTGGGGTGAAAAAATCAGGAACAACCACAGATTTTCAGCTACTTCAAATTCAGACAATCAAGTGTATACATGTAAGTTACCTGCATCATACGTTTACTCTATCAGTATTTCCTCTCTCAGGAGAACCGTCGTCGGGAGGCATAGAGCGGACTTTTTTGGAAGTGAAGGTGGTGGTGCTTGTTGAATCACGTTTTGATGTTTCCCTTTTGAATCTAGAGGGGCGACCAAGGGCTTGCCTGTGGCTTAACACAATATCTCTAAAATTCAAAACGGCAGCCAAATCTCTATTTCAGAGTCGAGAAAGCACTAAACATTTTTGGTTTGTACATCTAGTGAAAGAAAATATAAGAAGTTGTCTTTTTTTTTATTTTTTTTAAAAAAAAATGAAATTGATGTTTATCGTAACAGGCTGTGGCACTCAACCACTGGATACTTGAGAAATTTTTTTCAACTTCCCATTTTTACATTTGGGGCAGAACGACAACATTTTGTATTCATCCAACAAGTATACTTGTAACCCTTCTTTCTTCAACATCCTCCTAATACCAACACCTTTGATAGGTTCGTGATATTTTGGATTACTGGTGTACCAGTTGCCAAGAACAAGTACACGGTCTTCACCGAATTTTTGCTTTAAGGTCTTTGCCAGACGAGCGTCTGACAATTTCCTATTGATATAAGAGGAAAGCTTTATTTTCCTGAAAGGAAGTGATCCAGGATAATCACTTTGATAATAGTTTGAAAGGAGATCACTTGTATCCCGTTTTGCTTCTAAATATCTAGACTACTTCTGGGGATCAACTGTCGAAGTGGAATGCGTAGTCAAAGACTTCTCCAAATCACTGACTGTCTTGGGCTTGTTTTGCTATCGAAATTTCCTAAATTCCCTTGACTTTGTCTCCTTAGCCCTTTGATTGCTGGTGTATCGATATATGAAGCCATCGTGTCTTGATTCGCATTTCTCACCCATGCAAAATAACATATCCCTTCTACCAGGATCTATAAATACGCACTTGTTGGTGGTAAGTTAAAGCTCTTCGTTGTTCAACTTATCGATATATTGAAGCTCGTTATTGTTTGTTTGCAAACGTTTACTGGTATTCCTTGTACCGCCTTTGCAGGTTTCCTTGTTTTATTTCAATATCGAGACCCCAACACCATCTATATGGATCATCCCACGAAACTTGAGTGGCTTCGCATTACCTTGATCTTTTAGGGCCTTGCAGGAAATATTGACAACTTTTCCTCAAATAAGGTTTTTATCTAGTTTTGTTCTTATTCATGCTTTATAGCCTTGGCACCTGATCGTAAACTAACCACGTAACATCTGAAGATAGCATTACCAGTAAGGATGTTACTTAGTTTAAACATTTGCTATCCAATCTGTAATCGATGCATCCGTGGGATATACAATTGAAAACTATTAAAGTTTGATGCTAGGTTTCCTAAGAAGCTTAAGCTTGCAAAATGTTTCAATTCCAGAAAAGAACCCAAAACATATAAGAACGTTTATCTAGCAGTAAAAAACTCTTCATACCTTTTTTTCTAATAAAAAAGACCCCCAATTCTTTCTCATTTAATTTATTGTTATTTTCCAAAATCGACAAATATTACAATAGAGCTATATTCAAAAATTATATCGCTTCGACATTTGACAACTTTATTAGTAGATCCATTTTGAAAAGAATAGTATTGAAGTTTTTTTGAAAAATGATGATTAATTCAAAATCAGGAAGAAGTCATTTCCAAATCCTCAGCTACAGAAGATGATTCTATGCTTTCGTTCATTGTAAGAAATTGCTCTTGATATTGCTTGCATTACTTCAACAATAGAGGTCATCCTATCACACATAGTGTGAATTTGCTTAGTTAGATAGAGTTAAAATAGAAGTTGTGTAGAGAAGTGGAGTTGGGTAATGGATGCGGGAGTATGTTACAGGGTGGTTATATCCACTAATGTCAGCTCATCCAAAAAATAACCTACTCTTTTTTTTTTCAAACTGGTATAGTTTGGGTACTCTCACTTGTTTATACATTCCCCATCCATTACCCAACTTCTACTCTAGCTAAGCAAACACACACTATCTGTGATAGGATGACCTCCATTGTATAGGAAATATTTAATTACAGCTTTTCTCATTAGAAAATAAGCGGGGATGCTTTAATCTGTTTTTAGCATACTTTGTTTCTTGTGAAATTATGGCCAAATCTTGTACTTCCTGCAGGTTGTCGCTACAAGTATTCGTGGAGGCTATGCTTTCAAATATTATACTTCAGAAGATGTCAAAAACGTCATAAATCGTTGTTTGATCATTAAATGCGTTCACGTAAATAAACCTCAGAAAGTAGCAGCATAGGTGCTAGCTCCTGTTAATATATAGAATTAAACTTATTTATTCATTTTTATAGATTTTGCTTAGTACATTTTAAAGAAGGATCTGATGCTGCAAATTTCTATATGACATACTCTTCTAGACATATTGCTCTTTGTAAGATTTTAGAAGGCTTGTGTATTCAAGAAGCAGTTCACAATGGAATGAAAGCTCAATATGTAAGTTTGAGATTTGCTGACTGAAGAATTATTATTCACAAAAGCTTTGTTATGGGATTTCTCAGCTTTTCAAATACGACTTACTTCATCAAATGCTTGGTGCCGTTGTTCATCTAACAATGTCGCTGAGCATAGCAATACCACTGGACATAACAATACCGCTGAACATAGTAGCACCACTAAACATAAAGGCGCTCCTGAATATGAAATTTCAGAAGATAAGAAAGGCGTTAAAAATTTTTTAATGAAACTAAAGAATGAGGCGGAAAATGAGATTAGAGCTTTTGACATTAAATACAAAAAAAGATTAAGTTACTAGAATATTATTTAGCTCTCAAATGAGTAACCTTTTTTATGAGTATTGACAATTTTATTGAAAAAAAAAATTGAATTGTCTCATTTTAGATTAAAATAATGTATGAATGTATACTACCGTAATACGTTTATAAAACTTGTAGGTAAATGGAAAAGATGAATAACAATCCCTGAAATCACTAAATTATGATCATCAGAATAAATAAAGTTTATTTTTGTACCAATATGTAAAATTAAACCGAAAAATATCCATTTTAGGATATTTTTTTTTTTTTTTTTTAATCGTCTTTTCTGTTTTTCTGTCAAGAGCCTATAATAGTAAATTAAAATGGAGATGAAATTAAGTGTTATGATTTTCGACATTTATTATAGAAAAATTGGAAAAGAGAATTTTTCCTTTAAAGTAAAACAAGCATATATAGGAAACAATTAGCATTAACATAAAATTAATATATAAAGCAAGGTCTATTTTGACTGTGTTGACTTTATTATACATTCACTTCTTTTATATAACAAACAAATATAGCCAACTATTTATATACATTTACATTTATTTATCTATTTTTTTTAACTGAATTAATATATACTATTTATTATATAACATATGGATTCTCTTGATCTTAAATTACCTAAATATATGGTCTACTGTGTGATAGTAGCCTGTCTTGGTTCATTTAGTAATGGTTGGGTAATTGGCTCTGCTAATGTACCTGGTGAAGTGACTCACTCTTGTGAAAATGGCAGTGCTCGTATCTCTAGTAGCGCCTTCCCTGATTGTCTCCCCATGAATACTAGTCTTTGGGGCTTTGCTGTCTCTTCTTTCTGTGTTGGTGGTCTTCTTGGTGGCTTCTTTGGTGGTAATATTCAAACCAAGTTTGGTCGTAAGAAGACGATTATTTTTAATAATTTGGGTTGGATACTTGGAGGTCTTTTACAAGGTGTTGCAGTAAACCCTGCCATGTTTATTGTGGGTCGTATTCTCTGTGGTCTCTCTTGTGGTCTCGGTTCCTTGGCTACTCCTACCTATGTTGGTGAAATCTCTACTATCAAGGCTCGTGGTACTATGGGTACCTGTAATCAATTTGCTATTGTCATTGGTATCTTGCTTGCCTCTGTCATCGGTCTCCCCTTGGCAAACGTTCCTCTCTGGCGTATTAACTATGCCCTTGTTGCTCTCCCTGCTATTGCTCAATTCTTCTTGATGTCTGGTTGTGTTGAATCTCCTCGTTATCTTATCTCTATTAACCGTATTGAAGAAGCCAGAGAATCACTTCAAAGACTTCGTCCTAACACAAACATTGATAAGGAATTCTATGGTATGGTTGAAGGTCAACTAGGTGCTGCTGCTGCTAGAGCTATTACTGGTATGGATAGTAGTGCCTCTGTCGCCAATAAAGATGAGACCAAGTCCTTTGATGATCAAATTGAAGATGGTATTGTTACTGCTGATGAAGGTGCTCGTGAATCCATGAACATGATCCAGATCTTTACTGATTCTCTTATTCGTCGTATTGCCCTCACTGTCCTTGCTCTTCACGTCATTCAACAAATGATTGGTATTAATGCTGTCATGTATTATTCTACTACTATCTTTAACATGTCCTTCTCTGCTGAGATGTCCAAGTACATGGCTATTGTCACTACCGTTGTCAACTTTGCCTCTACTATTCTTTCTTTAATCTTGGTTGATCGTATGGGTCGTCGCCCCCTTTTGTTGATTGCTGAAGCAGGTGCCTGTATCTTCTGTGTCTTGTTGATCATTGGTTATGTCTATAGCTTGGGACCCCTTTTGGTTGTCGCCGTCTTTGGTTATGTTGTTTCATTTGCTATTGGTGTCGGACCTATCCCATGGATGATTACCTCTGAAGTCACACCTGTCTATGCCTCCTCTGCTGTTGGTGCTGTTGCTACTGCTGTCAACTGGGCTACTAACTTTGTCATTGGCCAATGTTTCCCTCTTGTCTTTGAAGGCATTAAAGGTTACTCCTTCGCTATCTTTGCTGGTGTTGCTGCACTTGCCTTTGCTTTCACTTATCTTAAAGTCCCTGAAACCAAGGGTCGTTCCCTCGAAGATATTGTCAAGGGCTTCGAAAAGAGCTCTTAAAAAGAAAAAGCATATATCCTATAATATTCCCTTTACTTATTCTAAAATATATTATGTTGTATTTGATGTGTAATTTTTTTTTTAATTAAATCTATACTATATTTGAATTAAAGATCTTTTTGCAATAATTAAATATACTGTTTGTAATATAAAGATACTTTTAATACAATTATCAACCATTTGTAAATGAAATTATGCAATGAATTATTATCGATTAGAAGGAGAGGAATTAATGTATATGTATACACATATACATTGAAAAAAAAAAAAAAGAAAGCTGTTCTATTTCGCTTTATTAAAACACAGAGACTTTACATATGATGCCATATACATATATGTTCATATTTATTTATAGCTTGTACTTTTTTTTTTCTTATTTCAAAAGTATGTGGAATAAAACTAGAATAAACATTAATTATAAATAAAAAGAAAAATAATATTTTTTTTGATTAATAGATTTCTTTGAATCAAAGATAAAAATATGTACATATTTTTTTTTGTAGAGCTTTTGAAGTTAAATTTAAAAAGATGTTAAAATGTAATAATGATATTGAGTTTGTACAAAAGAAGAAGAAGGTAACTACAGCATATCCTTTATAATGGCGAGAACTTTTGAATTTCTTATTATGATAAACTGTATTTTATTAGTTTCCTAATATCTTTTATGTAACAGGTTACTAGTGCAATATTATAGCTTATTTAAGTAGTGTAGCACTCATGTTATACTAAACCAAATACACATAATAAGCAAATAATTGGTTGCTATTCTTTTCATACAACGGAGTATTTTGCTTGATTTATGAATGCAAACTCGACATGATATATAATGCAGAAGACAGTTAAGTTACTGTTAAGACGCCAATCAATCAATCAATCCCTTTTTTCATATTTAATTCGTAAATAAGATATTAGTCAAGAAAAGTTAATATGGCTCACGTCTAAGATTTGTTTAATTATTATTGCACAAATATTTGCCTCTTTATATATCATATTTCCAAGTAAAAAAAAAAAAAAAAAAAAAAAAATAACTCGGAATGTGAGATGCCATAAATTGTCTATCACTAGTGGCATGTTACATATAATAAAAACACAAAAAAAGATGAATAGTTATACAATCACTGGTGCTATTCAAGTTGATCTATCTTATATAATAGGCATAAATCAAAGTGAAGTGAAAGAGTATTAAAAAATACTGTATTTTGACAATTAGAATCAAAATCGAGGATGTCGGTTTTTTAACTGCTGATTATCCAAATAAGGAAAAAAAATCCTTTATTTTTTTTTTATTCGATTGGTATCTGTTCTACCTGTTTCATTTACAATATTGCTGAAAAAAATAATAAAACTTTTTTTTTTTCTTTTGTAATTTGATCTAAATTCCTTGCTTTTTTTTTCTCTACTTTTTTTAACACCTGTAGTGTAATAAAATTAAGAGCAAGGACAAAAAATTAAGCGAAAGTCAAATATGCATCTGGGATTACTTTCTCATGGACAATTGACATTCGACCCTTTTAAACCTATTATTTTGAGAGGCTTACCAACAGAGGATGCGTCTACATTATTCGCTGGTAATGTTGTTTTGACATTATCGAAACCGACAAAAATAACCAATGTTTCTGTTACATTAAGAAGTGAAGCTATTACTTATTGGCCAGAAGGTATATAGAAAAAAAAAGGAAAAAAAAAAGAGTTTTGACAGATATAAAAAATTAAGGTATTGGCGCACGTGGAACAAAGTTGACATCAGAAAAAAGTTTAGGTGAACATACATTAGAAATTTTGGCACCTAACAATGAGAAAAATGCATCCTTTTTAGTTTTACCTGCCGGAACACATAGATTTTCATTTGCCTTTGTTATACCAAATGTAACAAACATACATGTACATGTGCATTTGTTTACATATACTAACACTTTTATTATTTAGTCTACAGTTGCAACAATTGAGGATACATTTGGGAGAGTTCGACATGTTGTAGAAGCTGAAGTTCAAAGACCAGGAGTAGTGATGCTTTCAAATTGGCATATTTCTAAACCAGTCATGATCTTTAGAACCTACATGTCTAATTCGTTATTGACAAACAACTCATTACAAAGCCTTTCAAGAACATTTGAGAAACATATGCCCTGTGCAGACATAGAGGTTGTAATGGAAGCAGCTGCGTTTTCTTCTGGTGATTTATTCTACATTCGAATGATTATTGAACCTCAACTTAAACATACTCGACTTGAACATATGGAAGTGAATGTGATTGAGACAAGGCGTTATTGTGTTCCCGAAATGCGTGCATGGCGAAATGAATCAACAACATTCTCAATGCCGTTTGCTGGGTCGGTTCGATTAGCCGAATTTGGCGAAGTAGATGTAACAACGGAACTACTTCGACCTATCTTTGACAAAAATCAAAATGGACTTGAGTTAGTACATGACTTTGCTCATCGTTTATCCTTTTTCGCTCCTACTTGTCAACAGAATATTCGACATACAACTTATTTTAAGGAAATCTTGTTTCGTCATCATATTGAAATTAGTCTCACTTTATCTTATTTAGATGATACTACGGGAAATAGACAGCTAAGTAGAGTTAATAGTATTGTCTCGGAATCAAGCATTAGTGTTCCATCTCTAGCAAGATCCTTAACTCCGCCTCCAACAGCTCATGTAGTTACTAATTCTCGAGCATATAATAGCCAAACATACATCGAGAGTTTGACTACTCGATTGGATAATAGTCCAAGTAGACCAAGCTCAGTTATTACAACCACTAATTCATCAAGTTGGTCTAATGTATTATTAAGACCAAATAAGACAAAAGCTGAAAAGAATGTATTATTAGCTGATGAGAGACGTAAAGAAAGATTTACATTCGATACACCCATCACTGTATTTGATTGTCGATTAAAAGAAGATTATGGAAAGTTACCTTCTTATTTTGAATTAGGAGTAAAACCGACAATACAAGCGACAAATAAGAAGAAACAAGACATCCATCATCATACAGCAACAACAACTATGGATAAACCAAATCGACCTCATCCTTATTTATGCTCATGCTATTATGCCTTTTGTAGAGAAATGGAATTAGCTTCTAAAGCTTTATATCTATCAACTGAGACAACGCCAGCTATGCCACTCTTAGATCGTATTCCATCCATTCCTCCACCTGATTATTATACAATTTAAAGAGAGAGAGATAGAGAGAGATAGAGAGAAATTGATTGATAGATAGATAGAGAGAGAGAGAGAAAAGAGTTATATATGTTATATACCCCTTCATTATTTAATACCTTCATTTACATATATTGCAATAAAAATAAAATTACGCGATAATACATAAAGATATTTACTCCTTTTATTTTTTTTTTTTTTTTTATTAAGCATATATTTTGTGTTATATTAAAAGTTTACTGTGTATCATGTATGTTATGTTTTGTTGATGTAATTTAAGAGGTGGACACATTATCAGGCCACAATATTGAATTGTTCTATAACATAATAATAAAAGCTGCCTGTACTTAACAAGTATAGCACGTGTAAGATATATATCATTATGTGTAACATTTATTAAGGGCCTCTTCAAACTCTCAGACAATATATTAAATAGTATGAGAGGTGTATATATTATGAATAAAATAAACAAAATAACGTTATCATTTAATAGGCTTATATATGTGTATATATGCATATAATATAGATATAGATATATACATTATGTATATACGTATCTACATCTTTAATTGTACGATATCATCTTTATGTATAAAGTTTATATACATTGTATGAAATGATCTACAATATATGAAAAAAATAAATAAATAAATAAATAAATAAGCGGGGTTGACATGTATGTAAGTTGTTTGCTTGTATACATGCTTCAAGGGGAGTGCGGGATAATAAAAACATGAATTGAGGTAACCTGTCAATTAAAACTTTGTCAAGGAACCGTAATATCAGAGATGTGCACACACATACACACACACATATATATACGTATATATATAAATATACACTAAAAATAATATGTCTTTTTTTTTTTTTTTTTTTTTTTTAAATTTAGTTCTACGCTATCTTATAAACATATTTTCCTTTTTATCTTAAATAAAATAAAATAAATTATACATTTACTTATGTCATCAAATAATAATAAATCTAATATAATTGCAACACCTATTACTACTACTACTGCTGCTGCTGCTGCTTCTACAGCTTTTCTGTCGTCAGCAGTATTACCAACTCTATCAAATGATAATAATAAAGACACTTCAACATCTCGTAAACGAACCCGTGCTACACCAGAACAACTTGAAATATTAGAAAAGACGTTTACCATAAATCCTAGTCCAAATAATCGTATAAGAGAACAATTATCTCATGAATTAGGCATGTCGGAACGCTCTATCCAAATTTGGTTTCAAAATAGAAGAGCAAAAGTTAAAAATGAAGCCAAAAAGAATACATTACTTCATGATGAGACATTAAAGATGCAATATTATGCTTCTACTGCTGCTATTGCTGCATGTCAAGCTGCAGTATTTTACCAGCAAGAAAGGAATAACGAATTAAAGATTGTAGAAGATCCAATCAAGAGTAACCCAAACCTTTATTATTATTATTATTATTATTACTTTAATCAACAACAATCACGACGTTATAATAGACACCCTTATCATTGTCCTATGCAACAGTATAGTAAGCCATCGACTTTACCCTCCTCTTCACATACTTTAAAATCAATGTCTTTTACTCCTCCTCTTCCTCCTCCTCCTCCTCCTCCTCCATTATCTCTACTTTCTTCAGAATCAATAGAAAACTCATCGCATTCTGATGCAACGAGTCCTCATTCATTGACTCAATTTGATTCTCATTCTTTGTGGTCTAAAAAACAACTTCAACAGCAAAGAGCAAGAGCACATACAATGGGTCCTTCTTTTACTTCAAACAATAACTATTATTATCAACAGCCTTTTCTACCGTATTATTCCAAATTGGATCGAAGCACTTCTGTTGAATTATCTATATCAAATAATAATAATAATAATAATACAACACCAGTAGCAACTTTATCGCCTGATGCTAGTAGTAGTAGAAGTAGTAGAAGCAGTAGTAGTAGTAGTAGTACTAGTACTAGTTCAAATCCAGTTCCTATTCAAGAAAACTATACAAACATGTTAAATGATATCTCTCATGCAGCAACATCATCAGCATCATCTACTTTAGAGGAGTCTATTACTACTACTATTAAAATGGAATCACATCAACCTACTATCAATAATTTTTCTACAACAGATCCTTCTGGCTTACAACAGCAGCAAAATCAATTCATAAATAATCTAAATAATAACACACATGTTAATATATCTCTACCGTATCAATCTACATCTCCTTCATTTTTCGATCAACAAGACGTACAATTAACTTGGTCAGATGTACCTTTTTGTAAGTGATATATAATTCTATTTCAATGAATGAATGAATTTTAATCTAAATAATAGATGATAATTCTACTATGATGATGATGACGACGACGACGACGGTGGCGGCGACGCCTACAACATCTTCTTTCGTAGTTGATACTCTACCCACTACATACGAATTACAACAACAGTCTACTTATAACAGTACACAGCATCCATTCATCCAATCTATCTCAGCAGAAACTCTTCAAATAGGTACATGGAAGAGAGTAACCTTGAATCCTCATGATTTACAATGTCAATATGATAAAGGGAATAAGCTATTCAGTTGGTGTATTCAAGATGGATTATCCAAGTTTAAAATGGAGTTTCCTGAAAGCAGTCTGAAGTCCATCCAATTAATGCCTTTACAAACAAGAGCGGGTTGGGCCAGATTAGAGATGTTCATCTTATCTGCCGAACATATCTCATTTTATATGAAATCTTTACACCAACATGGTTGGGTTCAATGTCGTGATTATACTGAAGATAAACAAGCTTCAACAGTACTTTTACATCAATTAGACGGCCCTGCTCTTGCCTTAAAAGCAGAATTAGATATACTTTTAAAAGAAAACCCATACTTGGCATCTATCCTATTTAAATAGTAAAAATTCTATATTATTGAGTACTTGATTTAATACCTAGACCAAATTCAATAAAAGAAGAAATGATAGGCAATAGAAATTTAAAAAAAAAAAAAAAAAAAAAGAAAAGAAAAGAAAAAGAAAAAGAAAAAGAAAAAGAAAAAGAAAAAGTAAAGTGATCGTAAGCTATTCAAGCAGTAAAAGTAAATATGTATTGTGTTGTAAATGGCCCATCTTCTTTAGTATACTGATAGATATCTGAGGAAGGAGCAAGATCTTTGTAATTCAAATAGAATCTATTTCATTTGAATATAACTTCTTCTTTTTAAATATTTGTATACAAGATCAGAAAGAAATCATTGAATAATTTTCATTTTGTTGTTATACAGAATATATACTTTAAAAGTACACACACACACACATTCAATATTAAGTTATTGCTGACTCATCATATGTAATAATCTATATTAAAGAAAACCTGGTATATTTCACTACATTCGTTGCGGGGCCAATACTTGGCCGTAGCATTAAATTCGTTCACAAAAAAAAAAAAAATTACTGCGCTACAAAAATTCTCATGCGCCGCAAAATCATTTTTTTTTAAAAAAAAAAGAAAAAAAGAAAACTCTTTTTAATCTTAAACAGCCTAATTGCAAAAAAAAAAAAAAAAAGGAATGTACAAATTGCACTCAGAGCATGTTCATCAAGCACAACGTGCAAATCCTTTGATGCCTAGAAACAATTTATTTACTTGTTTGGCTTGCCAAGTCGCTTTTCAAACTACTGAACGTCAACGTGCTCATTATCGTACAGAGTAAAATACTATATTATTTTACTAAAAGTGAATTAGTCATGTTGAATCAACCTAATTTTTGTTTAGTTGGCATAAATACAACCTGAAAAGAAAGATTGCTCAACTTTCTCCTGTTACTGCGGAGCAATTTGCACAAAAAGTTCTAGGTAAATATATATATATATATATATCTTTAGCAATAGCTAGCTAGATCAAAATTTAATCGTGCTTCATTATAGCTCAACAAACCAAAGGCAAAGAAGAAGAAGAAAGAAGAGGACTTATTTATGAATGCATGATCTGCAGGTAAGAAAAAAAAAAAAACTTGGATGGTTTCTTCTTTCGGGGGACGTTTCATTTTTTTTAACAAGTTGTTTAATAAAAATAGAAAATCCTATTCTTCTGAAAATGCATTCTCTAATCATCTTTTGTCAAAAAAACACAAGGATCTCGAATTTAATGCTGTCAATAAGCCTTTACCCTCACCCATCGTCACACATAAAAAGGAGATGACTTTATTCTCAGATACAGATGAAGATGTGACAGATACTGATTCTGTTCTTTCATCAACCATAGATCCTCATTTATATCATAATCGTTGTCTATTTTGTAATATGAACAATGGTGATTTTGAAACTAATCTTGAGCATATGAGTCTTGTTCATGGTTTCTTTTTACCTGATGTAGAATATTTAGAGGATGCACCTGGATTGATTCTTTATTTAGCAGAAAAGATTGATGATTGCATTTGTTTATATTGTAATGGACGAGGTAAAGAATACAAGTCTCAAGATGCTGTTCGTAGACATATGGTATATAGATAGATAGATAGATATATGTATTCATGATTATATATTCTTACACTCAGTTTTTATATAGTTGGATAAAGGACATTGTAAGATGGCTTATGATGAATCAGAGAATCCCAATGATTTATTAAGATTTTATAATTTTGGCACCATGTCAGAGGAGGATTTTGAAGCAGCCATAGTAGATCCTGTGGCTAATCAAGATGATGAGTTAATTTTGCAATCAGGTGAAAGAATAGGTCATCGACGATTTATGAGATATTATAAACAAAAAATAAGAAAGTTAGAACATCAGCAACAAGATATGTTATCTATTACACAACAGGAAGAGCCCTTAGAAAAGAATACATTTGAACCACGCAATAGAAAGGAACGACGTAGTGGCCATAGATTAGCTATTACAGATGGATTATCATCCAATCAAACTGAAAACAACATGCTACGTCGTTTGCCTGAATTTATCCAAAAGCAACACTATCAAAGACAGTCTTCTAAACGAGATAACTTGGTTGTAACAAGTAGAATGCGTAATCAAACACCTATTTAAATTCCTATATGTGGTTTTGTATTATTACATTTTATAGAGTTTATATATTAGATGTAAAGAAAAAAAAATAAAGTATAGATGTCTATACCAGCTGATTCCTAATAAACAAAGTAGATAAGAATTCTGTAGCGTATATGTATTTACATGTTGTTTTATTGATAAAATTCATAGAGAGAAATGTTCAAACATTGAATAATCTACTTTTAGTAGATAGTATTTAAAAGGAATAAAATTTAAGTCTGAAAAAAAAAAAAAAAAAAAATATGTACAAGAAAAAAAAAATTATTCAAATACATTTCTTTATTTTCAATACATGTATTCATTTTTCATTTCATAATCTGCATTTCATCAAAGATAAGCATCATTTATAAAAGCTTTATTCTACTAAAAAAAAAAAACCCCCCAACAAAATTCATTTCATCGAATAATAATAAAAAAAAAAACGGACAAACTAATCAATGATAAGATCTAATCGAACATCCATGATAGCTAATGCAAGTCAAGCATCTGAAGAGCATTATAATGTTCCTATTCTTACAACCAATAACATTGTAGACATTTTAGAATCACTAGGAATTATGGCTAATGAAGATGATTTTATAAGGCCTATAGGGTCACGTATTCGACAGATGTATCTACTCATCATTGAGATGGTCATGCCCTATAGATTAAAAGTCATTGATGAGAGAAGAGAAAAAATCACTAGAGAATTTGAATCAGTCGTAAATATTAACCCACAGGGATCATCATCATCTTTAGCTCGCTCGCTTACTCACTCACTCACTCACTTACTCAAACTTTTTCTTCTTTTTTAGCCTTTAGCAGAAGAAATGATTGAATCATTACCCATTTATAAAGAGATCAAAACCTTATTAACTGAATTAAAATACAAAGATTTTAAATTAACAGACGTTACAGCACCTACCTCAGACCGTATACGAAATATCTTTAGTACATTATTAGATTTTGTATTATTTAGAGACACAAAGATATCCGAATTTGATGAGATTGCTAATAATGCTGTAAGAAGTAGTTTATAGATAAGTTGAATTATTATTATTATTAATGTGTGTGTATGTATGTATGGAAATACTATAGACTAGTTTAGCTTCAAAAGCAAAAGAAATGGTATTGGAATATAATGAGTTGCAGGCAACGTTTAGTAAAAAAGAAGAGGATAGAAAATCAGAACAGGAAGAGATTAGTCGTTTAGAAAAATTAAATAATGAAATACATGGAGTTTTATTGGAGAAAAAAGTACAATACAGTAAAGCAGAAGAAGAAGCCAACAAAGCCAAGAAACGGAAAGCAAAATGGCAAGAAGATTTTGTAAGAATACATTACCATTATTCATAATTATAGCATAGAAATAATGATTATTATTATTATTATTATTATAGACGAATATATCATATGAAATGACGCAGAAATATAGACGTACTCAAGAATTAAATTATTTATTATCTATTGATATTGATACATTGTTAACTAATGTTACGGATCTTCAAGAGCAATTAAACATGTATACAGATAATTATAACGAATTAAATAACAAGTTGGAGACTATTTCTAGTCATTTTATGCTTGTCAAATCAATGAGCACTGTAAGCGATTTTATATATATATTTATATACATATCAAGAGTGGAACTAATACTCGATCATTCTTAGAATGTAGACAAGTGTCTAAAACTATTAAATAACTTTATAAAGACAAGAGGTGAAGCAGTTCGTCATAAGAAAACAAACGATGCACTTCAAGTCGAGATTTCAGCCTTTGAGAAAATAGACAACGAACGTCGATTAAAGCTAGAAGTAAGGAGATTTTAAAACAAGTCGACTCTATTTCATGTATAAAACCCTATTTACACATATTCTTTGTAACAGAGTATAAAACGTAATCTTGACTTTCAAAACTCAAGATTAGATAAATTAAAAAAACAACAAGAAAAGAAGAGACAGAGTATGGATGTCTATTTTCAAACCTATAATGAAAGAATGGTAGAAGTAGAAGGGGAAATAAAAGAGAAAGAAAGTGTAATACAAGAACATGAAAGAAACATTTTAAAGACTCAAGAAGAGGTAAAGAAAAAAAAAACCAAGTCTTCTTATTTTAACTCAATTTTAACTGCTTTTAATTATACATATTCAAGATGAAAATGTTATCATTAAGACATAAGAATGAAATAGATAATTTAATGTTTAAGCTTGAACCTGTTATTGTTTATATCAAAAGAACACAAGAACAATTACATAATTTAAGTCCTTCTTAAACAAATAAAATTTTATTTATTTTCCCATTCTTTTATTTATTTATTTTAATATTCTTCAGCATCTTCAATTTCGGAATCACCAAGGGAGTCAGAACCAACTTCCTCATAATCCTTTTCAAGGGCAGCCAAATCTTCACGAGCTTCAGAGAATTCACCTTCTTCCATACCTTCACCAACATACCAATGAACGAAAGCACGCTTGGCATACATCAAATCAAACTTGTGATCAAGACGTGCCCAAGCTTCAGCAATGGCAGTTGTGTTAGACAACATACAAAGAGCACGTTGAACGGTGGCAAGATCACCACCAGGGACAGCAGCAGGGGCACGACAGTTAATACCCACCTTGAAACCAGTAGGACACCAATCTACGAATTGAATAGTACGCTTGGTCTTGATGGTTGAAATAGCAGCGTTTGTGTCCTTAGGGACGACATCACCACGATACAATAAACAACAAGACATGTATTTACCATGACGTGGGTCACACTTAACCATTTGATTGTTAGGTTCGAAACAAGCATTGGTAATTTCTTGAACAGAGAGTTGTTCATGATAAGCCTTGGCAGAAGAAATGATAGGTGCATAAGTAACCAAGGGGAAGTGAATACGAGGATAAGGAACCAAGTTGGTTTGGAATTCATTCAAATCGACATTCAAAGAACCATCAAAACGTAAAGAAGCAGTAATAGAAGAGACAACTTGAGCAATCAAACGGTTCAAGTTGGTATAAGAGGGACGCTCAATATCCAAATTACGACGACAGATATCATAGATAGCTTCATTATCCACCATGAAAGAGACATCAGAGTGTTCCAATGTAGTGTGAGTAGTCAAGATAGAGTTGTAAGGTTCAACAACAGAGGTAGCAACTTGAGGTGCAGGGTAAATTGAGAACTCAAGTTTGGATTTTTTACCATAATCAACGGACAAACGTTCCATCAACAAGGCACCAAAACCAGAACCGGTACCACCACCAAAGGAGTGGAAGACCAAGAAACCTTGAAGACCAGTACAGTTATCGGCCAATTTACGAATACGATCCAAAACGGAATCAACCAATTCTTTACCAACAGTGTAATGACCACGAGCGTAATTGTTAGCAGCATCTTCCTTACCAGTAATCAATTGTTCTATTTTTTTTTTCAGAGAAAAAGAAAGAGGGGGGAGGTTATTAAGGAAAGAAAAAAAAAAGGGGGATGAAGGGAAAGGGAAATTATTGGGAGTAAAACAAATAAAAAAAAAAATAAAATAAAATAAAAATGATGAATGAACTTACCAGGATGGAACAAGTTATGATAAGGACCAGTACGAACTTCATCAACGACAGTAGGTTCTAAATCTACCATAACAGTACGAGGAACATGCTTACCAGCACTAGTTTCACTAAAGAAGGTATCGAAAGAGTTGTCACCAGTATTGAGTTCATCGGGAATACAACCATCAGGTTGAATACCATGTTCAAGACAATAAAGTTCCCAACAGGCATTACCAATTTGGACACCAGCTTGACCAACGTGAATTGAAATAACTTCTCTCATTTTTGTTTAATAAAAAAAAATAAAGGGGGTTTAACAAGTTGTTTTATTCTAAAGTTAAGGAAGAATAAACCAACAAAAATTAAAGGTTTAGTTGAAAAAAAAAAAAAGAAACTGAGGGGATAATTTAAGAAAAAATTATTTTTATAAGGTTAAAAAAAAAAAAAATCTCAATTAATTATATTTAATAAACGCACCAATCAAATCGTTATTAAATTAAAACACGAGGAACAACAGAAGTCTGAATTATATGAATAAAATAAAATGTTAACATTGCTAAACCTATCAAAAACGGTTAAATATGTATAACAGTGGAAGACATCTCTCCTTTGTTCATTTTATATACTAAGAATGATTTTATCAGATCATATATTTTATTAGGATATAAAAAACCATCCTTTCTCTCGTAGTTAAAAATTGAAAGCAGTTGCAACATTAATAAAGTATTTATATATTTGAAAATAAATAAATAAATAAATAAATAAAAGGCAACTATTATTCATAGTCCTCATGCTTACTTGATCTTACGATATTTATATTCTTTCGTAAATAGTGACCAAAGAGAACCTTTACTATATATGTAAATACGGTCCTATTCTATCCTTCCTTCCATCTATGTATGCTTCAAACAACTACACTTCTTAGATACGATGAGGTCGATGGCACTAAAGTCTTGTCTATTAGGTTATTTCACTATTTACTTATTTTAGTGACTCTTTTTTACTCATCTTCACAACTTATTCTGGTGTCCCTCATTGATGATTATATCACTTTACTAGTTAGAGGAGAATGACTTACCCTCATATTATTGGTATTAGCCATTTTTGTATGCTGACTTTAAATGTCACATACTTGTGTCGTCTTTTTTTTTTATTTTATTTTTCACAAGCATGATTTCTTATTTTATTTTTTTTCATTCTTTTCTGTACATTGTTTTTATGATATCTAATTCACCATTACCCAATATATCTCAATGCTCCATGGCTAGTATCTTTCAAGAAATGTTCAGTAAAAGTTTTAAATCATACAAATCAATAAAAGATAATCATCATAATGAAGAAGAAGGAAGCGATTTTAAACGATTGATCCAAAAACACAAGAAATTAAGCAGCAGCAGTAGCAGCAGCAGCAGCCAATCTTTGATAAAAGTAGAACACAAAAAAGGTGAATACCATCAAGATTCACCAGACTTTAGACCCATTGTGTATTTGAATAATACAACAAGCCAGCAACGTACAACTTTTGTTAGTTCTCTATATAATTACTTTTTTCAACATGAAGATAGATACTTTAATCATGACCGAGAAGAGCTTAGTAAAGATATCTTTCCAACCGGACATAAACAAACATATTGAAGAATATCCTTATTTTATTTTGTATATTAAATAAACTGTAAGAAAATAAAATAAAAATTTAGATATTAAGCGTGTATAACTATTTATTTCCCTTTTTTTTCTTTTCCATCTTAAACAGGTCTATTATATGCATAATGATTGTATATCATTTTTTTTTATAAATAGTTTGATGTTAAATATACTATTTGAAACTTATATTTTTAACTGTTTATACTTCTTTAAAAGTAGTAAATTTCCATATATTATTAAAAAAAAAAAGAAAAAGAAAAAGAATCCAAGGTAATAATCTTATTATTCACCAAGACATGTAAATGTACACATATATTTGCTCCTATGTAATAAGGAAAAAGGGTTTATATGAATTCTATTATATAATCAAAAAAAAGAGCATATAAATATAATACGTGTTATAAAATCCGCTATATGCTATACATAATAGCTGCTGCTAGAGATATTTGCATACATAAATGTATGTGTATATATTTATAGAAAAACTTACTACTAAAATAATAATTCGATTTATTTACTCCTTTTTTTTTTTAATTTCGTTACACTGTTATGCATATTTGCATATGTATATAAACATATTTATTATATATTAGCTACGCGTCGAATAAAAAAAAAAAAAAATAGAGGCATTTTTATATACACGTCATATAATCAAGCTTCTTTATTTTTAACCTCATCTGTAAAGTATATGCATAGTTATATATAAGTATGTATGTATGTATCTATACCTTCCTTCTCATTCTTACTATTTATCATAGAACTTGGGAAATAGAACTTGTAGGAGAAGCTAATACTAAAGTATCTTTCAAATGGTGAATATCTTCATCACTCGAGGTCTTTGAAGTAGATGCATTTGTTTCTTTCATAGAAATAGGGGAAATCATATTTGTATTATCATCATTTGTACTACTAGTATCTGTTCTATTATTGCGTATTTTCTTTTTAAAAGTACGAGTACTACTACCAGCATCTATACGAGGACTTGAAGTTTCCTTGAATTTTAGCTTTTCATTATAAATCATGATATCACCTCCTCTAGGCTTATGTTTAACATTATCTAATGATCTAACCTTCGATTTGATCTCCTTTGATTTAATAAAGGACGCTTTATCATCATATATCTTCACTTCTCCTCCTCCTGGCTTATGTCTTATATTGTCCTTTGAACCCACCTTTGAACAAATCTGTTTGGATTTAATAAACGCTGCTTTGTCATCGAAAATCATTACTTGTCCACCTCCTGATTTATGTTTCACATTCTCCATTGACCCAACTTTTGATGTTGCCTTTGTTTCAATACGTTGTTTGAGAATCGTCACTCTCTCATCAAAGATCTTTTTTCTCGTACCACCTGTTGGCTTATAATTTATGTTTTCAAATGAACCAATCTTAGACTTCACATGACTACTTGATGAGTTTACATGTATATTATTAGTAATTAGGAAGAAGAGGAGTAGAGGAGAGGGGAGGGTAAATAAGTATAATATATACATGTATTTATTTACACTAACACATTTTTTTTTTTTTACCTAAAATCAGTTTTAGCAGAAACAGGTGGAGGTGGAGATGCCATAAGGGTTCTACGAGTAACATAACTACTAACTGAGGGTCTTGAATGGAGTGGGTTTTGTGTAATTGCAGTTGTAGGAGAAGAAGGGGAGGAATCTAAATAAAATAAAATATGAATTAAAACTCAGGCATAATAATAAAATGATTGGCTTTTTTGGGCGCCATTATTTCAAGACTTCAAAATAAATAAATAAATTACCTGCAATCTCCTCCTCCTCCTCCTTCTTCTTCTTTTTTATATCATTCTTTTGACTTTTCTCAATGATCTCTGATGAATTAGAAGATCCCTTCTTTTTCGTCGTATTTTTCATTTTGAGGACTGAGTTATGATGTGTAGTCTCTGAAGAGGATAGAGAACCTTTACGTATCGTTGTGGGCGTCATTTTCAATTCAATGCTTGATTTGCGTGGATTTACTTTTAGTGTTGCTGTTGTAGTCAATGGAACCATATTAATAGAATGTATACAAAAAAATAAAATTTATAAAAGAAAACAAACAAAAAAAAAAAAAAAAAAAAAGAGAAAGAAAGGCAAAAAATATATAAATTTTATACAGCAACAAAACAACAATAGAGTGTGCTACAAAATTTCCCTTGATTTTTTTTTTCTTTTTGTTACTTTTTTTAATTCACGTGGATTTCGGTTATTAAAGACACGATTCGTGTGTAAAGCAAACAGGAAGGCTCTTTTTTATTTATTTCTTATGGTATTTAGAAAGTATCATGTTTTTATAACAAAGTTATTCTTCATCTTCATTAGTGTCAAAAACACCCTTGGATCTCTTTGTACGTTCACGTTGATAATATTCAGCCAAAACCTTTTGAGGAATACGATTCAAGAGTTCCTTGGGGAAGATACGAAGAAGAGACCAAGCAAGATCAAGGGATTCATAAATAGTTCTTGACTCATAAGCGCCTTGAGCAATAAATGTCCTTTCAAACTTCTCCAAGAACTCCAAAGATAATTTATCTTCTTGATTCAATGCTTCCTCACCAACAACAGCTTTCATGGCTGCAGCATCACGACCAATAGCATATTTAGCGTACTAAAAAATAATACAAATAATTTAGTGTACATGTATATACATATATACATATACATCTTTTTTGTTTAATATATAAATCCTTTACCAATTGATTAGAAACATCACCATGATCCTTTCTTGTCATACCTTCACCAATAGCAGACTTCATAAGACGAGATAAGGATGGTAAAACGTTAATAGGAGGATAAATCTGTCGATTATGAAGTTGACGATCAACAAAAATTTGTCCCTCAGTAATGTAACCCGTCAAATCAGGAATAGGGTGAGTAATATCTAATACAAAGGTTAGGTGAATAAACGGATTCTATTTTCTTTTTATATCATTTTATTTTACGAACCATCATTAGGCATTGTTAAAATAGGAATTTGAGTAATGGAACCATTACGGCCTTCAACACGACCAGCACGTTCATAAATAGTTGATAAATCGGTATACATATAACCAGGGTAACCACGACGACCAGGTACTTCTTCACGAGCTGCTGAAACTTCACGTAAAGCATCAGCATATGAACTCATATCTGTAAGAATGACTAAAACGTGCTTTTCAAGTTGATAAGCATAATATTCTGCAGTAGTTAACGCAAGACGAGGTGTAATGATACGTTCAATACTAGATTAAAATTAGCTATTATTAACGAATCAAGTATATATATACTACTTACGTTGGATCATTTGCCAAATTAAGGAAAAGAGTAACACGCTCCATAGAGCCATTTTCTTCGAAATCTTGCTTAAAGAAACGAGCAGTTTCCATATTGACACCCATAGCACCAAAAACAATGGAAAAGTTATCTTCATGACCATCATGAACGCCTTTGGTAGGGGCTAATTTTTGAACAAGACCAGCCTGACGACAGATCTGAGCAGCAATTTCATTATGAGGAAGACCTGCTGCAGAGAAAATAGGAATTTTCTGTCCACGAGCAATTGAATTCATCGTATCAATAGCTGAAATACCAGTTTGAATCATTTCTTCAGGATAAATACGAGAGAAAGGATTGATAGGTGAACCTAAAAGAAAATATAAAAGTTAAAATATGGGGTTTTCTTTTTTTTTTTCCTTCTTACAATATAAAGCAATTTCACTTACCATTAACATCCAAATAATCTTCGGCAAAAATCTTGGGACCTTTATCAATAGGTTTACCAGAGCCGTTAAACACACGACCCAACATATCTTCTGATACAGGAATATGTTGTGTTTGTCCAGTAAATGTAACATGTGTTTGTTTAGCATCAATACCAGAAGTGCCTTCAAAGACCTAACATCGTTATTTGAAACGATCAAGGGGAGGGGGGTGGAGGGGAATAAAAAATAAAGTGATGTATGATTATATAGTTTAGTAACTTTAGATAGGAGTTCATACATTCATAACTTACCTGTACAACAGCTTTTTTTCCTTGAACTTCAAGAACTTCTCCTGCACGAACAGAACCATCAGGAAGAGTCAGATTTACAATTTCAGAGAATCTAGGAAACTATAAAAACACGAAATGCGAATTAGTAAAGATATGTTATTTTATGTTATAATTAGAAAAAAAAAGGATAAAACTAAGAAAAGAGGTAACTAATACTCTTATCGGTTAAAAATAAATAAATAAATAAAGCAACTACAATCCATCTGTTACCACTGAAAGATGAAAAATAAAATATAATAAAAAAGCAATGCCTGTGCAATGGAAAAAAAAAATAGAAACAAACTAAAAAAATAATAATTACTTTAACATTATCCAAAATGACAAGTGGACCATTAACACCAGTAACAGTACGATAGTCTATATGAATTACATTAAAGACAATAGTTATTTTAATTGATAATTATTATTTATTCTAATAGTAAATGCGTACCTAAACGTGGTTTAGCAATGAAATCTCGAGTAACAGCAGACTTATGAAGTTCAAATGCTTCACGTGCACTAAGAGTTTTTGCCATATTTATATGTATAATATTCTTTTTTTTTTTAAGAAAAAAAAAGCAAAAAAAAAAAAAAAAAGAAAAAGTATCAAAAAAAATAAGAACGATCTTCTATCTGCCTAAGTCAAGCGTTTCGGTTTCGTACCAATTTCAGTGAATATGTGTGTGTTTGTAGTAGTCGTTGTTCAAAAACGTCACGACTTTAAAAATAATCGGGTATTCAAAAAAAAAAAAAAAAAAAAAAAAAAAGAAAAATATCACAACAACATGCCAATTTGCATAGTACTTTTAAAGTATACTTTTTTTATACAGTGAAAAAGGATCCAAGTTCGTTGACTTATTCTTCTCAGTTCGCTCTCCCCAAAATCCATAATACGCTTTTTTTTTAAATATGTATATTTATCTCCAAGCTAGAATAGCTGAAGCTGCTAAAATGATTGCTAATCAAGATACTCTGGTTGTCTTCCTCCTGTTAGTCTTATCTTGAAAGAATGGAGTATTATCATGCTGCTTGGAAATTTTAGTCCTTAAAATGGTTTATGTTATTGTGCAAGATTAATTATATAAAAATGAAATAAATTAAACAAGTGTATATATTTTGATCGACTGTGTCGAAAGGATTGGATTTAGATAGTTCATTGGAGATGGCAGAGACCACGTAAGTCAGTACTTGAGTATCGATCGATTCATAGTCCTGATATTAGAGCAACTCAGTCTGTTTAGTATGCTCTTAAGCAATCAGTAAATGTATAATAGTTAAAAATTTGTTCCGTTGACAATTTGCGAAAGGTTTTGCTAAAGGAGTGTGAGCGAATTAGTGTTGAGTATGCAAAAAGTTTAGTGAAATGTATAAAGGTCCGCTGCTAGAGAGTAATTTATGAGAACGGCGGTTTAACTAAGTATTAAATACACCTTTTTTTTTTAATGAAGCTATATAATAGACATACAAAACATCCTTCTTTTTCAAAAAAAAAAAAGGTTTCATCGTATATATGGAAAGAGCTACTGCTATAGTAAGTTTATACATATCCTTTCAGGGCTTTTTCTTATTCAAAAATAAGTTGGCGATTCTTCATTATCGGCCACTAGCCTTAAGAGTATGTTTTCTTCTCTGGATTCAAGGAAGAAGAAAAAAAAAGACTTAAATTATATTACTACCTTTCCTTAATATCTAAAAGTTTTCTAAAAATGCAAGACACTAGGATATGCTCCATACTATTTTACTTAAAGCAAAGTCAACCGAAGAACAGTTAATGAAAACATTATAAGAAAAGTATTCGTACTTTATTTCTAAATTTAAAATTACAGTTGATAATATTTAAGGGCCCCTGAGTTATATTTTTTGATTGAAGCATTTAATAAAGAAGAGAGCTTCACAATCTCATTTGATGTGAGACCGAATGTAGGATTTTTGCCTATATTGTCCTGAATTTTAACCAATATCACTATGGCGGAAATTATGGTAAAGGAGGAAAAATTGGTAGAAAAGCTACCAATTTTTTTTGAACCAGCTAATCATATCTAAGGAAGGGTGCATCCTAGATGGCTAGCAATGGTGAGATGTTTTTTAAATCCCTAGAATCAAGCCTAGAAGCAACTAGAGGAATAGTAAAAGGTATATAGATTATTTTTATATGTTTGGATGTCTTTTTATTCCCTTCATTTAAGCCATAAACTTCATTTTAGAATTATGATTTTTAATTTTTTACGAAAAAAAAAAAAAAAAATTGGTAACAGCTACCAAATTGGTATATTAGCTACCATATTTCAGCGCTTGAATTTCTGTTAGAGCTAAAACGGGCTTCTAATTTTTTACTTGAATTTTTTATTTTATTTGGAGCTTAATAGTTTAAATCAAAGAAATGTTACCAACTGTTGTGCGAAGATTAGTGTCGAAAACAAAGTACGGGGATATAACATAAAACTGGTTATCGACTCCAGGGTATTGTACAAGACCAGCTTGCCTATCGATGTCATAAACACTGATAACAGCGTATTTTGGGTATATAATAGAAGTATTACCAGTTTGTTCTTCTATTGGCTTGCTTCGCTTTACTAGAGGGACAGATGAGTCATGCGAAGCTGTGGTATGTTGACTCATGACTTCAATGAACGCGAGAAATTGTACATTCGATTGTGAAAGCTCATGCTTGAAATAGAACAGAACAGAACCAACAAACCAACGTTTCCTTCTTCTAAAATAATATGTTCGGTAAATAAGAATTTATAGTTGTTTTAGTTTTTTTTTTTTTTAAACTTACGTGTTATCTAAACAGGAAAACATGATGTACTGATTCCCTCTACTGGTTTCTTTTTTTAATCGCCTGTACATACAAGATGAATATACAGTTGAAGAAACCAAAAGGCGGGATGCAAGGGTTATAGAAGTGCTGGGTATATTAATGGGGAGTCTTTGATTATTTAAGCGAGTATAGAATCTCTTTATAGCTTTGACAATTTTCTTGCCGGGTATACCTTCCACCAATTGATCATCATTCAGCTCAGAAATCGGGATGAAAGGCTCCCATAATTGTGGACCATTAGCATCATCGGGTATATTCATGTAGCTGGCATCGGTATATTGTCTGGGTTGAATCAGATTTGCCAGTTCAGCAATGTTTAAAACGCGGTTGACATGATTATGGATTGCCAGTCTTTCAATGATGTTATTTGCGTTTTTTCCGCCCTCACGTTTCGACTTGATCAGCTTTAAAAAAACTCCAATCGATCGCTCCATTGACTTTTGTTGAATACGCTCGAAGAGGGCCTTGCTTTTTTATCATGAAAGGTATATGAGCTAGGTAATGTTGTACTGGTCTGAATACGCTGCGCGATATATGTTTATGGTTAACCTGTTGAAGGAGGTACTTATGCCAGTCGTTAAAGTGCCTAGTGTAGAAGGGGTTACTAATCAGTTTGTGTAATATTATAGAATTTGAGTCTTACCCATCCATCTCACTGATCAACTCATCAGTTAGATCCCATTGAAGGGCCAAAGAGCAACCTTTCACTAGCGATAATACAGCTTTTTGGACTGTTCTGTTGGGTAAGTATGGGGTAACTAAAGTTGGAATAATATAGAGCAGAAAGTCCAGCCAATCCACAGCACGAGATCCTTCGGTTTTTGCAACAACATTGTCAAAACTGCCTTGAAATGAGGTAGGGATATAGTGTCTTGACTCTGTTATGCTTTTTCCAATGTTTACAAGGCTTCTTTTGGGTATAAAAAACGGGTAGTCCTCCACCACTTTTGTGTCATCCTGTCGGGTATAAAAAAAGACAGTGTTTTGACTTGGGTTAAGATCAACGGTAATCATGTCGTACATTTGTTTGCCGATGCTTCTAGCGATCAAATGGAGCTCATCCAAGTCAAAGAAAGGAAAACCAGAAAAACTATTTAGCGTACTAAAGACACTTGGTTGATGGATAGATCTGGCCTATAAACAAAGTAGTAAGTAAACATGATGGTAATAAGTATGAAGTTTTTTTTTTAACTTTTCTCTTTAGCCTAATTCATTATGATTCTTACTTAAAATAACTCTCAATCTCGTTCATTATTATGTATAGAAGACTCTTTATTTGAGAAGGTAGCAGATTCCATCTTGTTTTTAGTTCTTTTTTATGTTATTTATAATCTTGCACTCAATTCTAACATTCGTTTATATTGTTCATTAGTCATTGTCTTCTCAGAAAAAAAAAGCTTTATACGCTACTTGACTCGTACAAAAAAAAAAAAAAAGGCAAATACACGAGTTGCCGGAAGCTCTTCGTTACTTCATCTTGCTAACATGAAGAAATTACTTTTTCTTTTTAGTCCAAGTTTTAAAAAGGTAAGTTAGTTTAAACGTTTAGAATCTTCTTCAGTATTTATATGAAAAAACACATATATAATAAGCAGATAAGCATTATCCCACTATTGTTTTGTACTGTTTTAAAAAATAAAGCGTTATTTTATATTTATAAAAATATGGTAAATAAGCAATCCATATCGTATATAAGCTACCAAAAAAATATGGTAGAAAAGCTACCTTTTGGGTGCTTATAGAATATCATTCCTACCATATTTTAACTGTCAAAATTGGTAACTTTGCTACCATATTGGTAACCTTTCTACCATATTTTCCGCCATAGTGTATACCAAGTACAAGTGCCTCAGCAATGGTAGCATGAATTTTAATTCTTTTTACAATTGCTGCAAATGTTGTTAATTTGCCAATTCTTACTTTTTCTGCAACTGGCAATGACTTGGCAAGTCTCAGGGCAGCATTCATATCACTGGTGACACATTTTCTTTCTGAAATTGCTTTGATGGTTGTTGACAGCAATTTATCCATGCTTTTATTGCTCTGTACATTAAAAGGGTCGGATGTACAGAACCCTTTCCTGTAAAACGTAGGGCTAACACAAGTTCATTTATTAACTGAAGAACTATTAAGCCAGTTCCTAAGACTTCTAGGTTGGAAATGTACCAAGCTCAAGGGAACCTTCCGGCAGAGAATGCTCTCACTGTTACAAACGATATCGACGTGACAAGTGAGCGGTAAGGTTGAACCCAGGAAGGGGGTTACCTCATTACTAGTAAAACTACCTGTAAGACCGCCTGTGACGAGAAGCTCAAACCGAGACCAGAAAATGGATACTTCTTGTTTTGAGTACAAAGATGAGGAAAGAGGAGAAAAAAAAAAGACAAGTCTGTGAAAACTTTGTATAGTTTATTAAAGATAAAATACAGGAATTGTACAAGAATAAAATAATATGGAAAAATGACGACTGCTATTTATATGTTTTGTAAGGTAAGTGATATTAATCGGAGTGTGATTTAGATAAGTGAATACTGCTATAATAAAGCCTTTATGCACAAATATGCACAAATATTGTCTCCAAATAATTCTGCATGCAGTATGCATATTTCTGCCTGAGCTGTTGCTGTTATTAAAAATATACCCGATTATTGTCTTTGGGATAAGTAACGCGTTAATATTAATTTACAGTGAATATTCCCTCTATAACAATATTCAACATTATGGATGTATATATAATATGTATGACTTGTATAAATAATTATGTAATTGAATATAACAGTCATAAACCTATTGAATTCTTATTATAACATAATGCAACGCATATAATTATTTTTAATGCTCGAATACTCTAACAATGACTGTTATTAAAACTGAGTGTAGAATGAATATTATGCTGTGAAGTACAATACACTAGTTTTGTTCAAATAAACTCTTTATTATTTAAATAAATAATGGTTTATTTCTATTAGCTTAGTTGTAAATACGACTACAATCATAACACTTCTATCCATTGTCGACCTCTTTCTTCCTTCTGCCTGATCAGAGCCTTGGGCTGCTCATGATACGATTGGTATAGTGTGTCAATTGCTGAGGAGTCGATACTTTTATTGTTCCTATAATACGTCTCAAACTGGGTCACAAAGACCCAATTCTTTTTGAATATCAAAACAGCCTCCAAAAGTGTCGGTGCAATCAAACTATTTAGCAATAGATCAACATCTTCTTTGTTCTTAATATGCGGTATGTCGATCCTTTGAGTCTTTTGTACTGGCTGGTAATTATATTTGTCGACTATGTCTTTTAATGCTTGCGGAAAATCATTTATCTTATTTTCCTCCAAATCGTCAGATTCAGTGATTAAAGCTTTTAACTTCTTTGCATTGTCAATTATATTGCGTATGGGGGATGGTGTTCTACGTTCACCGAACGAAATAACTTTTAAACTGCATTTTATAGACAGATCCCAACGAGAAAGTGCATCCTTCGCATTAGTCAAAAGTTTTGATGCGCTGATATCATCAACAGTAATTGTCATATAATTGCCTTTCATAGGAATAACTTTAATTAGTGTCATCGCCGTTTTCTTGTTTAAGTTGTGCTTTAGACTCAATTTCACTTCCTTAAGGTAAAACAAGTTATCTAATTGATTGCATACATCAGCATAATTGAAGTTATCAAAGTCTACATCGATCTTTGCACGTTGAACTGTGTATCTGAAAAAGCCACCAAGTGAGTTTTCTGAATTAACATTGAATACAATATCTTACAGAAAATGCTTAACCTTTTCAAATAAGGTTTTTGATGTTTTCGCGAAATGATACTTTTCTTTATTATTAAGATTGGAGCAAACATTCATAAGGATTTCGTTAGGAATTTGTTCAATGTGCATTTTATTTTAACTCGTTAGTTATTTATAGGTAAAAGAGAGTATATCAATTGCGGAGGTCTCATTGATCACTAAAAAAATACTTTAATATATCCAACTTTAACTTTGAGAATGATATTATGCATATTTGTTTACAAACACTAAGTCTCCTGATTCATTTTTCAGGAGAAATTGTGAAAATCTTTCATTTTTAATTTTTTGACCTTTTTTTTTCACTTTTCCTTTCACATCCATATAAAACTTTATATAAAACTGGCTACAACGTAAGTCATTGTTTTTCATATCGTCATGAATTAAATTCATGGTACTTAACCCCTTTATTAAACTTCTGTTAGACACGTAAACACATCGTGCAGTTGATTACAATTGGCATTCAGCAATTCATACAGTAAGTTTCCTGGTTTCAAGAGCCTTTAGTGGGAACGCCACCTGCGTAACGTCTCAAGGGTTCGTAGAATGTTTGAGATGGGGGGTATACTGGGCAATGTGAATTGTTCGAATTGTCAGAATAGATAGATTACATCGTGAGGGTAACAAAAATATGAATAAATACATTAGTTATTAGCAGCTTCATCAATTCGTACAGTAAGTTTCCTGGTTTCAAGAGCCCTTAGTGGGAACGCCACCTGCGTAACGTCTCAAGGGTTCGTAGAATGTTTGAGATGGGGGGTATACTGGGCAATGCGAATCGATGAAGCAACCTTTATTTCTTTATGTAGGTCTTTATAAGGGTTGAAATTCCCCGTAATCACAAGCGATTACCAAAATGGGTGCTTTCTTATACTCTACCTCCACGTGGTGCACCTGGTTAAAACTGAAAGAGTATATTTGTTTACGTTTAAAAATATGATTGTCTTTTAAATAAACTTATTTTTGTCAATATTTGCAATGATATCTGCTTGGAAGATCTCCATTCTTCAAAATCAGAATAAAAAACTCATTTAAATAAAGCTTTTGTAAAATATTGCACAGTTGTATGTATTATACTTTGAACCTTGAGCATTCTCTTTTCTTTCTTTCTTTCTTTCTTCCTTTTTAAAATAAATGAACAACTATAGTAAAATTTTTAGTCATGAAGATGGCAGAGGAAAAATGGTAATTGGTGAAGTTGATATGATGGAGACTGATCATGACAACTATAAAGTTACCACATTTCTTGATCTTTATGAATTTCAGTAAAATTGAGAAAGTCAGAATGTTGAAGCGGAAAGGAACTAAAGCAGAGCACTTCTTTAATTTCGTTATGTCTACTTTAGATACACTCGATACATACGATTTGGGGAAGGTTACTATATTGTTATGGATAATGCATCAATACATTCTAATAGTTTATTACATTCCTATCACGAAGAAAGAAGATTTAAGCGTATAAACATCTGTTACCTTACTTACCGTTTTTGAACCCGATAGAGAAGTATTAGTCTAAGGTCAAAACGTCTTTTTTTTGTGGTGATAAACTCGCCAAAAACGGGAAAAAAAATCAAGAGAGAATAATAAAAGCTGCTAAAACAATTACTAATTCAGCCTTGAAAGGATATAAAACTCATTCAAAGACGTTCTTTGAAGGAAAATTTGTAAATATTCTCAAGCATAATGGATTTCTTTCAAACGAATTAACATAAAAAATAAAACGGATTAATTTTTTAACTTTGCGAACTATGAAAATATAAAAAACGAATTATAAAATTTTGAGGGAGCGAACTCGAAAAATTAAATGAACGAACTTGGATCCTTTTTCACTGTAATTAATAAATACAATTTTCTCGCTTGAATTAAGAAATTGTTAATCTTCTTTTTATTTTTGTACGAATCAAGATTAATAACTAAATGCTCTATTTATTTATTTATTTTTTGAGACGTGTTCGAGACTTATGTTTAGAAGTATTTTACTTGTAAGAAATTTAAAATTTAAGAAGAGAAAACCATGTTCAATACAACGGTGATAATGGTACAACATGAGTCAATTTTAGAGTAAATTCTGGGTCTACCTTCGCCTTTTCATATAATAGAAAGAGAAATTGACATCATGTTCTCGGTGGCACTCACATCATATTTCCAAAGTGTATTGCATGTTTTGCAGGCAAGCATACTCTGAACTTTAACATGAATGACACTATCCAAAGAATCGGTGCCACGTCGACTATAGATCCAAGAAATGTGATATTCAACAACTGGTACAGCTTATAAAACCTCCAGCAGCTTCTCTTTCTTTTCTTTTTAGACTCAATAATTGCATTTTTAAAGTTATAAAACTAGATGCGCTGCTTTGAGACTTATTTATATGTATATATTGATAAATGAATAGATTTCACGTACTCATATGGTCATCTCAAGGCTTATAGATATAGTTTCTAACAGATTAATTATAAAACAGCCTTATGCAGAGGTGTTCTTCTTTTTTTCTCATGTTGATAAACATTTTGACTCTGATAACTTCTCATATACACTTGAACTATTATTATCAAAATATATACAACTATGAGTTAATTAAATCAATCAAAAATAAGATATTTTTCGTTTCTCTTCCATTCCTTAGATAGTAATAAAATAAAGCATACTAACAGTTTCTTGTTAGAAACAACGATGTTTTCTTATCAATCCTATCCTATTCTTTTATATATTCAGTCTCATATAGTCTTTGGTTTTTTATTCCCGTTATGTGTAATATTTGCCAAGCTTCTAATGTTCATTTATATTATTCCTAAGAAATAGATATACATACATATAAAATTTATTTAACTATATTGGATCAAACAATAATATTCCTGAGTAACAGAGTTAGCATTTATTGAAGCTTATGCGACTAAAGTATATATGAAGTAACTGATAATATAGAAAACTTAAATATAAATTACGATAGTCTACCAAGGACAGCATTCATGAAAATGGGTGAACAAAATCTCATGTTATTTACTATAACATAAAAAGATGAGTCATCTGTAATATATGAGTCTATCTATTATGAATACCTCTATAATCAGATTGAGTGCATGTACACTTTAGCTCCGTATAGCGATTTAAGTTTGTAGGGCAAACAGCCCCCATTTTATATGAATACCCTTCTATATCTCCAAACGAAATCTCTTCGCGTTTCAGGAACAACGCTGCAGCAACTGTTTGTGGAAACGAGTCACCCCATCTAAATAAGAGTATTATTCATTAAGAATATTTATAAACAAATAAATATTTTTTTAAAGAAAAATGTGTATGTGTTATTTTTACTTGTGATAAAGGAATCCACCTGTTTTGTCCAATTCTTCAAAGAATAATGTGTACTCTTTGGATCTTAAGAAATCCAATGAAAATATCATGTAATTATTATAAAACATACAATTACTAAAGTGGCCACTATATTCACCTAGAAGGTCATTTCCATCTTCTATTTGTTTAAATCGTGTCTCTGAATTAAGTAATGCTTTATATATAGTTCTATTGACAGGTTGAATAATATTTTTATGTTCCACAATAAATTTGTGTACTGTTTCCTGAAATTCTTCAAGATTTTGTTGATTTTCTGTCAAAGACAAAGCAAATGCTTTTTTTTTTTTTTTTTTTTTTTTTAAAAAAAAAAAAATAATTTATTCATAAAAACAATAATTTTTTTTCTACTTACATAACTTCTTCTTTTGAGCTTTCATTTTTTGAAAAGGATCATAGGGAATATCACAATCATAGACTGAACCAGCTTGAACTTTCCAATAATATTCAAGGTCGTTTAAGAGTGGATGGTTAAAAATAAACCCTGCACTATATCTAAATGGGCCCGTATAAGTATATATTTTTATAGAGAGAGAGAGATAAATATAAATTTTATATAATAATCAAACTTGAATTATTCACCTGGTCATTCTTCTCCAGCTCATACTTTCTCCATTATCGATATTGTGCTCCTTTACCATCTTTTTCATGTTTCGTTCAGCCTTTTTAATATCTATCCAAGATGGCTCTTGCCATTCAAATTCGGGGGCATGGCCAAAAAACACAGGAAACTTGCTTGAGCTTACAGTCCATTCACGAAATTTACGCGAAAAGATTTTATCACCTATAATGATCCAAGGGTATCCTCTCCCCTGTTTTTCATTAAAACGCCTTTCTATACTTAACATTGTGTTTCGCAATTTATAAATATCTGCTTCCTGGACAAGGACAACAAATGCGGCCCTTACAGGCAACTTGTTTTGAGTATCATTGCTATTAGACATAAGGACATCATCATCCCAGTTAAGGTAAGTATCAGGAGGAATATAACCATGCATAGAGGAGAGGTGGTTCCCTTGCTGATAATTGTCAAAAGTAGGTAATAAAGGATTCTTGAATTCCTTTTCTTTGAGAAGTTTAACAAATTTATTATCTTTATTATCTTTGAAAGGAGAAAGTATGTAGTGACAGCTTGTAACAAGGATAATGGCAAGTACTAGTAAAGTTAATACACTATTTTTTTGAACCCAAATAGAAATTCTATTCCAATGTGTATGATAAATTATTGTTTTTGGCCACCATCTATTCTGATCTGGTTTAATTGTTACATTAAATGGGATAGCCCTTTGCGTATCAATTGAGTTTTTGTTTGGTTTGATTTCCATTTTCTTTCCTCAATGTATTAAAAGGAGAGAGAGATGGAGAGAGAGAGAAAACAATTTAATTCTTCAATTTTAAACCGTATTTATATTATCATATTTAATATGTATAAAATAGGAAAAATCGTATATTGTCTTCAGGTACTTAAATCAGATGATATGCTTTACATATTCTCAATGCTCGTATAAAGTATTCAATATTTAAATTAAATATATTAAAACAGCTTAACACTACATTTGTGTATATATAAAGTAGAATACGTAAATAATTTTCTAGATAATGGTAAAGTAAATTTATTAAAATAATATATTAAACAAAAAATGTAGTTTAAATGATAATACAACTTTTTTTTTTTAAAAAAAAATAATAATTAAAAAAAAAATAAAGGTATATAATGCTTTTCTCCTTCTTTTTTTTTTTTTTTTTTTTTAGAATTCAATATGAGATATGTACATGTTATAAAAGAAAATGAAGTAAAAGAAACTAATATATATGATAAGATGTGATTTAAAACTTATGCTACAGTAATAGTAGGTCCATCTGAAAGAAATGGTGGATCAGAATATTTTAGTGACTTATATGGCCATGAATCATCATTCTGATATAATTGAGAAAAAGATGATTTATTGGAACTAACAGGCGTATCTGGTAATTTAGATTGTCGTAATGAAGAAGACGGAGATTTACTATTGGTAGTCATAGCAGCTAGTACTGACTGAGCATCCATTAAAACTGCTTCACAACATAAGTCTGAATCCACCCAATCTGGTAAATAAGCTTCACCAATTTCATAAGAGGTCTTCCACCAGCGAACACGGCGAACAGAAAAATGTCTAGGCTGGTGACAAGTGATAGGTTCTGGTGGAGTATTTGCTAGATGAGTATGATTTACTTTTGTGGGGTGAATGGATAATTCGAGTAACACGTCAATATCATTTGGATTGTCGTACATAATATATCTTTTAAGGAATGTATCCTTTCGGATAGGAATTTTTGTAAACCCTTTACGCTGTAAGCGTTCAATCTGTCTATTAGTTGATCTATCTAATTGTAACCATTGGTTTTTTTCCCATTCAATTTCATAAATGTCTTTAAAAGGTCGAGTAATGCGATGTCGCTTAAAGCTGCGTCTATCGGAAGGATGAATACTGTAACGTAAAAATTGACGGAGTGGCACAATGTCTTTTTTGTAACTGTTCACAATTTCACCGTTATCATCACTAGCACCTGCTACTACTGCCACCTCTTGATTATTTACTTTTTCATTTTTATCTAATTTTGAAGAATAGAGAGACTCTCTGATGGTTGAATTCATGGTTTGTGCTACTGCTGTTGAATGTATATTATTGTATTGTTGACCAGATTTTGTTGAAATTGATTTTTGAGAAGGCTGTTGACATAGTATTTTTGAGAACCAAGTTGATAACCCCCTTTTCTCGTCTATATCGAATTTCTCGGGTTTTTTATTGAACTGATTTGAAATTTTTGTATTTTTCACTAAAGAAAATCCAATTTTTTTAATCCATGCACAACTCTTTGATTTAGAAGCAGTATGATTCATTTTAATATATTTAATTGAAAGAAAAAAAAAATGTTTTTTTTAAAAAAAATCAACAAAGAGGAAAAGGGGGGGAAAAAAGGGGGGAGGAAGAATATGTCTATTATATATACCAAATAAAATATCATTACTGCTTTCATCATGATGACTTATATACAATTTGCTTTGTAACACATACATTGGTTGTTAGAGCAGAAGAAAATAATAAAAAACATTCCCTTTTTCCCCTTTTACTTTAAAGTTATAACATGTAGATAATGATGCCATCATTGTCTCGGACACTTTTATCCACGTCCGAATTATTATATTTATTTCTTTAATAATATTTAATGGAAAACAATTTATTATATTTTAATATTTATCCGGCGTTAGCAATATACCAGTTAACAATAAATTTCTAAGGTACATCCAAATAAGCAGTGAATAAATGGGATCAGCAAAACAAAAGGTTTACTGTGTTAATCTTTCTTTTTTATTTATTTATTTATTTCATAATATTACCTAATGATAAAAAACAAATGTATACAGATAGATATATAGAAAAAAAAAGAGAAAGAGAGCGTATTGACATATATTTATATCAATCATAAAAGGTAATTTTCATCGAGTTTTCCTCGTCCTTTTCTTTTTTCTTTTTCTTTTAATCTATAAAAAGATACAGTTACTGGATACTTTAATAGGCGGAGATTTATCAATGGCTTTGATTCTGATGCTACTTGATTACAACAGTACGACCATACTGTAGTCATTCATTTTCACACATTTTTACAAGGTAACATTTCCTTTTAAAATCTAGTTTATTGTTCTTTATTATAAAAGTATTCTTAGCCAAAAAAAATTTTTTTTATTACACAACACAGATCTATTCATAAATGTCATCAGTAAGTAAAACTTAGTTCCTTGTGTAATATACTCAAACATTTACTTACGCTTTGATTATATAGTCTTTTTGTTATTTCAAATAATTTTGACGTATTTTTTTTTGTAACACTGTAAAAAATAAAATAGATAAATAAATAATACGTTATCATGTATTTTCTTAAAAAAAAAAAAAAGGCGTAAAATATTTGCGATAAAATATATAATCAAAATTATTTATTAAACAATGAGGCTTTTTTTTTTTTTTTTTTTTTTTTTTTTTTTTTTTTTTAAAAAAAAAAAAAAAAAAGACAAAGATAATAAATACATATAATTTGAAAGGGATATATTATACATGAGTTATTAAAATAATCTACATATATGGCATAATGTTTACTTTATCATTTGTTTCTTTTTTTTTTATTTGAAGATCAGGGTCCAGAATTAGTATCAGCTTTGACCAATTTGTGTGCAACTTGATTGCCATATTTATCAGCTTGAATGAATTTATCCCCTTTCATATAACCAGATAATGTGTTTGACGATTTATTCGACAAATAACTACTAATATCACTAGTTTCACGAGTATTGGAAACTACAGTAGATGAATCTGTGGATGAGCTGCTCCCTACTGTAGCAGAAATATTCACAAATTTATCGCTAGAGTCTATAACAGTTTTCATTATAATATTCTGTGTTTCCCCATTGCTTGATTTTGTAGCTGAGTTAGCATTTTGGTCATGATCTAATTAAAGATAAAAGACAACGTTTGATTAGAAAAGGAAAAAAAAACCTTTTTTATACTTCAATAATTATTATTTTCTTACCTTTCATATATCTTTAATAAAATGTATAGCATAATAAAGTAGTAATAATATCATATGAGTAACATTGAATATGCAGTAAATTTTTCAATACTTACTTGGAGAGCTCTATCCAACCACCCCCTACACGTACCATTACTGTCTTGCTGGATAAAATTCGGCAATAAATTAATTTTGGATGTTCTTCACCAAACCAGTATTTACCAACTTCTCCAGGCACCATTTTCACCTTTATACGATAGGGGCTCTTGTTTAGAATCAAGCCTAACTGAACATCCAGCTCATTTTTGGGATCGGGAATATATTTTGTACCGTCGTAGTAAGATACTGCATTATTACGTGCTTTTGATGTTCGGGAAAATAACTGATCAGTTGAGGAGATTTTTTTTTCAGTTGAAAAAGTTGGTGATTTAAAGTTTCGAGAGCCAGATTTTGTATTCGTATATTGGCTCTGATATCTTGGTGTACGCTTTTTAGGTAACGTTTTAGCTATGGCTAGTTTAGTGAAAAATTCATGGTTAAGTTCTCTAATGCATGCTTGCAATTCCTTTTCTCTTGATACATATGAAGCCTGTACAGTGGACCAATCATTTAGTGTCTTCAGTAATTGCTTAGCAACCCTTTCGTTATCATGAAGAAATTGCTTTTGAGATTCAAATCTAGCCTTTTCAAAAAAGCTTGTCACATTTTGTTCACTCTTTTTGTAAGATGAAGTTAATCTTTTTAATAGTGATTGTAAGTCTGCTTTATCAAACTTGGATCCAATGACATTCGCATTCTGTACAGAAGTTTTCTCAATAATTATATATAATTTTGCTATTTCTTCATCAATCAGTTCTATAGTACCAAAAAATTCAGTGATACTTCCTTCTGTATGTACCTGTTCTCGACGATGAACCAATAGTTGGCATAAATTATCTATTGAGCTCGCTAAACTGTCACGCTGATTTATTAATGCGACTTCAGAAGTTGACGTTGTCAGTGCTTTCGGCATCTCCTCTTGACTAATACATTTTAAAAGTGCATCTATATCATCTATATCTTTTATAAGCACTCTATCGATTTCATCTTGCACTTTATCTAATTCCTGCTCTTCTACAAAAATACTTTTGCCAGATAACTGTAGTGCCTCAACTCGATCTCTCAGATTGTTCACATACTTTAGTGATTCATTAATTTTGGAATATACAATTTGACGTTTATGTAGTACATTAAGTCTTTTACGTGTATCATCAGCTGATAACTCAATCTCTGTCCATCTCTTATCTATATCATCCACATGTTTATCAATAATTTTAATAATTATCTTTGCACGTGTCGATTTTTCATGTTTATTCAATTTTTGTTTGAGATCATTACTGTTCTGATTGAATTTCTGAATAGAGATTTCAATTTGTTCATAACGCTGCATAAATTCTTCCAGTTCTGGCAAGTTTCGAGCACGTGTTGTTCTATAATTGAGTCTATTACCATTGTAGGAATAAGAAACAGTTGCCTTGAGCTCATTAATTGATCTAATAATTTCTTTATCATTCTTTAGTAGGTGACTTAACAACTTGAGCACTGTTATATAATTCTGTTCAGTCTTCAAAGATAGTTTTAATTCTTCCATTCGATTAGCTAAATTTGCTTCATATTCTTTTATTACAGAGTAAGGATGTCCAAGTACTTTAAGAAGCCTTGAAGCTTGATTTGAGATCACACCATCACATTTGAGTTTGCATTCGTTATATTTATCTTGAATATGTAATAAAGCAGTGCTGTAGACGTTTATAGTATTATTAATTGTTTCTGCTTTCTTTAGGTGATATTCAGGATTCGTATTCACTTGCTGTTGAATATACGTTATTTGATCTTCACATATCTTTAAAACCTTGGCAACCTCAGTCTTGTATAACTCAAATAAGTTTATTCTTTCTTTATCCATTCGTTTTTTGTTTAAAGACATCTGAATAGATTCCCGTAATGTATGAACTTGTTGACTACATTTAAGGAATTCATTTTTATTATTGATATCTTTGCATAAATCATTCGTATTTTTTACTGTATTGTCTAGCTCTTCTTGATTTATTGAAATCTTCAGAAGCTGTTGCTTATATTTTTTCATTTTGTTATTGGTAATAGTGGATGTATGAATGCTATTATCTGCCACTTTATTAATTTCGGATTTGAGTGCTTTTAGAATATTTTCCAATTTATCTAACTTTTCACATGCTTCTATCCATTTTGATGTTCTCGTAGTAAAAGATGAAAATTCTGAAACCTTTAGTAGTATCTTCTTCCAAGTAGCTTCTACAGTTTGTTGCGCATCGTCAGATTTAGCAGTAACTACATTCTGCAATTTAATGATATTATAGTAAGAACATGAATCTTCATAAAAGCCTTGACACTCAATGATAGTATCTTGGATTTGTTTATGTTTTTCAGTAAGAGTTTGAAAGTGGTATAATCTCTCTTCTGTCCTTTTTATGTTAGTTACTAGCTGTAATTTATCGTATTGTAGTTCATCAATTAGCATTATTTGCTTCTCAGCACAAGTGTGAAAAAGTTCAGAATTTTCAATATGAGTTATGAAAAGATGGTTTGAATTAATTGCATCATACAAGAAAGTTAAAGCGCCACGAATTTCTAATATAATATCTCCTGCATGATCTAGCTGTGCTATTAGTGATTCTATTGATTCTACTGTCATACTATGCTTGTACTCATTCATTTGAGAAAGAAGTTGATTATATTCTTTTGTTTCTAAGAAATCAATTCTTTTTTGCCACCCACTAAGTTCATTATCAGTTACTAAATGTACTTCCGTAGAATGGATCTGGTTATTAAGTGATTCAAAAGATGATATTAGAGTAGCAATACGATAATTGACTTCAGCGGGTAAAAGGGCAGAGGATAATGCATGAGATATCCCTCTTATTTCAGTTAATAAATCATTCCATTGACAGCTTATCTTGTCGAAAATTTCCATCACACAATTATAGTCTCCATCATCAGTATTGTCAAATAAAGTCTGTTGATCAAAATATGCAATATATTTTTCTTTATGCTTGCAAAGTAAAATATAATTATTATCATGTGCTGTCATAGCCATTTGAATGCTATCCGCTTCACTCACTGCATCTCTTAAATTATCCGGTTTCAATAATACATTATCATCATCCAAAAGTTGAATACTTTTCTCGAGGGTATCTTGCCTCAATAAAATCCAACTTTGGCATACTGAAGCTTGCTTTTTGAAAGCATTCATTACGTATTGAAGTTGACTAAATGCTTCTCGAGATTTAATTAATGCTGATAGGCTTTCAACTAATCCATCCAATATTTCAAATTTTGTAGAGATTATATCCTGAATAACAGAATTCATTGTCTTATCTTTCACTTTAATAGAAATTGCTTGATTTTTATCATTTGACCTTTTTGGCATTAATAATTCAGTTTTTGAGTACAATTTAAGATCATTTACTTGTTGAGTAAATTTTTCTACTTCTTTTGCTGGTTCATATGTGGATGAAGTCGACTGAAAATCGGATTTTATAGTAGATGGTAACAATATTTCATGAATCATTTCAGCATTTTTTTCTAATTGTGATGATTTAGTCAAGATAACTGCTATTTGCTCCTTTTGCAAAATCACCTTAAGAGCAAAAGAAAAATCAGCTTCAATTGAACTCTCTGTTTGTGATAACAATTCAATATTTTTTTGATGTAGTTCTAACATAAATCCTGGTTGCATTGCAGCAGAGATTTCTTGTAAATTTTGATTTTTTTGTTTAATATTGTACAGTATAGTATCGCAAAAACTATTAAATTTTTGATTCAAGGTCATCCATTCGGCATTTGTTTCTTTAATTACTTGCTGATAATGAATATCAAAATCACCATTGAAGTTCCATCTCCCCTTTGTTTCTATCAAATGATTGATTAATTTCACATATTGTGACAGAGAGTCTGCAGCCTTTTTTATATTGTTCTCCAAATCATATCTCTGATATATATAGTCCAATTCCTTTCCCCTCCACAAATTTGCTTCATCTACTTTTTGTAGTGAATGAGATAATGCCTCTGCGCGTTCTTTCATATGAATAGGGATTACTTTTATCAAAGGCAGTTTCACAAAACATGACTCCATTTGAATATAATATTCTGTTAAAGTAGGTAAACGATTGGCTTTAATCATTTGGAGTTGATTATCAATTTGCGAACGCTCCAGCTCCAATTCTTCAATAGTATCTTTTAAAAGGTCTTCTTGTTGAGCTACGCATTTATTCTTTTTCAAAATGTATTGCTGGAGTTGGTTATTCAATAGTTGAATAATATGATTAACGTCATTTATCTCAGCCTCCCACTTTAAACGTGCTTCTGCAGCATCTAAAACTTGTGTTTGTGTAACTGCAGATTGAAAGAGAACACTTATTCCTCGTAACACATTCTCATTCAGATCTTTGTACGCATCAATGATTCCTTCCATATTAGCTTCAGTATTCTCTTTCACCTTGCTTACTAACCATTCAATTTTTTCTTGAAAAGAGACTATATCTGATGACTCCTTTTGCTTCAGTATAGTCAATAATTGAGTAATTTTAGATCGAGAGTCAAGTATTATATGTTGTGATAAATCAAAGGAAGTTGAAGCAACATCAATATGAACATTGTTTAATGATAACATTGTGTTATCAAACCATTGCTGAATATTGAGAGCTTCTTCTTGGCATTTATAAAATTCTTGAATCATAGAATCAGCATTACGATAGGATACTAAAAGATTATCTATTGCCTCATTCATTTTCAAAAGTGTGTCAATTTTCCTACTAATAAGCTCTTTAATTTGTTGATTATAGTCAACTGGTTTGAGCAAAGTTTGCTGTATTAAATCTTCAAATAAACAATCATTATTAAGGTATTGAAAGGTTTCACTTTGCTTGCAAAGTTGAGAAATCTGATATTTTATTGACGTTAAGCTTTCCATTATTTTTTCATCATTTCGTTTATTGATATCGCTAACTGATTGTAGTGTTAAAGTTGTTATGGGCTTATTTCGATTTTCAGTGTTAACAAGTGATCCTCTCAATATTTTGTGCAGAGCCTTTATAGCTAGTTCTCCATCTATTATAACCTGATCGTAAGATGTATTAAAGCTTGAAATAACATCACATTGTTTCATAGTATTATATACATTATCAAGTAACTGTTGTAAGTGCTGATACTCAGTCTTTATAGACATTTGTTTCAAATTGATATATTCAATTGTATTTGTGACATTTATACATAGATGACTATACACACTATATGCTTCCTGAAGCCTTTCAAACACAGTTGAATTTGAACTCAAGATAGGGAAATCATTCTCTAATTTGAGTACCTGTTCCGAAAGTTGAGAGAATAAGATATCCTTTTGCACCACATCATCTTGAAAAATAGTACTTTTGTTACTTTCTCTTTTCTTTAAACCTTCAATATCATACTGTGCATATCTGCTATAAAAATCCCAAAGTTGGGATGCCAAGTCATAAATGGAACAATGTACTTCCTCCCATTGTGATTCCCAACTAATTCGTCTTCTTAGTATAATAATTTCATGCGTCCTTAGTTCCAAAGCTGCTTTAAGCTGAGCAGTTTTACATTTTAATTCACCAATGCTAGTAACTAATGCATTACGATCAATTGAAATAGAATTCACTTTATCTATTTCCGTCTCCAAAAGATGAACAACCTCAAGTGCTTTATTTATATCATGAGATTCTATCTGTTGAAATCTACTGGAAATTTCTTCCTGCTCTTTTTCAAGTCGATCCAAAGCTATATCCTCCAAAACGACTAGTTTATCCTCCTTCAAAATAGATGCATCAAACTTTTGGAGAATACGAAGACGTTCCTCTATCCATGCATTGATACGTAGTACATCATTATAAGCACTGCTTGCTCGTTCCTGTAAGGGAAGGTTCTCCCGATAGAATGAAAGTAATTTATCCAATTCTTCTGTGATTTCTGCTAGATAAGTTAACTTGTTACACATTTGATGACGAATTACATTATTATCTGCTTCATTGATCTCAAAAAAATCGCTTAATTCAGTAGGAGTTTTGGGATAAGGAATACGTTTTAAAGAGACTGTCAGCCAATGTGATGAGTTGTCTTTAAATAATTGAACACTCTCACTAAAAGAGCTACTGTCTGCCACTTTAAAGGAGATACTATTGCTATTCATCATTGCTAGTTTAAGCTTTTCACCTTGTACCTTTAATTTTCTGAATTGAACGATGGTATCGCTTACTACGAGGTATTGTTCTACAATTTTACGCGCAAGAGCACATCGCTTCATAATCAGCTCAAATTGTCGTTCAAATTCTTCTTCACGTTTTGTTAGGTCATCTGGTAAATCTTCTTCAATGTCCTCCATTCCTTGGTAAGCATCTAATACAGCTGAATAATCACTCTTGTCAAATTTGTCAATACTATGCTCCAAAGAAATTAAAATTTGAACTATTTCTTCTGTATTTCTTTTTAAGATAACTATAGGAGTTTCATCTTCTCTTGGCTCTGACCAGCGAGCCTTGGTTTTCATAAATTCTATTATTTCAATTTCCTTCTGTTGACACCATTTGTTTGCTTTGACGATTAGATTTTCCCATAAAAGACGAGATCGTAGCGCTTCCACAAGCTTTGTTCTTTGTTGAAGTAAACACATTAAACTGTCTAAAATGGTCAATGTGGTTAATGTAATTTCAATCGTGGATACATCAGCAGGGCTAAGACTACAATTTGCACTACTCGTTAAAGTACGAACATGGGAACGAAGACGAGTCATGTCGTTCTTGTTAAATCTTTCAACTTCTCCTAAAAGCTTCTCATGTTCTTTATAAATTTTTTGAGTCTCTTCATTATCCCACAATTCAGGTACAAAATCAACATTAAGGGGATCCATCGTAAATAATTTGTTATTCTCTTGTAGTAGTTCAATTCGGCATTCAATCCATTTACGTACACGTTGTGCTTCAATGAACCAAACACGAACCTGATCAACCCAATCATTCACTGTTTCATATTTAGCTTGAATTCCAGAAAATAGTTCAATCAATCGTTCATCATTTGTTAATAAATCATTATAGTCTTCTTTTATACTATCGATAGTAGATCGAACAGTTGATACTCGAGTTTCTAACATTTGAATTCGATCATCCGTAGTAGCCTTTTCGCAGTTATCGTCACTCATCATGGCCTGAATCTCTTCAAGCTCAATTTCAATATTTCTAATCACGCTTGCAATCGTCAGTCCTCGTTGAAAGTTTTCACATAATGTTTGCTCTCTTTCCAAATCTTGTACAAGTAATTCGTATGATTTCATGATACGATCCGAATATGGGGAAACGATTTGCATAACCGTTCTTGAAAGCTGATTTGTTTCTGTTTTGAAACTTTTCCATGTTGAATCTTGAAAAAGGGTAAACCTTTTAATAAAGAGTAACAATTCACGTTGATAAGCATTAGCTACTGCCTGAGATCCTCCTAATGGATGTAGTCGAAGTGACATTGCTGAATCACTCGTGTCCTTATCGTTTGCTCCATAATCTGATATGGGAGATGGTGATGATAACGGTGCAATATGTGAGAGCTGTTCTCTAAAGTTATCAAGTTCTTTCTCAAGGTCAATTGCATGTGCTATATATATTTCCGAATTCTTTTCGTTTTCTAAAAATGTGTTCTTAATAGTTAGCATATTTTTGTCTGTTATCCTTAAGAGTTTTATAAACTGTTCCCATTCTGTTTCCAACATGTTATATAGTTTGGTTACTTGTACTTGCTGTGATTCTGTAAGATGAATGATGGCATCATTCATGTTTTCAGGAGGCGTAGTTAAGATAGCATATGCTTTATTTGCTCTTTCCAAATGCTCGGCCTCGATCTCAGTCTGTTTTGTAATAATTTTAAGCGCATTCATATATTCCGAAACTTCTGTCAAGTTAGAAAACAGTTCCGGATATTCACTTATAGCTTTTGTATTAGACTCGATAAAAGACAATACTGTTTCATGAATTGTAATCAATTCATCAAGAACAGGATGTACACCACGAGGTAAGTGGCCAGTTAACTGCATTAATAATTTACAATTTAAATCAGCTTTAATACGGGCTTTATCAGTCCCATTTAATGTTGATTCTTGTTTTACTGTCTCCTTTTTACAATTTACTGGCGTTAACGAAAAAGGGATGGATGATTCTTGTTGTATATCCATATTTATATCTCCTTTATCATTATTTTCTTGAAATAAAGACGTAGGTGACGCACATCTGACTACTACTTCTTCACTGTCATTTACAAAAGGACGATCATTCTTGTCTAGCGCTTCTCCTCCAGTTACCATAGCTATAGCTGCTTTTCGTTTGACAGCACGTTCACGTTTAATCGTTAGAGGCTCTTCTTTCTCATATTTTGATATGACCTTATAAAATTCACTAACATACATCATGACACTTGGTTCATGAGGATAATCAACATTGACGAGATCTTCAGGTTCCAAGTAGGCTTCCACCCCTAATTTCTCTGAACCTAAATCAAAGGCTAACCTTAGTAGTTGATACCATGTTGCTTTCTCAGATAAATCAGCATTGAGATGAACGCTAAAGAGGTCGGGTATATAAGCAGGATTATGGCGATGAATTAACAAACAAAATGCAACACCAGTTCTCCATGATCTGGAGAAATCCTGAATAGAGGGTATAATATTTGCAGCAATATAATCTTCTAGTTGGATACGCACCCAATACAAAAGGGCTACCTTTGCCTCAGTAGAAGAAGAGGTATGTTGTTGTTGTTGTTGTGATTTCCCACTTATTGAATGTTGTTTGCTACTACTGATTTTTTTAGTAGCTGTATGTGATGAAGATGTATTTACAGCTGCTGCTTGAGAGGCTTCTGTATTTAAATCGGATGTCTGTGATATCAGGCCATTTTCTTGTTTTGATAACTCCTATATATTTTATTTTGAGTTTTATATTTAGTTTAGATATATGTATATACTTATATTTATTATATTTTGAATGGAACCTTACAGATAACGATTGCATAAAATCTTCACCATGCTCCAGTAGAATAAGTTGTATTTGATATTTAAGCATGATAAAAAAAATCAAAGCTAAAGTCTTTTTAGCGTCTCCATTAACAATAGCTTCATTCCCAATATCTGGCATATTATCAGTTCCTACATGTTTCTCTAGAAAATTAAGAGCTTGGGCTACGTTGGAAAGTTGGTGAATACGCATATTCATACGCTCAGGTTTAGGTGCTGGTACATTTGATAGAACTGATAAGAGTTTCAAAAGTTTTTTACCATCTCTTAAATCAGTACTAATATTATCTATTGAATCGCCTACTTTTTTCAGTTGAGCATTGACCCATCTCGTTAATGTACGGATTTCGATTTCTTGATAGTCAGATCCAATATTTCTAGTCAAATCTTCACCAGTAAATTCTAGACCCGCTGTTGTCTGTCGTGATCGAGAATCTTGTTTTCGGTTGTTTTCTGAAAAGAGGGAAAAGTTAGATCTTGATCTAACTATGGATGTACTAAACCGGTTTGTAGTTGATCGACAAGTGGTTGATGCAGCTGTTGAATTATTCATGTTGACATTACTGAGATTAAAAGATTAAGAAAAAAAAAAAAGGGAAAGGTACAACCCGAAGTACACTTAAAGAAACTATCAGCTTGGTTATAACAAACTTTTAACAATCAATATTGATATTGTTATATGTATTAGATCAATATATTTATATAAAACTCCTATTTTCATTGTCCTATTTTACCTCTATTGTTATAAGAAAAGGAGAATTTTTTTTAAAAAAAAAAAAAAAAAAAAAAAAAAAAAAAAAAAAACTATCATGATTATTTTTTTTTTTGTACGTTTATCAAGTGAAAAAACACCGCCTTGCATGCATATTTTTACCTCAACATATTTCATTCTACATGAAATATTGTCTTTGTTTCACAAACATCTGAAGAATGTGTTAACCAAAAATAAACTAAAGATTTATTTTGTGGCAATAATAAATATGATATGATAAAGAATTTTACATGAATAATAATAATAATAAATGCTATAAATTAAAGTACATTTGTTGAATGGCCAACCACGAGGACAGCAGGTGCTTTGATGTTTTCACTTTCTACTAAACTAGCCATAGTATTTAATTTTCCAAAGATAATTCGTTCCTCAGGACAATTTGAATTCTCTATCCAACAAATAGGTACATCTTCAGGATAGTGTCGATCTAATAGCAAAGTACGCAATTCGTCAGCTCTGCCTACTGCCATTAATACCACTAATGTTTGAGTAGATTTAAACATCGGTAAATCAGGCATACAACCCTTTGTACCCCTGCCAGTAGTGATGATAACTTGATCAGAGACACCTCTGAAAGTGACAGGTATCTTGGCTGCCATAGGTGCTGAAAATGCGCTGGAAATACCAGCAACTAACTCTGGTTCATATCCATGTTCACGGAACCAAAGAACTTCTTCTCCACCTCTACCAAATAAGAAAGGATCACCAATTTTAAGTCTAACAACGTGTAAGCCCTTTTTTAATCCCTCTAGACACCATTCCATTAACTCATCTTGAGCTTCATCACATTTACCAGACACTTTACGAGCAACACGCAGCTTGCCTTGCACCATGTCTAATATTTGACTTGGAATTAAACGATCACTTACAACAAGATCTGCTTCCTCTAAAAGACGTTTGGCTTTAACTGTAATAAGTTCCGGATCACCTGGGCCACCCCCGATTAAAGTAAGTCGAGGTCGTCTTTGATCTTTAGATGGTAAAATAAGATTAATATCAGGAACGCCACCTATGATAAAATAGTCACGTAATTTGCTAAACACAGCCTCCTCTTCTTCCTGAGTCTTGATTTCATTAAGACGAGCCATTCCCTTCATACCCCATTTATCACATAATTTTGTAACCCAAGTCATACGCTTCCCTGAATTTTTCATAGAGGGCTCCCATTCTCGAACTTTTGCACGAAGTCGACCCATCATTTCAATTGTATTGCCAATGTTCTCTGGAAGTGCATTGGCTACATTAACACGTACCATGTTGGCTATTTTGGGTCCTTTACCATTGGTTGATACAGCAATCTGAAGAGGACCGTCGCGATGTTGAGACATAAAATAAAAGTCACACATAGGTGGCACATCGGCAACATTAACAGGAATGCGTTTCTTACGACATAGTTCTCCGATTCGTAAAGATTCTTCATGATCATCTAAAGCTGTCAAAACCATATCTACATCCTCTAGATCGTCATCGTTAAATTTTCGATTATGCCATTCGACTTCATTATTCTCGATTCTAAAACGAACTTCATCATTAAGACCTTCTTCTGGTGATATAACAATTACTTTAGCATCAGCCGTTTTACAAGATATAATGCGTTGAGCGGCAACAAATCCTCCACCTACAATAAGCACTTTTTTGTTTGCTACTTGATAAGCAACAACAAGAGATCCTCCGCCCTGTATAGTCTCGTATTCTGGTTTAGGTGTATTTGACATAATGTTTAAATTTATTTATTTATTTATTTATTTATTTATTTAAAAAAAGAAAAAAGAAAAGGGAAACACACTCTATTTAAATAAAGAAATGATTTATAAGTGGATAACAATGATGCGCTTGACTTGGACAATGACAAATCTATTTGTTTCGTTTTCTGTTAGCTTATTGGCACATGGATGTCGTACTTTTATTTTATTTTATCTTTATTAAATATTGTATATATTTGTCCGCTATATATTTTTAGTGAATAAAAAAAAAACTACAATTTTTATTAGTAAGAAAAAGCTATTTTTATTTAACCAAAATAAAAGTTAGTTGCTTTATGAGTATTTTATTCAGCAAATGAGTTGCTTAGACTAGCTTAAAAGAATAAGTCATTCTAATAAATAAATAAATTGAGTCAATTTCTTTCTTCTGAAAGATAGAGAGAGAGTGAGAGAGTGACAAAATGAAGAAAATAACAAAAGCAGAGCGCATAATTTAAGGATTGTACACTTGTATTTAGCGGGAAAAAAGAAGAAAACCACAAATAGCATTCGCGGGAAAGAACGAGAGTTGAAATATTATACTGTATACTGCATTATATTTACCTATCATGATAAAAGCTAGTAAAAAAAAATACCCTCCCCCCTCGAGAACTTTCCAATATTATGAAAGATTTGAGCAACTTTTTGATAAGCTTTTTTAGTATAAACAAGATTAGGACTATAACATTTATGACTATGTATAAATAAGGGTGATAATAATAAGAGAAACATGTATTAATAATTTGGTAATCATTAAAATAAGGTAATAATCAAAGTTAATTCTGAGGTCTACAATCCTTAGCCTGAATAAATAATATTAGAGAAGGGATCTTATTTATTCTTTGTCATGATCTATGAATTTAGTGATATTGTAAGCTTTATAAACAACAGGAATAGCTCTTTAGTCTTAACTCATATTTTATCAACCCTTTTCTACCCTAGATATACTTGTTGTATTCATTTATCTAGCTCTCTCTCTCTCTCTCTCTCTGAAATGATGCTTTGATACACATACAGTATGAATAAATAGGAATTTAAAAAGAGGGAACAATAGCACTATCATTAAAGGAATTCGACCAGTATATAATCAAGAGGTTATATGGTTTACTAGGATGAAGAGATGGGTGTCCGTATAGAATTATTTAAAAAAAAAAAAAAGGATGATCTAGTTACATAAGTAAAATCATTATAAAAGAATTTAATATTCTTGATGTAAAGTTGAAGATGATAGGTGTACCTTAAAGATCATAGAACAAATATCTTATAATTTAAAAGCCAAGATAGGAATGCATATAAATGCTTTACTTAATACCTTCAAGAATCTATAAAGCTTTAGTTTACAGTATATTAAAGAATAAGAGTAACTTTAACGTCTAGATGTATAAGGCAGAAGTTTTCCTGTTAGCTTTAAAATTGAATGTACTATACACTAAAAGTAAAAAAGAAAAAGAAAACCCAGAGTAAAGGAAAACCTGTTCTCATTCTTTTCCATATAAGTTTTCTTCTTAGTAATATTTATGATACATATACTCTGTATTTGATATTGGCTTTAAGCTTTAAATGGCATTCCTATGATAACTAGTCGTATAAGTAAATAAATATGAATTGTAAATACTATTTTAGACGATGAGTCGAATCATTTATTTAAAGATATTCCATCAAGTATCTATGCTCAAATTATTTCGTTCAAATATTACTTATCCTTAACATAATCAAGCTAGCATTAAGACAAATAAGCATTTGAATAATATAACAATATCTTTTAATTTTCTATTAAAGGAGACAAGCATGTTTACTAGTGTTTGCTTCTCTTTTTAACTTGTCCTTCTGACTTGTATCATATTCTACTTTCTTCTTTCCAATTATTAGATAAAATGATAGCACAAATATATTATAAAAGCCTGTAAAAAAAAAAAGTCTATTTGTAGCCTTAATCATTTATTAGCTTCTGATAGCATTTAAAGAATGTCTATTTTTTTTATAAATTCAATTTTTTTTCAAACCCTATAGTTACCTTGATCTAAAGATATTTAAGTTATCTAGTAGGATGTGTGTTTTTAAATTGATTTGAGCCTCAGTGAGTAAAATATGTATATACTCTTGACTGTACAATAATGCCACCAAAAAAAAAAAAAAAAAAAAAAAAAAAAAAAAAAAAACTTTCCTTTTGGTAGCCACTGCTTATCAATTGCTATATCTAAAACATTCTATTTTTCTGTTTCCAAAACTACACCTTTATTTGATTGTGTATTCTTCGAGTACACATTGATATAAAACTCTTTTAATTTTAATAACTTTTATATCCTTATTATTCCTTTCATAATAAATTTTTCTATTGTCTGAGTCTTTATCTGCTCACAAGATAACTTATTATTTACTTGATAACAGACTACTTTCTTTCTACTCTACATCTATCAAATCTTAAATACATTATTCAGTGAAACATATCTACTCCCCTCCCCCTTTTTTTTTGCATAAGTTTAATTCTTTCATTGTGATAATTATTTGTTAACTAGAATAATGATTTTTAACGTATTATAATTTGGTATTCTTTGTGTTCTACAAACGATATATAAATTCTATTATTAGAAATAATTTTGTAGATATAATAATATGAAAGTAAGAATATTAACAATTATACAAGCGTCTGAGATAAATCTAGCCTATTCCAAATATTCTTGTTTAAAGCTTGCAGTTAACATTTTACATCAAGATACATTTCTATATACTATACAATTTTTTTTAAAAAAAAAGGGGGTAGTAGTTTCATGATAGGTCATTCCTGGTTAAAGATAGAAATAAAGACATATCATGGTGATATACGTTTTTCAAAAAAAAAAAAAAAAAAAAAAAAAAAAAAAAAAGAGTAAAATACAAAACAATAATAAAATTAACTTATCAGCAACAAAGTGGTAGGACAGTGTTTTTAATTGGTCAGAAGCTGTCAATTTTGTTTTATTGGCTTATCCCCGGGAAAGAATAACTTTTTTTTTTCTATAGTAAACCAAAAATAGCTTTTCTGGACTTTGAGGGGTAAGAAAAAAAAAACTGATTTTTCTCTTTTCTTTTATTTTTTTATTATTATTATTTTACAAACCTGAATAAAAAATAATTTAAGAATGAGACTCTTTTTGACTGCTTTGATATTATTTGTATTTATATTAAATAAAGGTAAGTTGTTGTTTTTCTATAGTTTAAATATGAACATTTTTATAACCTTTTTTTTTTTTTTTTTTTTTTTTTGTTTTGTTAAAACAATATAAAGATTATCAAGGTAAACACATATTTTAATTGTCAAAGTAAAATATAAACTTATGCTGTCTTTCTCTCTCTCTTTTTTTTTCCGCCCCGTTAAAATAATAGTTTTCGCTCAAGCGGCATCAAGTTCAAATGTTACAGGTACAAATACAGGAACAATAATAGCTACTTCAATAAGTAATACAGCAGCACCTGCATCATCGTCCTCACCACCATTAGCTGTAGTGAGCGGGAATCAAACACTATCCAACAACAATCAAACAGTCACAGCATCTAACAATGGAACTCAGAATGATTCGTTAGGAGGTCTACCAACATCAGCAAGCTTTGGTAACACTGTCTTTCCAGGTGGTGCTAGTTTTATTAAACCTACAGCAAGCAAATCAGTTTCACCTCTCTATCGTATCGATAACAGAGAGAATGTTACTTTTATATGGACCTTTACAGACTTGAAAGTTGCGCCTGTTAATTTGACTTTAGCTGCTGTAGCACCTAACAAAGTAACTTATACCATCTCTACTTTACCTGGTCATGCCACAAGTGCTGTATGGCAGATTAAAGATGTACCAACTGCTTCCCCATTAATGATGGGCATGTACCAAGTCCAACTATATGATCAAAGAGGAGTTTCAGCTAATCCACAACCTGGTTGGTTAGCACCTAATACAAGATTAACTATTGCATTTTATTCCCCAGAGACTTATCAAGCTGGTACAGGATGTAAGTCTAAGAATTAAAATTATCTTTATTTATTTAAATTCTAATTTTTTTTTAATTTGTAGCTGATTATTGCCCAGCTTGTTTTTATAATGCTAGTAGAAAAATGGCAGAGAGTTTAGGACCTATGATTATTGCAGTAGGATTAGCAGGTGTTACTTCAGCTATGATCTTGTGGGGTCTTTTATTTTAAACTTTGTGTACATCTATTTAAAATAAAAAGAATAAGCAAGCAGATATGTACTTTTAGAACCATAAATGCTTTTCTACATAATATACATGTATATATATATGTGTGTATGTGTGTGTGTATGTGTGTGCGTGCGTGTGCTTATATACAAATGTCATATTACATATCAGTTGATCTTTAATAATATACGTTTTTATTTCATTTTATAACTCCATTCAAAGTAGACCACTCGGGCGTCTATTGTATCAGTAAATACACGCATATACCACATCATATTGGTTCTCTATACTTCTGTTTGTCTCTCCTTCCTAAACTATATTTTCCTTGCTTTTCTAACTTTTGGGTAAGCAAAATGTGACTAAAAATGAGAGTATATTAATATAAAACTGTTCTATTACCTTTTTTTATTATTATTTCCTCCTTTTTTCTCTTTCTCTTATAAATAGTGTTTTAACTAAATATATACATATTTATATATATAAAAACATATAAATATATATACACACATATATTTATATATATTTGTATATATGTATTTGTATATATTATTGTATTTGTTTACATATTATGGATCTTAATATCTGTCTTTATTGTGAAAAACCATTAATTGAAGAAGTATATACTCTATCTATTCTAATTGATATACATATTTACTATTGTTAACATCTCTGTATACTATATAGAATATATATTTTTGTTCGTTAACTTGTCAATCTAACGAAGCCTCTAAACCGAATTGTAAAAATAGCAATATAACATACTCACCATCTTCTCGGCTGCTATCTAATCGATATAATCAATCAACCACTCGAATAGGGTCTTCCTATGAAATATGTTACTATCGACGTTCTTCTTCAAGCCTTGCTATGTGTTATTATTCCCAACCGTTGACATTTTCTACCTCCTCCTCCACTAGTAGTAATTGTAGTAGTAGCAGTAATTGTAGTAGCAGCAGTAGTAATAATAATAACAATGGATCTTTTTTTTTTAATAGATGACATTAAAAAAGGAACATGAATAATTATGTATAGTTTCATCATATTATATTCAAAAACCAAAAAACCAAAAAAAAAAAATTGTACATAATACATTACACCTTTTTAAAGTATACATATACACATACATGAATAAATCATTTAAACTTGTATAAAAAAAAAAAAAGAAAAACAACTCCCGCTTGTTATTCTCCTCGTGCATATTAATATATTTCCTATAATCAACTCAAATCTTCTTCTTGTATATACACATACAAATTAGGTACTAGTCTTAATGTATATGAAACAATAACAGCAAAAACGTGGGAGACTTATTCAAGAAAGTATAAATATCCTAGAATTGATCCATAATGGTAAAAGCCCATCTTTACCGGTATCTTATTTACCAAGTCGTCCTAATTTTCGTATAATTTGCTAAATGACCCTTTTTTTTATGAAATAGGGCAACAAAGGGTGTCAATCAATGGTGTATACATGTATTAACTAAAGAAAAAAAAACCTGTCTTCTTCAAGTGAGAAGAATGATTAGGAATCAGGAAAAAAAAAAAAGAAAAACAAGCTAACGATTCCATTTTCTTTTATTTGTTAAGGATAATGTTATACAGAGTGAATTTAAGAGAAATAGTAACCACCTTTACTTTGCTGATGATTAATAAATACACAGCCTCTGTTGTATAAATGGTTTTCCATCCTAAGGAACAGAAGCATGAAAGGCCTTTTTATCTATTTTGACTTTGGAGGACTATTTCTCAAAGATTAATCGTTTTTACTCTATTTCATTATCATAAAGAGGAGAATGAAAATACACACATAATTAAAAAATCTCCTTCTATCCATCTTTATATTAATCAGCTACAGTATATCCCTCTTTTATGGACCATAAACTTCTACCAATTAGACTCTTCAAGATAAAAAAAAAATTTCCTGTTTAACTCTTCTTCAACAAATGAATGGATGTATGTATCCGTTATATTATTATTATTATTTAACCTGCTACTTTAATATTTATATGGCTTTTTTTTTGTTTCTTTAATTCTTATTGATAAAGGAGGTTTGAATGTTCATTTATTGACACATATTAGATACAGTTGAAGTCTTGTGTTTCATTCTTTTTTTTTTTCACAACAAATTTTTATAAAGTGTGCATTACAGAGTGTTTATAGTGATATTATACGTCATACATGTTTTTTTTTTTCAGTTAAAAAAAAAAAAAAAAAAGGGTTGCCATTTATCTTTTTTTTTTTTTTTTTTTTTTTTTTTTTTTTTTTTTTTTTAAAAAATATACACACGATATTCAAACATGTTAACAGATGATGAACTAGATTTTGACGACTTTGGAGATTTAGGAGAAGTTGGAGGAACAGAGATTACAAATGAAGAATTAGAAAAGCAATTAGAATTAGAATTCGGTTCAGAAGAGGATGTCATCCCATATGATGCTTCAACAACCCACGTTGAGTTGGAAGAAGGAGAAACGAATGAAGCCACGTCAGATAAGGAAGAAGGGGAAGCTAAAGAAGATAAAACAAAACCTAAACCTGATGAAAAGGTAGAAGCGTCTTCCAAGGATGGGAATCAAAAGAATTCAACAAAGCAAACTGCTAATAATCAACAAAAGTTCAATAAGAATTATCACAACAAGTTTAATAATCCATATAATTATCCTTTTCAGTATCCCATGAATTATTTACCGGGAGCCTTTGCTATGAAGTAGGTTCAAGTATAACTTTTCTTTTCTTTTTTTTTTTTTTATTATTATTTTATTATTTATATCAGTTATTTATTGGGAAAAAAAAAGGCAGCTTTTTATAATATATATACATGTTTAAAAAGAGAAAAAAAAAGACAGAAAAAGGATAAAAGTAGATATATAAAAAAAAAAGAAAAGAAAAGAAAGATTGCCTTTATTTTCTTTCCAACGTAAAGAAAAGAAAAGAAAAAGAAATGCAAAAAATACAAAGAAAAAAAAAAGAAAAAAAAAAAGAGAAAAAGAAAAGAAATTCAATCTTTGTACATTTTTTTGTTTACATCTATATTTTTTTTATTTTTTATAATTTTCATTTATAAATTATAGTAATATGTTTCCACCTTATCCTCAATTCTCAAATCGCATCTATATCAATCCAAAGTTTAGTAACACTGGTGCAAATCCTCAACAAATGATGCAACAACAACAACAACAACGTCAGTTTATGGAAATGGAAGCACAACGTATGATCATGTTACAACAACAAATGCAAATGCAACATCAACAGGAAAAGCAGCGTATGGCTGAATTAGACCAAAAGAGACGTGAAACAGCTGAAAATATTAGAAAGAGAAAAGAAGCTAAAGAACAGCTTAATGGAGAAAAGTCGAAAAGTCAAGTAAGTAATGATGGGTGTTGTTGTACGAGTAAAGAAAAAAAAAAGGAGTTTTATACCTATTGACATGTCTATTTTAAAGTTAGGTGAAAAGCGAGATAGAAATGAAACTGATGTAGAGGTGAATGATAGACAATCTAAAAGACAGGAAACAATGACATCTTCTAATGAAGGTGGAATATCAATTAAAGGAGCAGCATCACGTGTTCATCATCATTCGTCTTTACCACCAAGGAATATTCCTTATACTCCTCCTCATTATTCACAAAGAAGGGACGAGTATATATCAAAGAATAAAGAACAACATCCTTATCATTCACCGCCAAATAGAAATGATATCAGAAACAGACTTAACTTATCTTCAGAAAATATTACAAGTCGTTTAAATAAATCTACCAATTCAAGTAATAAGAATTCACCTGTATCTATTGTAGCAACGCCTGTTGTTCCTATATCAACCAATGGCAAATCAAATGTGGTTATTATTCAGGGACTAAGTTCTAATACAAAAGAAGAAGAGATAAAGAAGTTGACTAACAGTATTCCTGGAGGAGCTAATGAAATTAAATTGGATGTTAACCTAAAGACAGCCACTGTTATATTTCCAACTGTTGAATCCGCTGTTACGTTTAGAAGAAAATATAACAGGTAAATATAATGTCATTTTAAAGCTAAAAGAAAAAGAAAGGAATATTTATTTACATGTGTGTACTTTATAATAGAATTCAAATGGGTGATTCACATATTAATATTACATTTCAAAAAATAAAATAATGTGAATTTTTTTTTTTTTTTATCAGTATAAAAATAGCTTTTGTGTGTAGTAATAATAAAAATGTGGAGTTTAGATCAAAAATTAAAATAAAACCAATTATTAAATTTATTTCTTTTTTTCTCTCTTTTTATTCTTTTTAATTTTATTTTGCACACTAATATGAATTCAACAACAACAACAACAACAATTGAGATTCCATTTGGGATAGAAACAGAAGATAGTAGTCATGGTGCTTTATATAAGATAATAGGTGTTACTTTAGCTATTGCAAGTGGTAATGTCAGTTCGATGGAAGGTGAATGAATGTTCCTCATTAATCTTTTTTTTATTATTATTTTAAAAATAGGTATATTTATTGGCAGTAGTTTTGTATTTAAAAAGAAAGGATTAATACAGTCAACTGAAAAGTCAGGTATATAATATATATACATACATATATATGTATATATAAGCGAGGATAAGGAAGGAAAGAGGAGAATATTTATTGAATAACAAAAAAAAAAAAGGACATACATATAAGATACAGATAAATATGTATATGTATATGTATGTGTATGTGTATATAGATATATATTAAGCTTATTATTACTACTATAGGTGGTATAGCTGGTGAAGGCTATGAATATCTAAAATCACCCATGTGGTGGACTGGAATGATACTAAGTAAGTTATGAATCATGATTATGTTGGTACAAGAACTAATAGAATAATAACTAGTGGTTGTCGGTGAAGCATGTAATTTTGTTGCATATGCTTTTACTCAAGCTATTTTAGTAACTCCCTTAGGAGCAACTAGTGTTGTGCTAAGGTAAAATAGGATTATACAATAATTGCATTCATTTTTCTCATCTCTCTCTCTCTCTCTCTCTTTAGCGCTATATTATCATCTATTTTTCTAAAGGAAAGACTCACATTTCAGGGTAAAGTGGGCTGTCTTCAATGTGTATTAGGTGCTGTAATTATCGTTATGCATGCTCCAGAACAAGGTGCAGCAGATAACTCAATTGAAACTTTCAAGACATTAATGTTGTCGGCCGGTAAAGTATAGTATACAATAGAATAGAATAGGATCACGAGGCTATGAATGATGATGTATTTAATCTCTTTTATTTATATAACAGGTTTTATCATATATGCTTGTATCGCAGTTGGATTATCTTTATTTTTAGTATTTTATTGTGGACCTAAATGGGGGAAAACGAATATGTTAATTTATATTACAGTTTGTTCACTTATTGGATCTTTATCAGTTGTATTCACTCAAGGAATTGGTGGTGCTATTGTACGCTCATTTACAGTGGAAAATCAATTCACAAATTGGTTCTTTTATCTTGTACTCATCTTAACTCTTGTTACATTGGCAATTGAAATCATTTATTTAAACAAGGCACTTAATATCTTTAATACAGCTCTTGTCACTCCTACCTATTATGTTATATTCACAACATTAACAATCGTAAGCTCTATCGTATTTTATAGAGGATTTGATGCTTCACCTGTCAATGTCGTTACTTGTGTCTTTGGATTCTTTATTATATGTTCTGGTGTAGCTTTACTTCAGCATTCACGTAGTGAGAAAGAAGAGAGGATACATAATGATGATGATGAATCTTCGGTTGTAGGAGGAGGTCCACAAGATAGATTATTAACAGCTATCTTTGATAATGAAAAATATTTAACATCAGAAGAAGAAATCATAGATGATACAACTGCTACTTCAAGTAATACTAATAAGAAACAACATAATCTATGGCGTAGATCAAGAGGTTCCTTAGATGATTATCATCCACGAGACACTAGTTTTAGTGACACTATTAGTTTAAATACCATTAAACATGAGAAGTTACCATATCAACAAAGCATGTGAAATAATAGTACAATTTCAGTTATATTTTACAAATTTATGTAGAACAGAAAAACAAAAAAAAAAAAAAAAAAAAAAACCCCTTTGTATATATTTATATAATATAATAATAGACATCATTAAGATTTACTAGTTCTAATGTAAAAAATTAGATATTAAAGGCTGTTATTGTTGAACACGTTTGGGCACATAATAAAAAAAAACATAATATTGTACTGCCCCGAGAAAAATAAAAATCTTACCAGTAGTTAATATAAAATGACTTCAATATGTTTATTAAGAGGTATTTATTAGTATATTTAACTGCATAGTATGACACAGAACTTAAATAATAAATAGTGTTAAATAAGAGATATGTAAATAGAATGTTTTATTCCATATATGTTGATAAAGCATAGACAATCAATTACGTGTTATAATCTTACGTTATTTGTTCCAGACAGTATGAATATGTGTGTAGACTTAATCCGAGGTCATACCTTTTAGTACTTCCCATAAGATAAAAATAGTTTGTATAGAACACTTGCCGTCGAAGAAATATGGAAATTGATTTGATTCGTTGAATATAAAAAATACCCTTCTCTCCTTCGTCTAAAGGAAATCAATGTATGACTGTAACTATACATTTTCGCTGACTATAAAATCATATTTGGTATTTGAGCGTCTCAACCAATTCTGGTAGAATCTATTTTGACACTTGAATTTCCATAAATACGACAATGTTTTTAATTTAATACATCAGCATGAATTTTTTTTCAGTGCGATATCATTTAGAGTGAAGGTGTATAATAAGGTTATATTTTGTGTGTCTGTCTCTAAATAAAAGGGAAAAAAAAAACGAATAATAACAGTAAATTGAGTTTTCTTTTTTCTTTTTTTATTTTTTTTATTTTTTATTTTTTTTTTATTTATTTAAATAATAAAGTTATGTCTGATAATAGTCAAGGTATAAAAGTCCTTATCCTACAAGAATAATAATAATAATAATAATAATAATAATAATAATAATAATAATAATAATAAAGAAATATATACAATTAATAATTATATTAGACCGTCTTCAAGAATATCTCGACTTTGCAATTCAATTAGCAAAGGATGCTGGTGCTTTGATTAAAGCGGCTGTCGATTCCCGAATGGCAGGTTCTGGTTCGAACATTGAATTGAAAAAGGAGAATCCAACTGATCTTGTAACTGAAACTGATAAGGCAGTGGAGGAATTTATTAAAGAACGTCTCTATAAGACATATCCTGAGCACAAGTATTAAAAAAAAAATTAGAGAAACCTCGCATATGTCTATTATTGACAATTATAAAACATAGATTCATTGGCGAAGAAACCTTTGCAAGTGGTGCCAAAACAGAATTCACTAACGATCCAACTTGGATTGTAGACCCAATTGGTAAAAAAAAATAAAAATAGATAGTAAAGCATGATCATAGCAATAAACTAAATACGTTGACTTGATTACATAATATAGATGGCACAACCAATTTTATTCATGGATATCCATTTGTTGCAGTTTCAATTGGACTCACACTAAACAAGATTCCCACTATCGGAGTTGTATTTAATCCATTACTGAATGAACTCTATTCTGCTGCAAGAGGTCAAGGTGCTTACCTAAATCAAACTCAGAGGCTACCCCTCTTTCATCCTCCACAACCCTTGACAGACCTGTCACATTGTCTGATTGCTACTGAAGCAGGCTCAGACCGTTCAAAGCAAGTCATTGATGCCAAAATAGCCGCTATTCATGATATGCTTCGTAAAAGATCAAAGGAAAGCCCTTATGCTGCTGAAGCACATAGTATCCGTACTACAGGCTCTGCGGCCCTTAATTTGTGTAATGTGGCTAAGGGCATCATTGATGTTTACTGGGAGGTAGGCTGTTGGGAATGGGATGTAGCAGCTGCTATTGTGATTGTTCAAGAATCTGGAGGTATTGTCATAGAAGGTGATAATGATAAGTTAAATAATGAACCTGTGAATATCTTTTGTCGCAAGTATTTGGCTATTCGTGCTGCTTCTGATAATAAAAGTCAGTTAGAGATTGCATCTCAGATGAAGAATTTGATTCCTAACATTAGCGCTCCTCGTCCTCCTGTTCCTGGTGGTTATAGTTACTAATTTATATATATGCATATATATGGAAATATAGAAATATATATGTATATACTGTATCATTAGAGTATAGACTTATTTTACTTTTGTGTATTTGTTTATTCTTTTTATTAAATAAATAAAGAATTTAATTATAAAAGTTTGTTTTAAACAATTAATGTATATCTATTTTCCATCCATATAACTGCATGTACGAGCCTCTTGCTTATGGTCTTCAATACAGCCACCATCCCATTCTTCATCTTCATCTTCATCTTCATCTTCATCTTCATCTTCTTCATCCTCATCCTCATCTTTATCTGCTTTCTTCATCTGTTTATGATGGTGATGATCGTCATATTCACAATAAAGAAGGACTTCATGATGCTTATGGCCTTTATTACATGTATAGTTAATGGTGGTTTCGTGATGATGATGTTCTGTTAAGGTATCTGTACAGAATTTCTGGGTTTGGGTTGGATAAGTAACTGAAGAAGTTTTAACTCCATGGCTTCTTGTACTTGCTGAAGTAGGTGTACTGCTCGAACTACTGCTGATCGTGGTACTACTACTACTACTACTACTACTACTAATCAAACTGCTTGAACTACTAAACTGTGTTGAACTTGATGAGCTAGACGAACTAGTTGAGATAGGTAAACTAGAGGAACTGGACGAAATAGCTGAGCTAGATGAACTTGATAAACTAGAGGAACTAGAAGGGCTTGATGAGCTAGACGAGCTAGAAGAACTAGACAAGCTAGAAGAACTGGATGAGCTAGAAGAACTGGATGAGCTAGAAGAGCTGGATGAGCTAGAAGAAGTAGTTGTACTGGAAATTGAGGAAGAAGTAGTGGATACAACTGAACAAGGTTGACGATTTTCAAAGACTTGACACGCACCGCCAAGGGCTGAATAATCATTAATCACACCATCAGTATAGAACGTTCTATAATTATTTGCAATTAATTGTCCTGCAAAAGACCCCTGTGATCCTTCAACAACACTTCCTTTTGATTAAAGAATATATTAATAAATTTGATCCTCTCTATCTCTGATTTTTTTTTTGTTTATTATACCTTCTGGCATGAGAATAAACCCTCCAAATGGACCTGTTGTATCGCGATAAGCAGTAAAGCTGCCATCTGTTTGTACTCCATTCTGATCAGAAGGATACAGATTAATAATGGTATTGCAGGCATTCATTCCTAAATTACTCAAGTTTGCCGAAAATGTAACTGAGCCACCAACATCAACGGGGATCTATATTAAAACATATGTTAAAAATAAAATAAAATAAGAAAAAATAAAATAAAATAAAAAAAAAGTAATATACTAACATTAATGATTAATCTGGATGGCCAATCCATGCCTTGAGGACCATTCCAAGCGCTTTGTCCATAGAAAATAGAGTTTGGAGACGAAAACTGATTTAATGAGTTCCCACAGTTTCCATTATTACATGTATTAAAAGTAATCACATCATAGCCTGTAGTAGGTTCTGCAATACGATGAAGTACATTATTCTCGTCAAGATAAAGCGTAGGCTTATATGCTGAAAATGTTTGTGATGCAAAAATAGCATTATCTCTGAAATTATCTAAATCAACATTACCAGTTCCTCTATCATTATATATTGAGCATGCAGCATTGGTTTCGATAAAAAAATTAGCATTAGTTCTATTAGATATAAAGACATCACCACTGACTCGAACAGCCGTTGCAAAACTGTTACCCCTCACAACAAGACCAATATTACTATAACCTAAATGTGAACTAGAACAGTCGCTACTAAAGCGAGTATTTACTGAATATTGTGTTATTATAAATTCACCACCAACAGCTAAAGGGCCTTGAATATCATTTGACCCAGTTCCCATGAAGTTTTCAAAAATTACAGCAGTAAATCTAGACAGCTATAATAAAAGTTCGCATAAGCATCTAAATGTACACATATATATATATATATAAAGATTTCATTTTTGGACCATCTACTTACCATATTTGCACTATTACTTGAAGAACACGAAGATGGATCCAAAAGGTGATTTAAAAAATCAGTTCTGCTTAATTGTTGGTTTGTATAATCTTGAATTGCTTCCATCGTTGCACTAGTATTGGCTGCATAGAATTCAGGAACTAGACCATTGCCAGAAAAGTAATCTAACCAGGGGATATTAGCTGCTAATGAAGTTGACACAAAGAAAACGTACAGAAAACCCTGTATCTGAATCAATTTCATTTTAATAAAGAATAAAATGAGGAAAAAGATAGATAGATAGAGAGAGAGAGAGAGATAGAAAGAAAAAAGACAAGAAGAAAGGCAATCTTTTCTTTCTTTTTTAAATCTTATATAAGAAAAGGATCCTTTATTTTTATTTTTTATTTTTCTTACATTCTTATTTTTTGTTTATATTCATGCATAAAATAGCAAAGGAATTTGATAAGCATAAATGTATACACATACTTTAGGCAACTTCAATTCAAATCACATATCTTTATTCAAGCACATTCCTACCTATATAAACTTTGTAGTTAGGAATTGAACGTGTAATTTAGAATATAAACAAAAATGAGAATTGATAGATAATGTCAAAGTGAAAGAAGACCTCATCATACGAAGGCTTTTTTTGTATGATACAAGTTGCTATGAGATAATTAATTCAAACACAGATTATTTTATTTTATTTTTTTTTTTCTTCCATTAAAAAAAAAAAGGTCTACGCGTTTCTCATTTATTTATTTATTTATTTATTTATTTTTTTCAAATATAAAATAACCCTTATTTTTTTTTTTTTTTTTAATGTCGAACACTGCAGAACTTTCAAAATTAAAAGTCGTTGACCTTCGTAGTGAACTTAGTAACCGTAATTTATCTACAAAAGGGAAAAAAGACGAATTAGTAGTTCGTTTAGCTAAGGCTATTGAAGAGGAAAATAAAGATAATGAACAATCAGACACTTTAGAACAGCCAGATGGACAAGCTACTGAGAAATCAGAAATGGAAGAAACATCAGAAAATAAAATAGAAGAAAATCAGTCTTCTGAAGAGAATATTGAGCAATCACAGATTGAAGAAAAGGAGGATCCAGAAAAAACTAAAGAACAAGAAAAGATGGATGAAGCACCAAAAGAAGAGGATATACAAGAACCCGAAAAATCGATAACTGAAGAGACGCAACAAGAAGCAATAAATATAAAATCAGAAACTGAAGTAAAAGATATGACATCTCAACCAGAACAACAGCAGGGAACTGAAGAAACCGATGAAGCTCAGCAAGAAAAGGAAGAAGTAAGTAAACAAACTGATAAAAAGCCTTCTGAAGAAGTGAGTCAAGAAAAGAGCGTTAAACAGTCATCAGAAGCAGAAAAGACAGAAATCGATTCTAATAAAAGAAAACGCTCAGCAGATGAAATAGATGATGGTAAGAATTATGAATAACATTTAAAGACAAAGATTGCCTTTAAGTAACTTTTCTTTTTTCTTTTAGAGAAGCGTACAAAAATGAAAACAGAAGAAGTAAATGATGCTATTAACAGTTCAGCATTATACGTGAAGGGCTTTATTAGACCTTTAATTATTCGTCATGTTCAAGAATTGTTATCAAAGTATGGAGAAGTTAAACGTTTTTGGATGGATGCTATAAAAACACATTGTTATGTTATTGTAAGGTCTATTCGTTTTCTTTTTCTTTTTTCAGAAAAAAATACACTCTATTTGATATTAACAAAGTACTTTGATTATAGTATAAAAATGAATCAGAAGCTAAAGAGGCGTTTAAGAATATAAATGGACTTAAATTCCCTGTAGAAACTGGCAAAGAGTTAACAGTTGGAAGTCTAACAAATGAACAGATTGAAAAATTGATAGAGCTTGAACATAATGCAGCAGAACAGCGACTTAAAGTTGATTGGGAGTCCAACATTGAAAAAATAAAAGCAGGAGAAACTTTACCTGAGTCACCAACTACAGAAGGCCATAGAAGACATAGATCCATTGGTATTGATCAAGTTGCTAAACAATTAGCACAAGGTAAAATAGAATTATTTTATATATTTGTCTGATAGAAATAGTAAATCACGTTTCTCTCTCACACACACACTGTCTTTCTTTTTTCTTTGTATGTATATATAGCCTCATCTGAACCAGTTTCGCAAGCAAGAGAAGTTCGTATCGAAGGTTCTCGTCAAAAGCAAAAAGAACTTTCTTTAGATGATTTGTTCCGCAAAACAAAAGCACTTCCTCATTTATATTATCTTCCTAACACTGATGAAGAAGCAAAGATTAAGTTAGAAAAGCTTCAGAGACTTGCATAAGTTTGATTTATGTATTAATATCTTTTTTTTATATCTATAATGAAAAAATAAATAAGAGACTATTGAATATTAACATTGACATTATCTCGTTCCCGATAATAATGATAAAGATTCCTGTTGCTGCATAAAATTATTTTATTAATGATTAAAATAAAACATATTCATTAAGGGAGGAGACTAATTTTTAATACTCGAATAAGTTGGAAATTACAGTTATTCTTCATTTTTGTATTCATTATCAGAGAAAAAAAATCAAGGTGATGTGAGCGTGTTGAAATAAGAATAAAGAGCAAAAGAAACGTTTTTTTTTTTTTTTTTTTTTGAAAAAGTATGCTTTATTGGTGAAAGACTGCAAATCATAAAGTCAAAGAAGAGAATAATAGCAGTAAAATAAAAGGGAATATTTGGCACTAAAATTCAGACAACATATATAAATGGGGGGATTTTTTTTTCTTCGTTATTAGTCGTAAAGAGTAAACAAAAAGGAAAGAAAGAATCGTTTATGTAAATGACTGATAAATAAAAATAGGTTTCTTCTTCTAACCTTTTTACCAAAATATATAAAAAAAAAAAAAAAAATCGATAGCCGTCACATGTAAACACCGATACATCTGCACGAATATAGAGAAACTCCCCCTGTTTTCTTAAATTTTGACAAGCCCCCACTTTATCTTCTTTTTTTTTTCTTTTTTTAGTATATACTGTTCCAATAACAGCAATTACCTTATAATCTAGTACAATGTCGTTTGTGCGATCCTTACTTGGAGGGATTCCAGGAAGGTTCACTTTTCGGGCTGCAACAGCTTCTTTCTTGGAAACAGCTCCACAAACTATGAACCTTTTCCCCGTTGCTTTATGTCGTCGTTGGCAATCGACCGAAGTCGATGCCAAAGATCTTGTAAGTTTGTTCAAGGACTGACTTATAGACTAAAGATAACTGATTTGTTTTATGCTAGGATCGTCTCAAAAAACTTCGTAATATCGGTATCTCTGCACATATTGATTCTGGTAAAACAACATGTACAGAGCGTATTCTTTATTATACGGGTCGTATTAAGGAGATTCATGATGTTCGTGGCCGTGATGGTGTGGGTGCAAAAATGGATTCAATGGATTTGGAAAGAGAAAAAGGCATTACTATTCAATCTGCTGCAACTTATGCTAGTTGGGGAGATTACAACATTAATATTATTGATACACCTGGTAAAGTATAAAGAATCAAGACAAATGTATATATTTGTATATATATAACTTGCTTACCTCCATTTTATAGGCCACGTTGATTTTACAATTGAGGTAGAACGTGCGTTGCGTGTATTAGATGGTGCTGTTTTAATTTTATGTTCTGTATCTGGTGTGCAATCACAAACAATTACGGTCGATCGTCAAATGCGTCGTTATAATGTTCCCCGTATCTCGTTTATTAATAAAATGGATCGTGCTGGTGCTAATCCATTCCGTATTATTGACCAACTCCGACAAAAACTCAAGTTGACAGCAGCTGCTGTACAAATTCCTATTGGTTCCGAAGATCAATTTGCAGGTATTGTTGATCTTGTGAAATGGAAAGCTTATTACAATGAAGGTGAATCGGGTGAAAAACTGATTGAACGTGATATCCCCGAGGAATTGATGCCTCTCGCACTTGAAAAACGACATGAATTGATTGAACAACTGGCTAATGTAGATGATGAAATTGCTGATATATATTTAATGGAAGATATTCCTACTACTGAACAATTTTTATCGGCTATTCGTCGTGCTACCATCTCACTCAAGTTTACTCCTGTCTTAATGGGTTCCGCCTTTAAGAATACAGCTATACAACCTCTTTTAGATGCCGTTATCAATTACTTGCCAAACCCTACTGAAGTAACGAATACAGCTTTGGATATCAATAAGGGTGAAGAAAAGGTTGAATTAAAGCCCTATTCGAACAATCCCTTTGTCGGTCTTGCGTTCAAGTTGGAAGAAGGTCGTTATGGACAATTGACTTATATGCGTATTTATCAAGGTATATTAAAGAAGGGCTCGTTTATTACAAATGTGAAGACAGGTAAGAAGATCAAGGTACCTCGTCTTGTCCGTATGCATGCTGCTGATATGGAAGATGTGGATGAATTGGGTGCTGGTGAAATTGGTGCTATCTTTGGTGTTGATTGTTCAAGTGGTGATACCTTCACAGATGGTAGTCTTCAATACACAATGTCATCTATGTTTGTACCTGAACCTGTCATCTCTCTTTCTTTAATGCCTAAAGGTAAAGAATCTGCGAATTTCTCTAAAGCTTTGAATCGTTTCCAAAAGGAAGATCCAACTTTCCGTGTTCATATTGATACTGAATCAAAGGAAACGATTATCTCTGGTATGGGTGAACTGCATTTACAGATTTATGTTGAACGTATGAAACGTGAGTACAATGTGGAATGCGTTACTGGTAAACCTCGCGTTGCCTTCCGTGAGACAATCACACAACCTGCTAAATTCAATTATACACACAAGAAGCAATCAGGGGGTGCTGGTCAATTCGGTCGTGTCATGGGTCAATTAGAACCTATGGAACGCGATGAAGAAAGTGGAAAGGATATTGAATTTGAAAACCGTGTTGTAGGAGGTAATATCCCCACCAACTTTATTCCTGCTTGTGAAAAGGGTTTCAATGATGCTCTTGAAAAGGGGCCTTTAATTGGTCACCCAGTGAGTGGTGTTCGAATGATTTTAGAAGACGGTGCCGCACATGCAGTTGATTCTAGTGAACTTGCTTTCCGTATTGCAACCAAGAATGCCTTCCAAGAAGCCTTTGCTAAAGCTAAACCCTCTATTTTAGAGCCTATCATGAATGTTGCCATTACTGCCCCTATTGAATTCCAAGGTTCTGTGATTGGTGGTCTTAATAAGCGTAAGGGTACTATTATTGACACTGAAATCCAAGAAGATTACTTTAATGTCGTTGCCGATGTTCCTTTAAATGATATGTTTGGCTATTCAACTGAATTAAGATCAGCAACCCAAGGTAAAGGTGAATTCTCAATGGAATACAAAGAACATCAACCTGTTCAAACTCATGTGCAAGAAGATCTTATTAAAGAATATAGAAAGGAATTGGCTAGCAAGTCTAAATAATAATAATAAAATAATGCGCACATATAAATGCGTATAATAAACATGTATATTATTATTTTAATATCCCCCTTCTTTCCCCTTAAAAAAATAAAATAAAATAAAATTTCCTTAAATGTAGAATAAAATAAAAAATCGATATAAAGGCTTTCTTTTGAAATACATTCATTTATTATTTAAAAGAGAGTGCATTCCAAAGATATAAAGGGGGAGAGAGAAAGCAGAAATATGTGTATAATTATATATAACACAGTAAAGCGACCTCTTTTTTTTTTTTCCTATGTATTTTATCATTAAAATGTGTGTGTGTGTGTGTGTTTTATATGTATAGTCCCCCCCCTTTGTTTTTCTTTTGTTGATTTAAAAACCAACGTCTATTTTTTTTTTAATACAAATAGTTTCAACTAAAATATTATTAATAATTATCACATCTTGCAGCCTGTAGCTAGCATAAAGTTAAAATAATAAATATGTTGGAACAAAAGCTTTAAAGCAATGAAAAAGGTGAATAAACTATTTACAAAAAGAAAAGAAAAGAAAAAAAAGAAATGTATAAGTACATGTAATAATATATATTTATATAAATAGATACTGTCTATCCAATTTTTTTTAAAAAAAAAAAAAAAAAAAAAAAAAAAAAAGTTTAAATTGTTTAAAATATCTACCGAGACTATGTTTTATGGTACCAGTTTAGATGTATGTGAATTGCAAGGAGAACAGTTGAGATGAGACGAGTTATAGGTATCCAAATTGGGTGTATGTATATTATTATTATTATTATTATTATTATTTGGTGTAGTAGATACAGAGGAATGAATGAAATCAAATTCTTTATTACTGGAGGATGTTATGTCTACAAGGCTAACATCTATCGTGCCTTGTCCTCTTTCAAACTCATACATCATGACGAGTAAAGGAGAAGTAGTTGGTATTTCAGATGATGATGATGATGATGAAGGTGTTGTATTTACAGATGATGGTGAACAGGTCTTTAAATCATCATTATCAGTCTGCAAATGGGTTGAAGTAGTATCACGATGGGGTGACACGTTGGTTTCAACCGTTTCTTTAGCGATGGATTGTTCTTGTGCTAACTGTTGTTGAATCCGTTGCTGTTGAATCAATTTTGCCTCTACATCTTCAAAAATCTATATATATATATAAAGAAGAAGTAGGTTTAATCATCATACATTTATTATTATTGTTAATTGACTTACTTGAACTACACATAAATTATTGATTGCTATATCTACTTCTTCCCATAAACTTAATGCTTGAATACCTTTAATAAAGGCATCAAAGAATTGGTTGACATATACAAAGTTATAAATGTATTTCCCTTCATTAATATAAAGTGCTTGTTGAACTTCTTTTGCCTCTAATACAATATTGCCAAATGAATAAATGGTGGTTGTGCATTCAATCGTTCGACGCTCCTGTGTCTCAAAGAAGCAAGTATTATTAAAGAAAAACTCTCCCATGTTTAGGTTTAGATTAAGCTTGACCTTATATACAAAAAAAAAAAAAAAAAAAAGAAAAGAAAAGAAAAGAAAAGAGAGAGAAAGGTTAGACAATCTCTTTGTACTTGATACTAATAAATACAAGAGGTAGGAAAAAAGAGAGAAACTTGTATGTATGTATGTATGTATACCTTTGAGAATAATGTCGTGATTGCAGGGCTGATTGTAAGCTCTGAAATAGAGGGACATTTAAGTTTTGAATCTATATCACTTGGACTGATAGAGGTAAGAGAAACAGGTATACACTCTGGTAAAAGAGCAAGAGTATGAGGTATAATCACCTATAGAAAAGAAAAAAATTATTTTTTGTTACTGAATATATTATAAACTGAAAAAAAAAAAGAAAAGAGAGAGATATAGATATCTAAAATAAAAGTCAACTCACAGAAGGATCATAAGGATGTATATATTCTAGATATAAACTAATATGACAAGGCCATAAAGGATATCGAGAAGGATCGATCCAAGCATTCAATTGACTAAGAGATAGGAATGAAGTAGTTTGATTCAAAACTGGTAAAGAATAAGTAGATGAAGAAGTGACTAATTCTTCTGTTAAACGATTTATATTCATATGAAGATTATTATTTGAAAATGATTTTCTCTGTTTCCTTTTTTGCGGACTACTTTGTTGCTTTTTATAAATGGAAGAGGAAGAAAAGGCAGATTTTTTCTTTTGTTTGTTTTGACGTTTTGATACATAACGTAAATGATGATTAGATTGAGCTTTGATAACCATGACATCTACATCCATGGAGTAATTCTGATGGATACATACTTGTTCATCTAAAGCCATAGTTGCATTATTAGACAAGTTTTGCATGGAAGCAGATATTTCCATATAATCTTCATCTATTTGATGCTGTACGCCTGCAAGATCAGTCATACTGTTATTTGTTATAGAAGCAGAAGAGAAATCTAGACAGCCAAAGAATGGCTCGTAAAAGGGGTCCTTAAGATCTAATGTTGAATGAGAAGGGGGTATCTGTGAATCTGGATATAACATTTTAAAATCAAAGTCGGCCTGCGACGGAGAAGACATAAGAGAGGATTCATCAGAGGAAGTAGAAACTGATTTTATACTCTTTGGTCTTGATTTATTTTGTTGACGACGTGGGGCTCTTTTAGTTTGTTTTGTTTTTTTAGGCTGATGATGATGATGATATTGTAATTCTTCTTCATATTTTTGCTGAAATAATTGAGAAGAGGTATTAAAGCCTTCTTCATCCACATTATCATTTAATAAACGCATAACTAAGAAAAAAGAAAGAAGAGAGAGAGAGAGAGAGAGATGATTTAGACTATTTCTCTATTTCAAACATCTATAAGCTTACAATAAGGATCTGTTTTTCGTGTATTTTTTAACACTTGAATATGTGAAGATACTTGCTTTCGAGTACGAACTTTACCAGTTTTACGAAAAATAAAATCAGAAATAAGTTCATTTCTACCTGTATAAGCAAATAGTAATCTAATTAATGTTAAGTTTTTTTTTTTTTTTTTTTTTTTGAGATTATTATATACCACAAGGCTTTCCATTCACTAAGATCTTTCTTCTGCCTAATTTTGGAATTGATTCCAATGCTATAATAACTATTAATTACATGTATTCATACATAGTTTATGAACAGAATACCTTTAAGAAAAACAGCTTCCACATCTGAGGACCAGACTTGCTGTTATGTATAAAGAATAGATATTAATACATATAATAGATAAATAGATAGACATTGTATAACCTCTTCTTTATGATTGGTATTCATTCTAGTAGTGATATTGGATTCTTGTTGAGAAGAAAATATATGTTGTGACTGAAATTGAAGTAGATTAGGATTTTCTAAATGTGTCTTTTTCTGATTCTTGTTTATAATAGAGGATGGCGTTGAATTTTTTATATGAGAAGAAGAAGAAATATGAGTTGCAGTTGTGGTATTAACAAATAAGTCTGATTTACAAGATATCATGTTGATTTGATTCGTTTCTTTTTTTATTATTAAACGAGTGCTGATAAAAGGATTATAAAAGAGAAAAGAGAAATAAATAAAAAGCTATAGTACGTATAAAAATAATTATAAAAGGAAGAAGAAGGGGTATTTATATTGATTTATTTGTTTTTTTTTAATATATCGTCTTTTTTTTTTTTTTTATTGTGCAGAATTTATGCCTGTGAGTAATTCTTTTTTTTGGGGGAGAGGGGGAGGCAGATAGAAACAGAAAAAGAGAGGGAAAGAAAGAAAGAGCTAAAGAAGGGATGATATCAAGGGGAAAGAGAGAGAGAGGGTAGGCGTGTGTACTAGTTGAAAGATATCATTAAATTGTCTGTCAAAAATGATAGTTACAACTATTATAATAAGCCTTCTTTTTTATGATAAATTTTACTTACTTAGAAGGTAGTAGGGATGGGTCATGATTGTTTATATCTTAATTTTGAATGCATGTTAAAAGATGAAACATAAAAAGGATCTCTACTTTCCTGGAATGAAATTAATTTTATAATGTGTGTATTTCTAGTTCATTTGTCAACGTTATCCCTTTTATGCATACAAACTAATTCCCCTTTTATATATACATGCACACTAGCTAGTAATTTATCATAGTTTCGTTCTAAATTAAACTCATGTATCATTTGACGAACAGATATAATACTACTATTACTTTATTGTTACTGTATATATTTTTATACTTCTTTACACTGTGTAGTTAGCCTGTATATTTATAGATCTCTATCTTTTTTTTTTTTTTTTTTTTTTTTTTTTTTTTTTTTTTATAAATATATACATACACATATTTATATAAATATTCATATATAAATATAATATACACATGTTTAATCATTGTTTATCCTCGCATTTTTTATCGTTGATCTTTCAACTTTAACTTCAAAAGGTTTGTCAAATAATTCTGATTGTACTTTAATAAACTGATCTTCAAGCGCTTTGTTTGCATCTTCAGAATGCTTATAAACAACAAATCCATAATGAAGATAACGATGTGTTTCAGGGCACTAATAATAATAATAATGAAATTAGATCTAATATAAAATGCATTCTTGACTATGTTCATTACTCTTTTAATCGTATATTCTATCATTGGACCATATTTGCCTAGTGTTTTAAATATTTCTCGAGCATGAGCAATAGAGGGTACTTGCGGAGGTATTTGAACAAAAAGTTTATGAGGTGCAAATCTTTTAATATTATCTAATGTTGCTGTCTTGAATTGACTAGCCATATTATGAAATGTAAGAATGGTCAAAAGAAATAAGGAACTGCACACCCCTGTGTGAATAATGCAACCACCAAAAAAAAAAAAAAAAAAAAAAAAAAAAAAAAAAGTCAATTAACGGAGCTTAAATAGAATGGCTTCTTACTGCTGTACAGTTTTTACATAAATTGGCGATTGTTTAGTACCAGAAAGATTCACTCGTACATGCAAAATAGTATTACTAGGATTTACTCGAGGAAAATGAATATGAATAATGATGTTTTTGTACACTGAAGAATGTAATTGAAATTTATGAGTGATTTTAACCCACTATTTTAAGGAAATAGTGTATATTAAAAATGATCATTATTTGTAAAAAGAGTAAACAGCTGATTAAAAAAAACAAAGTATTTACTATCAGTCATAAAGCAGATTACAATTATCATAGCTACATAACAGTATTGTGACGTTTATGATTGCCTGATAAACACTGTTGTATCCTTCATATAGGATAGGTATCAGTTACTTGCTTGTGTAGTTATTGAATTTAATAGTAATCATGCTTCTCTTTAGTGAATCATGTATATACACATATAAGGGGGATTTGACACGTATTTATATCACATAATGCCTTGTAAGGATATAATGATAAAGACAGATATAAAATCTTATGATTAGAATAGGTGGAAGGGTTCCTTTATTAATAGAGGTGTTATAGTTTATAATCATAAGAACCGAACTAAATATGTAATAGTTAACTAGTAAAAGGTGTCTTGTTATAATAAATAATGTATGTGTTTATTCGTTCATTACAAGTATTATGTAATTCAAGAGTGACTATGAGGTCTTAAAGGAGGAGGTGATGATATCTGACGAGACTGACTATGAATTGAAGGTGGTGGAGTTAAAGGATAAATTGGATATTGTGTAGTTGTATAATCAATTGCTGAGGTAGCAAAAGTTCTTTTTGAAAGTTGATCTACCAATCAAAAAAAAAAGAAAAATAAATGAATAACTTACAATATATAAATATTCAGATTAAATTACCCATTAAGCTTGGTATCGTTCCTCCTGCTGTAGTTTTCCATTCATCTATACTATGGGCAGAATTTGGTGGACTTGGTAACTGTTGTTGTTCTTTATAAATGAATGAGTTAGTGTTAGAAATAGACAAATTTAGCATAGAGTTAGCTATCATAGAAGTAGGTGGTGAACCAATTCTAGTAGGTGAGGAGTAAGGATATGCTATATTTATTTATATATTAATTTCTTTATGTTAAAAAAAAAAAAACTTTAAATTATTATACATACCTCTTTTATTGTTTAATTCAGTCATTTTTTCCTTTGAAATATTAATACCTTGTACTGAATGACGATGAGGTCTAATTTTATGGCTTTCTTTATTTGTAGTAGTTGTAGTTGAAGAAATACTTGACATTGGACTTGGAGTAAAAGCAGTCATCAGTCTTTCAATACGCCTTAGTCTATCCTCGATACGATCCATAGTTTCAGTAGAAGGAGGATGGTTTGCTTTATTATTCGTATTTAACTTTGATAGATGTCTTCTCTCCGAATGATTAACACATTCTATATTATTTGTGGCACAAAAAGTACAAGGACTACCACCATCACATTTTGTCTTTCTTCTTCTACATGTCTCACATGCCGATCCTGAGCTTAATCTCCTTGCTGCTTGAGTAGAAAATACACTCCTGGAGTGATCAGGAATGACATTATAAACACAGTCATGTTGAGTTTCAATACAATTCGAACAGGGTCGTTGTGAATTACATACACGTCGACGTCTTTTACATTGTTCACAAGTCTTTTTTAATGTTGAGCATCGTTCCATTATTAATCTTTGTTTTGTAAGAGAAGAATTTGGCGGTGAATTAAGCGGCATGGCTATAAAATAAATAAATAAAAAAAAAAAAAAAATGAAAAAATGAAAAAAAAATGAAAAAAATGAAAAAAATGAAAAAAAAAACAAAACACACACAAAAAAAGGCAATGATCTCTTTTTTTTTCCCCTTGATTTTTTTGTCTTCTTTCGGTCGGTTTTCTATCCGGACCCGGGTTATGTGTGGGGGGGATACAACAATGTGATTTCGATCACCACTGAATCCATTTATGGGGGTGAAGAGAGAGAAAGTAAAAATTAGTGGTATAATATATACTTTTATTTGATTGACAAATACATATACGAGATATACTTCGTCCATTAGTATAATATGTAAACGTTTGTATATGTTTACATATTCACTCTGTATTATCTAAATATTATTTGTACAAGAATTGTGTCCCTTTTTGTAAATTGTCATAGGTTCAAAAAAATAAATAAATATACACATATATACTTTTCCCCGACTAACCCGAAGGTAATACAAATAGATATAGATCTTCTTTTTATTATATATGCAAATAGGTTTGTATCTATCATACAGCAAGTGTTTTGTGTGTACACCCTTCTCCCCCAAGAAATAGATTGCAATAGAAAGAAAAGACGTCTCGCACCAATGCCCGTGACACTTTTTCTCTATGATCCTTCATCTTCTGTGTGTGTGTAAATAGAAAGTTAGCTATTAACCAGAATACTCTTCAAAATATTTCAAAGAATAATAAGCAAATTCTTTAAATGTCGATATATGAACATGATTATGAACTTTACTCAATCTTTTAAGAGAGAGATAGTGCTCCCTCCTACTTCCTTTTTTTTTCAAGTATAATTTCCCTCTTAATAAATTACGTTTAACAACAGACCAAAATTGTTTGGTGATATTTATGAATAAGTAAGGAAAGTAGTAAGTATGCTCACTAGTCTTTTTCAAAAATTGCTCTGGATGTATAGTTAAATTGGTGTTAATAGTTCTTCATTTGAACGAAGCTTATCTATTTCATTTATATAAAGAATGTAGTTTGATGAGCAATGATGCTTTTTGTTTTGGTTATTTATTTATACTCTATTTCCTCTAAGCTTCTCTATATAAACTTACATAAAATGAAAGGATAAAAAACACACACACATACACATACGCAGGGGAAGTAATCCTTTTTATTATCATTATTATAGAAATAGTGCTATATGTGTATTTTCATATTAAACTGCAACATATCTTTTTAAGAAAGAAGGTAAAAGTCTTTATGTGCTTTTATATCTATTATATCATCGCCTTTTAAAATATTATTTGCTTGTATAATTTAAATTAACCTTTGCAGTATACAAATAATAAAATTGAAGTCGGTAGTACATATTACTATATTTAATAGAAGAAATTAGTTTTCTTCTATTTTTTTTTGTCTGTGCATTTTATTTTATTTATATAACACGCCAATGTCGTTCAAATAATGTGTTATACTCACTCAAACTCAGTATGTATGTAAAGTATAAAAAGCAGTTTTATATTAAGCATACATCATACAGAGAATTCATGTAGTTATTCCCCTCTCCTTCATATATCCTATTTATAAATATGTACTACGTAAATAGAATTGGCAGAAACTGTCAATTAACAATGAAATTTATTAAATATATTTTTATTCAAATACACTTTTGAAAGGCTTTTCATGTTTCTTACTTCATTATCTCTCATATACAAAAAGATGAAAATAACTTCAACCTATATAAACTCATTTTTATTGTTATTTACTATTATGATTACTTTTGTTGATCGTGCAAAATAGAGTGAGTGTGGCTACTTTAACTTTCCCTAAAGGTCGTCTTTGCTCTGGATCTACTTATCAGTTTGATAGTCAAGGAAAATACAGTTATTACTAAAAAAAAAAAAAAAGAAAAAGAAATAGACCCTACAAATGGTCGTTGTATATGCTATGATTGTGACTCTTGCCGTTATGTGAATACGTTCAACTTTAAAATAAGAAAATAATATATATACATATACATATATATTTTTTTTATTCTTTATTACAATAATAACTATATTCAAATAAATCTCTATATTCTTCATTTGGGCTTTCATCATCTAACTCTCTTAAAACAAATTCTGTTTTGGGTAATAAAGTGTCTTGTAAATATCTTAATGCTTCTTCATTGTCTGTAAATAAAGGAGATTCTACATAACATTCTTCCAAGACTAACTTTTTCAATTTTGTATCGTAAGGCGTCTCTTGTCTTTGATGATATCTAATTGTGGTAAAATCTACTGCAAGTGATTCCAAGTTCTTTAAAGCATTCAAAAGAGAATCCAGATCTAAATGATTACTCTCGGGAGAGTCAACTTCTTCCCTTGATTGATTAATCCTTAAATGCTTTAGGTTAGGGAACATGGCTAATTTTTTTAAAAATCCATCTTGTTTATCTAAAAAGATGAGGCTTGACCATGACACACCCGATAATGATAATGACTCAATTGTCTGAATTTGTGTTGTCTTTAATAACCATGTAAAATCGCGATAAGGATTGTATATGCCTAAATTGATTTTCTTCAGTTGAAGTCCACTTTCATCCATAGCCATAAACATCTCCTCTGGCACTTCAAAGGCATGAATGTGAATATATTCCAATTTAGGGCATTGTATCATTAGTTCCTTGAAGCGTAAATCCCGTTGTGTCCAATAGCTGTCTGTGAAATCGTTATCATCTTCACAATAAGTCATGATAATATTTTTTAAATTTTTATAATGTTTAGCAAAATAATCAATCCAGTTGTCTTCCTTTAATGAAAAGGTACAATTTTCAATCGATAAAGTCTCTAGGCTTTCAACGGGATCGTTCAAAATCTTCAATTGTCGTGTATGAGGAATAAATCCACAATTATCAAATGAAAGCGCTTTTAAGTGAGGCGCTTTAGAGTGAAGTACTTGTATATGTTCCACAGCAATATTTAACCATTGCATTCGAAGTACAGTCAGTTGTGGAGCTTTGTCAAGATAGGATACAAATTTGAGCTTAAGTTCTTCATCTTCATACCCCAAAAAACTCAGGTGAAGACTGACAAGTTCAGGTAATTTGTTCTTTGTAGCTTCAAAGAGTGCGGGTGTAATAATGGGTGTACCTAGTTCCTGAACAAATTTTAATTTAGGACTCCAAGTTAAAAATTCCCTTTGAATTTCTTCGTTGTTCCACTTATGAATAGGAAACTCTTGTTGAATAAAGCTAAACTCAGTAATGTTAGGAAAAAGAGAAGGTAATGTAAGTAATCTGGAAGCATTCAAGCCAATTTCTATCAAAGTCAAGGATTCTACACTTTGCGCCAACTCTCTATATCTTTGAAAAAACGTACACATGTCATTGAATTTGTTTTGATCATAAATCCAAACTTTTTCATAAAGTTTTCCAAACTTTCGAATGTTGTTAAACCATGACTTGTTTACAGTTAAACAATTAAGTTTATCATTTATAGAAAGTTGAGCAATACATCGAAGAAATAATTCAATAGGTAAACATTCCATTATTGTTTTTACGTAGACAGAGAAAGAAGAAGAAGAGGGAAAAAAGGAAATATTTTATAAACGCGCTTTTTATGCTTTTGCTGTTGCTTATGAAATGCTTTTTTTTTTTTTTTTTCTGACTTTTGAAGTGTTCTGGAACAACGCTTTTTCTTATTTGATTAATAAAGCTTAGGAAAAAAAAAATAAGTTTAATAATTACTTGAATATGAATCATATTTTATTGCTTTCTTATTTAAGCTATTCATCCTGCTTTAAGTTCTTTTTATAGCCTTTTTTTTTTTTTTTTCGTTTAGTTGATTTTTTTTTCCTTTACGCTACAATTGCAGAATTATTAATAATATCAGACAATGTAAAACTTTGTGTATCGTAATCCGATTCGGATGATTATTCGTGTATAATATAATTTTATAAATTTAATTATTATTATCCGTTATATATATATTTTTTTTATTACATTTCTCGAAGAAATAATAATAAGAGGAGCAGATGAATCCCGAACAGCAAAGACCCATCATAAGGCCACAGTCTGTTAATGGAGTAATGTCTCCTCAACAGCCTATAGTTAGGCCTATTATGGGTAATGGTACGTATATGCACATTTTCTAAAAGTTTTCAATTTTAAATAAAATTTTATTATAAGCTCCATTACGTCCTGTTATGCAAGGACAACCTATTAGACCTCTGATACCTCCAGGTGTACGTCCTCCAATGGTGAGACCTGTCATGACAACTCAACAACAATCTATAATGACTTCACCTCCATCTAATCAAATTAGACCTCTAACTTCTCCTCAACAAAGACCTACAACAGTCATGACATCTCCACCTCCACAGGCTAATTTGGTCGCACCTTTACAGAATATGCATATTCAGCAGCAACAACCTCAATTATCAACAGTAAGTAAAAGAAATATACGTGTCTAGGATTGTTTTTTTTTTGCTAATTTTATTTTCCAATTATAGCAGCCATTACATCAACAATCAGTTCAACAACAACAGTTACAAACACAAAAGCGACATGTTTCTACTGGTAAATCTAGACGTGTTTATGTGAACCCTGAAGCCTCTAGTTACACTCAACCTACTCAACAACAACAGCCGCAACAACAGTATCAATACCAACAACACCAACAACAAGCACCATGGCCCAATAGCCTTCAACAACCACAAGCACAACAACAACCACAGCAACAACCACAGCAACAAACACTTCAACAACCACTTCAGCAACCACTTCAGCAACCTTCTTTAAATAGTCATAGCTCTTCACGCCATCATCAATCTGCTGCAGCTGGTATAGGTTATACGAATGCTCCTTATGCTCATACTGGTCAACAACTTCCACCTGAACTTCGTCCACCTACGCAACCCCGTCCTCGAATTGATCCTGATCAAATGCCCGCACCAGTTCAAGTTCGTGAGCAGGATGAAGCTCTCTTTGATGATAAGTTTTTTAGCACTATCGAACGAGATCATATCCCATATGCTACAACTCAATTTATTGGACTTGATCAAGGGAACTGCAACCCTCGTTTTATGCGTTCTACTATTGACCGTATACCGTCTACAAAGGAAATAACGGAAAAATCTAAATTACCTTTAGCCCTCATTGTTCAACCTTTAGCAAAGCAACGTAAGGATGAAGTTGGAATTCAGGTTGTGAATCATGGTTCTGAGGATGGTCCTATACGTTGTTCACGTTGTCGGGCCTATATTAATCCCTGGTGTATCTTCACTCATGGTGGTGCACGATTTGAGTGTAATCTATGCCAGCATAGTAATGAAGTACCTAATTGGTATTTTGCTAATATTGATATGTCTGGACGTCGTGTAGATGTGAATGAACGTCCTGAGTTACGTTATGGTTCAGTCGAATTTGAAGTCACCAAGGATTATTTCTCTAAGGATCGAGATCCTGCGCCATTAAATTATGTGTTTGCTATTGATGTTTCAATTCAAGCTATTCAAAATGGTATGTTACAATCCGTATGTGAAGCATTAAAGCAAGCCCTCTATGATCCTGCTGGTAATCCTCTCTTGACAAATCGTATTGGTATTATTACATTCAATAAGGATGTTCATTTTTATAATCTTTCTGTAAGTTAAAAAAAAAAATAACGACCTCTTTTATAATTAATTGACTAATTATATATTTATGTAGCCTGGTTTAACTAATGCTCAAATGCTTGTTGTTTCAGATATTAATGATATGTTCTTACCCCTTCAAGCAGGTTTCTTGGCTGATCCTTCAGAATCAAAGAATGTTATTATAGACTTATTAAACACTTTACCTCACATGTTTAAAGATACAACTTGCGCTGAATCTGTATTTACTTCAGCTATTCATGGCGGATTAGAAGCATTGGTAAAAAAAAAAAAAAAAAAAAAAAAAAAAAAAAAAAAAAAGTTTTATAAAAGAAAAAAAAATGTGTTTTACATATTTATACGTATTTATATATCTATATTAGAAGACAACTGGAGGTCAGCTCTTTATATTCCAAACTTGTCTTCCTAATTATGGAGCAGATAGCTTAAAATCTCGAGATGATAAATCCTTATATGGAACAGATAAAGAAAAATCTTTGTTAACATCTCAAAGTGACAAATACAAAGAATTGGGTAAATTATGTGTTCAGCATGGTATCTGCGTCAATATCTGGGGTTTCCCCTCACAATATATGGATGTCGCTACCTTGAACTCTATCTCACGTCTTACCGGTGGTGATTTCCGACACTTTCCTAATTTTAGTTTAGGACAAAGGAACCGCATCCTTTATCAATTACATCATGATTTGCATCGTGAAACAGGTTACGATGGTGTTCTTCGTGTTCGATGCTCAGATGGTTTGCAAGTCATAGACCATTATGGTAATTGTCATATGAGTGTTTATACAGAATGTGATTTAGCAGGTATTGATGAAGATAAGGCGATTGCTGTTGAGATAAAGCATGATGGTAAATTGGATGTCAATCGAGGTGTATCATTTCAATGTGCTTTATTATATACTACACGTGAGGGACAGCGTCGTGTGCGAGTGCATAACTTGCATCTTACTGCCACTAGTCAAATCTCTGATGTTTTCAGATATGGTGATGTGGATGCCACTATCGGTCTTTTCTTAAGAAAATCCATCTTTGACTTGAATCACAAAAATCGAAGAGATCTTCATAAACAATTAACCGATCGTTGTGTAGCTATCTTGACAGCCTATCGTATTAATTGTGCCTCTGCTACTTCACCAGGTCAACTTATTTTACCTGAAGCATTTAAATTATTACCTGTTTATGTTCACGGTGCTATGCGATCTACTGTCCTAAGAGGAGGTAAGTAAGATATGAAAAAAAAAGAAGAAGAAGAGGAACATAACTAATGCGTAATATGTTAAAAAAAAAGTGGGCCCAGATATGAATATTGATGTTAGATCAGCAGCTATGAATATGTTTAATGCTTATAGTGTAGCTGAATTAGTATGGACGTTATATCCTCGTTTGTATTCTTTACATGATTTACAAGGAAATTCACCTAAAATGATTCGCACCTCTTATGATCGACTTGATACAAAAGGAAGTTATTTATTAGATACAGGATCAGACTTATTTTTATGGTTGGGCAAATCTATATCTTCTGAATTCCTTCAAGATTTATTAAACGTCAAGTCATTAGATGAAGTAGATCCTAATATGGTAAAAAGAGAAAAAAAAACATTTATACAAAAACAAATAAATGTATAACTAATTTATACATATAGATTGTATTGCCTATTCAGTCTACTATTTTATCTGAGGAAGTCCATCAACTCATTAGACAATTACAAGCATCTCGTACTAAATATTTGGCTTTGCATATTGTACGCCAAGAGAAAGATGCCATTGAATTTTTATTTGCTACTTGGATGTCCGAAGATCGTAATGCTGAAGTACAGACTTATGTTGATTACATGTGTGTTTTGCATCGCATGATTCAAGAGGAAATGAAAAAAATTAACAATTAAAAAAAAAAGAAAAAAGAAAGAAAGAAAAAAAAAGGCATCTTAAATAATACATGTATAATATAATAAGTTTTATTTTATTTATTTTGTTATGTACAATTGAGAATGGTTATCATTCTTTCAAGTTCTCATTATGTTTAGTAAATGAAACTGGCTTATTTACAAATTGACTAAAAAGTTTTGTTTTATGAAATTGCTCATTATTATTGTTGCTGTCAGTACTAGTAGTTGTACTAATATTATGTGGTTGCCATATTGAATTAAAGCCAAAATAAGTATTTTGACTAATCGTTGTATAGCTTGGCGGTTTTTCTCCCCATCCTTCGTCTTCTTCTTGATTTGTTAATGAAGATTCATCAACTGGATTCCATTTTTGTTCTTCTGATGGTATTTGATGATTCTGTGATGGTTCTGATACCTTGAATATAGTAGGTGTTGCATTTTCTGTTATGGTTGCTTTATCAAGTTGTTTTGTAAGCTTATCCTCTGCTGAAGATATAGAAAAGGAGCTTATCTGCTTCATAAGTTCATTGTCTTCATCCATCTTTTGATGTATATAAATAAATATAAAAAAAAAATAATAATAATAAAATGAAAAATACCAATCCTGCGGGTATAATTTTTAAAATAAAGATAATTTAGCTTTTTTTTTTTATTGTTATTATTATCAAGGCAATAATAATTCAAAATGGCTGCATGTTAGAGTGAAAGATACTCTTCTTGTTGAAGAGCCTCTCCCTCTCTCTTTTGTAATTTTTTCGATATATACATATACATATATATATTTTACAACTAAAGGGCATATAGCTATAAAGGCTGATATTAACAGAGACTTGAAAAAAAAAAACCCCTCCTTCCAAGACAAAAGCCAAAATGTATATTGATATATATATATATATGTATTGATCTTAAAGTTTCTTTCTTTTCTTTTTTTTTTTATAAGCTCACAAATAAAATAAACTCGTCTATTCGAAATTACTGTATACTCTCTTTATCTCCTTCCTTTTTTACCTCATGTTTCTGAAAAGATACTTTTAGTTCCTTTTTTGCATTACTATTATTTTTTCTTTTATTGAGCTAATCTGAGCAATCTACCCAGCATCATTCATTACGATTAAATTATAAATTTATTAAAGAAAAAAAAAGGTGGTCATAATAGGCACAATAGTTTAAAAAACTGCATTGCCGAACCAGTTTGCGAAGTTAAGAGTTAAAAAAAAAAAAAAAACTCCTAAGAGTCAAGAGAGAAAATGAAAAAAGTATTGAAGAATAAAGAAAAAATAATGAGAAAAGTAAAACGGAAGAAAAATAGATAAAAAAAAATTCAGAAACAAGGCAGAAACACTAGCATTTTTATCATTGCAACCATCTCACCAAACTAGCACTGATATCAGTTGGAGGGGGGAGGAGGATCTTCACCAGGAAAAATACGATCCAATTCATGTAGGATCAGGCAAATTTCAGGCCACCGTACAGACCAGGAAGAGATAGATGAAACATTTTTTAGTAAGAAAGAAAGAGGGTCTTTGATGGATCTAGACATTTGTAGACGACGGTGTATGTGCAGACATTCAGTAGCATGGATACGAGAAATATTAACTGCAGGATGGAAAAGACAGGGACGAGGTTTTCCACTAGGGAGCCAACCAAGACGCCAGTGGAGCACTTGACTACGCTCCATACGTGTCATTGGGAGCCAGTTTCCCATTGTACAATTAAATCAACACCAAAAGATGGACTTTTCTTATAAAGCGCTAGCTAAACCTTCTTAAGGTTGTTTGCAAGTAGCATCCATGTAAGAGGTAAAAAAAAAAAAAAAAAAAAAAAAAATTGCTAACCTGTTAGCCTAAAGTTGCATTTTAGTTTGTCTAACATTTTGTCTCAATTTAATTTCTCGAGTTCCTTTGTCTGATTTCCATTTTCGCTTCTTCCAAAAAAAAGGTAAGCTAAGTATCTGAAAATCAAGTAGAAATACTGTAAATACTACAATCCACCTTCAACACTCAATGGTATAAACTCATTCAAACATCATGCTGGAGACTCTATGCCGCCAACTCCATTCCGTTAGACCAACACTCCTTTCGGAAACATTGTCAAGAATTTCTTGAAAAGAGTTTTCATCAGCTACGTGACAGGACGCGTACTGTTTTGTTTTCCTCTTGCGGCCCCAATCTGATTAGTGATCCGATACTCTGGTTACCCATGACACACAGTGAGCGTAGTCGAACTATTCGATGACGTCTTGGTTGGTTACCCGGAGGAATACCTAAAGTCTGCTCATATCATCCTTATGTACACTTTTAGTCGGTCACACGCCACTGAATGCTTGCACATGCACACCCGTTTATTCTTGCCACGATCAATAGCAGATCCCCTTTCTTTTCTTTTAAATCATCTCCCTCAGCATAAGTACCGAAATTCTCGGGATGTTTCTGCCTGGCTCTATCGCTGGCCAGTGATGTGTACCATTCTACAGGAAATGGTTTACTTACTACACGACAAACTATTCCCCTCCACTTCTTGATCCAGGCAGGAAATGAATCAACTAGTTGTCCCTTTAAACTTGTTAGCATTATTTCCCCTTTCTTTCTCACCTTCTCTTCTTCCTTTCCTTTACCTTTTTATCTATTGCCCCCCGTAAGAGGGCTTTCAGATACATTTTTTTTTCACAGAATTTGAACCGACCTGGGCAATCCAATATAACAAAGATATTGTGTGCTCATAGGTCACTTTATAAATTTTAATTTATAAAAATAAAAAAAATGTTCAATCGTAAATACTACAAAAAGCGACTATGTGACTGTCCTATCCTAACCCCTCCTCCTCCCCCCAAATATTTACACAATTATAATTATCCGCCCTATATGTAGTTTCATTTCCGGGGGTTTTCAGTAACAGAAGAGCATTTATTGCTATTATTTATTAACCATTTTGAACAAATATGAATACATTGAAGACCATCACTTCCAAGTTAGCAATAAGATCTTTTCAACCATGTGTTAAACAATGTAATTTCTAGCATTCTATTTCTTTCGAAATCTTAACTCTTTCTTTTTTTATATATATATATATATATGTATACATACAAACATATATAGTCAACTACACAACAGCAGCAGCAGCAGCAGCTGTGACAAAAGTGCCTAAAATTAATGTTATGGAGTACATTTCAAAACAACAGATTGAAAAGGCCAATGTAGATGGACGTCGTGAACTCTTTGATCGCCATAATCCTCAAGGTATTAGACCAGGATCGATTGTTCTTGTTGAAACATTTAATGGGCCTGGAGAAACAACCACATCCACCTTTATTGGAGTTTGTATCTCTATTCGTCGAAAGGGCATAGACACAAATTTCACTCTTCGTAACATTGTGATGCGTGTTGGTGTGGAGCAGAGATATTCACTTTATTCACCATTATTAAAGAGTATTAAAATATTACAGAAGCCAAATGAAATTAAATTTAAAAGAGCCAAGTTGTATTACTTGAGAGATCAACCTGGTAAGGCTTTCCAACCTCTTCAATCTTTATGGAAGCAAGAGCAACTAGAGAAAAATGCAAAATAAATAATAAATTAAAAAGGAAAAAAAAAAAGAAAAAGTAAAAGAAAAGATAGCTATTATATTATTATACACACATATAATAAACAAACACATAATATGTAAGAAAAAAAAAATAAGGAAAATTTATTCATCATTACTCAATAAAGGAATAGAAGGGTAATAATGAACCTTAGCAAGACCCACACCTCCTTTAATACTCAATAATGTGTTGAATGGTAAATTATTTCTAAGAGTATTAAAAGCAGGTAATTCACCTTCTGTCCAATCATCATAAATACAACTAAACATCACTTCACCCACATCTTCTGCCTTCTGGTTAGAAGTAAAAGACAAATCCCATCGTACAACACTAACTGATTCCTTAGAGTATACAGTCAATGCTTGAATTATATCCTCTTTCCCTGTTTGAATAGGATAATCGTTAATCTTTGCTTGTAATCCTTGAATTCGAGCTGGGTGACTCAGTTGTAGCTGGCAGAGTAAACTATGTTCTGCAGTAGTGTTGATGTTAAGATAACATCGATCTTCATCACAATGAGTTGGCGAATAGGCTACTTTAATTTCCTTCTTGGGATCTCTTGCATAGAGAGGTGTCAATGAGGTTTGATAAGTACATCGTGTCTGATAAGTTAAATAGGATTCACATTGTACAGTATCATACTCTGATCTTGGTAAAATAGATTTTAAAGTCTTTTGGAGTATACCCCCTGATGAGCCAGTGATGAGTGCCACAGTTGATAATGATTCAGTAGCATTGTATTCCTGTTGAAAGATGATACGATTGGGTGAAGTCTCCCCATCAAATGGACTGGACATGAAACAGATGATGAAAAGTGCAACAAAGACAACGCTTGTGCAAAAGGTCGTCTTTTGTATCTCTGCTGCTTTATGCACCCATGGCAGTAAATGGATTAGCATTAAGATAATAGGAAGAGAGAGTAATAAATAGATGGAAGATTCAGGTGTTCCATCTGCGCTTGTATGGCGCATAGAATCCATGACAAGTAATAAAAACTCAGACATAAAAACAACTGGAATACAGATTTGAAGGAGGTAAACAATAGGCCAGTAGCGACCCCCCTTGAAGGCTAACTCTGCATCCTCTTCTTGTTTAGGTGTTGTATTAACAAGAACAACTGTGGATACTGTACTGCTAAGAAAGAAATAGATTGCAAAGTAGACTGCTGTCACTTTTTTAGATCCTAAATAAGTAGCATAAACAAGTAAAATATACCAAAGGACTGTAAGTCCATAAAATCCAACTTTCATATTAGCCAGGCTGAGTTGAGATGTCCTTGAAGATTGTATTAATACCCATTGTGAAACAAGTAAACCCAATAATGCAGCAGCTGTTAAATAAAGAACAACTATCTTGATACTTCCGTAAGTAGCTGAAGGGTTTGCCATAAGCATGATCCATGAGAATAATGCAACAAATACAATCATAAAGACTAAAGCGATTAAAACGGCGACAAAGCCCTGTGAAATAAGTATAAAGTTATGTTTCAAGCGTTCCTTTCTTTCATCAATATGTCCGTTACTTGAAAACCAAAACCAAGTAAAGAGTCCAATAGGGACCAAAATAAGTGAGATTATATTGATGAATTGACATGTAAAAAAGCTATAGACAAGCATAAAACGACCCAAGATATCATAATAAATAACGGGCTCAGGTTTTCCTGCTTTGGGAACAATTGTTTCACTATTATCAATACTAAGTACAGATGCTAATGCCATTTGCCCCATATGTTGGAGGGATTGAGGTGTAGTATGAGCCAAATCATCTCTTTGAGTATGATAATGAGAACGAGGATAGTAGAAGGAGAAATCAAGACCTGGAACACCATGTTTTGTAAACGTGGTATAGTCAGTATCACTTTTAAGCAATTTTGCCTGTAAAAGATCATTCCCTAGTGGGGAAGCATGAAGATAATGAGCATTGGATGAAGCCAAGCCATGAACAGCAGCAAGACTATTACTTCTAAACAACAGAGCACGTCCACCAGCACCCGTACCTTCCAAATTAACAAATAACTTAATGGTAGAGAACCAGGGATGATTAACAAATGCATCAGCTCCAATTAAGCCACCTTCCTCAAAATTATTAAACAAAAAGATAATGGTATGCTGGGGTGGATGCTGTACAAAGTATCGAAGTAATTCGATAGCTACTGCTGTACCCATACCGTTATCTGTTACACCATGACTTGTAGATACACTATCTATACATGTATAAATAATTCAAAATTAGGTTTATAATATACAAATATACAACTTTTTACCATAATGTGCGTTAATAAGGAAAGATTCATTTAAATTATTTGTTTTTCCTATGAGTCTAATAATTACATTTCTTGACTCAACTAACCAATATTCATCTAATAAATAAATAGATAAATAAAAAAAAGAACTATTTGTATTATCACATACTTTATTAAAGTTTACCATTTATGAATTTATTTCTCTTTGATACAAGAACAGTAGGGTCGTTATCAATTATTTCCATGTCAATACCATTCTGTTTTGCTTCTAGCTTAAACTCATTAGCTAGATTAACGATCCAATTCTTAATTTCAATGTTTCCTTTCTGGTTAGCAGAGTGAGGGCTATTAAAGTGAGAGAGATATTCATTGTAACAGTGAATACCGGGGAAATCATTTTGTTCCCGAGCCTCAACGTCAGATAGAGGAATAGGTAAAGTGTTTCGAATATAATATACAAAGATAATTAATAAGTATAAAATACCAAAAATATAAGAATAAATTAATTTTGGAGAAGATTTTTTATGAGGTATTTCTGGCGTTTCTGCTATTCTAGATAACAAAGGTGTAGTCTCATTATCATCCCTTGAAGACACCATAATAGTTTTCTAAAAGAAAAAAAGAAGAAGAAAAATAAAAAAATAAAAAAAATAAAAAAAATAAATAAAGCATAATTCATGTAATACTGTATTTGGACAAAATTTAAGTTTCCGACTTGGACAGATTGAAGATCTAACTTTTTGATGCCTCAGTGGAATTAGATATTTTAACGATCAATCGAAAATTATTTTAGCTACGTCATTTTTTAATGATACATTTTGAGACAGTTTTAAGAATAGCATATAACCCTTTTTTAATATGTTCAGATATTGTTAACTATGATATCTTGATTCCGTCTTCAAATCCATTGTATAATTCTCCTTTTATTTGGCATAAAACCATCTAAGAATTGGTATGAAATAATTAGTTAGGAAAATAGGTATATTTAGAGTTTAAAAAAAAAAAGAAAAATCAGAAATTAGCTCTAGCTGTTTTTATATGGTATACTAACTAGATGTACAGTTTTATCATACTTATTTATTCACTTAACTGTACTAGTTTTTTTGAGTACTTGAATATTCTTATTATATGGCTTCATCTATCTTGATCTTTTAAATTCTAGGTTTTGTATTCAAAGTTTATTAAAAAAAATAATGATAATCTCGCGCCAAGATAGAATATAGCTTTATGGAAAGATGAAAAGATAGTTTAGCACATCATAAACGTGAGCCATTGTACAAATAGCGTACTTATATATATATCTTTTTAATAAGACAGATTATTAATCGTACTCAATTGTATCATATTCGGAATAAGAGGTTAATTTTAATGATAACTATTCTTCTTAGTTCTATAGTATTATATATAATAATATAAACAAGTGTCTAGAGAAACAGAAAAAATAGTTGAGCTGCAACTATGTAAGCTTCTCATTAAGCATTAAATCACTAATAAAGGTACTTACTGTTATTGTATTCCAAGCTAGCAAAATTTTTTATACATCATATATTTACCTCTATAGATTCAAGTTGGAATATTTTGAAAACTCCTCATATATATAAAGAGAAATAAATATTCACCCAATTGTAGCTCTATTGAAATGTCTTTTTATACTTGAATACATAACAGTTGGATCTATTATTTACTCAATATAGTTAAAAATCCACATCAAATTAGATACACAAAATTATATTATTTGGCTAAAAGTTGGAAGAAATATAGGATTTTTTCAACAAGATGTAAAATCTGATATGGTTAATTTTGCTGAAGTTTCATTTTAGAGGTCAAATTTTCTGTCACTACAAGATTTAAAAGGATATTTTCTATGCAGATCACCAGATGAAGGTTTTTTTGAGTCTACATCGTATTGGATTTACTACTTCACATGTACCTCACAATCCAATACATATAAAATTAAGGCTTGCAACTTGTATTAAAAAAAAAAATGCCAATCAAGATCTAGTAACTAAAAATAAGTACAGCCAGTACGATGGATATTGTCACCAATTAACAAATATGTGTCGGCAATTGAGAAATAGTTGTCCCAAAAGAAATTTCAATTTGTCGTTTTTATTTTTTGTTGATTGTTGTTTTAGAAAAAGAGAATTGTCGCAAAGTTTTTTTTTTTTTTTGTAATTTTATTAAAATTTCTTAGAGAGGTTCTTTATATAGACATTTGGTAATTTTGTTATAGAACAAGCTCTGGATATAAGCATAAGTAATATTATAAAAGATGAATTACATAATACAGGACAAACTATAAGCCCGAACATATAATAATAAAAGATATCATATCTTTTGTACACTCTTTGAAACTCTATCTCTTTCTTCTCTTTAAAGCCATTATTCCTTTCAAACTGATCAAAATCTAAAGATCCTTGTTGTCATGATTATTATAAAAAAGAGCTCAATTGCCATAATAAAGTAATAAGAAAGCATACAGCCTAACTATTTAAAATGCATAAACTACTAAGAATATCTTGTTTAATAAAAAAAAAGCATGTAGATTGTGTGTGTCTAAAAATAAAAATAAAACTGCTGCATAAAATGACATTTTTTATATTATTGATAGCTTATCTACTCTTATTCTTTTGTAGAATATATGAGCATCATGCTCTGTCGTGTAACTGCATTTAACTAGTTTTGGCTTAATTTCTTTACAAGAATGCTCAATAAATTCACATGAATAAAAATACATATAAAAAAAGTAAACAAACTTCTTCTTTTTTTTTCTTACTTTTTTGCTTACTTTCAAAGAAGACAGTAATGCTTTACTACATTCAAATAAAAGGCAAAACTTATCTCTGAAGTATTAAAAAGAAAAGAGAAAAAAAAAAGAAAAGGGGAAAGGCAGGAGAGAAGATTTAACGCAAAGTAAATTAAAAACAAAAAAAAATACGCTAAGATTAAACTTTAATAACTTCTTCTTTTCGTTTATTTTTTTTTCTCCTGAATTTTACTATAAAAAAAAAGTACATTTTTTGTTTTTTTTTCCTTTTTTTCTTCTTCTTTTTTCTTTAGCTTTTTTTATTTTTCCTATTCTTCTTTATTTTTACTTGAAACCATTGATAGACACTGTCAGGGTTATGAAGTGTGCTCAAGTTACATAGCTTGGCTTACTTGGGTTTGTAGAACTGTCCGTTTATAACATGGCTAAAGGAGAGGCCTAGACTCTCTTTTGGTTACTACATGCATATCCGCCTTCACCTTGGGTTATTGCAACCTTAGATAATTGATGGGACCTTATCGAATTTTGACTGCTCAAGTTTGATTTATTTCCAAAGGAGGAGGGAAATAAAAAGGATACTTGGGGTTGGAAATTGTAAACCTGTTCCTTTTTTAGGGAGATTAGCGTACTCTTTGTCTGCACCATTGAAAGGGCTTATCTCAAGGTTTAGTTTTTCTGTTTTTCTTTTTGGAGGTTTTTCCTTCTTTTTATTTTTATCTAGTTGCTGTTTATAAAATAAAAATAGATAAGGATGCACAGCTTACGTTTCTGACCGTGGTTTTTTCATCTATTTATTTAGTTGAAGAATCCCAACTTGTATTTACTGTTAAGTCAAAAGTAGATGCTAGGGGTCAAAGAAGGGACATTCTCAGGTAAACAATAGTCAGGTCGTGCACTTCATGTATCTGGATTTCTTCCACTTCGCCACGCTACAGGTCAGAATGTTTAGCCCGGCTTCCAATGAAACTTACATCCAACTGTATTTTTTTATTGGGTTATGGGGTGAGGAATCCTATCTTTTTCTTCTAGCAAGGCTTGGGCCAGGTTGGACTTTGCCAAGTGTCTACTAGTTGAAATTGGACGTTTATCTTTCAAGTAGAAATTTAGAGGGAGAAGAAGAAAAAAAAAGCCCAACATGGGTATTGGTTTATAGAACTTATTTTTGGGATTAGATATGCTTTCACCTTCTCGTGGTTAATCCTGTTAGTATCAAGTCTCTTCTAAAGAAATTTGAGAACTAAGAAAAGCATCTTTTTTTTATAATATCAATAAAAATGAAAAAAAAAATCAATTTAATAAAATCGTGTTCTATAATAAAGTTGCTTCTCTAATAATATTTAATAATTAAGCGTATATAAAAAAGTGGTGAAAGTCTATAATAGCACAGTGTATAAATATTAAAAAGACTATTGTACATTTTCCCTAAGATTTCTTTACTCTTAAGGTAAATTCTACATGGTTAAATAAATTCAGCATCACTAGAATGTACATTGTCGGAATAAGACTAAAACTAGCCAACATTCATAAAGAGCATTCATAATCTAATTGCTGTACAAAAGACTGTTCATCTTTAGGGTATAACTTGAAGTTGTTTCAAGCCTTGTCATCATTATTTTATCTGAAAACAAACTAACTTTGGTTTTCCAACTAGTTTTTTTTTTTTTTTTTTTTTTTTTTTTTTTTTTTTTTCAACATAATTTTTTTCGAAAATTTTCTTTGGGTATTGATTATTGAGTAGTTATATTTATAAAGACTAACTGATTCATCAAAAAGAGGTTGTTGAAATATCTCAGTCTTTGCAAAGGAATCTTATTCTTTTTATTACAAAATTTTCCACAAAGACAACCCCTTTACTCCTCAGTATCGTATCTACGGATGGTATAATGACACTTAATACAGGAAACGTATTCTTGAAGCCTATCATGAAAACAAAAAAGGTTGTCGTTTGACATCACTTGTAAAACGTAACAATACGTTTTTTTGGAAAACGACACTGTTATATACAGTCTTTTAGTGCGATATTAATGAAGGTTATCATTGTTTTGAGGTTCTTGTCAGTTATATATTGCTCTTGGATGAGCATTGATTTCATCATAAAGAATATAAAGGGTAATTGGTCCTTCAGTAAATTTGTCTCATTACATGGATTATTTAGAGGAAAATCCACAAGATGTGAGCATACATTTAATAAGAAACTACTGCCATCTTTTATTATGTACGATGCTTCATGCTATTCGATAACTTTTGTTCATAATTTATATGTTGATGCACTCATTATTTATCGCTAACTTAAACCCACCTATAATGCTTGACTTTTTCTTTTTTTACTTATATTATAGAATAAATTGACTTAATGTTATCTTATTCACCTTAAATTACACTATAATAAACTTCTTCTAAAGATTGTCTTAAAGAAAGAAAGAAAGATATAAAGAAATAAGAAAATGAAAATCACAAAAGTTTCTGGGGGCGCCGTGGAGGAAACCTTAGTCGACGCTAATTCGATTACACGACCTCATGGTTGTTATAGAATAGGCTCTGGATATAAGCATAAGCAATATTATAATAGATGAATTACATAATAAAGGATAAAGTATAAGCCTGAATATGAAATAAAACTTTGTATATAACATCCTGTAAATAATATAAAACTTATTGATAGCCAATCGTCTAGATGTATCAACTATAAAGCATCGTATCATTTCTGAATATTTAATTTTATAACCTTGATAAAGGATTCAGGTCGTCTTTGATCCATCCAATGAAATAAAAATATAACAAAATTTCAGGAACATACAATCAGATCATTATAACACCCAATAGATAACCCATAATTCTGTCTCTTGAATCAACACAATGTATATTTGAATACTAACACTGTTTCATGATTTATGTTCTTTGATAGCTCTTTTTATTTCTTTGATTCATGATTCATTAGTATAAATACAAGTGGTTGTTTAGACACAAAATAATATTTAATTCTTTTATTTTATTGGATAAACAATACTTCTTTTGTCTTTTTCTTTTTATTTTCCTTTATTTTATTACATACCATCACTAATTTTACTCTTTGATGACATAGCAAAGCCTTCAAGGTTACTTGCATGTACCTGATTGCAAGCGTCAGCAATTCTGCCAGACAAACTTTCCTCGATCATAAAACGACTACGCTTCAACTTTCCTTTCACTAATGACGAAAACTGCTCAATAGGGTTGAGCTCAGGCGAGTATGGAGGCAAGAGCATGATTTTGTATCCTCTACTCTCAATTTTCCGCCTCATTGGATAACTTTTATAAATGGTACAATTATCCAAAATTAGGTAGTTGTCCTTTAAATTTGGATCAAGATCCATAATATCCAGAAGCTCATTGATGAATTTGATGAAATGAAGGGTGATTGTGCCTTTGAATATTGGAGGAGCTTTTTCATAAGATGCCTCTATTACTTCCTTTTCGTTATTGTTGGGAGCGGCCCTCTTCCTACCTTTATTATCCTTTCTGCTTTTCTTAGGTTTGGCCGGCTTTTGTTTTTTTTTGGGAGGTGGCTTATTAAGTACTCCGTGAATAACATTGGTAGGATGTATGGCACTTATAACCGTGTGAGAAGTTGCCCTTGTCTTTGGAATCATAACTGCAGCACGAGATCCAGTGGGGGATCTAGCGTAATTGTTCCTCATGTTGATATTGAACCCTGACTCATCTATGAAAACACAATTCCGTGTAAAATTCGAGTCCGTATCCTTCTATTCAGTAAACCAATCATATCTTTTCTGCAAGTTTGTCTCATTATTTTTTGCTTCTGCTTCGAAAATGGGCTTTTTGACAGTCAAAGACAGGTTGTTTTTAAGGTAATTATTAAGTTGAGATTTTGAGATGCTAAAGCTTTTGAATTGTTCAACTAACCTCCTCCACTATATCACCTACAGCAAGCTGAGGGTCATCGTCCACTAGATTCCTCAAAAAGTCGTTGTGATCATCGCTGAAAGAAGACTGAGGATCAGAACTTATAGAAGACTTTTTGTAAGGCACTTCTTCCATTTCTCTGGACATTTTCCACCATCTTTGAACCACACATGATTCGATCCCAAGTTCTCTTGCGAACCAGGTAGCTAGACCTCTTTCCTGAGCACTTTCAATCATTCTGTCAATAAAGTCATCTAGTTGCCTGTCACGGTACTTTCTGTATTCTTTCTTTGCCTGCTTAATTAGTATTACTTTAGCTACCTTTTCTACAGCAATCTCCTCAGGCGGTTTTAATTTTTTCTCCAAATGCTTTGATCTGTTAGTCTTTCAAGAACTACATTAGAATTGGGTTATCTCAGTTATAACACCCTTCATTGGATCATAGACTTTCGTACCCTTCTCGTTGTATAGGTTATTGCGTCCATCTTCGTAACAAAAAAGATCTCTCCATGACTCAAACCAAAAACAAAAAAATATATTAAACAAAAAGAAGAGCTCAGGAAGAGGAAAACACTACGACAATTTAAGCTAATCTGATGCAACAATACGCTTTTCCTAAAACGACAATGAACAAAAATAAAAACTACAAATTGAAATTTTTTTGGGACAATTATTTCTCAACAGCCAACAAATAGTTGTTAATTGGCGACAATATTCATCTTACTGGCTGCAAATTCGGCATAGATCCTTTCTAATTAATGAATAATCGGTCTACCTTTAATATGAAATACTACAATTCTGTACAAGGTACAGGGTTTGACAGGTTTTTTAAAGTATCTTGATTTTTTTCCGTTTTGCCTGATTGATAAATAAGAAACAACTCTTTTTCACATTGCTTAGAAATATTTTATCGAGCAGTTAAAACCTGGCCATGCATAGAAAACAGATGGTTTTCTGTGATGAAGTATGATTTATTAAGGTATTAACTCTTTTTATTTGATTTATATTTGTTAAAAATATACTATAATTATTTGTGTTAGATATACAAGTTAAAGCTGTAATGAAACCATGTAATACTTAATTTTTACTAAATATTACTGTGAATGTTATTGCTCGCTTTCTTCATTTTCTAAAAGGATTTCAGCGACTCTTAAGTATCCTAAGAATATGAGACACCTATAAGAAGCTATTATAAAGAGCGTATATCTGAATAATGATAAATAAAAAGAAGACTGTAGTAATTATTCCTGTCTGATTATTATTAGATTCCTCAAGATACATTCTTTGTGGATTCAAGTAAGTAAAAAGGGGAAAAGACAAGACTTTACTTTTGTACGAGATCCTTTTTGCTCTAAATTTTTTTTTAATCAATTGACAAATTTCCCGAAAAAGGAGTGAAAAAAAAAAAAGGTATCTTATGGTTTTTTATGCATTTTGATTTTGAATACACTCACTTATCGTTGTATTGTTTGTTAGACACAGAAGATATAATGTAAATAAATTATCATTTTTTTTTTTTTTTTTTTTTTTTTTTTTTTTTTTGCTTTTTTTTGTTTTGTTTTTTTGCTTTTATCTTTATTTACTCTATAATGATGACTCTGTATTATATTATTCTATTCTTAATCTTCTTCAAGTTAGTTATTAATTCTATTAAACAAAAGTTCCAATTATTTACAAGAACAGCAGAACAAGCAAAGATCACTGAAACCAGTAATAACAACACTAACCCTACAAATTTAATAACAATAAAAAGTTCTTCATTAAATAGATATAAGTGCTAATAATGAATAAGTACACTTGTAATATACGCACTATCCACTAATATTATGCATGCATTATATCTAAAGAGAAGCCTATTTTAATAGCTACTTTTTATTATGATTATTACTATTATTACTATTATTACTATTATTAAAACTAGGGGGATCGTTTGTTTATTTTACATGTGAATATTCATTTGTAAAATACTCTTTTTCATGTATTTGAATAAAGCTATATTAAATATAATTCTATTAGTAAAAGCATTCTCGAGTAATATAAATTAATTACCTTAATAAAGCTTCAAATCTTTCTTTTAACTCACTCAATGTTTCTGAATCAACATTTGAATCACTTATCATATTAGGTATTTCAACAAATAGACGGAGTAAATGTTCTACTCCATAAACACTACTGGGCTGCTTGGTTTTATCGTCGTTAAATATCTCTTCATATTGATCGTATTCAATTTTATATAATAATGAGGTACTTAGTGACTTGTTAAAATAAAGCTGAACGCCCATTATAAACTCATTTAAAGCTTCTTCATCCATGCTATAATACCAATGTTGTAAGTATTTTTATTATTTTATACAAATGCATACATACGGTTGACATGAGGCTTTATAATCTTCCAATATCTTCTCTACTGTAATTGCTTTTGGTAAACTTAGTATCTATCAGTTATCAAATTAAAATTAGATTAAAAAAAGAAAGTTCTTAATTTTGTGCTTACTTGTCTATTTTTTGTAACATTTTCCCAATCATCAACTAGTAAGCTTTTTAAACTATCAGGTATAATTAGTTTAATCTCTGGCCTTTTATTTTCTTCTTCCTAACAAAATACATGTCAATATTACTAAAAGTAGTTACATTTTTGTCTTACAAGTCGCGCTTTTTCTATACTTGAATCACGTATACGTTTTCTACCTCTTAATTCAGTTGCAGTTCCAGTTGATGTTGATTCATGTATACTTGCTGTAGAAGAAGTTCGTGAAGGTTTTCTTTTGGAATGTATTTCTTTAAGTTGTTTTTGCTTTTGTAAATTAGCCTCTGTGTATTTTAAAACTCTATCTTCTGTTATCCATTCATCCCACCTAAAAAAAAAAAAAAAAAATAATAAGAATAATAATAAGAATAATAATCTAAAAAGTAAGTAAAGATTTGAATGAAGATTCAATATATTTTACGTTTGTTTCCAGCCTTTATAATGCACAAAATATTGATTTATTTCATGACCATCCCCTTCATCATCTCTCTTTTCTTTTTTCAAGATCTATAGTTGGTAGATTATTATAACAGATAATTGAGGGAAAAAAAAGGGATTACTTTTGCTTCATATATGAAAGGCCCATGATAACATAATACTCGCTCGTCTTTTTCGAAATTAAACTTATTTTCGTCTTTAGCCATTAAATTGACACTTTTCTTTTTTAAAAAAAAAAAAAAAAAAAAAAAATGTATACTTATTGTTGCTGGGATTGTAAAGACATTTGTGTATAACACAAATCTTTTTTTTTTTTTTTTTTTTTTTTTTTTTTTGTTAGAACAAGTTTAGCAACTGTAAAATGTCACAGTACAAGCTTTAACTTTTTTTTTTTATTTCAAATTTTTAACGAGTGCATCTATTTCCTTATCATAATGAATATTATTATAGCATTGTCTTTTTATATTAAAATTTTATTTACATAATCCTTTTTCATTAATAATTTCAATGTCAGGATTAGAAACTTGAGCAGTGTAATAGTAACATCTTATTTTAGTACCTGTCAAATAAATAATAAAACATATTTAATAAAAGAACTGGTCCCTGTAGTACACGTTGCTCCCTATAGTGTGATGTAAAAAACCAGCTTCTATTTTTACTATTTATAAGTAAAACAGTTTGCTGCGTATTAAATCCTAATAACATGTAAAACCTTTATAACAGGTTTCAATTGGACCTGCTTAAAAAAAAAAAAATAAAAAAAATTGTAAAAAAAGGCGCGTTTAATTGTTTTTTTTTTCTTGTTTATTAAATATATACCATTTATTTGAAGCAAAAAAAAACATGGTTGGTCGTGGTATATATATTATTTAAAAAGTACGATAATAACAAAGTAATATTAAGGAGATTTTGTTTCTGTGTAGACGTCTATATCTCTGCTGTTAGCCGTACTCCTATTGGTGGTTTTAATGGTTCATTAGCTTCTCTTTCAGCTACTAAGCTTGGTTCTCTTGCTATTGAATGTATGTATTTTTTTTTTAAGAAAAAAAAATGCCGTTATTTTATGCATCTTACATCATTTTACTTTTTATTATTATTATTAATTTTTAAATAGCTGCTTTGAAGAAATCTACTGTTCCTGTTGATGCAGTTGATGAAGTCGTCTTTGGTTGTGTTTTACCCGCCAATCTCGGTCAAAACCCTGCTCGTATTGCTGCTCTCGGTGCTGGTCTTCATGAGAAGACTATTGCTACCACTGTTAACAAGGTTTGTGCCTCAGGCATGAAAGGTAATATATATATATATATATATACATATTTATATATATACTTATAAACAACTTTTATGTAAATTAATGTGTATTATAGCTGTCATTATGGGTACACAATCCATCATGCTTGGTAATGCCGACATCATTGTTGCTGGTGGTATGGAATCTATGACAAATACACCTTATTATCTTCCTAAGCAACGTTTTGGTTCCGTTTATGGCAATACTGAAGTAGTTGATGGTGTTGTTAAGGATGGTTTGTATGATGTCTATAACGATTATTTGATGGGTGTTGCTGCTGAAGAATGTGCTACTGAATATGGTATTACCCGTGAACAACAAGATGATTACGCAATTGAATCTTACAAACGTGCCCAAGCTGCTCATGCTGCTGGTTACTACAAGGATGAAATTGTCCCTGTTGTTGTATCGGGTGGTCGCGGTAAGCCTGATCGTGTTATTGAACAAGATGATGAAATTGTAAAATTGAATGAAGAAAAGTTACGTGCTGTTCGTCCTGCCTTTGCTGGTAAAGAAGGTACTGTAACTGCTCCTAATTCTTCTCCCTTGAGTGATGGTGCAACTGCTATTGTTCTTTGCTCCAAGGAAGCTGCTGAAAGATACAACTTGCCTCTTTTGGCAAAGGTTAAGGGTTGGGGTGATGCTGCTCAAGCTCCTAATCGCTTCACAACCTCTCCTGCTCTTGCTTTGCCTAAAGCTATCATGCATGCTGGATTGACACCTGAAGATATTGAATATTATGAAATTAATGAAGCATTCTCTGTTGTCGCTTGTGCTAACTCTAAGCTCTTAAATTTGAAGAAGGATCAAGTTAATATCTGGGGTGGTGCTGTCGCTATGGGTCATCCTTTGGGTTGTTCAGGTGCTCGAATCATTGCTACCTTGACTTCTGTTTTGAAGCATAAGGAAGCTAAATATGGTGCTGCTGCTATCTGTAACGGTGGTGGTGGTGCTTCTGCTGTTGTTATCGAGCGTGTATAAAAAAAAAAAAAAATAAAAATAAAAAAAAAAAAAAAATTATAGATTATTTTACATATTAAACTAATAAAGAAATAAAAGATTACAAATTAGTATAATATGTAAACATGGTCTATTTTAAATCAGTATGTATTTATAAATGTATATGTATATATTATAGATTAACATTGTAGAACATTAGTATAATAATAACTTCTTATAAACTGAATATTCGTTATAAATTTGAGTATTTGAAATAACAATACTCTGTTTGACGCAATGACTTTTTATTTATCATCTATAATTTTAAAGACGGACTCTATTTTAAGTGCAAATTATTGCAATTGAAAATTGTCAATAATTTCATAATTATAAACTTTCATGAGTTAGATAACTCACAATAAAAGGTAAAGCAAAAATATCATTACATAAATTACACTCATTTTTTTTGTTCTAGTACGACTAATACGGAAAGTAGTCCTTTCGTTGTTCAATGACTAACTTGGTTAAGGAGTTTTGAAACAGCTATTGGTTTAAAAGATTTATGACAGACTGCTTCACTACTGAAGTTGGTGCATTTAGATCTGTATTTAGCGTTGAAGTTAATATTCTGTTATGCTATGCTATGCTATGGCTATGCTATGCCATGGCTATGCTATGCCATTGGCATATATAGAGAGTATGTGAGAACACTATGAAGGAAGAAGTGATTCCTAAAAATCACTGATGTTTCATATTCTTTGCTAACAAAAAAAAAATAGTAACAATCAGATTAAAATTCTTAAGACCGTCAAAGAAACAAAAATTTTAAATAAACAAACAACGGGACTATTGAATAAAAAGATGCATGCTACCACTGAGGAAAAATGACATAAATATATATTCCAACACTGCATTACTAGGACCCATTATAGAACTGCAAATAATCACTTGATTTATCTAAAGCTTAAGCATTATGAATCGAGTGATATCAGGGGCAGTTTTATAGGGAGGTTTTTGCGAGACACACCCTTGAGTTTTTAGGGTAATTTGCATCAAATATTCATATATTCATGTATATTTATATATATTTGTATATGTATTCATGGTGTAATAACTTTTAATCAGCTGCTTTTTATTCCAATATATTGGTATTGACCAAAATAAAGGCATATTGTTGGTACCAAAGTAAGAGTACATAATATAATATCCTATCTGTCCTCATCATTATAGGCAAGTCTTAAAGCATGAAGATGACTCTTTATTGATGTGTAGTAGTATGACAGCCAAAGGACCAGATTATGCATGTAAAATAGAAAAATAAAATAAAATAAAAAACTGTTAATTCCAAAGGTTATACGCATATTCTACGAACTACATTACATGTATGAATACGTTGGAGTGTTATAGGTGGAGTAAAGAAGATACACGATAGTGACACGAAACACACATCCTAAATATACTAGAAAATGGTTTTAAACAAAGGTATTAACTATATGCCTAATAGTCCCAGATCTAAATCCCATAAAACAACCTTTGATATCACTTGAAGATAAGATTAGCAAAATATCCAACAAACACACCCGAAAGAAGATCAATGAATTATGGAATAAGTTTCAAAAAGAGGATATGTTATCGTACTGCAAAAGCATGTCATCAATAATTCAAGCTGTTATTAAAGCTAAAGGAGGAGACACAAAGTATTAACATAGTATCTCCTATTATTTTTTTTTTTTACTTTTCTTATATTGATTACATAACAGGGCCTATAATATATAATTTTGTTCAATTAAACTTGAACAAACTCATTTAAATTTCACTTTGCATATATGAAGCACTAGTAATTAATACTTGATCATATTTCATACGTATACTATATATTGGCATAGAGATAGGGTCAATAAACTAATATGTACTTGTGCGCAAGTTTTTTTCACATGCTGCATGTCTTTATTTTATTTTATAATTAGTATAAAGTTTAGTAAATTCTATAGTACAAAGTCCTAATGATATGTACAGTTAATTTTATGCTATCAGCGTACTGTATTAAGTTGTGTAGAGATCACCAGTTTGTAGTAGTAGATCACATTTTATCATAGGGTCTCTTCTACATCATATCGTTAACAGGTAAAAATAATACTAACTATCCTTAGTTAAAAGTAACACAAAGCCGCAGTTGGAATTTATCATGAATGAGTAGAATTTTAACTCTTTTCTCACCTAATAAAGATGTCTATTGAAAAAAAAAAAAAAAAAAAAAAAAAAAAAAAAAAAAAAAAAAAAAAAAAAAAAAGAGAGTTTGTATACTTTTAGTGAAAACTGTGTAAATAAATGATTTAATCGAACAGCAAGCAAGTACATTAATTACTCTTTATTATTATTGCTAATAATGCCAAAAAGAAAAAACATATGATTTTTAATAATTAAAAGATCATAAGTACACATATGTTGTACAGAGCAATCAGAAATCAGTATGTAATTCTCAAAGGCAATTGACTTTTTCTTTTTCTTTTTTTTTTTTTTTTGGTATCATAATTACTATCTTTTCTTTCTCTTTGGTTCAGAAGAATATATATGCTAGAATGAATTTACTGAAGCCTTTTACTAAACATTTATTTCAACGACAATTTTCTAATGTAGCAACATCTTCCGTTTTAACTCGATCACCATCGTTAATAACTTCTAATAATTCCATATTGGATCAGCAACATTTTTATTTAAACAAAACTCTAGATAAGTATTGTTCACAAAATCCTACACCATTAACACTAAGGCAGTTGCTCTTTTATGAACGGCACTGTAATACAGAAAGATTATTAAAATCTGCCAACTATATACGTACAGAATTACCCATTCGAATTGCACATCGTATTCGGGAATTTCAAAAATTACCTTATATCTTGGGCACAAATCCTTATATTGAGTCTGTTTATAGTCTCTACTGGGAAGCGTTTGAGAGGATTCGAAAGATTTCTGAAATTAAGACTAGAGAAGAAAATGACCGATTTTGTAAAATGTTAGAAGAATCATTAGATGCGCATCTCGTTGTCATTCCTCGACTTGCAAAAGGTATTAATGAATGTGAGCAGCATGGCATCATATCGATGGATAAATTAGATATCTTTATGAACGCAACACTTAGGTCACGCATTTCAAGACGTGTATTAGCAGAACATCACCTGGTGCTTTCTAAAAGAAGAAAATCAATCTTTAATCTTTGTTCTTCACATGATATTTTGACAAAATGTACTCGTCTCGTCCAAGCCGCTTATCCAAACGTGATTAACGTTAAAATAAATGTCAGTGGTAGAGACACAGAATTTACTTATGTCTCGGATCATATAGAATATATTATATATCAGCTTTTATCAAATGCATATCGACATTCTATCGATAGCTCTGCAAAAGAAATTAAAGTAACGTTATGTTCAAATGAAAATAATGTTCTATTTCGAATATCAGATCAAGGGGAAGGCATAAAAAAAGAAATTTATGAAAATCTATGGACTTATGGCAATTATAACATGGAGAAAATAGAAAGATTAGAAGCAAAATTGAATGAAAATATAAATATGAGACTTGGTATAGGTCTGCCGATGAGTCGTGTCTATGCTGAATATTGGGGAGGCGAAATCAAGATTATAACAATGGAAGGATTTGGTACAGACGCATATGTTCGTATACCCAGATTAGGCACTCAGAATGAAAATATTACGAGTGAATCATTAGATGAAGCAATCATGTCCTAAAAGTATTCAATATGGTCAAATATGAATGTACGGGAATTTTTTTTTTTTTTCCTTCGATTTTGTGGGTAAACAAAATTTGCGTACTGTAATATTTTATTTATTTAACAGAATAGTAAAAATCTCAATAAAAAGAAAAGACTACTATCATTTAGAACCTTTTATTTTATTGTATATGAAGGCTAAAAAGTTAAATAAAGAGAAACAGCCCTAAGAATATAGAAAACATGCATGAGGCTTAAAAATTCTGTATATTCTATTACCATGAAGATAAAAGACTTGATATGTATGTATATTTATCGCTACACAAAAGATTTCTTTTCCTATTATATTTTTTCCAAATCGATGAATTATACTTGATAATCACATATTTGCTTTATTTTAGTGCAACGAAGAAATGTTACTGTTTTACACAATGAAACCTTCAATGAAAGTATGCTTGCTTTATTTAATTAAATTACCCGTAAAATACAATATATATTTTAATATATCAAGCTTAACCTCTCTTGTATTTTATGATTAATTGTGAATATATGGCTATTTAATTTTCTACCTTTTTTTTTCAATACCCTTTATCAGCAATTCTCAATGGTATTAGATTTCCAAGACCCTTCGGAAACCTTGTATTCCTCAATTGGACAATTTCAGTTTACCACTCTTTACTATATATTAATTTAATTCACCAATTGCTTAAGATAAGACTCAGGAATATTTAACTTAAAGACTTCTGTCAGTCACCTCAATCACATTGATATTAATTAAAACCTCTTTCCATTAGTAAACTTGCAATATTCTGTCAAAGATATGCACATACCTCAAATAATTGAAACTCTTTTGTTGTGCTTCCTATACACATGATCTTTTTTTTTTTTTTTTTTTTTTTTTTGATAACCTTTGTACCTTACTCGATAGTCATAACAATTTTTTTTAAGCTAGCTACATAATATTGAATGATATATTGATAATTCTAAAGGCAAATTTCTTCCATTTGTTTCTGCATGGGTATCAATAATTAATGCAGTAGCTATAGACTGTACAAGAGAATGATGAATAGGGTTGTTCTGCTATATACAATTGTTTCTACAAAAAGATTTGACACTACGTAAAGGAGTTTCCCGATTATTTCTAAAATCATAATTTAGAAGCAAAAGTAATCTCATATGCCAACTCTTCAAATAAACCAAATACATTTAACACTTTTGGGATATATTGATGATTGCACTACTGTTATAAAGAGAAAGTAAATGAATAGAAACTTTATTAGGTGACATCTTTATTAATATACTAGAGTAAAGATTATACATATATAAACAAGTATTTGTATATATACATATTAAAAGACTAATATAGTCAGTGATATCATGTTCTCTGACGTAAAAAAAATGACGATAATCAGAGTTAATTGTTACCCATCATTTCAGTTCAAAAGTACCTGCCTAGACTAATAATAATAATAATAATGAAAGTGCTTTGTTGGCGAATTTACTTTTTATTTTAAACACCAAGAAGCGGATTTGACTTCTAGGAGGACATTGCCGGTATTTAAAATGAAAAGCGAATTCTCTGACAATGTCCTTAAATTAAAAATCTATGAAAGAAGTGAAAGTTTAATTCCTCAGTCACCAGGCAAACATATGTACTATACAGTAAACTATCATTTCAGCAAGTCAAAACCACTATTGGGGAGAGGACAAACCCTTGATTGGACCAGTTATAAAAAAAAAAAAGGCTGTTTAACCATAAATGTCATCTTATTATTTTATGTAGTACCAATTAAAAAAAAAATGTGTTAGTATGTTTCTTTCTTCTATTTAGTACATTACCAAATGAGTTCAAGTAAATGAGTAATGATCTATAATATTTAACATTATATAACTTACCTTTTATATATATGTATATATACTCTTCTTAGATCTTAAACTAGCATGTGTTGTAAATATATAATTTGAAATTTAGTTGAGATTCCTTATAAAACTTTCATTGACATCAATTTGCTCATTATTATTATAGATGGTTGGTTTACCTGCTAGAGGTAAAACTTATATTTCACAAAAAGGTAAAATAAAACATCAATAAAGAATTTCGGTATATATCTAAATTATATACACATGTATTTATATATATTTGTGTATGCATGTATGTGCAATCCTATTTTATGATATGACATAAAAGTATGTAGATATCTTACATGGTTAGGCATAAAGACTAAAGTATTCAATGTTGGTAATTATCGACGTCATTTACATGGAGTTCATTTACCCCATACTTTCTTTGATCCTCATAATTCAGTGGGAGAACAACATCGTCGAGAAGCAGCAGCAGCAGCTCTTAAAGACATGATTTCTTGGTTTAATGAAGAGCAAGGCATTGTTGCTATCTATGATGCCACAAATAGTACAAAAGCAAGGCGAGCATGGCTACGTGAGAGATTAGGAAAAGAAGATATTCAAGTCTTATTTATTGAATCTATATGTCAAGATGAGTCACTAATTTTAGCCAATATTAAGGAAGTTAAACTATCTTCTCCTGATTACGTAAACATGGATCCTGATGAAGCAGCTATTGATTTTATAGCACGTATAGATCATTATCAGGAGCAATACGAAACGATTACAGAACAAGATTTAACATATATCAAGCTAATTAATGTGGGTAGTCAGAATATTATTAATCAAATTCAAGGCTACTTGGAATCAAGAATTGTTTATTATCTAATGAATCTTCATATAGCACCAAGAAAGATTTATTTTAGTCGAGTAAGTGAACTCTATATATGTGTGTTTAATGGAAGGGGGGGAGATGGACTAATTTATATTTAATAGCATGGTGAGTCAGGATATAATCTTTTGGGTAAAATAGGTGGAGATTCAAGCTTATCAAAAAGAGGAAGATTATATGCTAGAAAACTACCCGATTTGATCAAGACTCATTTAGGTGAGGAGCAAAAGTTAACTGTTTGGACTTCTACTATGAAAAGAACAATTGAAACAGGTGAATTACTAAATTATCCAAAACTACAATGGAAAGCGTTAGATGAATTAGATGCTGGAGTATGTGATGGTATGACTTATGAAGAAATAGAGGTATACATATTTAAATTATTAATGACTGTTATATATATATATATGTGTGTGTGCTAATATGTTTATATATATAGCAACAATATCCTGAAGATTTTGCAAACCGTGATGAAGATAAATTTAATTATAGATATAGAGGTGGAGAGGTACATATAAATTAAATGACTTGATATTTATATACATATATATATGTGAATAACGTATACATTTGTATATACATATATACATAAATAGTCTTATGCTGATGTTGTGCTTCGGTTAGAACCAATTATAATGGAATTAGAAAGGCATGAAAACATTCTCATTATTGGTCATCAAGCTATTTTGAGATGCATTTATGCTTACTTTATGAATTATAAGCATGAAGATTTACCTTATATTAAGATTCCACTTCATACTATTATTGAATTGACCCCTAAAGCATATGGCTGCGAAGAAAAGAGGTTTAAAGGTATACATACTATATTTAATATAAGCCTATATATACACTAGTATTAATAATGTATATTATAGTTGATATCGATGCAGTAGATACACATAGACCAAAAATGAAACGTTCGAGTTCTGTACGTGGATTACAGTTGCCAGCAGTTGGATCAAGTGGTGAAATAGTCAGAGAACCAATGAGCCCTATTATTCCTATCAGTCCAAAATTATTTCCAAAGTCAAATAATTCTACTCCAACTAATACTACCCTATCAAAGACACCATTAACGAAAATTGATTTAGGAGATGCCTATTTCTAGAAATAAATAAATTCTATGCTTCTGCTATCATTATAATGAATATTTTGTCACAACTCAAAGATTCAAAATGAATCAAGAGTTAATATTTTTTGGATGAAATTGAGATTACTTTTAGATCAAACAAAGTTAAAATAGATTTAGACAAATAAAACTTGTTTTTAAGCATATTTACCTATAAAAATCTATATTTTCTGTTAGGAAAGAGTTGTTTTTGAGACGGCAATACCATTGTTTCTGACGAGAGAATACAGAGGGGCAATCTTGGTCAGTTAGTATCTTCTTAGAGATTTGGTAAATACTTTTTTTGCTGACTAGGGCAAATCATATACTTTTTTACAGCTACGTGTTTATTGGTCACAACAAACTAGATGTATACTCTTGATCTTGATTGGACAAACTCGAAATAAGTTACAGATGGGGTGTACATAAGATCTACATGTTGTAATTCTCCTGCAGTTCTAATGTATTATGAACATCGCGTTGTTTCAATTAGTTTTTTTTTTTTTTTTTTTTTTTATAAAAAATTCTCCTGTATAAACTTTAAATATTATTAGACTTACACACTTTATTATTAATTATAAAGATATACAACAGCTTACGATAGTTACCTTTTTTTTTTTAAATACTATATGCATATTTTTTTTACGCTTTATAATTTTTAATTTTTTTTCTTACAAACTAGTTAATTCTTTTGTTAATTCCCTCTTTTTTACAGTTACCATTACTTACTATTATTATACTAATTAAACTTCACCCTTTCTCTCTTCTTTTTCTTCTAAATCATACTTTTTTTTTTTGTAATTATACTTATAACATTACAATACATTTTAAAAAGTAATATATAAAATAACTAGAAAAAAAAAAAAGGTAATTCTTCTATCTTGATAACGCCAAACAAATATTAAAAAGGAAAAAAAAAATGTCTGTATTTGTGCCCGACAATAATGGTTCACCACAACAACAAAAGCAACCTGAACAAACAAGACCTAAAAGACCAAGGTCTAGTTTAGCAGTAAGTTATTTTATTATTATTGTAATATAGTGAAATATATTTATTTATTTATTTACTTATTCATAGTGTATTCGTTGTCGTAAAAAAAAAGTAAAATGTGATTTTGTTCAACCTACATGTGGTCGTTGTGCGATTGCAGGTTTGCCTTGCAGTTATGCTACACCACCGCGTCGTGTTGATGGTCATGCGTTTGACCAATTGGGTAATCATGTTGAAGAATTAAAAGAAAGAATGCAAAAAATGCAATCGGAACTTGCCATGATGAAAAATAATTTACATCCTTTTGCTTCTACTAGTCTTTTAAATAATGAGGATAGTCTAGATTCAGGTCGTTCAACACCTAATATGATGATGACAGATATGAATCCAAATAATATGTCTTTGACTACCTCTTCTCCTCCTTCTTCTTCATCCGAACAATCAGTTACTTGGAAATTATCTCTTTCACCTTCTGGTTTAAGGATTGATACTAATATTGCAAGTGTAGCTGATTTATATCGAATATTATTAAATGGTATTAGTCAACTTAACATAAATAATGATACAGCAACATCTCTTTTTAATCCAGAAGGAAATTCTTCTACTTCGCCAACATATTCATCAAATCATTTGGGAGGTATGCGTGATAGACGTCAACAGATTGGAAAATTATCTGGTAATATGGGTAGAAAGCCTTTAAATGGTACAAATTATTTGGATAATAATATGATGGATAGCAATGATAAAGGGGGTCGTCTATGGGAGGTAGACGATAATGAAGCAAGAAAGATATTACAAGAAAATAAATCACCAGATGAAGTGCTTCCTAAGGATGTTTTAGATAATTTAATGCATACATGTTATCATTCTTGTTTTCTTGCTTATCAAATTATAGATAAAGAAGCCTTTATGCGTCAATACACTTCAAAGGAAGGCTTAGATCCTCTTTTGGCTAATTCTATCAATGCTTGGGTATCTAAACATGGATGTATTTATCATAATGTAAATGGGGGTATGATGTCAACATCAATGGGTGAAGTTTATTTCAAGAATGCTCGTCAGTTGCTCAAGAAATGTTTTGATATCAGTAGTCCTACAACGATTCATGCTTTATTAAATTTGTACATGTATCAACTAAGTAGTGAGCGTTCAAGTTTAGCTTATCTTTATATTGGCTTAGCAATTCGTATGGCTCAAGACCTTAAATTTCATAAGAAGGAGCATATGGTTGCTGATTTGAATCAACGTGAAACAAATAAACGTTTATGGTGGTCTGCTTATTGGCTTGATTTATGTGCTGCTCTTGAATCAAATCGTCCTACAATGGTAGATGATAAAGACTGTGACCTTGATTATCCTGTTCGTCTTGAACATGAAGATGACGAGACTGGATATCGCATTCATTTCTCGGTTTATTCAATTAAACTTATGCGTATTCGAAAGGATATTACAAAACATTTACCTTCTGAACAATCAGGTCAATCTTTACTTTCTGCTATTTCAAGACTTGAAAATGCTCTTACAAATTGGTTAGGTGAATTGCCCAATGAATTACATTTTGATAATCATTCTAGTGTTTTCCAAAAGACAGGTTCATTTAGAGATGAGGCCTGTTTGATACTTAATATTCAATATCAAACAACTTGGATTATGCTTCATAAATTCTTCCTACCTAAACAGGACCAAACAGCTACACCTGTTGCCTTGCTATCTCTTAATATTTGTACAAAATCAGCTAATTTGATTACGCGCATGCTAAGTCTTTATGCTACTAACTTGAGTTGGTGCCATTTCTTTTATACAATTGATGGTATTATTGCTAGTGTTACAATTCATCAAGTGAATGCCTTATCTAATGAAAAGGAAGTGTCTTATTTGGCTCAACGTAATTTGATTATTACAGCCAACATACTTAAAGATTCACCTTTAGTATATATGAATAAGGTATGTGAAATTATTGAAAGTATTGAAGGCTTCTTAAAGAAGAATGGTCTTTCTTCAAATTTGAATGATTTGCCTACCGTAAATGAAGATTCTATCAATCAACAGTCTATTTCATCTGTTTTTAATCCTGCTATTTTTGAAACACATCCAATGATTCAACAGCAACAACAAATAGTTCAACAGTCAATGCAACAACAACAAATGCCTCAGCAAATACCACATCAGCAGCAGCAACAACAACAACAACAACAACAACAGCAGCAGCAGCAGCAACAACAGCAACAGCAACAGCAACAGCAACAGCAACAGCAGCAGCAGCAACAGCATACACAGCATCATGGACATCATCCTATTCATCAACAGCAACAAATGCAAGCCGCGCAGTCTTCTTATACAGATGCTTTATCACCTTCTGTACATTCTCAACATACCATGATGAGCTCTCCTCAATCACAGCATTCTTCCTCTACCATGAGAATACCTAATCATCTAACACCTGCTATGTTTCAACAGGCATTACATCAGCAACAACAACAACAAACACCTTCATCTTCATCCACTACTATTGCTGCTACTGGACAGCAATCGTTACATAAGCCTCAAACACAACAGGCAACAGCAAATGCTATATATAATAATTCAGTTATGATAGAGCCTAGTATGTTTTTGAACGATCCAACAACAAGTCTAATGGGTTTTGATATGCCTACACAAACGGGTGATATGGATCAATTACTGTTAAGGAATATAGGATTCGATCTTCAAGGCGCAAATACAGCAGGAACTACTAGTGATGATAATCGTATATATGCCATGTTTGATCCAAGCCAAGCAAGTAATCCTAATGGTAGCATTCATAATAATACAAATACACCTAATACTACAAATACATTTATTACAACATCAACATCTTATACGGATACCTATACAAATGCATATAATACAGGACCACCACCACCACAACAACAACAACAGCAGCAGCAGCAGCAACAACAGCAGCAGCAACAGCAACAACAGCAACAGCAACAGCAACAGCAACAACAGTCACGGGCGCAACAACAACAACAACATCAACAACAACCGCAGCAGCAGTCAACTCATTTTCAACCTCAAGGATCTCAGCCACCAGACTCAAATACAGCGAATGCGAATAATTATTCCAATTTTTTGAGTAGTTCCGAACTATTTGGACTCTCTTCCACATCCACAGTACCACCTCAACCACAGTCTACACAATCTTATTCCACTAACCAAACTACTACAACCACCTTTGATCCAGCTAACCTATTTAATATGGATCCAGCTACCATGAGTGCTCTTCTTTACAGTAGTCCAGGAATGACCAATTTCCCATTTCAACAACAACAACAGCAGCAGCAGCAGCAGCAACAACAACAACAACAACAACAACAAACACCGACACAAGCATCAGGAGATGAAAATGAGTTATTGTATGGAGCTAATAATGGAAGAAAAAGAGTACATCGTGATTGGGAAGATACCGCTTAATATAGATCCTTTTTTTTTTTTTTTTTTTTTTGTTAATCTATACATGTATGTATATATATGTAAATGTATATATAAAATAAAATATTTTAAAAGTAGCTTTTGTTGTTTTGTTTTGTTTTATTCTTGATACAATATGTGTATATATAATTCATTATAATATATAAAAGAAATGCATAGAACGGAGAGGTAAGAAATGGTTGTAGATAGGCATGAGCTATTTAGTTTGTGTATATATGTATATATATATATATTTCACAAGAAATGCAATAAAGGAAAGATTGTAAATACATATACATATACATATATATGTATATGTATATGGAGAAAAGAAGTGGGTATATAATAATGAAAGCGATATATAATGATTGTAATGTTTTTTTTTTCTTTAAAAAAAAAAATAAAAATAAAAATAAAAAACTTCTTATAAAGTCGTAGTTCCAGGCCATAATTTTGCTAAAACGTCTCTATCCTGTTTAATCATCCAGGAGGAGCCAAGATTTAAAAGAGCTTGTTTACCATCACGACTCAACTCTTCAGTATAGATAGGCTGATTAGAAGTGACGATAAAGAAGGGTAAATGACATGATTGTTGAGTATATCGTCGTTGATGATTTCGTTGAATTAAATGTTTTAGACGAGCTAAATGTCGAAGGGTATCATCCAGGAGAAGAGTTGAATTTTGAATAGAGGCTAAAAGATATTGTTGACGGGATTCCTCTTGTTGAATCTCCTCTTTAAGATACTGTAACCCTGGCCCAGAGGTGGGGATACCAAGCCATTTAATTTGCTTTCGGTCCTTTGTGATAATATTCATAGCCATCAGCACGTTCAGGGCATCATAGACACGTCGACGAATATTTTTTTGATCTACTAACGCTCGACTCCTTGATGAACCACCATCGTCATGACCATGTCCCCGAATTTCCGCCGTCAATTCATCTGCTACTTCATTATAGGTCGTGACACCCCTTTCAGCCACTTTGTCACAGACTTGTTTTGAAAATAATCGTAAACCTTTTGTTGGTTGTTGTTGTTGTTGTTGTTTTTTGATTTGTTTAGTAACATAACGTGTCATTTTCTTTTTCGTCCTTATTTTCTTATCAAGGTGAAATGGAGTATGATCAGAACTAGAATTTAAAAGGGATTGAATTGAATAATACTCCTTTTTGCTACTAGTGATAGCAGGAAAGGAGGAAGCCGGTAAGGTTTCAGGTGAAGACGGTAAAGAAGAAGAACAAAATGAACATGAAGGCGAGTCATAATCAGGTAATAAGGAAGGTACTGCTTGAGTAGTAGTAGTAGTAGTATGATTGGTTGTTAAAATAGGTGGTAATAAAATATTTTTTGACATAATTGTATCATCTCTTAACGACCCTTCATCATTCTTTTTATAAACGATAGGTAAAGGAAGTGTCAAATATGGCAACTGATTTGAAGTTGAGAAAGTCATTTTATATTAGAGGAAAAAAGAAAAAAAAAAGAAAAGATGAAGAAGAGAAAAGAAGAGAAAAGAAAAGAAAGATAATACTTCTTGTCGTTTTTATTATTATTGTAATGTTTATATTAAGGAAAGGTATAAAGTAATTCGTTTTAAAAACAAAGATAAATATTGAAGGAAAGAAGAATAAAAACAAAAAAAAATAAATAAAAATAAAAAAATAAATAAAAATAAACAAATTTTACATGGTTAAATTGATGTTTATTTTTTTGTTTTTATTTGCCTCTATTATAAATGTCTAACTTTATCATAAAGCAGTGAAAAATATGTTTATATAATGAAGGCTATACAATATGTATAATCTATATATTTTTACAATGAGAATTGGTAACAAATGATAAACGCGTTACTTTATGTATGTATGTATGTATGTGTATGAACGTGATAAATATATTATCAAATTTTTGTGCTGCTGCTGCTGCTGCTTTAATAGTCCTGAGATGTTTCCAAAAAAAAAAAAAAAAAAAAAAAAAAAAAAAAAAAAAAAAAACGGAATAACCAGTTTAAGATAGAAGTACTGACAAATAATAAGCTTTTTTTTTTTTCTCGTAATATATAATAATGCCCGCCCTTTTCCTTTGTTTACATGCATATATAAATAAAATATAATAAGGTAAAGTAGAAGAAATATACGGAGCAAGTAGGAGTAGGGGATGATCTATTTTCTTTTTTTCTTTTTAACCTTTTTTGTTACACCATTCGAATGTATATAAACCCTCTTATCAAAGCAACAACAACATACTTCTCTTAATATGTTTATAAAATAACTATTATAAAATATTAAAAAAAAGCTTTAATGATATTGAAATGAACCTTTTATATATATATATATATAAAGAAAATCGATTTTGTTTGTGTATATCGTAAAAATGTTTATTATTCTGGGAAAGGAAGATAGATTTATGAGTTCGTTTATCGATAAGTAAAGAGTGATAAGCATATAATATTCTCTTCCTGCTTCCTTTTTTTTTTCTCAGGGAATTAGAACGGAATTGCTTTATTTAGTGGATACTTATTTATTTTTCTAATAAAATCACATGAAATTTATCAAGGCTATATGAAACAGGAAAATCCTTTAAACTTACTAAAGATAACGAATAGAAAAAAAAAAAAAAAAAAAAAAAAAAAAAAAAAAAGTGTCAGTGCGTAAATAATGGAAGGTAGTTTATTATCTCTACATGTTTGTAATATTAAATCAAAATTTATTATCTTTTTTTTTTTAATAACGTGAATTTGAACTATTTGTTAATTTTGATATAGTAAAGACACCCAAGATAACTACACCTAAAAATGTGATAGCGGCAGGTAGTAACATATCCTGAGGAATAGGTAAATTGTATTCTTTTGATAGATCTCGTTTTTTTGTTATTGTCTTTTTCTTTTTCATTGTTTCTTCTTCTTCTTCTTTTTGTATATAGTCTTCTTTATCTATAGTGTGACTACTAGAATTTAAAGAAGAGGAGGATATATCTAATAGATGACCTAGAGTAGTAGGTTGACTATCTGGTATCATCATATGTGAACTTGAAGAGTTCAATTGGATTGAATCTTGCTGTGATAATTCTACTTGTTGTTTCTGTTGCTCTGCTGCAATAGCATCCGCTAAAGAATCATGAACGAAAAGACGAACTCGATCAAGTCCTGATTTACGAGCAATTTGAACAGCATCTAATAAGTCAGAGTCACTCGTCATCAACACTTGATCATTTTCATCATCCAAATAGGCTACCGTTAACCAATCTTCATCTTGTTGATTATTGCCACGACTTACTGCTATATAGGACTGTGAAATAGAAAGATGTTCGACCATGATCTTTTGTTGAATTACTTCTAAAAGTCCCTTAAAATCATGAGTATCATGATGAAATCGATGTGTCTTGGTCCCATAATTAAATTTAAAAGAAAATGTGTGGTTATTCAAGTGTGATGATACTGTCGAATGATTATCTTGAACAGCAGAGGCAGAATCAGCGGGTGTTAATTCAGTATAATTTCCTAATCCTGTATAAGTAGGTGCATGGCCTGGTAAGGGAGATACCATTCTTGTTGAATGTGTTTGCTCTAAATGAGGTGAAGAAGGCTGAAACATGTGTGAATTAGCTGCCTGTGAAAGCGAATCTGAAATAACTGATTCTGTTTCAGTGTTATCAGTAGCTATAATACTATTCCAAAATTTATTTCCATTATCTCCTTGATTCCCTTCAATACTATTGATCTTTCATAATTATTATAATTCATGTATTAGTCACATGGAGTCATTCATTTCATTCTATATCTATTTCTATATACCTGTTCAAGTGTAGCATAGGTTAAACGAAGAACATCGATTAAACCTATAATGTTTTTATTATCATCTAATACAGGCAGATTTAAATAATGACCATCTAGAATAGGATAATAAGTAAAAATTCACTCATAAATAATAATAATAATAAACAGGATGGGCTTATTTACCGTGCATCTTCTTTAATGCATCTAAAATGCTAGTAGAAGGTAAAGCTGTATCTGGATGAGGTGTCATCACTCGAACAACCGAACAACTATCTGGAGCAAGACCTGCAGCAATCACTCTTAAAACAATATCCTTTGACTATATATTATATTCAACATAATTTTAAATTAGTACAAATTAGGCTTACAGGTAACAACTCACAGTAAAAATACCAGCTAATCCACCATGGTCCATCACAAGTACAGCTGTTGTATGATATTCTTTCATTAACTTTGCTACCTCACGTACTTGAGCTTTCACAGGTACCTGGACAGGATTAGAATAATCCAAAACAGTCGTTAAATCAGGACAAGACATCTTATCTCTTAATGCTTCCATATATTGTACAAATTGAACAGGACTATTAGCCCATTCTTTTTCCACACCTTCTAGTGCATCATAAAGTTTGCGTGATGAACCATACGCCTTTTCCATTTTATGTAATGCTTCATAAATACATTTTGTGATATCAAGTAAACCAAATATATCACCTTCTTCATTACAAACGGGCTATAAATAATACAAATTAATTATGCTCATTCCATTTTTATTTTTTTTATTTTTTTTTTGTTAACAATAAAAAAAAAATCGAATGATAATATCGATATTAATTTTAAAATCTTACCAGATGACGAAATCCACGAGATACCATTAAATTTAAAGCGTCTTGAGCAGATGTATCAGCTGTTACACATATTGGATTTTTGGTCATAATGTCAGATACTGTAGTTGCTCTTTTGGAAAGTATTAAAAATATATCTAAAAAATAAAAAAAAAATAAAAGTCATTTTATCTACATACCTTGCATCTAAATTATCTGCAACAACTCGATATGCTAAATCTTTAGCCTATAACATACTCAATAATTAGATATAGGGACATATAATGCATATATCACTTTACAGTAAAAATACCGCTTAAATGCTCCTCTTCATCCACAACTAGTACACAATCACTTCTTTTCGCAGCCATTAACTGAGCAGCCTCAATGACCAAAATTGTCTCTCTTACTGTAAGCGCTTGAGCAGGTCGTAAAGCAGAAACTGTGCCTGCAATTTTTTTAGTTTGTTTAATACGTGTTGAGCTATTTCTTCTTTTTGATAACTCCTGTTCAATCTTTTTACGAATTGCCTAAAATAAATTTAAAAGCGAAGGAAGATACACACATGCTCACTTTAAGATTTTGAGATGAAGAAGTAGATTAAGGGAAAAAATACTTTACCTCATCTTTCTTAGACTGACGTTGTCGACTTGATACAGATAACATATCGGATTCAGTAGATTGAACTGCAGTTGAAGTAGAACTTAATGAACCTGAAGGTCTATTAGTATACTTGTATTTGTTAGAAGATACAGTGGACATGTTTTTTTTCTTCTTTTTTCAGTATTATAATATGAATAAATATGAAAAAAAAGTTATAAAAAAGATCACTTCTTTCCCCTTAAATATATTGCCCCACATGTATAATAATTTAATATTCTTTAAAGCTGATTGGGTATTCAAATAAGCTCCGTTTTTTTTTTTTCCTTTTTTTTTTTATTAATTTGTACATACTTTACCTTTATGATATATAGAAAAAGGAAAGAAAGAAAAATAAAATAATAAAAAAAAAGGGAAAAAATTATTTAATCATTGAAACAATTTTAGTAGTATAGCATATCACATATGTATGTGTGTATCCTAAAATAACAAACATAAATCATAGTCTGTGCTGTACCCAAAAATAAAACAAGAACAATGGGAAAATTTATTCTTCTTTTTTTTTAAAAAAAAAAAAGGTGTGACCGTCTTTATAAATACCATTAAACATTTTTATTTTTATAAATTAAAATTTATAAAGTGACCTATGAGCACATACTGTTTTGCCCTGATCAGATCGCTATGGAAAAAGAAAAAGGAAAGAAACCCCCTTTTTTTGGGATAAAAGTGAAAATATTAAAGTGTATGTATAAGTGATGATAATTAACTATCAGAAAATCATTGTTGTATTGAAAGAAGATGATTGACAAAGGGTTCACCAAGATGGTCAGAGGGTTCGGGGATTTGGGAGTGAAACTAGATAGTCCATCTCAAGCAGAATTGCACATATGGAAGGCCAGCATCTGAGCCAGACATCAATTGATTTTCTCACTTTCTTAATAAGGAATGTTGATGGTCATAGAAGGTTCAAGAGATAAGAGGGTGGATCTTCAATAGATTTGGGGCATCTGAAGGCGGTTATGCATATGCAAACAAGAAAAACTATGTGAGCGTATAAAGAGTTCATTTGGATGGAAGGGGCCAGGCTTGGGGGTTTTACCAAGAGGTAACCAACCAAGTCGCCATCGCACGCAACGAAACTGTTCACTTCTTGTCATTGGTATCGTGAGAATAGGTTCGTCAATCGGATTATTACGGCAATGGGATAGAAGTTTCGAATGTTTTTCTTGTAATTTTGAGCGGTAGCAGTCAAGCAGGAATCGTCTTCGTTTTCTAATAAAATCCTTATGAGACGTAGTGTTAAGATTTTCATTACAAACTAATATTCATAGAGGAGATTTGGATAGTTGGGACCATTTTGATTTATTTTGAGATTGTATGTATGGGATCTTTCATGTTAGATAAACTTGTTAGGTGTAATATTACTTTGGTTGAGGTGAAAGATCGTCCACTGAAGAGCACTATCATTATCAGTTACAAAAATCTTAGGCGAACCTACGCTAACACCAGTGGACTAAACAACGCTTCTTAGCTGACTAAGGGCCCATGTATATTGGGGGGATAATCTCACAAGCTATCCGGCATCCTGATACTGAGATTGTTGTCAGCTGATTTGAATGTTCTTTACTGGCGATTGTGTTGTCACTAACTCTAATAATATCCGAGAGAGTTATTCTTTACTGGTTTGCCTTGTAAATGTTATCAACTACTATGTATTCGGGCAATCTTCGAAGTTCCATAATTGCATTATGAATTAAAAAAAAAAATACATCAATGACACGTTTTTCCCGTTGGACAGATAGCGAACCTCGTACTAGCTTTTCTCTTAAATGAGAACAACAACTCCAGAAATATTACCAGCGGATTTGAACTGCTGTTAGAGGTTTTCTTGGCCTTTTTTTTTTTTTAGTAACTTTCTGGATTTTCAAAGTATATATCAGCCGTATTTTTATAGTAGAATTATTCGTTAATGCCAAAGTTTTCATACAGTTTTAAAATTTATTACCTTACATACAACAGCTGACTTGTTTGATTTAAAAAGCAGTGTATGTAAGCCTCCTGAGCAAAATTTTGAGTTGCTTCAAGAAAAGAGTCGGTGGTATCAAAATGATACCAACATGGAATAGTTTCAGTGGCACAACTTGAATTTAAGGGCAGACTGACTGGAATTTGGATAGGGAAATTATGATATACTGACTATAGAAAATCTGGGGGACCACTCCTATCAACCTGCCTACAAACCTGCTCCTAGTGTTTCTCTTTCGAAAATAGAGATGCATCCATTCATACTGAATAAAATGATATATAAATAAAACCACAACGTTTAACAACACGTGTACATCTTGTTCTTGAGAGGGCACTTGCATATATATATTACATTAGATAAACTTCATAGAGCGCATTATTTACCTTATTAGCCTAAAGATTTGCATATCCGCTATTTGCTAGTTGTTCTAATTTTCCTTTTAGCTTCCTGAACTACATCAACCCTATTTTGCATATTATCGTGCACATTGACTAGGGCTTCAAATTTGTGCATGATAATTCTTTAATTATATAAGCAAAGGTACTTTGGTACTGACAAGAATAACCACCACGAGAGGGTTGAGATTTATAATTTCAAATCTTTATAATGTTTGCAAATATTTTATGATGGTTCCTTTAAAAGTCTTGAATATTACCTCCTGTTTAACCTGGTTAAAATATCTATATAAAATTCACTTGCTGAAGGCTATAAAGAAGTTATCAATTAATTCTTTATGTCTTTAAGAACAACATCAAGTTCACACGAATCTCTTTGTTATGAACTGAAGCAAATTTTGAGATATTCAATATATATGCATAACATTTATTAATTAATTGATCATTTAAAAAAAAATTATTCACTTTATAAACTTTGTTATAAAGGAAGGCTTCTTGAAATTTATATTTTTTTTTTGTTTTTTTCTATTAGTATACATTTGTTTTAAAAGTTCTAACTCATCCTGTACAAATAAAATATATATTATAAGGATTTAAACAGATACCATATAATCATCTTTTAATGTACCTTGATTGTTATTTAATATTCTGAATTATTTGAAAGAAATGAAAAAAAAAGAAGCAAAATGCGTAGTGCACCATTTCTTTGTACATATTAGAAATGTGTGTGTGTGTATTTAATTGTCTCATTTGTATTGATTTATTTACTAGAGGTAATCATATATACAGAAGTTTTATTAAACATCTTTTGTGGTGCAAAATATGCATATATCACGAGGTATTTTGATATGCGTTTCGCATTTTTTAGCCAACTAATCAGAAAATTCCAAAAACAATTGTTGACTTAAATCTTATAATTCATATAGTTCATGTTATAATGTGGGTATGTCATTCATATTTCCCTCTTCAAATAAATAATTTCCACTTTTTACTTTTATACTTTCTAAGGATTGTCGTTCTATGTTTGCGAGTAATAATAGCTTATAAAGTATTTAAGGAGATCATGAAGTAACGTGCAACAGTTCAATAAACAAATATTTAGCTATCCAATTAAATTAAGTCTACAGAAACGTGCACTTCATTACTTCTTTTTTTTTTTTACCAGTTAATATGATCAATATAACCTCATTGTAGATAGTTGGTATTGTTCGGAAGCTAGATTTTTTCTCTTCAAATTGTGAAATGTCCAAGTAGTGTTCATTATTTAATCTGTAGATACATTTACGCAACAAGGTTTTCTTAGTTGCATAAAAAAAAAATTCTAACAGAAAGGCACGATGATAAAGTGAAAGAACAAAAAAAAAAGCATTCACTTATGTATGCTTTTGATATATTTTAAATTATAGTGGTGACTATTCGTAATACATCTATAGTCAGTCCAACCTTTATAACCAATTCCAAAAGCATACGACTGGAACTGTACTGATAATGCAGCATTGTATTTACACTACGATAGTTCATTGTTACATACAACGCTAATACTAAGCTCTCCTGATGCTCAAAACAATTTTCTGCTGAATTTACTAAATAACGTAATCGTAGACACGGCGCTAAAGCATGAAGCGTACTCTTTGTTCAGGTCACAATGAAGAATCAATTCGATGTCATAATAAACTATTTATATAAGTTCAAATAAAGCTATACTAGAAAGATTCTACAGAGGCACGATGTTGTTAAATTTTTATAAAGGTGAATATTGTATCAGACTTATTAGTAAGCGCAGTGAAATGATTTTTGTGATATCAAGATGCTTCGCAAGCAAAACGCGGAGGCAAATTTACGCCTGGTGAGCGACCAAACGGTACCACTCTCCTTGCTAAAACAGGCAATCGCTAAATTATTTGGGGAAAGCTGTTCAGCTTAAATTTGCCTCCCCTTTTTGCTTGCGAAGCACCTTAATTTTTATTACTTTTGAAATAACAGGTACATTATTGCTAGCGTATACCTCCCACTACCAAAAAAGGCGTAAATTAAAAAATACCATCGTCACGTCAACTACTCAGGTTTTTTTTTACGGATCATCAATAGAAACACTAAAAAAAAAAAAAAAAAAAAAAAAAAAAAAAAAAAAAAAAAGAGCCAGATAATTACTAAAAATGGGACAAATATCTTCACTTCTTAATAATTGTTTCAGTTTTGCTGTTGTCAATATGCTATAGCACAAATTCGAATCACTGCTACAACCATTGCTTATGATAGATTAGAAGTTAGATCTTGAGTAATGTGTTTAACACTCTACATCTTACTGTTTGGATATTTATCTGTCTAGACCTTTCACTCATCTTTTGACCTCTTTTATTGTTATCACTGCGTGTTGACCTTGTATTCATTTGGTTGCTCCATGATGTTCTCGCTTTGATGATAATTAAAGTAGCTACATGCTTCTTTCACCTTTGGTCTTTTATGTGGTATTTTGATGAACCTAGAGTTTTACCCTTTTACTGTCATATCTTGTTGGTATAAATCGAGTTACCCCATTGTTTGTATATGTTGGTGATAAGCGACAGTGATTGATTATGTACAAGCCTTCCTGGAAATAGACTCTACCGGCTTCAATAGTGATCGAAGCTGAAGCATTAAAAAATGTAACTCTATACAGAATTGTTTAGATTAGGTTAAACGTGCTACTTTGTACTGGGATAGATGTTTATAAAAGGAGATTGGTTTAAAATAATGCTGCAACCGAAAAGACTGTAATATTATTATTTTTATATTTTTTTTTTTTTTATATTTTTGAACTGGGCTGGGTAATCCAACTCACTGCCTATCTTAATTAATTTTTTTTTTTTTTTTAATAAAAAAAATATGTATTTAATCGTCGTATCAAGGCACTTGTTCATATTTTATCTTTTTCTTTATTTTATTTTATCTTATTTTGTTTTTTTGTGGGAAAAAAAAAAGAACAATAAAAATAATTGTAGTTTACAATAAAAGTTCTAACAATAAGGCAAAAGTATATATACATATATGTGTATATGAATGTATACATGTACTTTAAAATGGGAAATGTTTGTTCCAGAATAAAAGAAATTCATTCTAATTCATCAAATCATGATCATGGTTTTTTGAATCCACAAGGAATTTATAATTCAAAAGTAGATTATGACATGAATGTTGTTTCCATTTTAATAAAAAAAGGGAAACTAGCGCCTTTTTATAAAGGTAAAATATAATATATTTATAAAATTATGTTTGTTTTTTGTTTTTTGTTTTTTTCTTTTTTTTTTTTTCTTCTTCTTCTTCTTCTTCTTCTAAGCATTCTCCCAAATTATTATTACAGGTTTGAATGAACTTAATGACAATTATAATAATTTATGTTATGAGACTGAATGCCCAATATGCTTCCTGGTAGAAACATAAAGATTATTTATACTGTTTATGTATGCATGCATTAACGTTTTTATTTTATTTCCATCAGTTTTATTCATCGAAAGTGAATAGAACAAGATGCTGCGATAAACCGATTTGCACTGAATGTTTTTTACAACTCAGAAGATCTATGACTTCTCCGCTTATACCAGCTGCTTGTCCTTTTTGCTTGCATCCTAATTTTGGCATAGTTTATATCCCTCCTTCATGGAGTAAGCACTTTAATGTAAATAATGAATCATTATATAAAGAGAGATGGACTCGTTCTTATTTTGTCTTATCTTAAAAAAAAAAGGGATTTAAGAAGAGAAGAGCAGACTTGATATTGAAAGATGAAACAAATAGTATGGATATAAAAAATACTGATAATAGCAGAAGAAACTGGGTAGTAGAGGCAGATGATCCAGACGTTGTACTTGTTGGTAACTATCCTATTTTCTCTCGATTCTATATCAGCTAATGGATAGTGTATAAAATAGATACAATAAGACCTAATTGGGAACAAGCGCTTGCAGAAGAACGAAGATCGTCATCTGTTGGTACGACAAGACGTAGAAGAGTCCAATTAAATAATATGGAAAGGAGAAATTCTTTGAGAAGAAGTACTAGTCAAAGATCTGCCTTAAATTATCCAATTATGAATAATCATGTTTCATATGATTCATTTTCTGAAATGGATATAGAAGATGTCCTTGTGATGGAAGCTATTCGATTATCATTAATTAACAATGGGGACAATTCTGCAGCTAATATACCTACAACTGATAATAACAATACTAATGCTGCAGCGTAAAATAATGTCAATTTATAATAACTTTTTTTTTCTTTTTTCATACTCTTTAGATATATAAAATGTAGTATTGCTAATGCTTATTTGTTTTTTAGGCTATAATATTATTTTTTTTTTTTTTTTTTTTTTTTTTTTTTTTTTTTTTTTTTTTTTTTTTTTTACTAATGTATATCCGTTTTTGTATAAATAATTGCCATTACCACTTATTTTTATACTATATAATATCTTCTGATGTTCACAATAAAGTGATGCATACTTTGGAATGTTGAAATAACTACCGTTAGTTATCTTAATTTAGAACAATATCCCTACTATTGAATTAATATCATGTAGAATATCTTTATCATTTTTTCTTTCTTTCTTAAAACTCTATAATTAAAGCTCTTTCATCTAAGAGAAAAAATTTTTTTTTCCAAATTAGGTAAATTAAGCTAAAAGAATTATTATAGAAAATTAGAAAATAGAATAATAGCATTATAGAAAACAACAAATATGAACATAGAATGAATATATAAAGCAAGGTCTATTTTGACTATGTTGACTTTATTATACATTCAATTCTTTTATATAACAAACAAATATAGCCAACTATTTATATACATTTACATTTATTTATTTTTTAACTGAATTAATATATACTACTTATTATATAACATATGGATTCTCTTGATCTTAAATTACCTAAATATATGGTCTACTGTGTGATAGTAGCCTGTCTTGGTTCATTTAGTAATGGTTGGGTAATTGGTTCTGCTAATGTACCTGGTGAAGTGACTCACTCTTGTGAAAATGGCAGTGCTCGTATCTCTAGTAGCGCCTTCCCTGATTGTCTCCCCATGAATACTAGTCTTTGGGGCTTTGCTGTCTCTTCTTTCTGTGTTGGTGGTCTTCTTGGTGGCTTCTTTGGTGGTAATATTCAAACCAAGTTTGGTCGTAAGAAGACGATTATTTTTAATAATTTGGGTTGGATACTTGGAGGTCTTTTACAAGGTGTTGCAGTAAACCCTGCCATGTTTATTGTGGGTCGTATTCTCTGTGGTCTCTCTTGTGGTCTCGGTTCCTTGGCTACTCCTACCTATGTTGGTGAAATCTCTACTATCAAGGCTCGTGGTACTATGGGTACCTGTAATCAATTTGCTATTGTCATTGGTATCTTGCTTGCCTCTGTCATCGGTCTCCCCTTGGCAAACGTTCCTCTCTGGCGTATTAACTATGCCCTTGTTGCTCTCCCTGCTATTGCTCAATTCTTCTTGATGTCTGGTTGTGTTGAATCTCCTCGTTATCTTATCTCTATTAACCGTATTGAAGAAGCCAGAGAATCACTTCAAAGACTTCGTCCTAACACAAACATTGATAAGGAATTCTATGGTATGGTTGAAGGTCAACTAGGTGCTGCTGCTGCTAGAGCTATTACTGGTATGGATAGTAGTGCCTCTGTCGCCAATAAAGATGAGACCAAGTCCTTTGATGATCAAATTGAAGATGGTATTGTTACTGCTGATGAAGGTGCTCGTGAATCCATGAACATGATCCAGATCTTTACTGATTCTCTTATTCGTCGTATTGCCCTCACTGTCCTTGCTCTTCACGTCATTCAACAAATGATTGGTATTAATGCTGTCATGTATTATTCTACTACTATCTTTAACATGTCCTTCTCTGCTGAGATGTCCAAGTACATGGCTATTGTCACTACCGTTGTCAACTTTGCCTCTACTATTCTTTCTTTAATCTTGGTTGATCGTATGGGTCGTCGCCCCCTTTTGTTGATTGCTGAAGCAGGTGCCTGTATCTTCTGTGTCTTGTTGATCATTGGTTATGTCTATAGCTTGGGACCCCTTTTGGTTGTCGCCGTCTTTGGTTATGTTGTTTCATTTGCTATTGGTGTCGGACCTATCCCATGGATGATTACCTCTGAAGTCACACCTGTCTATGCCTCCTCTGCTGTTGGTGCTGTTGCTACTGCTGTCAACTGGGCTACTAACTTTGTCATTGGCCAATGTTTCCCTCTTGTCTTTGAAGGCATTAAAGGTTACTCCTTCGCTATCTTTGCTGGTGTTGCTGCACTTGCCTTTGCTTTCACTTATCTTAAAGTCCCTGAAACCAAGGGTCGTTCCCTCGAAGATATTGTCAGGGGCTTTGAAAAGAGTTCTTAAGATATATATATATATCATCTATTTGTATATTCTTTCTTTTATTATTATAGTTTGTATTATTATGTATATTTATTTGTTTATTTGTTTTTTTTTTCATGATACTATTAATTAGTTTAAAAAAAAATAAAAATAAAAAAGTTTCAGATTATTTATTAATTTATCCGTGAAAAATTGACATTTATTGTTAAGAAGGTTAGTCGTCAAAGTTCTCCTGGATTGAATTAATTTCCGTTTTTTTTTTTTTTTTTTTTGAGATTACATAATACATATTATGCAACATCATCTTGATCTAATAGCGCCGCATTGTAAACAAGACATTGTGTTCGTTTGTTAATATGAATTAATAATAAGATTATCTTTAATACTTATTTCGTGATGTAATTTTATACATATATGTATATTTTTTTTTTAATTTTGATTATCTAACAAATAAAAAAAAAAAAAGGTACAGTTATTAAGGAGAGGAAAGAGAGAGAGAGAAGAAAAAAATTTTTTTTTTTTTTTTACTTCTTTTTCCTCGTCCCTTTTTAATTTATTTATTCAGGAAATTAGACCACGTGAATGATCATCATGTAAAGGAAAAAAAAAAAAGAAAAAAAAGACAGAAAATAAAAAAAAGACAGAAAATAAAAAAAAAAGACAGAAAATAAAAAAAGAAAAAAAAAGAAAAAAAAAGAAAGAAAAAGAAAAAAAAAAAGAAAAAAAAGAAAAAAAAAAAGAAAAAAAGAAAAAATAAACAGAAAAAGAAAAAAAAGGGGAGAAGAAAAATGCAGAAAGAAGGGTATAACGTTAAGAGAAGGATGAGTTGCGCTTAATAGGGGTAAAATAAATGAATAATAACAACTTCAACACGGTTTTATAAACTATGCATTTTTTTTTTCCTTTTTCTTTTCATACATGATAGACTAAAGGATTATTGTCTTGTATCATGATAGAATTATTAAAATGAAAGTCTACATAAGGTATTATATCAACATGACTATATTGATAGTACTGAGAGGCAGCATATACTAATTAAGATGAAAAAAAAAAAGAGTGAGTACTTTCTCTCTCTCTGTATATATATATATATATATGTTTCTTTCGTTTGTCAACATACCGAATAGACTTGGTAACCAGGAAATAGCATTTCTTGGTTTAACAAGCAAATGATCCTGTTGAATCTGTCTTCTAAATTCATAATATTCATTTGTATTCAATAGAGTATTTACAAAATCGAGAGGGGTTCCAAGATTAGAGACTAATCCTAAATTGGCGCCTGCCTTCAATAATCTTTCAATGACTTGAGTTGCTCTTGACCTTAAAGCAAAATGTAGAGGGGATAGTCCATTTTGATCTTGAGAATGAACAAGGGATGGGTTTCTTTCAAGTAAAAAAAGAGTAAGCATAGGAAAATTAAGATGAGCAGCAAGATGAGCCAAATTCTGTCCTCCTTTATTTGTTCTTTGAACTAAAAGGGAATTATTGATCATTAACTGATGTTGTAAGAGGATATGGATGATGTGTTGCTCTTCTTTTTCTTTATCATCGTATTGATGATAAGGGTATGTCATGGTATCTTTAGCAGTCTTTAATCCAATCATTTGCAATGAAAGATCCATCATATCTTGATGTCCTGATTCATAATAATTAAATAAAGGTGGTATAGGATCCATTGGCCGGAGAGGATGTTCCTTAAAGGTAACAGCAACGGGGCCCTCTCGTCCTTCAACAACAGGTGGTAAAATACATACAAGAGAGCTTGGACTGCAATTTAAAATAGTAGCAGCACGATTACCAAACATCAATGTTAATCCTTGGTAAAAATTTTGACCTAGAACCGTAATCTTAAAGCCACCTGTAGATGGACCGCTGGAAGGTATGAGTTGAGATAAGATAGGCAAGTCTTGAGGGAGACGAGCAGGAAGACTGATAGGTGAGATAGTGGAAGGAGTTGAATATGCGGTATAAGAAGTAGTAGAATAAGGATGATGAGAATAGAAGAGAGAATAATCTATTGGTATGTTAACTGAGGGATAATATGTGTCCATGAATGTCTCTTCAAATTGAGGATATTGACAGGATAAAGAAGGAATAAATGAATCAGCTATTTTTGTATTTTGTGATAAAGTGAGATTCTCGTTATGCAGCGAGTTTGTTGACGTTGACGTTGACGTTGACGTTGACCTTTCCGATATCGATACCGGAACCTGAATTCTATTCTCATTATCGCTATTTGCTATCGTCTGAAACATTCTATTTTGCCAGTTGTTGTTGTTGAATGAATTTGTAGGAGTTCTCGGAGACATACTTCCCTTCAACTCTTCACCTCCAGGGGTCATCAGAGGAGAAATGGTTGAGAAATGGCCAAGGATAGAGGGAGTGGATGCTGTACTAGAAGGAAAACAGCTTGAGGTAACAGAAGAATACATGGGGTTTACATTATCTTTGGATTTATCTCCGTGATTGCTATTGTATTTTTGACGACGAGAAACATGGGTCATCTGTGCATAATTATGGTTATTTTGTTCAACTTTTTTAGATCTTGTTCTATGTCTTTTTCTTATAGTAGAAATGATAGTATCACTACTAATAGAAGGGGTACGTGATTTTGAACTCTTATGATCATCTGTAATCATAATCGGAGGCGATTCACCCGTAGCGACAACGATACCTTTATTACTCCGTAAGGCAAATCGGATACTAATATATAAAAATATAAAATATATATATATATATATATATATATATAAATACATATATGGATATAAATATATATATATGGATATAAATATATATATGTGTATATAAATATATATATATGTATGTATATATATGTATATGTATATGAATATTTTTATATCAATATTAAAGTTTACTCTATACATCAGATAATATTTACCGAAAACCTATGCGTTCATTATGATGGCGACAATAACATGTAATACGAGTAGGCAAAGTAATAGAGTCAGTTGAAAAATTTAAAAGAGGATCACAATTAAATAAAAGAATACGTTGTCTCTCACGTTCGAATGCTTCATCCATTCTAATAGAGTTTAAATCATAAATAGAATGTTTAGAGTCCTTTTTTCTTTCAGCACGCTTACGCTATTGATTTTTTTTTTTTATTTTTTGTATAAATACATATACATATATGTATATTTTAAGAGTTAAATAATAAATACATTGTAAATATATAACAATATCTATGTATTTACCTCTCGACGAACACAGCCTTGACACATTTTAATTTTTCTTGTTTCATCGCTTTCACATACTACACGAGCCTCTAATTGAAGAACTTTTGATTCATCTGACACAATTGTGGCAGCGCTACCATAATGTAGTTTTTGCTGTTGACTTTTTTTTAATTTTGATCTTGCGAGTAAAGAATTTGGAATTTTAATATGTGTCCAATAATAAGGAGCTTTAGTGCCGTCCTTTGTTGTAAGTGAAATATTAAGTTTGATTTGTGTTTCTACGCGCGATTTTGCACCCTGTTCAGGAATGCCTTCTACACAAATTTTTAAACTTTCACTAAAATCGAGCATATATTATATTGTATATACAAAAGAAAAAGAAAAAGAAAGAAAGAAAGAAAGAAAGAAAGAAAAGGTCAGTTACTTGTTCCTATTTTTTTTTTTTTTAAGTATAAGCTTACTTTATGTCACTATGTTCTGATGTTTCACTTCCATTCTCCACTATGGACCTATTCAAATCATGAAAATCAAATGTGTAAGATAGAATTCTAAAAAAAATATACACATAAATATAAATATAGACATCGGGGAATAATAAAAAGCGATATATAAAACTTTGGTATTTTAATGCCGATTCCTTATTTTTATCTAGATATCGCAGAAAATATGATACATCCCTCTCCATATTTTTTTTTTCTAAAAAGAAAACTTACGTATTAAAAAGTTGGTTTTCAGAAATGAACTATATAAAAAAAAAAACCACACGCACACACACACACACATATATATATATAGCAAATGAATATATTTATCTTATTTAATACTCATTCATTTTTTTTTAAAAAAAAAAAAAAAAAAAAAAAACCTCACAAGAGAAGAAGAATAGTTTTGTGTATTTGATTGATGTTGTGATGGTGATACTGAAATCAGTTTAGGTGATATAGGTGGTGATAATTGTATGTTTAATTTGTTAGTATTAGTGCTATGTTGTGAGAAATAAGAGTATGTAATGGTATTCATAATAGATCAAATAGATATATTCAATCGTATATAGGATATCAAGAAATAATAAAATAGAAAGAATCAGATGTCATTCTTGACTTTAAATATACAAGAAAAATAGGAATAGGTGCCGCTGATGATATTTAAAAAAAATATTATATCTATAAAGGCGGAAACCAAACCAAGCTTGACTGATAATCAACTTTTTTTTTTCCTTGTATTATAGAACAATGTAAGACATATAAAAGTTTCAGAAAAAAAAAACAAGGTTCAAAATAAAATTAAGTAAAAAAGAGTAAGCTCCTCTATATTAAAGTTAATATTATTGATCTAGTAATAATATTTCCTTAGCAAAAAAAAAAAAAAAAAAAAAAAAAAAAGAAAAACTGGCTATAAAAATATATTTTGTGTTTTTATCTTTATTTTTTATTTTTTATTTTTTATTTAAAAAAGAATATTATAGCGTCACTTGTATCTTAAACATAAACATTCACGGTAAATAACACCTCAAATGATGACATATAAAATCGTAATACTATCTTTGTTCTTTCATATATATTAAATTAAAATTATTTTTTTTAGAATACGATATACTATATTAGTAAGCTGTAATTTCATTGAGGAAATAAGAGATCTTCATCCTCATAATAATAAGCTACAACTCCGCAAATACGTCTTCTTTCTCTTTTAAATCCGTATAATATTGTATGTTTCATTTAATAAACTTTAAGCAATCTGCTCACTTTTTTTTTTCTTCTAAAGAAACAAAAAAAAAAAAAAAAAAAAAAAAAAGGAGGACGTGGTTTTTGGTATTAGCTTATTAATGATTTTTTCACTTTTTATAGTATTTCACTTATTATAATGATAACCAGTTAAATTGTACATTTACATATATTTCAGAGAGGTAATATGCATCATTAAACGTATATGTGCTTCTAAGCACTTTAGAAGTCATTGAACTCTTTTTAATAAATAAATTCTTTTATTTATTTATTTGTTTGTCAGGGAGGATAAAAAGCTAAGTTAAACTAAACTAAACTAAAAAAAAGAAGGGGAAGGGAAGAGTGAAGAGTAGGCTGAGTAGAGTAGGTAGGTAGAATAAAGTAGTTTAGAGTAGTAGAGAGTAGAAGGTAAGAGATGAGGGTTAGGGTAAAAAGAAAGGATTCAGTACAACTAAGGGCATATAGTGGATGAACCATTTGATGGCAGCATTAATGGTTGTACAATAAAAAAATTTATTATATCTCCGATTTATCGAGCTGATAAAAATAACAAGTGATCTACATTTGATTCAAACAATTTTTTTTTTTTTTTTTTTTTGGTAAAATATAAAATATTTCAATGTAAAAAAAAAGGGGGTGGTGGTGGTGGGGAATAAGTGCTAGCTTTTTAATGCTAATCAAGTATGCAATGGCCATAATGATCGAAAATATCTCATTTTATGGAAGCATTTCACAATTGTTATTATTCGGGCTAGTTCCATTATTCTTTTCTCGAATAAACATAGTGTATTTTTATTGACGCTCACGTACCTTTGTCTAATATGTATAGTAACTATGAGTTTTACAAACTAAATTACTATGATTAGTGAAGCTTACTAGTATTTATTACGTAGAGGGTAATAATAATTAAAAAAAAGAACATAAACAGGTGAAAATAAAAAGACACTGAAGCTTCTTATTAAAGTTAGCATGATAGATGTTTAGTTTAATATAAGAGTGTTTAAAATGAAATGATATGTTTCAATTGTATCCGTGAAGAATCGGACATACTATCGGTCAAATGAAGAACCAATGGCTATACATATTTTGAAATTCGAATAGATGTGTGGGAGATGATTAACTAATTTCCCATAACAGATGCTTATAAGTTAACTACACTTGAATAATAAAAAAAAAAGACTGGTTAATAGAGACTATTCAGCTTACACTTAAAAAGACTTTTAGCTTCCAACTATTTAAAGTCATGTTTAGACCATACCATGTATAGTTGAATCTGGGTCGTAAAGACACGCCTATGTTTCATATTATCGAAACTATCGACTAATAAGTATTTATCTATTTCTTTCACAGTCAAAGGACAAAAAAAAAATTGATATAAAGATGATTGAAGCTAATGATATTCCTGAGGCAAAAATAAAAATAAGAGATTACCATTCTTAGTTTCAGATCATTTGTATAATGACTTACTGCAATTATTTGATAATATTAAAATAGTTGAGATTCGTTATCAAAACTACCATGATTATCATAAAGCTATTTATAAAAGTATTAAAAGATACAATAAAAAGAAATGCCAAGCAAAAGAGGCTTAAATACTGCTTAATAGTCAGTTAAGCTAACATACAATAAAACAGTACAAGTAAGAGACAGTATGATTACTCAATTACCATACTAATCCTTCCAGAAGGACAAAGGTTATATAATTGTACACACTCATTCTAGAAGATTCCTAAATTCATTAAAAAGGGATACAACATCAGATACGGATAGAGATATTTAATTTTTTTCTTTCTTTCTAGAATTGATTCAAGAAAATAGAAAGTTTAACATGTGCAAGCCATTGATGGAATATTCTGTATATGTTATACTCAATGGAGACAAGAAGCAAGAAGAATAAAAGATGATTATCCTAACCTCCTTCTAGGATCTTAAACAAGTCATGCATTTATTTAGGTTATTGATCCAGGAATTTATATACAAATGAAACCATAGCTATGAAGGGTCAGCTACATTCAGAAGAACAACTTACTACTAACCAAGTATGATTGGTAAGACTCTCTCGCAATCTTTATGTTATTTAGTGTGATACTTTTTTTTGTGTTCTGTATCAAAAATATTGAAATCAATTTTTACTCCCTCCCCCCCAAGACGTTTATTTATCCCTTTAAGTCATCCTAAAGTTTCTGTCTCCACAATGTAAATAAGACTCCTTTCACTAACTGTGTCATAGTCACACTTTTCTTCTTTGTTACCTTTGATTCCAAAGAGGCATTTTTTTTATTAGTAGCTTCTCCCTTTATTGGTAACTCAATCTTGGCAGCAATCCTGATGAAATTTAATCTCTTGTGCCCACTTGGGGGTTTTAAATATGTGTGTATTCTATTGTTAGATGTAATCTAGACACACGCACTATTTCCCACGAATAACAAATGTTGTGTCTTCACATGGAACGTTATTTAAATATACTTTTTTTTCTTTTTAAAGTTTTTTTTTATTTTTGTATTTTACTTTACTACAAAAAAGTAAGGCAGTTGTTATTTACAAAAACAATCATCAGAAGATGAAACTTAAAAATAAAATTTTATATTAGTTTCGAAAGGCGTCATTTATTTTTTTTATTTTTTTTTTTAAATAAAAACCCGCAATATTTTTTTTTGATAATGTCTTCTTCTAATCGTCTAAAACAAATTACTCATCATTTAACAACCAACATGACGGGTGAGTAAAATAAACAAACAAACAAGCGCGCATACTTATCTTTCTCTGATGTTGAATGTTTAAAATTGCTTTATAGAATTAGGTTCAATCTCTATCTTTAAAGAAGTTCCTCAAGCTCCTCCTGATGCCATCTTTCATTTGACTGCACAATACAAGGCAGACACTAATCCTAATAAAATTAATATCGGTGTTGGTGCTTTCCGTACTGAAGAATTAAAACCTTATATTCTTCCTGTTGTCAAAAAGGTATGAAATAGTCCCCCCCTTTTTTTTTAATAAGTTGTATTATTAACTAACAGTTTATTTTATTTATTTATTTTTTGTTTTTTTTTTTTTTTTAAAAAAAAGGCTAAGGCTATTTTACATAATGATGAGACACTTGATCATGAATATTTACCTATTGCCGGTACAAAATCATTTACAAATGCTGCTGTAAGATTAATTTTGGGCGAAAATAGTCCTGCTATTAAAGAAAACCGCTTTGCTGGTGTCCAAACTATTTCTGGCACTGGTGCTAACCATACAGGAGCCATGTTCCTTTCTCACTTTTATCATAAGAGCAAGAAATGTTATATTTCAAACCCTACTTGGGGTAACTTCATATAATACAAATATGTATATAAATATTTATATATTTTATAGTGTGTGTATACTTACTTATTCTGAATTTTTCATTGTTAGCAAACCATCGTAGTATTTTCTCTTTAGTTGGCTTTGAAGTAGAGGAATATCCTTATTGGAACCCAGAGACCCGCGGTTTAAATTATGAGGGATTATTACAAACCATGCGTACTGCTCCTGAAGGTTCTATTTTTGTTCTTCATGCCTGTGCTCATAACCCAACCGGTGTTGATCCTACTCGTGATCAATGGAAGGGTATCGCTGATGTGATGCGTGAAAAGAATCATTTCCCTTTCTTTGATTGTGCTTATCAAGGTTTTGCTTCTGGAGATTTAGATAATGATGCTTGGGCAGTCCGTTATTTTGTTGAACAAGGATTCGAATTATTCGTTTGTCAATCATTTGCAAAGAATTTTGGTCTTTATGGTAAGTGAGTGAATGAATAAAGTGAGTGAGTGAATAGAGATGAATTAAAAAAAAAAAAAAACGAATCTCCTTTATTGTATATTAGGTGAGCGTGCTGGTAATTTAACTATCGTTGCCAAGAGTCCTGAGGATGCAAATCGTGTTTTATCTCAAATTGAAAAATTACAACGTGCAGAGATTTCTAATCCTCCCGCTTTTGGTTCACGTATTGTTGATATCGTCTTGAATGATAAAGCTTTATATCAAGAATGGACCGAAAACTTGAAATATATGTCACATCGTATTATTGAAATGAGAAAGGCCCTTCATCATCATTTAGTTGAACTCAAGACGCCTGGTACATGGAATCATATCACTGATCAAATCGGTATGTTCTCCTTTACTGGTCTGAAGACACCACAAGTGAAAGTACTTCGAGAAAAATATCATATTTACTTGACTGATAATGGCCGTATTTCAATGGCTGGTGTCTCTAGCACCAATGTTGCTTATTTAGCTAAAGCTATTGATGATGTTGTTCGACATGTTTCTGTATAATGGAATTATAAAATAAATAAAAGGAAACTATCATTTCATTTTACATCATTTTATTTTATCTTTTTGATACGTTCATATCAAAAAAAAAAGGAAAAGATATAGTCAAATGAATCTCATTTGATTATTTAAGATAGGATATGTATATGTATATATGCGTATGTATATACACACATATATTGTAATATAATAAGAAGGATAACAACAACAATAAAACATAAATATATGAATATAGATGTATACATGTATATATACATATATAGATAGTATAAATAGTTAGAAAGAAAAGAATTATTATTGACATATACGCTTATTATTCGTTATTATTTCATCTTCATGACAGGCTCTTTTGGCTCCTATAGAAAGGATATCAAAAGAAATACCTGAATCAGTCCTTTGATAGGTTAATTTATCTTGAGAAGAAGGAGGTGATAGAGGTGCTGTAATAGTTGTTGCCGAGTTATTTTCATCAAGAGGCGGTGAAGGATATTGTGCAATGACATTAGAACGAACATTGACAATCTTTGTTTCTTGCTGTTGGTTTATTGAAGATGATATAGAATTATTGTTATTATTATCGTGATGATATTCGGGTGAAATTGACGATGATTTGTATCCTTTCTGAATATGACCATGTATTTGTGTATACCATTTATCAAATGTAGGCTTACTAATATAAAGACGATAATCGATCAATTTAAGAAATGCCATTTCCGCAGCATTAATCTCTGAGATCTTGAGTCCAGTAATTTTGGCCCATGCTTTGTTGTGATAATTCTTGTCATGAAGATATTTAGAGGAAACCATAAGTGAAGCTAAAAACATACGTCTTCCACAACAAATCATATCATCCAATGCATTCGTGTTAGAAGGTGTTTCAAGACGTTGACACAGCTTTTCATGAATTAATTTCTTAACTCGAAAAATATAAAAAAGACTAAGTTGAACAGTGGTGTAAGTTACTTTAGATCGCTTAAGAATTTCACTGCAAAATGCTTTTGTAGGAATAACTTTAGTTTTAGGTTGTCCAAGCTGAAATTTTATGTTCCAAATTGAATCAATTACGTTTGCATAAGTTTCTGTGTAAAATAAGAGAAATGAATATTGCATTGCATATACACATGTATAAAGAAAAAAGAAAGCACCATACAGCGATGAAAAGAAAAAAAATTTGCTATCAGTCAGATTTCTCTAATTTGGACAAATAGCTTCTGTTTTCCAAATTTTCGTAGTTGCTTTCTTTTTTCTATAGAGGACACTTACCGACTAATCTTTCAATCATGAAAGTACGTTCTTGACGAGACGAATCCATAAATTGGATATACTTTTCACAAGGTCGTTCTTCAAAATATTTACAATCATTTGAGGAGGGAGTAATCATGTTGTTTATACCAGCATTTGCTGCGGACAAAATATGTCCATTTTCCATGTTGGTTTGTAAATCATTTGCCATTTGTTCCAACTTACAAAAAAAAAAAAGGTATTGTTTTTTTTTCTGTAAATATGCAGTGCGATAGTTATAAAGAAAGAAAGGATAAGTTTTTTTTTTCTTTTTCTTTTTGCTTGGTGGATTTAGAAAGAAAAGAAAAGAGAAAGAGATGGAATGATTAGAAATAGTGGTCAAAAAAGCTAGTTAATTTGTGTAATTGGAGAATATATAAAAAAAGGAAATTAAAAAAAAAAATAAGAAAGGTATGTTTTAAGTGGAGATAGTATTATAATGAGAAAGAATGTTAAGTTTATAAAAGAGTCTCTTTAATGAAGACAGCTGTACATATGATAATGTAAAAACAAGTATAAATTAGTGAGAAAAGAAGTTTTTAGAAAGTTATCAAAAATAGGCTGTTGTTATTGTTGTTGTTGTTGAATTATAAATTCGAATTGATTAATGGAGCTTTTTTGTTGTTGCTGTTATTTTTCTTTTTTTTCTTTTTTTTTTTGTTTTTTTTCTTTTTCGTAGTAGAAAAAAAATTGTTACGCAGTTCAAGGAAGAAAAAAAAAATAATCTCACCATTGGTTCTCTTTTTCTCTTTTTTATAATTGTCCCCACAACCAATCATATCGTGGCGCAGCAACAAAATAAAATCAGAGGCTGTGACGCAATATTCATTATCTTTTTTTACTTTTCATTTTTTTTTTTCATATATTATTAATGCTTGCAATCGTAGAATTTAAAACAATCTTGATGAATGATTTTTTTTTCTTATAATTAATTATTAAAAACTCTAATTAGCCTTTATTATTCTAAATCAGCTTGAATTATAAATCGTATATGTTTATCTGTATTTCCAAATTCTCACGTTGACAGATTATATGGTTCTTTCTCTTGTTGACTGATATAACAATATTAAACTATTCAATATATTTCTACGATATTCAATGCATTTCAAACCCTTTTTGTGTGGGGTAGTTACAAAAGAAAAAAAAAAGCGAGTTAAAGTTTTATATGCATGTAGATTCTATTATAAGCAATTAAATATAAATTTATTTTTATTTATTCTGGTATTGAAGATAATTCTTCTTTCTCTTCTTCATTATTATTAGGAAAACAAAGAACTCTGCCTTTGACTAAGGGCTCAAATCTATTTGAAACTTTAACCACAAATGGTGGACATATACAAAAAGTAATTATGCCGCTCGTTTGTCCATCTACATCTTCCATTAATTGTTCATCAAATGGTTGTACTCCTTCTCTTACGTCTACTGCTGTTATACATATTTCTTGTCCTTTAATAGCTGATCCTAAATTCATTGTATATTCTACTAATTTACGTAATTTTTTACTAAATGTATTTGTCTTTTTTTCCTCTTCTGTAAAAAAGCTTGGATAAGCCTTTTGTAGTCCACGATATAAATGATGCCAATTACGATCTGCTGACTTTTTCCATGTTGCTTGAATATCACCGTGACCTTGCTCCTTATTATTCTGCACAACTAGCATCGATAATTCCTGACGTAAACGGGTCGGAAAAAAGGATGAAGGATCGTGATGTTCAAACCATTGTTGTAATTCCAAAAACTCTGAATTACAAGACAGACCTGGAAAGATATGAATATTTAAGTTTTGAACAAGGACATCCATCATGAATTTTTCTGTCAGCATTTGGGTACGTTCTGCACTTAAAGGTTTGCCGAGTCGGTCTATAAACGGGCCGAGATTAAGCCAGAGTATACTTAGATTTTCTCCTGTCTTATAGGGTTCTGCATAAGGTAAAAGTTCAGCTGCTAGGAGTTGAATCTGTTGTCTTAAATAAAGTAATTTTTGCGCAATACTTTGTGGATCATCATCAGATGAGCGAACTGACTTGAGATGAAGTTGATAATTCTTTTGAAGTATATCCATATCAGTTGTACGTTGCTTAATTTTTTCTTTTATATTATTTAATTGCTCTGTTAATGTATTTACATCGGATGAATAGAGAGCCTTTTGTGCATCCAACTCTTTAAGCACATTACGCTGTTGCTGAATTAGCTGTTGAATATTAAAAGAATGTTGGCTTTGAATAGAGGTTGTTTTTGTTAATTTTAAATGAGCAGAGCCTAGTAATTCTATCTTAGTTCTGAGACATAATAATAATAATAATAATAATAATAGTAATAGTAATAAAAAGGAGTGAATAGATGTGTACCTGAATCATTATCATTTATAGATAATTGTTCTAAATGAGATTTTGTATCGGATACTTCTAACATGTTTTGTATACTTAAATGAGAACTGGTGATGCTTGTAGTACTTTGATAAGTAGGTTGTTTTGATAATGTTGAATCTGACAGCGTTAATGAAAATACAGAAGGTGTCATTGACTTTTTTTTAGGCTTTTTTTGAAATAATCTAGAAATTCGACTCATTGTTTTATTTTTTGAATTTGTTGCTAGTCTTTCATCACTCATCATTTGTTGTTCATTCATCATTTTTTTTTTTTATTTTTTTTATTTTTTATTTATATGTGTATATTTTTATTTTTATTTTCGATAAAAAAAGAAAAGTTCGTTCCTGTATAAATGGAACAATAATAATAATAAAAAAGGAGTTTACAGGTGATACAGTGCGTCCGCCGTCAATTGGACAAAATTTTGAAATAGCTGGTCAAATTTTTGAATAAATTTGCCTACATTTTTTGAAACTCAGTTGGTCATTTGCTTGAAATTCATTTGGTCATTTTATTGAAATTTAATAGATTATTTTATCTGAGGTATATTTTGTTTTTTTTTTATACCATTATTTCGAGATTATTTTTCAAATGAGCATAAATATTTTTTTATAAAGATGGTGCTGGTAATCTCATTTATGAACAAGGCAAGCAAGCAACAACATATTTTGAAGAAAAGTCATTTCGTTTGAAAAGATTAACACATCTCTGAAAATACATTGAGAATAAGGATCTCCAATTTGAAACGATCAGTTCGGACGACACAGTCATGAAAGAGGCTAGTCCAAAGAAAGAAAGACCTCTCGAGTATAATGTTTATACAATAGAAGACTGTAGACGTTACTTTTATTTTTTGAAAGAAAAACTCATAAAACCAAAAGATACTGCCATAGCCGTAAATGTAAATTATAAAACCGCGCGCAAATGGAAAAAGGCTTACGAGGATGATCCGGAAAGGAAGATTCCTATCAAAAAGACGAACCTGAATCCTAACAGACCAGTCAGTCAACTTAACGAAGCTCATAAGGTCTATCTAACCAGTTTTTTTGATGATGACTCAACTGCAACAATCCAGGACGCAGTCGAAAGCTTGATAGCCAACTTTGCTGTCTTAGAAATAAAAAAAAAAACAAGAGCAGCCAAGTTCATGAAGGAAGAATGTAATCTCAGCATCAAACTTATTAACCGACACCCTCTTGCCAAAAACAAAGATAAAATTCTTAAAGCACGTACTGAATGGGTTGAGAAATGGATCAGCAATGGCGTCAATTATCTTGACAATTGTATATTTGTTGATGAGTCTGGGTTTGATATTAATATGCGATGTAGTCGTGGTTGATCACAACGCGGTACGAAAACAACTACCACAACTCCCTCCACTAAGGCTATCTTACATACTGTTCTTGGTGCAATATCAGCTAATGGTGTCGTCAATGTGAATATGCGAGAATTTGGAAATATTAAGAGAAGGAAAGTTATAGGGGCCAAAAAAAAAAAAAGAAAGGCTCCTAAAGATAAATTAGCTGTTCCCAGTGGCACTACTGGTGATCATTATCTTTTGTTTCTTAACGATACTATGGATATTATGGATGAGTTCCCAGAAATGAAAGGATTTTTTATTGTTATGGACAGTGCTCCAATTCATGTTCCTGCTATGATTGACCCTATAATTGTAAGTCGGGGCTATAAGCCATCATACCTTCCTCACTACTTGCTCGAACTCAACCCAAGAGAACAATTTTGGGCTATTCTTGAGAGAAAAGTAAAGCGAAGTAAACTTAATGACGTTGATGCGCTTACTTTAAGAATTATTGAGGTTAGTGAAGAAGTATCTGTTGAGCATCTTCAAAATATTATTCAACATTCCGTAAACCAGTTTAGCAATTGCTTGAATAGGATCCCTCTATAACTTTCCCTTAACATTACTTAAGGTCTAATAATTTTCAAAAAAAAAAAGTGATCTATTGAATTTCAATAGAACGACCAAATGAATTTCAAGCAAATGACCAACTGAGTTTCAAAAAAGCGGGCAAATTTATTCAAAAATTTAATCATATTTTTGAAACTCAATTGGCCATTTTTTTGAAATTCAATTGGTCATTTTTTAGAGATTCATTTGGTCTACAGTATCGTTTATTTTTAAACTAAATCCATTTCGTAAGCCGTTCTAATACAAAAGATTCAAAGATGAGTATATTTATTAGGCTGTGAACAGGTGTCATTATTAGGAATCTAATCCAAAAATAACAATTGTCACCATTGTACAGTGCTTACCACCCCTTTGCGTTACAACGTTCCATTTATTTAAAATTTAAACGAGAAAAAAAAATTTTGTTAGTTTTGGTTTATAAACCGAGTTGCAACCCAAGCAACGATTACAACGTAACCTGATTGGCCATAAAATGATTGATCCTTATTTCACTTTCATGATCTTCTAGTTCCATTTCAAGTTAACGAGAGTATAGTAATTTGTTCACTTTATAAGAATTCATGAAAAATTTGATATTTTATATGTATTCTCTAGCTTAAACAGCGTTTGATTGTTTACCTCAAAATAGTACACGTTAAAAGTTTCCAGCGATTATAAAAGACACATATTGGAACTTCTGGATGTATGTTATGAATCAATTATTCAAGAGATACAGTAAATACTAATTTCGTGAAAGAAAAATCTGATTTTTTGTCTATTTTTGACCCCCTTATCGTATTAATGTCAATATTGAATAAACTCGACATTTTATACTCTTACAAAGTATTTTTAATTGTTCTATGCTTTAATTACGAACAAGAAAATGTATATTCACTCCAAAACATAGTTCTTTATGGTTGAACTATTATGTGCAACATATTTCACAAGAGACAAATTTATATTTCTTCGTGCATTATTTCACAAGATCCTGGAGCTCACATGCCAAATATCACAAAACTTCCTTATCAGTTTTAACCAACATGCTAAGGGCGCTCCATCATCTCCCCCGTAACTTTATTCAAGTTCTTCCAAACGCTTCTATCACTCTCGCTTTGCCTTTAGTTGATGTCTGGCTTTTGAGTAAACAATCTCCACTTATGAAGAAGCATCCTGGATACAAAAAAATTAGCCACATCGGAATTCTTTTACATCAATGACCAATGTTTAATTACCCGCAAAGATTATAAAGATCCTCCTCATCCTAGATTGAAGAAAGCCTTCTTTGATGCTATTGACAATAGGATGATATTTATGGAACTTTTCTTCGCCAGAGTAGCATGGCTTTAGCTTACTACTTCCCCTCACACCCCGGAAACTATTGATTACTCCCCTTTTGTTTGGGCTCTGGGTACTTCAACCGATGATAACAACCCTCTTCCTGCTACCAAACCTGAATTACCTCTTAACAAACAAGAGCCGAAAAGAACGACGAATATAATACTATAAACGTTATTATGACAATTATCCACGTCCGTCTGATAATATTCACTCAAAGTATTGGAAAGATTTCTGGAACATTGATCTTCATCATACAACAAGGAATGTTTAGTTCCGTCTTATCCATAACAAGATCCCTAATGCCACCCTCATGAACTCGTGGATGCCCCATTCCTTTGTTAACCCATATTGTCATTTATGTTACATTAAATACCACACTCCTAAGTTGCCACCTTTGATAACAAACAATCATCGGTTTTTCGATTACCTACAAAGTCGTTATACATGGGAAATAATATGGCAAAAAGTGTTTAGCTACCCTCTTCTATCCCATCAAACATCAAAGACTTTGTTTACAAACTTGAATCGATGCCATACACCTCGGCCAAAAAACCTCTAGTGAAATCCCTCGACACCTTGCAAGTTATAGGCTGTACACTACAAGCTATATGGACTTCACATTGACAATGGACATTCCGTCGCCATAAGCAATCTCCGTCTGTTACCATTTCTTCTATACTTCGTTCCCTCATTAATTTAGTGAAAGAAAAAGATCTAGGTTAACCCTTATACTCCCTCCCCTCATTTTACAAAAAGTCGTGTGACTTTATTTCATCAATTTAAATATTGCTAATTATCATATGACTATAAATAAAAGGCTTGTCCCTTCATCTAAAAAAAAAAAGTTTTCTCAGTGTATTTTTGTTACAAGCATTTCAATCATTTTGTGACTGTTTTAGCAAGATAAAGAGGTCACATATAAAGTCTACGTAATGATTTATTTGATCTTTTTCCCATGGGTTTAAGAGAACTTTCTTTTTGCTACTTAATTTCTGACAATCTGGTATAATGAAATGAACATGCAATATTAAAAAAGATGTACCTTGTGTTGTAAATCCTTTTTCAAGAGGTGACTAGTGGGGCGACATCCCTGCGTCACGAACTTCTATATGTTTCCATATTTGAGTTGCATGTTTTAGTTTGGGTTGCGCAAAAGGTCTTCACATCTCACTTGTTCTTTTTTTTTTTAATTTATAGGATCTTTTATGATGTAAATCCTTTTTCAAGAGGTGACTAGTGGGGCGACATCCCTGCGTCACGAACTTCTATGTGTTTCCATATTTGAGTTGCATGTTTTAGTTTGGGTTGCGCAAAAGGTCTTCATGAGAAGATGGTTCATGCTAATGTCATACAGCTTTGATGGTTTATTCTCTTCAATCTTGCAACAACTTGTAATGGTCTACAAACGAAGATAGCTGTTATTAGTTAGATCGTGCTTATACTGTGGGACGCTTACTGTTAATGATTTCAAACTGCCAAAATTACTCAAAAATAAACATTTCAATTTCGTTTATGCCATATTTGAAGATAAACAATAAAATAAAAGTTATATTTCTTCTTTTTGTTGTACAAATTAGTACTTCTACAGTAAATTTCTTTAACAATTAACTGTTGAAAAACATCATTAAACAAAAATAACATCTGGTCAATTTTGTCATAATACAATGAAGTTTACTACTAAATATTGAAGCGTTAATGATGCCCTATTCTTGCATGTGAGTAGCTAACTCATTCAAGATTCTGAACATTTAAGTGACATATAAGGTGTGTAGTAAAGTCAGTGGTATAAGTGGACAAGACATTATGTCCTGAAAGGGGAAGTTTATTCATTTATAAAAATAACCAATTCCCAGAGTATACACTTTTCTTAATTGTACACATTTTTTTTTAGGAATGTAAGTAGAAAAACCTGTATTTTCTGTATCTTGTTCTATCACAACATAATATAATAATAGTCATTTCGACTAAAGAGATCATTAAAACCAGTACTGCATTGATTCATATCGGTCTACAATTGAATATTGTTTGCACCACACATCTTTTTTTTTTTAGGTAGCCAAAATTAATCATAAAGCTTGACTGAACAAGTATTGACAATCCTTTAAAACTTATTACTATCCTACAATAAATATAGTTTTTGCTTGATCTTTTTTATATCTTCATTTTTACAATAGTTCGCTAAAGTTCCTCTATAAACAGACAGTATGTTATCATTTGACAGCTGAAGCCTATTTCCTTCCGCTAACTTGAAGAAGCATTTGATGATCACCTGATGTGAAGTTGGAAGCTTTACTACTAGTTTAAGTTTTCTTTTAAACATAAATAATTTAATGTCATTTTTCATATCTGGAAACAATTTTGTCTCTGCTAACAATTTTAAAGTGAACTGAATGTCATTTTTAGAGAATTCTCCATCAACGATCTTCGATAGTAAAAATGATGCAACAGATGCCATGTTGACTATTCTTCCAAACTTGTACACTTCCAATGGATTTGTTGTATGGAACCCTTTTTTTACGAATTTTGATGATTTGAAGAGCCACCTTTGCTTTGCTGCAGACTTATTATATTGTTGTAGTCTTCTTGTAGTCTGAATAGTGGCGCAGGGGATTGTTTTAATTATTACATTTTTTGTACTAATTTTTGTTCCTGAATTGACAGGCCGCAAAGGTTGCAAAGCTGATCCAAGAAATGGAATAACGGCATCATCAGAATAGTTACCGCGAAAACCTCCTGTTACTAAGAATTCAAGGCGATCCCAAAACATACATGTTTCTGTCCATGAGTGCCCTTTTTCGTTTTTTTTTATTTCATATACTTCTAATTCGTCTGGATACATTAACCAAAAAGAATCTTGAGCACAGTCATCGATGTATCGACAATTACGAACATACATTTCATATTCTGTGACCATTATCCAGTGATCATCAAACTGAATAATACATTCCGCCAATTTATTTGAAAGTTTGCTTGCCATCGTATTAATCTCCTGCAACTCTAAATTTTCTTGCAAGCAAAAATCATCCAAGTCTTTAATTTGAAGCTTTTTATATTCACAGCTTTTTGCTAGATTATTGCTTAAAAGCGCGGCAGGAACATTGGTATTTGGTTGAGCATCTAATGACATTAATTTGCAAAACTCAAGCTTACTTGCTTCATACATTTGCTTCATTGGCCGAAGGGCTTCTTTTATTGGTGAAGGTGTATCTACTGTGAAAATGGTTCTCTTTCTTTTTTTACTATTAAGAAAAAAAGTTAGCATTAGAATGTGATTGAGTATTGTAAACTTGGATTGACTCACTTTAATGACTCATTATCTTCTATGATAATATCTCTCTTTGTAATTGATTGTACGTGCTTCTGCATTATTGTCTTTGAAGTTGAATCACAGTATATTTTTAAATCAATAATTGAAGGTGACATGGGAAAAGTTGCAAGTATTCGTTTAGCCATCATTGGGGGTATTTTTCCCTTTATTGTAATTGATCTCAAACAGTAAAATGTGCTAAGCATTTTTTTCAAGCTATCATAGTTTACGGGATCTTCATCAATAATGACATTAACATTGACTACAGAAGAATAAAAGAAAGATCCAATTGAATGTACACCATTCTTTGAATTAATATTGTATATGATTTCTAGAGGAATGTGGCGTATTTTTTCGTATAAACTTTTACAAAGTGTCGCAATCTTGAAGCGCTCGATCAAAGAAGTATGTTTCAAGACTAGCTCTAAGATTTCAATAAGTAGTTTATCCATAATAACAATTAGGTTAGCAGAAAAAAGAATTCGAATATACTGAGGAAACTATGATTGACTGACCAAAAGTTTGAACACGCTAGGAAAATTTTGATTGGCTGATCAGAAATCTGGAATACAATTTCTCAAAATCTTGATTTTTAAACGCAAGAGACTGTATAATAACAAAAGATCACAAAAGGAAAAGAATCAATTAAATTGGTCTTGATTACTCATGATGTGATGCTTTTAATGTGATAAATAACGGATCCGCTGGTGATAAGCTGATATTCTTTCACTGTAAGTTGGATGTCAAATAGATATAAAAAAAATCGACAGAATTGCTTATTCTGATAACACTGTCATAAGCTGACTTATAATGTCATGTTTCGTGTTTAAACATGCGGATCATAAATTTATTTAAGAAATTCTATCCAAACTCTCTCTTGATCCGCTCCATCTAATAATATTAAAACTACTAACACTTCATTATCTATAACATATCTTATTCGGTCGTAACTAACACTTTTCTGATTCACATCTTATCCTCAGACCTGTTTAACAATTCTTATAAATACGCATCAATTTAAATTCATTATTCATAGATAAAATCATTGACTTCAGAATCATTGTTCGGTCTCGTTGACTCTTTTTGTCAATATTATTTTTTATTTTTTTAATATTTTTATTTGATATTTCAAAAGAAATATCACAGGTTAATTTTTTTTTTGCTCAGGTTAACTTTTTGGTTAACTTTTTGGTTAACTTTTTTTTTTGCTCAGGTTAACTTTTTTTTTTGGTTAACTTTTTGGTTAACTTTTTTTGCTCAGGTTAACTTTTTTTTTGGTTAACTTTTTGGTTAACTTTTTTTTGGCTCAGGTTAACTTTTTTTTTTGGTTAACTTTTTGGTTAACTTTTTTTTGGCTCAGGTTAACTTTTTTTTTGGTTAACTTTTTGGTTATATCATGAGCTGACTTATAATGTCATAATCCTTGATTAAACAAGCGGATCAAAGAATTCATTATCTACAACATATCTTTGTATTTAAAAGGGGTGGAAAATATTACTGTGAATGCAAGTCAAAGATGCTTAAACTGGTTTTCATAGCATACATCAAAGAAGCTAAAATTGTTAATCTTTACAACATCATTTGGGCAAAAGAATGATTTTAAGCACAACATAAGGGAGACTAAATGAGATGCATATTAGTTGCCTAAATAGGAAAAAGAAAGTTGATGAGAATATAAACAAAAAAATGAAAAAGAAAAGACATTTATTTTACTTACTTTTCTCTCCTTTAACATAAACACATTTTATATAGTCATAAAGAAGATATAAAATTGACAACATTTTACTATTCTACATATTGTTACTTTTTATAAGAAAGAAAGAAAATTAAATAATGTAACTGTGTGTATTAAATGTGGGGTAACACATATTCCTATGGATTTCATATGATTGTGACTGTAATTTACAACAACGACCTCCTTGTTCTTATAAAAAAGTAGATATTCAAAGTTATTTTTTCTTCTTTTTCTTCTTTATTATTACTATTTCTTCTGTAGGTAAGTCATTAAATAATACTATTTTATTCTTCTTCTTCTTCCCTGCCCTAGGAGGAAATTCTTTTTCTCATGGTTACCACTTATGTACCGGGCTCTTGATGAGGAAGACACCCTATCTTGCCCTCCTTGAATTAGGAGGACATTGTAGGGTATCTTGTAGATTCAGAGGGCGTTACATATTGTGATCGCTATGGTTTTTCTAACCTCCTAGTAAAAATAAAAAATACAAGAACAAAGAAGGTGCAAAGAATCCTAGCCTCCACGCGGCCACCTTTGGACTGCAGTAAATGTTATTTTTACTGTTGACGAATTGGGGATTCACTTTTTTTATATGAAATAAAAATGAAAATAAAAATAAAATAAATAAATATCTCTTTTTTTTACGTGTCTTTTAATAATCTTGTGCCTTCTTTAACTATTGTTTGTATAATAAAATATCTTTTTGCTCCAAATTGACTTTAAGAAGTATAAAAACAAGTAGAAAAGTTATAAAGTAATTAACATAAAAAATACAGGAAATATAAAATGTGGTGTAGTAGTGATTATTTAAACTATTAACTAATATCTTATCAGAGAAACTATCATAATTATTAGTCTTCCTTTATAATCAAATTATTATTTTTTTTTTAAATTAACTAAGATGAGTACAAAATATTAAAGATATTGAGTACTTATATTTCTTTTATGTATACATATTTCCTTTTTTTTTTTTTTTTTTTTTTTTTTTGGTTCTAGTAAAGCTACTTCAAAATGGGGGCGGATATTTTAAGCAAGCTATATCTAATGTAGAAATAATTTTTGATTCTTTTCTCGAGCAATCTATTTCTCAACGACAGTCATCAGCAAACGAAGGTAAATGATGTTCTAATGTCCCTTATTAATCTCCTTTTTCTTTCTTTCTTTCTTTATTATAATAACGAACACTACTTTGCACTAGTTTTCTACTGAAAAAAAAAAGTATAAGTATATTAACATCATTAGGATTATAAAAAAAAAAGAATCTACATAGTAAATTGTTAAACGACTTTAATACCATTACTGAAATACAGTGTACATAAAAGAAAGAAAGGAAGAGAACGCTACAACAAGAGTACTTTAACGAAGATGTATTTAATATACCTAATAATAATGTAACTTTGACGTGGCAAAGAATTTAAGTGAGTTTCACATTTCTGCTATACTCTCTAAGAAAAAGTAAGCAAACATAATAAGTAGCCCATTACATGTACATATATACACATATACTTTTCGGTAATGACTATATGTACCTTTCTTTTTTTTTATCTTCTTTTCTGACAAGCATATGAAGTATGTTTGATCCAAACAATATGACAGAAATCAATCTAAATACAACGTGCTATACTTAAGCTGATAAGATGACTAATTATTGTATGAAATGGACGCATGAAGTTAGCCAATTAGCAAATATCGTTCGTGGGTAATCCTTTTGAGAGAATAGACCCTTTCAACAGCGGTAATGTACACCTTGTTTCTTTCTTTTAAAAAAATAAAAAATAATCTGCATTTATACATTTTGTCATGAACTGACTTATAATGTCATGTACCTTGATTAAACAAGCGGATCAAGGAATTCTATCTAGATTCCCCTGAAAAACTCTCTTGGTCCACTCCATCAAATAATATTAAAACCTCTAACACTTTATTAACTGTAACATATCTTATTCGGTCGTAACTAACATTTTTTCTTATTCACAACTTATCTGAGACCTCTTTAACAATTCTTATAAATAGCTAAATAAAAATTATTGACTCTTGACTTTCTTTTGTCTTTGTATTATTTGATATTTTACAAGTAATACTACAGTTTTATCTATGATTTTAACAATTATGTGTTCATATAAGAATATCTATAGTCAGAGAGGCATTAGAAAAGTATTAGTTACGACAGAATAATCCTATTTAGTATTGTCAGTAGAGTGTACCAACTTCCTTAAGTTTATAAAACATGAGGAAGTATAATACATAAATAAGTTGAAGCCGCATTCCTTTATACTATTTGTCCAGGTACTTTAAGTATAACATTTAATAAAGGAAGAGTAAATGACTCTGACTACACCTATTTATTTCAATGATCGTTGAATTCTTATTAAAAAAAAATTGTTTGATGATATAAGATTATAGCATATGCATGCATAAAAGGGAAATATTTTTTATTTTTATTTTTTTTTTGAATACCACAATTCGGCAACTATACCTAAAATCTTGGGTTTATAAAGAAAAAAATTGTGGTAAATAAAACAACTTGATCGGAAAGGGCAGCGCCTTTCTGTTGGCCAAGCGGCGATCATGGAGAGATGAACTTTGTTAGCTGTAGATGGGAGTGATTTAATAATAAAATCGGGGTTAATTCTGAGCTTTAATGATAACATGCTACCTTCCAGGATCCAATGTTCAACACCAGGCCTTCAATGGAGGTCGATAAAAAGATGTTGTTAAATCGCGGGGTAATTTCCTACCATGCAAGAGAGGAAAGCCCGCAGCATTGAGAGAATTCCTGGGAGTAACACGGCTGTAGTAGAAGCAAACAAGAACAGAATCTAATCCACCTCTACACTATAAAGGACTTCCTCTTCAATAATTTTTTTTTCTCATATAAAATAAAAAAAATGAAAAAGAAGGGAGGATGGGTTCTAAAGTTAATACGTATTGTGTAGTACAATTGTGATAAAAAGTTACACGTTATTTATTTAGAACTACTGTCATACCTGTTGCAGTTACAGAATACTTGTAAATTATAATATGTAACAGTAAGGAAATAGTATAAACTACTGGTGTGATTATACTCAAAGACTTGAAATAGAAGAAATATTATGTAAAGAATTGACAAATGAAGAAAATACTATTAAATTTAATAAATTAAAAAACAACAACGCACATGAAAAAACATGAAAGAATAAGTTATCATAAAAAAAACCTGTATGGCAAAAATAAGCACACAACTTTTTATAGAACACAGTTTTGGGATAAAGAAAAAAAAATATTAGTTCAGAGGCAATCGACTCATCAGTGATAGACGAAAATAATAATAATATGAAGCCGAATATTATATTAATAACAACAACAAAAAAAAATATAAAACTGATGGCAGACTTGTTATAGCTGATACATCAAATAAGCTATTCAATATTAAAAATAACTACTTTAATAATAAGGAAGGATATTAAGGATATCGACTTAGTGGCCAAAGCTGATAAAAATGATAGAAGATATATGAATCCTTTTAACATTGGTAGTTGGGTAAGATATGTAGAGAGCTATAAAAACTTTAGAAGTTATGACAATGACCAAACAGGCAAATTTGGTACTTCCTTAGTGAATTCTGCAAGACAAAGAACCTATGGATTGAGGCTATATATCGTTAAAATGAGAATTATGGGCGTATTTTAAGTCAAAAAAAAAAGGCAATTTTGATTTTTGATGTTTTCAGAACGAATTCTAACGTTAAAGCAAATATCATTCATTTCTGATTAATGTACACATAAGTCTCTAAAAATTAATATTGGGTATCTCTAATATGACAGATGCTGAAGCTTTTGATAAGTTCTTAATTGCTAGTCTCCAATCAGCACGAAACTAAAATCCATATAATGGATGTAATTGATATAGATAATCCTATATTGGGTAAAGTTATTAAAGTCGTTTATCACACATATGAGGATAATTGACAAAAATTATAACAGTAGTGTGGGTTCAAATAATGTGCATATTAAATGTGATGGTATGACTTACAGAAGAAAAGAAAGAGAAAGAGAACAGAAGGGAGTATAGTTTGAGACTTGTTTATTCAATATAAAAAGAATGATATAAGGTCTATTTCGTGTCTACACAACTACTTGTATTTATATTAATGAATCCTAAATCAAAGAAGTAAAAAGAACTATAAAAAGACAAGTCATGAAACAGTGTTAGTATTCAGATATACATTGTGCTGATTCAAGAGACTGATTTATGGATTATATATTGAGTGCTGTAATAATCTGATTTAAGATTTAAATCGTTTGATCTGGGTATATAGGTTCCTGATGTCTATTTTAGTGGATCAAAGACGACCTAACTCCTTTGTCAAGATTATAAAAATAAATATGTAGAAATGATACGATGTCTTATAATTGATACATCTAGACGATTGGACGTCAATAAGTTTTATATTATTTACAAGATGTTATATACAGAGTTTTATTTCATATGCAGGCTTATAGTTTATCCTTTATTATGTAATTCATCTACTATAATATGACTTACGCTTATATTCAGAGCTTGTTCTATAACACAGAGGATATTTTTGATACGGATGAGGATATCATGGATACTACCCCTGAAGATACTCCAGCCAAAGCAACCAGCCCTGACAACACTCAACATTAATGGCCAACATGTTAATAACATTATTTAATGCTACTGGACTTCCAAAACAAGCTATACAACTTATATTAAAAATCGTTGAAAACTCATCACTCCTTTTTATTACAGAAACCTTGCTTTTACCACCAAACAAATATCCCACAACATGTAAACAGTTTCATACTTAAGGCCAACCTTAATTCAATGTACCACAGAAGCCGTGGTCATCTTGGTGTTTTCCTTCTAATAAATCCTATTTTTAAACAACACATTTACCATATCCAACATGAAAATCCTATATTAGCTAAGTATACGTTATTCGTAGTTATATCTGCTAAAATTTTAATACACTGTCTTTACATTCCTCCTAAACTAAATGATGATGAACTATCAGAAATTCTGGAATTACTACCTCTTAATTATAATAACACAACTGAAGCTATCATCTGTGGAGACTTCAATGCTAGAATGGGCAGTTACACCGGTGACACTAGAGAAAATCATAAAGGTCGACTCATATATAACTGGATTCAATCTAACGAACTTATAAGTTGGAATCAGCGAATTGCGTATGGTGTACCCACTTCATATAGCTACTCCTGAAATAGTATTGTTGACTACTTTCTGAGTACAATGGACCTGACTTCTCCGACGATAGTAGTTAGAGATGATTTTTCATTAGAATCAACTCATAAACTCTTAACCTTCTCTTTTCAAACACCATCATATATTCCTAATAATATGTACTCAGTACCAGACTCACGGAAACTTTGGAACACCAAAAAGCTTAAAAAAGAGAAGACGAGAGAAACATACCATAGCGTTTTTAAAGAACACTTGAACCTTATTCTATCACCATTGCCCTCTTTTTCACTTCAAAGAAATGATGCTCAGAAGTATATTGAACATATCAACACCACATTACTGGACACTCTATATGTATCACTTAATACTGTCTGTGGTAAACAAAAGACATATTCGTCCAATTCACATTCAAAAGAGTTCTGGGCATCAGAAATGACGGAAACATTTAAAACAAAAGAGATTTACTATCGAAAATGGAGAAAGGCGAATGGTCTTAACTGTCTTAAATACTGGTTACTTCATCAAGAAGTCAAGGCGAAACTACGAAGAATGATTATCCAGCGGAGAAGAGAAACTTGGCGGCTTTCCTGTGACAAAATGAAGAAAGGCGAATACACAAAGGCCATAGCTAAGTTTTCACGAATATGAAAAAATCGTTTAATTAAACCTGTTTTCTCTGTCATAGATGGACCGCAAAAAGCCGCTGAATTAATGGCAGACCATCTAAAGCGGACATTATCAGGTACCTTTTTACTCAATGTTCCATGACAAGAATGTATATCGATTTCTCATTGTATATCTACTCATTAACCATTTCAAACGTCTTTTATTTCAGCTGACTGTCCATTTAACTTAGATGAAATTAAATCAGTAATCTTAGATCTTCCACAAAATAAAGCACCTGGCGTTGACCATATTACAAGCGAAATGGTTCAACCACTTGTAAATATTATTTCTTCAATTCTTCTTTATCTTTTCCAGTTATGCTGGCAATGGTCATACACACCCCAACTATGGTGCATTAGCTAGATAGTCCCAATCCATAAAAAATGTGACACATCTGGCCCGGGCAATTATCGACCAATTAGTTTGACCTCAATAATCCGTAAAATTCTAGAAAAATGCATGCAATCTGAACTAATTAACACTGGTCCCACACTGGATGTAGCTCAGGGGGGTTTCCGTGAAGCTAGAGGATCGCTTGACCAAGTACTTTGCCTAACTGAATTATGTCAATTATATCATCGTAAATATTTACGTTACAATCCAGTACTAGCCTTTCTCGATATAAAATCAGCTTATGATACGGTTGATCAAAGTATCATTTGGGACGAGCTTTCTTCAAGTGTCTCAACACCTCTTTTAGCCCTCTTATATAATATGTTTAAAGAAGTTTCTGTCAAAGTGATTCTTGGTAACCATACATTCTCCCGTTTCCATCCAAAAACAGGCGTTCTCCAAGGCTCTGTCTTATCGCCTTACTTATAATCAGTATATATTAATAGTCTTCCAAATTTCTTACGACCAGCACTTCCCTTTGAAACAGACTTTAATGATCCTTCCCATGTGGCGTCAAAGTTAAATTGCCTATTATATACAGATGATGTTGTTCTCGTTGCTGATGCTGATTCCATACAGTCCCTTTTTTCCAAATGCGAAGAACACAGCTTTTCTTTAGGTTACAGATGGAACCCTAAAAAGTGCGTTATTGTGAATTCCAATCCTACACCTCTAAAATACTACCTCTACAATAATGAATTACCCAATGAAGTTTTCTTCCCGTACCCCGATGTTCCTATTAAATCTGGTGGTCTCGCGCATAAATCAGCACTTTTACAACAAAACATTAATACAGTATTTATCAAATCAAATGGTTCGAATATTTCTTTAACATTGAATAATACATGTATAAATACTCAAGATCATCGTGTCTAATCAGTTGATAATAATAACTACTTAAATAGATGATTCAAGTTGATTACTGGTAAGTTTAGTCATGTTTTAATATATACTAAAATGTATATCATTATCACGTGTAAATGCTGTATTATGTAATTCATGAAGGGCCACTTTTTAAATCTTTAATTACATAATCAAACTGAATAAATAAATAAATAAAAAAAGCATAATACATAGTATATATATATATATATATATATATGTATGTATGTATGTATGTATATACAAGCATACACACATATATAAACGTATATATAATGCATGTTATACTGATTACATTTTGAAATCTTTATTTCATGATACAATCTATTAAAACTATATACAGCTTTGTCTTCTCTCTGCTTTATTACTGTCCCTGTGTTCTGTCCTCTGTACAACTTTAAATATACAAACATGTAAGCCCATTAACACATCCTTCTTTCTTTCTTTCCCTTCCTCCCTCCCGTCTTTCTTAATTATATATTAAGTGGATACATAAATTATTTTTATTAATTGATAAAGTACTTTACAATAGGCATGATCTTATGTATATGTGTGTAAATAAATAAGAACATCGTGATATGCATGATACTGACATGTGATATCTTGTAATATTGGAGTAAGAGATGATGACCTATACAGCGTCATATATGCATATACATAAAAATCGTATAGGTGCACGCTCTGTAAAGAATAGAATATAACAGTAAACTGAATATTTAATATCCATATAGCCCTGCTATTTTACTTTGATATTTGGTGTTGATATTGAGTGATGATAATAAGTAGCTGTCGCAGTAGTAGTAGTGGCAGTCATGTTATCAACAGCAATCATTCTCCTTTTATTCTCTTGCTGTTCCTCTTTTAAATAGGATGTAACAAATTTAAGAAATATTAAAAATAAAATAATAGAATGTAGGGCCATTTTTGTTTTGATATTTATTGTATATTAATAAATAATGCTAAAAAGAAAAGATAAAGAGAGAAAGAAGAAAAAGAAAAAGTAATATATATACAGCATATACATGTACAATCTATTATATCATGTGCTGCTATAGATATCATCATACTTCTTTATAAGGGTAATCTATATATGATATTATTCTATTAATACAAAAAAAAAATCTATTTCATTCAAAATAATAGAGTTAAACTTACCTAATGTATCATCTTTCTTTCTCCATAACTTCTTCTTCTTCTTTGTAGTAACATGTTCTGCCCATACTTCAACACAATATTTTTTTTTAAATTTACGAATAAATGCTGGATCCCATAATTCAGAAGCAATACCGAGATCTTTACAGCAACGCATTAATGCATTACTTTTACAGCCTTCAGAAGCAGTTGGTAATCCAGATATATCAAAGAAATCTTGTTCTCCTCTTGCTTGTGAAACAAAACGTCCACTACAAATTAATGCATATTCACGTGATATATTTTTTGGTGATATAGTATGTTCTCCACGAGGTGCTAACCCCCATCCTCCTGGCCCAAAAGCTTTATTCAGAATACGTCTATATTTAATTTCAGGCAAATAAAGCAAACCGTCTAAAACAGATTTAATTATTAAATGTATTTCTTTTTTTTTCTTTCTTTCTTTTTCTTATCTCTTTTCTTATCTTTTTTAATTACTCGCATTTAATATATACCTGGCTTAATTTCAACATCTTCATGATTAATAGGTTGAAGCAAAATGTTAGTAACTTCTTCAGGAAATCTTTCTGTTGAAAGACCATAAAAGGATGAAGACCAATTCTGTTGTCCTTCTTGTGATTGTACATCAAGCGGTGCATCAAATTGTTTTGTAGTTGGAAAATGATCAGCTTGTGTCATGATCGAATTTGATGGCATCACTTCTTTTTCTTTAGAATTATCTTTTTCTACATTTGGCTCTTCCTTTTTGACCTTATTCGCAGTAATATTATTTCCATTAAGTTTGACAAAACGTGTAGTACTCACAGCTCGAATCTTTAAAATAATAATAAAATAAATAATAAAATATAAGTTTCTTGTATATATAAAACCTCAATTGTACTTTACCCATTGAGATTGAACTGGCTGTTTTATTGCAACTCTTCTTAAACCAGTAAATACTTGCATGGTCCCCTTTTAATATTTGGTAAAAATAAGAGAAAAACCACTGCGGATTAAACTGGGTTTTTGTTGCCGTTTTTTAAATGAAAAATGGTCACAGTAAATAATTATAATCATATCGAAAAAAAAAATAAGTACATTGATAATTCTAGTAGTATCTATTTCTGCTGTTGGCCTGTAGTAAAAAAATAAAAAAATAAACTATAGGATATCAGTGATATTTCTATTAAGACATTAGAACAAAAGTAAATATAAAATCATAAAAGATATCAAAAAGTTGATAAAATTAAGCAATTATTCGGGATATAATTTTAAATGATGAGTATTTATACAAGACTATCTGAAAACAGAGAGAAAGTAAAAGAGTATTAGTAGTGCCCGAGTAATACCTTTGCATTATCAAATGAAGTGTACAACATTCTTAAATTCATACATTATGAAGAAGTATATCAAACGGTTAAGCATCTGTTCTTTAATAGTGTTTGTCTAAAACTTTTTATTAATTTGGGGGAGGGGAGGGGTTAAAGAGAGGGCAATTAACTCCAATGGCCGAATTATTTTATTTACACCCCCTTACTCATAGATTGCAGTTCATCTGATGAGATAGGCTTTGTGGTAAATATATTATAACTAACTTTGAAATTAAATACCAATTCACAATAATTGAAATATAAGATATTGCAACTAAACTCAATATTATATTAAAAGGGATTTATTTAAATGAAGAAACTGAACAAAAATATGGAGTAACTTAATTAGAACCGAATGTAATGGAGGATTTACGTTATTTAAAGGGAAGGCTTATTTTTTTTTCTAAAGACAATAGCATATGAAGCTTATGTTATTTATAAAAAAAAACATGATATATGGGCTTGAAAAAAAAAAGGTTGATAGATGCAGTAGAACTATATCTCGAGGAAGCTTATATTAAAAATGTTCCCTAAATATGCTAGTAGTTGCAAAAGAAAAATTACACACACACACACACACACACACACTTATATATACACGTATGAAATAAAAGATTTAGCTATTTACATACGTAGCTTACATAAATATACAATCAAGAAAAGTTAAACAATATTAGAAATAGCGTAAAATATGTAAGGGTAAGAGCTATTGAGCTATAATGTAACATTATAAATCATGAGAAATCTACATGCGTTGATTTACAGTAACTTTATACTTTTATTAATGAAGTGAGCTTTTATTCACAAACAATAAGAAATGAGGCTTGGACAAAACTGGAAAAAAAGATTCATTATAGTAGATATATACTCATAAAAGGGAGAGTAACTATCGTCATTATGGGCTATATTTCAAAAAATAGGCGTATGATATCGGAGATTAAAAATGGATGGCCGCATTAAAGTTTTGATCTGTAAAAAAAGGGAATGAAATTTTCCCGGGTAACCAAAAATAGCATATTTATAATAAAATTAAGCAAAGATAAAAATTATTTTTATTCATATTTATAGTTCTTTTCTTTTCCTTTTTTTTTATGTTTTGTATTTTTACTTTAAGAAATGAATATAAATAATAATGAACGTACTCCTTTAATACGTTCTTCCAAGTCTTCTACAGATTCGAATTATAAAAGAACATATCATGTTTATGGCATGGCATTTGGATTTTTGTTCTTATTTTCTTACTTTATTAATTATTATCGAAATGTTTTACCTACACCATTATCTGATGCACAAGCAAAGGCGCTAGACGATTTTCCGGGAATGCATGCATATGATGAATATTTGAGTCATTTTACAGCTCCACACTCTGCTAACACTCGTGAAAACGCAGTAATGAGAGACTGGATTGCTTCTGTCGCTTTAGATCTTCAAAAGGTTGCTATCGAACGTGGTTTAAAAATGGATGTCATTGCTGATGATCCTTCAATTGATATAATTAAGCACGACTGGTTCACACCCAGTAAGAGAAAGCTGTTTTATATATCGATGTATATATATTTGTATCCTAAAATATATCACTCTTTTTTTTTTTTTTTTAAGATGAGCAATGGTATGTAAAGTCACGAAATGTTATTGTTCGTTTGCATGGTCAATCTGGAAAAGAAGATGCTTTATTAATAAATGCGCATTATGGTAATTTATTCGTAAATTCATAAGGAAGTAGTATATGTGTTGAAGTAACATATTTAGATAGTGTTCCCACTAGTTATGGTGTAACAGACAACGGTATGGGTGTTGTTACTACTCTTGAATTATTGCGTTACTTTATAGATAATCCACCTCGTCATACTATTATTTTTTTGTTGAATAATTTCGAAGAAGGTGGCCTTATTGGTGCAAAAGCATTTTTAAATCATCCTTGGTATCGTTCTGTTAAGTTATTTATCAATTTGGGTATTATTATTTTTTTTAACTAAAAAGAAATGTACATGAAAACATTTTCTAATTGTAATATGAATTTGTTACAGAGGGTGCTGGTGCTGGTGGTAGGGCTATCATGTTTAGATGCTCTAACCTGGATGCTGTCAGGAATCTAGCTAATTCTCCTGCTACATTTAAGCATGGTTCTCCCTTAGGGAATGATATGTTCAAGGCACAACTTATTAAAAGGTATAGTTAGTATATTTAAAACATTAAAAAAAAAGAAAAGATTATTCAATTTGCATTTATAAATAAGTGATACAGACTATTCAGTGTTTACTGAGCAGGGCGTTCCTGGTCTAGATATTGCTTTTTATACACCTCGTTCTCATTATCATACTCCTCTTGATGATTTAAATCATACCACCCCTGAAGCACTACAATATATGGGTCAAATGGCTTTAGGCGCTACTAGATCTATTGCCAATAGTGATACTTTATTATATACTTCAAAAGAACAAGAATCTTTCATTTATTTCGACATTTTAGGACGCACTGTATTCGTTTATAGTTTTGTCACATATCAGTTGATGAATATATTAGCTCTTTTAAGTATACCCATCATTGCTTTTTACTTGATTTCAAAAAATAAGGACAATCGCGAAACCATTTCCTCAATCATTAAACGAAAGACAAGTCTTATTATTCAGGGTTTAGCTGCTATAATTGCTGCTATCGTGTTAGCTCTTATATTTGGTGCCATTGCTGTCTTTTTAATGACTAAAATCAATCCTTCTATGACTTACGGCGACGTTTACGGTGCTGCTTTATATACATTTGTTGCAGCTTTTCTTGGTATTCAAGTATCACAATTAATCCTTCCTGTTAAATTCAAACAATTGCTTGCTAATACTAATGCAATTTGGTATGGGCTAATCTCATTTTGGTGGATCTTAGTTGTAGCTGCTTCTTTTGCTGGTAGTAAAGGAATTGCTAGTTTATATTTTGTTTTCTATATATTATTATTTAACTCTTTAGCTGCTTTAACTCATTTCTTACTACCTCCTACACAGAAGATTCGTTCTGCTTTAATCTTTTTCACTCAGACAATTGTTCCTTTTATTTTCTTGTTAGAACTAGAGTTCCTAGTAATGGATGCCATGCGTCATTCTACTGCTGATGGTACTCCTGAAATTGTTGGTAAATTTGTCTTAAAAAAAAAAAAAAAAAAAAAAAAAAAAAAAAAAAAAAGAGAGAGAGAGAGAGAGAGAGTGAAAGAGAAACATAAATAGAAACTTATCTATCTTTTATAGTTTATATTCTTCTTGGTATTCCTCTAATTTTGATTGCTTTACACTATATTCCATGGATTTATGTTGCCGGTAATCAGCGTAAAACCACTATGGCTACAGCTATAGTATTTCTCTTTCTTTTCACAGTTTGTTCGTCTCTCCAACCTTTTAATACCACTTGGTCTCCTAATAAGCTTGTTTTTAAACAAGAATATAATTCAGGAGATGCTTTATCTACTGTTTTTATTTCTACGGCTACAGCTATTCATTCCATCTTAAAGAATACCCTGCCACCTTATGAATATCAAACTTTACAATGTGAACCCTTTAAAAGATACTTGACACGCTGCAGTTATCAAACTGGTTTATTGCCTAAATATGCTAGCAACTCCACATTGAATGAATTTAGTTTATCTGAAATCAGAAAGACATGTAACGATACCGTATGCCTTTCCTCTGGCTCTTTTACATCGAAGAATAGTTTAATGTGCCGTATCCATTTTGACTATGATGAGAGTCAAGCTACTGTTCAGCATGCATGGATAAATGGAAGAGAGATAAAAGACAATAATATTTCTGCTCTGATTAGTTACGTGAATGATTATGAGAAGCCTGTTGATTTTGCTATTGAACATCATTCTACCTTATCTATAAAGGCAATGTTTGGTTGCTTTTATGACGAATGGACACAATTGGAGATTCCTGCCTTTACTAACTTACGTGATAGTTTACCTGAAAATGCCATCTTATTAATTCGTGGACAAGGCTTAGCCTATGCTCACTACACAAATATTACTTTATAATAAAAATTTAAAGCATTGATTATTAATTCTTTTTTTTTTCTTTTTTTTTTTCATTATTGAATTTTTAATCATGGTATCAGCTCGTAAAAGAAAAGAAGGTAGTAAATTAAGAAGAGCATTCAAGTTAATCATTTTGATACTTTGAGATCAAATTATGTATTTATTGACGTTTATTTTATTTTTCTTTAATTACACTGTAATGTAGTTTCATACCATGAATCTGAAAGTGATAGCGACTTTGAGAGCATTCAAGAATCGCACAGTCGATCATCAAAAAAGAATTCCACAACTTCCAATTCGAAAAAAAAACCTGCTAAACGAACAAAAAGAGAACATTCAAAGATAGTAAATAACAATGAAGAAAAATCGACAGAACTTTTGAATGATGACAAAGCAAAACTTTTATCAAAAGCAAGTAAAAAAGACGATGATACAAACAATGTTGAAATCATTTCTGAACAACACATCAATCCAGGAAAAATTGTTATACCTCGACCTAAGGGTTGTCCATTTGCTGATTCTATTTCACCTGATACACTTGAATTTTTGGCAGAGCTTGCAGAAAACAATGACAGAGATTTTATGCGATTAAGAGCTAAGGAATGGGCAAAAGCTAAAAAAGATTTTGTGGATTTTTGTGGATTGATTATGACAGAACTACATGAGGTGGACCCTTCCACTCGATTAGAGGAAGGCAGTAAAGCTATGTACCGTCAGAATCGGGATGTACGATTTTCAAATGATAAAAGCCCTTACAAGACAAATCTTAGCGCAGGGTTTTCACGAACGGGCCGTAAGTCTTTGGATGCAAGCTATTTTATATCTATAAAACCCGGTAATAAGTCTATTGTAGCGGCAGGTATGTGGCAGCCAGATTCAGCACGATTAGCTAATATGCGCTCGAGTATCATTCGTGATGGAAACCTCTTAAGAGAGGCGCTTTCGACAGATGCTATTAAAGAGCTTTTTGATGGTAAATGTGGTCATGAGGTTCTATGTACTGAAGATAAACTTAAAGTTGCGCCTAAAAATATCGCTAAAGATCATCCAGAAATAGAGTTATTAAGATTCCGTACATTCGCTGTATCTAAATCATTTACAGATGAAGAAGTTGTGAGTCCAGGATTTATGGATAAAGTGATGGATGTATTTGAAGCATTAGTACCATTTGTGACTGTTATTAATGCATGGATTTAATGTACTTTTATATAAAATAAAATAATAGATACATGTGTATAGTTTTATTTATTGATGTTATTTTTTCTTTTTTTTTAAAAAAAAAAAAAAAAAAAAAAAGAGTCTATATATTTAAAACCATTATTTATGCATACCTCTCCTTCTTTCTCCCTCCCTCTCTATATAAATATATACATGTATATATATATATATATATATTTATTTATCGCTTTCTCTTTGAACCAGTTGCACCAGAAACATTACCAGGTTCAGAAGCAAGTTCCTCTTCATCTTCTTCTACTTGATAATTCTTTAGGTTAGTTAAAAAGTGGATCAATTGCTTTTCTTCTTCTTCAGAGGCATAGGGACGTGTACAAACCCCTTTGACAGTACAGGTAAGAGGATCAGTCTTTACTTCATCGTCATCAGGACTAGAATTATCACGATGTGCTTCTACTTCCCATCCGCCTTCTTCTTCTTTACCCACTTTCCAAATTTGATATCCATAACCACAATCTTCTTCTAAAAACTGGCGACGCTTCTCTGAAAATGTGACTTCATGTGTATCATTTGTAACGAGCGTATAAAATCTTGAATAAAAGCCCTTTTCATTTCTTTTTTTAGCACGTAAGACGCGACCTAAACGCTGTGCTTCTTGACGACGAGAGCCAAAATGAGAAGAGACTTGAATGAGGACTGTAGCTGCAGGCAAATCAAGGGAAGTATCACCAATACGGGATAAAAAGAGCGTATTAATTTGTTTTGCTTTAAGTGATCTACGGGCTGCAACTTGATTCCAAGTGAGTTCTTCATCTGTTTCAGGTACATCAATTTGAAAACGAGCTAGAAGCTGGCGTGCCTCTTCTGTAGGAGTACCACCATAAATAAAAGGACGGTTTATCTTTTCAGCATACAACTTCAGAGCATCAATATGATCACAATAAACAAGGACTTTATCTCCTTTAAACTCATGATACTGAATTAGGCGTTGACAGATTTGCATTTTCTTTGGATTAAGAATGGCTAATAAACTTTTAAGATGATGTCCATGACCTAATAATCCTCCTCCCTGTGTCTGTATGCTTTCATGGGCCTTATGTACATGAGGTGTCATATCTGCTTCGATTTGTGTACAAATAACTTTTGCAATATAACCTTTATCTGCCAACTCTTTCCATTTAGCATGATATAAAGTAGGACCTACTAATGTTTCCAAATCACCAATACGTTCATCCTCACGTAACATCGTGGCTGTTAAGCCCAAACGAACTTTAGTCTTAATTTTTGAAATAGCTTTAGCAAAATTATTAGCAGGCACACAATGCACCTCATCAAGAATAATTAACCCCCATTCAGTTTTATCAATAAAGTTGCTCATACGCTTAGAGTCTGCAGTTCGATTCTTATTTTCAACAAGCATGGTATAGGTTGTAAAAAGAACACCAGAGGGCCCATTATAGGGCCATTTTTTAGCACCGGCAAACATTCCGGTCTTAGATGCCATCAATGTCGTAAATCGTAAAAATTCTTTACAGAATTGTTCCGCAGCAATGATGGTAGAACAAACAACTAATACAGGTTTTTGTATAGCACATGCAACCAAGATAGATGTTAAAGTCTTACCAGCACCACAAGGTAAGACAATAATACCTGATCGGGCGAAATGCTTAGTAGGATCAGGATCAGAGGTATCAACGATTGCTTCAAGAGCTTCACGTTGGTAAGGACGAATTTCAACTTCAGGTCTTAAAGGTAATTCTAACATATTACAAGTTTTATCTGAATTGAAAACATAATCAGGCAAGGCGGATTTAGGTTTAGTCATACGAGGCTTAGATGCAGATAATGTAGTCTTGATTTTCTTGTCAGGTGGAGATAGTGATTGCTTTATGGATCCTTCACTTTCTTTTTTATTTTGCTCATTTGCTTCTCTTTGTCTTTGAAGATATGCTAGCATATCAGCATATTGTTGTTTTCGTTCCTTATCATTAGTTGACATGAACATTTTTTACTTTAAAAAAAAAAAAAGGGAAGAGAGAGAGAGAAATACACTTTTTTTTTAAAGTAAAAAAAAAAATCTTAACTATAATACGGCGTTTAAAATTTGCTAAAAAGAAACTTAAAGAATTCTTCAGGGCCATTTATCAGTAAGAGGAATAATAGTATAACACAATGTAATGAGCTGATCATATTTATGTTTTATACAAAGATGTTCGTTTTTTTTTTAATGAATTATGATTGACATGAGAAAAGGAAAAATAAAAGATAATGCATTGAATATATACAAAAAAAATTAAATAGAAGTGAAAAGCTTCTTTTCAAATGAATGAAGGCCATGAACGCCACCTTCTAATTGAGCAGCAGCAGTTCTCTTTTCAAAACGAACAATACCATTGTAGACATTTTCATGGAATTGTGTAACAGATTGACAGCCAATATCTTGGAAAGAGTGTTGAACACCAGTAATAAGATAAGAAAGATACTTACGAGCAGAGCCCTTATCAATAACATTACCAACAACACCTTGGGCGACCTTAACGCTATCACCTTCAGAGAAGTAACGCTTAGTGGCAGCATTACCATCTTTACCACCAGAGGTGTTATTCATGGCATCGATAGAACCCATACCACGATAACGCTTAAGACGTTGACCTTCATGATAAAAGTATTCACCAGGTGTCTCATTAGTACCTGCAAGAAGACCACCCATCATGACAGCACTAGCACCCAAAGCTAAAGCCTTAACGATGTGACCGACATTACCAATGCCACCATCAGCAATGGTAGGAACACCAAAGCGACGAGCAAATTCAGAAACACGATAGACAGCAGTAGCCTGAGGGCGGCCACAGGCCATCACTTCTTGAGTGATACAGATGGAACCAGAGCCCATACCGATACGGAGACCATCAGCACCAGCTTCAATCAAGTTAGCAGCTTGCTCACGGGTAACAACATTACCAGCAATGACTTCCAAGTTGGGGAAAGTTTGCTTAATCCAGCGAAGCATTTCGATTTGATAAATAGAGTTACCTTGAGAAGAATCAAGAACAACAACATCAAGACCAGCTTCAACAAGAAGGGCAAGACGATCTTTATCATCTGGACGAGTACCGATGGCTGCACCAACGAGAAGTTGCTTGGAATCGGAGGACTTTGAAGCTAAAGGATAGTGAAGGTTCTTGAGAAGATCAGAGCGAGATAACAAGGAAACAAGACGACCTTCTTCATCAACAATAGGCAATTTACCCTTCTTGGAAGAACGAAGGATTTCGTTAGCCTTTTGAAGAGTAATACCCTTCTTAGCAACAACTAATTCTGTGCTCATCACTTCTTTAAGTAAAGTAGTCTCATCCTTATGGAATTGAATATCGCGGGCAGTAACAATACCAACTAATTTATCATGTAATTTTCCATTTTCTACCCATTTACATAATAATAGTATTAACTTTTTCCACTCCAATAAATATTATTTCTTTTTATACAACTACTTTTGTGTTACCTGTAATAGGAATACCACAGAATCCCTTTTTCTCTTTGATAGCTTTGACATCTGCGACTGTATGTTCAGGAGAAAGGACAACAGGATCGACAATGAAACCGTTTTCAAACTTCTTTACTTTACGAACCATTGCAGCTTGATCTTCAGCTGAACAGTTGTGATGGATAATACCGATACCACCCATTAACTAATATATTGGCAAAAAAAAAAGTTATAAGTGATGAAATCATACAAGTTAAACACAGTACTGTAAACTACTTACGGCCATTGAAATAGCCATTTCGGATTCGGTAACAGTATCCATAGGGGAAGATAAGAAGGGGGTCTTTAAACTAATCTTTTTTGTGATATGAGACTCAAGAGAGGCCTTGCTAGCATCGAAATCAATGAAACCGGGAAGGATCAAGAAATCGTTGTAAGTCAAACCACCACTAAGTTGTTCGTCCATAAGGCTTTCAACAGACAAACCATCCTTAGATTTGTATTCGGCTAAGTAGCTATTGGCCTTCTTGTAATCTAAAACAGACATTATTTAGATAGTTTAGAAAAAAAATTTTTTTTTTAAAAAAAGACGTAGAAAAGAAGAAAATTACATAAAAATTTTTTTATTTATTTATTAAGACTCTAAATGGCGGAAGAAAAATTTTTTTTTGAGAACTGCGTTAAAGGTTTCAGCTTATTTTTTGCCGCTCTTTTTAACGATTCTTTTTTTGCTAGTCTTCACGATTTTGAACTTTTTACCATTATCCTTTACAGCACGAGTACCTTCAAATCGTTTAGCAGTTGGTAGAGCCTTACCAGACTTGTTAGACTTGCCAAATGGCTTTTTGCCTTTTGTTTGCTTAGTTTTCTTTGTTTCTCGTACACCACCTTCTGATACGGGTATCTTGCAACGTTGAATGCGAATCTTTGTCTTTTTACGGAACTTTTTATCAGTTAATGCTAATGCTGCCTCAACACTATCACGATCAATAAATTGCACATAACCGATGCCTTTACCAATATTAGTCTTTGCATCTCGAATCACTCTTACAAATTCGATCTCTCCACAGTCTTTGAAAAACTCCCAAAGCTCTTCATCCTCAACGTCAAATGGCAAAGCGCCCAAAAAGACAGAGCGTTTACGGTCATGTTGTTTACTCTTTGAGGCACCATCTACACGTAAATGCTTATCCATAAATACAATACCATTTAATTTACATGCTTCATCAGCAGACTCCTTTGTTTTAAATACAATATAAGCATTTAAAGCTTCTCTATCAGGATGAAGTTTTCTGGCAAGAAAAGCAGCTTTACGATTCATAGGTTGAGCAAAGGCAATAGATCTAAAACGAATCGACTCTATTTTACCACATTCAGCAAAGCGTGCTTTTAATTGTTTATAACCTTCCTACATGAACAAATAAGATACCATTATAGATAAAGAAAAAGCAAAAAAAAAAAAAAAGAAAAAGTACAAATTTTATTACCTTTTCAATACATTCGGTCGTCAAATTACCAACAAAAACAGTTCGTAATTCCTTTTCAGCAAGTTCTTCAGGAGTTAATGTCTTTTTAACTTTCTTTTTCTTTTCATTTTCTTCCTCCTCTTCTGCTTTTCTCTATATGTGGACTACTAAGTTACAAAAAGCAATGTGTAAATTAAACAAGACTTACCTTTTGAGCAATCAATTCTTTAGCTTTCTTAAAACCTAAATATGCTCTTTGACCATCTTTCTTTTCTTGATTCTTATTTTTTTTGGTAGCTTTTGCAACAAGTTGCTCTGTAAGAATAGGCTTAATAGCTATCTCACTTTTACCGGCCTAAATATGTATACATATATTTATGTATGTGTGTGTGTGTGTGTGTGTAATTAGAATTTGTATGAATGCTATTTGTTTTATAGAAAAAAAAAATTACAGATTTCTTAAACAAATCATCTAAATGGCTGTCCACTTTTGTTGTTGAAGGCAGTAAACTACTCATTTTATACTCCTTTATTTTTATTTTATTTTTTTTTAAAAAAAAAAGAAAAAAAAAGAAATAAAATGAAATAAAGTAAAGGGGAGCTCTCGGTGTGACTGCATTGTGGCTTACTTTCATGGTTGTAGATTTTAATGCAAAAACGCATAAATCAGCATGACAGATTTTGTAATAGAAACGACTTTCATTTTAATAATGCAACAATAGAAAAAAAAAACAAAACAAAAGCAGCAAAGAGACATCATTAAAATGTTTTTTTAGTTTGTTTTTACATTAAACTTGTACGTTAGGTTTTATTTTTCTTTGAACGATTTTTTTTTCTTTTACAAATCAAATCTTCATATTGAGGTATTTTTTTTTTATTTATGAATAGAGTCAAGCTGCTGTATTTATTGTATTTGTGATATTAAGAGGAAATTTGTTCTTTAAATTGAGACATGTAAAGTAAGTTCGTAATGGGCAATAACAACAATGCAGTAGAGCATGAGTAAGTTCTTAATGATTATTTTCTATGCATCTGTAAGTAATGATTGATGGGAATGAACAGTAGATGTATCTTTTTATATACAAATGTGTAGAATTTACTTTATTTTTTATAATTTTAATGTTATTAACTATGTGTAATAACTCCCTATTTTTTCATATATTAATAGAGTTAATAATTACACATAAAAATATTTACCTTATTAAAGTAAAATGATCATCATACATCAAATGTGGAAAGTCACAATACATATTAAAACGGAGAAGGAGCTTCTTCATGTTTTCCTTCTTATTTCTTTTTCTTCCTTCCCTTTATTTTTTTTTTTTTTATTATTTTACATTTATACGATGAAATTTCCTGGAGAGCTATTTACTTATGACGAGGAAGATCGTTTAACGGCTTTTGAGTGCGGCTCAATTGACAGAGATAAAGTAGTTGTATTTATTGGAGGATTAGGTGATGGATACAATGCTGTACCTTTCCTTGAGCCTCTGTTTGAAACAGTTCTCGATAAAAAAGGTTGGTCCCTTATTCAGGTTCAACTAAGTTCAAGTTATCAAGGATATGGCATAAATAATTTACAAACGGACGTTGAAGAGCTTGATAAGCTTGTTTATCATTTGAAAACATATCGTGGAAAGAAAACCATTGTACTTCTTGGGCATTCAACAGGTATATATATATATGTATTTGGAAACAAACTAATATATTATTACTAAATATCTTATTGCTTTCTATTATAGGCAGCCAAGATTGCTATTGGCATAACAAGTATGGGAAAACAAATCAAGATATAGCCAGTTATATTTTACAAGCTCCCGTATCTGATCGAGAATATTTTCAAGCCAATCTAGAAAACTTTCAATTTTATGTCGATATGGCTATCAACTATAGAAGAGAAGGTAAAGGAGAAGAATTACTGCCTAGAGATAGTCTTTTTGGAACACCTATCACTGCTAATCGTTTTTACTCACTCACTGTTAAAGGGTAAGCTTTATATGTGTATATGTATAGCATTTGGGATTATAATAATCTATATATAATTTATAGAGGTGATGATGACGTGTTTTCGACTGATTTATCTGATGAAGAAATCAAGAAACTCTATGAAAACGTGAATAGACCTATATGCTGGATTTATTCCGAAAACGATGAATTTTATGTTAACAAAGTTGAAAAGCAATCAGATGTTATGCAGAGATTTCAAAATATATGCTCTGCTATTAAAGAGACTCACATTATTCCCAATGGTGATCATTCAATTACTAGAAAAGATTCACAAATTGCTTTTTGTAAAGTAATTGATGATTTTTTAAATAAATATTGAAAATGGAGTTTGAATTGCATACACATAGTAGACCTTATTTTATTGCATTTTATTTTATTTTATTTTATTTTTATTTTTTTAGAAAAAAAAATATTTTTTTAAACAATGGTATGCAAGAAATGTGAAAAGAAACTAACTGCATTAGCAGCACCAGATAAATGGAAAGAAGGGTCAAAAAACGCTGTTGGTAAAATTATATGTTTATCTGTAAGAATTCAGCTACATTATTATTCATTTCATTTAAAAATAGTCGGCTCATCGGGAAGAAAATTAAATCAAAACAAATTACTATCCAAATCTGCAAAGTCAAGGTAGAATAATTTTCTTATTTACACACACACATGCACACAGTGTATAAATTACTTACTATTTTTTCTTAGGTATACACCTCTTGGAAATAACTGTAAGCTTTGCAAAGCTAGAGTACATCAAGAAAAAGCACATTACTGTCAAGGTAATTATTATTATTATTATTTTGTTTAAACTAAAATAAAAATATAAATAGATTGCGCATATAAGAAAGGGATTTGTGCAATGTGTGGTAAACAAATACTCAACACAAGCTCTTATAAACAGTCAACCACATAAATGAAATAATAATAATAAAGGTGCTGAATAACATTTTTTTTTTATTGGAAGATATACCGAATTCAGCAATCACATTAAAGCAATCGATTTTTATTTACAAGAGCTACTTTATTTTATAAATTATCGGCGTAATAATGGATTAACAAGTTAAAATGCTGCATAAAAAAAATAGTTGGAATAATGCTATACAAATTTTGATAAAAATTTACATTAAACAAATGCTAGAAAAGAATAAGAAATTAGTTGAATATTCAAACTTGCAAAAGTGTTTTGATGGATTTAAGTAATATATCGTCTTCTATAGGATTGTTAGAGTAAAAAAAAAAAAAAAAAAAAAAAAAAAGGCTTTGAATGACTAATATACTAAAATTAAAGATAATAAGTTCGTATTGGTAAATATGATATTTTTGGTCCAGTCACTAAAGGATAAAATGAACTCCAAAAATTGACTTAATAGTGAAATGTAAAGATGTGAGTTAGAATATGAGATAATATTATTAAGAAATAGAAAATCTATGATGATAGCTGCATTTGTATCGTTATGAAAAATTGATGTTTCTTTAACACAAGCAAGGCTCTACCTATTTGCGTAATACAATACGTCCAAATAGCAGCTTTCTTTGAAATAACAATAAATCCTATTTTATTTTATTCCAAGTTATAATCCATTTCTTAACCAATCAATAGCTTCCTTTTCTGTCACAACTGTAGGATAACCAAACACAGTCGGTGAAAAAAATGACTGAGTATATTGTTGCTGCTGTTGCTGCTGTTGCTGCTGTTGCTGCTGTTGCTGCTGTTGCTGCTGTTGCTGCTGTTGCTGTTGTGGCTGCTGTGGCTGCTGTTGCTGCTGTGGCTGTTGCTGTAATAGCTGTTGCTGTAATAGCTGTTGTTGTTGTTGCATTTGTTGTTGTTGCTGTTGTAATTGTTGCTGTAATTGTTGCTGCAATAACATTTGCTGCTGTTGGTATTGTTGTTGATATTGTTGTTGTTGTAGCTGATATTGTTGTTGATACTGCTGCTGGCGTTGATATTGCTGTTGAAAGATCAAGTGTGGTTGAGAGAGAGAAAGAGGAGGAGGAGGAGGAGAAATAACTATACATGAAGAGTATTAGAATGAAAAAATTTAATGTTTTAAAATAGCTAATTTACATGATGCTGAATCTAATTGGGCTGCCTTTTGTAATTCTTGTACTAGTGTTTGCTTTTCTAATTCTAAACGAGCTTTCTTTTCTTTTTCTAACTTTTTCTTTTCAATTTTTTCCTTTTCAAGCCTCTCTCTTTCCTTTGTTTTTTCTTTTTCCTCTTCTTCTCGTTCTTTTTGTGTCTACAAAAAAAAAAAATGTAAACATTTATTTCATGATTCATATAAAACATTACAATTAACTCATTTTTTAGTTTATATTTCGCTAATCTATCCTTCAAATTGTTTAAATGTTGCTTTCTATTAGTTAATAATTCTTCATTAGATTCTAGATTGAACGACATTTTTTATTACAAGCAAATTCATTGTAAAATTTTAAATATTTAAATAGTTTTATTTCCCGAAAAAGAAAAAAAAAAGATAACATCCAAGTCCTTTTTTTTTTTCTTTCATTATAATGTATGTACATCTGCTTTTTCTTATATTTACACAAATTCTTGTAAATCAAGAAGAATAATCGTTCCCATTTCTGTCCCAAAACAGATTATTTCTTCTTGTGGCGAAACAGCAGAGGATACAACAGCACTATCAAATCCACTCAAAGTAATGCTCTTCTTCGGTGATTTAAGATCCCACATAACCGCTGTTCGATCTCCTGAGGTTGTGAGTATCTTTGAATGAATAGTAGCAACTGATATTGACCAAATAGCTCCATGATGTCTATTAGGCGCTTCAACATAGGTTCTTTCTAAACCTGGTAAAGAAAAAACAGAAATAGTTGTATCCCATACACTCGCGTAGACAACAAAGGGTGGTATATTAATAGGGTGTCTTGCAGATATATATTCGTTGATAGTTTTATTCTTAGAACATTCAGTGGTATTTTCATCATAAACTGCCATAGCCGTAATAGGGCCATTTGTTTCCATTATTGTGCTAATGACTTCAGGTACATCATTAATTAAAGATGTCTTTAAATCCCATAAATAAATATTGTGATCACTCGATCCAGAAACAATATAACCTGCTTTATTTTCTTTTACTGAAATATATTCTATGTCAGACTGACAAAATTGTAATGGAAATGATGGGCAATAAGTAAGTGAGCTGATTGTATTTTCTTGACCATGTAAAATCTTTAAACAGATGCCTCGTTGTGAATCCCAAATACGAATCGTTCGATCCACTGATCCACTTATAAGAGGCACAAAATGTCCATTTATATGTGTAGAATAAGCAAGAGCAGTAACTGGTCCTTCATGGCCACGCAAAGTGAGTATATGTCGAAAATCTTTAATATCATGAATGCAAATCGTCTTGTCAGAAGAGCCTGAAGCTAAAGCTTGTTCATGAGAAGCTAGGCAAGAGACATGACTTGTATGAGCTTGAATAGATTTGACATAAACTTGTTCTTCTGCATTCCAAACGTGAATTTTTCCATCAATATCTCCTGTAAAGATGCGGGTTAAATGGGTAATTAACATACTAAGAACAGGTCCCTTGTGATATTTTAATTCAGTTCGTTTGCATTGAAGCGTTTTCCATGTTTTAGCCATAGTAAGAGAACGTCGAAATAAATCATAATAAATGGGAATATTAGTGTTCCAATTAAATACAGATGAGTCATCGTCGGGAATGATGCTATATTCTTTACAAATTGGTCTCCAAACTGAATCATGTATTATTTTTTTATTCCATGCTTTTGAGACTGAAATGAAGAATAGATTAACAATAAATGTAAAGCTGCAAAAAGCATCATGTCCTAGTAGATATCATTATTATTATTACTTTACCTAATCTCAGGGCACATAGTTCTTTTGGTGTAAACTTTTGTAAAATTAAAGATGTTATATTAGTTGGAAGTTCAGCAATAAAATCACATGTACCATGACCTTGAAGAAAATTTATGAATTCAATACGTTCTTCACGAGATAAACTATTAGCTAGAAATTGCTTAATTTGAGTTAAATATGAGGTTTGCTCAAGTTCGAAAGGCTGATGTCCTGTATAATCTGTCAGCATTGAATATAATTTAAAAAAGCCATTGAAAAGAAAACATTGTATTTTACTCTACTATTACTTTTTTTTTTTTTTAGGATCAGCTAATTTGTAAAAGTAAATACGCTATTGGTTGGACGCATTAATTTAATTTCCAATCATTTGTGTACAGTGTTATATAAAAAAAAAGATATCTAGAAGAAAGATTTCATGTTGATATAGCGAATAGAGCGCTTGGACATGGTGTCCTTATATGATTCATTCGGTTTAGTTTAAAGAAAACACTAAGTTTTTTCTAATGAAGATGCAGTCTATGATTCTTTTTTTTGTTTTGTTTTTTTAAGTGAAACAGGATATCTTCACATTCTGTTTATCAGTTAAACAAAATAAGCTTAAAGAATGTGAAGACTGTCAAATCTGGAATGCTCAAGACTGTCTGTTGAGGAACTCAATAATTAATTTGAGTGAAAACAGATTAAGTTTAATATAGTTTAAGAAAGCCTATTCGTATTAGAAAGAGGTCGAAAAATGGACGAGGATTTTATTATGATCAATAGAGTACGATTTTTCGATTGAAATAATTAGCTTGTATATTTGCATTTTGCTAATGTAAAAGATAGTACTATTATATCTAGTCTTATTTCTGCGCTATATTAAAACATGCTATGTTTACTTTAATACACAAGTATTATCATAATCTGAAGATATTTATTGATAGTAGTAATAATAGTTGTATACGTGTTGTACAATCGACATTATTTGGACTGCTTTATCTTAATTATACCTATTTAATTAAATAGATCGACATCTAAGTTTTTTTTTTTTTTTTTTTTTGACATAAATAATGAAAATCATTTTTGATATTAATAAAGGGTCTTAGGGAGACTCATTTCTTAATTCCGAAATATAACTCAATTCATACGTCAAAATATCGCAAGTACTATGTTCTGTTATGTATATTAAATGACCCAAGCATTTGTATCAGTTAGGAGACTAATCAAAGAGTAAATACTATAAGTGAAGCTAAAAGTCAACCATCTTCTGTTAATTCTACGAGTACAATTTGTTATGCGTATTACTAGTATTATAAATAAACGAAAGAGGAAATCAAGTAAATCTTAGAAAGTCGATTTAAGAAGCATTGTCATTAAATCAAAACGTCTAGCTAAGAAGTGTGAACGAAGAATATGCAAAGATCAAATAGGATATTAAGCACCAAACATGACCATGAATACAAAAAAAAAATTAATTTATTTATTTAAAATTAAAATTGACTTTGTTCTGGAGAAGAATTTTAAGCTCAATTACTAGTTTAAAAATATATGCAAAATATCATAAATAATTAACTTTAATAAAAGATGTTCAAAAAAGTAAATAAATCCTCGTGAATGTAACACGAAAGGGAACTGAGTTAAAATTACTTATAATTGTTATACATTGTGCTTCATTATATCAGCAGCAGCAGTACTTCCCCTTTCTATATTTATATATTACTGTCTTTTATTATCATTACTCTTTTCTCTCCTCAATAAATTTATTCTTTCTTTTTCTTTTTTCTTTCTCCTTTTTCCTTCTTTTCATGTAAATTATTATTATTTCTTTTTTTTTTATAATATTCGAATAAATCAAGCTATTCTTTTCTTTCTTTTTTTTAAAAAAAACCTAGATATTTGTTTCTAAGAAAATAGAAAAGAGAATATTTCCCCTTACTTTATATCCTAGCAACCAGTGGCAATAATAATAATAATAATAATAATAAAGGCAAATCGAAATACTACAACTAAGGAACAATAGTAATAATGTGGATTATATCTCGTGTTGTAAGAATAGAATATAGTAAAATCAAATAAAAATAGGTAACTTACGTTAATTATTAGTTTGGCGAATCAAGATGGACAAGAGCTATTTTTTGTGCAATTATATTTCAGGCTATGTTAGCTATTGCATTTGAAGCAGTGATCTTTGTCTTTCATGCAAATGAAATTAATATGGTTGAAAAGATAGATAAACCAACAGAAACAGTATCAGCCATCGTTGTTGCATATGCAGATGCAAGGTCTCTATTAGTTTATTTTATATTATTTATGCTTGCACAAGTATTTACTGTCATCTTAGTTGTTGATGCTGTACGTATTCTAATATCTATCATGTATATGATATTAATTGTTTTTTGTATATATATAAATATAAATATGAATACACATACAATAGATATATCAACGTAATACAATTCAACTTATTGCGCTGGTCGCTTTCGAGTTAGGAATGAGCGCTTATTCGATCATTCAATTTCATCAATCATCAACACTTGTCGTTGGAAATGACGTTAATGAAGCACCGTCTTTACAATATCTTGTTAATGCTTATCACCTTTCAAAATGGGCAGAAATCACACAGATATGTATAATGATTATCAGTACAATTGTATTTATATTTTTAGCTTATAAACTTTACTTGGAATTTGGTTGGCACATTTATAAAAAGATTGGCGCTGATTTGGCAATGCGAGGTGAGCATCATTGGAGAAAATAGATGATCCTATTTTTTATTTTTTATTTTTTTTTTTGTCTCTAATGCATGTATGAATTTAGATCGTTATAAAATGTATCAAATCTTTATGATGCTTCTCAAGTTTGATTTTTTCTTTTTCCTTGGATTTTCAATTCAGTATTTAGCACTATTAATTGTTGTATGGTGGCCGGATGCAATTACGGATGGAAGAGAGTCACAAATTGTCAAAGAATTAATTGAACATATTGTACTTAGTTGTGTTGTATCTGTTACGATGTTAGTTTCAGCCTATTGGGGTGTAAGTAGATTAGATATAAAATTTTGAATATCAAAAAACATTTAGTCATTTATACATCTACTATATAGTTGAGACGTGAAAAGAAGATACACATGTATATATTCTTATTATTATGCGTTGCTAGTATGGCTTATTATATCAACATGCTTGTTCAAATTTCACAAAATCCTAGTCGATTTATAGGTTCAAAGATTTTTTTGACCTTTTTCTGTAAGTAAAGACAAGTGAAAGGAAGAATATATATGTATGTAGTAAATAACTTCTTTATATTAATAGTATGCGTTGACATGGTATTAATTTTTGTAAGTCTATCTTCTCCAAATATGTAATGCAGTTATTCATTTTCTTTTTCCTTTAAAAGGTATCTGTACCTATTGCAGTTATTTGCTTAAGAAATTTCAATCTCGGATTAATGAATCATAGTAAAGTTCCATAGTAAACATTTATTCATCAAATATTCACTTTTTCTTTTCTTTTTCTATATAGTTTCTCATGCTACAGCATCTGCTACTTCTACACATTCTATGACGCATTTAGGAATAGAAAAAGAAAGTTCTTCTAGACGTTGGTCTATTGAGTAAACCTCAATTTCTTTAATCATCATAATGAGTATACACCCCCTTTTTTTTTTTTTCTTTCTTTCTTTTTCTAATACCTTTCATCTTTCTTGTTTATTTATTACTCCTCCCTTTCTTTTCTCTTTATATATTTATATTGTTTTCTCTTCTAATTTTGTTTATATAAAATATATTTCAAGCTTTATAACTATCACTAAATCATAAATTTATATCGTGGGAATTATAATCCACTACAATGATTTATTTCAGAAACAAATATTGATATCGTGTGACCATTAAAGTAGTAATGATAACCGTTGTATATATTTATATAGGCTCATATCCATTAAAGTTCTTTTTTTTTTCTTTTTCTTTTTCTTTTTTTTCTTTTCTTTTTTTAAAAAAATAAATAAATAAATGTCTTCTTCGAAACTTGACTATAGTAAAGATCATAAACATGACCTTTATTCACTTGTTGTACGAAAAGAAGCTCCTTTTAATGCTGAACCAAAATTGACAGATTTGATTAAAAATTTCATTACACCCGAAGAATACTTTTTTTGTCGAAATCATGGTCCATTTCCTTATATTAATGAAGGAGATCATTCAATTTATCTTCAAGGCATAGGATGCAAGGGAGTCATGCAGTTTACCGTGAAGGAATTAAAAGAAAATTATGAAAAAGTATCTGTTATGATGGTGATGCAGGTAGGAAACAAAACAAAACAAAAAAAAGAGCGGATTATATCATAATGAATACAAGTTTTTATTTACATACATTTATATAGTGTGCTGTAAAAATAGATACTTTTTTTTTTGTTATAAATGACTGGGTACAACATGATAGTTAACTCTCCTTATTATGTTATAGGGAAATAGAAGGGATGGTCTTCATAAGGTTAAACATACAAAGGGGGTAAACAAAATATAAATGTGTAAACAAGAAAATAAACTAACATAAACCTAAAGGTCATTTGGGGGCCTGGTGCATTAGGTAATGCTGTATACAGTGGTTGTAGATTACGTGATGTCTTGGCTACTGCTGGTATTTCTACAAAAATTGAAAATTTAGCTAAACTTCATGTATCATTTGAATCAATTGAACAGGTATATCGCATATTGTGCTAAAATGGGAATAACAAAAAATAAAAGCTTACTCTTCTCTTCCTTACAGTGTGAAGAAGACAAATATTATGGATCATCCATTCCTTTAGTTAAAGCTCTGTAACTAAATTATATCTTCAAATTCATTATTCATCTTTTCTAATTTTCTTTTATTTTATTTTTTATTTAGAGATGAATTTGGAGATGTTTTACTCGCATATGAGGTACTTTTTTTTTCTCTCTATCTCCCTCTTAATAATGAAAGCTGTGCTTACATTCCTTATTAGATGAATCATAAACCTTTGACAGTTGATCATGGATTTCCTATAAGAGTTGTTGTACCAGGTATATACATACATAGGAAGTGCCTAAATTACTTTGATCATAATGAAACTTACACATCTTTTTTTTTCTTCTAGGCTATATTGGTGCTCGCTCTGTCAAGTACTTGAAATCAATTACAATTCAGGATGATGAATCAAACTCTTTCTTCCAACGTAGAGACTATAAAATCTTACCAGAATCTGTAGCTGATGAGAAACAAGCCAATGCTTATTGGTCTAAAATCCCATCTATTGGTGAATATAATGTTCAATCTTATGTTTGTAATCCTCCTGATGGAATTCATCAGGGGTCTACCTTTAACTTGAAAGTTGAAGGCTATGCACTATCAGGTAAAACATAATTAACAAAAAAAAATAGTATAGTATTCTAAACTATACATATCATTTAGGTGGAGGAAGAAGTATTCAACGCGTAGGTATGATATCATTTTTTTTATTATAGAATTTTGTTCTGCATTAATAAATAATTATTTTAAAACACAGATGTATCCGCAGATGATGGGAAGACTTGGACTGTAGCTGAACTTTATCAACCTGCTGCAGATGGAGTTAACAACTTTGGAAGAGTATGGAGTTGGTGTCTTTGGTCTGCCACAATCATTCCAAAAAAACATGTTAGAATTGTCAGCAGAGCAGGTAAAAAAAAAAGAAAAAGAAATTCCTTAGATATATAATTCACCTTATATGCTATCTATTTTTTTTTTTCTTTCTTTCCATCTTTTATTGTTTTAGTGGATTCTGCTGGAAATATTCAACAAGAATATCCTGTTTGGAATTATCGTGGAGTAATGAATAATTCCTGGAGAACAATAGATCCAGATTCATTAAATAAGTCAAATATGTAAATAAACGTAGTTTTTTTTTTTTTTTATTGTCTTATCAAGTAAAATGCAAACATACAATACAAATACATATATAAAACAGAAGTAGTAATAAAAAAATGAGGGTTTTAGGAGAAGTAATAAACAAATAAATGTAAATAAAATTCTAATAGTGTTATAAAGTATAAATGTATAAATAATTTCTTTTTCCTCTTTTTTTTTTTTTTTTTTCTTTTCTTTTCTTTTCTTTTCTTTTCTTTTCATTTAACGTCTTTGCTTTCTACGAAGATAGACCAAGATGATAAATACGATGATATTAAAGATAAAGTAACCACATAAAATACCAAAGTTGCGCCATCGATGTGCTACATCCCACTCAAACTGAGTACTATAAAACTCTGAACCGGACTTGTATGTACAATAACCACACATGTCGGGTTGAGAGGCATCTGGATTTGCAATATAACCTGGACCACCATAAGAGAAAAAGCGTTGCATATATTCACCACATGTCTGTCCAGGTGGGGGACTGAATTTAAGAAGATCAGAATCAACACAACGCACTTCAAGGTTCCATAGTTCATTTACCGTGAGCCCCTCAATATAATAATGGAATGGATCTAGCCAATACATCCAAGAGCTCCAAAATTTAGGCATCTGAGAGGGAGGCTGCATCAAACCAGCAAATAAGATAAGTAAAGAGATAATAAGGGGATTAATGACAGCGGCCATTAAGGGTGACTCAGAGAAGGCAGCGATCACGAAACCAAGTGAGACAGCCCAACAGACAAGGATAGTGAAGGTAATATAAAAGTAACCACATGATTCAGAACTAGCATTCAAACCTGTAGTCCAATAAAAGCCAAACATGAAACAAGCTGAATAGAAGAATATATATGGAATTTCGACAAGGATAGCAGAGAGTGCAAATGGAAGCCAGCCATAGTATCGAGAGGCGTACTCACGTCTAAAATAAAACCTTTCCGTAATAAATTTGGGCTGAGCTAAAATGATCAGTGTCATGGCCATGATGAAAGTACCAAAGAGGGCAAAGAGTTTGTATTGCATATCAGTAGATGAGTTTCCAAGTTTCCAGAATGTAAAGCCTGTAATTAAAGCCGTGAACATAACGTTCAAGAAACGACCTATGTTATAATCTGGAGATCTCCAATAGGCTAAAGCAATGCGCTTATAAACTAATTTAAATTGAGTTGTAAAATTGGTTGCATATGTTTTTGCAGGACGAGTAGGATTCGGGTTAGAGGAGTTATGAATATCTTCAAGTTCCTCTCTTAAAGCTTTACATTCTTTAGAGTCCTCCCAAATAGTAGCCCAGTCAGCTTTTGCTTTACCAGCAGTACCTGCACCAACACACTCCAAAATGTATTCAGCGGGGTTAGCATCTGGTGAGCATTTGGGTGCACCATTCTGTTCAAAGTAATTAATCATCGTACGTGAATCTTTACCAACTTCGCCATAATAAGCAGTACGACCCCCTCGGACTAAAAGTAAAATATGATCAAAGTGCTCAAAGAGTACAGCAGAGGGTTGATGAATCGTACACAAGACCGGCCAACCAGAATCAGCAAGCTTACGAATGAATCGAATAATATTGTAAGAACTTTGAGCGTCTAAACCTGATGTAGGTTCATCAAGGAATAATAACTTGGGTTTACCAACTAACTCTACACCAATCGTTAGACGCTTACGTTCTTCAACAGAGATGCCATATCCACTTTCAACCTGACCAACCTGTGCATCACCAATGTCTTGCATTTCTAAAAGCTCTAGAATCGTTTCAACGTATTTGTCTTTTTCCTCTTTAGGAACTTCAGCAGGCTGACGAAGATAAGCAGAGAAACGAAGTGCTTCACGAACGGTCACCATTGGTTGATGAACATCCATTTGCTCACAGTACCCTGTGATACGCTCAAAGTCGCACATTAGGGCCTCATCATTCAAATAAACACGGCCCTCAACTTTACCAATCGTTTTACGACGAGCAAGTACATCTAACAGTGTTGTTTTACCTGCACCAGAGGAGCCCATGAGTGCTGTCAAATGTCCAGGACGAACGATACCACTTACATTATTCAAAAGTTGAAGTTGACCTCCCTTTACAGGAACAGTATAGTTGATATCTTGCCAAGAGAAGGTCGTACCGTCAGAGACAGTACCCATTTCATCACTAATATGGGCCTGTTTACAACGACGAGCTTCCTCCTCCTCTTCTGTACGATGCTTAGGCGCCTTCCCTGGCAAATAAAGTTTAGTAAGTGTGCTTGATTTACTCAAGCCAACTAACTCCATAGCAGCGGCTGTCATGAAAGTAAATAAGAGGAAGAAACCAATGATGACCACAAAATTGGGTGCCCAAAGGTGGTTTGGATTATAAGATAAAGAGTCGATTAGATAATCATCACCACGTACAAAATTTTCGCCAGGACGGCCTCCTGCCATAGTACAAACCTTGTAATTCCAATCATCATATCCAGGACCAAAAGGAATTGAATTACCTGGGCCCTCACAACTATACCTTTGGCCACTAAGTTCATTCACTAGTAGACCTTTGTAACCATAGGTTAATGGATTAATCCAATAGATCCAGTACAACCAAGGGTGCATCTTACTCCATGGAATCGTGTAACCTGTATAATTGGTCACAGCAATCAAAATGACACCAGAGACCTGTGTGGCCACGAAGAAGCTAGATGATATGGCACCAAAGAATCGGAAAAACCCGTTCATGCACATATTGATGAAGAACAAAAAGATAAAGAATGTAAAGAAAGCACCAGCGGTCAACCTAAGGCCCATCATGAAATAAGCACAGATTTCAAATAAAAGTACTTGTATAATAGCATAAGGAATATCCAACATGACTTGTGCTAAATAGAAGGCTGAAGGTCGATAAAGTGCGTACTGTTTATGTTTTTCTAGAATGGGTCTACCCATTAAGAAATTAACAAGTTCGGATTGTGAGATAAAAGCATTGAAAAGGACTGAGAAGAAGAGGGCACCACCTCTGGAGAAGGCGCCAGCACCATCCTGACTCATCTTAAAGAAACAGGAAGCAGTAATAAGGGATTGGATGAGAATTGTACCATAACGGGAGATGAGTGCACCAACATCAGTGATATTAAGATAGAATTGACGAATGGTAAGGGCTTTCACTTGCTGATAGAAGGAGGCAGTATAGGGTTGCTTTTTATTGGCATGCTTTTGGTGCTCTTCATCGACTGCTTTTTTAAATGTCTCTGAAGGCTTTTCCCTTTCTATAAATGCTTCATATTCCGCAAAGTCCTCCATGACTTCCTTGTAAATTCGTGATTCAAAGTATCTCTTTTCAAAGTCAGTAGCAAACCGAGGGGCAGTCTCTTCAAATCCAGGTTTAAATTCGCGTTCATTAGGATTACATAGACCTGTCAAGAAATCAGGAGTTGATTTTCGAGGTGGACAATGAAAACCGAGAGATTCGAAATATTCTTTTGCATAACATGTAGGACCAAAATAAAGACAACGACCTTCATCTAACAGAAGTACCTTATCAAAGAGTGCAAATATACCGTTCGAAGCTTGATAAAGGGTTGCAATCGTTGTCTTTTGGAAAATATCTGTCATGATACGAAGAGAACGAACATAATCAAGAGCAGAGGCAGCATCAAGACCACGAGTAGAACAATCCCAACAATTAATAGAGCTTGAAGTTGTCATCTGTTCTGCAATCGAAAGTCGTTTACGCTCACCACCTGATAAACCACGAATAAAGGCATTACCCACAGTTGTATTCATTTGTTTCGTGAGACCGAGCATGCTACCCAGCATATATAAAATTTTGTTGACAAAGTCTGATTTGGTTTCGTTCGGGAGACGTTTCCCGGGCGTCTTTAAGCGAAGGGCAAATTGAAGTGTTTGCTTTGTGGTTAAAGTAGGATAATGCTGATCTTCTTCTTCATTGTAACAAACTTGACCACGATAATACTTAGAAAACAGATTTGCGTCAATACCACCATAGCTGACAAGGCCATCCACATCGGTAAATGAACCACACATATTAGCCATCACTTTCAGAAATGAGGTACAACCCGCACCAGGTCTACCTAGAACAAGTAGCATTTCACCTTCTTTACAATGCCCTGTTAAATTGTGAAGAATAGTTGTTTTATCTTTACTAGCTCCAATACCCAACAATTTCCAGAATTGAAGAAAAGTAAACACAGTTGGAATAGTATGTGCATCAGCAGATAGACCCTAAAATTTGGATTTAAAAAAAAATTAGTAACCATGTTGCATCTATGTATGTATGCATTACATACTTTGACTGTCAAATTTTTCCAAATCAAACCCAAATGCTTTAATTCATGACCAGAATTATGTTGATCCGTACGAAGGCCGTTTAAGAATTCACTAAGATTAAATTCTTCTTCTTCTGCCTTTCCTTCTTCTATTTGATTAGCACGAATAGAATTACGACTGATACGAGATAATTCTCGCTTCATTTGAATGTATTCACCCTTAGCAGCTAACAAAAAAAAAAAAAAATCAGGTTAGTTTAAGAGTCACTAATAAATTCTATGTCCATTATATCAAGTACCATCAATGTCAACTGCATTTGCGCTGGGCTCACCGAAATTATGGTTCTCTACTTCATAATCTCTGTTTCCATTATAATAGACAGTAGTTGTTGATTCACTGTTTGGTTGCTGATAATAATTTCGATTTTCTTCTCTACCTGTCGGTAGATTTTGATTATAAGACATAAATAATAATTATACTTTAATAACAAAAAAAAAATTGAAAAGAAAGAAGCAAACAAAAAAAAAAAGAAATTTTACGTCATAAACGTGCCTTTTAATAACAATAATGAAAAAAAAAAAAAAAAAAAAAAAAGGTTCCATAATTTTTCCAACGAATAAAAATGTATACAGCCATTTAAGTTTATGAAGGAAGTTTTTTTAATTCTATAAACCTAGAATCATACCTGAAATGTGTAAAAGTATAATAAAAATAAAATACAAATGATGGTCACTTTTTTTTTCAATATATACAATAACTGTTTGTCTGTTTCCTTTTTTTTTTTTCATACTTGATGACTGTATTTGATTTGGAGCAATTTGTTGTTATGGTTCCTGGATCATTGTTTCAAAATTTATTATCTAATTTTAAACATAAAATAGAAAATTATATTTTATAGTTCTTTCAAAATTCAATAAAGATATATCAATATAACCAATACAATAAATGAAAAAAAGAATATCTTAGACCATTAACAGTATATACGTACTACTTATTCTTTTTAGAATCTTATAAAAAACGTCAAAACTTTATTTTTATTTTTATTTTAGCATACGCTTCCCTAACAAGTAATAACCACGTTGCCCAAAATAATATATTTGTTGTTGGTTTAATATAAATAAAATTATTCTTCGATTTATCGACCTTTAAAATAAAATTCACGTCCCTTGACTCCCAAGTTTGCAGCCGTTAACAATTAATTTATAATAATGTCTATGTAATAACAGGAAAACACTCGAGCGAATAATATATTTTAATTAAATAAATAAAATATTCGTAAAACTATGTTAAATGAACATAGATCAAAAAGTAAGGTATAAAGTGGAAAAAAAAAAGGGGGGAAAGCAGACAGATATTGATGTAGTACAAATTCGTTACAATAAAAAAAAAATCCGATTAAGGACAGCACAAAAAAATAAAGAGAGATATAGAAGTATCTTTTATTATTTCAGTTGAACATCATTGCTCATAAATGCTATAATAAGAAAAGATTGTTTTTTTTTTGGGACTAAGATGATAACTCTTCGAATAAATCGACTATATTTTAACGCTACACTAAATTTGAAGTTATTTTACATTTTTGAATTATCCAATCAGTAATCATGGAAACGCATGAACCGAGAACATCATAACACGGAATAATTTTCACCGTGATTACGTGACTAAAAATTAACTATTTGTTTTTTCTTCATCTAATGGGTTGAACTCTTTATAGGCAATCCTCGTTTTTTATTTTTTAAGTTTAAAGTCATTAACGGATAGTCTACGGAGTGTGACAAGTTTAAGCTATTTTATTTATTATTATCAGAGAATACAACAATACGGAAAAGCTGACGAGGTTTCTTTTATATATATATATATATTAGAAATAAACATAAAGATATATTCTAATAACTAAGAGTAGTAGCAAATAAAATATCCAATATAAAGTCTTCATGTTGAGATAAAGAAGATAAGGGTTTCGACCCTTGTGCTTTAATATGATTTATCAAGCTTAGTGTTAAGAAAGCAGTCTTAACAAATCTTTCTCATCATTGTTTGCCGTATAAATTCACAATAGGGAATTGTACACCCATGATAAGCAAAAATCATGGAGACTTAAATGATGTGGTTTTTAGGTAACAATGTTATTGAGGAATTAACATAGTGTACTTAAGTAGACATATTTAATCATAGCATTTTGTAGTCTTCTAGTTTTTTTTTAAAGGTTGAGAATATAAATAAGAATTTGAAAAAAAAAAAAGTTCTTATATACAATCTATATAGTTGATAACTGGATGATATAAAAGCCATCTATTTAATAAACACACAAAACCGTCCACTTTTATACAAAGTCGTCGTTAATAAACTATAGTAAATTTATTCATAAGATCTAATAACCAGACAACCATGCTACATAAATTATTATATGGACTTAATGTATAATAATAATGACATTGTATATGATAACAATCAACATGAGATACACACATATATAAATATTTCTTTTCAATTAAAAATCTTTATTTTTCAGATTATTGAAAAGCTTAGTTAATAATGTACTGTAAAAATGACGTTAAATATATATTGATTGTTAGTGTATAAAAGATATTGCATAAAGTTTTTGATCAAATATTGAATAAAATGTAAAACAAATAGTTTGCTTATATAAATTACATATTTTAGTTAATGTGAATAAAAGAAAAAAAAAAGAAATAGAGATAATCGACGTGTTATTATGATATATACACAAATAACTTAAAGTTTCATAAGAATTCTACCTTTTCTAGGCTTTTTCTTATTTGCTTTGATTGCCCAGTTTCTGACAAGCCATAGAACAATAACACGTTCCCAGATAATATTAACTAAACAATTACCAAGGACAAATCCCCAAAGCTTCCAACGGAACCGTTTAGGTAATACATTATTTCCGAAAGGTGAATTGTAAGGCTCGATTTTCCAATAGGGATAGGGGTATCCAAGTGAGTGAAGTACTGATGCTGTACCACAGTTGATACGGAACTATAATATGTATATATCATATAAATCATCAGTATCTATTTTTTTTTTTTTTTTTTTTTTTTTTTTTTTTTTTTTTGCTGCTAATCTTATATAACTTACAATGCAACTATATGGATTGGGATCAGCTAAAATGAGGAAACTTGTATGAATAAAGAAACAACAATAAATAAAAACCAACACATAATTTCTCCACCAAGAACGTCTAAAGGCAGATCCAAAATTAACAATAGCACCGCTATTGAAAAATTGGAAAAGAACAACTAGTGAAATAACTTCGGCTTCATAATTATCACCTAAAAGCCACCATTCAGCAGCATTAATAGACGAACTATCAAATTCGTGACATAGAAACCAATCCTGTTGAAACAACCAGACAACACTAAAAGAAAAAAAAAAAAGGAGGAGATGTGTGGAGGGAAGAAGGGAGAAAGGAAAAGTAGCAGACGATGAGTTACTTAAATTATTTTCTTAAAAAAAAAATAAAAGTAACTTTCTTACCTTGTGACCAAAAACCAAAAGTTAATGAAGATTACACCTAAACATGAGGCAAGCGTATATACACCTAATGGCTTAGCTGTTGGTCTTGAAGGACCTAATCGCTTTGCTGGGAGTGCTTGAGTAATAGCAAAAGTCATAGTAGTTGTGATAAAACCTAAAATAGAATAATTCGATTATTATTTTTTTTAGAAAAAAAAAGAAAAAAAAAAAGATAATTACCATCAATAGTAATCCAAATAGGTTGGGGAGCAATAACTGAAAAGTAAAACTGAATGAGTTCCCAAAATGCCATTGATTCACCATAAAAGATAAGGAATTTATAGTTTGAGAAACTTGTAGCTAATGCAGATCGACCTTGTTTTAATAACTCAACACACTGCATAATTGATCTATATAAATATATAGATAGATAGATAAACGTAAATTAAACAATTTTTTTGTTTTCCTCTTCTTTCTTTCCTTACCTATTACTAGTACTAAAAGGTGATACCATAGATGCTTCAGCTTCCGATAGGGCGATGCCTACATGAGCAGCACGAAGAGCACCACAATCATTACCACCGTCACCACACATAGCAGTAATACCCTTTTCCATATGCAATTGTACACATTGAATCTTATTATTAGGCGTCATACGAGCAAAGACACGAGTAAAGAGCAAATACTTTCGCATTTGATGACAATTAATGAGAAATTCAAAGGCTCGACCAGTTAAAGCCAATTCAATCATCTTTTGATGATCATCACGGGGGTCACTCTCAAGGAAACTATCTACATCCTCAATACGATCCCCTGTATCTACATTGTGCCAAATGACCTTCCCTTGTACAAGATCTCCCAATAAAACTGTTTGTTCTGCTGAAATCATGCCACATTGTCGTGCAATAAAGATACCTGTTAGAGCTGTATCACCTGTGATCATCACAGGTCGTACATCACCTTCTTTCAATTGTTGAATGGCCTCCGTCGTATCCTCCTTGAGCATATTTTTAAATAAAATAAAGCCGATAAAATGACAACCGATTTCAAGGTCATCACGACTCATGTGCTTAATCTGTTCTATTGTAATGTCTACACCTAATTCACCCATATCACGATGAGCAAGAGCTAGTACATAACAACCTTCCTGCGCATATTTAGCAGAAACTGTATCATAATTGGATGGAATCGATTCAGATGTTGACAGATGCTTGACGCGTTCAAAGGATCCCTTCAAGAAGACATGAACATGATTATCAGAAGGATCAAGGACAGCAACAGATTGAGATGCTCGAGCATGGACAAATTCACAACGACGAATGATATGAACAGGCATACGTGTCTTCATCTTTAGTACGTTCTTTGATCCAACGGGGGGCAGAATACTATCCAGATAATCCGGACTTGTGGTAGGTATTAATTCCCATTTCATTGAATTATAGGATTCAATATCAACAGGGTTTCCAATAAATTGATCCCCTACTTTGGTTACGGCATGACATGTGGCAATACCCATAGCCAATAAAGGTTCCATCTCTAAGGCGTCTTGAACCCTTTCCTCAAAGTTAGGAGCAGCAACAGAGCCAAAGAAATTCAACCCTTCCTTTGTCAATGTACCCGTTTTATCAAAACAGAATATACGTACTTTGCCTGATAGATTAATACGAGGTAAATCGATACATAAAATCTTCTTTTTACGTAAACGAGCAGCACAGACGGACTGATTAATGGTAAAGGCAGCAGGAAGTAAAGGAGAGAAAATTTCAGATATGATAAACATACCATAAAACCAACTCGTAATATCGCCACGTCCCATCAAATAAAGAGTGATGCCAAAGGCAACCGAACCCCAAATAAGTAAGATACAGATCACAACCTTAATATGTTCATCAAAGATAAAACTGACAGGGGATGGGAAAAGAATTTTATGGATCAACATACCCTTTTCGCTTGTAATACCTGTTCGAAGGACAAGGGCATAGACTCTCTCTTCTTGTTGTCCATCATGATTGATATCAGGCGTTATTTGAGAGACAAAAGTACCAGCATAAAGTGTATTCATTTTACCAGAGCCATTCATCTCATAGATATTGTCATCATTCGGTAATGGAACTTTACGAATAGGCATAGCCTCACCTGTAAGTGCAGATTCATTCACAACCACTGTACCAGAAATAATAGCACAATCACATGGCACCTGAATATGCTCATCAATTTGAAATATATCACCAGGTACAAGCTGATCGCTGGACATATTTTCTTTCCATTCTCCATCACGATAAATGGCAACATTGGTTACATATTCGGCCATTGACTTGATACGTCTCTCTGCCCTTAATCTTAAAAAGATTCTCACAAAAGCTGAAGTCAAAATAATACATGTTTGAACAAGACCCATACGGTAATATTGGAAATAACTATTTAAAAAAAAAAGAAAAGAAAAGAAAAAGAGAGAGAGGGAGGTGTAATAAGGTTGTTTTGATTATATAATTAGAATTTAATATACAAGAGAACAAAATTGAAAAAAGAAGAATACTTACTACCACACCCACATACACATCATTTGATAAAGATACAAAAATGAACTAAACCTAAAGAAAGAAAGGGATATAAATTTATCTATGCATTTTTCTCCAATAGAAAAAGTCGAACTTACTCTTGAATAATGGCCCATGGTATGGATGGAACATAAACAGGAATAATATTAGGGCCTAAAAGATCTTGTCGATAAATAGCATCATTTGTATTATTTCCACCTATCCAACTTCGTAGTTTTCTATTTGTTGAGCCAAGATCAAATTCAAAAGGTTCAAATCGTCTTTTCTCAGTGTTATAGATATATCTCATGCATTGGAATTCAAAATAAAGCAAGCCACTAGAAGTAGTATGAACAGGACAAGTATTTACAATAATATTCATACTATTATAATAACAAAAAAAAAAAATGAATATCACATAAAAAAAAAATAAAAACTGAACTAAATTATTATTACCTTAAACGTCTAGAAATACGTCGTTCTAAGCTTCTTAACTTTGTTATCCATTTGTTTCCATCATCTAAAAAGATAAGCTCATCTTGTTGATGTTCAACTTGAATATATGGACATAAATGAGGAAATGATTCTATTCTGAAATAATTTTGTAGTCTATTTCTAAAAAGCATTACTGTACAAAACCAAGCAGCAGAAATATGCCATACTGCGCAGAAAACCTTTTCAGATGTGTCTGTAGATTTAAAAACGTGTAATACACCACCATCTAATTTCCCATCTAGAATGAAAATAAAATAAAATAAATAAATAATCATATTAAATGTATATGTATATATATAAGATAAGAGTAACTTACAATAATCGCCTACAATACAACCCAAAAAGACGAAAAATAAAATAGTAATGACGATAACTGATCCAAATACAAATAATCCATAATAATCATTTTTAAAACCTCTAAATTTTAGCCGTTCTGAATCCTTTAGAGAAGAAGTCTCTGAGGTATTTTCACTATGTGACCCTTTACTTGATTCTATTGCAATCTCCTTTGTTGCAGACTTTGATATTATCAATTGTCGTTTATCTACATTTCTCAAGTTAGACTCGTTCGGATCTATGGGGAGTTTTTCATTGATACCACTATCCGAGCTTGTCCCCGAAAATGGCTTCAAGGTCATGGTATTAAACTTTCGTTCTCTAAAGTATTTATAGAATCTCCAACTGATTAACAAGAAGGCTTCAAAGGCAGTGATAGACCAGATAACGATCCACATCGGTTCACGGTATGTAAAACCTGCTTCAGGTAACGCAGGACATTCAGCCCAAACTAAATCAGAGGTTGAACCACTTGGATAGCCCCAAATGCCAATGGCTGATGCATTGGGTATTTTGGCATCTGCAGCACATATATTCCTTGTCTGTAATGCTAGTTCTTGTGGATTCGCATGTGTAATATTGATGATTTGTGTAGTCGAACACGGGAGTAAAAGAGGGGAATTCGGATCGTTACACGAGCATAAATGAGTCGTATCAGGAGCACACGATTTTTGACAGGTGCCATCCACACAATATTCATAACCGCTAGGACATTTGGGTGCTAAGGCTGGTGGACAAAGATCGTAACTCTTTACACATAAAACTGGACATTTTACATTATACTTTGGATATAAAGGACATCGTTGACCCTGTTTATCATATTCATTTGCTAGCAGTAAAAGAAAAAGAAAAAAGAAGAGAAAAGAAGAGGAATAAGAAATAAGAAATAAGAAAAAAAAAATAAAGTTAATTTAATTGTTTCTTTTGTTATTATATCTTGTCATACGTATTTCAAAAATAGGTAACGCATTAATTGCAGAAAAGCAAAATATAATACATAGAAAAGAAGCAACTCTCATTGCTTCTAAAGAAAAAATTTAATTTATTTACTGGGTAAAGTCTATATTTGACTCTTAATTTGTCTTTTGTCTACAATTTCGAAAAAAAAAAATATCAAATTCGTCCAAAATAATACATGAAAAAGTAAATAAGAAAAAGAAAATTCTCTAAATGTATAGGCACTAAATGTCAAATTATTGAAAATTGTTTATGTAAAGAATAATTTTTAAAAAAAAAAAAAAAAAAAAAAAAAAAAAAAAAAAAAAATGGTCACAAATAGTTTTGGGGATTAATTTTGAAATCACAGCACCAATCATTGTTGAACAGATATTTTTTGTAATAAAAATAAACCTTTATATTAAAGTCAATAATTAATAAGCGTATCATGGATAATAAGAAAAAATTGTGATAAAACCCCTCTCCCAAGAATAGAAAGCAAAAATTAAAACAATGAAAGAGAAATAGTTGACTCCTAATCAGTTCAAGGAAAAAAAAAAACAAAATAAGAAACAACTGTTCAAAAATATACTAACAATGAAAGGATCATGGATTGAATGAGTAAATCTATTTCAAGTGAATCAGTACAAAATGAAGACCAGTTAGAGAAGAATATATATTATGAAGCTCCAAACTATTGCAAGTATAATTCTAGAAAAGAAGGAAAAAAAGCAAGAAAAACACTACATGATTGTACATGAAATCTTTGTCATGATAATATCTATCTTGACTCTATAGCTATTATTACTAAAATATATCTAAAAGCTTCATTGACAAAAACACAAAAAGAAGAAGAGGATATTTATATATAGAAAACAATAGAAATCCTATATTTTGCTGTAAAGCAATAATACATAGTCTATAATGTACACATATTTAAGTAAATATTACGATCTAAATGGCCAGTATAATAAGAATTATTGCATGTACTAGAAGTAGATAACTTTCTGAGATGAAGGCGGACCTATTAATCTCAAAATAGAAATTAAATATGCATTGCTGTTATTACAAACATATATTTTTAGAAGAATCAAGTGGCAAAAAGAAAAAATCATTCACAATAGATATTTGAATAGGAAGATACATCTAAATTAGAAAAGCTTTAGTCATGGCAAAGAAGGATACTCTAGTTTATGATTTAAAGAAGAGCATTTTAAAGGCAAGGATATAACATATGAAGTATACACTACTACTAATATCAAAGTACCAATAGTTAAAAACAGAATTTAAATTATAGTATCTATCTTGGCAAGTCATAATGTCGATGATATAACATAGTCGTTTTGAATTCTGGTATTATATCTGTTAATTTTAACTATTATAGAAAGGATCCTTTCAAATAAATTATCGCGTTAGATATGCTTGCTGTTAGAATGATTTCAAAGGTCTATGTCCATCTCCAATAATATTACTTGTATTAATAATCGGCTTCTAATTTGTCTCTATTTGAAGCCTGTAAAGAAAATACTATAGCCTACAGAAATATATTTGTTGATAGTTTTTAAGCAGGGCGAATTGCAGGCATAGAAAATATACTTTATCTATTTATTTTTACTACTCCTATTCTTTTGTTTCACTTTGGAGATAAAGCAATAAAATAAAATAGAAAAAAAAAAGGGGGAATATTATTAGGAAAATATGACTATCTGTTTATCTGTAGATATGAAACTAAATAACAAAAGCCATGGATGGTATGTTTTTCGATAGTTGATTTCGTTAAAGATAGTTTCTTGGTTATTGTCAACCATCATAATTAAGGTTTCTTTTGTTGTATAGTATTTTAACTAACGCCTATATAAAGGAAATAATGTGGCTTATAATAATAGAGTCAATTATGCGATGATTCTAATTCGCTGATTTAATTTTCATCTCCATACTACACTTTTAACGAATAAATAAATGTGATACAGTATTTATACTTCCAACTCCGACAATGTTAGTATTTTTTGGACGAATCAAAATTAATTTTCATATAGTTTGTTTACCTTTTTTGGATAAATAAAAAAAGAAATTCAGATACAGATGCAAAAATGGGACAAAGGAGAAATTAAATGGAGACAGAACATGAGATTTAGAAAAAAAAAAAAAAAAAAACTGCTATTTTTTTTCGTAAAGACTTCTTACCTGCAGGTATCTTTAAGCTGTCACCGGTGAAGGTGCAGCAACCACATTGGAGGTGGTGCTTTGTCACAAAGGATTTGATCGTTTACTCGCTACTCATTTCTGCACAGAGATAGTTCGACCACAACTCGAATATGGTCTAGCTATTAGTCTACCCAGTGCAAAGAATATCCAACAACTGGAATCTTGTCAAAACACATGCATAAGACGGATATTTGGTGGCTCTAGTCAATCATCAGTAAAGGTGATGCTTCATATGGTAAACCAACCATCAATGAAGGTTAGGGTGTCCATCCTGCAGACCCAATTCGTTTTCCGTGCTATTGATTTACCGGATGATACCTTGCTCGCTAAATTACTTCCTGAGCTTCAAGCCTCCACCTTCAACACTCAATGGTATAAACTCATTCAAACATCATGCTGGAGACTCTGTGCTGCCAACTCCATTCCGTTAGACCAACGCTCCTTTCGTAAACATCGTCAAGAATTTCTTGAAGAGAGTTTTCATCAGCTACGTGACGGGACACGTTCTGTTTTGCTTTCCGCTTGCCGCCCTAATCTGATTATTGATCCGATACTCTGGTTACTCATGACACACAGTGAGCGTAGTCGAACTATTCGCTGGCGTCTTGGTTGGCTGCCCGGAGGAATACCTAAAGCCTGCCCATATCATCCTCATGTACACTTTAGTCGGCCACACGTCACTGAATGCTTGCACATCCACTTCTTGATCCAGGCAGGAAATGACTCAACTAGTTGTCTCTTTAAACTTGTTAGCAGTATTCCCCCCCTTTCTTTCTCACCTTCTCTTCTTCTTCTTTTCCTTTATCTTTTTACCTCTTGTCCCGTAAGAGGGTTTTTAGATACTTTTTTTTTCACATAATCTGAACTGACCTGGGCGATCCAATATAATAAAGATATTATGTGCTCATAGGTCACTTTATAAATTTTAATTTATAAAAAAAATAATAAAAATAAAAACTGTTTAATCGTAATGACTGCAAAAAATATTTATTTAAACTCAATACAAATGATGCATTTATATAAAAGAATATAATAAGATTATGATTTAATCAGATGGGTTGATTATAAAAATGAAGATTTACAAGAATTCTACTAATTAGAGATCTCACAAATACATTCTGCGCCTCAATTTATACCAAGAGATTGCTAATAACTGTTATATCCAGGAATAATAGAAATAAAGAGCTGTTATAGAATCGTTCTTACCCACGAAAAAGAAATATTTAAATTCATTGAGCCACTACTGTATTTAATCCCAGATTAAAAAGTGCCTGAGCAAATAACATTAAAAGAAGATATTTCATGAACTATAAATTTAAAGAATTTGTATACTTCATTAACAATACTAAATATTATTATTCGATCGTAACCAATACATTCTTAATTTCTCTCTAAATTTTGGGGCACTTTTGTATAAATGAGCTTATAATATTTAAAATCATAAATAAACATAATCGACTTTCAGAACTTACTGTTCGGTCTTGTTGATTTTACTAGTCTTTTTGTAGTTTTTCATAATTATTTATTTCTTTTTTCCCCTAATATTTTAATAGTAGAGATACCACGAATAGGTTGGTGGTATCTACAACAGTCTATCCAACCTATACTTGAAAAGGTAATGTGTTACTCAAATAATTGCAAATGATGGAAACCAAGTTGCCAAATGACTGCCTTTAAGCTGTTGGCCTATCATTTTATATGCGGCTTTTTTTTTTTTTATTATTATTTCTATAAATTGTGCAATACTCTTTCCATACAACTCTGTTTTTTTTCAAAGTGCGACACTTTAATATATACATATTTTTTTTTCTTGCAAAAGTTGTATCAGATATATGCCTATATTAAGGAAGAAGGCCTTATCATCAGACGAAGAAGATAATAATATTAATAAAAGAAAAAAGAATACAAAAAAAAGAAGACCAGTTGAAGAAAAAGTTAACGACGGTAATAATATATATGAAGTTAGTATTATCAAATATATATTATTATACACTTAGAAAACTATGATTATCTATCGAATGAAGCAACAAAGACAGTAATTCAAGATAAAAAGAAGAAAGGTATATACGTATATATATATATAGTATATATTAGTATAAACATAACTGATGATTATAAAAAGCGCCATTGGATTTAAATATACAATGTGGAGTAATCACTTCAACTAATCATCTTCCTTGTAGAAGATCAATAACATGTAAAATACATTCGATGGGAGCAAAAAGAGCTGTAGAAGGAAGAAGTCAATCTTTAAATGAATTAATTTTAGTTTATCAACAAAAGAAAGATAAACAACCAGGTACATATGATATATTTATAAAATTGAATAGAGAACACATATTGATTAGAAGTAGCAACTACTGTTATTGATAATAAGAAGGAAGAAATCATAATAGATTCTGATGAAGAAACAGAACACGTTAGAATCGCTATTCAACAATTTCAACCTTATCCATTAAGTCAAAGGAAAACATTTTACGTTCAGCGTAAAAGAAAATATCATAAACTTCATTCTATATTATTACAAGCACTTACACCCAAAAGGAAGTAAGAAACAATAGGTTTAGTAGTATCAGGTGATGCTTACATAAAGAGAAAAAAAAAACAATAAATCTTGTAAACAAGGTTAAAACTGCTTCTTGTTTCTGACATGGTAATTAATGGATTGTCTATTCATCATCATATAATAAACATAAATTTGCTTTCACTTTTGAAAAAATAAAAACATCGTAAGAACATGTACATTATTATAATGAAGGGTCATAAATTTACCTATATACAGCATTTATAATGAAATAAAAAAAAAAAATCATTTTTTTTTTCTTCATAATAGATGACAAACTCTTTGCAATACTTGTAAATACACATTTATATGATAATCTTTACATGTAGACATCTCTCTTCTATGCTATTAATTCTTTATATAATGTAAAATGGCAACTCTTCTTTTAGATTCTTCTTCAGCTTTCCTTGCAATTTCTTTCCCTGATTCTTTTTGATTTTTCCTTTCTAAACGTTGACGCTCAATTGCTTTTTTCTCGATTTCTTTATATGTATGTGTAATTAATTTTTTTCCTGTATTTTGATGTCCAATGCCAAATCGATCTTGCTTCAAGACAGTTGCAATAGGATGACGACGTCCTTGACTATTTGCACCTAATCCTTCTTCATACTTCCAACCTTGTGATTGAAGCATTCTAAAACCAACATTAGTTCCATTTATTGTAAGAATATCGGGTGCTAAGGGCTGACTTGCACAACTACTATTACTACTCACTAAATGGGCTGTTCCTTGAATGTGTCTTTTGTAATCTGATTTTGGTATACTCATTTCACAACTTTTACAGAACCATGTTTCTTTTTCTACTTTATTGTTTTGTCTATTCTTAGATTGATCTTCATTATTACTGGATGATATAATGCTGCGATAAAATGAAGCTATTTCATCACCGTTCGATGTTTTTAATCTTTTTTCATTTCTTTCGTTTGTTTTTTGACTTTCAACAACAAATTCAATAGGTCGGGCGTATTTTGATATAAATGGTTTTTCTTTTATCTTTAAATCATCTTGGACTTGATTTGTTGATGAATCTGGCATAATTTTTTTTCGAAAAAAAAAAAAAAAAAAAGAATGTTTGTTGCGGTTGCTGTGAATGAAAATATCATTTTTTATTTTTAGCAAATCATTTTATATTATTCCTATCAGATGATTGATTGTTGTATGTCATCTTATATAGAATTTATTATCATTGTAACACTTTTTATTTTCACATGCAATTTTTTTTTCTTTTTTTTTTTATTTAAATATTTCTCCACATTATTATTATTCTTTCTCACCTTTTTTTTTTTCTTTTATTCACTCCCCACTCTCTTAGCACAAAAAAATGCCTGAAATTAAAATATTTTCAAGAAATGAAGTAGCAAAACATAATACTGAAGATGACTGTTGGATCATTATTGATGGTGCAGTTTATAATGTATCTACTTTTGCTCAGTTGCATCCTGGTGGTAGTCAAATATTGATTGAATTAGGCGGAAAAGATGTGACGGGTACAAATAAACGAATAAATAAAAAATATATATATTTATAATGATAATGATATACTTATATTTATTTGATCAGAGGACTTTTATGCTCTTCATAGACAAGACGTTTTAATTAAATATGCTCCACGTCTTAAAATTGGTGTGATTGAAAATGAAAAATCGCAGGTTATAATTCGTCAATCTGGTGACTTGTCTAATGTTCCTTATGCAGAGCCCAGTTATTGGATGGGATTTAAAAGCGCTTATTACAAGTACGTAAATATTATTTATACATCTTCTCCTCACTCCTCCTATTATTTCCATTTCTCCTTTTTTTTTCTTCTTCTTGCATAAATATGAATGAATGACTGTATTGATTATTATTATTATTTAATGATATAGTGAAAGCCATACTAATTTTCGTAAAGCTATTCGTGCTATCTATGATGAAATTAAACCAGAAGCAATTTTATCTGAAGATTCGGGAGCATATCCTACTAAGGAACTTTATGCAAAATTAGGTGAGGAAGGTGTATTGGCAAGTCAAATTGGTCCTGGACCTTGGCTTAAAGGTCTTAAATTACCTGGAGGTATTAAACCTGAAGATTTTGATTACTTTCATGAAAAGATTGCTCATGAGGAAACAGCAAGGCTTGGAACACCTGGATTTGCGGATGGTATTTCATCAGGTTATAGTATTGGTCTTCCACCTATTTTTAACTTTGGTAATCCTGCTTTAAAAGCAAAAGTAGTCCCAGAGGTTTTACTGGGTAAAAAACGTATTTGTTTAGCTATTACAGAACCTTATGCAGGTTCTGATGTCGCTCGTATTCGAACAACAGCCACTCGAACCCCTGATGGTAAACATTTTATCATTAATGGTGTCAAGAAGTGGATTACGAATGGTACCTTTTCTGATTACTTTACAGTAGCTGCATCTACTGATAAAGGAATTACCATGTTTTTCGTTGAACGTGATGATCATATTGAAACAAAACAAATTAAAACTTCTTATTCTCCCTCAGCTGGTACATCTTATATTACCTTTGATAATGTTAAAGTACCTGCTGAAAATATTCTTGGTAAGGAAGGAAAGGGCTTCCAGGTAATCATGTATAATTTTAACCATGAACGTTGGTATATTTGTTGTGCTGTAATCGGAGCTTCTCGTGCTGTTGTAGAGGATTGTTTTAAATGGGCTAATCAACGTAAAGTGTTTGGTAAACGTCTTATTGATCAGCCTGTTATTCGTAACAAGCTGGCTTCTATGATCTCAGAATTAGAAGCAGTTGAAAATTGGCTAGAAAACATCACTTATCAAATGTGTAATATGTCTTATATGGAACAGTCTGTTAAATTGGCAGGTCCCATTGCTTTATTAAAGTATCGTTGTACACGTGTTTCTCATCATATTGCTGATGATGCCTGTCAAATCTTTGGAGGTCGTGCTATCACAAAGACAGGTATGGGTCGTATGATTGAAGCCTTCCAAAGAACGTATAAATTCGGTTCCATTCTTGGTGGTTCAGAAGAAATTATGGCTGATCTTGGTATTCGTCAAGCTATGAAAGCCTTCCCTACTGGTGCTAAGCTTTAATAGTTTACCTTATTTTATGAATTGAATCAATATATACAAATCTCTTTCTTTTCATATAATATAATAATTGATAAAAGAAATAAATCTAATTTTAACACATACATACACGTTTTTTTTTTAATAAAAAAAAAGCATATGGAATGCAACCACTTAAACGCGCTATAGAATAAAAAAAGAGATTATATCCTCCTTTTTTTTTTTAAAAAAAAAAAGCATAAATTCACCTTTCATCTCTTCTTAAATTTTGTAATACTTTTTAATATCTTTATATAAATTACATGTCTTTTCTAAACCTTACAAGTTGGAGGTGAGATTGTATTAAATACTTTTCCTTTGAACTCGAATATGGAGCGCGACAGGTTAAAATTAAAGTTCCGGCTTTTTTTTTTCAAGGAGAACAATAAGCATGTGAAACTAAAGATGAACAATTATTTTTTATTGTGCAGTGACACAATAATAAAAGCTGTCTTTTATTATTTGTACATGAAGATGTTTTCATAAATACAAATAGCTTATGAACAAAAAAAAAAAAAAAAAAAAAGTTTGAAATTTACAGTACAAACAAGCGCTGATAATTAATTTTTGCTTGGTAACTTTTCGCCATTTATGTATATAACAAAAACCTAAACAAAAAAGCTAACTTTATTTCAAAACCTAGTCGGATACTGAGACAGATATTAAAACGGATATATTCCCAGATTACTAAAATAGGATGTAGGAATCTTAAAAGAATAAGTTTTTTTTTTTTTTTTGTTTTTTTTTTTGTAACCATATTCTCGCCCTCTTCCTTTCCTTCCTCTTTTATTTATTCTTTCAACAAAATATATTTATTTATTTTAAACTAAATGACTACAGGAACTGTTTCAGCTCAGAACTCGGAGGATATCGCCTTTGCTCGTGCTCTTCATGGTGACAAAATTAAAAAGGGACTTTTAGCCAACTTATCTTCAAAGAATGCAGATGTACATAACGTTGCCACTGACACTTACCTTAAGATGTGGAAGAATGCAGATGAAGAAACAAAAGAAGATGAATCAAAGAGATTAGATGGTTATACTTCTCTTGTTAACTCTTATTATAACTTGGCTACTGACTTTTATGAATATGGTAAATTGAGGGGAGAAAAAAAATTTTTTTTTTTTTTGTTTTCACTTTGCAATTGATACGTGCCTTTAACACTTTTCCTCTTTTTTTTATTTTATTTCATTTTATTTTGTCTTTGAATTAACTATTAGGTTGGGGAAGCAGTTTTCACTTTTGTCGTTATTATGTGGGTGAAGAATTCAATCGTGCTATTGCTCGTCATGAACATTATTTAGCTGCTAATATTGGTATTAAAAGTGATATGCGTGTACTCGATGTAGGTTGTGGTGTGGGTGGTCCTGCTCGTGAAATTGCTCATTTTACTGGTGCTCATGTCACTGGTTTAAATAATAATGCTTATCAAGTTCAAAGAGCTACTTATTATGCTGCTAAAGAGTTATTACAAGATCAAACCGAATTTGTTAAGGTAATAATGAACTCATAACATTATTTTCCACTCTTTATATATATATATTTATCTAAATTTAATATATGATGATTAGGGTAATTTTATGGAAATGCCTTTTGAAGATAATAGTTTTGATGCTGTCTATGCTATTGAAGCTACCTGTCATGCACCTGTATTTGAAGGTGTTTATGGTGAAATCTACCGTGTCTTAAAACCTGGAGGTAGTTTTGGTTGTTATGAATGGTGTATGACTGATAATTTCGATGAAAATAATCCTGAACATAAGAGAATTGCTCATGAAATTGAAATTGGTAATGGTATTCCCAAGATGCGTACCACAAAAGAATGTGTTCAAGCCTTGAAGAATGTTGGTTTTGATGTCTTGATGAACCAAGACCTTGCTGATATGGGAGATGCTATTCAATGGTATTATCCCCTTGAAGGTGATATTCGTAAATGTCAAACATTTAAGGATGTGTTTACTACGTTGGCTATGACTAAGCTGGGTCGTTTTACGACTACTAATGTTGTTCGTCTTTTGGAAAAGATCGGTTTAGCTCCAAAGGGTACTGTTGAAACTCAAAAGGTTTTAGAAACTGCTGCTGATGCCTTGGTTGCTGGTGCTCGATTAAACCTATTTACCCCTATGTTCTTCTTTGTTGCCAAGAAGCCCGAGTAAAGGAAGAAAAAAAAAAAAACTTTAAAAAGTAAAAAAAAATAAAAATTATTTATTACTGTACATAAAAGCTTGTCAATTTAATAAATATAAAACATATTATCAAAATACGGGAAAGAGATCTATTATGGGTTTACATAATAGGAAAACAAAAAAAAAGAGATGCATATAAAAATCAAAGCATAATATCATATTACATATTTGATTTAATAGAGTCTACCACTAGATGAATTGTAATTCATATGAGAATACCACAAAAGACGATATGGCTGCTTCCCATCAACTGAAGAATGAAGGAGAAATGTATCAGGACTATTATCTTTATTATTATTACGAGAGTAGTACTGAACATCATCATGATATGGGTTCTAGAGAAAGTATCCATTTTTTTTTATTATGATTAGGAAGAGAAGAAGAAGGTGATGATTTATTTTGATCCATAGTAGGATTACGATTATGTGTCCTTTTAAGTTGATCAAGGTTATCTGTTCTTGAAAATTGTTTATCACGCAATATCATAACAATAAGACCTCTCTAGAATGTCTTTTTTTTTTTCAAATGTTCTAAACGTTTTAAAAGATTTAGCACATGAAGGTAAAGGACAAGTATAGATTTTATGATCGTTAAGGGGAGGGGAAATATTCCTTGCCCATTACTATTACAAGATGATATATTGAAATGATGAGAGAATAGCAAATAAAATCAAAAGAGTCCTCAGAAAGGTATTTATTCCAATACAAGACATCGACACTGCCCTTCCTCTTCTTCTTTGACGTTGTTTATAAGTAGGTGATCTATCAAAGAATAAAAAGAGACCGAAAATCATTTGTTGTTGTTGTTGTTGTTGTCTATTATCATAAGGGGCTAATTTAGGTGATGTATGAGCAGAGATATTTTTTTTTGGCTATTAAGGGAAGAGACGATAGGGATTGACTGAATCTATGTCTTTCTTGTATAAAATGGCTCAAAGTCAGTCCAATGATTCAATATAAGAGATAAGTCATCTAAAATAGACATAATTTACATATGCCTATATAAATTTACAAAATGTATATGCATATAAAGGGTTAATACCTTGTTTATCATTAAAAAGAAAACAAAAATATAAATATAAATATAGTATATGCTTTATATACATATATAGCATTAATATATAACCTTTATAGTTGACTTTAGGGCATATAATGTTTATTAAATTATACAGAGAGATCTTTTTTTTTTTTTTTTTTTTTTTTTGTATACAGTTGAAGAATTTAATTACCTGCTGTAGCAGTCATAGTAGAATTAGTATTAGTAGTAATGTAATTAGGAGTATTATTATGAATGGAAGAAGAAGACGTAGAAGATTCGATGATCAATGAAGAATGATTACTATTAGTACTACTACTACTAATACTACTACTACTACTATTATTATTATTATTAATATTACTACTACTTTTTAAATTTTCATCTAGTGCGTTAGCAATAGCCACAGCTGAAATTGAAATAGCTTTCTTGAGCTGATCAAATAAATCTTGTGTTGTGTCCAAAGATAAAGAAGTTGCTGGTTCTGCAATAGCGACACTAGTTGGCTCCAGTTTCATCTTTTCTCTTTTTAAATCTCTTTCCAATGCATCCAAGAAAAGTCGATCATGAGGTACAGAAAACCAAAAGAAGACCTTTTGCTTCTTTTGTGTTCTTATGCAATTATTCTTGTAGAGCATCTCAAGGAAGGATGACTTGGGTTCCTCAAGTGAGGCATCTATGCCAGGCTTCAAATTGCGTAAATCAGAGAATATACCTTCTTCAAATTTTTTTAAATTTGTTACTGGTCTACCAAAGAGATGGAAACGATACAAGAGGCAACGAACGATATCTGTTCCTGTCACATGAAACAGATCATTCCAAAAGACACAAGAGATATTTTCCCCTGTTGGTAAATGAAACGATTTGACTTGTTGATGAGGATCCCAATAGCTTGTAGCTGTACCTAAAAAATATTTGAGTTCATCCATTTGTTTCAAACGCTCCTCTGTATTATCATTTGTTGGTGCTGGAAGTCTAACAGAAGTTGTATTCAAGGCTATTGTAGAAACAATTGGAACTGAATGTAATATTTGCTTTTCATTACTAAATCTTTCATCTTTTTGTTGGTTACTGAGCATTCAAAATAAAATGATTATTATAGATTTAACGAATATTATATAAATATATAAACGTATAAAAAGAAAAAAAAAGGTAAAATAAAGTCTGGAATTCAACCAAATTATAAGTCGGAACAAAAGTAAGGGGTTAAAAAGGGGGAGAGAGAGTGAGAGAGAAAGAGAGAGAGAAAAAAAAAAGGGGGGAAAGAGTGGGTTATGTAAACTACAGAAGGATTTTACCATTTCTAACCATGTATATGATGTTTAAGAGCACATTTTTTTCCTTTTATGGATAATAAAATAGGGGTTGAATATTAAAAGTTTAAAAAGAAAAAAAAAAGTCTAAAGTAGACAGGTATTTATTATATTAGATATATAAAGGGAAGGGAAAAATAGTTTCAGCGTTAAATATTTCAATTTGCCTGACATCATAACATTTTTTTTTATTAATTTTTCTTCTCCTGACTGCGTGTACATCTCCTGAAAAAAAGGGTAAGTTATTTTTTGTTTCAAATCATTTAGCACTACTCAATTAAATAGCTTGAATATAACTATTTCTAATATAAAGTATTGTTGTCTAAAATATATAATAAACTTGACACGTATAATATAGAACAAAATTCACTTTATCATAAGCTTAAATAATAGTTTCTTAATAAATAAATAAAAAAAGGAGGGGGGTACTTTAAAATTCAAATGATGTATACACCTTTTTTTTTTTTAAGAAAAAAGGTGTATACATCATTTGAATTTTAAAGTACCCCCCCTCCTTTTTTTTTTATTTATTAAGAAAACTATTATTTAAGATTATGAAAAGTGAATTTTGTTCTATATTATACGTGTCAAGTTTATTATATATTTAGACAACAATACTTTATATTAGAAATAGTTATATTCAAGCTATTTAATTGAGTAGTGCTAAATGATTTGAAACAAAAAATAACTTACCCTTTTTTCAGGAGATGTACACGCAGTCAGGAGAAGAAAAATTAATAAAAAAAAATGTTATGATGTCAGGCAAATTGAAATATTTAACGCTGAAACTATTTTTCCCTTCCCTTTATATATCTAATATAATAAATACCTGTCTACTTTAGACTTTTTTTTTTCTTTTTAAACTTTTATATTCAACCCCTATTTTATTATCCATAAAAGGAAAAAATGTGCTCTTAAACATCATATACATGTTAGAAATGGTAAAATCCTTCTGTAGTTTACATAACCCACTCTTTCCCCCTTTTTTTTTCTCTCTCTCTTTCTCTCTCACTCTCTCTCCCCCTTTTTAACCCCTTACTTTTGTTCCGACTTATAATTTGGTTGAATTCCAGACTTTATTTACCTTTTTTTTTCTTTTTATACGTTTATATATTTATATAATATTCGTTAAATCTATAATAATCATTTTATTTTGAATGCTCAGTAACCAACAAAAAGATGAAAGATTTAGTAATGAAAAGCAAATATTACATTCAGTTCCAATTGTTTCTACAATAGCCTTGAATACAACTTCTGTTAGACTTCCAGCACCAACAAATGATAATACAGAGGAGCGTTTGAAACAAATGGATGAACTCAAATTTTTTAGGTACAGCTACAAGCTATTGGGATCCTCATCAACAAGTCAAATCGTTTCATTTACCAACAGGGGAAAATATCTCTTGTGTCTTTTGGAATGATCTGTTTCATGTGACAGGAACAGATATCGTTCGTTGCCTCTTGTATCGTTTCCATCTCTTTGGTAGACAGTAACAAATTTAAAAAAATTTGAAGAAGGTATATTCTCTGATTTACGCAATTTGAAGCCTGGCATAGATGCCTCACTTGAGGAACCCAAGTCATCCTTCCTTGAGATGCTCTACAAGAATAATTGCATAAGAACACAAAAGAAGCAAAAGGTCTTCTTTTGGTTTTCTGTACCTCATGATCGACTTTTCTTGGATGCATTGGAAAGAGATTTAAAAAGAGAAAAGATGAAACTGGAGCCAACTAGTGTCGCTATTGCAGAACCAGCAACTTCTTTATCTTTGGACACAACACAAGATTTATTTGATCAGCTCAAGAAAGCTATTTCAATTTCAGCTGTGGCTATTGCTAACGCACTAGATGAAAATTTAAAAAGTAGTAGTAATATTAATAATAATAATAATAGTAGTAGTAGTAGTATTAGTAGTAGTAGTACTAATAGTAATCATTCTTCATTGATCATCGAATCTTCTACGTCTTCTTCTTCCATTCATAATAATACTCCTAATTACATTACTACTAATACTAATTCTACTATGACTGCTACAGCAGGTAATTAAATTCTTCAACTGTATACAAAAAAAAAAAAAAAAAAAAAAAAAAGATCTCTCTGTATAATTTAATAAACATTATATGCCCTAAAGTCAACTATAAAGGTTATATATTAATGCTATATATGTATATAAAGCATATACTATATTTATATTTATATTTTTGTTTTCTTTTTAATGATAAACAAGGTATTAACCCTTTATATGCATATACATTTTGTAAATTTATATAGGCATATGTAAATTATGTCTATTTTAGATGACTTATCTCTTATATTGAATCATTGGACTGACTTTGAGCCATTTTATACAAGAAAGACATAGATTCAGTCAATCCCTATCGTCTCTTCCCTTAATAGCCAAAAAAAAATATCTCTGCTCATACATCACCTAAATTAGCCCCTTATGATAATAGACAACAACAACAACAACAACAAATGATTTTCGGTCTCTTTTTATTCTTTGATAGATCACCTACTTATAAACAACGTCAAAGAAGAAGAGGAAGGGCAGTGTCGATGTCTTGTATTGGAATAAATACCTTTCTGAGGACTCTTTTGATTTTATTTGCTATTCTCTCATCATTTCAATATATCATCTTGTAATAGTAATGGGCAAGGAATATTTCCCCTCCCCTTAACGATCATAAAATCTATACTTGTCCTTTACCTTCATGTGCTAAATCTTTTAAAACGTTTAGAACATTTGAAAAAAAAAAAGACATTCTAGAGAGGTCTTATTGTTATGATATTGCGTGATAAACAATTTTCAAGAACAGATAACCTTGATCAACTTAAAAGGACACATAATCGTAATCCTACTATGGATCAAAATAAATCATCACCTTCTTCTTCTCTTCCTAATCATAATAAAAAAAAATGGATACTTTCTCTAGAACCCATATCATGATGATGTTCAGTACTACTCTCGTAATAATAATAAAGATAATAGTCCTGATACATTTCTCCTTCATTCTTCAGTTGATGGGAAGCAGCCATATCGTCTTTTGTGGTATTCTCATATGAATTACAATTCATCTAGTGGTAGACTCTATTAAATCAAATATGTAATATGATATTATGCTTTGATTTTTATATGCATCTCTTTTTTTTTGTTTTCCTATTATGTAAACCCATAATAGATCTCTTTCCCGTATTTTGATAATATGTTTTATATTTATTAAATTGACAAGCTTTTATGTACAGTAATAAATAATTTTTATTTTTTTTACTTTTTAAAGTTTTTTTTTTTTTCTTCCTTTACTCGGGCTTCTTGGCAACAAAGAAGAACATAGGGGTAAATAGGTTTAATCGAGCACCAGCAACCAAGGCATCAGCAGCAGTTTCTAAAACCTTTTGAGTTTCAACAGTACCCTTTGGAGCTAAACCGATCTTTTCCAAAAGACGAACAACATTAGTAGTCGTAAAACGACCCAGCTTAGTCATAGCCAACGTAGTAAACACATCCTTAAATGTTTGACATTTACGAATATCACCTTCAAGGGGATAATACCATTGAATAGCATCTCCCATATCAGCAAGGTCTTGGTTCATCAAGACATCAAAACCAACATTCTTCAAGGCTTGAACACATTCTTTTGTGGTACGCATCTTGGGAATACCATTACCAATTTCAATTTCATGAGCAATTCTCTTATGTTCAGGATTATTTTCATCGAAATTATCAGTCATACACCATTCATAACAACCAAAACTACCTCCAGGTTTTAAGACACGGTAGATTTCACCATAAACACCTTCAAATACAGGTGCATGACAGGTAGCTTCAATAGCATAGACAGCATCAAAACTATTATCTTCAAAAGGCATTTCCATAAAATTACCCTAATCATCATATATTAAATTTAGATAAATATATATATATAAAGAGTGGAAAATAATGTTATGAGTTCATTATTACCTTAACAAATTCGGTTTGATCTTGTAATAACTCTTTAGCAGCATAATAAGTAGCTCTTTGAACTTGATAAGCATTATTATTTAAACCAGTGACATGAGCACCAGTAAAATGAGCAATTTCACGAGCAGGACCACCCACACCACAACCTACATCGAGTACACGCATATCACTTTTAATACCAATATTAGCAGCTAAATAATGTTCATGACGAGCAATAGCACGATTGAATTCTTCACCCACATAATAACGACAAAAGTGAAAACTGCTTCCCCAACCTAATAGTTAATTCAAAGACAAAATAAAATGAAATAAAATAAAAAAAAGAGGAAAAGTGTTAAAGGCACGTATCAATTGCAAAGTGAAAACAAAAAAAAAAAAAATTTTTTTTCTCCCCTCAATTTACCATATTCATAAAAGTCAGTAGCCAAGTTATAATAAGAGTTAACAAGAGAAGTATAACCATCTAATCTCTTTGATTCATCTTCTTTTGTTTCTTCATCTGCATTCTTCCACATCTTAAGGTAAGTGTCAGTGGCAACGTTATGTACATCTGCATTCTTTGAAGATAAGTTGGCTAAAAGTCCCTTTTTAATTTTGTCACCATGAAGAGCACGAGCAAAGGCGATATCCTCCGAGTTCTGAGCTGAAACAGTTCCTGTAGTCATTTAGTTTAAAATAAATAAATATATTTTGTTGAAAGAATAAATAAAAGAGGAAGGAAAGGAAGAGGGCGAGAATATGGTTACAAAAAAAAAAACAAAAAAAAAAAAAAACTTATTCTTTTAAGATTCCTACATCCTATTTTAGTAATCTGGGAATATATCCGTTTTAATATCTGTCTCAGTATCCGACTAGGTTTTGAAATAAAGTTAGCTTTTTTGTTTAGGTTTTTGTTATATACATAAATGGCGAAAAGTTACCAAGCAAAAATTAATTATCAGCGCTTGTTTGTACTGTAAATTTCAAACTTTTTTTTTTTTTTTTTTTTGTTCATAAGCTATTTGTATTTATGAAAACATCTTCATGTACAAATAATAAAAGACAGCTTTTATTATTGTGTCACTGCACAATAAAAAATAATTGTTCATCTTTAGTTTCACATGCTTATTGTTCTCCTTGAAAAAAAAAAGCCGGAACTTTAATTTTAACCTGTCGCGCTCCATATTCGAGTTCAAAGGAAAAGTATTTAATACAATCTCACCTCCAACTTGTAAGGTTTAGAAAAGACATGTAATTTATATAAAGATATTAAAAAGTATTACAAAATTTAAGAAGAGATGAAAGGTGAATTTATGCTTTTTTTTTTTAAAAAAAAAAAGGAGGATATAATCTCTTTTTTTATTCTATAGCGCGTTTAAGTGGTTGCATTCCATATGCTTTTTTTTTTATTAAAAAAAAAACGTGTATGTATGTGTTAAAATTAGATTTATTTCTTTTATCAATTATTATATTATATGAAAAGAAAGAGATTTGTATATATTGATTCAATTCATAAAATAAGGTAAACTATTAAAGCTTAGCACCAGTAGGGAAGGCTTTCATAGCTTGACGAATACCAAGATCAGCCATAATTTCTTCTGAACCACCAAGAATGGAACCGAATTTATACGTTCTTTGGAAGGCTTCAATCATACGACCCATACCTGTCTTTGTGATAGCACGACCTCCAAAGATTTGACAGGCATCATCAGCAATATGATGAGAAACACGTGTACAACGATACTTTAATAAAGCAATGGGACCTGCCAATTTAACAGACTGTTCCATATAAGACATATTACACATTTGATAAGTGATGTTTTCTAGCCAATTTTCAACTGCTTCTAATTCTGAGATCATAGAAGCCAGCTTGTTACGAATAACAGGCTGATCAATAAGACGTTTACCAAACACTTTACGTTGATTAGCCCATTTAAAACAATCCTCTACAACAGCACGAGAAGCTCCGATTACAGCACAACAAATATACCAACGTTCATGGTTAAAATTATACATGATTACCTGGAAGCCCTTTCCTTCCTTACCAAGAATATTTTCAGCAGGTACTTTAACATTATCAAAGGTAATATAAGATGTACCAGCTGAGGGAGAATAAGAAGTTTTAATTTGTTTTGTTTCAATATGATCATCACGTTCAACGAAAAACATGGTAATTCCTTTATCAGTAGATGCAGCTACTGTAAAGTAATCAGAAAAGGTACCATTCGTAATCCACTTCTTGACACCATTAATGATAAAATGTTTACCATCAGGGGTTCGAGTGGCTGTTGTTCGAATACGAGCGACATCAGAACCTGCATAAGGTTCTGTAATAGCTAAACAAATACGTTTTTTACCCAGTAAAACCTCTGGGACTACTTTTGCTTTTAAAGCAGGATTACCAAAGTTAAAAATAGGTGGAAGACCAATACTATAACCTGATGAAATACCATCCGCAAATCCAGGTGTTCCAAGCCTTGCTGTTTCCTCATGAGCAATCTTTTCATGAAAGTAATCAAAATCTTCAGGTTTAATACCTCCAGGTAATTTAAGACCTTTAAGCCAAGGTCCAGGACCAATTTGACTTGCCAATACACCTTCCTCACCTAATTTTGCATAAAGTTCCTTAGTAGGATATGCTCCCGAATCTTCAGATAAAATTGCTTCTGGTTTAATTTCATCATAGATAGCACGAATAGCTTTACGAAAATTAGTATGGCTTTCACTATATCATTAAATAATAATAATAATCAATACAGTCATTCATTCATATTTATGCAAGAAGAAGAAAAAAAAAGGAGAAATGGAAATAATAGGAGGAGTGAGGAGAAGATGTATAAATAATATTTACGTACTTGTAATAAGCGCTTTTAAATCCCATCCAATAACTGGGCTCTGCATAAGGAACATTAGACAAGTCACCAGATTGACGAATTATAACCTGCGATTTTTCATTTTCAATCACACCAATTTTAAGACGTGGAGCATATTTAATTAAACGTCTTGTCTATGAAGAGCATAAAAGTCCTCTGATCAAATAAATATAAGTATATCATTATCATTATAAATATATATATTTTTTTATTTATTCGTTTATTTGTACCCGTCACATCTTTTCCGCCTAATTCAATCAATATTTGACTACCACCAGGATGCAACTGAGCAAAAGTAGATACATTATAAACTGCACCATCAATAATGATCCAACAGTCATCTTCAGTATTATGTTTTGCTACTTCATTTCTTGAAAATATTTTAATTTCAGGCATTTTTTGTGCTAAGAGAGTGGGGAGTGAATAAAAGAAAAAAAAAAAGGTGAGAAAGAATAATAATAATGTGGAGAAATATTTAAATAAAAAAAAAAAGAAAAAAAATTGCATGTGAAAATAAAAAGTGTTACAATGATAATAAATTCTATATAAGATGACATACAACAATCAATCATCTGATAGGAATAATATAAAATGATTTGCTAAAATAAAAAATGATATTTTCATTCACAGCAACCGCAACAAACATTCTTTTTTTTTTTTTTTTTTCGAAAAAAATTATGCCAGATTCATCAACAAATCAAGTCCAAGATGATTTAAAGATAAAAGAAAACCATTTATATCAAATACGCCCGACCTATTGAATTTGTTGTTGAAAGTCAAAAAACAAACGAAGAAATGAAAAAAGATTAAAACATCGAACGGTGATGAAATAGCTTCATTTTATCGCAGCATTATATCATCCAGTAATAATGAAGATCAATCTAAGAATAGACAAAACAATAAAGTAGAAAAAGAAACATGGTTCTGTAAAAGTTGTGAAATGAGTATACCAAAATCAGATTACAAAAGACACATTCAAGGAACAGCCCATTTAGTGAGTAGTAATAGTAGTTGTGCAAGTCAGCCCTTAGCACCCGATATTCTTACAATAAATGGAACTAATGTTGGTTTTAGAATGCTTCAATCACAAGGTTGGAAGTATGAAGAAGGATTAGGTGCAAATAGTCAAGGACGTCGTCATCCTATTGCAACTGTCTTGAAGCAAGATCGATTTGGCATTGGACATCAAAATACAGGAAAAAATTAATTACACATACATATAAAGAAATCGAGAAAAAGCAATTGAGCGTCAACGTTTAGAAAGGAAAAATCAAAAAGAATCAGGGAAAGAAATTGCAAGGAAAGCTGAAGAAGAATCTAAAGAAGAGTTGCCATTTTACATTATATAAAGAATTAATAGCATAGAAGAGAGATGTCTACATGTAAAGATTATCATATAAATGTGTATTTACAAGTATTGCAAAGAGTTTGTCATCTATTATGAAGAAAAAAAAAATGATTTTTTTTTTTTATTTCATTATAAATGCTGTATATAGGTAAATTTATGACCTTCATTATAATAATGTACATGTTCTTACGATGTTTTTATTTTTCAAAGTGAAGCAAATTTATGTTTATTATATGATGATGAATAGACAATCCATTAATTACCATGTCAGAAACAGAGCAGTTTTAACCTTGTTTACAAGATTTATTGTTTTTTTTTTCTCTTTATGTAAGCATCACCTGATACTACTAACCTATTGTTTCTTACTTCCTTTGGGTTGTAAGTGCTTGTATAATATAGAATGAAGTTTATGATATTTTCTTTTACGCTGAACGTAAAATGTTTCCTTTGACTTAATGGATAAGGTTGAAATTGTTGAATAGCGATTCTAACGTGTTCTGTTTCTTCATCAGAATCTATTATTGATTTCTTCCTCTTTTATCAATAACAGTAGTTGCTACTTCTAATCAATATGTGTTCTCTATTCATTTTATAAATATATCATATGTACTGGTTGTTTATCTTTCTTTTGTTGATAAACTAAAATTAATTCATTAAAGATTGACTTCTTCCTTCTACAGCTCTTTTTGCTCCCATCGAATGTATTTACATGTTATTGATCTTCTACAAGGAAGATGATTAGTTGAAGTGATTACTCCACATTGTATATTTAAATCCAATGGCGCTTTTATAATCATCAGTTATGTTTACTAATATATACTATATATATATATACGTATATACCTTTTTCTTTTTATCTTGAATTACTGTCTTTGTTGCTTCATTCGATAGATAATCATAGTTTTCTAAGTGTTATAATATATATATTTGATAATACTAACTTCATATATATTATTACCGTCGTTACTTTTTCTTCAACTGGTCTTCTTTTTTTGTATTCTTTTTTCTTTTATTATTTATTATCTTCTTCGTCTGATGATAAGGCCTTCTTCCTTAATATAGGCATATATCTGATACAACTTTGCAAGAAAAAAAATATGTATATATTAAAGTGTCGCACTTTGAAAAAAAACAGAGTTGTATGGAAGAGTATTGCACAATTTATAGAAATAATAAAAAAAAAAAAAGCCGCATATAAAATGATAGGCCAACAGCTTAAAGGCAGTCATTTGGCAACTTGGTTTCCATCATTTGCAATTATTTGAGTAACACATTACCTTTTCAAGTATAGGTTGGATAGACTGTTGTAGATACCACCAACCTATTCGTGGTATCTCTACTATTAAAATATTAGGGGAAAAAGAAATAAATATTATGAAAAACTACAAAAAGACTAGTAAATCAACAAGACGAACAGTAAGTTCTGAAAGTCGATTATGTTTATTTATGATTTTAAATATTATAAGCTCATTTATACAAAAGTGCCCCAAAATTTAGAGAGAAATAAGAATGTATTGGTTACGATCGAATAATAATATTTAGTATTGTTAATGAAGTATACAAATTCTTTAAATTTATAGTTCATGAAATATCTTCTTTTATGTTATTTGCTCAGGCACTTTTTAATCTGGGATTAAATACCAGTAGTGGCTCAATGAATTTAAATATTTCTTTTTCGTGGGTAAGAACGATTCTATAACAGCTCTTTATTTCTATTATTCCTGGATATAACAGTTATTAGCAATCTCTTGGTATAAATTGAGGCGCAGAATGTATTTGTGAGATCTCTAATTAGTAGAATTCTTGTAAATCTTCATTTTTATAATCAACCCATCTGATTAAATCATAATCTTTTATATTCTTTTATATAAATGCATCATTTGTATTGAGTTTAAATAAATATTTTTTGCAGTCATTACGATTAAACAGTATTTTTTTTATTATTTTTTTATAAATTAAAAATTTATAAAGTGACCTATGAGCACATAATATCTTTATTATATTGGATCGCCCAGGTCAGTTCAGATTATGTGAAAAAAAAAGTATCTAAAAACCCTCTTACGGGACAAGAGGTAAAAAGATAAAGGAAAAGAAGAAGAAGAGAAGAAAAAGGGGGGGGAATACTGCTAACAAGTTTAAAGAGACAACTAGTTTGAGTCATTTCCTGCCTGGATCAAGAAGTGGATGTGCAAGCATTCAGTGACGTGTGGCCGACTAAAGTGTACATGAGGATGATATGGGCAGGCTTTAGGTATTCCTCCGGGCAGCCAACCAAGACGCCAGCGAATAGTTCGACTACGCTCACTGTGTGTCATGAGTAACCAGAGTATCGGATCAATAATCAGATTAGGGCGGCAAGCGAAAGCAAAACAGAACGTGTCCCGTCACGTAGCTGATGAAAACTCTCTTCAGAAATTCTTGACGATGTTTACGAAAGGAGCGTTGGTCTAACGGAATGGAGTTGGCAGCACAGAGTCTCCAGCATGATGTTGAATGAGTTTAATACATTGAGTGTTGAAGGTGGAGGGCTGAAGCTCAGGAAAGTAATTTAGCGAGCAAGGTATCATCCGGTAAATCAATAGCACGGAAACGAATTGGGTCTGCAGGATGGACACCTAACCTTCATTGATGGTTGGTTTACCATATGAAGCATCACCTTTACTGATGATTGACTAGAGCCACCAAATATCCGTCTTATGCATGTGTTTTGACAAGATTCCAGTTGTTGGATATTCTTTGCACTGGGTAGACTAATAGCTAGACCATATTCGAGTTGTGGTCGAACTATCTCTGTGCAGAAATGAGTAGCGAGTAAACGATCAAATCCTTTGTGACAAAGCACCACCTCCAATGTGGTTGCTGCACCTTCACCGGTGACAGCTTAAAGATACCTGCAGAATAAGTCTTTACGAAAAGAACAGCAATTTTTTTTTTTTTGATTCTGTCTCCATTTAATTTTCCTTTGTCCCATTTTTGCATCGTATTTGAATTTTCTTTTTTATTCATCCAAAAGGTAAACAAACTATATGAAAATTAATTTTGATTCGTCAAAAATACTAACATTGT